ACGGAATGGCAAAACAGTTGCCGGGGGGGGGGAGGGGGGGGGAGGGGGGGACGAGGACGACAGGACAGGATCTTCCGGGGGGGTTAGCCACCGCTCAGGGGAAGCTCAAGTTGGGAGAAGCGAGTGAGGTCTGAGCCCTGGAAACGAAAACGGACTGTGATGGTTTCTAATCCAGGATGTTTGTGTCGCCGAGGCAGAGATGCAGATACACCAAACAATGTGTCAACATATGCACTTCTACTAAGGTCCGACCAAGCCGGCCGATCCTTGGAAGCTCCAAGCTCATTGTGCCTCTGCTCTGCCTTAGATCTGCCGGTTGGCTAGGATGTGCTGAGGAATTGTGTGGATGATGGATGATTTACCGGCAAGCAATCCTCCCTTCAAGCTTGGCAGCGACGATAATATGAGTCGCGACTAGAATCTTGTCTCTCCGACAAACGACATCTCAAACTCTCTCGCAAAGAGCCCAATTGAGAAAGAATAAAAGAGAGGGGAGAAAAAATAAAATAATCCAAACGCTGATAGGATCCAGCGTCCAAAGAGTCAAATCCACGCCTCGCACCTTTCCGCATTGATGAAGCCCTCGGACGAGAATCGACGACATGAGACGGTGATCGCCAGGAACAGCAACAGGGCAAAAACGCCTATGCTCTGCTACCGGTGCGCAGATCTGCAGGCAATGCTTTCAGGCCATTTGGGGTATTTGGGGGCCTGTTTTTCGACAGTACAGGTTTCAAGTTCCCCACATCCGGTCCCGATCGGGGGTGCGACAGGGGGAGGAGACGAAGGCTGTTGGGCGGGATCTTGGTCCTAGCTTCCACCCCTCCAAGCCCTCCACCTCCGGCGGGAAGATGCCGTCCCAACCTTGGTCCAAACATGTTGGAGGGGGAACCTTGTTTTGGTTGTAAGCGATGTCCTCTAAGCGACCAGCATTCGGCCTTGCAAGGGGATCCTGGGCGACCCAATGTTCTCACATTACTACGCCGATTGAGTTTCGCTCAAAACTTGGGTTCAGTACCCCACGGGCGGGTAATAACCGGCACTCGTGGATCCCGTTATCGTCTGCTGAGTGGTACTCAGTAATTAGATGCCACCGGTTGAGTTGGACCATGATGCTAGTAATCGATGAATGGCCTGCTTACCCCAACAGATTGACCGAAGCAAGATGCCTTCTCACCGTCATCCTCGTCCGCATCCTCTTCCACTTCCTCTTGCTCTTCCTCTCTCCCACTCCACCGACTGCCTTCGCATAACACACTGGAACGCCACCTCGCTTTGGTGTCCCTTGAGGCCACTGGTTCCTGCCGATGTCACGATCGACGGCCCGGATCATGGCTCGGACAGGCGGCGGCGATCAACCCCTTAACCCGGGTCTAGGGTTTCGGACAATCCGGCAAGACAACATGTCAAATACTTATACGCCAAGGTGATCGCTTCTCTTTCCTCGTCGACCTCATCATTTCCCCCCCGTTTTGGCGTCTTTACCCAAACATTGTTTCTTTTTCTTTTCTTTTCTGTCTGTCGCTTTCTACTCCCCGACGATCTCTTTACGGTAGCTCTTGTTTACCTTCGGCCCCCCCCTCCTCCCCCGACCTCGTTCGTTGCTTGGCGTTTTCTCCGTAATGAGAACTCAACATTGCTCAATATGGGACCGGAGTTTCAAATTCCTCAGACCAACTTTGGGTGGCAGCTGAACTCAGTCAACTGGCCACTTGTCTTCCTGTCGGGAATCTTCTTGTTCACTCGCATATATCTAAAGGTCTCACAACGTCGAGATCTATGGTGGGACGACCATTTCCTGATTCTATCATGGGTAAGAGCAAAACCACATTCTTCAACAAGGGAGTCCAGCCCCGAAACTGACAGCCCGAACCAACTAATTAGGTCACGTTGGCCGTCCAATCCGCGCTATGGTCCGTCATGATCGATCTCGGATATGGAAAGGACTTTAGGCTTATCCCAATCCAAAACCTCGACAAGATGGCGCTGCTCCTCAACGTCGCCTCCACCCTCCTCATCCTCGCCAACCTCTGGGCCAAGACCTCGTTCGCCATCACCCTCCTCCGCTTCCCCCACCGGGGGACGAAATACGTCGTGTGGTTCATCATCGTGTTCATGACCGTGTTCCTCGGCATGAGCGCCGTCTTCGTATGGTTCCAGTGCTTCGTCCCCGGCCAGGAGACGAACCCCACCTCTGGGTTCCGGTGTCTCCCGGGCAATATGGGAACCAACTACTCAATCTTCGCAGGGTGTGAGTTTACGGCTTTACTCCAACGAGGTCCCCCCTTATCACCTCTGACTGCCATCTGACACTTCTCTTTTTTCCAGCATATTCAGCAGCCATGGACTTTACGCTGGCGGTCCTCCCCTGGAGGTTTCTCTGGACGCTCCAAATAAAAAGAAGCGAGAAGATCGGCGTCACGTTTGCCATGAGCATGGGTGTATTGTGAGTCAATAAAGCAACCCAACAATCCACCTCGATCCCGGCAGGAAAGACAGCTCACATACGCATGATGCAGTGCCGGAATAACAGCCATAATAAAGACCACGCTCTTCCCCGACCTCGGGGTCAGCATCAGTGAGTGACAACCCCGCCCACACCATCCCCCCCTCCCCCCGGGCCAAATATCTAACCTGCCCCTCCCCCCTCGCAGTGGCCGGCCTCCAAGTAATAGCCTGGGGCGCCGTCGAGACCGCCGTCTCCATAATGGCGGCCTCGATCCCGATCCTGCGCGCCCTGGTCCGCCAGAACACGTCGATGCCGCAGATGGGCTACGACTCGTACGGCATGGGCAGCGACGACGACGACCCGACCCGGACGGCGCAGGCGAGGCCGACCGCCGCCAACGCCGCGGCGCTGTCGAGGTCGAGGAGCCTGCGCGCGGCGGCGGCACCGATAGCTGGTGGGGTTAAGGGGAGGGAGAAGGAGACGATGGGTGGGGGTGGGGGTGGGGGTGGGAGGAAGATGGGGGGGGATGATCTTGAGGGCGGGTATGAGATGACTAGCTTCGGTGTTGAGGCACGGCCGGTTGATTTTACGGCTTAGGATGGATGGGATGGGTGTTTTCGGTTGTATTAGCGGGTTGGCATCGATCTGGAGTCTGGGGTTGGGGGAATTTCTAGGGATCTCTGAGCTGTCTGGCCTGGTCTGGTTACGGGATTGTCTCAATGGCGGGCGGGATCTTGGCGGAATAATTACCCAAGACGGCGTGTCTTTTGCAGATTATTATTATAAGTCGAGAAATGACTGCTGCGGTTAGCAGATTTATATAATGAAAATCTGGGCCTATTTAAGTACCCAGCCTATCCCAAGTATTCTCGTATGTCGTCGATTTATCGTGAGCTAACCTTGCACCTCTAGCATCTTCGGGTACCTATCTTAATAAATAACAGTATCAACTCTCTCGAGAAGCTTGTTATGGTCTGCTATAGAGTATTGCCTCCTCGAGCCCTTCATACACGCCCAGAGATGTTCATGGTAGCTATCTGCCGCATCAAGAGGCGTCTCCTTTCTCCTTCTGTGGCATCTGCCAGACGTCCTCAGTCACATGACACGGCCACGACAAGGGGAGAGCGCTGATGTTTGTCTCGACGTCTGACGCCGTCGCCGGTGGATATCAGCAAGTCCTTTGGAGGCCCCGCCCGCGTAGACACCGCGGGATGGCTAATAACTTTCGTCGGCCTCCCCTGTTTGACGCAGAAACAAACCCCCTGTATCCACGTATGGAGTCCTTAGCCTCTTCCAGTAAGGCCTTTCTTTCACTCCGCGCAAGTTTTCCCTCTCCATGTGTTGATGCTGGAGGCCGGATATCGACTGAGGAAGATTTTTCAAACCGGCTTCGGTCCTCTTAAGCGTTGCTTTGCTGTTCTGTTCCCTTGTCGCCTCCATCTGTCGATATCCGTATTCATCTTCTTCATCCGGGGCTGTATCCTCGCTATCTGCTGGCAGACCTTGCAAACGTCGCCTTCGTGCTGCGTAGACCAGATGAGTCTAAGCCCGCATGTCTCTCCGGTCCGGTGTTCTCTCGGGCACTGTTCTCGGAACTTGCCCCACTCCCAGAATCCGCATGCCCATCGAGTCTGCTCGAAGAAGCACATGACTGAATTCGACGTTGCAGGTCTTGTATGGAGACTGGAAACAGGAGGAGCGTGGTTCGGATGGCGAACCGCTAGATCACGCCACATTTTTCAACCTTCAACCCAAAGGCTGTGCAAAGCTCTTGTGGAGCGGTCCCGACAGACCGGTAGCGACGTCAAAGGCTTAGATGTGGTTGGCTAAGTATGTGGTGTTGATATATATTTAACCGGCGATTCTCGCCACCAACTTAATATTTACAGGGGTTCCAAGCATCTCCTTAGACATGATTTCCATGCAGCCAAGGTGTTGCGGTCCCTTGGGATTCTTTTTTGTACGGCATGTGGGAACAGTTCACTGGTCACGGCTCTGTATCTTACTGTTATTGGCCTTGTCCAACGCTTGACTGATAACAAATTAATTAGCGCTAATGAATGGCAATTGTACTTCAACCATCGAGAAAACGATTTTGCGTCTCCCATCTTCTGCAGCATCGCGCCTATGGTTTCCCCGTCCAGACGTCCGAGAGGAACTCCTTGATCCCGGTGAACTGGTAGTCCGGCAAGAGCTTATTCCACTCGTCCGAAACAACCCATGCGCCCTGGGCCTGACCCACGAGGCTTGCCGCAATGACAGCCTTGGAGAACTGGGCGACCTGATCTTCCGATAGAGACGGGTGCTTCAGCTCGGGAATCCAGGTCGACTTGGGCTCGCCTGCTTTGAGGTCCTCCAAGTTCAGCTTCTCGACGTCAAAGGGCTTGCCTGTGATTTGAAGGACCGAGGAAGTCAGCAATCTTGGAACTCTTGGCGATCATCTGTCTGAGAGTGCGTATCTGTCTAGGCTCACCTCTGATCTCCTCTCCCAGGGCGAGGATCTGAGCCGAGTTGACAGTGTTGCCATTAATACCCCCGACGACGGGCCACTCGCCATCGAACTCGATCGCCCGGGCCACGACACCGCCGAGGTCCTGCGCCGTGGTCAGGGTGAGGCTGTCATCGTCGGCGCCGTCCACCACGATCGCTCGACGGTTCGCAAAGTCGTACTGGATGCCGAGCGGGACAATGTGCCTGGTCGTTTGGTGGGGTGAGGCGAGATAGTTCAAGAACAGCCCCGGCTGAAAAAGGGTGTACTCAAGGACCTTTTTGCGGGGGCACACCTATTAAGCATCCGATGCTGAAGAGGGCTGCAGTCTGCACGTACCTTCTTCTCCCTATTCACTTCCTTCAGATACTCTCGAACATCGATCTTCCCGGCATACCAAGGGGTGGCAGAGAGGTCAGACCTGGGGGACGCCGCAAAGTTAGTATCATCAAGGCTGAGACTAATCACCCCGGCTAACTCGGAAAGATGTCCTTACGATGCCCACTCGCTCGGCGCAAAGCGCTTCACGCCCGCATCGATTGCCGCATCGATGAGGGACTTCTGAGCTATGCCTCCCGGGTCCAGATGGGCGACGATGAAGGAGAGGACGACGTCGACTCCCTGCAGAGCCTGTACCAAGCTGTCCTTGTCCGAGTAGTCCACCTTTGCCCAGGTCGTCCCTTCATCGACCTCCTCGGGATTTGGCTCCTGCGTGGCATGTCAGCGAGAGGGACTGTCAAAAGTTGTGGTTCGGAAACAGACGACCTTTCGAGACAGGATGATGATCTCGTGCTTCTTTGTTGCCACGAGAACGTCGATAACCTCGCGAGCAACCTCTGTAGGAGCGTGTTAGTGTCATTGCGATGTCTATGTCTGATTCTCGAAGAGATCATACGCCCTGAGCCTCCAGCCACGGCAACCTTAACCATGTCTACTTGAACGTGGGGGTTGATTGGACTTGGTGGATCTGGTTGAATTAATTATGGTCGATCAATTGCTCATTGGGGTTGCAGAGTTGGATTACACTTGCTCTTCAAAACACGCAAGTCGTCTACCAATATAATACCTGATTGATTTATATGTGACAATCAATACCCCCCATCCTCGGAGACTTTTCAACAGCACATTGACGATGGTCGGCCCAAATAATTACTCGATCCCCGCTCCAAACCCTCCGGCACCGTCACTCGTCACCGGGCCGGCAGATGACGACATTGACGACATTGCCTCCCATCCACAACAGTCACTCCTTGGGCGGCACTGCCATCGAGCAGTGACTGGCTTACAAAAGCACGACTCCCCAACTTGGGCCGAGGGTCCCAAGGGGTGGGGCGACATCATTGAGATTTCCGAGATTCTCGGTCTTGCCTTGCCTCTCGGCTTAATGTTTGGGTCCCTGGCACCCGCGTCGATATAGTGGGGGTGGGTGAGTTCAGCTGGTGGACAACCAAGATGCGGGAAACAATGCACGACGAGCATGCACCTCAGCATCTCCAGAGTCGCATCATTGGTGGGGGAGGGGGATCACGTCTCATCGAAGAGCTTTCGACCTCCCGCATCAGGAACGGCTGTTGGAACCATCGATAAGGGGCAATGGCCATTTCCCAATGAGCTTCCACTGTGGCCATCTGAAAATGGCATCAATGAAGTCTGGATTGCCTCATCTTCAGAATCTATGGGGCATTAATATATCGACGTGGCAGGGATGCATGTCACCAATACAGTCCCCGAGGCGACTTCTTGATCTTCCCCCACCCCATTCGGGGCTCCTCCCGCCACCGAGTGACAATGCGATGGGACTCACGGTAGCGTTCCGGGACAGTATTCTCGGCCCGGACACGTTGGGAAGGAGACGCGAGACCCGGTAGCAACTCAGGTTCCGGATTGGGAATGCGATAGCAGATTTTGACGGTTGGAGAAGGTCTGCACGTCACGCAATTTATTTGCAGCATTTTGACATGCGGTTTAGGATAATCGAGGCGATTTCCAAAATATCAAACTCGCCGATATATGTTTGGCCATGTATATATCGTGTCGCGCGCAGCCTCACCCTTGGGCGGGAGCGGGAGCCAAGCACACCGGCAAGACTAAGAAGACTGCCAAGCATAAGCCGTGTGGCAAGCTCCAGCATCCCAGAATGTCTCTTGTGATTTCAGACCTTGAGGCTGTTATCGCCCAACCAAAGGAGGGACACGGCACAGCCGACGACAAGCCCAGCCCGGCCGCACCGGGAGCGACCGACTCTGACGACGACTCTGACGACGAGAAGAATCCCTTCTCGAACCCTGCTGTGGCTGAGAGATGGATCGAGCAGTATGAGCAGTCCAAGTACGAGTGTCGCCATGTTTTCGACCCGGCCCTGACCTGGACCGACGAGGAGGAGAGGGCCCTTGTTCGCAAGCTGGACTGGCGTGTTTGTCTCTGGGCGGTATGAGACGTCTCATATGCTCATCATGAAGCTACCGCCCATCTGTAGGTGTAACTAATTTTGGAATGCAGTGCGTCATGTTCTTCGGCCTCCAAGTCGATCGTGGGAACCTTCCTCAGGCACTCTCGGACAACTTCCTGGACGATCTCGGGATGAATACGAACGGTTCGTCGCTTATTACCAGGACTATGGCAAATAACTGCTGACAATCGCGGGCTGGTTAGATTACAACTACGGACAGAGTATCTTCTTGATCTCATTCCTTTTCGCCGAGCTCCCATCCCAGCTGGTGTCCAAGAAGATTGGGCCCGATCGATGGATCCCCATCCAAATTGTCTTGTGGTCTGTCGTCGCCATGTCCCAATGTGCACTTAACAGTAGGGCAAGCTTTTTGTGCACGCGCAGCCTGCTTGGTATCCTGGAGGTTGGTAGCTAGGCAAGCAAGCCATCTCGCTACCACCAACTGACACTATTACTAGGGTGGTTTCATCCCTGACATCGTTCTGTGGCTTTCGTACTTCTACACGTCCCGTGAGCTGCCAATCCGGCTCAGGTAACTAAAACTAACCTGGTAGCTCAATAACTAAGGGATAATATCTTTGCTCACTACTTTGACAGCTACTTCTGGACCTCTCTGTCTGTGACAGGAATTATCACCTCTCTTCTCGCATTCTCCCTGCTCCATCTTCGGGGAGTCAACGGCTGGGCTGGCTGGCGCTGGCTCTTCCTGGTCGAGGGCCTCATCACCCTACTAGTGGGGATCGCATCTTTCTTCCTCATGCCAGCATCCGCCGTGCAGACCAAAACCTGGTACCGGCCAAAGGGCTGGTTCACCGACCGCGAGCTTTCGATTGCCGTCAACCGCATCCTCCGCGACGACCCTTCCAAGGGGGACATGCACAACCGGCAGGCCATCACACCGAAGAGGCTCTGGAATGCGGTAAAGGATTACGACCTATGGCCGCTCTATGCTCTTGGTCTTGTCATCTATATCCCCCAGTCCCCCCCAGGCCTTTATGTTACCTTGACGCTCAGGTCGCTTGGTTTCAACCCCTTCAACACTAACCTGCTAACGATACCTGCGGTAGGTTTCAAGATAAGAGGCGTGAAAATTACAGATCATCACTCCCAGAGTTGAACGCTAATAAGTGGGCAGAATGTAATGCACATCATCAACCTGATCCTCATCACTCGGCTTGCCGATTGGCTCAACGAGAGGACCTTTGTCGCCATGCTTCAGTGCATCTGGACTTTGCCCTGCGTACTAGCCCTGTGCTTCTGGCCTGGGATCATTGCAGATAAATGGGGCACCTACGCCCTGGTGCTCGTTATAACGTCCTACCCATACTGCCGTAAGTAGACTCGTGAACGTTTCCACGCCACCCCCATTCCCTCCTCCCACCCCACTCACTCACTGCTAACCCCCCGTCCTCGCCCCGCAGATGCAATCCTAGTCGGCTGGGTATCCAAAAACTCCAACAACGTCGGCACGCGGTCCGTCTCGGCGGCGCTGTACAACATGTCGGTGCAGCTCGGCAGCATCTGCGCGAGCTACGTCTACCGCGACGACGACAAGCCGCAGTACCGCCGCGGCAACCGCAACCTCGTCGCCGTCAACTTCCTCGCCATCGCCCTGTTCCTGCTCACCAAGGCGTACTACGTCTGGCGGAACGCGCAGCGCGACCGCGCCTGGGGCGCCCTGACGCACGAGCAGCAGCTGGACTACATCCGGAACACGAAGCTGACGGGGAGCAGGAGGTTGGACTTCCGGTTTGCCCACTGAGGGGATGCGGTGGTTCCACCGTTTCACGAAAGAGAGAAGAGGGCGTTGCGGATGGATGGCCTTACTCTCTACAGTATCTCAAGCTTTCAGGGACTTCTCAAGAAAAACCCAGTTTATCAGGCGTGAAGGAGGCAATAGCGCCAATCTTAGATACTAATTATTTCCTGATATGAAGTTACTATCAATAGGGCTAAAACGATTTTGAAAGTTTTCCGCCTGTGCATGTTTATGTTCGCAACCGCAGTTCACGTAGATGCCGCCGTTGGACTCCTCTCCCTCAAGGGGTGATGCTCGGGATTTCCAACATAGTGTATTTATCTCCAGAGTCCATTTGGACATGGCGAGGGGGTTGCTGGTCCGAATTAACCCTGGCAAGAAACAGGATAGCATTCCATGCTTGTATGGTCGTCAAGCTGTAGCTATTTTAAGCCAGACTAACGGGTAAGTTGCATTGGGGCGATTTGCCGCATTTGACACTGCTGCATTGTAAACAATGGAGTAAGTGGCTCCGCAAAACAAGCATATCTAATTAAATTGGTTGCACTGGGCGTGACATCATGTATGCGACTGTGAAAGGCGTGGCCGACGGATAACCAGGTATTCTGTCTCCCTTGGCTCTCTCAGCGATGCCTCTGACTGAAAGAGAAGAAGAGATCATAATAACGTAACGAGATATGTGTGCCGGGGCAATACGAGGCTGGGCATACCACATTATTTCATCGTCTGAGAGCCGCTGGCCCCGCTAGGGAACATTCTTGCCAGCTAATAGGTGGTGCCTAGGTCCAGCGTGGCCTGCTCTGCGGGAAAGGGAAGCCCAAGCGAGCTTGGCCAAGCATTATGAACACGAGAAAATAGCCGATCGAGCAAATCCACCCAATCAGCAACGGATCCAGAGGGGAAAGTTCCCCCAGATTTCGATTCCGGCAAACGGGACCCTTGGACCCCTTGCTAGCGATAAATTACATTTGGGAGTGCGTGTGTCGATCATCAACGCCCCTTGCCACTATCCCCATAAGACGGACGAATTCCGTAGGCAGTCCTGGAATCCCGGTTCGGCAGCCATTGTCCTGATGTCGACCAATCGTGGACGTGAGTCCCGCCATCTCTGCCCAGTTTCGAACAGCAGTCGCCCAGTTGAGGAGAGCAAGATGGGGAAGATATCCGTCAGACAGGGGTCAGACGAGCGATGGCATACTGCTTGGTAGTCTCGGCATGCTGAACAGTCACCCTTGTTCCGCACCCGAGGGCGACAGCAGTAGTGCCCGAAATGAAATGCAGCCCTATATAAAGGCTATGATGCCATCCCGCATTTCAGGAATAGATGATCTCGGATCTCGCACATTGCCCCCAAAACGTCAAGTCCAAAACAACCAAAATCACCCAAGAGCAAATAAGATATGACGATGAAGCTCCTTTCTCTATCCACTCTCCTTCTCTTCACGGGGTAAGCCACTCCCCCGGCAACCAACCACCCAGCAAACAAGCCCCAGTCACACTAACACCCCTCCAGCCTAGCAGCAGCAGGGGAAGCCCAACCGGCCTGCCCAACCATAACCAGCCACGCCCTCTGCCCAACCTGCCCCGTCAACGCATGCCTCAAGCTCGACACCGTAACCATCCCCTGCGGCTGCCCCACCGCCTCGGTGCCCACCGCCACCATCACCCACACCTGCCCCTCGAACCCGGACGAGACGTGTTTCGCACCCCCCTGCGCCAGCACCAGCTACGCGACCGTGACTGAGTCATGCAACGGCGGCGGTGGCTGCCCGACCGTGACGTCGACGGTGCGCGCGCCCGACTGCACGCCGCCGCCGCCGGCGGGGGGGTCGGTGTGCGTCGAGCTGGCGTGCCTCGAGGTCGTGCCCATGACGTGGCCGTGCTCGTGCGTGGGCAGCGGGCCCGTGCCGACGGCTACTGTTACGGGGCCGTGTACGTGTCGGAGTGGGTGTGGGGTTGAGACGTCGGTTGCGTATCTGCCTTGTCCTACTTCGCCGCCGGGGTGTCGGGGTTGATTGGATGGGGGGGGGGGGGCGGGGGTTGATGGTTGGGGTTTCTATTCTTTCGGGTTGTTGTTGATTGGGGAGTTTGGGGATTTGTGTGAGTGGATGCTGGAGGGGTGTGAGATGCGTTTCTGAAATTGGATATCATCCTGTGAATAACGCGAATATAACTTCAATATCATATCAAACACAGGTGTCTTGTGTATCATAGGTTAGCTGCTCCTTTCGTGCTGACCGCGTAAACCTATGCCGCCAATCCTTCCTCCTTCTCGATATCCTCCTTGCTCGGGCACCACCTATCCTGCAATTCCTTGTCGAGTGCCTTTGCAAACACGTCTTTCCCCCACCACTCGCCCCAGCTAGTCAGGAAGATCTCCTCCGGGTCAGCAGGGAAGTCATCTCGCGTGAAAGCACGGAGAAGGCTCAAGGCACCTGTGCCGGAAAGCCAGAAGCGGATTAGCCATGTTCTGTTCCGCGGGCAGAGAATAGAAGGTCGTCATTGCTTACCCTCGCTAATTGGTTTGGCATCGGGCATGTCCATGGTGAGTTTCATCCCCGAATGCCTCCCGAGAGCCGTGCCGGGGACGAGACCGGGCGACACGGCCACGACCTTGCACGACCCCGCGAGCCGGCGGCTCCACCAGAGCGCCCCCAGAAGCTGGGTGAACTTGGTCTCGCTGTAGACCTTGCGCCCGTCCGCTCCCGAGGCGCCTTTGAGGTCCGCGTCAAGCTCGCCTTGGAGGCATATGATTAGCTGTGTTCCGAGGTTTAAAGGTCTAATCGGAAAAGTTCTGGCCTACTGGGATCTGTCACGAGACGAATCGCTCCAGAAGAGACGACAACGATGCGCGATTGAGACGAGATTAACTTCTCTCGCAGCAAGTGGACTAGATAATGCTGAGCTGAATATGGAGAACCCACGGTTAGCTGGGAAGCGGTACCCTCTAACAGCAACAAATACTACTATCAATGGGGGAGGGGGTTCATACACAGGTGGTTGACGACGTGGGCCTCGCACCATTTCGAGCCATGCGGTCCTGGCTCCTCTGCTCCTTTGGCGATTGCTGCGTTGAGAAACAAGTAGTCGAGTTTATCCTGGCCGAGCCTGTCCAGTGTCTGCTGAGCAAACGACCTCACCGTCTTCAGATTGGCGAGCTCGAGAGGCAAGATGGCCAAGCTGTGCTTGGAAGTGTCAAAGCCTAGATCATTGTACGCAGACTGGGTCCGATCCGTGTCTCTGGCGCCGAGTATGACCTTGTAGGGCTGGGCTTGACCTAGGAGCTGCTTGACGGCTTCAAATCCCTGGAGTCAAAGTTAGGCCGCCCGTTTACTTTGGGCTGGGTGTAGGTAGGTGTTTCTCACCAGACCAGACGAAACGCCGGTAGCAACGATTGTCTTTGCGATGGTTGTCATGACTTCTGTGCTTATTGTTGCCAATGATGATGACAGAGAATGATTGTGGTTCTGCTGGATTTATAGCTTGGCTGAAAGGATCGCCCCCGCATCTTACGTAGCCAATCCTTCAGGGAATTAATTTCGTCTGTCTTTCATCTTGATCTACGATTGCCAGCGGCCCGGACGGAAGAGTTCTTAACACCGGTAATTCCAACTGGATTAGCACAAATCCATTACCCCATTCTGTTGATGGAACAACCTGTATCTCAATTATTAATACATACGCTGAATAAGTATTCTAACCTATATTTAGGCATTTGGTTTGTAATCCGGCCTATCGAGCCATTTCAACACCCATTTGTCTGACCCGATGTCACTTAACAAGCTTCACTCCTCTGCCATACCTGGATGTATGGTGGGCTGTTAAGAGCGTGACTTCTCGGGACGTTTATGATGGCAAAGTCATCGTAAAAAAACTTCCATGCTATTAAACTCAGATCAGGAAGCATGAGGAAGAGAAGACACCGGGCCTATGATAGGTCCCATGGGCGTGAGCGGGTTTTGGTTTGCTACTCGTTTGGATGAATGGGAGGTAAGGTTTGTTAAATAGGCATGATCTGTGTCTGATAGAAGTGTGAGAGTAAAAGTGCCGACTTCCGATTAGCGTTGTGTTATTGAGTCGGTTTATGGTTAGGTACCCAAGAGATAGTTTATACTGGAAATTGGAAGAGCCTGTTAGACGGAATGGTTAGCTTCCTCCATCTGTTCCTAAGATAATTAAGGTGTCGGTCAAAGATTGGCTTCGCACCCCAGAGTAAAGCTAACCAATGCGCCAGCTTAGAACTCTAACTACAACAGTCACTTTCAAGGTGCGGTGAACTTTAAGCTTATGTTCCCCCCCTATATTAGAGAGAGGATGCAGCGGCATCCCTCAAGAAATCCTCCCCTCCTTCCTCACACCAACCCACGAACCTGGAAGCGACAGCGACATCACCAATAACCATGTCACGCCTTGAAACCCTCCCCTTCGAGTTGCACATCATGGTGCTTGAAGAGTGTACCCCACAAGCTCTTCTAGCCTTGATATCAGCATCACCCGTCAGCCTCTACATCTACAGCGACAATCGCGAGCGAGTTCTCCATTCCATCAGAGATGTCTCAAAATTGACTTTGGAAGACCCTGCCGCAATACTGGCCCAATCAATTGTCCGCCTCCGCCTCTATCACAAGAGATCCATAGGTACGGATCTAGACGAGCAAGTCTGGTGGCGATTCGTGGAACCGCTTGCAACTGTGGGAGCAATAATGGGCGGATTCTCTGTTTTCCTCGGTCGCATGTTCTTCGATTTTCTGGGCTATCGCAAATGCTGGGATAGCCTGGCTTTCCTGGCTGGCCACGTGGAACTTGCTTCCCAGATTGACCGCCTCCTCGCACGATTTCAACCGCATCAGCCCCAGGCATTCGCCGGCTTGCCCAGCAAGCGTAGCAAGCGTGCGTCTCGGGCGCTAGAATCACATCGAGTTCATTTCTTACGATTCGAAGTCTACTGCCAGTCATTCTTTCATGGCAATCGTGCTCATTTTTCCAACGCGCGATAGAAGTTGACGTATTATTCGAGCTACATCTTGTGGCTAAAAATAAAAAATTCCGGAAGATCCTTGATTACATCTTCCAGGAACACAAGTCGGTCATTCGGGAAGTTGCTAAAGACTTGGGGGCTACGGAATATCCAGGACCCTCCAGGACCGATCTGGCGAGAGCTGGGCCATTTCCGCCACAAGGAACCAGCAGCCGACACTTGCAAATTCTACGACTTGACAATAGGAGGCTGGTCGAAGAAGACGGCTACTGTCGATACCTGATGTCGTTCGGCCTCGGCCTGGTTGATCGGCTATTCCAGATGTCCAAAGAGGAACGTTGCGATTATACACTGGACGAGTTTTATCGCTTTTCTCTATCACAGACGCCACAGGCCTGCTTTCCACAATGGGACAGGACACAGATAAACAGTTATGACAAACAGGGATACCCGTGGAGGGACAATATAGGAGAGCAGCGAGAGTTGCTAGAGTGGCCCCCTGCAACAGCTGGGACAGCTTGGGAAGATGCCATTGACCGGTCAAGAATGTCTTACACTGCATGGTTCTGGGATATGGCACGTCTCGCAAGGATTGGCACAAACGAGTATTAAGTGAGGAAGTTGCTAGGCCGGGTTATTCAGCGAGCCGAGGCGTCACTCTTCCCGTACCCGCTTCCCCGCTCTGGGGGATGGGGGTGGGGAGACTGCCGCAATATCTAGTGTCGAGGCCAATAGTCTTCGGCAATTGATTATTCTGTGAATTGCCCTGGACATCTCCTTTAAAGATGGAACCGTTCCTGATCCCCCCCGCCCTTTTGGCCCCTCTGTCCATCTCTTCCAGCTCATTAACCATCCAGGAGCTCTCTTCATTTGTCGTCCAACCGTGTTCCGTGTTCTCCAAGCAAGACATCCCAAGATGACGACTAATCAATCTTCCCAGCCGCTACCAACAACTCAAAAGGCTGCCATACTTGTGAATGTATAAGCCACAACAGCCCCCACCCCCACCTTCCTCCCCCAACACCAACACCCCGGGCTAACCAATTCCTTCCCACCCCAATCCACAGCCAGGCCCCGACTTCAGCTTCGAGATCCGCAATGACGTCCCCGTCCAGCCCCTCGGCGCGCGCGACGTCCTTGTCTCCATCGAGGTGACCGGCATCTGCGGCACCGACCTCGGCCTCGCATGCGGCGCCCTGGGGCCCTGCAGCACGATCCTGGGCCACGAGGGCGTTGGTCGCGTCGTGGCCGTGGGCTCCGACGTGTCGGCGGCGACGGCGGCGTCGCTGGGCCGTCGGGTGGCCGTGGCGTGGATCCGCGACTGCTGCGGCGCGTGCGCCGTGTGCATGCGCGGCGAGGGCGAGACGCGCTGCCTGGGCCGCGTCTTCGGCGGCATGGCCGTGCCCGGCACGCTGGCCGAGACGGCCGTCGTGCCCGAGAGATACCTGTGCCCGCTGCCCGACGACCTCGAGCCAGAGGTCATGGCGCCGATTGTGTGCGGGGGCGTCACGGCGTATAAGGCGATCAAGACGTGTGAGGCTGTCCCGGGGTCGTGGATCCTTGTCTCCGGGGGTGCGGGCGGGGTTGGCGGGTTGGCGGTGCAGTTCGCTAGTGCGATGGGGTATCGGGTCATTGCGGTCGATGGGGGCGAGGAGGGTGGGAAGCGGAGTCTTGCTGCTGGGGCGGAAAAGTATATCGACTTTCAGAAGGACAAGGATATCAAGGAGGCTGTCCTCCGCGAGACTGGGGGGCAGCTCTGCGCTGCGGCGATTGTCTGTGTGGGAGCCTCCTCGGCTTATGAGGCTGCGTTGCCCTGCCTGGACCATTTCGGTGTCTTGGTCTGCGTTGGAATCCCCCCAGGAGGGGCACAGGTTTCCTTCCACCCCATCACGCTGATTGACCTCGGTATCAAGATCAAGGCATCGCTGGTTGGAAGCCGCGGTGATATATTAGAGGCTCTAGAGTTTGTTCGGCGTGGGCTTGTGAAACCAAGGGTCTTCAGCATCGCCATGGAGGAGCTGAATCAATACGTGAGGAAGGTGGCGGAGGTGGATGGAAAACTTCTTGTCAGAGTTCGTGAATGATCTAATTAGTCGTCAAACAACCCGAATGTTCATGCCGAAGGGGGGCATCTGATGAGCATTCCACGCCGTTACTCGTGTTGTTCCCGTGGAAATGAGGGAGCGACACATTATTAGCACGCGCAATATGCATTGATCTTACATGTAGCACCTCGATATTCGCGTTGTAAGTTTTATCGAAACGTTACCATATCACAGACACAAGGTTATTTTCCTAGCTATAGCGGCCGCCCATAACCAGTGGCTGTTGCAGTTGGTGAGCACCTGCCAGGAACTCACCACCTGCAACGCACAAACCACCGCTAAGCAGCGGCAAGACGAGATTGTCTGAGACGACCACTGTCACCTGCTGCTGCTTCTTCTGCCTCCGGCTTGACTTGCCATTAGCCAAGATTGCGCACCAGTTTCGCTTTTGATGAACAAAGTGGACTAGAGGAACAGACCCCCAAGCGAGACTTTTATCATCCCATCCCCCTGCCGATACCCGCCCGACACCCGTCTCCGCCCCCGGGCTCCGTGTCTCAGCCCCATATTTGCAGCGTCGATTGTCACACATTTGGGCGCAAGCCAAGATCCAGGGGGTCGATCACGTCGCCAAGTTTGCCCACGACATGGACCCAAACCGCCAAAAGATCAGCGGCATGATGAGAACCGCTTCTTCTTGCCTTGGCCTCTCGACCATGTGCGACCGTCCCATGAATCAAGATCCGAGGCGGTGACTGCTCGCGTTTGATTCTGACGGGACGAGCACTTCAGGCTCGTCCCCTTCCTGGTAGGAACAGGCATCGATCGCCGTGCTGCCCCAGGATCCCAAGATGGGGACGCGTACCTAGGCTCGGGGGGGACTACAAAAGGAGCGGAGGGGGACTGCGGTTTGCCTTCGTCCCATCACCAACCGTCCTTCATTCCATCTTTTTTGCTTCAATCCCCACCCACGACCCGGTGTCGTCCAGTCATTTCTTCAAAATTCTTCATTTCAACCCGGCCAGGTGTCGCTCCTTTTAATTAATCACTACGTTCACTTGAAATCCACCTTCTCTCCCCCCACAACTCATTCAAAATGGTTCGCATCTCCCTCGCCGCCACTCTGGCTTGTAAGTCCCACTCCACACCCCCCGCTCCACCCCCTCAATCAGGGTTGCATGCCCGCTCCCCCATCACCACCAGCTATTAACACCTTACCCCAACCCAGTCGCCATCACCGTCCTCGCCGTAGCGACCCCCAACAACTCGGGCGCGCGCGACGTCGGCAACGGGGCAGGGAAGCAGTTCACGACGGGCGGGTGCGTCGCCGACGCCGACTGCCAGGAGGGCTGCTGCGCCAACAACGGCCAGGGCATCGGCATCTGCTCCGGCATCGGCGCCGAGTTCCAGAACGGCAAGCAGGGCTGCGGCTTCAACGACCCCAACGCCGCCGCCACCATCGCCGCCGCCAAGGCGCAGGTCCAGAAGCAGGGTTTCTAAGCAAGCTACCCTCTACTACTCCTTGAGACGAAGGAGAAAAGAACTGAAAGATGTTCTTTTTGAGGGCGGGCCTCATGAGTCCCCGTTCGGGCGGGCGTGACGCTGGGATCCGTGCTACCAGGTGTATGTATATATTCGATCGGGCCAAGTGCCGGATTTGGAGTCACTGTGTTGCCCGGTGAGGTTAGGGGTTGAAGGGTGATACGGAGGGAGATGACGGCACGCTTAGGTCTACAACGGCTGGAGAGTGCGTAGAGTTGAGACAATGCTGAAATGCCACTCTTTGACTCTACATATCTGGGCTACATCGTTGTGGCCTCAATCGCCGTTGGTGATCATGTTCCTGATGGCATGAAAAGCATCGGAATTGCGTCCAAAATCGAGCTAACGTTCTGAAATGGACCTTAGACGTCCCGACCGCGAGCGTTCTCCCAAGTCCCAGCTATAAGTGACAGACCAGACCGATATCCGGCCTCTGTTTCTAGCCCAACGCAAACCCATATCCGTACATCCCCATCTCGTCACTTCGGCGCATCCGTCAAGGGCACATACCTCACCCCAAACAGCTTCTTCTTAGTCACCACCCCATCCCTATCCTTATCCACCGTCCACACATGCTGCCCCCACCCCCCCTCCTCATCATCCACAGGAATAAACATCCTCCCCGGCGCCCTCAGCTGCTCCACCAGCTCGGGATGCACCACCGCCGCACTAGCCCCCACATGAATGGCATCCCACCCATCGCCCCTCCTCTCGACCACCCCCTCCTCCGCGCCTCTGACCTCCCCCCTCCACCCCTTCCTCCCATCCCCAACCCGGAACGCCACTCGCCCGCTCCGCAAGAACTCCCTGCCCCTCTCACTCTTCCCCATGTTCTCCTCTCCGAGCCGGCGCAGCGCGTCGATGTGCTCCACGCCGACGACGGTGCCGCGCTCGCCCACCAGCTCGGCCAGCACGTGCGTCAGGTACCCGGACCCGCTGCCGACGTCGAGGGCCCGAGGGGCCGGGTTGGATTCCGTCGGCGTCAGGTAGGGGAGGAGGCTCTCGACGGCGGTGGCGTGCATGTGCGGCGCCGAGATGGTTGCCTCGTGGCCGATGGACTGCGGGGAGTCCTCGTAGGGGGCGCGGGGGGAGTAGTTTGCGCGGTCGACCTGTTGGTCGGGTGTTAGTTTAGTCCATGGCCTCCAAGGATTTGGGTAGGGGGAAGGTGGGGAGGATGAGTCGGACGGACCTTGAGGAAGGCTTCTTTGGCGGCCGGACTGGTGATCAACCCGTTGGTCCAGAGGTTCTCGACGAGATCCCTGTTGGTCGCGCCGGAGCTGCGCCAGGCCATGTTGTTGAAGGGCTGGATGCGTGGGAGCCCGAGTTGGTTCGTGGGTGGCTGGAAAGATGGAAGGGGAAAGGCGGCGATGAGGCGCAGGACGTATCGCTTGAGTGTCGCCACGGTTTGGTTACGATGGCCTCCCAATAATGACAGGAGGTAGGGGCGCTGTGGCAGAAGTCCGGAGCTCTGAAGTGTGTCGTCTTGCTGTCTGGGAAGCTGCACGTAGGGTCGTGGGGTTCAGTGAGCAATCGTAGGAAGAATGGGGGGATTCAGCATGAAGATTATGCAGTGGTAGAAATCACACCATTATCGACTGAGCCAGGGAGGTAGAGTTCAACTAATCTTCTCCACAAGCCGTGTGATGGAGGACTGACGTTAGGGAATGCGAGCCCAAGAGGTTACATCATTGCCGCTGCGGCGACGGGAGAACCCCACCTGCCCCTCGCTGCACACGATCCCGATGCTGACTCACGATCAGCCAACAATGTCTCAACTAGGTAGGCAGATCACAGTAGTGAGGGCGGAATGTCCAGAAGATGACGAAACCATCTACATTGTCCAGTCGTCAATGAGGCGATGGAGGGTTATCGTCAGGGCTACCAACTAGACTGGCAGTGAAACCCAGGCAGCCTCGTGCTGTTGTGTCCCCAGTCATAGCGTATATCCTGGGCATATGAGATATACAGCCCTTCAAACTAGCAGATACCTACCTACGTACCATGCAATGCAAGGCTCACATCCCCCCTCTTCAATCCAGCAAGATACAAGGGGACCGAGGGTGATATCAAAAGAAAGGGGGCCAGCGTAAACAGAGCAGCGTTTCGCTAGGGAATAGCCAAAGTCGATGGAACAGATATACAGAGAGACCATAAACCCCACAACAACCGAGAGACATGGATGGTCTTATACCACAGTCTCGGACCTCTCGCCGTCTGCAATGATCGGGATACCAAGACCCCTATCCGGGCTCTGGAGCACGAGCTGCTCATGCCTCCGCGCCTTGAGGTAATCACTGACCGCCCTGATGAGGATAAACCAGCCCACAATCATGAGGATATACGCAATCCAGTCACTGCTGGTGATGTCCGACACGCCCCCGCTCCCGCCACTCCCGCCCTGCGTGACATCGTTCGGATCAAAGTCGTGCGAGTTCGGGTCCGCGGGCGTCGAGTATCCGTCTCCGCCGCTGCCCGCGTCCGAGCCCATGCCACCCGCTCCCGATCCCGGGCCCGGGTCCTTCATGTAGAAGCCGTACTGGATAAGGGTGATGCCCAGGCCGGCGCGGGAGCCGCTCTTAGCTGCGTGTGTAGAGTGGAGCAGGTAGGTGAGGAGGAAGCCGACGAGCTGGAAGGCCATGGAGATCATGGCGTTCCAAATGAAGCTGAATATGGACCCGACCGGCATGCCGTCGATGTAGACTTCGTCGGACCCGCCGAGTCCCGGGGCGAGAATGGTCGTCTCCCAGTATGGCGGAGCGGCATCGGCAGCAGCTTGTTCGTATGACTGGAGAAATCCAGGTTAGCCTCGAGAACATGGTTTCCACACGCGACATATCCGGGACATACCGGAGGTAGCTCTTCCTTCTCCCCCTCTCCCCGTTCCGGCTTGGCCGACAAGTTGGAGAATACCCCGTCCGACTGGATGCCGCTGCCGTAGACGCGAGCCTGAGTCGCGGGCCCGCTGACCTGCGGCAGTTCCGTCACCTGCCTGCCCGGCACCCTGGGCCTGGTTCCGTCATCTGCGCTCGTGGGTCCTGACGGAGGAGTAGTGCCGCCGCTGCCGGCGGAGGAATTCCCTCGCACTAACCGCTGCCTATCGTCCGGCTCGTCGTCGCTGTCGTCGTCGTCGGCGTCGAATGCGTCGGCCAGCGCGGAATCGACGCCCTCGTGCCGTCCCCTCGATACTAGCGATGATGCGCGGGAGTGGAAGGATGGCGGTGGTGATTGCGGTATCGGCTGGGGGTGCCTTGGCTCGGCTGACGTTGGTGTTTCGGGTTCATCGTCCTCGTTGTGGGAATTTACCTGCGCAGTAGGTTTGTTAGTTGATCTGGTAGTCTCCCCGAAATTCAATCTCGACGCAGGAACATCGGACTCACCCTCTCGTAGCGTCCCGACATGGTGAGTGAGTTTTGCGTTGGGTCCGCCGGATGATGGGGCGTCTCGCCGAACCACCCTTCTCACGCTTAGTGAGCGGAGATTGCTGGCGACAGGGAAATCTTGGGAATCGGGTAAAGTTGAGTAAGGTAGGAAGAAGTAGGTCAAAAAAACAGAGAAAGGAACTTCGAAGGAAAAAGGAGTGTGGCGGAGTCAAAGAAGAGAAGATGATGGGACTTTCAGGAGCCGAGGATTAGGGAATAGGCAGGTCCATGATGCGGCAACTGGCATGGAACGAATCTCCTGGAGCGAGGGAACCGCCAAGAAACCTTGAGTGGCCACCTTGGACTGTCGCTGCCTCAGGCCGGCATGCATCAACATGACCCTTCGGCATCGCCCGAAATGATGGCATGCAGCCAATCAGGTGACGAGTTTCCAACAGCGCCATTCGACAACTTTTTTGGCTGGAAATTCAGAAGACTCACGAGAAGAGGATAATGACAATTCTCGTGCCGCGCTCTTCAACATGACCACTCCAGTGAGAAGCGTACGTCAGATCCCCCCACTTTCCCAACCATCATGTCGACGACTCCGTCCAGCTAACAATCTCCAGGTCGCGTACAAGCACTTCCAGCGAGTTCTCGCTCAATGGCCAAAGGACCGACTCCGGCCTGAATCCCAACTCCAAGATGTCCTCACCAAACGGATAGACAAGCAATTTGCGGAGCGGAAGGCAGGCTCGGCGGCCGGTTTGCTCAGTGAGGAGGCCGAGCTGAAGCAGGTGAATGCCATGTACTCCCTGCTGGAGGACCGGTATAAGACAAAGGTGCGGTTCCTGCGCATGCTCTCCGAGGAGACCTTCAAGCACTGACAAAACCTCGTAGTATCGCATCCTAGGCCAGCTGATGGAGCCGAGAAGCAACCCGGCTTACTACAACGCCCTCATGACCGAACTCGAGGAGGTGCCGACGAGGACGTGGTACCAAAGAATCGCAAATAGGCTGGGGGGGATGATCAGGTTGCAATAAAGCTGGGACAGATCTCCGCTCTCTGTATTGTATTATATCGCACTTGCATCGCGGTCGGCGTTTTGGGATACAGGATACAAGGATCGGATGCAGCATTAAAAACCTAACTATGTATTGCTGGTGTACATTTCTACTTTTTCTCTACCCAGACAAGCCGGGGGGGTATTATGCAACCCATTTGGAAAACAACTACCTCCGCAGAAACGAAATCGCCAGAAGGAGGAGTCAGCTCTGGAAAGACTTCATATGTATTTCCCTTCGGGATCCATCCTGTCCATGACGTCTATGCTCTTCTCATACATGGTAAACACGATCCCGCCGCTGAGCACCAGCCTCACGAGCCGGGGCAGGGCGCCGCTCCAGAAGGTCAGCAGGCCCTCCTGCTTGAAGATGAGAGACGCGCAGCGGAACGAGTTCCCGTAGACGGCGCGCGCCTCGATGCTCTGCATGCGCGTCTTGATGGTGTCGAGCGGCTGCGTCACGTAGACGGTGATCAGCCCCGCCAGCCCGCCCATGGCGAACGTGCCCACGGCGCCCAGCTTCTCGCCGGGCGCCGTGTACGACTCGGCCAGCTGCTTGAGGAACGTGTACGACCCGAACCGCGTCGCGCTATTGGCCGCCTGCCGCGCCGTCGTCGGCACGAACCCCTGGAAGAAGCCCCGGATGCCTCGCTCGCGCGCGATTATCGGCACCGCGTGCAGGAACCCGCGCAGCCGTGGTTTGGCCGATTTGCGATCATCGATCCTGTGGGAGGAGAGGGTGGCCAGGGTTAGCGGGGGGCCTGCACTCGAATGTGGGGTGTAGGTGTGCCTCGAAGGATCAACTACTCACAGCGTCGTCTTGATACTCTCAGTAGGCGTGACTGCGAGCAAGGACTCGGTAACGCCCGCGCCGAAGCCCGCGAGCACAGTCCGCGGACCAGAGAGTTTCCCCTCCGCGTCGACGAGCATGGCCTTGTACTGATCGAAGGCGACGAAACCTGGCCGATATCGCTCCCCGGTTAGCACTCGCTGCGTTGTGCCACCTTGACTGTCTAAAGAACAGAAACGTACGGATTCCGGCTTTCAGAGAGTTCCCGATTATCAACGTCGTGCACCCGGCGTACCACTGCTTGCCAAACGGCGGCCAGGGGAGCTTCTGCCCCGCGGCTAACCTGCGGTTGAGCTGGGTCCTGGTCTTGGCGACTGGAAGGAGAGGTTAGATTGATCGGCGCGGAGGACTTCCGGGCGGGGAATCGGTTCGGGAGGACGTACACTCGGCAGGATAGGTAATGGCTATGAGGGCAGATTGTCAGCATTGTTCCTGGGCGGCGTCTGCGTCTGGTCTCGTGGGCGCATACCAATCTCAATTGCTCCCGCTGTGGAGCCGGCGATGATGGACCGCAGGGCACTCGGTCCCTTCTTGACCGGGTGTGACTCGTCCACCGCTGGAGCCATTTCGTTTACCTTGTCGACCGTGGCGTGGAGAGAAGCTCCCAGTTGGAGTTCTGGTTATTGCGCCTTCGGCCTGCGAGGGAAGCAGTAATCAATTGGTCGGCTGGGCAAAAGGCTCGTGGGGCAGAGAAGATTTGGGACAATGGGGGACTCGCTGATGTCAACCCGTCCTTAGCTTGGTGGGCTGGCAGGTGCAGCCGACCTGTTTCCCGGCTGGCAAAACCCGCGGCAAAACGTCTCCACTAATTCAACCTCAAGTTCAACAACCTTCTTTTTGAACTCTGAAAGATACCTAGACTGAGCAACATTTTGTGAGACTGTATTTCCTCTATAAGATTGTGATTGAAACGTCTACAATGGTCCATTGCGTTCTCACATTCTCGGCCCACGGCCCCACCGGTACAACTCCCCAGTCTCTGTTCGCCTTAGGAACCCTCGTACCGTTGTCGCTCTATCTGACGGAGAAGTCATAAAGTAGACGAAATACGAAGTTCTCCTGATCTATCCTCTACTTCAACAACCAAGTACTGAACTTTATCCATTGATGAATTTAAGGCGGGTGCAATGAGGCCAACTGAGAAGAGGACAACTCGGACCACTCCCCTTTGGATTGCTTCTATTTCAGGGCCTAAGGTTATGCCTCTCCCCGCCGTGCATCTTTTGTTGTGATCTTACGCCGAGGTACACCGGTAATGGCCCGTCAGCCTCCCATATCCGCCCCCATCCAGCGCTTCTCGGTCATGTTCGATCTCGTAGTCGATGCCCATCTTCGACCTTGCTCTCGTCGCGCTGAGGCAAACGTGGATGTGGCTGAACTCGCCATCGAGGATGTATATCTGCAAGTCCCCTTCCTGAAACGGCTCATCATCTCCGACGGGCTCATAGCCACTTAGTCTAACTGGGCTTCCATTAGCTCGACGACCCTGCCAGCCACTTCGCCGTACGACAACGAGACAACATACGATATTCTGTGGTTTCCTCTATGTCGTACGGTGGATGTAGCCAGTAGTCATAGCCCAACACCATGGCCAGGCAGTTCACGTTAGAGTCTTGAGGGCTGACGATTGTGAAGTTTGTTATATCCCCCAGTCCGGGAAAATGCCCCAACACGCCTGTCTTCCATTCGTCGTCTGAGACGACGTCTGTCATGGCGCTCAAGAAGACGACTGGTGAGTAGTGCGTGGGAATATCGTGTGGCTTGCTTGATTTATCGGTGATGGCAATTACAAAGTCCATGGGTTGACCATGCCTTTAGGAAAGTTTACAACGGCAAATTGAAAGATGAGGCATCTCATGGCTTCTATGTGGGAAGGCACGATCGGCCGGCAGGATACACGGGCACCCAGATAGTGCATCGTGTGGGTAGCCGAAGAAAGTATGCCTCTGAATGGGTCCTAAACTGGGGAGTTCATGAAGCCGGATGCGACTGGGTGGCACAATAGGTACTATGTGATTGTTGTCCTCCCATCTAGTTTGCAAGTCGCGCAACCTGACAAACTTCCACTGAAATAACAAAATTTGGAGGGCGATTCACAAGCACTGAAGTCATTCCTCTCCCTCAGTCTGCTCCTCTAGTATCTTCGTGAAAAAGGCAAACTGGGTCACCAGGATGCAGATAACAATTAGGAGACGACAAGTCTTGGTTAGGGTGATTCCCGGTGGACTGTACTGGTAAACGTTGTCTCTTCTCTTAACATTAGTCGAGTGGCAGTGATGCCTTAATTCAACATTGGGTCTCCGAAACGCTGAGAAGGATGGCTGTGAAGTGAGTGAGGTACGACTCAGAATTCCAATTGCTCCAGATCTCCTCACAAACCAGGGGCCTAGATCAGATCCACCGACAGCTTCTAGACAGTTTGGGTTGATATTTCTGTATATACGTCCATTTACGCTTGTGCGGGGGACCATGTAAGCCCGGGTTATGCTCCCTTTTCCAAAATAAACGAGAAGAATCACAACCGAGCTCCATTCAAGTCGCCCCTTTTCTTCGCGTTCAACCTCCGCCACATGTTCTTCCGCAGCTCATGCCCATCCATAAAAGCCCGCGTCCACTCCCTCCGGAACTTCGGCAGTTTTCTCCCCTTCCCCTCCACCCCCTCCCCAGCGAGCTTCCTCAGCGTCTCAAAGTAGTCCTCAAACTCGGGGAAGACCATCGTGAACTTGACCCCATCCCCCTTGACCTTCACCCTCGCCGCCTCCCACGCCCGCATCTCCTCCAACGACGGGAGCGCCTCCGGCCCCGCCCGGCCGGCGAGTAGGCGCGCCGCGTAGACGGCCTGCCACTCGAAGACCTTGAAGGTCAGGCCCGCGGCGACGGCGCCGACGAAGACGAGCGTCGGGTCCCGCTGCCACACGACATGCTGGTACAACTCTGGGACACGGTTGTTGCGGACGCGCACCTGCGGCAGGAACGGCAGCGTCCAGCTGTAGCCGGTGCCGAAGATGATGTGGTCCACGTCGGGGATGCTGTTGCCGTCTGTGAGGTGTACCGTCTTGTTCTGGACCCGCGCTATGGAGGGGTGCCTCTGGATCCGCGGGTGGTTGAAGGCCTCGTCGCCAAAGTAGCTGTTGGCTGCGTGCCCGATGGTGATGGCGTGGACTGGTGTCTTGGCTGTGTTGGTTAGGTCGAAGGCGATGTCTGCCGCGGAAACGGAGGCTCCGACTACGACTACGCGCTTGGAAGGGGTTTCGTCAGTACTCTATAACCACTCCGCACGGTTCATCAGGCCTCACCTTTCCCAGAAACCGTTCTCGTCCGCGAAAGTGCTTGCTGTGTATCACACTTCCGGGCCTCGCCTTCTCAAACTCCTCCAGGCCATCGATAGGGGGGATATAAGGCACCCAGTAGTGCCCGCTCGCCACCACGACAGCATCAAACCACTCGACCCACCAATAGTCACTCTCCTTACCATCCTTCCGGAGCGTTACCTTCCACTCGGCACCGATCTTCTCTACCCGCTCCACAGTGGTATCATACGAGATCAAGTCGTCGTACCCCTGACGCTCTACAAGACCAGTGATGTAGCGTCGAATGACGTCCCATCGACGGAAAGGGGTCTGTGGTCCATGAACCGAGATGGACAGCTCACTTCGCTCATCCGGGATCGGTTCCTGGCTGAACTGCATGGGCAGAAAGTCCACGTTTGTCTCCAGGTACGGATACACCGACGACTCGGAGAAGCGCGGCCGGTCCGACTTGGGCGTCTGCGCCGGCAGCCTCTCCGGGACAGGGAGCGGTGCATCGGCCGTGCGGTCTGCCAGAGACGCAAAGTCGGAGAGCGTTGGAGGCTGAGATGTGTCTCCCACCCTGGTCAAGGTTCAGCCCAATGCTGCTGTAATGATACTGAGCCGGAGGGGGGGAAGGGGGAAATACCAGCAGCCACCCGGTCCCTCGCGCCGTTCAAAGACACGGATGATGTCGAAGGCTTGCTCCTGCGCAAGCGCATCCACAGCGATAGCCCCTGCCGGGCCAGCGCCAATTACAGCCACGCGTTTGATAGGGACGCTGGGCATGATGGAGGGTGAACGCTGAACAAGGCACCAACGGGCTGGAAAGGGGGTGTCAATGCTGCGGGCAAAGATGCTATGTGTGATCCAGGGACCACAGAGAGCTGAGTTGAACCCCAAACTACACCCTCGGGAGCACCCATTTTTGCAGAGGTTTATAATCCCCACGACACAATCTTTATCATCTCTAATCATGCCGATGAATATCCACTACAATCGACCTGGTCCCCGGTATTGGGACCCCTGTCCCCGCCCATCAACAAAATCGGCGATGCTGATTTGATGGGGTGCAATACGCCAAAATCACGCAATCGTCGAGGCCCGTCCATTTAAAGCAGGTCAAAGATCCTGAAACCTCTATATCTAACCTCGGGGTTTGCTGAAAATGCCATTCGGGATTTGTTCACCATTGATCTGTCGTTCAAATGCTGGCTTAACTTGTAGTAAAACCTGTGTGATGGTCCAAATGCGTCCCGTCACGCCATCACACTATCCTCGGACCCCTGACTGAGAAGACGTAGTTGGCAAACTTGGCAGTGGGGGTCCAGAATGTGCTGATATTATATGGCGTTGGACTGTCCTCTTATTTTTTTTAGCTCCGTTTTGGCCATTGATGAATGATATGGTTATATAAACACTCGCTCAGGAACCCAGTGACTGTTGATACTTTCTTCCCTGGCCGTAATCTTGAGCCACTCTCACAATGAGTGAAGAGATAAAGGAAAAGAACGAGTACGACGTCACTCCTCCAGAGCTGGCTGGGTCTTCAACTTCATCCGTGTTGCCGGAATGGGATCCGAAGGATGAGTTGAAAGCTCGACGGAAGTATGTTGTTTTTTTTTTTTTTTTTTTTTTTTTTTGCGTCAGAAGGAGCATCCCTGCAAGGCACTTGTGCTAACATAGCTTCTAGAATAGACTCATCTGTCCTACCGCTCCTATTCCTCGGTCTCCTAGTCTTCCAGTTGGATCGCATGAACCTCGCCAGCGCCCTAACGGGCGGTTTCGCCAAAGATATCAAAGTTAGCCAAGACACTATCAACTTGGGAAACCAACTCATGTTTATGGGTATCGTGATCTGGGAGATCCCGTGCAACATGGCTTTGCAGCGCGTGTGTCTTCTCCTCCCTACCAGATAAAGAATGTTCATGGGATAATTACTAAAACCTCATAGCTCGGCCCAAGGAAATGGATATCTGCCCAAGTCTTCGTCTTTGGCCTTATCGCCACGCTTCAGGTCTTCGTCAAGAACAGGACGGGATTCCTCATCGCGCGACTGGCACTTGGGTTTGCCGAGGCCGGCTACATCCCCGGAGCGGTGTACACACTCTCGACATGGTATACGAGGACGGAGCTGGCCAAGAGAGTTGCTATTTTCTTCTTTGGCATGTTTGGTGGCAACGCCATCAGTCCCCTCCTTGCGTCTGGGATACTGAAATTGGATAATGCTCGTGGTATTCGGGGGTGGCAGTGGCTCTTCCTGAGTAAGCTCTGCAGTAGTAGGAAAGCAGCACTGAGCAGCGTGATAGCTGACAGACAACAGTCGAGGGCCTCTTCACCATCACGGTATCCTTGGTTCTGGCCCTCTTCCTGCCGGGGTCACCCGATTTACCACGACCCCTTCTGAGCCCGGGGATCATCAGGGTATCCGAGGCCCAGAGAGTGATACTCCAGAAGCGCCTCGAAAAGAGCGACAGCGAACGACGAGACGGCGCCCAGGGAATGCATATCCCATTGGAGATTGTCTGGAAGACAGTATCGCACTACCGTCGCTGGCCACACTTCGTCTCGACCTTTGCCGTGTTCTCCTGCTGGAGCCCGTTGACCACGTACACGCCGTCAATCATGGTGTAAGTCGAGGCACCGCTGCCGCCCGACTGCCATGCAAAATATAATTACTAAACACGCACGCACTCCAGATCCCTCGGGTTCGACAGAATCGTGGCCAATGCCCTCGCGGCGGTCGGCGCCTCCCTGGCGCTTGTCGTGGTCTTCATGTTCGCCTACCTCAGCGACAAAACCAACCGCCGCGGAGGCACCGTCATCGCAGCCCAGGTGTGCTTCCTGATCACGCTAATTGTGGCGCATGAGGCCCAGCCGCATGTCGGGAAGTGGTCTCGCTGGGGGCTGTGGACGGCCGTGAACGCGTTCGCCGTGGGGTATCACCCCGTCCACAACTCGTGGGTGCAGCTCAACTGTCGGGATCCCAGGGAAAGGAGTATTAGCATTGCGTGAGTCCATGTGTCTGTCGATACGGGTAACCGCCAGGCTAATGATGATTCTGTAGCATGTGGGTGATGTCTGCTATCAGCGGTTTGATGGTTGGCACGCAGTATTACCAGGGAGGCGATTCACCACTGTACGTCAACTTCACCAACTTGAAAATAGGTGCAGAAAACTAACCATCTGTGTAAGTTATACGAAAGGTCTTCGTACACAGATTATCATGGTCTCGGTGGGCATAGTCTTTGCCGCCCTACAGATCGTTGTCTATGTCGTTCACAACAGGAGAGTTGCTCAGGGAAAGCACCAGGAGAAAGACGGGTCAGAGTCCATGATCTATGTACCCTAAACGGGATAGCATTAGGAAATGTGATGCTGGTATAGATGAAGGCTGCATGGGGACTTGCCTAGTCTCGAGTTCGAGGTTACATGCACCAGCCATCCACATCCCAAGCCCCAACATGATCCACTGGAAAGCAGTGATGGGCTGCTAGGTGGTTACGTGAGGCTCGGCATTATGTTGAGACGTTCGTCGAATGCGGAGCTGTAGAACTCGAAGGCGATCAAGTCTCAATTCCTCGCGACACGACACCATCTTCCAGGGCCCAGTACTCTTCCCAAGACTGTTCCCACTTCTGCTCCAGGCCATTGAGCAGTTCAGTGAACTTGACTAGCCTGCCATCTTCATACTCCATAAAGCAACCCCGAACACCTCTCCAATCCTTGACAGGAGCTTCGATCGTAGCTATTGTAATGTACCGTTTCAAACATCTTGCTATCCTGCATAGAAGGTGTGCGGACCTATTCTTTCTTGGGGTTACTGTGTAGGTAGTTGATAATTAGTTTTGATTGAATAACATTTGCTTTCATTTTAATATTCCTAAACTTGCTGGATGACAGTGTGAGGAGTTGCAGGGGAGTTAATGGAGCATTTTCTGTACTTATACATAGGTACGGATCCGTACTGTACCCAAAGTTAAAACATTGGATGTGGCCCGATGCTACTCCACGGGTACTCCCACAAAAGTCGCTTCAGTCCTAGTTTGCAGAAAAGCTAGGCCAGTATGGAGCGATTCTTCAGCTTCACAGGTGACAGATGCCTGCAGCGAACCAGCAGTCTTGTGGTGGCTAGGTAACGCTGCGAACCTTGCTGAAAGTGGAGTAGGGCCTGGACCAGGGGCCCAAAAATAAACTTCATTCAGCAAACCTGGGAACACAGCCCCCGCCAGCTGACGACACGCCTTTGCCATGTGCGAGCTCGAGCCACCAGCAGCCACAGCCCACGACGTCAGAGTTGGGAGTTGCATCAAGAGGGCAACTTAATAGGAGGATCGGATGATGAAGAGGACACATAGTGACAAGGAAGCGGATGCATAGCGCTGAGTGGTATTCTGCAGCCCATCTTCAGCTACCTAGCAGTTGGTTTGTTCGCCGTGGCTTCCGCTGCTGCTCCCGTGCCAGCGGCCTGTCATCCTCCAACAGTTAAAAGGACCGAACTTTGAGCAGAGGCTGCTGGCCTGACCACCGCATCTAACGCAGCCCAACGTGGGGAGCTCGAGTTCATCATGGCGGCAAATTTGGAAGCCAAATCCCTCTCGTCGCTCAATTTCCTGGCGGCAAACCCACCCCAGTATCCCGTGAACCCGACTGAGCAACCTCGCGAATCCCTGGTACTGTACATATCGCGGGTCCCGGGGACCCGAGGTAAGTCATATTTGGTCGTGTTCTCGCAGTTGATCATGATTGACCATTACTCCCAGACATCATACTCTCGACGTTTAAGCCGCAGGTCAAGAATGTCACGGCAGCAGACGTCACCAACTCTCTTTACTATGTCCACTTGGATCTACCGTCCGACGAGCTACTTGTGCCTCCAGCCCCCACCAGAGACGAACGGTCAAGCAGCGACAGTGCACCGAGCGCGATCCCAAGGAAGCCTCTGCCGCCCACAGCCAAGGTCTCCAAGCTCGCCAGCGATACTTCAGAGACAGGGGGGCCGAAGCCGCCCCTCGAAAGGCCCCCATCACCTGCCTACAACTCTACGGGCGAGCAGAGATCTCCCGAACCCCCGCGCCACGGTTCCCAGCTCTCTCCACGCCCACCTACACAATATCCATCACCACTCCCCTCACCCGTGACCCGGAAGCCCCTCGGGCCTCGGCCCCTACCCACGGGCGCATCTCCCGTGCCGAACAAAGACCGCCCGTCAACGCCAAACTCGCAGCCCTTCAAAACCGACTACGACCTTACCCGGCCTCCCGAACTTGGCACCTTCCCCAGCCTCGACAACGCAACCCGGATGCCTCCCCACTCCCACCACCCCCCTGCCAGCCGTTCCCCCTCTCCGAGCAAGTCCCGTGGCCGGGGGCCGTCCTTTGTGCCCTTCTCCCTGACACTCATACGCCGCGACCCGGTCTCGGGCAACCAATGGAACGTCGGCAAGGTGTCGTCCTTACAGACCGCCGCCGCCGCCGCCGCCGCCTCGGCCCTTCCCCCCACCGAGACCGCCGACCCGGTGGACGGCCAGCCCAAGATCGACGTCCGCCTCGACAACTCGGGCTACGCCAAGTTCAGGGGGATGCCGACGCAGGCGAGCATCGACGCCCTGCGATCCACGAGCGCGATCTCGCTACCGCCGCCGCCGCCGCGCCCCGACGATCCCCCGAAGACAGACCGTATGGTCGAGCACGGCTTCGCCAGACAGGTGGTCATGAGCTACTCCAAGAGCTGGACCACCAACCTCAAGCACACCTTCCACAGGCGCGACCGCCCGCGCAGCAGCGTCCCCGGCCCGGACGCCCACCACCCACCCGACGACCTGCCGCTGCCCCCGCCGCCGGGCGCGCACCATCACCACTCGCGCCACGGCAGCGCCGCGTCCGCGACCTCGGTGGAGTCGTGGGCGTCGGGGGCCGGCGTGGGCACCGCAGCCGACGACGATGCCGGGGGAGGCGCTTCGCCGCCGCAACCGCTCGTCACGCGGCCCGGCCCGGGCCTCAAGGCTAAGGGCTACGTGTTCGCGAGCCCCTGGGACGGCCGGTGCGAGTTCCGGACCGGAAACGCGGGGAGGAGCCTCAAGTGCCGGCACGTGCTGCTGCACCCCGGCGGAGCGAACGGTGGCGGCTCGGGTCTCGGCGGCGGAGGTGGGGGGGTAGGTAGTGGTGGGATGGGACACGAGGGAGGGTCGGGGGCGAGGCCGGTCAGTGAGCTGCGGTTTAACTTGCCGAGCGGGGATTTGTTTTCGTCCGCCGGGGACGGTTCTCATTCGAGGCATCTGCATGATCAGTTTGATGGGCTGTTGAAGCAGCTGGGTCACAGGCATCGGGATGGTGTCGACGAGGACGAGGGTGATCCCCTGGACCTGACTCTGGGGCGTGAGAAGGCTGGGGGAGGGAATCGGGGGAAGAGAGCGAAACTTGGGAAACTGATTATCCATGACGAGGGGCTGAAGATGATGGATCTGGTCGTTGCTGCCAACGTGGGGGTGTGGTGGGTTGCTTGGGAGAAGGCATTTTAGATCCAGGGCCTCAGCGATGCTAGTCGGGAGCCATTGGGGATGTAGCAATACCTAGTACCTAATGAAAGATACCCTTCAATTCGCCCACCCAGAATGAATGCTAAACCTCTCAATTTCACTGCATCCCACACGAGCGGTGACAAGCTGGCACGCGGGTGTGCGTATGACGGATATCACGTGATCCACACCAAACACCATCCAATCACATCCCCGGGTTTGTAATCGCGGCAAATGCTCAAAAATACCCGAACGTTGCAAACACAAACCTCGCCACAGGGGGATCCATAACGTCAAGCTCCCCAATTGAGCTCTCAGCGCCGCCTCGCTCCTCTCCGCTCCGCACGAAAACCGCTCTCCCCCGGCCAACGTCACCCATAACCCAAACCAATTGACCCCCGAGCCGGCCCTGCCCACGCAGAGAGCGCAACCCACCCGCCCCCCATGCCCGCCCCGACAACAAAAGCCCTCGCCTCAGCCGCCACGATGCTGTGCGCCCGCCCGCTGGCCCGGACTGCCGTCCTCGCGCGCGCGGCGCCGTCCGCGTATGCCGCCACCTCCTCCGTCTGGGGTATCAACAGCAGGAGGGGCTACGCCACGCCGTCGGGCCCGCCGCCGAGGGGGTTCCGGCTCAGGCCGCAGCCCGAGTGGGATCAGGAGAAGGAGAGCACCGTCGACAGGGTCGGAAAGTACTTCTTGCTCTCCGAGATGGCCCGCGGCATGTACGTGCTCATGGAGCAGTTCTTCCGCCCGCCGTGAGTAGCCTGCCCTCTGTTTTCTTTCCCTGCGGGTTTTCTGGTTGAGCATGGCTTGGAGGAGCTCAAGATTGTGATGGATGGGGGGATGGAGAGAGGAATCGATTGGGGTTGAATGAAATATGAGTTCTAACGTGTTTGGCGTATAGGTACACTATCTACTACCCATTCGAGAAGGTATGTCGCCCACGCCGCCGTGCCCCCAAATACCGCGGTCGTTTTGCAGCCTACGATTCTAGGGCTGGGCCATTGACACGATCCACGACTACCTGGGGGTTAATGCCCATTTACAATGGCTAATAATGGCTTCTTAGGGACCAATCTCTCCCCGATTCCGTGGTGAACACGCTCTCCGACGATACCCCTCTGGCGAGGAGCGATGCATCGCCTGCAAGCTGTGCGAAGCGGTAAGCGTGGACCGTGGCAAGAGCTTTGATGCGGACACTGAGCTAACCATGTCCAGATCTGCCCTGCCCAGGCAATTACCATCGAGGCCGAAGAGCGATCCGACGGCTCCCGACGAACCACCCGCTACGATATCGACATGACCAAGTGCATCTACTGCGGCTTCTGCCAGGAATCTTGCCCCGTGGACGCCATTGTCGAGTCACCCAATGCGGAATATGCTACCGAGACTCGTGAGGAATTGCTGTACAACAAGGGTAAGTGCGAGCTTCGCCTTCAATCCGTGCCTCTGCTCTCAGAGACGCTCTTCAATGGCCACACGGCGACTCCGAATTGTCTCTGCCCTTCATATTGTGTATCGAGCTAACAAAATCACTAGAGAAACTGCTCGCCAATGGAGACAAGTGGGAGCCCGAGTTGGCAGCAGCCATCAGGGCAGATGCGCCATACAGGTAACGCGGCATCAAAACCGGGAGCCTGATGGGATGGGCGCAGAGCCAAATATTACTACTGTAGATAGAAGTTGTACATACGATAACAAGCTACCATTTCCTTTTGTCGCACATTTCTGTTGCGGGCACTTGCTTCAGATAAATCCAATATTAACTTGCCAGTCGAATGACCCCATGTTCCATGTCAGCATCGCCGGTTCGTGCTCGGTAATCCCGGTCACGTGACTGCGGAGCTTCGAGCTGCCCCGAGCTCCATCCGTACGAACCATTGGCGAGAAATTTATCATCATCAATCAGTCCTCTCATCGCTTCAACAACCCTTTCCGTGACAGTCAGTCTCCCAATCGCGTCTTCCCCCCAGCATTTCCCCCCTCTCAACATCCGTCCCGGCGTCTCCATCCTCACCCAATTGACACTCATCTTCCTCTAGCCCACCAGCAAACCAGAAACAGAATCCCTAGACCAAGACGAAAAATGTTGCGCTCCGCCATCTTCCGATCCTCCCTCGCCGCGCGGTCCGCGATCCGCCCTGCCGCCGCCAACTCGGCCAGGAGGATAGCCGCCGTCGCCGTCCCCAGATCCTCCGCCGCCGCCGCCTTCGCGCCGCGGGCCGCTGCGTGGTCGGGCGTGCGATGCTTCGCCTCGGCTGGCGGGCTGAACAAGGAGGAGGTCGAGGGGCGGATCAAGGCTCTGCTGCAGGGCTTCGATAAGGTTCGTTTCCCCTTCTTGCTTTGTGGCCTGTTCTTTTTTCGAGGCAGGTTTCTTACTAACAGTGTATTTGCTGCAGGTCAACGATGCCAGCAAAGTATGTATCAAACAAGCCCGGATCGAAGTTGGGAAAGAAACAGGATTGACATGATACCCACAACAGATCTCTTCAACAGCACACTTTGCCAACGACCTTGGCTTGGACAGCCTGGATACTGTGGAGGTCGTGATGGCCATCGAGGAGGTACGGGTTTCCAACTAGCGCCTCCTACGCAGTCAGAGAGAGAGACCAACCACTAACCCGGATGCCGGTGTACAGGAATTCAGCATTGAGATTCCGGACAAGGACGCGGACACCATCCACAGCGGTATGAGAGACCACTCCCTTCTCCGTTTCACGCACTAGTGCTAACCACCCATGTCGTAATCAGTGGACAAGGCAGTCGAATACATCGTCAGCCAGCCCGACGCAAACTAGATTCCCTCGTCCCCCGTTTCTTCCCCCTCAAAAACCTGTATCATATCATAGAACAGCACTCATCATCTCGCCACGCCACTCCTGGGGGAAAGGAAAGGACAATGTCAAAATGTTAGAACGCCGGGGGGGTAGCCAGATTTAAAGGTCTTGTTTTTCCGGCGTGGACGGATGTGTGAAGTGAATCTATATTGTTCCCCAAATACATGGCCAGGATTGCCTCTGGAAGCCAATAGCCCCAGGCTATGTTGTGATCGAATGCCGGATTCGTATATCAAGTGTTGGAGATATGAGTTAGGCAGGGCCTGGTTCCTTCGTCGGAATCTGGCAGACTTGCAACGGCTGCCGTGGTACTGGTTGGTGTATGGATTTTCTTGGTTGAGAATGCTTCACGTTCCCCTTGACTTGTCCGCTTTCCATCGACTCCCGAGACTGGACGAAACCCCATCCCGGCTCCTTCCCTCCCCACACCCACTGGCTCAGCTATGGGGCGGATGCCTTGACGCTGCAGGATCCCATTCAGAGATAGCTAGATATACGCCCAGATCGGGATCTATCCCATTATGCCGGCCGCGGCATTGCACCCTCAAGTCCCCTGTAATTACGAGACCAGGTTATCAGGTCTAACTCTGCCTTGGGCAAGGGAGCGCAGAAAGCAGCCGGCTATCACGACAAGGTCACAAGGCCACAAGGGTCGTGGGAAAGGGGACAAGGAATGTCAAGGCCAAAAACAACTCCATGTGCAAATGCCCACAGGCCAATGAAGTGAGATTTTTTCCAACGCACAAGTACAATGCAAATGCAATACATGCTTTCCCAGCACGCCTGTATTATTACCTCCCGCCCCTCATCCCCCCGATTTTCCAACCACGAGTGGATATCCCAACTGTTAACCGGCGAGGGGAGGGGACCAAGACACTACCTAGGTACCACATCCAACCCGTCCGTCCATATCCCCATCCCATTCCACCCCATCGATCGTCCATGCAAACCATTACCATATCCATCCAGTTCATTTCTCCTCGTCTTCAACATGATCGTTGCTAGCCTCGCCGGACATTCCGAGTTCATCATCCTTGGACAAGTGCCGTAACAGACCGCTTGGCATGTCAACACCAGAGACAGACAAGACAGTCCAATGACATAGCAGAACACTGTCATGCCCACGCAGCGACCCTCCATGCGAACATGTTTGTCTCAAGGAGTGGGCTGAAGTAGGTTGTGGCGATTCGGCAGGTACAAGTACGGAAGTTGGGAGGGCAAGAACACCCCGACTAGCCCGGGCTCATGGAAACCTTGACGTCTCCATAACGGCCTGATCGGTGTGGGGCGGGAGGTTGGTGTATTTCGAATTCGCTGCAGCCGAGAAAACAAGGCATGCTTCTGCTCCTGCTGCTGCCGCTCGCTCATCGCGTCTCGACCGTCGCGCCGCCGTCGCGCACATTCCCGCCCGCGCCGCCGCCGCCGCCCGCGCCGTTGCTCTTCGCCGCCACGGCCGACGCGTAGCTCCACCCGGAACCGATGCCGCCCGCGCCGCCGCCGAGGTGTCCGTGTCCGCCCGAGACGCGCTTCCTCGCCCTCATCTGCGCCTCGTCCTCCTCCTCCATGCTGAACACAAACGTCGGGTCCTCCTCGTCTATCGGCGCCGTGAACCTGCCCCCCGCCACCGACGACCCGATTGATCCGCTGCTGACGTGCCGCTCCAGGCCCCTTTCCCGCTCTCGTTCCCTGCCGATGATGCTGGCCGCCAGGGAACCCTGCCCGTTGCCGCCGGCACTGCCACCCCTCGCCGCGCTGGGATGCAGGTGCGGGCTCGAGCCGCCCAGCCCTCCGTCATCGCCCACCCGGGTCTTCTGCAGCTGCTGCGTCAGCACTGACATAGAGTCGCTGCCCGCGCCGCCGGACGACCTGCTTCCGGGCTCGGACCGTCCCGAGTCACCGTTCAGCTCTGCGCCGATGCCGCTGACCAGGCTCGAGTTCCTCAGCGGGCTGCCCACGTGGCTGAAGGCGGGTCCGCCGTGCTTCATGGACCGGGACCCCGAGCCGCCGAGGCTGCCGTTGCCCGACTCCAGGGCCTCCTCTTCCCTCTGGCGCTGGAACAGCGGGCCCCAGCGGCTGGGGCTGGCGCCACTCGCGGGACTGCCGAACTTGGTCGTCGCCGCGAAGCTGCTGCTGCTTGCGGTCCTGAAACCCGGCTCCGAAATGTCGCCCGCGCCCTCGGGGACGCGCAGCGGCGACGACATGGTCGTCGACCCCCTCCGCGCCTTCTCCGCCGGCGTAAGCACCTCGTTGGCGAGCGCGCCGGGCACGTAGTCCTCCTCGAACATGAACTCTGGTTCCCAGTCGCGGTCGATCTTGGGGACGCTGCTGCTGAGCAGCCGCGGTTTCGCGTAGCGCAGCGAGCTGCTGTGCATGGCCCGCTTGCCGAAGTGCTCCTCGCCGCCGAGCAGGCCTGTCCCGTAGTGGGCCGAGCCCCCGGACGGACTGCTCCCCATGGCGAAGCCGTTCGAGTCGCTCCCGACTGCGCCAAAGGCCGAGGAGGACAGGCGGTCGTTGCTGCCGAAGGCCGATGTGTGCAGAAGCTTGAGCGTCTCGGACGTGCGGCCGTCCTTGGCGGCGTTGAGTGACGGCGACGGCGATTCGAGACCGAACTTCGAGGGGACCGAGGATGGCCAGGGGCCGTAGCGAGCCGCATGCGAGATGCCGTTGCTGTCGAAGGAGGCGGGAAGCGGGGCATCGAGGACGGAGAGCCCCTTCGTGTTGACGGGCGAAAGACCGAAGCCGAAGCGGCTTGCCTCGTCGTCGCGCGGCGAGCCGTATGCCGAGGCAGGATTGGAAGAATAGGTGGTGTCTATGGTAGGGAGACCATTCTCCATGCTTGGCTGGCGGCCCAGCTGGTGGTTATATCGCTCGCCGGTGGGGATTGCGTAGGGAGCCGTGGCAGTATATGGAGGCACATTTTCATTGCGCATGAACGAGTTCGTGAGGGCGCTGTTGGATGACTGGTGATAGGTCGAGGGATTCACGCGGCTGCCCAAGTTGATAGACGCCGTACCGATGGTGACGCCGTTCTTGCCATAGTTGATCCGGCGCCCGTCGGGAAGGACGTGGATGTTGGCACACTTGGGTCCGAATTTGCAGTTGCCCTACAAGGTGGCGGCGGCACGGCCAGGTTAGTACGACACAGTCTCGTTGTTTTCGTGGCGGCCGTGCGACGGTGCGAACGTCAGGCGCGGGTCTGCCTGCGATGGGGGGTTTTTTTTTTCGTTCTTTTTTTTCTTTTTGGGCCACTTACTTTGGCAAAGTATTTGCAAACATTCTCAGCAGCAGCTCCAAGATCGTGACTGAAGGGGCATGCATTGCCGGCCTGGCACGCGCCCTGGCGGAAGAATTTGCATGGGACGTGGGATGTGTCTGTGAGGGTGGATCGAGGTCAGCGTCGAGGCTCATAGTATCGCCAACCCCAGAAGAGAAGAAGCGAGACCGAAGCGAGGGGAAACTTACTCGGCGGGCTCCTGGGCCCGTCGAATCTCTGAGTAGCGGGCATTGGGCCCATCATGCCATTGGAAGGGTCGTCCTGTGGTGGTTGAATGTTGAGGCTGCCCGTTCTCGCGTGTCGATACTCGTCCAAATTGGAGGTAGGCATGGTTTTGTGTGTGGAAGAGAAAGCAAGAGGACGGGGCGGCAAGAGCGGGCTGCTAGGGGAGGAAAATGGGATGGAGGGGACCGGGCCCCACCGCCTCTTGTTGGCTTGAAGAGGGGCAGTCAGCCAGCCAGTCCCGCCAGCCGGGGAGTCTCGAATTTCCGCAATTGGACCCCACGCGACACCCAGGCAGAGCTCAAAGCTTGGAAACACAAGCCCAGCAAAGCGCGAGTCGACGGCCAAACAGAAACCATCCCGAGCTGTGAGATGCAGCGGGGATTTTGGGTGACGTGGAGAGAACCGAAGCGAGAGGCGACAGCAGCGCGACAATTCTTGGGAGCGATGTCGATGCGAGTCGGGTGCTGCCGATCAAATCGGACGAAAACCTGGCGCGCGACTGACACTGACAACCTCCAAGAATGGCGGTACCTTCAGCCCCGGGTAGGTACCGCCAGTACTGCCCGGCTACCTAGGTAAGTGTACTGTACCTACCCCGAGTCGAGTACCCTAGGGCTGCCGGCCAATGGCAGCGTTGACAGCTGATCTAGCAACCAACCTTTCGGGGCCGGGACCATCCCAGGGCTGACGTTGATCTCCTCCCTACAGGTAGGAAATCAAGCTCGTCTTCCAGCTCCAGATCCTGGATGCGGCCGATTCTGCCCTTCTCTAGGATCGGGATTGGGGGTGGGTGATTGCCGAGGTGTAAGCCAGACAGGTGTAAGCAGGTGTAAGTTGTCGGTTAACTCAATACCCTATACAGCCATTGATCCATTAATTGGCGGCTAGTGGGGGTCACTGTGTCTGCTGGGAGGCCAGGGGATCGGCCAGGACATCCTGGGGGAACACCATCGCACGCAGACCCGCAGCGAGATGGGAAATGGGAAATGGGAGATGGGATTTGTGTCGCCCATCACCGTCACCTGTTTCCCTTTTTCGGTCCGTTCCAAGTTCTCTCCAGCTCCAGCAGTCAACGAATATTGCTGGCTTGCCCACCCACACAAGCATTAACTTGGCGGTCCGCTAGAGTGCTGGTCCCCCATTTTGGGACGCTTGACATGCTCCTGGTGCAGGATGACGTCGTCAGTGAGTCGAATGCTGAATTTCCAAGCAGCCGTGTAACCCGCATGGCTTATTTTTAAACCCCAGGTCGCAGGAGGAGCCCAGAATCGCTCCCATATCTTGAAGGTGGTGGCGTCAAACGTACCAGATCTAAATTCCAGGGGTGGGGCCGACGCCCCCACGCGGAATATATTGAACAAACAAGCAGACAAATGTATGTATAATAAAAAATGGGAACCTCAGATCTTCCATCCCATCAAGAATCGAGGTTCCTGTCATACGATCCATGATCGATGGTAGGGCCGATACTGCCTGTGTGAGCGACACACCGCCGTCGATTATCTCGCCCTTTCGGTCTAGCCTAACCACGCTTCCAGTTGGTAAAACGTGATTGTGGCGGTTACGATGGTGATGATGGCGGTGTCAAAGCATCAAACAGTTCTTGGGCACGGCTGGCCGCAGCAGTCTGTCCGACGCGGTGGGGAAGATACGTTGGATATGGCTTACAAGACACACACATACACTATGGTGAAATGTCAAGATTGCCCCCGTGTGTGTGTGTGTGTGTGTGTGTGTGTGTGTGTGTGTGTGTGTGTGTGTGTGTGTATGTGTATGTGAGGTAGTATATAAATGACAGAGTACCTACCTAAGTACCTAGCAAGTAATTAATTAGGCGGGCTAGTACCTACCCTTGAGGTAGCGTACGACGCCCTCATGAGATTGCCTATCAACGACAGGTCATAATCAAGGAAGGGGCCACAACAAACAACAGACACGAGAACTGAGGAATGAGCACGCAAACCCCGAGTAACCTCATACGAGAACACGAAGGACTGATCTCGAGGTGGAAACGGAGTCGAGGGAGTCATATCGATCATGAGCCTCCATCGTCGATCCCAATTGATCCGCCCCTAAATATGCTTGTACCCTGACACTTCCAAACCTATTTAGAGATGCGAGGTGTAGATCAGGGCTGATCAGATCACCGCACTTGCCAGATTATGTATGTACAGTAGACTACATGTACAGGTGCATGTTGCATCGCCGGGAGATGTGCAGAGATGTGCAGAGATGCGCACACTACCTACACCTACACCACCATCTAGGTGGTCTCGGCAGTCAGGCAGCTGACATCCATTGACGGAGCATTTTATCCATATGATGGAGTGACCTAGCAACTTGCATTTGACAGTAGTTCCCAGCCGGCATGGCTAGAACCCGGGCACAGGCAGCAAACAGTGAGTATTGAGAGGAATGGAATCTGGAACCCTGCACTAGCCTGTCACGGGGCTGTGGCTGTGACCGTCACTTCCAAGTTGTTCACCATCGTCTCTCCGCTTTCCCCATCTCTGCTCCTCTGTCTTGGTCTAAAACCTGCAAAGGCGTCTACCGAACCCCACACCTCCACCCACGTTACCCTTCTCCACCTGTGCCCGGGAGGGGCCCGAGACCGACTTTGGATTGACCGTGTCATAGCCCGCCTGGTGCTTATGGCTTTACTATTTCTACGTCGTCCCGAGCCGCAGTTATAGTTAAGTTCCATGGAATCCAGGTCTCCGGCTCCTCTTGGCGCCGGGGTGAGTAAGAGGCTCCATTTCCTTGCAGCCCCGCCAGTGTTTCCTTTTCGTTCGCTAAACCGTAGTTTGCAGATGCGAGGGCGGAATCTGCATTCTCCGATCATCTTGCTTCTGGAATCTGGACCGGCAATACAAGGTCATTGAACACGCCTGCTGCTGCAGCTCCAGAATAGGCCATACATGAGCCCACCCCCTTCCGGCAGACGAGGTCGAGCTCGACTGCGTTTCATTGGCAGCCGCTTCTCCTCTCCTGTCAAGGTGTTCCCTGTTGAGAGCCCCTCCACAAATCACGGGCCGAGGCCGTCCACCCTCCAGGTTACACCAGGCAGCACCAGCAGGCCGACCACACACCAAAACCACGGGGCCACTCCCATTTTCATATTCAACGACTCTGCAGCATCCCGTCTCCACGCTGCTTTGTCTCGGGTCCCAGCGACAAGCCACCACGACAGTCATGAATTATCAGCTATTTCTCGTATTAAGACCTGCTACTATTGCCACATTTCTTCCACATGACTTCGACTACCTCCATCAATAGTGCCTCCGACCAACAGGGAATCCGACCAGCTACCTCCGCTAGCTTGGTTCTCAGCCCCGCTTTGCGTCCTGTCTCGTCTTCCGGATTTGGCCAGGAGCCTTCCGTGACGATTCCGAGACTCGTGGTCACCCTCTTTTCCAACTTCCAACAGCATGGCATGTGTTGCGCGTAGGGCAGAGTCATCAACTTGAGGTGCAAGGCCATGCATGTACTGTCCTTGGCTGGCACATGAGGTGTCACTGAAACCCCAACTAGGTACCAAGTGCATGTCGGCCAAGCCAGTGGCTTTTAGTGTTCCATAGAATGCCCTGCTTCTTTCCCCAGACTTGACCCCGGCCACGAAACCATAGGGGCTTGTGGAACCTATGATAACGTTCAAAGTCAGCCTCCAACGCCCCGGAACGCCACACAATCCCCATCTTCAGCTATTTTCATTTACAACCACCCTCCTCCCGACTACACTACTGCTTTCTAATTACTAGTCATATTCTCCAAGCTGCATCAATAGCCCTCTCGCCTAACCGCTGACAAATAGCTTGCCCTTCAATGGCAAAGCCCCATGACCACCCTGCCCTGGCATCCACCGCCACCTATCTTCATGATCTCGCAATTCCTGAATCCCATCCGCCATAGCCAGCTTCCTCCCTCCAACCTCCGGGTTATCCGGCTCTCAAGCAGGGAAATATCACGACAACTTCCCGGACTCCTGATATTTCCCTCATCTCTATCGGAAAAGCCAATAACCGACGTGCAAGGAGCCGCACGCTAATCGTGCACCACACCCTCTTCTCCCGCGAGCCACCCCTGCCTTGGGAAAGCCGGCGGTACTTGTCTGAATGTTTCCCCCCCCCCTCCCCCCCCGGGGGGGGGGGAGGGTTGCAGTGAGGGTCTCCCAGGTGCATACGCAATCTGTGAGACATGTTCCGGAAGCCAAGTTCGTCTTTCAAGTCGCCGCCCGCTGTTTCGTATCTGGCCAATCGTATTCGTGGCTCGTGTCACCTGCGTGTTGATCTCGATGTTTGTTTGCTTACTTGGTTTTTGGTTGTTATATCCTCTACAACTGAGCCAGTCTTTCTACGTGCTTGAAGTGACTTTCGGAAGCCTTCGTGGGACCGAGCAGCGAATATGGCCTACATAGATATCGCTCTTTGGGGGCTAGAGCAGGAAGACATCTGTATTGTAAGGCAGAGGGGGCAGGGCCACCCCGAATTGCGACGGGAGAAACGCGCGACCCATTGCGCTATATCTAGTAGACTATGGTTGCTCTGCTCTATATTGTGATAGAAGGCCCATAGAAAACCTCAAGGCCTCACAGCAGTGAAGAACGAACTTTCCAACTACTTAAAAAGCCAAGGCAGTAAAATATTGCATCACTGGAAAGGATTGTGGTCTGCAAAGGGGCAGATCCCAAGCCGAGACTCAGCGCGTCATCCATCTCTGTTTTGGGTTTCACAAGCAGAGAGAGATGTCGGCGGAACTGTATATGTCACTGGCTGCATCTCGATAGGTCACACCAGATCTCCCCAGCTCTAGCACTGACACTGTTGTATTATGGAAACCCAACTCGGACCAAGTTCGCCCGAGACATCCACCTAGTGTACCCATAAATGGACCCCCAGGGAGCTACAAAGGATGTTATGTGCTACCTCCTGTTCCCAAGGTAGGGGGCCATGGGTGGTTGGTCGTCGCCCCCGGCCCGAGACGTAGCTACGGCCGTTGGAAGAAGCACAAAGGCATTACCCTCCCACATGGTCGACCTGTTGCAGACAATTTTGCAGGAAACGGGCCGAGAAACGGGAATCAGCTCAAGACACAATACGAATGTTGGCTTGAGACCTTCCATCCTTGTTGGACAGGTCGGTGTTCTGCTGCTGCTTTTGCCTGCGTGGGTGCGTGACTGTGGCATAGCTAAGGAACCTCATTTCTGTTGCTACGACTATGGTTTGTACATTGCGAGATGGGCAAGCCTGTAACTAGAGATACATTTTCAAGCTCCAAATTCTTTGCCACACAATACTATGGAGATTCCAAACGATCGAGTTCAAACGAGATTGCAAAGGTCTCTTTGTGGAGATGATTGAGACGGCCAACTGCCTCACGGAGAAACCACATGCTCATCCAGTGCTGGGTCGTGAACTGCTCGTAGATGTTTTGCATAGTCCTCGGTGCGTGGACGTGGATGATATTGGGCCACTTATTGTCGGCCTGTCCATGGATAGAGCGGAAAACCTTCCACTCATCCTTTGCGTCCGCACCGTACTGCGGTATGCTGCTCCCCTTGGTGTTGGCCCACAAGTCCTCTTTTCCCTTGGGAACCGTGTAGTGAGACAACCCGGAAGGGCAATTTCTCTGCGGGCATGCGCCATTTGCTCTGCAGGCAGGTGGCAAGTTGGCAACAGCTGCATTGCTGTTACTATTGCTATTACTGTCACTATTGCTATGGCTGTCACTATTGCTATTGTTGTCACTATTGCTATTGCTCTCACTATTGCTATTTACAGCAACGGCAATAACGATGGACAGCAGCGGCAAGAGTGACAGGAGTGACAGCAAGAGCGATAGACAGCAAGAGCGATAGACACCAATGGCAATAGCAACTGCCACCTGTGATGCACTAACCACCTGCCTGCGGAGCAAATAGCGCATGCCCCTGGAGAAATTCCCCCCAGAAGGGGCTGACTGTGTCGAACCAAACAGGACGACACCTTGGTATTGGTTTCCGCCTGATGTCCACGGCCGACGAAGGTTATCGTGAGATCTTCCATGGGGGACATTCTGCACGACCTCGGCTCCAAAAGCAGCCCACAGGAAACAGCGGATAGGGCTAAAGCCGGTAAAAGTGCAGGGGTAGTGAGCAAATGGATGTTCCCTCGCGAAGGGCTGGAGCACAGAGAATGGCGAACGAGAGAAAGTGTCCGGAAACGGAACCGCACACACCAAATCGTCCCCTGTGTTTGTCCGGACATTCTTCGAGTTAATGAGGTGCTTCGCCGTGGTGTGGTAAACCCAAAGTCCACCGGCAGTCTCAGGGTCCAATTGTGGCCGACACGAGCTGCGGCCTCAAGGGCCTTCATTCTGCGGTTGTTGAACCTTGCATCCTTGATCGATGTGCCCTTCAGGACAACCTGAGTGAAGTTGAGTTGGCAAGTGACTTGGGTACCTAGAGGTATCTTAGGTTCCATTGCTTGTGCTCACTGGGCGGACTGTTCTACAATAGGGTACCTGAGATAACTTAGGTTCGCGGCGTTGGAAGCATCCATGGATGCAAGCCGGGCTGGTACGGAACATTTAAAGTTTAGAGAGCAGGAGGTTCCTTCAGGACCAGGGTAACGAAAAATAGGGGGGCTTGATTGGCCGTCCAGCACCCTTTGCCTTCGATCACTCCTAAGGTTAGACGTTAAAATCCAATCCAATGTACCGTGCTTGGTATAAGGTTCACATAGCATAACCCTGAGACTTACTGCAAAATACCACCCTTTCTATGGCAAAAAAGGGAGGGCTTGGATTTAGAAAAGGGGAAAGAGCAGGAAAGAAGGATGCAAATGGTCAGCTTTCCCGATTATTCCTCCGGCCGGGATTCCTAATTTAGGCCACTCGCCAGGCGCGAGACCCCGCAACGCCCATTGCTGCCTATCGCAAAGCTCACGCCTTTCCAGGTGTACCGGAGCATCAGGTATCAGCATGGACTCAAACGAAGTCGCCGCCCACTGGGAAAGCAATGCCGAGACCTGGACGATATACAGCCGAGCCGGCTACGACAGGTATCGCGACGCGGTGAACACGCCAGCTTTCCTGTCCCTATTGCCACCAGTTGCGGGCCTGAACGGCCTCGATCTCGGCTGCGGCGAGGGCACCAACACCCGCGCGGTAGCCCGCCTCGGCGCGCACATGACCGGACTCGACGTCGCTCCCACCTTCATCCGGTACGCGCGCGAGACGGAGCAACAGGACCCCCTCGGCATAATCTACGTGCTCGGCGACGGCCAGAGCATGGACTTCCCCGACGCGAGCTTCGACTTCGTCACGGCTTTCATGTCCATCATGGACATGCCGGACCAGCGCGCGGCGCTCGAGGGCGCCCACCGCGTGCTCCGGCCGGGGGGGTTCCTGCAGTTCTCGATCCTGCACCCGTGCTTCGTGCCGCCGACGCGGCGCAACATCCGCGACGAGAGCGGCGCGCCCGTGGCGGTCGAGATCGCCGACTACTTCGACGAGACCGACGGCTACGTCGAGCGCTGGATGTTCTCGCAGATCCCGGCGCCGGAGCGCGACGCGCTGACGCCGTTCTCCGTGCCGCGGTTCCACCGCACGCTGACGAGCTGGGTGTCGATGGTCGTCGGGGCGGGGCTGACGATCGAGGCCTTTGGCGAACCCACGGCTTCGCCCGAGGTCGCTCTTGCTGAACCCGTGGTCGCTGATACCCGTGTTGCGCCCATCTTTCTTCATATCAGGGCGCGCAAGGTGGCTACCTGACAAAGCGGTAGGCGTGGGTGCAGCTGCGGACTGGTGACAGTAGGCTGCTGTGGCGGCCAAGGCCTTGGGCATGGCTTCCTTCGAACTGAACCTCTTCTCTACTTTGAACTCGTTTACGTATGGCTGCTAGTCCCTGCAAGACCGACTCTGGGTAAAATTTTGTGAACTGCGTCATGTTGAAGACGCTTGCATAAATTGTCCATGGATCGAGTTATTGCTAGGGGAACTACATCCTCTCGCAGCCAACATCAACGTTTGCAAAGTGGGACAAGGTCTGCAAGATTGGAGATACTGTTATCCATAGTGTCACTGCTCTAATCCCCATCGACCCCACGGTCCTACCCTGCCAGCAAACATCATCCTCTGCGCGACTGTGCCAACAATTGTAGAATCGGTGCTTCCATCATCCCGAACCGAGTTCCGGGGGGGGATCACTGGCCAGTGAGGTTATAGATCTTCTGGATGCCGCGGAGCTCGGCCTCAAAGTCGACGTGCAGGTCCTTGATCAGGCCGTCGTTAAAGTCGAAGACCCAGCCGTGGACGATGGGGAAGCGCTTCGCGGCGAAGGAGCGCTGGACGACGGCGGTCTTGATGACGTTTGTGCACTGCTCCATGACGTTGAGCTCGACGAGGCGGTTGCATTGCTGGGTGGGGTCCTTGATGGCGTCGAGCTCGGCCTCGTGCAGGCGGTAGACGTCGCGGATGTTACGCAGCCACGGGTTGAGGATGCCGAGGTCCTTGGGGGTCATGGCCGCCTTGACGCCGCCGCAGCCGTAGTGGCCGCACACGACGATATGCTTCACGTGCAGGTGGTCAACGGCATAGTTGATGACTGACATGACGTTAACGTCGACATTGCACACGAGGTTGGCGATGTTGCGGTGGATGAAGGCCTCGCCCGGCTCGAGGCCCGTGATCTGCTCCGCGGGGATCCTCGAGTCGCTGCACCCGATCCAGAGGTAGTCGGGCGACTGGCCCGCGGCGAGCTTGGCGAAGAACTCCGGGTCTCGCTCCCGACGCTCCGCCGCCCACCGCCGGTTGTGCTCAAACACCCGCTTGTGCGTCTCCTTGAGGTACTCCGAGATCTCGGCGTGCTCGTCAGCCATGTCGGGACAGCAGCTTGCGAACCGCGGGGATGCGCGTGCTTGGGCTTGGAAGGCGGTGGTGGCTCGGACGGCGAACGGTCGGCTGGCTGGCGATAGCAGAGAGCGGGCCAGGCGGGCTGCTCTGAACATCGGTGGCAGGCACTGGGAAGGTGGAGAAGTCGACCAGCACAAAACTTGGCGCGAATATTTATGTCTCTCCCGTCCCGTCGCTAGCGCAGGCCGGATTATGTATGCCAGCCGATGTCGTCACACCTCGCGCACGTGATCGTGAGGAGGTTGCGGGTTCGAGATCTCCCCTGCTGGCGCACTGTTCTAAACCGTCGCACGTAGACTCGGGAAATGAAACGTCGAGGATAAACTCTAGGTTCTCAAGCAATTCTTGAACAAGATGAGGTCAAGAAGTGCGCTGTAAATTCTCATTTTTCTCGGTCGCGGATTTTTCGGGAGGCCGACTGTAGCCGGTTACGTTTTTTGCGACGGCTCCATACTTCCGGATCTCCGATTCCCGGAAGCGGGTGCGAATTTTAGGCCAAATGACGGCAAGCGGCTTGCATCCGCAACTGCGATGCGAAACTCCACTGTAGAATTGTGTCTCCCAGCTTCCACGTTGCGCTATGATATCCTTGGCCATTCACACACCAACTCATTGGCCATTGGTCGAGGGGCCTTTCAATTCCCAATGAGACGATTGGCTCTTACCTGTCCAATTAAATCCATCTTAAAAACTCTCCAGATGTTCGAGCACAAAAATAAACTAAAAAATAAAATAATGGAGCAAAAGAACATACAACACCAGGGATTCGCTGGTCGTCACCGACCCAACTACTAGTCTGGCCCTCACTGGCTTATCTATGGGAGAGCGGACGGGATCCCGAGTTCTCCAGTGGGTATGGTCGTATGTGATAGAAATGTTCTCTAAACCTCCATATATACCTACCTAGGTAACGCCTAGTAGGCGGGTAGTGTTGACGAATCCGCTCTGACCCTCACCTACTGACCGGCTTTGCCTCTGTACGCATGTATGTGATCCATAGAACTAAGAACACCCACTGTAGATATGCTCAAGTCATCCAACATGTCTACAAACTCCGCTTCCATATCGTCATCCTCGACTCGGACCTCCCGTGAATACGATACCACCCCAGCATCTTTCGACACGGCGCCGTCCACCAGCTCAGGCGTCCTCCCCGAGGTCAACATTCGATTCCCACAGTGGTCTCAATCCGTTTGAGATAGACCCGCAGCGAGCTCTCTTCCCCTCATAATCTGTTTCTCCCATGGCTTGATAACTACATGTCAGGCCGTCTTGTCTATTTCCACTTAATCGCAAACAGAAACATGCTGGTTAGATACATCAATAACTCCGGTTATTAGATGACGCAGGAGTAATCTGTTCGCCGAGCCCGAGCTTCACCGAGCGTCTGGGGACTGGAAACTAGGTCCGGCCGAATCAGGAGTTCATACATTGTAGACTGCCAGACGCGCTCATCTTGCGTTGAATGTTTATTGGGTTGCCCAAATTTACTGCTCTAACCCAGCCAAAACCGTCTCCAGAGTGTTCCCGGTCAACAGCTACCGCGTTCGGAAGTCAGTATTTTTTGAACAAGGGTGCTCGAGGGTGGTTCGGGGGCAGTTTGGGTGGGAAGCCATGTCTCGGGAGCATGATTATCTTGGCCTCGCTCCCGAGACAACGCCAGAAGGGGGGATTTGGATAATGTAAAGTTGCATACCTCGAAAACCTCCCTGTACTTCTCCCTCGTCTGCGCCACCACCTCCTCGGGAATCTCGACCCCCTCTTTTCCATTCAAGCCCTGAGATGTCAACCAGTTCCGGAGATATTGCTTATCGAAGCTCTCCTGTTCGCGTCCTACTTCGTACGAGCTTGCGGGCCAGAATCGAGAGGAATCAGGAGAGAGAACTTCATCAACCAAAACCACCTCGTCGTTGGCTTCGTCGAGGGCGAACTCAAACTTGGCTATAGGCAAAGAGTTAGCGAAACGACACGGGAGGAGCACGATGACTCTGGAAGAGGCATACTGTCCGCGATTATGATGCCTCTGGCCAGCGCATACTCGGCCGCGGCCTTATATATCGAGACCGCGAGCTCTGCAATCCTATCCGCGTATTTATCTCCGACGATCTTCCGCGCCTGCTCCGGCGTGATATTCTCATCCTTCTCTCCCAGGGGCGCCTTCGTGGACGGCGTGTAGATGGGCCCGCCGGGAAACGCGGCGCAATGTTCCAGCCCCGCCGGCTGGGGGATGCCATTGACGGCGCCCGTCTTGACGTAGTCCTTCCATGCCGTCCCAGTAAGGTATCCCCGAACGATGACTTCCACTGGGAACACGCGGAGCTTTTTGACCTGCATGGAGCGGCCGTGGACGAGGGCGCGGTCGGCGGGCGACAGGGAGCGCGGAGGGGTTAGAGTGATGAGGTGGTGCTTGAGGTTCGGTATTTTCGCGGAGAGTACTGAGAACCAGTGGCTCGAGATCTGGGTGAGGATCTTGCCCTTATCTGGTATGCCGTTGACGAGCACAACCTGCACAGACGGATGAGACACGGACAATAGCGAGGGGGGGTTCAACATCTAGAATTGGCGTACATCGTATGCCGAAATGCGGTCGCTGGTGACGAAGAGCAGTGTAGACTCGTCAATCTCGTACAGATTTCGCACCTTACCCTGTGCAATCAGGGGTAGAGACGTCAGCTCGATGGATGCCACTGCTTGGGACGACATTTTGGCGAAAGGCTGTCGAGAAACAATCCTGGAATTCGGTGTTGGAGGCAGAATTTCACGAGGGATTTTGCTTTGGAGGGGATAATTCGAGCTCCACCGCGGGGTTCAAGGTTCGAGTATGACCACTCAGGTGGGGCAACACTCGACAAGTACCCGACATTTCGGGCGAGGCATAGGTGGTACCTATGTATGTACTTCCCGAAGTTCATTAATAACTTCGACAAAACACAGTTAAACCCTAGGCTGCTCCATGAAATCGTCCTTATCTCGGTTGAAGTTGACTCGTATCTCTTCTCCTGAAAGAGGATTGATTGCCGCTATCGAGACGGCAAACATAAGAGGTTCCATGGGGCCCAATGCTTCGATCCAGCCTTTGCAATCGTAAATCGCCTTAGACATGGTCGGCACATGCAAGACCTGTATAAACGGCTTACGACATCCACAAAGGTCTGCCAGATGAAGAACATCTCAGCCGGCGGCGGTCGCAAGTCTTCAAGGTCATCCGTAGACCCCTCTCCGCTTCTGTCTCCGTTGCCAACGACAAGACTGGGATTCGGGACCTTGGTTGCTGCGAAACAATGCTCGGCCCAGGTCCCCGACCTGCCCCTGAAAATAAATTGCGAATGCCACGGCCACCACAGCCACCGCAGCCACCCAACGCCTGGATCAAACCCGCCAGCCCCCGAAACGTGCCATCCCAGCCCCACTCCCCTGGCTCGTCCATCCAACCTTCACGCCTCCCTACCTCTCTTCTGTCTACCTAAATTTGATTTCGGCCGTCGTGCAGGCTACACGAATGACTACGGAAAGATGGCGCCTTACGACGCTATCGCCAAGAGAAACGTCGACGATGAGCGCAGTGCGTTTGCTAGGCAACTGTTCAATGCGAGAGTCGATATTGCATCCTTTGTTGACAATCGCCTGGAGTGGAATGGGGTTGGAAGATATGATGGTATCTTTGGGGGCTCATTCAACATCGGCCTGAAGGTGAAACGCGACGATAGCAACGAGAACGTCATCATCCGCTTCCCGACTCCGAGGAAAGTACATGGACCGTGGCGGGAAGAAAAAGTCAAGAACGAGGTGACGGTTATGAACTATGTCCGCGAGCATACTAATATCCCTGTCCCGCGCATACGCTGCTGGAGCCTCACTGAAGATAGCCCGCAGCAGCTGGGACCATTCATCATCATGGATTTTGTGGAAGGGGAGAACTTGGGCCGTCTTCTAGCACCGCCGACTGAGGACAAGACGAAGCTTGTATATCTGGATCCAAACGTTGACGAGGCAAAACTCAACGCTATCTACGAGCAGATTGCCAGCTTTATGTTGGATCTCTCGCGCCTAGAGTTCCCTCGCATTGGTGCCATTTCCAAGGACGCCACGTCTGGCGACTGGACTGTTACTAGACGGCCCTTGACATACGACATGAATGAGGTCGTCACTGTTGGTGGCTGCCCTGCTGATCAGTTTGCTACTATGGCGCCATTCGATCGCGCCAGCGACTATTTCGCTGCATGCGCGCAGTACTTCCAGACACACCTTGAGGCACAGCGCAACATTGCTGGCGATGACGAAGACCTTGCCTGGAGGCAGTTTGTTGCGCGCTGCTGCTTTGCCAAGTTTGGTTCCTACGTACGGCACTGTCGACAACGATGGACCTTTCCGGCTCTTTTGTGACGACTTGCGACCTACAAACATGCTCGTCGATCCGGACACGCTATGTATTACTGCTGTGTTTGACTTTAAGTTTACCAATGTCATGCCAGCACAGTTCACCTACGATGTGCCATCGTGGCTGCTTCTCCAGCCGCCAGCTGTCTGGCTAAGAGACAACAAGATGGAGGATTTCCTACGCTGCTTTGAACCAAGGAAAAACCAATTTATTCGCGCGATGGAGCGCGCTGAGGCCAGGTCATTGCTACCTGCTGGAGAGCCGCGCCTCTCGACTCAGATGCGGGAATCATGGGACAGCAGGCGTTTCTGGTTCAACCATGCATCACGGTGCAGTTTTGATGTGGACGACTTCTACTGGCAGGCTCTGCACGAGGAAGGTTTGGGAGAGGCGATGCTAGGCGTGACGATGGCTGAGAAGGAGGGGTTCATCGCACGAAAGATGCGCCAGGTTGATGAGTTGCAAGGAGAAGGAAAGTGATGAGCATTTTGCTGAGGATGAGTGCACCTCCAGATCCTAACTAAACAGGCCAGCCCGACAAGTTCCCCCGCACGCATTTGCACTGCGGTAGGCAGCAAAGAGTTTGGCTCCAGTAAGCGGTTGTCAACAACCCCCCCCCCCCCCTCTCCCCCCGCCCCCCCCAAAACAGTCATGCTGGCTGAGAAGATGGAATGGAGTGTAACCCCATTTGGTCCGATGTACGGATTAGGAGCTGCAGCTTGATGCATTAGTTGGCTGACGTTCTCACGAGACGACCCTTACTCCTTGGTGGGCCAGATGGCTCAGGCTGGGCTCCCTGTATCCTGCTGGTTTCCGCTATCTGGGCAGGTCTCGATTATTATACTAGTTAGGTTTAGCAAGACGGACCTTTGCTGTGCTCGGTGACTATATGAATGGTGGCGTTGACAACCTCTCTGGCCCTCTTAATGTCGTCCTGTTTCGTCAATGCGACCCAGGACGGCTTCTCAACGTCTATCTGGCCTGGCGGAGGACGACTAAGTTGATCTCCTTCACAGCACCACTGGTGTCCAAGGCTCGGTTGTTAGACCGAGGTGCTAGTAGCCGACGAAGACGTTGCTCAACAGACACTGAAGAAAGAGTAGTGGCACACTACGAGAAACCACATGTACGAACGAGAGACTCAGAGAGCTTGATCAGTTGCACCTCAGATCGATGGTGCGAGCCCAAGACCTCTTCACACAACAAGAAGGCCGACAGACCATACCCCGTATATGCCTGTCACTGGATAACCAAGGGCCCTTGAGATTGCAGTCTCTTCTCTCAGCAACAATTATCAGCAGGGGGCTGAATGTATGTGTGTTGCTTGTTGGTTGACCCAAAACATATTAGCAATCAGACACACTTGTTCCAAAATAGGCACCTGGACAACGCGCCTGAATCCCACCCCTGACGAGATTCTAGCCGTGAGAACGAAGTTCGATCCTCCATTGGGCAAGAATAAGATTCTAAAATTAAGCCCTTGCCGTCAAGATTTTTCTATTTGACAACACAGGGTAGTTAAAACAACAGCATCATGGCCGTTCGCCGCATCTCTTTCCATCCGCCTTTTAACCTCGCGCCAAAACCTCCTGTGTCAATCTCCGCCCAACGCTTGTTCTTTGTGGCTACCGGCACCGGCGAAAGAATGAGCATGGCCGCGGGTTACCCGCTTCCGGTCCTGTGGGTGCAGTTGGTGTTACGTGCCGTCTCGGTGCTGCTTCTCATCGTCAGCTTGGGCTTTTTGGCCTACTGGAGCATAATTTTTGGCGAGCGCTTCATTGACGTCTACATCCAGGGACAGACCCAGCCTGTTGCGCCGCCCCTTTCTGAATGCGGCTCTGATGACTGCTCGAACTCGTATACCAAGGATCCATTCGGCAAGAGGAGTGCTAATCCCAACCGTTCCGCAGCCTGGCTGCAGCAGTACAGCAGCAACGCCGATTTCTATTCGAGTTAACAAGGCGCAGGCCACAGGCAACATTCCGTAGGTCCTCTCCCAGATCTACCCCGATTGTATTGTAATGCAGTGCAACAATGACGGCTTCACCAAGATGAGCCTCAAGGCCACCTCAGGCACTAAAAGACACCGGTTTCCTTATTTTTCTTTCTTTTCTTATTTAACTCGCCATGGCGGAGTGTCAAACATCAAAATATTGAGAAGCTATTCTCCTGTTCGGTGCGGAGGTCGATCGATGGTAATAGTCATTTTCGGGGGCTCCACTGCGGGGTTCAAATTCGAGGTTCCGCGGGGGGAGTGGGGCCAACACCGACAAGGGCCGGGGCCGCTCCGGGTCTCTTCCGGCTGGATTGACAGCGGGAAATGCTAATAACCTAATCACCTTTCCGGTAATCTCTACGGGCTGAGCCGCATTGCATGCCGCGCAGCTGGCCACCAGGCAAAGTTGTCTTATTCCACGGCAAAGTTGATCAGTGGAATACTTCAGTACTAGGATGACTCCTCTAACCCCTGTTTGCTGTGATTGTGGCGTTTTTAAGTGTCCCCCGTTGGCTAAGGATGTAGCTTATTAGGCCTGATCACAGTTACACAAAGCCTCGTGTGAAATGATCGGGGAACGTCGAGGAAGCTTGCCGAACCTCTGTCTAGCCATATTTCTTTTTCCCTTTCCCTTTCCCTTTTTCCTTTCCCTCCATTCTCCCCTTTTCTTCTAGTGCATGGTTCATACTGTGGACTGGACCATATTACTCAGTACGGATCCGAATGTTTTCAGCCTTGGAAGGACAGGCCAGTATGGCGGACATGGAAGACGACTTCGGGCCAGGGACCGCCAAAGGCTGGGCTGAGGTGATACGACGCTGCCACGGGGTTGAGTTCTACACCGAGGCGGTCGAAAAAGAACGCACTGCCTCGGCCGCGTACGACCGAGACGCGCCAGCTCTTGAGACCCAGGTCGGGCAACTAAAGCGGGAGCTGGAGCTGGCCCAAGATCAACTCACGAAACTGCGCGACGCCCGTGACACGGCCAAGAAGGAGAAAGAGAACGAACAGGCCTTTATATTGGAGCAGGCAGAGGCCTTTGTATCGGTGTTCCGTACCGTACGTCCTAACCCCCCACTTTAGCTTTAAAGTTCAAGCGGAATCGACTAACTCTCGACCCCTTTCGCAGCGCCAACGCCAAGAAGAGTCTCGCCCAGGTGCACGTCGACAGAGGGCAGCAGACACCCACCAAGGTCGACTGTCACCCCCACCATCAGGAGCAAGCGCTGCCAACGGATCGGGAGGGGCCGCCACCTCAACGGAACCAGAAGAGAGCCCGCATAACCGTCGCACCGGCAGCCCATCTGGGGCAGAAGATTCTGAATCGGACTTCAGCCAGCAAGAGAAAACACGACGGTCGAGGCGAGTGCGCAGGGCGCCCCGAGGTCGGGCCCTTCCCCCTCGTAGGCAGGGAGCAGCAGCTGAGATACCACAACATACGACGGGAAAGGCAAGTTGTCCTTCATATCTTACTTTCAACCCTTTTGGGCTGACCATTTTGTTGTATGAACAGAGAAAACGGAATGGCGAGGACGTAGGAGACAGCAGTCGCCAGCGAAAGTCGCAAAAAGTCACTCCAGTCACCTCGGAAACCGGACACCCGACAGATAATGAGAAAGCCAGGATTGAGGTGGAACAGGGAATGCACGAAATGAGATCAATCGAGTTCGACGAGGTGTTCCAGGGCGGAAAGGCCAAGCACAAGCACCAAATTGTCGACTACCCCAAGAGGAGTGGGAACTGGTTTATCTTTCTGTGCGACCAACACAACCAGCATTTCGGCAACAAGCCCATGTACTCGGCCATGAGACACCTCGTCAGAATGGACCATGGCCGTCTTCTCCAGGGTGGTTACATCGCCATCCGAGAGCTCGGCGTCCGCGTACTTAACTGCGACCGCAATAAGGCCGACCAGAATAATGCTGCCTTTGATGTCGAACTAAAGCGAGGATATAAGCCGCTCAAGGGTGGGCCACATTCCGGGAACACTTCGCAGCGATGCGAGCCGCAACAAGCCCAACCCCAACCCCAAGCCAGTCTGGGCCCCAGTCCAAGGCCTTTTATGCACGGCAAGCCATTCGACGGCGTCACGGAGCCTGTGCCGGGAGAGCTGTACCTTGGTCACTGGGCGCCGCGACACAGGTGGTACGTTGTCGTGGTCCTCCCGTGCGGCGACTTTCGTGTCGCGGGTGTCTCCGGATCCATCTATGAAAGCCCTCTCATCAAGAGCCACATCCCTCTTTGCTACGAGCCCCGCAGCAGCAAGAACAGTCGGCCCAGCTTTAAGTGGGCGAAGGGCTTCGAAAAAGGAGGCCCCAACGTCACCAGACGGAAGTTCCCCGTCATGTTCTGCGACGACGAGCCGATGCAGATGGACCCGAGCGGGTTCGCCATACCGCCTCCGGTCTCGCTAGGCTGGTTGTCAGCTGCGTCGCTCCGACCATTCAGTGAATTTGGACCAAATGGCATGCCTCCCCTTGGCCATAACGTCGCCATGAGGTTTGTCAAGAGCCGTAGGCTAGGAGTTGGAAGCACAGCTCCATCCCACCTCGGTGGCCAGGCAGCCGGTGCGTTGTCCACAAGGCAAAGATGAAGAGCGTCTTGGACGCTTTTTTTTTTTTGGTGATGGCTGACGACTTGCCAAAGATGCCACAGATGAGACCAATCATGCGAGCAATGACAGTGGATCGGGTGACGAAGGGGGCGTCCCTGCGGCCATCCACAAGGAACCGCAGCCACAATCGACGTCCTCGGCCAGAGCCAACATCTTGTTGGGCAAGGCTACAAGAAACGCTTCCAGTGCATCCAGCAACATAACTCACACCTCAGAGAAAGAATCGAGTGATGGCCGTGATGATGAGTCTGAACGCGACTTGGATGGTGGGACTGTTGAAGGACTCGAGATCGTCTGCGATTCCGACCATCGTGATGATCGCACTGATGCCGCGGATTCAGCTACTGGGAGCGATGAGGATGAGGACGACGATGAGGACGACGATGAGGACGACGATGAGGACGACGATGAGGACGAGAGTGAGGACGAGGACGAGGACAACATGCTGGATGGTACAGGGTCACATCACAACAGCAACATTCAACCCCTCGATCCCCGAAAAGATGCCGGTTCGGCGATGGCAGAAAACGTGTCATACGACGACGAGTCATTGGATGACACCTTCAATAAGGACTTGAATAAGGCCATTGATGGGGCCCTCGATAATGCTCATGAAGCTCGTCAATCACCGGCGCTCGAGAACGGGGGCGGGGCGGTTAGGAGGCGTGGTATGCAAAGTATCGATTTGGATGGTCTCCCAGATTTTGATTTCGACGCGTTTTTACGCGAGAGATGCACGCCTTCCCCGGACCGCTCGGTCGGCCACTCTGCAGAGACAAGAGAGAATGGAATGGGAGACAACTCACTGTGGCACTCGTCAACGCAATATGGAGGCAACGAACCGCACGTGGCATCGCAGGCGGCCAGGCGAGCTCCTCCGCCGCCGTCCCCACGATCACAGGTTCGTGGTCATGGTCGCCCATGGGAGGAACCAGGGCCAATCGCTGCTGCGAGCCAGCGAGACGAGCCAACCCGGACCTCCCACCAGTCAGCGCCCAGAATGCACGAATCCAGACTCGGAGTTGCTGAGGCTGCTTCGGCTGATGTTGCTCAGCAAAGGACAAACCGCATGTCACTCAAACTGGGGGGTTCTGTCCATCCGCTGATGCAACCGGCCTCTGAAGCGTTGAACCAATTGTCAGCTTTCCAGCAGGATTTCCCCACCGCCGTTGGCGTCGCCTTCGCTCAGCAATCACGGCAACCCTAATTTGATCTGGACGATGGGACATGAAGAGGAGGGTAGAAAAGGGAGAAGGGAAGGGTGGACGGGGAGGGAAAAGGGGAGAAGGAAAAAAGAAGGGAAAAAGGGGGGGAACCCAGATCCGCATAGATAATATCACAAAGGCCGAGAACTTGTCTTTCATTCTCAGTCAAATATATTAATCGAGTAGATAGCACTGTAGTCATTCGCTTATTTTCCTTGATATATTGAGTCAGGGGTGAATTCGTTTCTCACAATGTTTACTTTAATCGCATGGCCTGCAAGTCGTGACGATCGGTGGCGTCGGCTAGGCTACCAGTTTGTTTGGGTGTAGCTGGACAGCATGGTAAGTCCAAGGAAACAAACAGAACGAATCTGGTACGGATACGTAAAGTAATATGTAGTCGCTTGCGTCAGCAAGCTAGCCACAAGGGTGGCATTATGATGCAGCCCAGGCACCTAATAAGCCGGATAGATGTTGCTCCGTCCCGTGACTCTGAACTCTCGTCGCGTCGTCACCTCTCATGGCTCACGTACGTGGTCTGTCCTCTCAGGATCCGAGCGCAAATGCTGGATAATTCATACACATCTCGCCTCCTCTGAATTATGGAATTGGTTGGATACCGCCAAAACAATAAAGCTTGAAATGGCCGAGTCCAGCGACTCGGCGACCGACAGTCCCCCCGAGTCAGCCTCCATGAGAACATCAGAGGACAGGGAATCAACAGTTGCAGCAGACGAGGATACGAAAAGGATAGTACGCCGAAAACCCGTGCCTGGAAAGGGCCACAGGAAGTCGAGAAGAGGGTGCTATAACTGCAAGCGGCGAAGGGTGAAATGTCCCGAAGGCCGGCCAGAATGCCAGCACTGCAGCCGAATGGGCCTCGCCTGCGTTTACCCCCCGCCACCCAAGATACATGCCACCCTCCCAGCTACGCCCACGGCTGGCCTCGACCTCGACCATCTCCGCTTCTTCCACCACTTTCTCGTATCGGCCCACCCTCCACTGCCCTCTGGCGTCTCCACGGTCTGGCACAGCGTAGCCGCACTAGCCCATGAGGTAAGTCCCCCAAGCCTTACCCAGTTGCACCAACGCCAAAATTCCGAATCCCAGCATCGCCCTACCGACGACCAGCACTGAAAACTCACCCCTGGGGGCTCCACAGTACGAGTTCCTCGCCTCCGCCATCCTAGCCCTCTCAGCCCAGCACCTAACCCTACTCGGCGGGGGGGACTTCTCGGTGCAGTCGCTCAGCCTGCGCGTGTCCGCCATCTCGGGTCTCAACGACGCGCTGTCGCGGCCGTGCGTCACCCCCGCCGACGCCGACGCGCGCTACGCCGCCGTCGTGGCGCTGACGTTCCAGTCGTCGTACATGGACGACGCCATGATGGAGTTCCTGGCCCTGCTGCGCGGCTGGATGCTCGTGTCGACGGCGCTGGTCCCCGATCCCGAGAGGTCCATCTTTGGCGGGTTCACCCGGGACGCCTTTGTGCGGAGCATGAGGATGCGGGTGGTGGAAGAGCTGGGGGGCGCGGCCGGCTGTGACGGGGTGGTTGAGGACTTCTGCGCCTCGCTTAGAGTGGTTGCTCCCCGGTGCCAGAGCGTTGCCGAGCTGAAGTACCTGGCCATGATGGAGAGCATTGCTCAGAAGATTAAGATATCGCCTTTAGATGGTACGTGTATACAAACAATCCCCTTTCCCTTTCCTTTCCCCTCCCCCCTCTCATTTCCTCTGAAAGTTCTCATTCTGAAACTTTTTTTCCCGCCCTCCTTCTTCTCAGCCTGCCTGGAGATCGTCCCCTGCTACGCCATGACCAACAAGATGACGGCCGAGGAATTCAGCGCCTTCACGGATCCGCAAAATTACATCGCGCAGATCCTTCTCGCCCATTTCTTCATGCTAGACTACATCCTCGAGATGTACGCCTTTGGTTCAGACGCAAAGCCTTTTGCTTTCCAGAAGCAAGTGACGCAGGCCTGGGTGATCAGAGCTGCCGAGAAGCTGCCTATCAGTTACCAGAAGTACATGATATGGCCGTTAGGACTGGCCAAGATGGAGATGGCGGCGTGTATTCAGGCACCAAGTTAAATAAATCAACGTTAACTTGCAATGGAACGAGAAGCACGGTTATTCCATCGGCTGTGAAGTCAGTCCTGTGTCATAAATGTCATAGACCTGCCTGTCATGTCAAGGAGATGTGTTGGTGAATCACCCAGCCCAGAAAGGGGGAAAGGGGAAAGGGGGCTGAGCAACTTTAATTATGGCATTAGGCTTTGATTGCAGCCAGGGGGCAAAGAGACCCTTCGAACCTGTGGTCTCGAACCTGTCTCTCGGATAGACAAGAAAAGAACGACGACCTAAAACCAAAACCAATCGTTTTCCGATTCAAAATCTGCCTGAGACGATAATGTGGCTAGGGCCCAGCGGCAGCATCTGCAACCAGTCGTCGTGGCTGAGACCCAGAAAACGATGAAAGCGATGGAATAGACCGAGCCAACCAATCAGCTGCAAGGCCCCGACAGGGGCATCACGGCCTAGCCTAGCCCAAAATAATCGCCGAGACGCGGCCCGCTGCGATGGATCCATCTAGGAGGTAATGTCGGTTGGCTTCGCACGCTTCCGCATAACTCGTCGCTTTCACCTTCAAAACGCGACCGTTGCTGCGACAGCGTACCAAAAGCAAATGGGCTGTGAAATGCTAGTCGGAAATCTTGGCGATGGACACGCACGCACGCAATCCACACACAAAGGGGGCAAGGGATATATAATTATCTAAGGGGGTAGCATGATAGGAGAGAACAAATTCCATCTTCATCAACTACTGCTTTACAATATACGCTTTTTTTTTTTTTTTTTTACTCGTGTGTGTTTCCCAAGAGATAACATTAGTTGCAATCCCTCGCGATGCCGACCCTCCTCCTCCCCACCGCCACGCTTCTCCAGGCCGCGACGACAGTCACGTCCGCCCTCCCGACCTGCACCACCGCCATACCAGACAAGAACGGCCACGTCCCTCCCGATGCCTGCAACGCCAACTACGGCTTCTACCCCAGCTGGGAGGATAACCTTGCCTTTGCGCTCGCCTTCGGGATAACCACGGTTCTGCACCTCGCCCAGGCGGTAGTGTTCAAGAAGGTTCGTAGAATCAACCCTCCCCGTTCCGTGTGATCCAACTTCATTTCCAAGAACCAAGTCGCTGATACAGCCCAGCCATTCTGCTGGGTCGTCGTCATGAGCGCCCTCTGGGAGTGCGCCTGCTTCGCGCTCCGCACCCTCGGCGCAAAGGACCAGCAGCAGTCCATGTACGTCACCATCTCGACGCTCCTGTTTCTCCTCGCCCCTCTGTGTAAGTGTGCTCTCTCACAATTTCCTCCCTCGCCGAATCCCCTCCCTCCCTCCTTCAAAAAAATGAAGAACAAAAAGATGAATTCTGAAAAGAAAAAAAAAAAAAAACTGACGTTCCCAGGGCTCAACGCCTTCATCTACATGGTCCTAGCCCGCCTAGTCCACCTCCTGCACCCGCGCCAGCGCGCCCTGGGCATCCCCGCGCCGCGCCTGGCCAAGGGCTTCGTGCTCGCCGACGTGGTGTCGTTCGCGGTGCAGGCCGCGGGGGGCGCCATGATGGCGAACCAGGACGGCGGCGCCGACAAGGTGCGCCTCGGCCAGCACGTGTACATGGCCGGCGTGGGCGTGCAGCTGGCGTTCGTGCTGGTGTTCGTCGTCGTCGCCGTGGCGTTCCATCGGGATCTGATGCGGTTGCGGAGGAGCGGGAAGGTGGAGGGCCCCGGTGGGGGGCGGATGAATCGGTGGGTGAGGCCGCTTATTTGGGTTGTTTATGTGGTGCTGGGGCTTATTGTGGTGAGTGACGACAACAATTCACTTAACTGGTGTAGAAATATTTTGCCTGGTTCGTGTCCCTGACGAGAAGAGTGCAGATACGGATCATCTTCCGCCTCGTCGAGTTCAGCCAGGGAGTCGCGTCGACGAATCCGATCCTGCAGCACGAGGGGTTCCAGCTCTACCTCGACGCCCTGCCCATGCTCCTCGCCCTCGTCCTCCTCAACTTTGTGCACCCGGGCGTAGTCCTCAAGGGCCCGGAGAGCAGTCTCCCGTCGAGCGGGTTCCGCTGGGGCCGATCGGCTGCGTTCGAACCACTCGCCACCGCAGGGGCATCGAGTGTCGAGCTGGTCGACCGACGACGGTTTTGATGAGAAACGGATTCTACATCTATACAAGAGCATAGAATGTCGCACATCATTGGGATGGGAAGTGGGGTGTCATTAATTTGTCGTGTTTCTTTTGTTTTAGGGCAGGGCCCGAGCTGCATCCTGTTGGTATAAACCTGGGAGATGGTTGGTATGTTTTGGTTGCTTTCAGTGATGGTTGGCTTACGATTGGCTTATGGTCTCGTTTTGTATTTTATTATTAGACTTTGGCATCTTTCTACAGGCACCAAATAGGTAGATTGGGACACAGAATACGAGACATCCTTTCCCATGATACTCCGTTTCACCGCTTCATCAAAGAGTGCCAACGGTTCCGTCGAAACCAAGGAGAACATAATTACAGTGTAGGCATAATAGGAGTTGCATGCCGAACCTGGCTCTCTCACACCTCCACCACCGCGTTGCGAAGATAATTTACAAGAGTAGAACAAACGTAACATTGCATGGTCTGCATCGCCCAGCCTAACCGGTTGCTGGTAAGACTCGGGAGGGCTAAACGAACTTCACATGGCCGAAGAAAGGCGTCATGTGGAAATTCGGCTGATCGGGTGGGCTCCACGCACCCAGCAGCTGGTCCGGGAACGTGCGCGGCGAAGTGACGGTGCGGAAGAAGTTCATCCTCCACTCGGTGCCATTGGCCTGTCCGTCGTCGACGTTGAACAGACCCAGCGGGATGCGTGCCTCGGAGACCCAGGTCTCGGCGCGCCTGTCGAGAGCGGTCTCGGCGGTCAGGCCGTCGACGAGGGGCTCGGTGATGAAGAAGGTGTCGAAGGGGGCGCCCTCTGTGCGCACCTTGGATGGGTTGTAGATGAAGGCCTGGAAGGTGACATTGTCGGGGCTGATCTCAAACTCGAGGTAGGTCTGGGGGTCGTTGGTGCCGCGGTAGATGAAGGTTTCCATGACCTCATATTCCCAGATGGGATCATTGGTGTCGTAGCTGGGGTTGAAGAAGAAATTGGTCTCATTGTATGCCGTGAAGGTGAGCCGGATTGAGCAGTCGTCGTAGCAGAGATCAACCTGGGTGAGGGGGAAGTCGGCCCCGTCCGGGACTGATTTGTTGTACTGGACGGTAGCCGTGCTGGGGCATGCCGGGACCTCCAGAGACGGGACAGATGCCGAGAAAGCCGATCCGGGAACGATGGCAGCCGCCGCTGCAGCGAGGAATGATTTGAGAAGCATCCTATGATTATGAAAATAGGGAAAATAGGGCAGATAATGTTTGTCGGACAATCCGATGGCTCAAATTTTAGTCGTCATTGGGAGCTCCTTCGCTTATGTACCTGAGCGAAAACAACTGCCTTGAAATTGGTTAAATTAGGAAGGTTACTTTCACATGTGCACATCGGGAAAGGATCCCCATACTCTTGACCCCCTGACCGGGTGCGGTTATTCGCCCAGCGGACACCAACCTTAATTGATTGGGCAATACGGATGTAACAAATAAACAAAAACAAACCACGGCCTGCAAAACTTGCTTGAACCGATTCGTAGACTGGTTCCAAGTAGATAGATAGGTATACAATTTGAAGCTATATCTAAAGTCTTGGCTTGTACGGCAGCTGCATCTTCAGTCTATGCATGGGGTGTTTGGCTAACTAAATTAAGGTTAGTTAGTCCCTGTCAGACAAGTCCGGGGAAAGCTGCAGGTGCGGTACAGCGGACACGTCATAGGTTCCTTTTATTTATTTATATTTTCCTTTCCTTTTTCCTTTTTTTTTCTTTCTTTTTTTTTTCTTTCTTTCTTCCTTTCTTTTTTCTTTTTTTTTTTTTTTTTTTTTTTTTTGGAAAATAACAAAAAGAAAAGGGAGAAGAAAAGGGAGAAATTATTAGATATAACTCTGCAGCAAACCCAGTTCATTGTTGCGTGTTTCTTTATCACCTTAAAAAAAGGGCTCGTAAGATCTGTGGAGGTACAGGCGTCACTTTCCGTTGAACATTGGCAGACAGGGAGAGGAAGATCATGTTATGACACTGTGGTTCACCTTCACCAAAGGACCCTCAAACACTCCTTATGGAAAGATCGAGATCGAGTAACACAGCCATATTTCAGGCTCCCTCATCCGCTTGCTCCATGGGACCTGACGTTGGATATGCTCAACATGTTCACCAAGTTCAGAGAGAAGAGCAGAAAGTAACAAAAGATCCATCAGAAGCTCCCTAGGCCTTCTCAGCCAAATCCCCCTTCACGGCCAAAACCCTCTTCTCATCATCCACCACCGCAGCCTCCTGATCGTGCCTCTCCCCCTCGCTGTCCGAGTCCTTGAAGTCGCCAAACGACGTGTTGATGACAAACTCCTCCTCATCCAAGTGCCGGAACGTAAACCAAAACACGACGGTGAGCGCGGCGCCGACGATGGTGGGCCCCGCAAACGCCCACACGAGGTACGGGTCCCGGATGGCCGGTGCGGTGGCGAGGCCGATGATGGCGGTGATGGCGGTCATGAACAGGTTGAGCGAGTTGACGAGGCCCTTCATGTTCTTGGGGGAGCGGGCGTAGGCGATGCCGTAGGCCGTGACGTTGATGAAGATCTCGGACAGCGCCGTCGGGACGATGGGGATCGAGTAGAGCGCGTACGACACCGACGACAGCGAGTCTTCGCCCTCGGGCAGGATGTCAGCGCACGTGGTGGCGTTGTAGCCGCACGGGGACGTCTTGTACACGTAGTACTGCAGCACCGGGAACCCGACTGAGCCGATGGTGCAGAGCGCGAAGCCGAAGGTCATCCGGGAGATGGCTCCCCACTTTATCCCCCACCTGCGGAGGAGAGGGTATATGCCGTTGTTCATGATGGGGACAACTGTATCGTTCGTGTTAGCGGGCTATGCTTGTTGCCATACCGGAGCAAGGGGCTCTGGCGGGGGAAATGAAAGGGAGGGAAAAAAAAGGGGGGGCGGGGCCAAACACTCACAGAGAACGATGCTAACAGCGTTCAAATTGTCCAAAAGATCGTTAGGAAGGCCATCAGTCTGCATACCAGCGGTGAGGGCGTTGGCAGCGGCGCCGAGCCCGCCGTCGTTGATCTGGAAGATGGGCTGGAACAGGAAGATGCCGCAGGCCTGGAACGTGCGGCGCACGTCGTCGACGAACCTGTCATCATACCCGTACACCTTTGTGCTCCCGGCGGCGGCGCGCACGCTCGGCTTGCCCGGCTCCCAGAAGCCCTTGCGGCCGATGCTCTTCAGACCACCGTGGCGGAAGCAGTCACCGAGCACCTTGAAGACGTTGCTGAGATCGGAGCCGCCCGGTGGCTGCTTGATCAGGCGTGGGTTCAGATACCACAGCAGCGGCGGCAGGATCAGGTACAGGATGGTTGGGATCAGGTAGGCGGCCCAGTAGCCGACGAGCTTGGCGAGGTAAGTGGTGGGGATGCCGAACATGGCGCCGATGTTGATCAACAGGTAGAACCACAGCATGACGCTGTTGATGGACGCCTCGGGATCCACAATGACCCTCTCGCCGTTCTTCCTCGTGATGACGTGAGAAACCTTGTGGGGGCTCTGGTCCATGATGGTCGGGGCGATGTTCGGCTTGAACTGGGCCGCGCCGAGGGACAGCATGTACAGCGACAGGGCGAAGGGGCCAATGGCATGCCCGGACTGGAGCACGGGCGGCAGGGCCGAGATGATCATGATGATATGGGCGAGGCCGCAGACGGCAACACCCCAGCAAATCATCTTGAAGCGACCATACCTGGTATCGGCGAGCCAGCCGAAGAAGATGGGAAGGGCGTACGACAGGAAGCTGAACGCCTCCGTCATGGCTGTGGCCACGACGGAACCCTTGCCCAGGGCGCCGGCCGTGTACTGCGAGCCCTTGCCGCTCGCGCCGGTGCCGGGCCCGCCCGGGGGCAGGGGCGCGCGGATGAAGTTCTTGTAGACCTGGAAGCAGCCAAAGTACGACGCGCGCTCGGCGAACTCGACGGCACAGAGGTAGTAGCACGAGGCCGGCAGCTCGCCGGCGACGCGGCGGAGCGTCTTCTTATCCTCCTCGGTGGGCAGAATGAGTCCGTGAGCGATGGCATCCTGGGCAGCGGCGTCCAGCTCGTCCGGCGGGATGTAGGCTGGCACGGGGACGTGGTCTGCCGACGGCCGACCCTTGTCGACCACGGCGCCGACGGACCCCCCAACTGTGGGGATAGCGGTGGCGGTATCTGTTTAACGATCAGCACAGAACCACCCCAGAGAGCAAGCGACAGGAGAAAGTGGGACAGGGATAGGGGGCGTACCCATAGCAAAGACTTGGTTGCGCGAGACCGGGGATTGCGAGCGAACAAGCCGTCTGCATGCCCAGACGGGCTCCGCAAACGAAAGCTGGGCATCTGGCTTTATACCTACCTTACCTGGTCGATAAGGCGATTAATTAAACGACGGTGAATACCGCGAAGATAGGCGAGGTGGTGCATTGGGCTTGATGGCATCCATTGCACCATCCGACCCCTCTCGACGCACATGGGAGTTTTGACACCGGTTGTATTGTCCTACTTAACAGCTTCCTTATTGGGATCATAAACGGCGATATCAGCGGCAGAGCGCAGATTGCACGGCTGCCAGATCCGCGACCCAATGGCTGGGGGTTGTGAGGTGTGATGATTTCAGGCTCAAACCCGCAGCAAAATAATTGCAACCCCAGCCCCTCTGCTTCCACCCACTCTAATTAAGAATATTGCGAACCGTGTCTTGCCATACACTCCTAGTGAGGAAGGAGTGCAGTCGGCTGGTTCGCGAGGAAGCGACCTGTTGGCCAACCGATGGCATGGAACCCAATTAATTAGCGCAGCGTGAAGGTGTCTGGGGGTTCATTTTCCCAACAACGAATTCGAAGAAACCTTGACGACATCATTTGCTACTATCGAGGGAAATGGGGGGCAACAGAGTGCAACCAGAAACCAACCTAATTTCCTACCCCGGACGATCGCATCTCCTTAACCCACGGCTTCTAACCCCTATCGATACCCTCGGCCAACTCCAGCCCATCCAGTCGTAGTTCGTCAAGCCCCAGGAATTCTCCATCCATCCCCTGAACCCCCAACCGGACCCGGTAACTCCCAGCCAGACTCACACTGCATGTTTGATCATGTACTCCCTCAAACAGTTCTGCACCAGATCATGGTACAGTCTCTCATCTTGCCCCGTGCCGAACTCAACAGGATCACCGGCGTCTGCCAGACGGCGGGTGGACAGTCGTCCGTGATGTTGCGCCCCGGTGGCACCTCTATTACCAAGGGCGTTGAAATCGTTGTGGCAGCGCCGTCTCAATGACGGGCAGATGCCCGTATCGATGCCTCGCCCCCTGCTTGCCGAGTATTCAGGCTTCGGTCAGATTGGAATGAGAAACTTCCACTAAGTGACACGGTGATTCCATGACACGTCATGTCCCTTTGAGAAGGGGATCCCGAAAGAAGTAAATAAACGGCAGGGTATTCAAGGCAAGATGGCCGGGTGGTCTGAGGCGCTACGCTCGGGGCGCACCTTTTCACACAAGGCCAATCAACTCCTCGCAGGCGAAGCGTGGGAGGGAAGGCGTCGGTCACGGGATAGAACGGAATGATCCAATGGAATCTCACTTCCTGCACAGGGTCATATCAAGCCCTAAGCTGGAAACCACCATTTTTGAGGAGGTGGAATATGTATGAATAACCTAGCTTTCAACTCAGCATGGTCTTCTTTCAACCGGAGGCGATTCTCGATATCGTCAAAGCACTGGCCAGCGACGGGACCAAGGCCTCCTTCCTCCACGACACCGGCGACCGTCCGTTCTCCGGGGGGCAGTGCCTGGTATACGCCGTTCAGCTAGGCAGCATCGCGTGCGGGGTCCGAATCCCAGTGCATTATAATCATCTGCCTCCTAGCGCCGTCGCCGAGTGCCTCGCTCTCGAAGTATCCGTCTTGAGGAGTCTAGAGGAACGCGGCTTCGCTTGGTCGCCGAGGGTTCTTGGCTTCGATGCGGGATTTGACAACCCCATCAAGTTCCCTTACGTGGTCCTCAGCTGGATCGATGGCAAGCTGCTGGAATGGACGCCTACTATACCACAGAAGAGACATGTTCGAGACAAGGTTCTGCGCCAAATGGCAGACATTGTCTTTGAATTGGTATCGTGCACAGAAGAGTGAGTGAGTTTGCGGACGTGTGCCAGTTTCACCGTGACGGTTAGCTAAAATGAATATATGTAGGGCCCGGAACGACCGCTAGCGCATATATGACGGAAATAATCCACGGCAAGATGTTGCGCGTCTGCGAAGGCCAGCTTCCCGGAGTGCTCCTCCATGACTGCCTGGTTCAGCAGGCGCTGGTTCGCAAAACAGTCTACGAAGTTCCAGACGACTCGTCTTTTGCCCTAGCACATGGAGATCTGGCTCCGGAGAGCATCATTGTTGACGATGAGTACAACATCAAGGGGTTTGTTTGCACTTTAGTCAACTTACCTCTCTAGAAGACATGCTGATTTTCAGTGATAGGATTATTGACTGGGGCCTTGCAAGATACCGGCCAACGCAATTTGCAATCGGCTTTCCACTATTTTTGGCTATTGAGCCAGAAAATGTACATGAGCCTCTACTGGAAGATGTCACCACCTTCAGCTCGACCTTTCTTCGGCCTTCCTAGTCTCTTCAGGCTGATCGACAATGTTTTCTATCCCAGCTGGCAACCCCGACCAAAGCCGAAGATGGACAGCAATCCATCAGACGGTTGATGACATTCGTCTTATCGCATCCTGATGTAGACTGGAGACGCCTTGTGTTTGAAGCAGCCTTTAGCAAAGGGCTTCATGCCTGGATGGCAGAAAGGTCCTGGCTGATTCCTGGGACGAAAGCAGGTTGGGAGGGCTTGTTCCTGGACCATGAAGAAGAGGGAGTAGGAGGGAAAGCAGTGACTACCGTTGGACTCGAGAAAATGTAGTCTACGTCTTTCTGTCCCGATGCAGGTTTGTGGATCTGCCGCTGTAGATACAGACAAAAATGGAGCAACAGGAGGCATATGAGGAGGAAGTGTGCTGTTCGGTTTCTTATATTCCATCCTAAACATCGCTCCTTCTTCAACTCTCAATCTAATCGACCGCCTTTTGCTCTGGCTCCGGCGGCGTATAACCAGCCTCATCCTCAACAGTCGTCTGCTTCGAGACCGTCCAAACCGTCGGCAGCACGATGAGCAACGACCCGATGCACAATCCCCAATTCATCCCCAACTGGGTCATGCCACTTACGTGAAGAGCATTGACCCTCCACGCCATCGCACCGCCGGTCGCTTGGAACGTCTTATACGCCCCCACGAGTATCGCCGACCGGCTGGCGCTGTTCGACTCTGTCCCGATGAGCCAGTAGCAGAAGCCCTGCCATAGGGCATCGTAGGCGCCGTAGAAGATGTACAGGAAGATGGGGCCCGTCGAGATGCGCCCCTGCGAGTAGTCGATGTCCTGCTTCAGGCCCTGGGCCAGCCTGTTGTCCTCCCACCTCTGGAATGAATACCCGCCCCCCCAGATGACCATGCCGGACACGAAGACGGTGGCCCAGCCGAGGCGGGCGCGTGCGGGACGGTCGAGCCAGGGCAGGTCGAGGAGGAGGCCGATGACGAGGCCGCCGAGCATCTGGGCGATCCAGTACAGGGCGCCGTTGAGGGAGCGGGTGCGGATGTTGAAGGTCAGGCCGTTGACGTTGTTCTGCTGGTAGCTGTAGAAGACGTTTGCCGAGAAGAAGAGCGGCAGCATGCAGGCGACGCGCCACTTCATCATGGTGCGCACAGCGGTGTCGATGCTGCCGCGGACCGTGTGTCTCTCGGTCTCGACGGCGGCGTGCAGCTGGGCGAGGTGGATGCTCGACGGCGAGCAGATGAAAAAGCCGAGGAGCCAGCCGAAGATCATGATCACCATGAGGGCGATGTAGGTCGAGTCCGTCACGGTACCCTTGGTCGAGTGGAAGTTGAGGCCGAACGACGCCAGCGACCCGATGCCGCCGCCGAGGTTGAAGATGACCCAGAACACGGCGATGGCCCGCCCCTTCTGAGACTCTTCCACGTACGTCGTCATGATGGCGCCCTGGACGATCCAGATGAAGGACGCGCCCACGCCCAGGATGGCGCCGGCCGTGATGACGAAGGCGCCGTTGGCGTGGTGGTTGAAGTCCAGCAGGCTGCCGCTGTACAGGGCATAGGTCCACCCGCCGATGAGGAAGCACCAGCGGGGGCCGACCCAGGAGAAGATGGGGCCGACCACGAAGAGCGCCGTCGCCGCGGTCGTCGAGAGGAGGGCGACGGTGGCGTTGGCGGCGACGGTCGAGTCGACTTGCCCGGATCCTCCTAGGCCCGTCAACGCATTGTACATCTGTTCCTCGAGGTTCAGCAAATGTTTCTCACAGAAGTGGAGGCAGAGGCAACGCCAACGTTGGAGACTTACGCCGGGGAGGCAGAAGCAAATGAAGCTGATAAGCAGGATCTGGGCCCACGACGAACGCGGCCGGTGTCTGTCCTGCCTTTCACCCTGGTCGGGAATCTGCATGGGCTGTTGCTGGTTGTCGGCCGGAGCCATGTCGTCCAACTCGTGAACGGCCATACCTGCTGCCTAGATGTGGCAATGTGATCTGCTATTGAAGCGTTCGTCGCCCGAGAAACAGGGAACGCGAAGTATGCCCGCTATCTATATATCAATGGGACACAAGAGCCTCATACGTTACATGGCCGCACGCCCGAAATACGACCATAGTCGTGAGGACGCGACCCAATAGTATTCGGGGCCACTGATAAGTGTCCATGTATTTGGGTCCTGAACGAGGGCAACTGCGGGGAAGATCTTCTGTAACCTTGCCTTAAAAGGGAGGTGAGATGGTGATCCGCGCTAACAACAGAGGAAGGAAACGTATCGCGAAGCTAACCAGGGTAGCACATGGGTAGATGCGGACTCGCGGGAATAAGCGCTGGTTCCCGGTTTCGCTTTAATACGCTCGCATTCCAGCTTACTATACGGAGACGGGCCGAACGATGTAGTACAAAAGATATCTATTGTCAGCATGCCGCCGCCAATAGTCGAGCTCGCCCGCCTGCAGACGGAGAACAGGAACCTTCGGAGCGCCAACATTGACCGGGTGTCCACGCAGGAACTCTGCAAGATCCTCAACCGCGAGGACTCCCTAGTGCCGGCGGCTGTTGAGCCCTGCATACCCGTCATTGCAGAGGTGATCGATGCTCTGTCTGAGCGTGTCCGAAATGGTGGTCGAGTCTTCTATATCGGCGCCGGGACAAGCGGGAGGTGAGTTGGCCCCCCCTCTGGCTGGCATCTGGACAAGTCTTGCAACTGACATGTATGTAGGCTTGGAGTCCTTGATGCTTCGGAGATACCTCCGACATACTCAGCGCCTCCTAATCAGTTCGTTGCGCTTATAGCCGGAGGCGACCATGCTCTTCGTCACGCGAAGGAGGGTGCCGAGGATAGCAGGGCCGGGGCCGAAGCTGATCTAGAGGCCCTCAACTTGAACCCCCAGGTCGACTCCCTGATTGGAATTGCTTCATCTGGACGAACACCGTACGTCTTGGGCGGGTTGTCCTATGCAAAGATTTTTGGGTGCATAACCGTTGGGCTCGTCTGCGTTGAGCCCTCGGCGGTAGGAGATGAGGGGAATGCAGACTACCTAATCGCTGCAGTAACTGGGTCGGAGGTCGTTACTGGTAGCACCAGAATGAAGGCAGGAACGGCGACGAAGCTGGTGCTTAACATGATCAGCACCGGGATTATGATCAAGCTGGGGAAGACGTATGGCAACCTGGTGAGTAGGCGCCTAGACTTGGTCTTTTTCGAGTCGTTTAATCCTGACAAGAGCGCAGATGATCGATCTCAAAGCCACAAACCTCAAACTCAAGCAACGTGCCAAGAATATTCTCAGGTTCATCGGCGGTTCAAGCTGCCCTCAGTCGGATGAGGAGCTTGAGCAGATTCTCGAGGCCTGTCGTGGGAGCGTGAAACTCGCAGCAGTCACAATCGTCTTGAATGTATCGGTGGCCGACGCTGAAGATCGCCTCCAGCAGAACAAGGGCATCCTGGCTCGCCTCTTTGAAGAAGAAGAAGAGAAAATCCAGAATCTGCATTTGCAGAACGGGAGCCAAGACGAAGGTCTAGTCCTGTGTGTGGATGCTGGAGGTACCAGCTGCAAAGCCGTAGTCATGTCGAGGGATGGAGGACTGGGGATGGGCACAGCAGGACCTTGCAATGTGTATGTTTCCACCCACGGCACCCCAACGAGATCCACGTGTGCTAGGCTGATATGGCTTAGGTCAAACATTGGCCTTGATGCTGCCACCTCGGCCATCTCCGAAGCAATCCAGGAAGCGTTAAATGCTTCCGAAGCGACCAAGGGGCGCCCATTCCAGTCCGTAAAATTCTTATCCGCCTGGGTAGGCATGGCTGGTTATGACAGGCCTTCTATGGCTTCGTTGGTTGACACGGCGCTGTCTGAGCTATTGAGGCTACCCCTTGGAGAGCGGTTACGGGTGACCACTGACATCGACCTGCTCCCGGCAACCGTAGCGTCACAACTTGATCTCGACTCCGTTATCGTTATAGTTGCCGGGACTGGCTCCGTTTCCATGAGCTACAAGAGAAACGGTGGAGGTTTCCAGCGAACGGGGCGTGCTGGGGGCTGGGGTCACCTCCTGGGTGATGACGGATCAGGCTATGGCATTGGGCGAGAAGCTCTTCGCAGAGCCTTATATTCCTCTGACCTATACCGTATGCGCAACAAGTCTGGGGTCATCACTGACACAGGGCTTCCCCCACTGTCGCGGGCCATCTTTCAGCACTTCAAAGCTCAATATCCAAAGTGCGAACCAGACGACCTCCTCAGCACCATCCTCGTCCCAGACTCGACCCTCCACCAGGCGGACGACGCAACTCTCGCGACGACCAAGCGAATTGCCGGAGTTGCGAAGCTCGTCCTCTCAATGGCTGACTCTGACGAAAGTGCGAGGCAAATCGTCGATGCTGGGACGGCAAGCCTGGCGCAGCTGGCGGCGTTGCTCGTCCAGACTCAGAATATTGATCCGTCAATATCGGGCCTTATACTGGCTGGGGGGCTGACCGAAGATAACCAGTTCAAAGCCAGGCTGCTTAAAGCCGTCGAGGAGAGGTGTGGCAGGTTCAAGCATGTGGAAGCTGTGAGCCAGCCGGCAGTTGCTGGGGCACGATATATGCTCCATTATAGCACACAATCCGCAGCTGATAATTAGAGGTTAGAGATGTGTGTTGGGCTCAGCTTGGACGATATACAGTTATAGATACCGAGTAAATAGAGAACCCATTGCCTCAGCGTTGCAAGCAAGTGCTTTTGGCCTTCCAGAGTTGAACCCAGTGCAACTTCTGTCACGGCCGCCACACTTTCTTGTATCTGCTCTGTTCTATTAAGAAGACAAATAACATATCAAACATGGCTAAACAAACATTCAAGACCAAATGCACACCCTGAGAACATTCTGAACGTAATTATGGGGAGGCTGAAGGGATATTCTAGACGAGGAAACGCAATCACAGAGGGATCCTTGAGCCCAGTTGTGTGCTATGCCGTTAAAGCGTCAGCCGGTTTGTGTGCGGAAACTGATTAGGGTCAACCCAACGCCTCGAAGTTAGTTATAACCTTGCTTGGGCCTCCTCTTCGCTTCCTGTTCTATGGTATAAACCGAAAAACATTTGCATGGGAAGAAAATGAGACTGTTCAATACTAACTCACTATACACACTTTTTATGCCTTTCCTTTCCTTCCTATTTCTACTTTAAGACGATACTTAGAATCGGTAAATTAGTTTCCTCGGCATTCGCAACTTTCTGTGAAATGGTTCCTTACCTACAAAAATGATGTTAATGAACAATGTGTGGTGGCGTGAAAGTTCCCAGACGCCTGGCAGCTGGCAGCTGGCAGCAGCTGGGAGATAAGTCGGCCAGAATATCAGCCACAGGACTCAGCCACATGGTGGGGTCCATCCTTGCAGAGATTTTACCCTGCATTACGTACGCGGTGACACATTTGGACCCCGCGGGGCATTTTTCGATTTCGCTCATCAACAGCTCTTCGGCGACAACGGCATTCCTGTTTCCAAGCTCAGCACTTGGAATCCTCTCACCATGGCGTACGAGACATTGACTGGCGAGTCGTGTTTCACGGCCTCGGAGGCGGCCAAGTTGATCGGCCTCATCAACAAAAAGAGCCCCGCCAAAGTCAGCCAGCTTCGCGGACAGTGGCTCTATTATGTCCATTTGGAGAATGGACTGGACAAGGTCAAGCAGCTGCTGCACGTCACTGGCCAGCCGAGGAGCTCTGCCTCAGATGAAAAGAGTGTCGACATATATATCACACCGCTTAACATCTCCCCATGGAGCTCGAAGGCCACTAGCATCGCCCACGTTTGCGGCTTGAAGGACCAGGTTCACCGTATGGAGAGGGGCCGTGTAGTTACCATTGAGTTTGAGGATTCGTACGACGGAGAGCAAGAGCTGGCCGCGCTACGCGACGTGATACACGACCGTATGACCGAGAACTTCGCCCTCGAGCCACCAGCGCTCCATGATATGTTTGGAGAGAAAGAACGGCTCCCGCTTATCATTGTTGATATCTTCGCCGACGGGAAGGACCCCCTCTCTGAACTTCAGAAGTACAACAAGGCCGAGGGCTTGGGCCTTGACCAGCCGGTACTCCCTTGCCTCTGTCTGCCCCTGAATCTCAGGTATATAGCAGTTACTAACTCTGCAATGCTCATAGAACATGGAGTACCTCGTGGCCGAGTTCAAAAACCTTGGACGGTCGCCAACAGACGTTGAACTCTTCATGTTTGCTCAGGTGAACAGCGAGCACTGTCGACACCATGTAGGCAACCTTGGGGATCACCCAATTAGAACTCCCGTTTTGCTCCCTCAAAACAGTAATTGCTAACTCATGCTTGTAAAGGTGTTCAACGCGGCCTGGACCATTGACGGCGTGGCCATGGATAACAGCCTCTTCGGCATGATCAAGAACACTCACAAGCAGACCCCGGACTTCACCATCTCGGCCTACAGTGACAATGCCGCCGTTCTCGCTGGTGAAGTTGGAAACTATTGGGCCCCGGATTACTCGACCGGCTCGTGGAAGCTCACGAGAGAAGTCGTCCAACCGGTAATCAAGGTCGAAACCCACAATCACCCGTAAGTCAACAGGAGGAAGGATTGTGCATTTAATAGGAGATTGCTGACTTTGAATGCTAAAGGACAGCAATATCCCCATTTCCTGGTAGGAAGCCATCTTCACATTTCTCTGTGAACGTTCTATCGTCTAGGTAATTGCTAACCCGCGGGTATCGTAGGGGCTGCAACTGGTAGCGGTGGAGAGATTCGAGACGAGGGTACGTGACTGACAAGCCCGTCGTCGGTTGAAAACCTGCTCACAGTCGTTTTCGTGTAGGTGCTGTCGGGAGAGGTAGTTCCCCCAAGGCAGGGCTTGCAGGGTTCTGGGTGTCAGATCTCCTATTCCCACCGCGCCCTTGGGAATCCGACATCGGAAAACCCGCGCACTATGCCAGTAGCTTGGACATCATGCTGTAAGTTAGCCCGGCCCCGGTTCCACTCCACCTGGCAATCGTTGACTCTCGTTATTTCAGTGAGGCACCCATCGGCTCGGCACAATTCAACAACGAGTTCGGACGTCCCGCTCTCGCAGGCGTGTTTCGAACCCTGCTCACTAACACGGCCGGGCCGGACCAAACCCCCGACTGGAGAGGTTATCACAAGCCCATCATGATCGCCGGCGGCATTGGTACAGTTAGGCCCCAGCATGCCATCAAGGAGCCCAACTATGTCAGTGACGGCGCCCACATCATCGTGCTGGGAGGTCCGGCGATGTTGATTGGCTTGGGTGGGGGTGCTGCTTCGTCCAGCACGGGCTCGGACGCCACCGCTGAGCTCGACTTCAACAGCGTCCAGCGAGGAAACCCGGAAATGGAACGGCGTGCCCAGATGGTAAGCAAACAGGGCTACCCTTTATACTCGGGCATTTGCTGATATTTCAAAGGTCATCAACACTTGCGTTGCTTTGGGCGAGGATAGCCCAATCGCCTTCATTCACGATGTTGGCGCCGGAGGATTGTAAGGAATCCCCTGGATTCTTCTAGTTCGTGAAGGCAATTGCTGACTACCGGCATTGCAGGTCAAACGCTCTTCCGGAATTGGTCAAGGACGCAGGCTTTGGAGGTAAGCAGCCCGGGGCGATCATCTTCAATTTTTCTCTCGGACGACCTAGAACATTTACTGACTTCCATTGCAGGCGAATTCCACTTGCGGCAAGTGGAAAGCGCTGATAATTCCATGTCTCCGTTGCAAATTGTAAGTGACATCACCATTCTGTCCCCCGTCGGTCCTTGGTGTAATGACTGACTTTTCTGACTTCATTTCAGTGGTGTAACGAGGCCCAGGAGCGATACGTGTTGCTCATTAACCCCGAGCATCTCACTCGGTTCACGCGGATATGCGAGCGCGAGCGTTCCGGCTTCTCCAATGTGGGCACCGTGGTTTCCAACCGGGACGGACGAGCAAAGCTGGTCCTCAAGGATGAGCAGCCTACTATTAAACCTGCTGTTAACCCCATCGATCTCCCGATGGACGTTTTGTTCCCACCGGGACATAGGATTGAGAGGAGCGTCGAGAGAGTCGAGAAAGCTCTCCAGCCATTCGACGCGGCGAAGAGCCTCGAGGAGAAGCACGGCGTGTCCGACTTGGGTTCTATGATCACCCAGGCCACAAAACTCGTCTTCAACCTCCCCGCTGTTGGTTCGAAGATGTTTCTGATTACGATAGGCGACCGGGTAAGTTCCTCCTGCTCTGGGTTCGGTGCCCTGAGATCAAGATGATGTGCTGATTTCGGTTTCTTAGACCGTCGGTGGTTTGACAACGCGTGACCAAGTTGGTAAGAAATTCCGATGCCCTTTATACTCTACCTGAGTACTCCGCGAATAAGTAATTACGGCGAGATTACTGACTCTGGTTATTCGCAGTGGGACCATGGCAGACTCCGGTGGCGGATGTTGCCGTAACCCTGACCAGCTTCAGCATCGACGAGAAGAGCCGCGCCGGCGAAGCGTTTGCGATGGGAGAGAAGCCAACTCTTGCTCTGATCTCCCCGGCCGCATCCGCCCGTATGGCCGTGGTGGAGAGCTTGATGAATCTTGGCGCAGCCGACATCAAGGGTTCCAAGAACCGCAGGGGCGACTTGAGGAGAGGTCAGTATCTAGCCCCAACCTATTTTCTCCCCCTTCCGGCAGTGTTGTTGGTCGATCCATGCCATAATACAAACTCGGGTGATTGCTGACTTCCGATCTTATCATTCAGTCAAACTCAGTGCTAACTGGATGGCTGCCGTCAACCACCCGGGCGAGGGAGCTGAACTCTACGACGCTGTGCAGGCGATCGGTTTGGAGTTGTGCCCAGAGTTGGGAGTCTCCATCCCCGTCGGTAAGGATTCGACATCGATGAAGGCGTCCTGGAAGGAGTCGGGAGAGGCAAAGAGCGTGACAGCCCCCGTCTCGGTCGTGATCTCCGCCTTCTCGTTGGTAAAGGACGTTCGCAGGACTTGGACACCACAACTCCGTCGCATCGAAGAAGTGGGAGAGTCGATCCTGCTTTTCGTCGATCTTGCGCAGGGACGCAAAGCCATGGGTAAGCAAGCACCCTCCGAGTCCATCATTGTCTTTCATGGTCCCAGGGAAACTTGAGACGCGGGTCCCTTGCTCTTGCGGCAAGTCACACTAGACAATTACTGACCTGCTATATTATAGGTGGTTCCGCCCTGGCTCAAGTTCTTGGGCAGCTGGGCAACGAAGCACCAGACGTCCGAGATACGGAGTTGATCAAAGATTACTTCGATGCCCTTTCCCAACTGCACGAGGAGGATGTGGTCCTCGCGTATCATGACAGTGAGTTTCGGAGTCCCTGGTTTCCCTTGCTTTCTCGCCATGTATGGTTCAGTTGCTAACTCGCAACCTCACAGGATCTGACGGAGGTCTACTCACAACCGTGGCGGAAATGTGCTTTGCTGGTCGATGCGGAGCCGACATCTCACTTGATGGAATCGCCGATTCCAAATCTCAGGTCCTCGAATCCTTGTTCAACGAAGAACTTGGCGCAGTCTTCCAAGTTCGCAAAGATGATGTCACACGGTTCACTCGATGGTCAGTAAAGAGATGTCACCTTCCTTCCCCCTTAGTGCCCGTTTGGGCACCAATCTGCCCTTATTTCTCTCCCCGATTCCGCTCTCATCTACTCTTGGAGATTGCAGAAATAGAAAACGCTGACTTTGGTCCCCAGCTTTGCCACCTGCGGGCCCCCGAGTGGTTTGATAAGACCAATCGGCTATGTTCGGGCGACAACAAAGCAGTCGCTGACGATTCGATACCAATCGAAGGTCCTGGTCAGTCTGGACAGGGCTGAGATGCAGCAGCAGTGGTCCAGCACCTCCTTCGAGCTGCAGAAGCTCCGAGACAATCCGGCTTGCGCAGACTCCGAATTTGCTGCTCTTCTCGATTCGAAGGACCCGGGTCTGTCCTACAACCTCACGGTTAGTTTAGTGCCTACACCATTTCAATACCCCTATTTTTTGACTGACACGTCTTCTTCAAGTTCGATCCTGCCGATATCAAGCTCCCTATGATGACTGCTCTCAAGGGGCTAGTTGCTCGCCCGCGGGTCGCAATCCTCAGAGAGCAAGGCGTGAACGGCCACGCAGAAATGGCGAGTTTACAATCCGTTCCAAACCCTGTCGGACTCTGTTGCTAACAGTCCATCCCAGGCCTTTGCCTTCCGTGCGGCCGGCTTCGACGCCGTCGACGTCCACATGTCGGACATTCTGGGCGGCTTCTCGCTCGCCGGGTTCCGCGGCCTCGCGGCCTCCGGCGGCTTCTCCTACGGCGACGTCCTCGGCGCCGGCCAGGGGTGGGCCAAGTCGATCCTCATGCACGACGCCGCGCGCGACACTTTCGAGGCCTTCTTCAAGCGGCCTGATACGTTTACCATTGGAGTTTGTAATGGATGTCAGGTATGTCACCTGGGAGTTGTCCCATTGACGAGTTCCTTTGCCCTCAAATTGGGTCAAATTGAGTAATTACTGACAACCTGTCGGTGTAGATGTTGACCAGGATCGCGGAGCTCATCCCGGGAGCCGACAACTGGCCGATCTTCGTCAGGAACGCCAGCCAGCAGTTCGAAGGGCGCTACTCGATGGCGACGATCCAGAGCCCGGGCCCCTCCCTCTTCTTCGACGGCATGGACGGCTCCTCGCTGCCGATCGTGGTGTCGCACGGCGAGGGCCGGGCCGAGTTCGCCTCGCCGGCCGACATGCAGGCCCTGGACGCGGCGGGCGTGATCCCGCTGAGGTACACCGACAACTACGGCAACGTCACCGAGGAGTATCCCATGAACCCCAACGGGAGCCCGATGGGCATCGCCGGCGTCAGGAGCCGCGACGGCCGCGTCCTCGCCATGATGCCGCATCCCGAGAGGACCATCATGGCCGACGTGTCCAGCTACACGCCGGGGGAGCAGCTCGACAAGTTCGGCCAGTTTGGGCCTTGGTATCGCCTGTTCCTTAATGCCCGTAAGTGGGTCGGGTAAGGTGCGAGGTGATGGATGATGTGCTAGGATGTTTGTGGCGGCTTCATGGTCTGGCGTTGTATGGCTTATATTTCGATGGTCCCTGGGGGGGAATGTTGAACTGCCTCAGTGGCTGAAAATTTTAGTTGATGAGGGTTAGAACCGATAAATAAACAGAAACGCATCCAATATGGCTCAGAATGCCATGTGACTGGGTAGCGGGTTGGGGCCTGCTGATCCTCGCTATCCGACCACGAGCTCGTCATATGCTTTACGTTGTAGGGAGGCAACTGCCGTTCCGCACCAGAGTAGCTCGTAGAGACATCTTATGAATAGCTCGATTTAACCATTGCGAGCTACTAGTTACCTAACTCAGCGGCTGTCTACTTCGAGCACCATATTTTTACTGTTCTCGTAGTACTCTACCCTGACAACCGCGACTTGCGTGGCTCATACCTCCATTTTGCATGCCGTAAGAACCATTCATTCCCCCACCCCATCCAACACAGCCACCCCCTGCTACTTAGGCTTCGGGCCTCGCCCCTTTCCCCCACCCCTCCTCTGGCCCCAAGTCCAATGCTTCTCCGGGTCCTCAGCCAGCTGCCTCATAGACAACCAATCCGCGCGCCCCGTCCCTCCCTCCCTCTCCAGCGCCTCCACCGCCCTCGCGGCCATCTCCCGCGCGCCCTCGACGTCGCCAAACAGGGCCAGGTTCAGGGCGGCGCGCGTGCGCGCCCCGCCGAGGTACATGTCGAGGCGCTCGGCCTCGTACAGGGCCACGAGCTCGCGGCCCGTCTCGGCCGTCACGGCTGTGCTCTGCGGGTCGTCGAGCTCGTCGCGCAGGGTGACGATCTGGGTGATACGCGCGTCCGAGACGGACACCTCGGTGGCCGGCATGAGGCAGTGCGAGCAGGCGCAGGTGAAGCCCCACCATTGGAGGCGCTCTTGGCGCTCGGCGCGAGGCATGGCTGCGTCGATGTAGCTTACTGAGAGCTCTTCGCCTGGGGCGATGTCACGGACTGCGATGGTGGTGATGGTTAGGTTGCGGATGTGGTATTGGATGCTGGGGGGGGGTTGGGTTAGTTTGTTTGTTTGTCTGTCTGTCAGGCTTGGGGGTGGCAAGGGGGGAGGCTTACTTTGGCCTGCAGTCGTGGTTGAACCGGGCTACGTCTAGGAAGCAGCCTAGGTGGTGGGCCTCTTCCTTGTCACCGTCGATATCCATCCGGAAGCAATTCTTGTTCAAGATATCCACGATGGTGTCCCCAACCAGGCTCCGGAACGCCCTCCGGGTCGGCGCGGGAAGTTTCTGCACGGCCATGTTGTACATGCCGACTTGGTATTTGTCTGGCATGGTATTGTGCAATCTGAGTTGCATCATCGCGGCTGGCGTGTTACTCATGATGTGCTCTCCCATCCGTATCGTCCTGTTGGCTATGAGACCCAGCCCCTTTCCCGGGATGTCGGCCTCGTAGTAAGAAGGACTCTTGGTGTCATCCTCGGCCTTCGGAGTATATTCCTTCACCATTCGCTTCACTATGGCGGCATTTTCCGCCGTCGTGGCAAGCACTATCCCTCCTCGGAACTGGCGGTTCGAGAAGATGCAGTGCTTCCCGATGCAATTGTGAGGACCCTCCCATTCGGTGTCCTTGCTCGGGGGTGAGATGCCAATGCCACATGTGGGCTCCGACTTCTGCTGCAATGGACTCCATGGACAGACTTCAGTGCCGTGTACCACCTGGGACACGATAGCAACCAGCACTATCAACAGCGTTCCGTAGAGTCGGAATCCCATATTGGCGGCGCGCTATCTCCCAGGGTTCCAAGGGCTTATGTAGATGATGGGGGCGTGCTGCTGGCTTCTTCACAAAAATTGCAACAAAATGACACGGTTTACGTTTTAACGGTGAGGCGGAAGAAGACGCCCCTTCACCAAACAAGACACATCTCAGGATAGCCCATGGCCGCAGATCCAGGCATTCAGCCTAATGCCCAAACCAAAACGCTGGGAAATGCGCTTGTCTTGGCGGGAGAACACCCTGGTCTGTAGATCTCGTGAAATTCAGCATGGCGTGGATTTCCAACTTCACATGCCTGTTGTCTCTCATGACTGGCTCTTCGTAGTTTCGTAGAACATGTGCTGGTGGTTCTTTGATGGTGGTTCGATGTTGGTCTGAAGTGCTCTCTCGCACAATTCGGGGCTGAAGTCGACTTGATGCCCCAACTAGATTTCTCCCTTTATCTCCACCTACATCCACTTATGTAGGGCGCATCACTTGAACCACCATTAAACTAAGCCCCGTCCTATTCGGAACCTTCCTGTAGGTAGAGCGAGAGGGACAGCCTGCCACTGAGTGTATCCATCCCATCTATTGCGAATACAATTCCATCGTACCTTCCCCAAGTGATGGCTGGATGGATTGGGGCGACATGGACAGTCAGTGCGCTGTTGTGCCTTGGAGTAGGGACACTCACTTGCACCTGCTTGAAGCTACCAGTACCAGCGCCGGTGTTGCAGTTTAGGTGCCACTGGCTTCCAGGTTTGTAACTGTCATTCATTCATGTGTCTTTCCATTGTTACCACCGTTTCCGACCTGAATGGTCTGCGACTGAACTCGCAGTTCGTTACACCTGCCCTATGCAAAATGCCGGACATGGTTATCTTCTTTTCCACCCGCCATCCTCTTACATCCCTTGTTCCTCGGGTCTATTGTTGTCATCGTGGAGCAAAGTCGACTACAATCACCCCAGGCCTAGTAACTCCTTACACACACCGAAGCTCCATTTCCAGAACCAGGACTTGTTCTCTCTGCCACGTTACCACACAAACAACATTCAGCATGCAAGGTAGCAAAGATAGCAATGATAACTCGGGCCAGCGGCAGCCAGATACCCCGACCACACCGTCGAAGCGCGGACGCCCCCGGTCCAACGCGATCTCTGAGGGCAGCTTTACACAACCCCGGAAAAGGAAGTCAGCAGCCGATGTAAGCATGACAGACAACAACCATCTCACCCCCTCTCCCCAACACTCCCATCCACAACCCACTAACGTCCTCCCTCCTCCTAGACCGATTCCTCAACAGAGTCCCTAGCCCCCTCTCCCATCCGCCGCCGCCGTAACCACCGCCGCAAAGTGTCCATTGGAGCAGCAACCCCCGACGTCCCCCCAGACGCCGTCGACCATTCTCCTGGCAATCCCTCAGGCCTGCCCTCGATCCACAGCAGCAGCAGCAGCAGCAGCAGCATGCCACCACCGCCACGTCCAATCCCCCAAGGCGTCCGATACCTAAACTCCTCCAACCTGCCCCTTGGCGTTCCCCTGGCCCTGCTCCCGGAACTCAGGGGCAGCAGCAGCAGCATGCCACCACGGCCACGTCCAATCCCCCAAGGCTTCCTAGAGCCAAACTCCTCCAACCCGCCCCTTGGTATTCCCCCGGCCCTGCCCCCGATCCACAGCAGCAGCAGCAGCAGCAGCAGCATGCCACCACCGCCACGTCCAACCCCCCAAGGCGTCTTAGACCTAAACTCCTCCAACCCTCCCCTTGGCATTCCCCCAGCCCTGCTCCCGGAACGCAGGGGCAGCAGCAGCATCATACTACCACCGCTACACCTAATCCTCCAAGACGTCCTAGACACAGCCGCCTTCGCACTGCGCTTTGGCATTCCGCCTGCCCAAGCCCCGCAACGCAGGGCCAGCAACAGTGGCATCCCCTTGGGACCCCAGAACGATGCTGTGGTGTGGAGCGGCTGGGAGCATGAGAAGTCGAAGGGAAATGAGAAGGAAAGGGAAGGGGAGAAGGTGAGGGAGAAAGGCGAGGATACAGATACTTGCAAGGGCAAGGAGAGAAAAAGGGAGCATGAAAAAGATGACGGGCAGGAGAAGGGGAAAGGGTAGGGCTTCCCTCAGAAGGATTGCCTTGGCCGGTCTACTGGAAATCCTTTTTTAGAGTCCCTACCAAACTGGTTCCAGGACGTTGGTTGATTCTCTGGTTGCCGACGGCTGTTCAGCAAAGGTTTTTGAAATAGATAGGTCAGGCTCTAAAGCAGCATGATTACAATGGCACAGCGTCCGTCTTTTGGTACGGAATATTATGCTTTTGGAGAAGAGCAGCCTTAGCTTGCGATGCTTTTACACAGACGGTGAGGACTAAAGGAACATTCCATCATCCGCCACATCCGAAACCTTTCCGTTCTAAATAGGATGGGAAAATCGGACAGCGCCAAGCGGCTCGCAACAGGCCGCTCCCTAGGGCGGACGGAGAAGCAAAGCGGACCGCGAAGCATCCCAACACCTGGGAACAAGCGACACCAATGGGGGCGGCCATTTATCTCACTGAAAATACCTGTACTTTTGCTCCCCTCATACTTAGGCTGACGCGGGAGGATGCCAGGTCTTGTGACGGACGATTCAGAATCGTTCGACGTCTATAATACGCCCGATATATAGTATCAATTAATGGCAATTTGATGGCAAAAAGCGAGACAGCACTGCATCGGCAATTCAGAGCACATTTATCACACGCCACTGCCGGCAAATCCACTTACCACCATACTTATATCATATACGTCCCGGATTCCAGAACGATGCTGTTTATGCACGGCATCCGCGTCTGTTTCACGCGGGGAAAGTATTCACGGTCCTGTTGTTGTCGATTCCTGGGTATGAACGGCGCATTTCGTTGTTTGTTAAGCCCAATCGTCCCAGGTCTCAGCCTGTGAGACCTCCCCTGGAACACCTTCCCCGGGAAGAAGTCGGAAGCTCGCGGCCATGAAGACGCAATGGCTCCTGGAGGCTCTCGGAGTGGCGTCATTCACGTCGCTCTCGGCGGCCGCAGCCGTCCGGGGAAGCATCCCCCAGGAGGACGTCCATGTGCAACGGAACAGTCGGCGGGATTCGAATGCCATCGCCGTCACCTCTAATTACGTTTCTCTGAGGGCGGTGCCAAAGCTTGCTCCGGATGGTTCTCCCAAGGCCGGACGTCGAGACTTGACCGATCCGCCAGCGGGATACCCCTTCAATGCTGGGTTGACCAACGTTCAAGACATATACTACGTCACAGACATCAAGGTTGGAAACCAGACACTGCCCGTGAGTATCGACACCGGGTCCAGCGATACATGGTTTATCAAGTCGCCCTTCACCTGTATAAATAATAACAACATGCCAATGCCGGTAAGCAATCACCCCTTCTGCAAGCCCTCATTCCTTGGGGCTAAACGAACGGGAACACCCCCCAACCGCAGGAAGCAAAATGCGGCTTCGACGAGGGCTTCATTGGCAACTTCAGCCACGGGACGATCCCCGGGTCCCGATTCAGCCGGCAGTACGCGGACGGCACGTTCGTGACGGGCTACTTCGGCTTCGACGACGTGACGCTGGGCGGCGTGGCGATCCAGCACCAGCAGCTGGCCATGGTGAACCAGACGTACTGGTACGGCGACGGCAAGACGTCGGGCCTGCTCGGCCTCGCGTACCCGCTCATGACGAGCATCGACGGCAGCGTCGCCATGTACGACCCCGTCTTCACCACCATGTGGAAGACGGAGCAGATCCTGCCGCTCTTCACCATCGCGCTGTCGCGCGACGACGAGGGCAGGAACCTCACGACGGCGGCGGGCGACGAGTCGAGCTACCTCGCCTTCGGCGGCCTGCCCCCCGTCGACTACGACGACTCCACGTGGGCGCGGACGCCGATCCAGACCATGGGCGCCATGCCGAGCTGGAACGTCGACGAGAAGGGTCACGGTCTGTACGTCATCACGGCGGACGCGTACATCTACGGGAGGGTGAACGCGTCCGATCCGGAGTCGACGGCGGGATTCACCGTCAACACGACGCAGTTCCCCATCTTGGTCGACAGCGGCTCGACGCTGACGATCCTACCCACCGGTTCGTCTTTGCTTCTCATTTCCAATCCCCCTTCCCCTGAACAAAACAAAACCCCCCTAACCCAAGACCCCTAGATCTCGCAACAGCCATCCTCAAATCATTCTACCCGCCCGCGCAGTTCCTCCAGAGCGACGGGGCGTGGTACGCGCCGTGCAACGCCAAGATGGCGCGGTTTGGCGTCCGGATCGGCACGCAGGAGACGTACTGGATGAGCGCCGACGACCTGCTGCGGCCCGGTGCCCGGGACAAGGAGACGGGCCACCTGTGCCGGGTTGGGATCATGGATAGCGATTCCGGGCCGCATGTCCTGGGGGTCACGTTTTTGTCCAACGTCGTTGCCGTGTTTGACGTTGGGAACACCGAGATGAGGTTTGCGAAGAGGTTGGCGTATTGATGTTGATGTTGAGATGACGCGTTTTGTTGTTGCATGTTTGGCTGGAAATGGGATGCGTGAAATATCCCGCCGGGAGAGTTGCTGACCGTCCGTGGGTGTGTGTTATATGTCCCTGACATGGACTTAGTCTGTCATTGCCGGAAGTGCATGATCATGAATTCTTGTGAGCGCCGTTTCAAAGCTGAGAATGGTTGCAATCAGCGACACCAGTACACATGAGAGGCAGAATTAGTTGCCATTGCAAACATTATCTCAGCTTTGTGGCAAGCTGCATCTAGTAAGCCAACTGTGTCACCGTTGGTGTACTTCTCGGAGTAGGGAAATTAGGGGATAACTCAACACATACTCCCTTGATACTTTGCCTGTGTTTAAACCCCTAGGGATCCTCATCTATACGACGCACTAAATTTGGCCATCACAAATTCCCGTCCGTCTTAAGACCCTGACGAGAAAACAGCTTAAAGGATACCAGTCCTATTCCCCGATTTATGCTGCTCTGCAAAGGCCTTGATGGCATCCCAATCCCTGCACTGATGCGTGGAATTTGCTCCTGTAAACCCATATCTCGTTACCTTCCCATCCTGGCCAAAGACTCGATCATCAGCGTAATCCATCGTCGTATCTCCGGCGCACATGACAGCCTGCCGAATATACTTTTCTAAAAGTTAGCGTCTAGATGCCTCACACTCCGAAGAAAGGAGAGAACCATACGTCGAGACAATGGTACTCATGCCCGTCTCCTGCATAACGGGACTTATCACGCTTTTCGTATTTGATGATTACATCCCGTAGAACGGCCTAAAGTGGGGTTAGTAATGCGTGCCAGCGTCGAAAAGGGGAAACATACTAAGCAGTGAAGTTGGTGAGTGACGGAGAGAGAGTAGACTTCTCCTTGCTCAGGGTCGTCTTCGATAGGCTCGCTATCCGGCATGTCGAAACGCCGGGGATATGGGACGCGGAGGAAGCCCAAACCGACTATATGTATTGGTCAATAAATGTTCAATTGAGAATTGCAAAGTTTAAAGGTCCTTACCTGGCATCAGGTCGTTCCATAGCCCGTATCCCTCGGGTCCTGTGTCTTCATATTTGGTGGGGAATTCAAAGGTTACTTCCTTGATAGGTACTGTGGTAAGTTGTCAGTACCAATGCTGTGTAATAATCCTGCCATGGGATGTTTCCATACTCTCAGGAATGAATGCCTGCTGAGGCATAAGACTGCCTGCGACAGGCTGGGGCCGCCGTGATGTGGCATCCTCTTTGGACCAACTTTGTCCTACAGCAAGTCCCAAGATAAAAGAGGTCACTGCAGATATGGCGATAAATAGCGCTGCCACCGCAATACACCAAAGGGATAACAGCCTCCTAGGATGGGGTGTCGCCGCGCCATCCTCGTCCAGCGGAATTGATGTATAGTCCTTAGACATTCTGGTTGTCTCTTACGAGCGGCAAGGCGATGCAGGACGTACGACATAACGTGGAACTTCCATTTCAGCCTTCGACAGGAGGCGGAATCAACAACTCCGTCTAGCTGGTAATATTGCCACGTATTCATCCCGACAGCCTAAAAACCCTCGAGTCTCATCGGTGTAACCAAATTCACGTGACCCTGTCGACAGATTGGAGGTTATATGTTCAAAGGGAACTCTTCAAAAAGAGATTTCTGCAATCCGTACTTATTAGTCGGGAATCTACATGTGCAGGACTCAGACTGCGGAAAGATTACATCCCAGATTCGAGCACAAGACTATGCGAGTGTCGGCAAAGGATAGGAGAACGCCAACATCCTCGGGTTTATTCCGGAATTCCCAACTTCGGTTTTACCAGCCCCTGATATTGATGATCCGGCCCGACCTGCTACGGGTTTCGTTATTTGAGGTCTTTGTTCGTTAGGATATGTGCTCCGCTCTAATCCACTTGTTTTAATGCAAAGTTCTTCGGGACAATGTTTGGAAAAAATAATCATTCTTACCAGGGACGCATGCGCGGCTGGATCGGGACAATCCTTCCCAGCCGATTATAGACGCATTTTAGCAAACACAGCGAGCTTCCTGGAATGTAGAAGCACGTTGATTGCATCCTAGCGACGATTGGCGCATCGCAGCAAGGAAAAGCGTTGGCCAAGGACGGCCAAGGTGGCCAAGATGGCCAAGACTAAGTAGTCTTCCCTTGAGCCCCTGCTCCTGGTGTGGGCAGTTCCCAAGTGGGGCATACGATCCCATTATCAACACCACGCCTTCCCTCTGCCAGCCTCGCATTCCACCACGCTCGTGGTGAGGCTCCTCCGACATGGAGCACGTGGCCGGAATACTTCGTGGACATTCTACGACACCGATACCCGCTATCGGTCCCAATTTCCCGGGATGCCCCTCAGTTCCAGCAGAATGGCCCGCTGAAGGAAGACTATCGACCCGGTGCTGCATGCAGCGTGACTCTGGCCAGTCTGGCGGATGCGGAGGTGTTGAGGATCGGCGTACTTATACCTTGTAATGCCTCCCACCATGTGGCAAGAGGTTTGATTCTGATTCTGGGTACCGTCAACCTCCTTCTCCTGCAAACCCCGGTCAAGGCATCTCCTCTTTCAGCAGTACTTGACTCGTGACTCGAGCAATACCGTCTCGTCGAAATGCGCTCCAACGCTGGCATCCTCGCCGTCGGCGGCCTGCTCGCCCACTCGGCCCTGGCTGCTCCCTCGGCCAAGAACTTCATCTACATCGTCCCGGATGGATTCGGCCAGGCCTCGCAGACCATGGCCCGAGACTACGTCTCGCTGATTCAGAACGGCGGGAACCCCAAGGCCCCCGTCAGCATCCAGCTCGCCGCGGACAAGATGGTCATTGGCAATGTCCGTACCCAGGCAAGCGATAGCCTGATCACCGACTCGGCCGCCTCCGCCACCGCATTCGGCTGTGGAGTGAAGACTTACAACAATGGTGCGCACCTGCAAGAACGTGTTGTGTGCGCAACTCTCGGGAAACAAGCTAACCTACCGCACTAGCCATCGCTGTCGACCCAAACGGTGAGCCCGTCGGGTCCATCCTCGAGGCCGCCAAGCTGAACGGCATGCGCACCGGCTTGGTTGTCACCAGCACCATCAATCACGCAACTCCGGCGTGTATGTTCTTGTTCTTTCCAAGAGACCACCCCTTAGCCCAAGACAAGACAGCAGATACTGACGTATCCGGGCTTACCCAGGCTACATCGCCCACGTGGCCAACCGCAACTCGTACGAGAAGATCGCCGAGCACGAGATCGGCTACGGCCACCCGATGGGCCCCTCGGCCGACATCCTCATGGGCGGCGGCCGCTGCTACTTCAAGCCCAAGTCGGACCCCGGGTCGTGTCGCCGCGACGACGTCGACCTGCTCTCCTTCGCCGAGGAGCACGGCTACTACGTCATGCAGAACCGGTCCGCCTTCGACACCCTCAAGGGTGGCAAGGGTGACATCCCGCTGCCCTTCCTCGGCCTGTTCAACGACGGTATGTCTCTCTTGCTGTTGAATCCTTCTCCGAACCCCTGCTTATTTCCTTTCCTCCCTCTCCCCTCGCGCAGACCAGATGATGTACGAGATCGACCGCTCCCGCCAGCCCGAAGCAGAGCCCTCGCTCCTAGAGATGGTCCAGACGGCCTTGACGGCGCTCGACCGGGCCACGAGCTGCAAGAAGAAGGGCTACTTCCTGATGATCGAGGCGTCGCGCATCGACCACGCGGGCCATGCCTCTGACCCGGCGGCGCACCTCTTCGACACCATCATGTACAACGACGTCATGGGCTTCGCGCGCGAGTGGATCGACGCCCACCCGGACACCATGCTGATGAGCGCCGCCGACCACGAGTGCGGCGGCCTGACCCTGCACGGCTTCAACCCGCTGCCGCTCGGCCGCGCCTCCGCCTCCACCGAGGCCCTGGCGAAGCTGTTCGGCGAGTTCAAGGGCTCCGACGCCGAGCGCCGCGCCTACTTCGTCGGGGAGATCTTGCCGGCGTACGGGCTCGAGGGCGCCAGCGATGCAGAGGTCAATACCCTGCTGGCGGCGCGCAACCTCGGCACCGAGATGGGGAACCTGCTGGCCAGCCGGGCGGGCGTACACTTTAGCACGGGCGACCACACGGCCAGCGATGTCACGCTGTTTGGGTACGGGGCTGGTGAGAATGGGAGGGCTATCAGGTCTGACATGGCCGGGAACTGGGATAACACCCAGCTGCCTGGGTACATTGAGAGGGTGCTCGGAGTCAAGATGTCCGACGCCACTGCCGCCCTGCGCGCAAACGGGACGTCGTGGGTTGGGAAGCGGGATCTGAATGCTCGGTCTGATGACCACATCCACGGCCATGGCCATTCCCATTAAAGGGGCTGGAAATGGGGTGTTTGTGGAGCATTGATGGAGTTGGACAGGGTAAGAGATGTGTGTAGAAGAGGATTTGAAAAGGGATCGCGTCTGCGTATCCCATAATGTTAATGGCATAAGAAACGCAGTGTCTACTTGGCTCAGTAACGTGGGATGGTTTCTCATTTGTAACTCTGCAGCCTTTTATTGACTTGTCTTTCTCTTGCTCTTCTAGATTTTTATTCATATAGCGTCTCCTTGCCTTGCTGTCCGTAGATTTGCTAGAGTCACACTCTAATATCATACTCGAAGTCAGGCAAGATGATCTCATGCGACTCGCAAGGGAATCGTCAGTGAAGCTCAATCTAGTCAGAGACTGATTCTTGCAAGAAGAAGTTTATGACATGAGGACCCAGGAGACTATGACCAACTTAGCGGCTACGCACCATAGGCAAGTTGGTTCTATTTTCCAAAATCGACGCTGTAGCATGTCGAATATTTGTTTCATTTTATATAGTCCTTTGGACAGGTCGCTCGTCCGGCCGCCAACGGGCTGCCTTCAGTTATGAAGCTCACACTTTCTCCAAGGAAAGTGCCGATTCATTGCTTCTCGGACGGGCCATATGTCGCCGCCCACGCATCGTAGGTCGGCGACAACATAAGCTGCTGCATGTGACGTCTCCGAACTCCAACATTGCCACCATCGAAGATGGGCAACACCATAGCAGTGTTCAGAAGTTCGGCGAAAGGCTGGCTCAGGTCATAAGCCGTGCTATCATGTCCACGTTAGCGTGTCTCGCCATACGGGGGGTCGTATCTCCTTCCCTGGCTGTGGCATCGGGAGGTGAATTCGAACTTACATTCCTACCGCATTGATGGCATCCGTGCAGGCCTTAACGGCCGCGTCGCTGCAGTAGATCTTGGCGGCCAAGGCAAACTCCCGACGCGCGTCGTAGTCGCCGGGGCCATTCTCCATGGCGTGGGCGGCCTTCCACGTCAGGGCCCGTGACGCCTCAGCCTGAATCTTGACGCCCGATAGCAGGTCGGCAAACGCCTGGCGCTCCAGCAGCGGCACCGCGCCGTTGCGCGAGTCCCGCTTGGCGAAGGCCAGCGCAGCATCGAAGGCCGCCCGCATGAGACCGACACCCATGGCGCCAACGAGGACCGCGCTGACATCGAATGACCCGAAGGCAACCTGGGCGCCCTGCCCTGGAGGGCAGAGCACATTCTTGGCTGGCACGCGGACGTTGGTGTATCGCACGTGGGGTCCCGAGACCGACGTGTGCCCCGGAGTCGAGATGTGGCGCAGGACCTCAAAGGCGCCCGCACCGTTGCGGTCGAGGTCGGCACGGGTTACCAGGAGGATCATGACATGGTCTCTGGGGTCGCCATCGGGATTCGGGGTCTCGTCCGTAACGTCACGACAGACAACGCAGGCCAGGTCACATCCCTTGAAATCCCAGCCCGCGCAATTGGTCGCCCACATCTTCTCGCCGTTGATGACCCACTCGTTGCCGTCGCGGCGCGCCGTGGTCTGGAAGCCGGGCGCACCCTTCTCCAGGGCGTTGGCGACTCCGCCGGGCTCACTGAACACCAGCGAGGCCAGCGGGGCGCCCTCGCCGCTAAGGAAGGGCGCGAGGAACTCGGCGTGCTCAGGCCTGCCCGCTATGTTCAGCGGGGTCAGGCCTAGGCCGGTCGCGAAGATGGTGAGAGCCGCGGATGGTTCGACGGCATAACACTCCTCCACCATGATGGCCGCCTCGACAAGGCTCCCACCGCCGCCGCCGTGAGCGGGCGAGATCTGGCCCTTGATCAGGCCGCCCTTGACTGCCGCAGAATAGGCCGTCTGGGTGGCTTGGAACCGCTCGTGGTGCTGCTCATGCTTGAGGTACTCGGAGCGGGCAGGCTTGAGGACATGCTGGGCAAAGCTGGCGGCGGCAGCGCGGGTGGAAGCCTCGGTCGGGCCAAGATGAAAGTCTACAGGCATGTTGTGAGGGCGTGAGGGGTGTGTGGGAGTGAAGTGATAAGCTGCATTCAACTGGATGCAGAGAAAGCAAAGCACAAAATGAGCAACTGAAGTTACCTGGAGATTTGACATTTTCCTGCGGACCCCGCTACTTAGCCTAATACGGTCGGTTTACCATCTAATATTCTAATCCATGATCAGTCTGTTTGTCAGCGTTGCATGTCGCCAGGGGGTCTGAGCCAGGTGCTGGAGCTAACAGCATTTCACTTGCACACCCCAAGCACACCTACTACACAGGGCTGCACCAGCCCTTCCACAAGGGGCGCAATATTCAATGACGAGATTCGTCTTTTAGATTGGGCTGTTTTATGTTTCTTGTTGCATCTTTTACCCTTCTGGAAGGATGCTGAACGGGTGGGGTGCGACACACCCCTTTTCCCACTTCCACTCTCTATATGATATATGAGGAAGCCTCCTTGGCGAACGGTGTGGGCGAATCAAGGGATCTTGGTAGCAATTGCAGCAGGATTTGATACGGGATTTTCAGCTGCTCGACTGACAGACTTCGAAGGCTGTGGATACGTTTTTGGAAACATTGGGGGTTGTTCCCATCGTAATGTAATCGGTCGAGAGAAAAACAAAATAGTAGTTCATATTTGCGTTTGACAGTGTCGGAGCTAGGTACCTTGAGAGTCAAAAAACTAAAACTCTCCTTCCCTTCCACATACATGCCATTACCACGGCTTGTAGACGTAACAAAGCGGTGTCCCTCCAACGGTATCCATGGTCTGCTCGATTGTCACGTTTCGGCTGATCGGCTCAAAGGCCTTGGAGTCCGTGAGCTTGGCTTCCGCGCTCGGGGGCCGGTTGTACATGGTATTCGTGCCCGAGATGGTCTGCGTTTAGCGATGGTCAGCAAAAAAACGAATGATGCAAAGCTGGAATTAATGACCTCACCTGTCTGTTCTCCCGGTCGAGCCCCCATCCCCAGTACGGGAAGACTCCTATTCGGGGGACGAATATGTCAGCGCAAGTAGGCAAGGCGGAGGCTCAGTTCAAGACTGGAGGGAGGGGAGCAACGTACCGCTGTATCCGCACAAGTCATGGAGATCTTGGTCGAGGACCCAGTTGTAGTGCCGATGCCAGAGCAGGAAAGTGGCCGAGTTGTGGACGAAGGGAGTTTGGTAGTAGTGCAACATCCCGTAGTCGGCCAGGGTGACAACTTGGTACAAAATGAAGCAGGTGTGGCGCACCTTGTTCCGATAGTCGGGGTGAATGCAGGCCAACCCAGACTCCGCATCCTAGTTGGGTGATCGGCAGAGGCACATGGTGACGGTGATGGTGTTGCTGCTGCTGCCGATGGTGATGGTAGTTGTCTGGGTGCCTCGACCTTTTTGGTCGTAAATGAGGTCAAACTTCGAAGACTGCGAATAATATAGAGCTTGTGCCTGGGGACAGGGGCAGTTGGCTATTCGGGCAGGGCGACAGCGATGGCTAGCCAAATGCCCCTGCCCTAACAGTTAAATGCCCCTGCCTGAATAGCTGAATGCCCCTGCTTGAATACCAAATTGCCGCTGCCCAAATAGCTAAGAGCCCGCCCCTGCCCGCGGAGACGACCTCATAATATACCTCTAGCCAGTCTTTGTTTTCCTGCTTTAGGCTATCCTCATGAAGACGCCGCAAACGCCGCGCCCGCGGACCCCATCAATCAACAGAGGCTCTGGTTGACTTCTGGATATCCATAATTAGTATTTGTTCACTGCACGTCTAACCTAGACATGACGAGAAGAGCCATAAAGATAGCTGAGATTGAAATCTTTTCAGAACGGGCGGCTGTAACAGAAAGAAGCAGCCATTGTTGTGCCAAAAGTTGCCCACTTCCAGCGTCCTCAGCAGGAACACCATTAAGTTTGATCTGGAGTTGTTCACCTCCATGGCCGAGGCTAGTGAAACCGTTGGGTTCGACCTGGGACTTCGGATCTCCATCTCGCCTACAATGCCTATCATCAAAGATCAGCATCAACATTGGACTTGCCTCAACTGCGATACCACAGCTCCCCGCTACTCGCTACTACTCCAGGATAAAGCAACGAGAACTTTAATTTATATTTGAAAATATATATATTTGAAGGGGTCCAGGTAGGTATCCGGATCTGCGCAACTCCATGTGACCCCTCTTTGGACCTCCCCCTGACCCCTGAACCTGTGGCAGCAAGACTAAGTGAGCAGAGGCTATATACACCAGGTATACAAGGCATGTATGTACGTCTCCTCGTCTTTGAGAGTAGCATTAGTTCCAATGGGCCGCTTTGCCGCGTCATGTTTCCCTAGTCTTACCACCGGATTACCTTCGTCCAGCCTTGGCTGCAGCGTCTAGGTTGTGCTTGGCTCCGGAGGCCCGACTTACTAGCCGACCTGCTGCTTTGGTGCCAATGGGACCGGTGAGATTGTAAATATTGAAGCCTGTCAGCAGACACACAATCGAGTCAGAGGCAATGTTGCCTATGCCGGCGCATCGACATTCCTTTTGTCTTTATAGCTCTTCTCGTCATGTCTAGGTTGGACGTCCAGTTATAAATACTAATTATTGATATCTAGAAGTTAACCAGAGCCTTTGTTCTAGAATCCAACGCTGAATCTGCCAGTATTATCTAGCCCATCGTAACACGTCTGCTTCCCCTATTCACCGCCACACACGCCCTCCTATCCAACTAAGGGCTCTGCACCCTTCGGCAACGTAACCCTAAACACCAGCATCTGGTTATCCAGGCTGAAGCCAGACTCATCCTGATACGGCAACAAGCCACCGTTCATATACCCTGTCAAACATCGTCAGCTTCTCACTGCCTCGTACCGAAATCGCGTCTCAGAAATGAACTCACCATCCTGGGTAATAAAGTCGTTATCCGACGACGCAAACAGGAAATACTCCTTGCCGCCGCCGCTGCCATCCTCCTCGTCGTCACTGACGGGGACGAGCGCCAATCCCTCCCACTTCTCGTTCAGCAGGCCCTCGTCCTGTTCCCCGCCGTTATGCAAGCCAAACTTGCCCAGCTGCGAGTTGACGTTGAAGTCCAGCCAGGAGCAGTAGGTCACGGGCGTGATCTCGTCCTTGAGCACGCCACCTACAGGATCACATGACCCCACCAGTCAGCAAAGCGCACCTACAAACAACGCCGGGGGGAAAGACTAAAGAAGAAGAAAAAGCAGTCAACCCAAGCCCGCATACGCACCTGCACTCGCAACCGCATCCCCAACCCCATCATACTTCCCCGCAACATCCGTCGCGCCCGCGACATCAAACACATCGACGCGCCTATACCTCGACAGCGCATCGTCCATGCCCCTCCCGGCGCCCGAGTCGCGCGGCAGCACCAGGAACTGCGTCCCGCCGGCGTGGTGCAGCTCCGACTGCGCCGCCACGCGGTCCTTGCCGGCCGCGTTGACGAACGTGGGGAGGGGCACCACCCACTCTCCCGTGTACGTTGGCGCCTCCTCGTTGGAGAGAGAGTACGCCAGCAGGCGGACGTGGCGCCGCGTCGGGGCCGAGGCGCCGCCCTCCTGCTCGGCCGCCGACTGCAGGAGCACGTAGAGCGTCTTGCCGTCCGCAGAGGCGGTCAGGCCCTCGAAGCCCTGGTTGTTCTGCCGGCCCAGGGTGGGGTCCCCTGGGGTGGGAAGCTTGGCTGGGTCGTAGCGGGGGGGACTGTTGGCCGAGAAGCTGGGAGGGGGGGGGGGAGTTTAGTACCGAGGCGTTGCGCACGTGGATTATATGAATTACTGCGAAACTTACCTGACAGTGTCGTTGCGGCGCGGCAGGATGGCCTCGGGCGGCGCAATGGCGTGGACCATCTTGCCGCTGCTGTCGAACCGGTACACGTACGGGCCGTACTCGTCGCTGATCCAGAAGCCGCCGCCGCGGGCGAGGACCAGGCCCTCTGGGTCGAGGCAGACACGCCTGCCGCCTGCACCGGGACCGCCGAAGCCGTCGCCGGGATACGTGGCCGCCGGCAGGACGGGGAAGCCCGGGTAGGTGGCGCCGCCGGCGAAATCCGGGTCGAGGCCGGTGGTGGGCGTGCCGTCGGGGCCGGTCAGCAGGATGGTGTCGAGGTACTCGAACTCGACGTTGGGCTGGGCGGGCTTGGACAGCGACGCCGGCACGGGGGTCAGGCGGACCGTGTACTTGTGGATGCGGGGCTGGTAGTTGAGCGTACCCTCGGTGTTCCAGCCGCGGTCGGGCAAGCCGTACAGGATGCCCTCGTAGGAGCTGCCGCACTTGCTGCGCTCCCACGACTCGATGGCAATGCTGGAGCCGATGCTGATGGTGTCGCCGTACTTGTCGCGCGCGCTGCCCGGGACGAAGCCGTAGCCCGACAGGCCGTCGTAGATATACCTCTTGCCATTGCAGGTCGTGGTATTGACAGCCCGGGGGACGCAGGTGCTCGCCACGGCTGCTGAGACGACGCTCAGAGCAGCAAGGCCAGTCCTGAACAAGACCATTGTCGCGAATAAGGGTGGGCCTGTGGTCGAGTGGTCGTGTGGTCCTGATCCAGCTGCGGATCCTGTCAGGAGACACAAACGCAGGGTGGGATGGTGCCCTTTTTAAGCAGCCATGTGGGTGCAACCAAGCCTGGCGAGAATGGCCATTGTTGTCTGTAATTTACCCAACATCCATTCTGCAGCTCCCGGTATCGCTGGTCTTACAAGGACCCTGAGATAATATATTGTATTACATGTACGTTATCCATCAATTCAGTTGCCGTGTGCTCCGTAGACCTGGTCGGATGTCGGACAGGAAGAGGCACGTGGTGTTCATCATTGGTGGAGGACGCTGGCGTCATCCATGCCAAGAAATAAATAGTATTCCAACCCCCCTGTAGAAGGGTTTCCAGCTCCATTTTGGGAGGTTGCAATGATGCAATAACCCCATAGCTGCAGCCCCAGATGGCCAGGTCGCCCGCATTTAGGGCCAAACTTGCAGCAAATCCTTTGGGGTTCAATCAGGTACAGACCAAAGGGCTGAACCAGGTACGCAAGAAGGAGACCACTGTCTGACCGGACACTGACACGTGCTGTGCCTTGATGGTTTGTGGGACCGAAGGACTGGCATTAACATTGCGAGAATATTTTGAAAGACCATCGCAAAATTCCCTCATGCGCCGCCGCGCTGAATCCTGCCATTGCGATCGGGAAGTTGACTTCAACTTGCGAGCCAGCTGCTGGAGTAGGGGTTGGCCATCTTATGCCTGGGCAATCATCCCATAGAATGGCTGTGAATCGGCATTCGAACTCCTCCGAGGGGGCCTTCGAAGACTTGGTACGAAGTGATGGAAATGGGGGCTTTGGGAGCTGATGAGGAGACAGGGGATATTATGATACGATAACATGGAAGAGCTCTTGTAATGGCGGAATACTCCGCAGCCACATTCAGGAGCAGTTACGTAATGACAATCAACAAGTCAGGGGCTAATCAAAGTCGCGTATCCTCCATGTAAGACGCGTCTCTACCATTTCCTCCGTTTCCTTCAATTTTGATTAGAGTTTCCCGCTCAATTCTGCCTGAAACACCAGTACCAAAGACTTCTATCCCAGGAAAGAACACAGCCAGCCAATCCTAGCCATGCCACCCAAACGCTCTAGCCCCGGCGCTGCAGATGAGGACGGCCCGAGCAAGAAGGTCGCATCCGATGCAGCCAAGGCCAGCCAGGCAAAAAGTAAGCGCTGGGCGGCCGTGTCCGGGTCCCGCAACGCCGATGACGGGTACAAGCAGGCGATTAAGGACCCGGCCGTCGCCTACGCCTACATCTGCCTTTGCAGTCCTCCGTGGGGTGATGACGATGACGAGGACGACGACGAGGATGAGGAAGAGGAAGAGGGCGACGACGAGGATGAGGAAGAGGACGACGAGGACGACGAGGACGGCAGCGCCAAGCCTCGCGTCAAATGCAACGGCGGGAAGTCCTGCCTGTGCAGCAAGCCCGCCGCGGAGAACCCGGACCATGCCTTGATCCTATCGTTGGCGGGATCCCGCAAGCATCTAACCCTGCACGACCTTGCGAACCTGCGGTGCCCGGACTTGTTCGACATGTACACCTTCAACGACCACCACGGGTACGGCGTGCTGGAGGTAGTGCAGAACCTGTTCCTCGACTTTTTCGAGGCCGAGTCGGACTGGCGCGAGCAGTGGGCCGTGTGCGAGGCCATGGTTTTCTTCCTGCTCACCCGTGCCGCAGACCCGATGATGATGTGGGTTTTCCGATCGATCTTCCTGTTTAATTGACGATCTATTGCTGACGCCGTGTCGCGCATTGGCACAGGATCGAGGGTGACACCGTTGATGGCACGGTCCGTCTCGTCGGCCGTACCTTCCTATCAATGCTTGCCCGGCTCGAGCGCCAGAAAATGCTCAAGGAAGACTCCGAGGTCAAGAACCTCGGCCTCATAATGGCTCTATATATCAAGCTCGCCAGCGATGTGCGCGAGTTCAGCGTCCTAGAGGACGAGGACGAGGAGACACTCCGCGGCAGGAAGTCGACGAAGGGCGGCAGGGCGGCGTTCCGGTTCGTACCCGACCGGTTCAACGACTACATCGTCGCCTACGCGAACAAGTACGCCATTGCGCTGAAGGGACTCGACGATATCGACGAGCTGGCGGCGGACTGCGACGGCACCGTCGGGTTGCCCATCGCGGCGGAGGGCGTCGACCCCTGGGATCTGGCCGGGGCTCTGCAGAAGTACAAGCGCAACTACGGCGGCACGCCTCGATCAGGGAGCGGGATCGGAGGCGATAGCCTGGACATCACGGCCTGGAGCAGTGCCGAGCGCAAGTCCCACAGCTTCAATGGGAAGGACCCGCTGGGGAAGAAAGAGATTGATGCCCTCAAGCAGGGGATGGTCCTGCAAATCCGCTAGTTTCGGGACTGCACACTGCCGTGTAAGATCTAGTTTGTGTCATCTAATTGTAATAACTCGGGAGGGACATGGAAGGGTTTAGACTGTCGACATTATCTTGCGGGCAGAGGCTGGCTCAGGAACCCTCATGCCGTAATCTTCTAGGAGTTGGAAGTTCGTTCATAAATCAAAATGGCCGGAAACGTGGTGAGCGACAGCTGCCTCGTCCCCCTCGAATACCTCGCAGACAGGGCATTTTGAGATTCCCGGTTCATCCTGGGGCGGGGGACTTCCCCCACCCTCACTCGCACCCGCCGGGTCGTCTCCATCCCCGGAAGCGACTTCCCCGGCAGCCCGTCCCGTCCCCCTCCCCCTCCCCCGACCGCCCCGCCTCGCCGGTTTCACATACGCATCCAAGCCGACCTCCCTCGTCGGCACGAGCAGCGCTTCTTCCTGCTGCTGTAGCGGAGACTCCCCAGCCGCCGCCACACCCGCCCCGGCAGCAGCGACAGACTGGACCCTCCCGACGCGCCCGTCAGCAAGGCGCACCTTGATGCCGCGCGGGTGGTCGCCGCGGGTCAGGACGTCACGCACGACGCCGGCGACGGTCCGCCCCGTCGGCTGGTCCGCCTTGAGGACGATGTCGACGCGGGCGCCGGGGCGGACGTCGCGCGTGGTTGGGACCGCTGGACGGCGATTCATGAACTGCGGTTTTGATTTGGGGGTTTTTATGAGGTTGGTAGCTGGAGGATTATGTGGCTTTTGGAGAAGTTTTGTCCAAGTTTTGGTTTTAGGTTTTATTTTCACGACGCACGGGCCCTCTCGGCTGAGATATTTTTGATGAATTAACTGACCGAATTTAACTAATAAACCTCCTTATCAAGTCCTTTCTCCAAATCCCAAGCTGCACATGCCTGCTTTGAAACCGGCTACATCATTACTTACGATAGGGCCGAGACATTTGCATGCTAATACCCTTACACAGGAATTCATGGCTCTATGCGGAGTATCTTTCCAGGTTCCCCGTGAATATCCATTCGCAATATCTGCACAGCTGGCGTCGTTGGATAACTGGACAGACATGATACACACCTCACTTAGACTAAGCCCTACGTCACTGCTACCTTGTCCTTCCAAGCCATGGACCCTTGAAATGTGTGGGGAGGAGCAAAATATGAGGGCCAAGTTGATCAAAAATTCGACGATATAAAATTAAATCTGCCAACCAGAACATCCAGACACCAAATGGAACGCCCAGAATCGCTGCCGCTCAAGAATCCCACAGTCTCTCAGCTCCACTGCCAAACACCCAAACTCAAATAACCAGGCAATCCAAATGCATAGCCCACAACTCCCTCAACCCACTAACCCTCCCAAAATCGCTCTCCCCCACCGTCCTCGCATCCCTAACCGCCCACATCCTCCTCAGCATCCCCACGGCAGTGAAGATGTACCCCCACGGACACACCCTCCACACGGCCAGCAGGCGGCCCAGCAGCCACGCCCGCGTCGCGGGGTCGCGGGTCTCGGCGGCGGCCACAAAGGTCGGCCACGACGTGGCCTTGAAGTGCGCGTCCCCGGGCCCCACGCGGCCCAGGTGGCCCAGTACGTCGGCCACCAGCTCGTCGATCGATACGCCCCCCGACGCCCGCGCCGACGGCACCGCCTGCAGGATGTACAGGCACGCCGCCGACCTGTGCGCCGACGCCACGTGCTCGCGGCTGCTGCTGCTGCTGCTGCTGGCGGCCCCGGCGTCTGTGTCGGTGGTGCCGGGGTTTGGCTTGGGCTTGGGGCTGCCGTCCATGCCTCCCTTCTGGTGGTGGTGGCCGAGCTTTACCGCCCAAGCGTGGGTGTCGAGGGTGAGGGCCTCGTTAAGGAGAGCCAGGGCCGACGCGGTGGCCTCGGCGAGCAGGGCCGGGTCGGGGTTGCCGAGCACGGACACGGAGAGCTGCGAGGTGGCGAGGATGATCTTGAGGAGCGCCGTCGGGCAGCAGAGGTAGCTGTACGGCTCGGTCCGCTCCAGGATCGGGAACAGGTCAAGGACCTGGTGCGTGATGCTGGCCGTCAGCCATGCCGGCGAGAGGGTTGACCCGAGGATGTGGTATCTGTGTGTGTGTGTGTGATGGGGTTAGTTTAACACGGGTAGTTAGTTGGCCGGGATGGTGGATTCCACAAGTCTTTATGTATCTACCTATCTACGTCCCTCATCGGGGAGAGTGGAGGAGGGGGGGTTATCTTCTAAAGATCAGCAAAACTCACATGAGACAGTCTGAGATGACGACATCGAATAGCAGCCCGTTGGCCATCTGGCTTCCCGATCTCTGAACCTGGCCGAGGAGGGCCATCAGCCTGCCGGCGCCGCGCAGGTGAGGTTGCCACCCGCCATTGCCGACGTCGATCAGCTCGAAATTGATGAAAAACAGGATGGCCGCGAGGATCACCTCCCTGTTGCCGTCATCGGGCTGCGCCAGCGCCGTCCGCAGCGAGCAGATGGCCCGGTGCTTCGCGGCGAGGGCATTGGTCAGGGCCGTCTTGGAGAGCTGGTCGACGGGGCCCTCGGAATTGGTGACAATCCCCAGGCGGTGGTTGGTGTCGGAGGCGACTAGTAGGTGAGGTTGCGCTATCGTAAGTGCTGTGCGATGCAGCGTGTTGAAGAGGTGGAGTGCAGAGGTCGCCACCAGAATATGCAGGAGGAAGGGGTGTTCGAGAGCTAGTGGGATCAGTTGGCGAAACGGGTTGCTTCCCGGGTGGTCATGGGAGATTAGGTCTTTGCACACCCGATTCTCGACTGCCGTTGCGGGGAGGGAAAAACAAAAAAAAAAAAGGCATTAGCCCTTGACCGAGGTCGAGAGTTGTGGGGAGTGTGGGGTCGGGGATCGTTGGATCGTGGAATTGTTGTGTTTGACTCACAATGCTCCATGTAGAGACGAGTTACGTCGTCCACATGACCGAATCGCGACTCTCGGACCGAGATGGGTAGGGCAGCGTTGGTGCCTGACGCTATCAATGACCCTGCCGCTGTGTGACCGGCGGGTTGAGAGACAGCACCAGCAGCACCAGCAGCACCAGCACCCGCCTCGTTAGACCTCTGTCTCGGCCTCTTGGCCTTTGCAGAAGCTCCCTCAACCCAGGTCAGGATCCGGCCGTAGCCCGGGCAGTCGAGGCCAGAGGCCGTGCACTTGTTGCATCCCGGCTTGGATCGATCGCATCGCAGTCGCCGACGGGAACAGTTATGGCACGAGACAGCGACTTTTCTGCCGTGCATATGATGTCTTGTGGGGGGCCGAGACTGTGAATGTGGGCTGTAGTCAGGAGTCGAGAGCTGCAAGAGAGGTGTCCGACAAGGCGGAACGGGGTGGAACGCAGGCTGGAACGGAACTATAAGACTAAAAATTATGTCGGGTCATGGGTCGGGGCGGCAGTAGTAGGGAGGCCCAGTCTCAATCGGGAAATCCAAAAACATGTCCTGCGTCCGATCTAGGCCTTCGGAGTATTTGTGGTCATGAGTCCCTGGGCCGGGAGTGTCATTTGGCCATGCGTAGTGGCAGGGCAAAAAGTCTAGGCGCGCCCGCCGTTACACCGCACCGCACCGCAATCCACCGCATTGACGAACTGCTCACTAGCTCACCGCTCTGTAAAGCTGGAGCTGCAAACCCCGTAACTCATCCGTGACGGCGACTGCAGGTGCCAATGCCGATGCCGCGAGAGCGAGCGCAAGATGGCCACGACTACCCAGTCGAAATGATGACGGGGTGATGGTGATTCCACTCAATTCTGACGTTCACGATAGTGGCACTCTCACCGACCATGGCTGGTCGGTCTTGGAATATTAATATTCTTGCCGGAATAGGAAATCGGAGCGCAATCCATGCAGCAGCATTGCCAGCATTGGTAGCATGGCAGCAGAGGGCAGCGCAGACAATCGAATCGAGTCTCCAGTCTCCAGTCTCCAGTCTCCAGTCTCCAGTCTCCAGTCTCCAATCTCCGGGCTTACACATGTCTCAGCTTCCCGTTGCTGTTCGTGGGTCAAACTACTACGTACACACGAAGGGTCTAGACGGATGAATGATGCGGACTAGTTCCGGGGCCGTTGTGGTCGCGGCCTTGCTATAAAGGGTGACGGTAGAACAGCTTGCAAAACAGGATGAACCACTCGAGCTGAGCCATCTCACCATCCCCTTACCCCTTGTCAGCAAGCCTGAGTGACCTGCCCGGACAAGTTTCTGTCACCAAGCCAATGTCTCAGCCAGTAGGCGAGAAGCAACCATCCGTGGACATCGTCTCTGTCGAGACGGCACCCATCCAGGCTGATGTCGAGAAGCTAGGGAGAGCCCGTCCGGCCATCTTCCCCTCTGCCCTCTCCGAGGTTGCTTTCTGTTTCTCAGTCATGCAATCCGCCCTCATGTCGGTACGTGTTTGACTTTCCTTCCCTCCTCTTTCCCTCCCTCGTTGTTTCCTCCCCCTTTCTCTGTCCCAGCCCTGACATCAAGACCTCGATCTCACAGGACTACCTCATCTCGGGCTTCTCCACCGTCCTCCCAGCCCTCTCCCTCTCCCTAGACATCCCCCCCGAGTCCCGCACCTGGCCGTCCAGCGTGCTCTCCCTCGTCGCGGGGGCCCTCCTCCTCCCGGTGGGGAGGCTGACAGACATGTACGGCGCCTACATAGTCTTCAACGTGGGCTTTGTGTGGTTCGCGCTCTGGAGCCTGGCGGCGGGCTTCACGACGAGCTCGACCGCCCTCATCGTCTGCCGCGCCATGGAGGGCGTCGGCGCGTCCTGCATCCTGCCGTGCGGCATCACCCTGATGGGCACCGTGTACCGGCCGGGTCCGCGGAAGAACCTCGTGTTCGCAATCTACGGCGCCACATGCCCCATCGGCTTCTTTCTCGGCATGTTCGTGGGCGGCATGTCGGAGCAGTGGCTCAGTTGGCGCTGGTACTTCTGGCTCGGCGCCTTGATCAGCGCCCTCAGCTGCATCACCTCGCTGGTTAGCATCCCCATCGACTGGGCCGAGGCGAGGGCGAGGAAGCTGCGGATGGATTGGTGGGGGACCTGCACGACTGTACCCGGCCTGCTGTTGGCGGTGTATGCCATCACGGACAGTAATAATGCCCCCAATGGCTGGGCAAACCCTCGGATATGGGCCACCTTTGCCGTCGGAGTCCTCTTCCTTGCAGCGGCTGTCTACGTCGAGGGCTGGGTGGCAGAGATGCCCCTTTTGCCTGCGGATATCTTCAAGGTCAGACACATGAGTCGGATGATTCTTTGTTTGTTTGTGATATATGGCGTGTTCGGCATCTACCTATTCTACGCCAACTTCTAGTAAGTCCAGTCCAGCCTCTATCTCCCCCAGGCTATCGAACTCGAGCTGACATGGTGCCTCCCTATAGTCTCGAGCTGGTCCTTGGGCTGTCACCGTTGAGAACAGCGCTATGGTTCGCTCCATGGGCCGTTGGCGGCCTGATCCTTGCCTCGACGAGCGGGTTCATCATGCATCTGGTCCCCGGCAAGCTCCTCCTCATCTTCTGCGGCGTCTGCAAGCTCGTCGCCGTCCTCCTCTTCGCCCTCATGCCCAAGAACCCCAACTACTGGGCCTGGGTGTTCCCCGCCATGGTGGCCGAGACGGCCTGCGTCGACGTCATCTACACCGTCAGCAATGTCTTCATCACGACGAACTTGCCGAGCCACAGGCAGGGGCTGGCGGGTTCCCTGATCAGCTGCACGCTATTCCTCGGCATCTGCGTGTTCTTGGGCATTGCCGACCTCGGCGTCGGGAGTACTGGCCACCTGGGCCTGGCGGGGAGCTACAAGGTCGCCTTCTGGATCGGTGTCGGCTTCGCTGCCGCTGCGTTGATTATGCTTGCCACGATCGACCTTGGGGAGGCGAAGAGCGATTTGACGGCGGACGAGAAAATGGGGCTGTCAAGTACCAGCGAGGTTAATATGAGCGATGTGGCTAGTGAATCACCTGGTATTCTGTAATTACCTACTTATTAGATAAAGTTTGTTGGGATCGGTCATGGCAACTGGGAGCTAGGGGTTATATCTAGGACAGGGGTAAGGGGTAAGGGGGTCAGAATCATGACAGCGTAAAACAACCAGGCCACGAAGTTATTTCTAAGTCTAAATTCATCAGGCTCAAACCATTAGCGAAACTCAAAAGTTTTCTAGAGGTCCACACCCAGCCGCTTTCTCAAATCCTGCCGCGCCTCTTCAATCTGCTTCTCCATATCAACCCCCCAGATATACTCCTGCCTCTCCTGCATATCCTTATGGATGGCATCAAAGTCCCTCCCCAGCTCCCGCCACTCATACACATCGGCAGCCCTCCTGCTGCTCCGAACCAGCCACTGGTCCCTCTCGCGGCGGATGGCGTCGTAGGCCGCAAACACGGCCTCGAGGTCGTCGGGGCCCTTGACGGCGTCGTCGGCGAGCAGCGACGCGAGCACCGCCACGTCCTCGATGCAGAACCCAGCCCCGGCCCCGTGGTGCGGCGTGCTCGCGTGGGCCGAGTCGCCCACGAGGCACACGCGGCCCTTGTAGAACGTTGAGAGCGGGTTGTCCACGAGGTCGAAGAGGCCCCACTGCGCAGGTCGTCAGCCTAACTAAGCCCAACGCATACACCCAGCTCGCTCGCCTTGATGTCAACTTGTAGTGGGTTCTATGGTGGTCACAACTTACCCGGTCCTGCTTCTCCTCCGTCATCCCTATCAGCTTCATGACGTTGGGCCCGAAGCCCTCAAAGTCGGCCAACGCCTCTTCACGGGTGGCCGGCAGTGTCAGGTTCACGTCGCTGGGCCATTCCTTCTTGTCCGTGACGAACGCGACCATGTTCAGCGTCGCCCCGTGGTTGACCGGGAAAGTTAAGACATGGCGGTCCTGTCCCATCTGTTCAAAAACGTGTGAGTTGATGCACCGCACACACCCGGGCAAACACAAAGGGGGTGGGGAAACTCACCCACAGGGCGCAATTCTCCGCCTTCTCGGACCCCAGCGCCTCGACGGCGTCCTTCATGGGGATCAACCCGCGGTACGCATACTTGTAGCTATACCCGCACTTGGCACCCGGCTTGTCCTCCCCGCCGACCACAATCTCCCTCGTCCGCGACTTGACGCCATCGCACCCCAGCACCGCATCCGCCTCGGCGACGGACCCGTCCAAGAACCGGATGAGCATCTTCCCCGACCCCTCCCGATCATCCACCACGTCCCTCAACCGCTTCCCAAACCGCGCCACCCCATCCGGCAGCAGCCCGACCATCCCATCCATGAACCTCGCCCGATGCGCCGCCCTCGCCGGCGGCGCCGCGCCCTCTCCCTCCTCGCCGACGACGGCGAACAGGGCGTCCAGCTCCGGCGCCGGCGTGCCCGCCGTGCCGTCGAGGACGTCGAACCACGTGCGCCTCTTGTCCGGCCAGGCGTTGAAGGTGGACACGCGCTCGAGCGCGTCCAGGAGGCGCGGGTCGCAGTGGCCCAGGGCGCGCGCCGCGCCCGGGTGGACGCCGACGCCCGCGCCGATCTCCCCGAACGCGCCCGCCTGCTCGTAGACGGTGCAGCGGATGTTGCGGCCCGTCAGCGCGATGGCCAGGATCACGCCCGTTATGCCGCCGCCGATGATGGCGAGGTCGAAGGGTTTCTGGGGTGGGGGGTTCGTCATCTTGGAGGAGGGGGGGAAAAGGGGGGGGGGTGTTGGTTGGTGATATATGGATGGAGGGTTTTGAGTCTGCCAACCCGTATATATAGCTTGGCTTTCGCCAGCATGCAGATGAGGGGTCAGAATTATCGCCGAAAGGTAAATCTAAACTGCCGAAAGGATCACCCCAAACCCCAGCTTCTACTGCGCAGTAGCTAGCTCGTAGTGTTGCCGATTCCCGGTAGTTGCCGCACTGTTGTATTGGGGGTTTGTTGTCGCGGGAATAGCGGGTGATTCTCACGTTTGCCCCTTAATCGTATACGTGGAAAACCTTTGCTGAGTCGCAGCTTAGTCTTGAATAATAGTTAGGTTCCATCCTGTGTACAGGTCTCAGAATCATTCCTAGGTGCCACTACTTTTATGCCGATTAATTATAATTATTCGGCTTTTCGCCCGTGCCTCCTGTGCTCCCGATGGGATGCGGAGATCATGGCCGGCTACTGCAGGAAACCACCTCCGCACTTTTGGAAATAACGGGCCCCGGGCTTAGCGTGAGACTACTACAGGGTTATTAGTGCAGCTTGCTTGTAGTAGTGTATCCGTACACGGGCAGTCATCGACTCTCCAGTGCGGCAGTTGGCCAATAATCATCCGATGCCCGCTCAAGCTTCAACTAATTATCTATCGTTTCATTCATTATCTCCGACTGACATACTTCCAACAAGATGTCCGCTCCTTCTGATAATATTGCTTCCAAAGTCAAGCTCGGGGACAGGGACCCCGGGTCGACAGCTGACGTCACCATCAGCAGCGATGCCACAGCTGCTACCGAGCGTACGCCCGGAACTGACGAGCCATGGCACGGCAAGGTAGCTCCCGGTGGTGTATTCTCTCCCGAGAAGGATCGATACCACCTGTATATCGGTGTGTCTCCTCATGCGGCCCGCTCCTCTCGGGCAAGGTGAGTAGTGAGTACCTGCTATTTACGCTAACATAATCAAAGGCCTTTTCTGCCCCTTTGCCCACCGTGCCAATATCGCACGGCACCTGAAGGGATTACAAACCATCATCCCCGTCACTGTGGTCAAGCCATATCCGAAGGGTGACGAGAAGGGCTGGCCGGGATGGCAGTTTCCCTCGTCGGATTCCGAGTACCCCGGCGCCAACCCGGACCCCTTATTTAACTCCAAGTTCCTGCACGAGATCTACTTCCGTGCCGACCCTGACTACAAGGGGCGATACTCCGTCCCGGTCCTGTGGGACAAGAAGACCAACACCATCGTCAACAACGAGTCGGCCGAGCTGCTACGCAACCTGCAAACCGGTTTCGACACGCTCCTCCCCGACGCCGACGCCGCCCTGACCCTGTACCCGGCGCACCTGCGCGCCCGCATCGACGAGATCGCCGAGTGGATGCAGCGCGACCTCAACATGGGCGTGTACAAGGCCGGCTTCGCCAAGACGCAGGAGGGCTACGATGGCGCCGTCCCCGCCGTCTTCGCCGCGCTCAACAAGCTGGAGAAGCTGATCCGGCACAACGGCGGGCCGTTCGTCCTGGGCGCGGAGCTGACGGAGCTCGACGTGCGCGCCTACGCCACCGCCGTGAGGTTCGATGCCGTCTACGTGCAGCACTTCAAGTGCAACCTCGGCACCGTCCGCCACGACTACCCGCAGGTCAACAACTGGCTGAAGAACCTGTACTGGAACGTCGAGGGGTTCCGGGCCACGACCGACTTTCGGCATATCAAGGAGAACTACACCAAGTCGCACTATGATATCAACCCGTTGGCGATCACGCCGATGGGTCCGTGGCCGGATGTCGAGGAGGGGTATGAGCCGGATGTGAGCAGGGTGCCGGTCGGGGGGGTCAAAATGTCGAGGGTTGTCGAGCTTGAGAAACAGCTGCCCCCTCATAATTTGTAGTCTGTCATTTTGTTTACCTAGGAGGATAGAAGACATAGGAAACTTGCGGCTACAGCAAGCATATCTCATCTCGGGAGGTGTGAATTTTAATATCGTGCCAAAAGACCTACTCACGCTAGTGGGTTGTGAGAATAGGGGGTGCAGAAACAAAGTTGTTGTTAGGATGAGATGTGGTCCCAACAAGAGAAACGGGGAATATTGAAACGTCATATTCATTACCATCCAAAGTGAGGTCAGACTGAGAAATTGGAGTAACAGACCAGAGGACGGGGTTGAAGGCTCTTCAAGAAGAGCAAGAGAGCAATACGCCCTGGGACATGTAATACCATGGGCGTGGGTGACCAGGTCACCAGTTGAGATGGAAGTAGGCGAGCTAGGTTTAATGACTCTGTCAAGCAGAAGACTACAGGGATTGACTCATTCGCAATGAACTCACATCTCACTTATCTTGCCGAACTACTTCATCTATAAATTGAATCACAAGTCGAGCAAAGTAAACTCATCTAATTAATTATCAAATGCTTCTTACCTGATTCTCATTCAATTATCTTCTGCTCCTTCTGAATTCCTCCAGGATTCTTCCATAGCGTTTCTGCAGTATATAAGCTATCAAGCCTCCCTGTCGACCACCACTCCCATCGGATGAGGTTCTTCTCTCCCAGATGCTCTCTAGTATAAAAACTACTTATTACTCCTTTCCCTTCTATGGGAGGCATCCGCTCTTTCTCTTGGAGGATAGCAGTAAAGTTTGCCAAGGTGGGACCAACAGTGAGACCCAAGCTCAGGCAGATCCGAGAGGCCCTAGTATCTGAGAGGAGCTTAACCTCAAAATGAGGTATCTGTGAACAGGGGACACCCAACTCCCCACACGACCCAACTCCAAGACAGTAACCAAATCCGACTTACTCGTAGAGAATTGCCCAGGAAGGCCCAAAGAGCAGATCCCGAATCAAACGGACTCTCACGACCACAGGCTCCTGAGTCTCGACACTACAATAACGACCGAGAGACCAAAGAGATCCTCGGCCAACTGGCCAACATCGCAGGGGCCAGCTAATGGGATGTCCCGCCGGGACGCCTACCGCAACGGTGTCGACGATAGCTGCTAAGCCGCTAAGCGAGCTACACAACACCCCAAAGGAGGCGAGGAAGGCCAAGCCGCCCACGATCAGCAGACCACCGTACTCCCATGATGGAACCAGGCGCTAGGTTCAATTGATCTATTAATAACCTCGTATGCCATCTCGCCCACCTCCTAAATACGTATGACACGACCCGGGCAATCTACCTTCCAGAATCTATCGCAAACAAATGTGCAAGTTGTGCGGTGCGGCGAATGGAACTTTCCCAAACCTGCCGTTTACATCCAAACATATCCAGGTGAAAGTAAAGAGCCCGGACACATGCCAAGGGAAGCGGATCGGCCACGGGCAGCTCGAGAGATGATAGAACTCCCCTCCCAAGCGTGGCGTCTTGCCTTGCCCTCCGCGGCTGCCCTTCCGCCGCCTCACTATGAATCTCGACTTTCACATCACGACCTAATCAACCGAGTTAGCCATAGCTCACAGGTCCGTAAGTCAGGTAACAAATACTCACACAGTCGTTCTCGTTCTTCCCCTGCGGAATCCCCATCGCCTCAAACGTCGCAGGCCCATTACCCATAGTCTTCCCATCCGGATGCGCCGGCACCCCCAGCCCCGCCGCCGCCGAGTTAGCCTTACCCCCCACCGGCGGCCTGGCGGCGCCCTGCCCTCCTCCCGCCGGCGGCATACTGGGCGAGCCGGAACCGGGCCTCGGGATCCGCTGGCCCGGCGGCGCGCTCGCGCGTCCGGCTGGACCGCTACCGCCACTACTGCTGCCGCTGTCGAACTGTCCGGGTCGATCCTTGAGCGGTGGCCGGCCACCGCCACCACCGCCGCCGGGCATGGGACCGAGGCTGTCCAGGCGCTCCGGTCGGACGTTGGCGCCGTTGTTGCCCGGTGGCAGCCTCCCGCCGCCGCCGTAGCGGTGGTCGTAGACGTCGCTGACGGGCCGGCTGGTCGTGCGCGGGCCGTAGTCGCGTCCCGGTTGCGCACCCGGGCCCGGTTGGGCTCCGTAGCCGGCCATGGGGAATTGTCCCGGCGGGGACATTGGTGGTGCTTGCTGGGGCCTCGGGGCGGGGCCCGGGTTCGCCTTCTGCAGGCGATTCCGGGTCGGGTCTCCCACGGGGATGGCGCCCGTGGGAGCCGATATGCCCGGGCCGACGCTGGCTGCGCCGAGTCGTTGCGGCGGGAGCGGCTTCTCGTATGCGAACTGCTGCTGTGCGCCGCCGCCGCCACCTCCTTGTCCGCCGTATGGGTAATCGTTACGAGCCGGGCCGGGGCTTGGCTGCCTGTAGCCGGCGGGCACTTGAGGCTCCCAGCTTGTGCCGGCGCTGTGGCTGGTTGGGACATGGCCGCGATAGTCTAGCTTGGGCAGGAGGTTCTGCGACGAATGGGAGGAAAGCGGCCGAATGCCGAATGCGCTTCCGGGGCGGTCAGCATGGGGTCCTGCCGAAGGGCGGATGGAAGGGTTGAAGTGCGGGGAGAGGGCTGGCTTCTGTCCGACGTCGTCGTCGGGGTACGGAGCTGTAGACTTGGGTCTCGAGAGGTTAAGCGGTGGCGGTCGGTCGTCGACGGGATACGGTGCTGCCGACTTCGGACGCAGCGCGAGGTTGGGAGAGCCGAAGTTGACTGTGAATGCCGGAGGCCTTGAGCCCGCGGGGTCACGGCGCTCGGGATCGGGAAACTCGACTGTGTCTTCGAATATGACAGGTGCGCGTCGGGGTGAGGGTTTGGGGGATAGGCCCGGCGATGCATCCCTTGGTGGAGTGGCAGAGACATCGGGAGCCGATGAGCTCTGTGAGGTCTCTGGCAAAGTGGGCAACGTCTCGTTCTGTTTTGCCAAGCGGGCCGGCCGCTTGCCTCTCTGGGAGCCGTATTGCGACTTGATTCGCGTGAGCGTCGTCGTTTCGTGGTCCTTCTTAGTGAGCGTCTTCGACTGGTTCAGCGATTCAAGCCTGTCCTTGGCGTCGCTATTCCCATGCTCGGCGGCAAGCTCGTACCACTTGCGTGCCTGGCGGATATCTTTCTGAACATGAATGCCAATCTCGCAGTAGTAGCCCATGGCGAACTCGCCGGTCGGCAGGCCAGCCTCTGCCGCCTCCTCCGCATATCTGTAAGCCAGCTGCTCGTTCTTGGAGAAGACGCCTTCGAACCCGAAGAGAAACCAGCGGCTGACACCTAGGGCCGCCTCGGGCTGCCCCTGGCGTGCTGCGAGGCCATAGTAATGAAGCGAGTAAGCAGGTTTGAAGTCGCAGCCCAGCTGGGAAAGCTCGTAGGCCTGGCCCATCTTGAGCTGTGCCTTGGAGAAGCATAGATATGCCGCCTTCTCGATATACTGCCTGGCGACGTTGACCTCAATGGGCAGCAGAAACTCGGGTATGTTGATGTCTGGCAGGTCTCGGGCGACTAGCATGCCGTAGACGTAGGCACCCTGGGGCGCATCCTCGTCGGCTCCGTCGGCGGCTTTCTGGACCATCTCTAACCCTGTCTGGAGATCCTTCTGGTACCCATGCTGGCCCATCAGGTGCATCATGCCCAGCCGGTAGCAGGATGCCGAGTCATTCATGCTGGCGCCCTGGCTGTAGTGCTTGATGGCCTTTTCCGTATCGTTCGAGTTCTCGTACAGCATGCCCATCCGATATTCGGCACGCCCCCAGCCCAGGTCGGCGGCCTTCTTGTATCCGAGATAGGCGTCGCGCTTGTTTTCGCGGTATCCAAACTTCCCGAACTCTTGCCACTTTGCCTTCATGAATGTCGCCTCGGGGTGGTTCTGCTGGGCGAGGTATTCGATGATGTTGACGGCGTCGACTCGCAGCTCGTGCTCGACCTTTGGTGTGGGCGGCCTCTGCCTGTCTCTTCCCTTATTCTCCCGCTTCCAATCCCGTGCTTGCGCCTCGGCAGCGACCTCGACCGACACGAGCGCATCCCGGGCCCAGGCAACCTGCATGGAGACATTGTTCGAATGCAGCACGGTCGCCCGTGCCTGATACAAAATCCCTTCCTTCTCCTCGTCGCTTGGCGGAATATTTTCGCCCGTGACTTTCGGGAACGGCGAGAAGGAGGGGGCATCCATGGTGGACGGGCTGGATGTCCCACTAGCAGAACGGCCGAAGTCGGGCAGTCGACGGTCAGGTTCGTCGTGCTTGTCTTTCAGGTAGGGCTGGAATCCGCCGGTGGTAGAGTTGGGGAAGGAGGGGTTGGTCGAGGGCGCGGCGAGCGTGTCTCTGTGTGGTCCTCTCTCGTTTGCTTCGAGTTCCATGCGTTGGAGGTCCTCTTGCATGTTCTGGGGAACCTCGGGCATTACCCTGCAAAGGCGCCCGACGAGCTTGTCAGCCGCAATTCTCCCGGCTGAAGACGACATGTTACCAAACACAACCAGAATTGCGTGGCTAACGCATCCCGGGGCCGCCGCTATCACGAAAGGCAACGTACCTCTGGGGGCTTGGGGCGAGGACTTCCGGCATCAAGTAATCATCGAACCCTCCTGGGACGAAGGTCGCACCGAGCCGCGGGGGGTCGAGGGATTCGTTTCGCGGAGGTAGGACAGGGCCTGCGTAAAAGCAAAGGGAATGACGGTCAGCAAACGAGGGATTCCTATCGGGGCACACCCAGTGCGATCCCAGAATGGATAGGCAGAGGGGTTGAAAACAATTTATAAAAAAAAAATAACAAGTATGATAATAATAGACAATCTCCGCCTTTATTTTCTTGTTCTAGATGCCAGGCCACCCCAACCCCTGACCAGGAACAATGGAGGGGCAGAGCGGGGACCCTAGTTGGGCATTCGAGACACCAAACGACGGGACAGAAATCGCGAGCTTCGAGTGAGAACTGCCGTATTGAGGAGCTTTGATGCCAAAGAGCTTCGAGACGGGACAGATTTCAAGGTTCATCGGAAGTTCCGCCTGGAAATGGCAGGGGATCGCCCGCTGAAGGAGCTCCACACTCCTCCCCGTTTCGTTCTATCTTGGCTTTTGGCGACTCTTCGCGGTGTATCTCGCTCTCTTTCGGATCTCTCGGTTCCGGCTTGAAAGGTCCCTTGGCCGCACAGCAACGATAAACGATGGGAGCACGTTCACTTACCGGTGTAGGATTGGTATCCGCCGCCGGTCTTGCTGGGCACCGGGGGCGGGCGCTCTGCAGGATTCTCGTCTTGGTGGGCCAGCGCGGACTGCCACGCGTACGGTGTGCGGGACGTCATCTCGTGCAGCTGCAGTATCCGCAGATTCGCAATCGTGCTAAAGCTAAACTCTCTGCTGGCAAAATGGGACGGCGGGTCGCAGGATTGTGGTGGGAGGTCCCGGTCATTATTCAGCACCGAGTCATGTCGCAAGGAGGCAGGGGAGAAAGCCGAGCCGACGCCAGGACGGAGATGTCGGGGAGAAAATGATGGGAGAAATGAAGGGATTCAGTCTTATTAACGAGGTCCGACGACCTTTGACTGAGACCCAAAAATGTGTCACTGGAGAGCTGGCGCCAAGAACCAAATAGTCACCCGCCCGCAAAAAAACGGATCTGCAGTCTGCATTGCACGACAAGATGAACGATGAGATGGCATCCCGCTCTGCAGGGCGGGAGATTTAGGAGTGGCTACATATATGCATGCATTCTAAAGCTTAAACCCATCCTTTCCCTTCGCCGTCCTTGTGCCTTTGGCTAGCATGGCAGGGTGGCACTGGTGGGTGGTGCAAGGCACACAGCAAGGCGGCGCAGTCGATTTCATTTGGCTCGTTGTTCCCCGAAAAACAGTTGCTAGACGGAGCTAATGCCACGGGAAGCTCGGGACCTAGGTTGCTGGAGCTTGGGGCTGCAACTTGGAGATGACCAGCTCAGGCTCAGCCACAACATCTGTTTCTATTCTTAAACCATCCCATCCTGCTGGGACGCGCCCAAACGAAATGAATCAACAAGGATGCCATCGTGAAATTCCAAATGCAGGCCGTAATATTCCCACCTACCTAACCACACACGCCCAACTGGGCATCTACTGCGTGCCAACTTTGCTGCTCCTCCAAGCCAACAGCACCTAGTGGATCCCCGCTGGAGTCAGCCCTCGGGGATACCTAATTGGGTGTTTGTACAAATATGGAATACTTCGTGATAGTAAGCTCGGGACCTTCACACTGCTACATAGACCCAAACCTCGTCAGACGGATAATGATGTGGCCGCTATTGTGTCGGGGGTCGACTCTTGGGCCTCTCTCTTGAGAAATCCCAAGATATTGCTACAACCATGGCAGCAGCTGCAACATACCTTTTATGGGCCGAGACAAGAAGATGGCGTATCGTGAGAGGCAGAATACTGCATGCATGCGGAAAGCCATCAAGCCCAGCAGCTTCCAGTCAGTCAGGTATCAAGAGTTAGAGCGCAACAACTCGATTGGGAGACGATTCGTCTTTCCGCAGGCTGGCACTCCAGGAGAAGCCGGCAAGCTTGGTGGCGATAGTAGCATGTTGCGGAACAGCGGGTGAATATAGAAATCACTGTCTTAATTGTTCGACTATTTGATAAATGGGTAGCTCATGCGTATTGCCTCTCGAGATCAGACTTGCAATCAGATCGCTGCGATAGAGTTTCTGGAGAAATGCCCTCGCACTCATGTCACGTGCCTGCCAAGCAAAGCGCCCATGCCCAGCCAGACGTCAGCCTTTCAGCCTACCTGGTCCAGCCTCACATCCCAAGGTTAGATCCAGATTCCAAAGCAGTATCCATTCAAAGCCCGACAAAACGAAGAAAACGTTCCATTTCGGGTCCCTATCCAGTGTACATCCAGCAACAAAGACAATACACGAGAAAAAAGCACTCCCAAACCAGACCACCCTCCGTCCGAACCCCAAACCCCATCATCCACTCCGGGGGCAACACAACCCAAAAGAGAAAAGCAACCCAATCGAACCCGAACCCGCCAACCCACCCACATCCACCATGGCCGAACGCCAGCTCTCCCAGATCCTCGCCCAGCTTAAGGCCCAGCCCGCAACGCCCAGCTACCCCGAAGCCCTAACCCTCCTCTCGAAAGCCAAGCTCCTCCTCCTCCAACTCAACGCCCTCACACCCTCCCCCACCGTCTCCCCGGCCCTCCAGACCCTGGCCCGCTCCCTCTACGAGCAAGGCGCGCTCTACTCGATCCGCGCGCTCAAACCCGACGCCTTCCTCCGCTACGTGGCGCAGCTGGGGCCCTTCTACGAGTCCCTCCCGTCCGACGGCGGCGACGATGACGACCAGCGCAACCGCGTCACCGGCCTGTACCTCCTACTCCTCATGACCCAGGGCCGCTACGCCGAGTTCCACTCGGAGCTCGAGGCCCTCGCCGCCCGCGGCGGCGACGGCGCCGTCGACGTCGAGAACGACCGCTTCCTCGGGTACCCCATCCGCCTCGAGCGGTGGCTGATGGAGGGCAGTTACGACCGCGTGTGGAAGGCCATGAAGAAGGGGGAGGTGCCGTGCGAGGAGTACAGCGTCTTCAGCGAGGTGAGTCTTGACTACTCTTTTGCACTGGATGGATTGGGAGATAGGTGGCCGGGGTTCCTTGGGAATGACATACATTCCCTCCCCAATCCCAGGTTCCTTTCCTCGCCCCTTGCTTCTCCTTTTCCATTTCATTTCCCATCCATACTTGATAAATACTGACCAAACCCAACCCCCAGATCCTCACCTCCCAAATGCGCTCCGAGATAGCCAGCAGCAGCGAGCGCGCATACCCCTCCCTCCCGCTGTCCTCGACCAAGTCGCTCCTCTTCCTCGACTCCGAGGGCGCCGTCGTCCAGTTCGCCCGCGAGCGCGGCTGGACCGTCCGGGACGGCCAGATTATCTTCCCCGCCGCCGGCGGCGCCGCGGGTGAGGCCGGGGCTGACGACGAGGGCCTCCAGCAGCAGAGGGACATGAGCCAGGTCATCATCGAGAACGCCCTGGGATACGCGCGGGAGCTGGAGACGATTGTGTAGGCGGCTTTGGAAAGGGGGGAGATTCTACTCGGCGGCGGCGGACAGCGAAGGGCTTGAGGCTTGAGGCATCAGGCTGCATCCCTGTTGAGGCAGGGTATGGCGGTTGAAGCTGTACACTAATACTAGACCATAGATATCTATCGGAGAATGGGAATCAGGTGTCTGACCCCGTCAAGCTAGCTGGGATGCTGCCATGCTATCAGGCTTTTACTCTTGCACAAGCACTAGCCGACATGGTCCGGTAACTCCCATGGCATCAAACTCGAGACAGACAAAAAACATCCGTATGGGATAAGCTGATCTAGGACTCTGGCTTTTATCTCGCCCCCGACCACCTTTTCGACCCGAGGCCTTTCAGGGAAACCTGACCCGTCATAAAAACGCAGCAGATTCATCTAAGTTATGCCATCATTACAACTCCGAACACATTTGTTTTCAGGCAAACAGCTTCAGCCCGCTGCCATGCTTCCCGATCTCGCAAACATCGCACACTACACACACCGTGCCCTTGTACTTGGTGTGGTACTTGGACCCGTCGAACGCACATTCCTCGAACGGTGTCCCGCTGTAGATAGGCGTGTGGCTGGCTGCGCAGACCTCGAACTCGGCGAACTGGTCGAACTCGATCTCCACCGCGTCGTGCGGGTTCCGCTCGCATTGAGCCTTGGTCTTCTTAGCCTGTAGCCGGTGTTAGCAAAGGCTCGTCATCCGTCACATTGCCAACGGCGGCGGCCAGCTTGGCAGTTATTGGGGACGGGGGAGCTTACGTTATCCAAGATCTTGTTGGCACCGCCATTCGCTAATATCCGGTTCGCGAAGCTGAGCGCCGAGTTGTAGTTCTTGCTTCGCATCGCCAGGTTCATGGCATTGAGAAGCGCGAGCTGCCGGTGCGGCACTTCGATCTTGGGGATGGTGAAGTATGCTGACAGTTCCAAGCTTCGCTTCAGCAACTCAGGTGTCTTGTTGACGACGTCGGGAGCACCAAGCTTTCGGCGTCCTAGTTCAATAGCCATAGCGACCGCGTACTCGCCCGCCGATGCAATCAACTTCTTGGCCTCGGCGACTTCGGTCTCGCTGGAAACGGCATTGATGAGCACCGCATGGAGGATACTCTTGAAGATCCCTACGCCATCCTCGAGCTTGTTGGCCTTCATGGCATCGTAACCACGCTGGAGATCATTACTCGCGAGGTACTCGAGGTCGCGAGGGATGACGGGGAGGACCTTCCTAGGATCAGTCTCCTCGATAGTCCGGCGTACGTAGTTCACAAGAGGTGGCAAGCCGGCTGACGCTGGCAGGTAGGTCTTGGAAGCCTGGTACACCTCCAGGAAGCGAGGTTTGAGAGGCGCAAAGTTGACGGCGCCGACTTGCCTGTTGAGGAGTTGCATGGCCGACTCGAATGATCCACCAGCTGCGTGGTCGACAGCCAAGGGAGAGTTCCGTGCCCACAAGTCGGCCTCGCTGCTTCCTGCACCGCCGGCTTCCGTGCTGTCCACATTGACAAAGCCTTCCTCGACTTCTGGAACGATGTCTTCGCCCATATCCCATCCTGCTGCATCTTCATCCTCGTCGGCCTCAAGACCGCCATTCCGGTTCGCGGCGCCATCGTCTTCGGCTGCTTCATCCAAGCCGAATCCATTCGCCGCTGCCGCTGGCTCGCCTTCGAGTGATAACCCTTCAACCTGGCCGAGTAATGCCTTCTCAAAGAAGGACTGTGACGTCGCCTTTGTCGGCCAGTTGGCCTTGTAGGTGGGCACAACAGGTTTGGGCGGTGTGAAAGGTTCACCAAGTGTCGGCATTGTCAGCTGGTCCTCGGTCAAGCCACTCGCCTCGAGGATCGCCTCGCATTCCTGCTCTAGGCCGTGAGACTTGGCAGTCATGTATGCCAGGGGATCTGCGCCAAGTGAGTTAGGTGGATGAAAATCATGATATGACCAAGAGAATGCTTACATAAGTCGATCTCGGTGAACATCTGCATCCTGTCTTCTACTTCTCCTAGGAACAGGGCGTTTTGGAACCGGGCTGTGAAGTCGCCGCGGTGCTCGGCAATCTTGGCCATCCTACTAAGCTTGGCGCTCTCGCCAGTGGCAAGGTAGAGGAAGGAGAGCTTGTCGAATTGCTTGAGCTTCTGGTAGCACATCTCGACGACTTGGTGGTTACCATGGGCCAGCGCCTCGGTGCTGAGTCGACCCCACAACTTGGGCCGATCCAACTCTTTAGCCATCTCGACGGCAACGTCCAAGTTTCCGCATTCAATAGCAAGCTCGAAACGTGTGGTGGGGTCCTGCACAAATTGCAGGGCAATCTCGGGATACCCCTTCTTCTGGAGGTACGAGATGATGGACTGCCCAACGAGACTAGAGGTCTGGATGATGTGAAGCATCTCCTCGTAGTTGCGCTTGACCAAGGCAAGCTTGAACCGATACTCGGTTGGGTCGATATGCAGGACTTTCGGCTTCGCAGCCCTGTCTAGGCAATAGACGTTTCGGCCCTTGACACGAACTAGGTAGACCGTCTGGTCGAGCGTCCGCACGATGCCGCTATCGCCGTTCAGGAGGGTGTACTTGACATGGTTGAGGGTCGAGTAAAGCAGGATGCCAGCATCATCCCAGGTTGCGCTCTTGATACGAATGGTCTCGTGAAGGGTGCTCACTTGCTCCAGGGTCTTGGTGACGATGGTGACGTTATGCTTGCTGAGGAGTGCGGCGTACAATCCATCGTTCGACCACACAACATACTTCACCCCGTTGACAGCGAGCTCGGCGACACTCTTCTTCTGCTGGATATCGTAGAGATGCACGGCAGTGGGGGTGATAATAAGCAGGTTGCCCGTCCCGCCGAAGTAAATATCGGTGGTGCCGACCGGAGGCTTGAAGGATCGTGTGGTGCTGTTGGACAAGTCCTTGATATCGATAGTCTGGGAGGATGTGTTGAGAACTGCGAAGCGGTTACGAGCAACAAAGATGGCCGAATTACCCTGGCCGCGCTTGGACTCGGCCGGCTCGATAGCTCCAGAGCCGTCGCGAGGGAGATTGATCAACTCGTAACAGCCACCATCGGCGGACGAAGTGACCAGGACAGATCTCTCAGCCGGGTTGTATGAGAGGGTGCGAGGCGGAATCCAGGGGCTGCCAAGCTTCTTGAGCGACAGAAGGGTGGGGCTCTCGACGCTCTTCTGGAAATCGTAAGACCGAACATGCTTCTCCTTGGTGATGTAGAACAGTGAGTTCTGGTAGACCGCCGACGCAGGCCGCTCTCGCTCAAGCTTGAAGACCATAACTCCATTGTCGTGGCCGGCGGCAAACAGGTTGATCTCGGGATGTGCAGCAATGACCCAGAACCGGTCATTTTCCCTCTTGAAGGTCTGCACCAATGTTCTCTTGTTCAAGTCCCACACACGAATCGTCTTATCCTCACCGGCAGATAGTATGAGATCCTGATGCGGGTGGAACAGACACCCACTGGCATTCTGGAAATGCCCTCTGCAGGTATCAACTTCCCATGCCTTCGTCTCGCTCATTCGCCACAACTTAACAAGCCGATCGTCGCCAGCCGAGACGATGAGTGGCATGGTTGGGTGGAAGGCGACCCAGTTGACGCCCCTATCGTGGCCCTCCAGGACGAACTTGACAACAGCGTCGGTATTTCCAAACATGTCTGTCTGAGCATTCTGGCGGGCCATCTGGTCCTCATAGGTCATGGACGTGGGCGCACTATGCTTCTTCCGCAAGCCCGAGATATCCCAGACACGAACCGATTGATCGAGCGAGGCTGAGACGACGAGGTCGTCCTTCGGGTGGAACTGTGCGCACATGGCGTAATGGTTATGGCCGGTCATGGTGCATACTAAAGAGCAATGGCTGTTAGCTTGAGCACCGCGCTTGCTTAGCAGCAGCACAGCTTACGCAAAGATCGGTTCTGCCAGTTCCATATCCTGATGGTCTGGTCGTCGGAGGCGGAGACAATCCATGGCAACTCGTGGTGGAAGAATACAGTTCGGATGTAATCAAGGTGACCGTTCAACGTGAAGAGACACCGCCGACTCTGGTATGACCAGACCTTGATCTTATAATCGTCACCCCCTGAGACGAAGAGGGGTTGTGTGTTGTGGAAATCGACACCTCGGACGGGCCCATCGTGCTCTTCGAATCGATCAATGAGAGTTCCCATACGATAATCCCACAATTGGATCGTCGAAGAGTGGAGGGAGACGAGGATCCATGGCCTGGAGAGAAATCGTCAGTACTCCGAATGAGCTGAATTGCGAGGGAGCCGAGGAAGGCAGCTGACCGTTTAGGGTGGAATGCGATACCCTTTGCACGCGAAGACTTGGACTCGAACTGTTGCAGTCGTGAGCATTGTGCCACAGGTAGACCGTTAAGGGTTACAGGAGGCGCATACCTTGGTGAGCATACCCGAGGAGGATGTCATCTTGGGTGGCTGGAGGTGAAGCCTAAGCTTCTAGCGATTAAAGAAGGAAGCCAAACCAAGGCTCTTGATGCAGGCAGAGAGATGTTTTGGTCGTTACAGAGCACGCATGCGTCAGGAATGGGATTGACGTTGCGGAAATTGGGCAACCTAGCTCCCCTTCGAGTGCAGCGTGGCATCTCGAAGATGTGGGACTGTGGGCTGTGGTGGTTTCGCCTGAGGCCACCACATCGGAGTGTGTAATCTTCCGATCCGACCGTCCTAGTCTCACCCCGGTGTGCCTCAACGTGGCTGGGGTTGCCCAGCTTGAGCCACACTTGGGAGCAGCAGTTCGGGAGCTCCAGCAAGGCGCTAAACCCAATTGGTCAAGCTTTCCAGTGATGTGTTCAAAAGGGTCTCCGGGCGGCTTACACCCCTCCATCAAGCAAAAGAACAACTGGCGAAGACGCGCTGATACTTTTTCTATGGCCTCTCTTCATATTCTACCGGGAGGGAGTCAATTCTCTTTGTAGCGTCTTGTTTTCCAACTCCGCGGCCTGGCGTTTACTCGAGTTCAACTAGCCCAGCCAGGTGTCTCGAATTTGCCCCTCCATTCTCCGCTGGCGGACAATACGACAACCCAGCTCGACCCCTGAGCCTTAAGCTACTGCCGATTCGAAGGCAATCGCATAGTGCCAGTATATAACGACCATGTTACAACTGTCGCAGCTGCCTTGGGCCCTCACAGCGGCCCTGCTGGCAGCGACATGGCTGCCATCCACCCTTGCATCAACTTCGCCAACTGTTAACGTTGCGCTCAAGGCAGCCTTCCCTTCTCCTCCATACTTGGTCGAGCTGCTGTACGTGAACTACCAGTCAGTCGGTTGAAGTGCTAGCCATACTCATGATCCTCTCAGAGAAACAGCAGCTCAGGAAAATGACACATCGTACTTTGCCCTCCTCGACCGTATTGCCCAAGGCAGCTTTGCGAGCGCAAAGACGGATAAAGAGCTGTATAATAAGTTCCTCGAAGTCCTACAACAAGATGGGCACATCACGAATCCCGAAGTCCTGTCAACCTTCAAGCTAGCCCTCTCCCTACGATCAGCAGTACCTCGAATTGAGGCCCATTATCAGTACTACACCACTGCCGTCGAACCGTCGTTGCCAGAGGACCAAGATGGGTGCGAACACTGGTATCTGTCTGATGGCAAGCAGTATTGTAGTCCAACTATGGACGTTGACAGAGGGGTCGTTAAGAGTAACACGTATGATCCCGTCTCACTTCTGACTTCCATGGGGTGAAGTGTCTAAACGTGACGCAGGCAAGAGCGAACCTTGGGCTTCGATCGAGTACTTGGCAGTGGTCCGCGAGAAGTGGTTCTGTACGCCGACATAACCTCGCCGACATTTGCCGAATATCACAGCAAGGCAATGGAAATTGCGCAAAAGGGAGACGGGCTGTATCGGGTGAGGTATAAGCGAAGCCCCGGCCAGCCAACTGAGGCTCTGCCTGTGAACGGCTATGGTGTCGAACTTGCCCTCAAGAGGACAGACTACATTGTCATCGACGACCGGGAGTCAGCAGGAGACACTCCAGGAACTGATGATGCCCAGAAGGTTGTTGCCTCGGAAGTTGTTTTGGACCAGGACGAGGAACTGGCAGATCTCAAGCCCCTAGAGAAGTCTGAGCTGTCATCTCTTGGAATGAAGGCTGCATCTTTTATCATGCAGAGTGACTCTCCGTTCGAGACCCTGCTGAAGCTCACTCAAGACTTCCCCAAGTATTCGAGCTCTATTGCGGCTCACAATGTGTCGGCGGATTTCGAAGCCGAGCACACCGCGAACCGCCAACAACTAGTCCCTCCCGGTCTAAACGTCCTGTGGATGAACGGTGTCCAGCTGACCGACCGGCAAATCCAGCCATTCACCCTGGTCGACATGCTTCGTCGGGAGCGGAAGCTCATTAATGGAGTTCTGGACCTTGGCCTGACTGGTTTCGAGGCTGTGTCCCTCCTGGGCCACACTGAAGTGGCTTCGGTCAAGGCCGCTGAAGAGGGAGCGCGCCGATTCGACTGGCGAGATGAGATTGAAGACGGCAAGGTTATCATCTGGCTGAACAACATCGAGAAAGACAAGCGATACGAGGAGTTCCCGGACTCAGTCATGTTCCTGCTCAACCCTACCATGCCTGGGCAGCTCCCGCAGGTTCGCCGGGATATCTTCAACTTGATCGTTCCCGTGGATTTCAGCAAGCTAAGCGACCTCCAACTGATCGTGGACCAGCTCCTAGGCTTCGTGAAGAGGCTGGTCCCCATCCGGTTCGGTCTAGTCCCACTTACCCCCACCGGACAGGCAATTGAACAAGCCAAAATCATATATCATCTGCTCGAGAACTATGGCCTCACAGCTGTGGCAACATATCTCCAGCACTGGGTTGAGGAACAGAAGGCTCCCAAATCCAACCAGGCTGTTTTTGAACAGGCCACCAAGGACCGTCATCTTCGCCCAGAGGCCACTCCTCTCCCATTCAGCGATATTGCCACCTCTGAACACCATGAACAGCAAATCCACCTGGCCAAGCATTGGACGGAGCGGCTGAACTCGGACACCACCGTGCCCCCAGTCTTCTTCAATGGCTTCCCCTTTCCACGTGAGCCGGGCTGGCTCTCGACGATGCAACAGAGGCTTTCGCAGGATCTCCGGAGTGTACAGGAAGGCCTTTTCTACGGTGCCGTCGAGGAGAGCATGTGGCTTCCGAATCTCTTCCTTCAGGATGCTGCGACTCGACGGAACATACTCATCTTCCCCGAAGATAAGGCGGCTCTCACGGTTGTAAACATCAACAAAGTTTACACGGAACACCAGGATCTTTTCAGCCGAGTGCCAGTCCTTGAGGCGGTAGAGTCGTCAAGCAGAGATGATTGGGCGACTCTTACGGTGGTTGCAGATCTAACCAATGTCGAGGGGCAGAAGCTACTGTTTTATGCGTTGCAATTCCACCTCGAAAATCCTGGAGTTCGCTTGGACATCGTCCACAACCCCGCGGAGTCGTCAGTCTCACCGTCCGTGATCAATCGACGGATAGTAACGCAGAAGGATACTCTGCCAACGATCCAGAGACTGCTCGACCTGGAAAGCGTCCTTGAAGGGGGCGAGGATGAGCCAGATTCGAAGTTCGACGCCGCCCTGGCTCGCTTCCTGGCCGCTACAAACATCAGGCCAGGGGACAACACGCTGATACTAAGCGGTCGTGTTGTCGGGCCGATCCCCTCGGCCGAATCCTTCAAGAAGGAAGACTTCCAGCAGCTCCTCAACTTTGAGCGGGCTAGTAGGATCATCCCAGTCTACAAGGCCATCGACGACCTTGGCCTTGGCGACAAGGTGTCGGGCCCATTGGCCGCGGCCAAGTTGTCATCCATCACCGCTCTCTCTACCATGTCAGACCTGCCCGAGGGGATCTTCGAGTCTGCCCCATCCCTCCGCATCACTGCCTTCAAGGTCTGGAATTCGACCCATACCGCATTCGAAGTGGGCGACGCGTCTACTGCGACTATCCACCTGGTTGCCGCCCTGAACCCTGCCAGTGAGCTTGGCCAGAAATGGGCACCGATCCTAAAGGTGTTGTCCGAGTTGGAAGGAGTTCACTTGCAGGTCTTCTTAAATCCTAAAGCTGAGCTATCCGAACTGCCAGTCAAGCGGTTCTACAGATACGTACTCGACTCGGCCCCAACTTTCGACGGGACTGGGAAAATCAAGGCTCTCTCGGCCAATTTCGCCGGTATCCCCTCCGAGGCCCTTCTTACTGCTGGCCTGGATGTGCCCCCAGCCTGGCTCGTCTCGTCTAGGGTCGCAATCGATGACCTTGATAACCTGAAGCTCAAAGAAATCAAGTCCAGGAGGAATGTCGACCGCGTCGAGGCCGTTTTCGAGCTGGAGCACATTCTTGTTGAGGGTCACTCGAGGGAGTTACCCGGTGGCGGAGCGCCGCGTGGAGTGCAGTTGGTTCTGGCCACCGAGACGGAGCCGCACTTCGCAGATACAATCATCATGGCAAACCTCGGCTACTTCCAGTTCAAGGCAAATCCGGGTGTTTACGCCATCCACCTCGAGGAAGGCCGAACATCAGACATCTTCAACATCGAGAGCATCGGTGCTTCGGGTTGGAAGCCGGTCCCCGGCGACGAGGGTGCCGAGGTCATATTGATGGACTTCCAAGGCACTACCTTGTATCCCCGGCTGAGCCGCAAACCCGGCATGGAGCTCGAGGATGTCCTCGAGGATACCAAGCCCGAAAGCGCGGGGGCTGCTATGGACTTTGTCTCCAAGGGGCTGAAGTTCGCCGGGGGTATCCTTGGCGGGGGAGGCAAGGGCAAGGGCAAGGCCGCCGTCATGAGCAAGTCCGAGACCGAGCACGCCGAAATCAACATCTTCTCGGTGGCCAGCGGACACCTGTACGAGCGCATGCTCAATATCATGATGGTCAGCGTGATGCGGCACACCAACCACACGGTCAAGTTCTGGTTCATCGAGCAGTTCCTTTCGCCGTCGTTCAAGGACTTCATCCCGACCATGGCGGCCGAGTACGGGTTCAAATACGAGATGGTGACGTTCAAGTGGCCGCACTGGCTCCGGCAGCAGAAGGAGAAGCAGCGCGAGATCTGGGGCTACAAAATCCTCTTCCTCGACGTGCTCTTCCCGCTCTCGCTCGACAAGGTCATCTTCGTCGACGCGGACCAGATCGTGCGGACCGACATGTACGACCTGACGCAGCACGACCTCGGCGGCGCACCGTACGGCTTCACGCCCATGTGCGACAGCCGCGTCGAGATGGAGGGGTTCCGGTTCTGGAAGCAGGGCTACTGGGCCAACTACCTCCGCGGCCTGCCCTACCACATCTCGGCCCTCTACGTCGTAGACTTGCGGCGCTTCCGCGAGCTCGCCGCCGGCGACCGCCTCCGGCAGCAGTACCACACGCTCTCGGCCGACCCCAACAGCCTGTCCAACCTCGACCAGGACCTGCCGAACCACATGCAGTTCGTCATCCCCATCCACAGCCTGCCGCAGGACTGGCTTTGGTGCGAGACGTGGTGCAGCGACGACACCCTCGCCACCGCGAGGACCATCGACCTGTGCAACAACCCGCAGACAAAGGAGCCCAAGCTCGACCGCGCCAGGCGCCAGGTGCCCGAGTGGACCGAGTACGACGAGGAGATCGCCGCCCTCGACAGGCGGCGCAAGGCCAGGGCGGCCGCAGCCGAGGCCGTGGCGCCCAGGCCCGACGGCGACGTCGGGTCTCCGCAGGAGGCGCTGCACGGCGGGGAGGAGAAGAAGAAGGCGCATCCGAAGCCGACTATTCGGAGGTTCGAGGACGGGGAGATCGTCAAGGAGACACATGGGAAGAAGGACGAGTTGTAGTGTGTGTGGGTGGGTTCCTGCGGGCGAAGGGGTGCGCGGGTGTGATTGTATTGTATATGTTGCAATCTAGGTAGTTTAGAGCAAGTTATATATGTGCTATGGATTCCTTCGGGTTCCTGGTTCGTGAACTCTAGACGTTGTGCCCGGCCAGTCTAGTGTTTCGTGTAGCTCGGCATGAAATGATGGTGTCAGTGGTGATACGCCGCAGAAAGCACGAGGCAAGATCTTCACTCCAAGTCTCTCGTAAATGATATACGTCGTCTTCTATTCCCGCCCCTCTAGCTAAATTCGTAGCCATCTATCGTCGTCCCATGAGACCCAGGGACAGACATAACTCATGCTATATTATGCACCGTAACCACCCGTCTCACGTCTCCCGACTCCCGTTTAGTGCGAAGCTCAATTCCTCACTCCATTACAAACAAGCAAGTGACACATCTGCTCGTGGAGCAAACATGTAGAGCATTTCTTTCTTTCTTTCCTTCTTCTCTTCCCTTCCTCGGACATACACAGCAACTCTCCCACCGCAGGTACACCCCTCTCAATGCGAGATATACTGAAACACGGCGCTGACCTCTGGCTGGCCGCCCTCCTGCCGCAACAGCAAATCCTGTATGGCGGCAAGGCCCTCGTTGGCAAAGTGGTTCCAGGTGCTCGTGTCGCCGTAGAGCAGGGCAGGCGCCTTTATGAACTGCTTCCCGTCGGGCTTGCAGCGCCTGCACTTGAACGTGTCGTGGGTGTCGCTGCGCGTGTCGCCGCGGTACTGGAACAGCTCGCGCAGGCTGTCGAGGCTGAAGTGGCGCTCCACGTCTTCGGCCGAGTCGACGACGCACGACGACAGGCTCTGCTTGTGGCTCTGGCGCTGGAAGATCTTCTCCTCGATCGTCCCCGTCGCGATGAACCGGTACACGAAGCAGTCCTTCTTCTGCCCGTCGCGCCACACCCGCGCCAGCGCCTGCTGGTCCGCCGCCGGGTTCCAGTCGGGGTCGAACAACACCAACCGGTTCGCCCCGATGAGGTTGAGGCCGCATCCGCCGGCCTTGCTGGAGAGGAGGAAGATAAACTCCTCGCCGTTAGGGTCGTTGAATTTGTCCACCAGCTTCGCCCGCTTGTTGATGTTCATGCTGCCATCCAGCCGCAAGGAGCCGTAGCCGCGCGCGCGGCAGAGGCGCTCGAAGAGGTCCAGCGTCGACGTGTAGTTGCTGATCAAGACGATCTTGTCGTTGGTATCGGCACGAATCCGTGCTAGCATACGGTCAAGAACCTGCATCTTGCCGCTGAACCAGGGCTTGGGTTCACGGTCGCGGCCCCGCTGGTCTGGCGGAACGTAGCCCTCTGGATACACCTCGTCGGAGCCAGGGAGGTCTGACTCCAGGTCAAGAAGGTCCGGGTGGTTGCAGAGCTTCTTGAGGATACCGATTGCCTTGAGGGGCTGCGAGCCCTTGCCCCGGAGCAGCGCCTGGATATCGGGAGAGGTGATGAAGTAGTTGTAGAGGTCGAGCTGGAATGGTGCGAGGTTGCAGAAGACAACGTGCTCATACTTCACGGGCAAGTACTTGGACAGGATGTCATTGGTTCTCCGGATGATGAACTTGTTGACCACAGCCAGAAGGTTGGCGAGACATTCGTCGCCACGCTTCCGGTCAGCTTCGGAGGCATCCGCATCTCTACCACGTAGAATGGGGAGCTCATAACGTTTGCGAAACTCCAAACGGGTTCCGAGGAGGTCGGGATTGGCGAAGCTAATGAGCGCAAAGTACTCGGACAGGTCGTTCTGAATGGGCGTTCCGGACAGAATAACGCGCCTCGAGACGTTCAGGCTGTTGAGTGCACTGAAAGTCTGGCTGTCTCCATTCTTGAGTCGATGCCCTTCGTCACAGAGCATGAGGCCGATGGGCGTGTTTTTCAGCTCATCGACGTTGAGGCGAAGTGATTCGTACGAGACGATGATGACTGGCCGAGTGACTGAGCGGCCACTAGCGATAGCCCATTGCCGTAACTGGCGAGTCAATTCCTCTTTTGGCACCTTGCCGTCGATGGCAAAAGGAGTAACAGCGTCCGCACCCAGCCACTTGGTGAGCTCATTGGCCCAGTTGCGGACCAAGCTTGATGGGCAGGCAACAATTGCCTTCTGGATCGTCGACTTTCCTGCGTCGGGCGACTGCTTCAGCAGGGTCCACAGCAAGGTAATGCATTGCAGTGTCTTTCCCAGTCCCATCTCGTCGGCCATAATGCAGCCATTGGCCCGCTCATCAATCATGCCTGTGACGCAGCGGTACATAAACTTCACACCTTCAATCTGATGTGGACGAAGCACCTTTGTGAGTCTGGGATCGATGACGACCGGGACTCTGGGGTGGTCTTTCTCGACCTTCTTCTTGATGCCCAGGATCTCGGCCAAGCTCTTGTGGACCAGCGGGGCATCAAGCTTCATGTCCGACTCTGGCTTGCTCTCGTCCTTCTTCTCCTTTGGCTTCACATCCTCACTCGGCTTGTCGTCAACCGTTGGGTCATAGAGGACGATTGCAAATTCGCTGGTCGGGTCATGTAGAGGCTTCGCAACGAAGACGGCGCCCTGTCTCAGTCCCAAGGTGGGGGGCGGTCGGTTCGGGTTGTATGCAGATGTGTCCTTGTTGATGAGTGGCACAGAGAACGCCTTTCGGAAGACCTGAGACTTGTCCCTGGGCTTGAATACTGGGAATTTGTTGACGTCTCGGTTGGCCAAGGCGAGTCTGTCTGTATTGGTCCACGGCTTCTCGGCATCGCCATCGGCTTCCCCGTCGGCGCCTTTATAGTCGATCTTTCTCCGCTTTCGACTCGGACGGTCGGTAGCCACAGTCCGAGTGGCAGATCCCGGGCATCTGAAAGGCCTGTGCAGCTTGTCCATCGATTGCGGCGTCGGGAACCGCCCTCGCGGGACGTTCTCCTTGTTGGAGATTGGGGTCGAAGTGGTGGACCTGCCGCATGTCAGTCTCAAGCTGGGTCAATCAATCCGCTCATAATGTTTGCGTACATGATGACTATTGATTCCTTTATAGGCCTTTTCCCACGCAACAATGACAGCCTGGCCACCGACTTGGCCGAGGGAGATGATGATTCGAGAGGAGGGGTTTATTGACTTTGGGAAGGTGCAGTCGCGTCCCACCGCGTTTCCAAACGCGAAAAGTGGCGCGACCACAACGCCGTTCACGTGACTCACTATATCCTTGTCATTGCACCGAAGCCCTGTCTGTTGAATGGCAGACAAAGTAACTAAACACGGGCTTCGCCATGTTTAGACAGATATTCAGGGCTCGCCGTCTGCCGCCCTCTTCGCCTTTTCGGCGACAGTTCTCAACGAAGGCGATCTATTCGTCGTTTCCTGCCACACTGCACTACTATAGCCCCCAACGAAGCTCGAGTCTGTATGAACGCAAAGAGAGCGGCAGCCCGCCCGAAGATATATTTGATGAAGGTGTCACTCTGAAGCACGGCCTAGTATACCCAGCCGTCGACAAATCCGGTTTGTAAACTAGTCTGCGTTTGCGCTGTTTGCAGGCAAGGACTAAACAAGCTCGGCAGTTTCCAATGGCGCGGTCATGTTTCCCAATACCTTCCTGATGCAGGAGATTGTACGCATGTACTTTGATGAGACGCTTGATCGCGAGGACGAAGGCAAAAATGTTGAAACACCCTTCATCTACACTATCCCTCGGGGCACACCGGTCCCTAGCCATCTCATTCTCATCAACGAGTATCTTTGCAGATTTTCCCTCCAGCCGTCACGCGGCATACCGCTTGAATGTCTGAGCATTGCAACACCTGTCTGGAAGGCCATGCTAACTCGGCCCAGATTTAAATCGATCATTGGACGAGTTTTATCTCAAACATGGCTCTAAGGAAACTGCAGAGTCCTGGCTAGACAGACACCCTTTCCAAGAGGCTGTGCCAGACGAGGCTGACGATGTGTGGATGGCTAAATGAGCGTGAATCCCGAGCCCGGAGCCGGTAGCCCAGGGCCCGCATAGCCTAGGAGTGAGTGCCGCCTAGCGCCGAGAGCGCAACTGGATGGGAGACATGTTATGTTTGAAAGAAAGAGCCTCACAAACGGACTATTTGGAGGGCGTATCTCCGTTGTCTTGTAGTTCCACTCAATGTTCCGTGGCCGTATCTACTTCTGTCCAACTTGGACCGGATGGCTGCCAAATCAGGGTTCTCGGCTGCGCAAACTGGACCCAGGTGTCATGTCAACGTCAAATAACCAGCAGCTTGGAGGGTACAGGCGATTTGTGAGGCATTCCGTGAAACACGTTCTTCGTGCAGACGGTACTGTGGCTTTGGCGGCATCGGCCTGGGTGATGCGTGTCAGCAGCTATAGAAAATGCTGGCGGCCTAGCATGATGCATGACATTAAGCCAGCTCAGCAGTAGCAAGATAAACAAATACCCCTCTTTTTCGTTCCCTATTTCGGCCCAGACTTGCTCTCGGACGAGGACTCGTTGTGCTGTTGCCCCTGAATATAACCCAAGCGATTGTTCAGCTAAACGACCATTATGTCAACATGCAATCCAGGCCACTTCAGCTGTCTTTTGTTGCTCGAGAACCCTGCCAATAGCTAAATCCAGCTTGGTTCCCCAATTCTATCTTGAGCAAACCGCTCTCGGTTTGGCTTTCTTGTATTGCTTAGGTGCCAGAGGTGCAGCACGCAATACCGCGAATGTGTCACATGTCAAGCCACAGTGCCACAGCGAGAGTAACAAGCAACTTTTGCAACACACACGGCCAGGGCAGCTCGATCAACTCTTACAACCAGCGTCAAGTCCTAGGTATGCAATATGTCGACCCCCAACCTGATAGCAGTTTTCAGGAAGATGCCCAAGGAACTTTTCCGAGTCAACAATGGCCGCCAGGTCAAGCTGCGGACGTGGACGCCAAAACGACACGTCTATGACATCTTTGTGAAGAATGGACGTGTCGAACCAAAGGCTCTCGACCCGTCGACTTATGCGGGTGAGTAGCCCCCTATAAAAGAGCGAGAGCTGGGCTATCCGACGCTGCCAGGGCTGAATGTTGATTCCCAGCCCCGAATGGCGCATCGATGCGGCCAAATTCACCGTACCAGCAATCGCTGGTCAACTGGCGATTCAGGGGCGACGACATGGTTGTGTATTCGGTCCCCGAAGGTGAGCTTGCAACCGACGTGGCTCCTTGATGAAGGAACAAGCGGGCACAGGTTCTAACCGGGCCGTGAAAGAACCAGCCTCCCCGAGGACCTGCTCCTCGTTCATGAGCGCTCCGATCACTACTCCCTCCAACCAGCAGAGTCGATGATTAGAGTCGCTGACGTCCGAGTGCCTAGACCTCGACGCAAAGATCACACAGTTCATGATGACCAACGCCAGGGCATTTACCACGGATCAGTGGCTTGAGGCGTATCCAGAAGCGACCGAGGAGTCCAATTTCCCAAATACGGAGCGGGGCCAGTCGAGAGGGAAGACGCAGCAGCGATAGATACCCGACACTTTGCGGGAATGCCGCCGTTTATTTAGCTCATCTCCACTCCGCCAGGAATGCCCAGCCGCGTTCTACAGCGAGCCGTTCCCCGGTTCCAGGGAGTTGGCCCCACCAAAACCCCCCCACCCTCGGCATCACAGGGAAAAAAGAACCGAATTCCTCTGCAGGCGCGGGAGCCATGAATTCAACCTCCATTGGGGAGTTTCCGGTGCCAGAGCAGCGATTGCCCGTGAACCATGACAAATTGAAACTCGTGCCATACTGCCCCGTGTCCTCCCTCGTCCCCTCCCTGGCGGTATCGCTCAACGCCCACCCGAACCGGTGAATCCGGCTCCGTCAGCGATGTCCGCCGACTTCTGGGCCGGCTACATCAGCGGGGCAGCGGGGATCGTGATCGGCAACCCCTTTGACGTGATCAAGGTCCGCCTCCAAGCGGCCCGGGCCCCGTCCCTCGGCCCGGAATCCGCGGCAGCAGCAACACCCCGGCCCCTGCCCCTGCCCCGCACACCCCTCCTCCCACCAACCCCGCCACACTTAACAACCACCACCACCCTCCCCTCCCTCTCCCACCCCCTCGCCGGCATCGCCGCCCCAATCCTCGGCTACGGCGCCCTCAACGCCCTCCTCTTCATAACCTACAACCGCACCGAATCCCTCCTCACCCACGCCCTCGGCGGCGGCTCCCCCACCCCCACCCACGGCGGCGGTCTCTCCCCCGCGACCCCGACCGGCGCCCTCGCGACCTGGACCGCCGGCGCCGCAGCCGGCCTCGCGACCTGGGCAGTCAGCACGCCGACCGAGCTGATCAAGTGCCGCGCCCAGTTGGGCACGCCGTCGCACAGCAGCGCCGCCGTCGCGGCCCGCGTGTGGCGCGCCGAGGGCCTGCGGGGGCTGTACCTCGGCGGGGCCGTCACGGCGCTGCGCGACGCCGTCGGGTACGGCTTCTACTTCTGGAGCTACGCGCTGCTCACGCGGGCGTCGTGGGGGCCCGGCGATGCGGACCGGGCCCCGGGCGGGTTTGTCGCCGAGGCGGCGCGCGTGCTGGTCGCCGGTGGGCTGTCGGGCATCGCTACGTGGGTCAGCATCTACCCGTTGGACGTGATCAAGACGCGCGTGCAGGCACAGGTGGTCGACGGCCCCGGGGCGCGGGTGGGCGCGTGGGAGGTGTATCGGCGGGCGCGGCGGGAGGGCAGGGGGGTGCTCTTCAGGGGGTTGCCGGTCTGCTGTCTGAGGGCGTTTGTGGTCAACGCTGTGCAGTGGGGCGTCTATGAGATGGTCATGTACGAGCTGGGACAGGGGAAGTGGAGGGGGGCTGCAGATGATGGAGGGTTGTAGCTGGCCGTGCAATGTGTCAGTGACTATGTGGATGTGCCCTAGGGGCACCCGATCTGCCTGTCAAAGTATCATGGACGAGCTAGCTTCTCGAGGCTGAGGTTTGTGGTGGATCCTACGGAAACAAAGCCTTCATCGTAAGGTTATCAACAACAAAGGACCCGGCAGATTCCACACTTCGGGTCGAGGGTGCCAGGGTTGGCGTCTACGACACCTTGTTAGTCTCGAAGAAGCCGTGAGGGGTAGCGAGGCCAGATTCGATGCGCCCCTACATTCCTGCCATCTGACTGCGGCAAGGATCACAACCCCCCCGGGCCGAAGAAAGTAGGACTCCCACAGCCTCCATCACTTCGGCAGCAGGAGAGGCCGAAGGTCACGCGCAGCCAAACCCAGAACACACGGAGAAGAGCATTAGTCGGCCGTCACGGTTTCGGGGCCAAGGAAAGGGGAGGAGCACGACGATCAGGGAGTATCTCGGTCGCCATTAAGTTGGCGTGGAGTCTCATGGACCATCAATTAGGACTATCTTGGCTTCCAAGGACAGCGAATTGGTCAGGTTGTATGACTTCCTAGCCCTCCCTTCCCTCCTGTGGTAGAGTCTTACCAACTACCATTCACACAATACCTTGTGCCAATGCCATGCTACACGGTAGTAAAACGCAGCGATGCACTGTTCGAATCTTTGTAGTTTTATTTATTTTCTAAAACTGGAAACATGTGATGGCCTTCCATGCAAGCGCCTTGAACCTGTATCGTTTCCCTTGATGCAGTCATATCCTCGTGTCAACTATAACCGAAAGTGCGAAGAGAAGCAAAAGAAGTAAAAAGTATTAGAAAAAGAGAGAAAAAAAGAAGCAGAAATCAAAACCCAACACTGGGTAAGGGTATCTTTCATCCCACATGCAATCATGCCGTCTCATGCTGCCAAGGTCCATCCGGATACATTTGGAACAAAGGAGATGCCATGCCATGCAAATGAGACTGCGCCTGGAAAACCCAATCTTGAGAAGTCGAGTCCATGCAATGCGTTGGCCGCCATGAACTCTCCGAATACGCCAAGACGGAGAGGGGGAGGACCACCAAGAGGAAACCGTCTTGAGTACTCTGTCCAAACGCCAAACTCGTGAAATCGTGATCTGTGTCGTCGTTTGAACTCAAAACATTACGTCAACCCAACTGGAGAACCAAACGCCATCTCCAATCTTTCTTGCGCGACGAAGCTGGTCGTAGGTCCAACAAGGGGGGTGGTCGCGTTATTTTTTTGGGTGTTTTCTCCTGACTTTCTTCTTCTTCTGTGCAAAAATTGTGGATGGAAAGAGAATGGATCGATCGAGAGGAACCGGGGTGTCCCGGTGGAAAAGTGTAGATGGTGAGAGAGGGCTTCAGAGGTCGGAGGCAAAAATCGGTTGCCAGTGTGTTGCCCAAGTGAATGCGATTGAAGCGCATGTCGAGGATCGAGGGGCCGGTGACGGACGGCGAGAACTTGTTCAGAATGTCGGTGGTCGAGGTCAAGATGTCTTATATCAGGCCGGCGCCACGGAGACGGGTGCTACTGTCAACCCAAGAGATTGGGATGGCACATCTAGCCGAAGTTCGTTGTCGTACCAGCATAGAGTCGAGGCCAAGAGCCAATGTTGAAGCCCAACCGTTAGGGCGAACGTGGCATCGGGCTTGTCGAAAAGTATTGCGTGGGAGGAAAGAAAGAGAAAGAAAATGATTCAGACAGAAATTGAAAGAGGCCGAGAAACTGCTGCAGGCAGACGTGGGCTGTTGGTAGAGGATTCGATGCTGTCGCGCGGTGACCGTTTCTGATCATGCTCGATGCAAACCACCATGGTGTCAAGCGCGGAGTCAGTATCCTGGAGCTCCAAACCAGGCGGCGAAAAGTTCCTCGGTGAACAGGTCGAGCTCGACGAGCCGAACGCGGTCGCCCCAGGTCTTGACGAAAGTCGGGTCCCGCCAGGCCGAGGAAATGCCCTTGGACCAGCCAACGATCTCGACATTCCAGCCGTTCTGGAGCAGGCGCTCCACGTTCTTCTTGAAACCGTCGGAATACTCGGCCTCAGCCGCGTCTCCAGTAGCAAGTACAACGGTGCCAGGCTCGGAGTCGAGGGCACTCTGCAACATCTTCAAGTGCAGAAGCTCGTCGACACCTTGCTCGCCCTGCTTCAGCTGGCCGATAAAGACTTCCTCGCCGGACGACTCAGCACCAGACGTGGTCCACCCAGTTTCGCCGTTGCCACCACGCCTCGTCTTCCTTTCGGTGGGCGACGGGGTGGCTTTCGGGACTCGCTGGAGGATGTTCATCTCGTAGCCAAGCTCCTTGGCCTCCTGCATGTACTCGGGCCACCTGCGATTGTAGGTATTGATCAGAGAACCGGCAACAATCTTCTTCTCGGCCGGGCGGCCGCGCTCGAGCAAGAGAGAAAGATGCTCAAACGAGAACGGAGGGGCCTTCATCTTCCTGGTGACTGGAATACCGTGCTTCAACTTCAGGCAGTCGTAGAAACCAATCGTGATGTTGGACAGATCGACGAAGACATGGATGGGCTTCGATGCGGCAGGCAGTCTCTCCTTCAACGCTTGGTCCGCCTCGAGGGTAGGGGCAAGCTTGTACTTCATCACCTTCGTCTTATCCTCTTTGCTCGCCATGTAGTGCGGAACGACGCCTTCCTGGTTGTCCCGGTTGAGAATTGCGTACAACTTGACGTCCTTGTATGGCTGCGTCTTGAGCAAGTCAACGCGGAAGCGGAGAGTCGACCAGGGCACCAGCGGAAAGTAGAAGGGATTTTCAGATCTTGGCGAGGGCGCAGCACCATAGTTGCTGGCCACAACTCGGGAAGTCGCGACGTAGTTGCCGTTGTCGACCCCGGCCACATTGTAACCGGGGTGGGAGCCGGTGCCGGTGCTGGGAGCCGGGAGGGCCGCACCATTGTCATTGGGGATGCCGACGGAAGAAGTACTCGTGTCGAAAATAATGTTGGTGGGGGTTGCCGTGCCCGTCTTGTCGGCAGAGCCGGGAGGCGTAGTGGCGGTCGTCGAGTAGTGAAGGCTGCCGAGGAAGACCGAGTTCAGGGTCGAGACGCTGCCATTGCTGGGAGAATCAAACACGACAGCTTTGCCAATGTCGATTGGAGACAAGGTGGCACCTCGGGCTTGGGCCAGAGTCACGTTATTGCCCGCGTCGGCCGCATCAGCAGAAGCCTGGGGCGGGTTCGGAACGAACTCGTCAATCGCACCATCATGGAGGAGGCGGCAAGCTTCAGTCATGCGTGGAGAGCGGCGACCCTTGACTCGACTTCCGGGAGTCTGCAGGAGCTCGTTCTTCACCAGGCCCTTGATCTTGGCCTTTTCTTTAGCCTTTTCCTCGGCAGATAGCTTTCTCTCGAGCTCAAATTTGAACTCAGGGTCGGTCTGGAGCTTCAGGAAGGCGTCGAAGATCTCGCGGAAATTGCCCAGGTGGGGAGACGGGGGTTTCGAGACCGAGACTGCGGTCATAGTGGCGGTAGCCATTTTGATGAAGGCTTCGTTCGTATTTCTTGTGCAAGTCGGTTTGATCTAGGGGATCGTAGGCAGGAGGATATGTGTGCAACTTTTGCAACGGTAAGATGGAAGAAGAAGGGTATTGCGGAGGGCGAGATGGTGGAGGAGAGTCAGGTATGAATTTTGAGCAGCGGAGGAATGGGGTTTTGTGGGTGAAGCAAGAGTTGTAGCATTTCAGAAACTGTGGGCGACTTGGGCGACTAAGCGGGTACAATACTCGAGGGTTTGAGGTTGTGGGAAGGAGTTCGGGGGCAGAAAGGAGGAGTTCGATATCGAGATAGATGGGATGCCGAGTTGATGATGAGTCTAAAGTGAGCCAGACAGGTGCAAGTTCCCGCTGTGGGGCAGCGAGGTTGGGTCCGCAAATAGTGGGGGTTTAGCTCCCTGCATCCACTCGAGATTAATGGTTGCAGATCCGGGTTCAAAGGTGGTTAAGCTGATTGGCTGTTATCGGCTTTGACCGAAACTCGAGATACTTGGGAAATTCAGCCTCTCAGCCTTGCGAGACTTCACTTAAATTCACATGCTTTCACTCCCGCAACCCACGCAACAGCGCAATATGGACAAGCGGAGACAGGGCTTAGCCCTATTACAGCCTGTATCACGATAGAAACATCACTACCCACGACAATCTTCTAGTTGTGCAACCTTGCTTTGCGTAAGTTTTGTTGGAAAGGGGGGAGAAACCAGTTGCTTCTCCAGCCCCAACTATATGGGCTATGTGCATTGCCGTGCAAACTACAGATCTTGCAACATTGGCTTCACAGTTTACAATTAGACATGAGAGATTATTCCAATGACTAACCGTGAACTTACCAAATAGATCTGCTTGCCCTGAAGCAAAGATGCGACCAGGAGACAGCAGTATGCTACCTAGCCGTTAAACGAAACATCAAGACCAGGTAAACATCAGATAAATGCTAGATAGGATGAATGTTAGGAACTGCTTATCATTGTCTTCTCGCAAGTCCAACTACCAAGGTAGGTAGATGCCATCAGACTACCATAATGACATCCATGACCACCATATTCCGACCTAGGTGCCGGTGACGATGTATTTCCTCTCCACAACTCCACGAAAAGGATCAGGCCAAGGTATGAATGCTACATCCAGCACTACCGTGATGGGGGCTAGTTGCATGCACTATTCTGTATTATACACCGTACGTCAAAACACCAATCTCCGAGTCACAGCCAAGCAAGGCTTTTTTTTTTTGTTCCATTTCCTTCATTTTTGACGCCGGGGACGTGTAAGCAGCCATTCGCGCGAGAAGGAGCAGTGGAATAAAATAAGATAAAACCCCTAGCTCAACACCGTCGGGAAATCCGCCGAGGTCCATCCGAAGCCGTGAGGGAAGAAGGAAGAAGACGAGTGGGATAAAAATAAAAAACTCCGGAAAGGTCCATATCTCCCTTCCAATATCCTTGGCTCCCCTCCCCTCTCTGGTCCTCATACTCCATTAAGCAAAGCCAGGGGAAAGCCACGGCGAATAGGGTAAGATGGCCAGGACCATACCTAGGTGCGAGACACTCCAAAAAGCCGCCACATGGGGTAGGTAAAAGCAATGGCTTCCGCCCAGTGTGACATGAATACCATCACGTCGTCGTCGTCGTCCTCCCCGCCCTGGCCTTCTTCTTCTCCTCGGCATCCGCCCTCTTGACCTCTTTCCAGCCCCGCAGGTCCTCGTTGATCGCCGCCGTCCCACGGTCCATTTCCTCCGCCCACGCGATCAATGCCTCAGCAAGCAGTCTGCCCTGCTCGGTCCCGGCCCTGTCCCCCTCACCACCCTGATCCTCCCCCTCCGCCTTGGCCCTCTTCTCAGCCTGCCTCGCCTCCCCGGCCATCGCCTCATCCCTCTCCTTCCGCTTCCGCCGACGCTCTTCGCGCACCTGGCGGATACTCGCCAGGTGCGACACGCTGTGGCCCAGGCCGGCGTACTGGTCCGCGACACGGGCCACGCGCTCCGGCTCCCGCGACGCCGCCGAGAAGAAGAGCAGGCGGCCCTCGTCGTCGCGGTGGAATTGCTGCCGCACCTCGGCCGGTATGCCCGCCTCCACGTTGGGGTCCAGGATCCGGAACACCTCATAGGAACGCGCCGGCATGTTATACTGGTTCGCGTGCCCGTGCGTGTTGGCGTGGTGTGCCTGGGGCCCAGGCATCGCGCTCACGCTCGGCGATGGCGCCATCGGCTGCTGCTGCTGCCGAGAGGGCGTCATGGCGGCCGGGTTCGCGGCGCGGTGGTGGTCGTACGGGGTCGCAATGTGTTGGGACACCTGATAATGGGTGGCGGGCTGCATTTGCTGCGGCACATACGTGGGGGTATTGTAGGAGTGGTACTGCGGCGCCTGTGCCATCTGCGCCTTAGGATGCGGCACTTGGGGCGGCACACCCTGGAGGTGATGCATGGGCTGGGGAATTTGCGGTACGGGGGTAGCTGCTTGCCGCGCTGGTGCCGCGAATTGCTGGACATAGTGCATCGCGGATGGCGAGGGGGCCACCAGCGGTGCGGCAGGAACATATGGTGTCCCGGTCATGCTGACGTCGCTCTTGACAGACGGGCGCCGTGTAGGGTCCATGTGCAATTGGGGCGGCGGAGCAGATGTTGGGGTGGGCATCGGCTCGGGAGGAGGTGATTCCTGTTGAGATGGTCGCATTGTCAGAATCCCAAATCCTTCTTGTTTGATTTTTGATTCGCAGGCGTTTTCGGTTCAAGGAATGCAAACGGTCCAGCCAACCAAGGTAAGTGCCGGATGATGATGAGGGTAGCCGGGCACCCAAATCGAAGTGGGAAATTGAAGAGGGAATGGGAAGATGGAAGAGGGAAGAGGAAAGGGAAAATGCGGGCACGCAGGGTTTTAAGCGAACAAGACATCTGACACGCTCTCCCTCAGTGAATGGGCCGCAGGAGCGCCGATAGGAAGTGAATGGCTTCCGGAAAACAGAGGAATTCGAGAGGGGGCTAACATGGGCGACGGCAAGACGCCGTATGGCCGAATGACTAAGAAAAAAAGGACTCACATTCACTTCTCGAGGGCGACGATGGACTGCCCCAATCATGGGAGGAGCGTTGGGGCTCGCCCAAGTAGGCTTCGGGAGGGCGTCGGTCTCCTTTGCATCTTCCCGAAGCAAGTGCTTGATGGGGCTCGGCGCCTTCCTCAGCCTATGGGGGACCGCAAAGAGGTCCATCTCGTAATCCTTCTCGCGGACCTCGTCCGGAAGGCAGCTGGCCCAGGTCTTGATCTTGTTGAACGTGAACTTCTCATCATTGTATCGGGACTCACACACGTAGACGGCCTTGCCTGGAGGGTACCCCCTGGGCCGACCCTTGGGGTACCTGGTGATGAACATGACAAAACAGCGATCGTCGATTTCCTCGATGCGATGGTCCCGGTACTGACCTGTCTTGAAGACCTCGTTTTCGTAGAAGTGCTTCTCGAACCGATGAACCGTCTGCTCGGGGCGGTAGTACCAGCAGGCATTGACCCATTTGAGGCCGGCCTTGTCTTGGTAAGTCCGATATATCTGGGCGACAATAGGTTTCCGCGGATCGTTGGGGTTCGCAATATGGACCCAGTCACCTATGCAATTGTTAGCCACACATTATGCTAGGCTCCTTATTCCAACCCGGTTGGTTGGTTGATGTTGTTGTTGTTCCTTACCGACTCTCCAAATCTCCCCCTTGTACTGGATGCCCAGCAACGGAAGCCTTCCTTCTTCATCGCAAAACTCATCATCCGGTTTCGCCTTCTCCTGCTCGGCAAGCAGGCGGGCTTGCTTCTGCAGCTCAACCGCATCCTCATACAGCTCGCTGCCCTCCTCATTGTACTCCTTAGCATTATCAAACATGATCTCCAGATCCGCCAGAACTTCGTCGATGTTCTGGTACTTCTTACGCTTGTGCTTCCTCCTGATGGTGTCTATCGCAATTGGATTCTGAATCGTGGTGTAGTAGTCCGGCACGACCGCCTTGTCCGGGAGCTTCTCGAAGGCCGTGATGCGCAACTCCCCATCGTCATTCTTGAACTTGCGCAAGCCCTTGAGAAGCGCGAGGGTGCGAGCCTCCAGGGGCGTGAAGACCTTTGGCGGGCGGCCGTGTCTCTTGTGCGCATCATCGCCATCGTCACCTCGGTCTCTTCTGCCCCCCATCGACGGGCGGCCCCTTCTCCGTCCGCGTCGGCGGACACCGTCATCGTCAGAATCGTCATCTTCGTCCTCCTCCTCGTCGTCTTCATCGTCCTCGTCTTCCGCCTCGTCCTCTTCATCCTCGTCGTACTCGCCTTGCTCGGCGAGCGGCGAGTCGTCGACGGGAGGCAACTCACCTAGATCGGGCAGCTCAGCATCCTCGGCCGTGATTTCCCCGTTGCCCACATACTCCTGCAGCTTTTTCTTGAAGATCTCGCGTAGCCTCACGGCAGCTTCGAATATCGGTGCAGACGGGCGGTTGTATACCTGCGCATTGTGGCAGATCTGCGCGACATCCCTGACGAACTGGCTGAACTCCGTGTACGACTTCTTGAGCAGTTTTCCCTATTTGTCACAGCCTATATTAGTACCTGGCATGCCTCTAGGTATCCAAACAGTGGGGACGAACGCACCCTTATCGTACTAAAGGCGATCGGTTCTTTAATCACGTCGAAGTAGTCGGGAAGCTGGCGCTTGTTCGGTATGCGCTGGAAGCCAGCAGCAATCTCCTGCCCACTAAGAAGCGGTCAATCAGCATTGTTCCATAGAGCGGCAGCATAGACTACTCGAGCAACCGCGACTTACTCTTCCTCATAATTTGAAAGGTAATGAGCCGTCGTCTCAATCTGCTGGTGGAGATTCTTCGGCTCCCTGCTGGGCGTGGGCGTGGGCGCAGCGCCAGTCCCAGTGTCATCGGGCTCGCCATCGGCATCAGCCTCGCCGTCCGCATCGGCATCGGCATCAGCACCAGGCGCGGCCGCGTCTCCCTTGTCAGGGCCGCCGGCATCCTCCATCTCGACGTCCTCGTCCACGCTCGGCTTGGCCTCGATCGACTCCTGCACCTCGATCGCGTCACCGGGCTCCATGTTCGGGTTCTGGTCTTCTTTGCTGGGTGGGCTCTTGCCTTGATCGGGCAGGGAATCGCCTCTGCTGGGCCTGGCGCGCAATGTGGGCATTACGGGCGAGCTAGCGCGCGAAATCAAGGGTACGGGAGAATCCACACTCGATTTTGTCCAAGTTCGCGAAACACGGGCGATTGAGCAAGGCCAGCTAATAAAAGGGTTTAGCGCATGGACTTGGGCCCCGTTAAGTGACTATCGAGGCGAAGGTGGAAAGCGGGGCAGTGGGGGTCCGTCCCGCTTCAAGCTCGGGAAGGCGGGAGAGTGAGTGAAGAGATCGGGATCTAGTTCGTGCATTCGGGGCTATCTATGTACATACATATACATATTGGCAACCAGATACCTGGATCAATCTGGATACCTATATTTCTCTTTTGCTTTCTATTCTCACTGCCGCGACCTAAAACAACGCCATCTTGCAGGTTGCTTATTTGTGCATTCAACCCAAAGCGCCCTCCCGTGTTAGTCCACTCGAGTCCTTGCCCTGCAGAAACGGCGCTGTCGCATGGATAGATTGGCTGAATTCATTCGTTCAGGGTCCCTCTGATATTCGCCACAAGGTCCTGGTTGACCCCGCCGTCTACTGCGGTCTTGCCTAACCTGGTTCGTTGGCGGGTCAACTCATGTTGCGCCAGGCAGTTCATCACCTCCTTACTTGAGCGTGGCCGAAAGAGGCCCCTGAGTTTATTATTTCCTTCACCGTACATTCTTATCTCAGCAGTCATATTGGGGGGAGAGAGAGAAAGATGAAGGTGCAAATACGGCTCCGGGCGCCAAACGGCATGGTTCGCCTCGAGGTCGATCAGGAGTCCAGCTTAGCTGATCTCGTCGAGCTCATCAAAGAGAAGACCGAGGTCAAGAGCTTTTCCTTGAAATATGGCTGGCCATTGAGAGCCCTGGAACTCAGCTCCTCCTCGCTGCAAACCGCTGTGCGAGACCTGAACTTGAGAGGGGAGACCATCGTGGTTGTTCCCCTGGAGACGTCATCGCCCCAAGTGGCGACAGCCCCGTCACCGCAGCCATCGAGCGCGGTCGCTGAGCCGAAGGAAAAGCCATTCCAGGCTAGACCTATGGAACCGGATGAGACTGTTGTCGAATGGCAGGCGAGAGGGGGTTTCGTTGGTATGCCATGCCCCTGCCTCTTGCCTGGGGAAGCCCTCTGGCTACCCTCCCGCCACCTGTGGCCGACCTACCTTCGCAAATCGGGATATGCTAATACCGGATTCAGTACTCCGGGTCATGCCCGACGATAACAGCTGCATGTTCACTGCTTTCGGGGGAGCCATTGCCCTGGACGATCCCGCCAGACATCTGCGCCAGAAGGTCGCCGAATACATCATGGCCCACCCTGAAAAGTACAGCAAGGTCATCCTCGGCGACGACCCGGCCCGGTACACCCACCGGATGAAGCAGTCGGACACATGGGGCGGCGCTATCGAACTGAGTATCCTATCGGATATCTACGACATCGAGATATGTTCCATCGACGTCAAGGTAGATTCTCTTCCCTTGGCCCCGGAAGGGGGTGCTTTCAGGCTATCTAGCCAAACCCGACTGACTTACTGACCCCGGAACCCACCAGTCCCTCCGAGTCGACAAGTTCGGCGAGAACAAGAGTACCCGCTGCATCATCCTCTACTCGGGCATCCACTACGACCGGATAGCATTCAGCATGGACCTGAGCTACCCAGCCGAGGTCGACGTGACCAAGTGGGCGACCGACGACGACGAGATGCTCGACAAGGCCCGGGAGCTGGCCCAGAAGCTCAACCGCCTGCACTACTACACCGACACCAGCGACTTCGTCATCAAGTGCGAGGACTGCGACTGGATCGGCCAGGGCACCAGGGACGCCGCCGAGCACGAGCGCAAGACTGGGCATGTTCGCTTCGGCGAGATGACCATCAAGTAGATGGTAGAGGGATGGATATCCAGGGCCAACGGTTGGGACGGGTTGACAGCTTTCCCGTGCTTGGGGAGCAGGTTAGTCGATCGCTCATCAAAATGTTTTGAGGGGAACGTGTTGTGCCATCAACTTTGTCACGTCTCGGAGTACCTATGCAAAGCCATGCGAGAGATGTTTTCTCGTGATACATGCATATCTCATTAGAAGAGCGCATGGTATAGACAGGATGTTGAAAAATACACCTAGAACCCCTTGGGGATCGATCTCGTCATCCCTTGCTACCTTGTGCCATAAACTCCATGCTCTATGCCGCCGAGCAATCATGTGGGTATGCTAATAGTACAGTCCTCCCAAGACCGAAAACACGATGTTCTCCCCCAGACCAAGTGGTCGAGAATAACAGGAAACAAACCCCAGGACTACCAATACCAACCTAGGTACGACTAATAGTGATTCTGCAAGTCCTGAGCCCCAGCGGCATATCCCGCTCCTCGGCCCGCTTGCCGTCCTTGCGACGGTGCTGTCGGCGCACCGGCCGGCCAGGACGGGTACTGTTGCTGCTGCTGCGGCGGCGGCTGATACTGGAGTTGGCTATTGTAGGCGGCGGGATTCTGAGGCGGCTGTTTCTGCTGTTTCTGCTGCGGCTGCTGCGGCTGCTGTGGTGGTTGAGGCCTTCGGTCAGCAGACTCATCCTCGTAAGTGACCTGCTGCGAAGACCCTCCCTGGTTCCCACCCGCGCCTACATCATCGAGCGACCTGTAGTGGAAGCCGCCGCCCCTCCCGCCTCGGCCTCCTCTCATGCCTCCACCTCCGCGACCGCCTCTCCCGCCTCGGCCTTGATTCCCATGGCCGCCGCCCCGGAACCTGCCTTGATTCGACGCACCACGCTTCATGTGGCTGGATTGGTGGTAATGTCTCTGCTCGTTTCTGTTGACCACGCCGTGGCCACCAAAATTGCCGCCATGCGGGCGGGGACGACCCTCCTCTTCCCCTGTGTGCTTCCGCTTCGCAGCCTTCGTCGGGAACAGGCTCTCATACTGGTCCTCGCTAGGGTCTTCGGGTTCAATACGAAGCAGGACCTTCTCCCCGACGGTTGTCTCGAAGACAAAGGCCTTCTCCGGTGGCACAGGCTGCCAATTCTGGATTTTGCCCGCGTCGATGGGCCGCTTCCCCTTGCGCAACGCGAGCACTACCAAAGGCACAGGGTTGTCTGTATGGAACTTGGCCGTTGGTGGAACGGGCTTCAGGCATGCAGCCCATATACCGTTCTCAAAGCATGCAAACCCGGTCACCTGCCAGGTCATCTTGCTCCCCATGCCGCCGACTTTTTCCAGGATGCTATTCGGGCAAGGTCTCGGGCAGATCATAATGTTATTAGCATGATATTTGAGTTCCGTGTCTCTCATAGCGGCAGGAATCTGTGCCAGCGTAAGCAAACGCTGCGTGTCAGTGCTGTTGATCAGATAGCCGGTATAGAAGACGGTCTTCTTGATCATGAGCCGCGGGTTCCGCACGCCGCTGACTCCCCTGTTCACGGCATCATTGTGTGCATTGATCAGGTGCTGGACTTCGGCCACCTCGACGACAGGGTCGAGGTTCGTTGCCAGGTCGGCAACTTGAATGACCTCGGCAGTTATAGGGTCTCGCGTGGGTCTGCCACCGATACCGTTCTGCCTCTTGTTGTAGTCCATCAAGAAGTCCCGGAAGCCCTTGGCATGCTTCGGGCGGTCCTCGTAGATCCGAATCTCTTCGGCCTGCTTGTATGTCTCCATCAGGGAGTCCAAGAAGTTTTGCTTGAAGATCATGGTGCTCGCGAAGCGCTGACTGTTGGGTCCTACAGCGGGCTTTAGGGTGATCATATCGAAATCAAGCTGCTTGCTTGCAACCATGCGCTTGATCAAGTCACTAAAGCCGGACTCGGAACGGCCGGTGAGGAGGACGCAGAGCGCATCTTTCTGCTTGTTGCTGAGTTCCACCAGCTCGACAATCTTCTCGTTCCACCACCCTTCCCATGCACGCGGCTCTTCTTTGACCAGGCCTTGACCGGTAGCAGCAAGGATGCGCGAATCGTGCCACCAACCGCCATTCGAAAAGACATCCGGGTTGGCAAGCGTGCCTATCGTCGGGCCATTCCAGAGTTTGGGATTCGGCAGGGGAGTCTTAAACACTAGATTAGGGGAGGGCAGTGGACGGGATTAGCCAGTTGAATTGTGCGGTTCAGAGTCGCATCATCTTCTTACGGGTGTTGTCAAAGTCGAAGACATGGATGGCTTTGATCTTGTCCACGGCTGCAATGGCAAATAGTCAGTATCAGATGGCAAATTTTGCACAAGCAGCCGCAGCGAGCCTTGGCTTGATGGCGGGAGAAGCTTGTTCACCTGGGAGCTGCTTGTTTAGAATTGACCATCGGCTCAACGCAGTGATTGTATGCGTAGTAGAGCCGTTTGCAGAGCCATTCCGCACTCCATTTGAGTATGAGGAAGCCATGACTTGGCGTGGCAGGACGGTCCGCGTGAATCGGGCTGCGGCATACATAGGATGGAGGAGGCTCTCCCAAAGTTGCAATCTGAGAGGGGGATCACGCTAGCAATTTTGGGATGTGGTTTCCCTTGGTCAGCTCCCCGGTCGCTCCCCACATTTAAACCCTCGACGTGCATATGCAATAATGCGGCTATTGAGCTAAGAAAATGCGGAGAAATATCTTTCCATCCAGACGGGTGAGATTTATCCTCACTTATTGTCAAGCTACAACTTAAAGGGGAAACGTTTCTCATCCCCTCAGCGGCGTGGGGCCAAACATCCATGGATGCCTTGCCTTTGTGAGGATCTAAAAATGATAAACCCACCAGTCGCTGGATATCTCTACGAGCTTCTGGAGAATGGCGGGTCAATGCTACCCCTGCATTGTATGTACATACTATTTGTGCCTACGACTACTTTAGGGAGCTTGGATGTCGTGGAGTATGGATAATTGGATATATATAGAGTCTGTCCTCGACTCCAACAGCCATCTAGATATCCAGGTTGCTTCCGATTCCTTGGTCTTGGCGAGGTTGTTCTCTCGATTTTGACAAGATGTTTTCCAATCCTCTCGCTTCGTTGCTTCTACTCTCTTCGCTCTGCTCGAGTGGCCTCGCGTTGACAACATGTGTTGTGCCCTCCAAGTATAAGTGCTCCAACGGGACTGCCTCGGATGCCGATGCCATTGCAAGTGCCTTTGCCAAGTGCTCAAAGGACGCGGTCATCGAGTTCAAGGAGGGTGTGGACTACAACGTCTTCGCCCCGATCAAGGCGACCAACCTATCCAACGTTGTCATCTCGCTGAAGGGCAACTGGAACCTCCCGCAGGATATTTCTGCGGTCCAGCGCTATGTTAATGCTGCCGGTGGTTCTCTGAGCTGGTTCGAATTTGCAGGAGATAATGTTCAGATTATTGGGACACCCAAGGTCAGAAAAGACAGCAACCACCAAACCCACCCACCCCTCCCTCAACGCCCTCTTTTCCCTTTTATATAACATCGGAGCCTCACTGACCGTGTCAAGATTACTACTGGCTGGATCAAGTCATACGGACAGGCATGGTGGGATGCAAACCCCGTGGGCGGTACGGGTATGGCAGGAAGGCCACATCTGATGAAGTTCAAGGTCCAGAATGGTACGTTCCCCCGAGCAGGGCAAGGGAATCCCAGACGCTAAGCCGAGTCCAGGGATAATCAAGCACTACAAGGCCTCGAAACCCATTGCGTGGGGCCTGTCTGTCTCGGGCAAGAACATCACCATCACCGACACGATTGTCGACGCCGAGTCGGAGACCGCTTCCTTCCCCTTCAACACCGACGGTATTGGTGTCAGCGGTACCGATGTCACTATCAAGAACAGTGTCATCTTCAATGGCGATGACGCGATTGCCATCACGTCAGGAGCGCGCAATGTGTTGTTCCAAGGAGGAACTATTGGCTACCAGAGCCATGGCATGAGCATCGGGTCCCTTGGGAAGGACCAGAAGTCGGTTGTGGATGTGTCCAATATCAAGTTCGACGATATCACGGTTGTCAATGCTGTCTACGCGTCTCGCTTTAAGTCGTGGATGGGTGGCCAGGTAAGGGCTTGAGCTCCTATCTTCTTCCTCTGCTGCTGACACCGAGCTGTAGGGCCTCGTCAAGAATGTGACCTGGAGCAACATCCGACTCTATAACGTCACTTTCCCCATCTTCGTCACGCAGACATACTTCGACCAGAACAATAAGGGCGCAGAACGGCCCAACAACTCTTCGGTTAATATGGAGAACTTCACGTGGGAGAACTTCGCAGGAACTGTCAACACTTTCAGGCCCGGAGATGGGTCATGTGTGACGGATGTGGGTTCATTCTGCTCCCAGTTTTGGAGGGCTGCCTTCGCTGACAATCACCTGATATAGCCATGCTGGTACGACGAGGGCCTACCCAATCTGAAGCACACCGAAGCCCTGATCATCCAATGCAACACCGACACATCCTGCAAGAACTTCGCTCTGAAGAACATCCAGGTTTTCCCTCAGAACCTAACGCCGCCAACGCAAATCTGCAAGAACGCCGAGGACGCACTGAATCCCGATCTGGGGATCCAGTGCAAGGATGGGCCCTTTGTCCCCTTGTCGTAAGACCTCGATGGGGAGGGGAAGCAAGCTATGAATCAGGACATCTCCATCTCCACTTCCTGGTCCTGTTGCCTCCCAGGAACGTAGCCAGTCCACAGTCCCCCAGCGGCGTCTGCCTCCTTGTGGGTATAAGGCTCAAGCACCTGCTTGACTCTGCGGAGGTCCTCTATTAGTTATGTTCTAGAGAGATTAATGATAATTGGGTGCACCCGTCAAACCTTACCTCCGCTTGTGTGGCTTGCCCCGTCGGTGTACGACAAGGTTGCTTTCACTGTCAAACCACTTGGCACATTCTATGCAGTAATGCTGGCCCAAGGCAGGCAGGTCTTCGGCAGGCTGGGCCTCCGTATGCTGTGCAAGATGTTTTGGTGAGAGGAGATCTTCCTTGATCTGGTCAATATCCCTGGAGCGGTGTGTTAATGCCTAGCCCACGATCTGACGACGGATAGAGTCTCCTGGAATACCTCGTCCGGTTCCGAGTCTTCGTTATTGTCTTTTTATTTTGGGTCCCCATATTTTCGGAGGCTTGTGGAGAACGGGAAATGAACAGTGGTTGCAGTGCAATGCTTAGAAAGGTATCACAAATGTCCTGGGATTAAAAAACGAACGACGAATCTTTCGGCAATATATCTATGTTCTTTTTTTTCCGAGGTGGTCGTGGTTGATTCGTGCTAAAATCTATGCCGCCGATGATTGAAGTTGTTCGCCACGTGACGCCAATATTTAACCCGCCAATTTCTGCCCGCTTGATGCGATGCAGTGGTGATCCAGTCACGTGCATCATACCTCCATGTCAAAAGTTCAAAACTCCAACGCCAGGCAGTGCCTGAGATCAAACTGTAGTGAGAAAGTGCAAAGAAAAGCACGCTCGTCAGTGGTTAAATGGAGTAGCATTGCCATGTCCGTCGTCAACTTTTCGGGGGTCTATCGTCTTCCCAATCACAACATAACCGTTATCCTTCCATCCGGCAGCCGGGGTCATGAAGAAGCCATCTTTAACTTTTGGCTTTCCATAAGGACGCTCTAGGCTAATTCTCAGCCGCAGCTATACCGAGACCTAGCCCGGCACGCCCGGGCGCCTCCATAGATTCCAGTTGTGGATACAATACAGTACAACACACCACTCCTCAGAAACTTCATAGAACACTGAGTCGAATCGACGGGGCTCTGTCTCGCTAGGAATTCGAGTACTGTTGATAGTCTGGACGCCGCAAGGCTCTCTGGATGGACCGGACAGGTTTTCACTGTTCCGCAGTGAGCTGTTCTTGATTCGATGTAGTTCCCTTTGATCATGAGAAGAATCCCGACCCAGCCATCTGAGACACTAAACCACCATCTCATCTTGCGATTATCAACTCTGTGACTATCCAGCTTTAATAACCAACGTTGGACAGGTCTGCCTGTTCAACGTTCCGAACGCCGCTAAACGATGAATACTCCCTTCATCTAAGTTTGAGACCTGCCTACCTATGACCAAGGTTTTCAGCATTGTTCTGATAATGGTATCTAACTCTGTTAGTTGCTCTCTCTCTGACCCGGTCAGCTTACAGGTGTCTTTCTCTATGCTCCTCTAGGATGTCAAACCTAGCATCTCTGAGCTGCCAGGAGAACAAGTTTCTTGGTCACTCCTGGGGTCAACTGGCCTACGAGCTCTAGGCCAAGAGAAGGACCACACTCACGGGGATTACGCATTTTGATCCCCAGCTGAACAATCAATTTTCAGGGCTCTTGGACTGAGCTGCTTCGTTCTGCACGATACCCTCCCCTTTTTTCAACTTTTCAGAATTTGGATTGATACATGTAACTACTTTTTAATCGTTTTGCTCCCTTTGTGGCTTCCTCTTCTAAAATTGGGCTTTTGCAATCTTCTCCAGAATAGCCAAGTTTTCGTCATTTCTCGCTGGATTATCGCAGCATTTGATCGCTAAAATAGCAGGCTCTTCAGAGTGAAGTGTGCATCATTTCTGCCGTTGTCAAGTCCATCGAAGGAACACGCTCAAAAGGAAGCAAGGGTAAAATGAAAAAAGTCCAGGCAAAACCCGACCTCTGATTCTGAAGGTACCAAGCATACCAGATATTGACGACTTATGAAAGTTAAACTTGAGTTTGTGTAAAGCATGCATTTCATGCCTGATATCATGGCCAACAAGCAAGATAGTGCGGGCTTGCGGGAGACAGCTTTGGAAGCTGTGAAGCATATGCTTTTGGCTAATGGTTACGACTTCTCCAAAGAGGAATTTCCTTTTTAACTTTCTGACTGTATTTTGAAGAGCTGGTGGGAAAGTTGAAGAAGCAAGAAGCAAGATCCCGAGTATTAAAAATTGCAAGCCGACTTGACAATCCGGATTTTCAGTGGAATCGTCTTTGCCGTTTCTAAATTGTCAAAATCGATCGCCATAAGTATGGAGTTGGTAAAACTTGTGGGCAGCAATGGGGTCTGGGACTCCATTTGGGCGTGTGCAGTGCTTGTACTGTTTATTTGAGCTGATGATGTTCCGCCCGGTAGCGCAGTAGTCAATTTTGTGTGTTGTGACAGCGTGCCAGAGGAGAGCACAGAGATAAATGCAGAGTGTGACAATCTGGAACAAATAGTGTCTGACAACATGATTTTATCTGCTAATTACCAGATGGGAGATTGAGAGATACAGAGAGAGGTCACAGGAAGCGACACTATCAACAAGAGCGCACCGGCGGAGCTCTGACCTTGCCTACCAGGACTGGTGAAGAGGACATCAATCTCGTAACCTACCTATCTAACCTGCTACCGTTCGGATGAAGTCCCGAAGACGTTAATCGGTATCCGGAGCCACCAGGTCGAAGATTGGGATGGATATCTTTCGATTTCCGACCGGTTTACGACCCGGAGCTGGATGCGGAGGTAAACTGTATCTCCTTCGTAACGCCTCTCGCCGCCGAGGTTTGCTATGTACCGTCAAATGGGCCGCCCCACCGGTCTCCAGGCCAAAGCAAATTTTCGGGGCCAGCCAAATTTTCCCGCGATACTGGCCTGGGCATGCTTCGGTACCTACAAAGTATCAGACATGGGAGGTACTTGGATCGCTACACGGGTAATGTTCTACCATGTTGCAGCTTGATGCAACTGTTGTACGGAGCGGTAATTTCATCGTCATTGTCACGGAAGGGAGGGAATTCGGAGGAAGGGGAGTGGTCGAGGGTTAGGGTTGAATATCTATAAACACCACCCGCTGGTCTCGGCAGCTCCACACTGGAAAAGTAGACGCGGCCGACTCGGGTGCGCCGGGTGAAGGGCGAAAACCGACACGAACCGAAGGGGATGGCATTGAGCGGGCAAGTGTGAGGAAGGCTGGGTTGAACAACCAACCAATTCCCCTGCACTTATTATCTTCTTCTTGCCAGCGAGTTTGAGAGAAGCTGTGTGGCGACGTTGCAAACCGGGCATGGATCTATCCCAACGTGTCATCCTACTACGTAGGTACCTACCTACCTACGTATAGAGCAACTGCATGTACTGTCTATGAGAGCTACAAAGTAGTACGCAGGCATCACTGCCTCTACCACATGCCATCGTCTCAGGGTAGGGTATACAGCCGAATCGTTGAGCGACTTGGGGATAGCAGCGGGGAAAGATGGATGGGGAAAGGCACCGTCAGCCTTCTCTAGTGGCGAAAGTCTGCCTCTGAGCCGTGGCTTTCGGCATTGTCTAGAAATTTTGGCAAGAGGAGCAATCCCTGTGACGTTTCTTTCCTTTGCTCCCTGGCTCTCCCATGCATAATCGGAATGTTCTGATTCGTCGGTTGGCCCGCCGTCACTCGTCATAGCCGAGTAAGTCACGCCCGTGGGGCCAAAACATGGCCCGCCGCCGCAGGAGCTCTTCTTGCTTCTATTAGCGCAACACTGCTATGGTGCCCTCTTCTTTTCCGGAATCATACAAAAAACCTCTCCACCTTTTCCACCTTCTCTCCCCGTAACCTTCTACTCTCTCTCCCAGCTCTATCCGCGGCATCAGTGCCTATAGATCTGGCCAATCTCCACTCCAATTGATCTGCTGTGCTCGCCTTTGGCTTGGAGCAGCTCAAAGTTGACCATGTTGGCACCTCGACAGCTCCTGGGCATGGCCCGGAGCCGTGCTCTCGGCAGCGCCAGCCTCGGGCTGAGACGCATGGCGACTGTCTCTGACCATCCGCTGGACAGGAAGGTGAGTCTGCGCTGCTTTTCTAGCCTCTCTCGCCTTATCGCGCTTTCGCTCGAGCCTCAATCGCTGACCGTGGCCACTTTTGCGCCAAACAACAGGTTCGGCAAAACAACTGGGAGGAGGGCAACTTCATCAACTACAAGAAGATGTCGGAAAACCTTGCCATTGTCCGCAAGAGACTCAACCGCCCCCTCACATACGCCGAGAAGATCCTCTACTCTCATCTGGATGACCCGCACGGTCAGGAGATCGAGCGGGGTGTCTCTTATCTCAGGCTGCGACCGGATCGCGTTGCCTGCCAGGATGCCACTGCTCAGATGGCCATCCTCCAGTTCATGTCGGCCGGCATGCCCTCGGTCGCAAACCCCACCAGCGTCCACTGTGACCACTTGATTGAGGCCCAGGTTGGCGGTGTCAAGGATCTAGAGCGGGCCGTGAGCATCAACAAGGAGGTCTACGACTTCCTTTCCACTGCTTGCGCCAAGTACAACATTGGTTTCTGGAAGCCGGGCTCTGGTATCATCCACCAGATCCTCCTCGAGAACTACGCCTTCCCCGGTGGCCTGCTGATCGGTACCGATTCTCACACTCCTAATGCTGGCGGTCTCGGCATGTGCGCCATTGGTGTCGGTGGCGCTGATGCCGTTGACGTCATGGCAAACCTGCCCTGGGAACTGAAGGCTCCCAAGGTTATCGGTGTTAAGCTTACTGGCCAGATGTCAGGTTGGACTTCGCCCAAGGGTAAGTTTGCGCTCGATTCTCGCAGATGCGGCAGGAGCGACCGGCTTGTAGGCTGACTAATACTCTCCCAGATATCATCCTCAAGGTTGCCGGCATCCTCACCGTAAAGGGAGGCACTGGTGCCATCGTTGAATACCACGGACCCGGCGTTGATGGCATATCAGCGACTGGCATGGGCACAATCTGCAATATGGGAGGTCTGTTTCGTTCCTTCCTGCGTCCTCTTGACCGCTTCGTGACTGACTCCGAACTAGCTGAGATCGGCGCTACAACGTCCGTCTTCCCCTTCAACGACCGCATGTACGACTATCTCGCTGCCACTAAGCGGAAGGAGATCGGTGACTTCTCTCGCGTCTATGCCAAGGAGCTCCGCGAGGACGAGGGCGCCGAGTACGACCAGCTCATCGAGATCAACCTCTCGGAGCTCGAGCCCCACATTAACGGCCCCTTCACTCCTGATCTGGCCACCCCTATCTCCAAGTTCGCCGAGGCGGCCAAGGCCAACAACTGGCCCGACGAGATCAAGGTCGGCTTGATTGGCTCGTGCACGAACTCGTCGTATGAGGATATGAGCCGCGCGGCTTCCATCGCTCGTGACGCTCTCAACCACGGCATCAAGGCCAAGGCGGCTTTCACCGTCACCCCTGGCTCGGAACAGATCCGGGCTACCATTGAGCGGGACGGACAGCTCCAGACCTTCGAGGAGTTTGGCGGCATTGTCCTGGCCAACGCTTGCGGTCCTTGCATCGGGCAATGGGATCGCCGCGATGTCAAGAAGGGCGAGGCCAACACCATCATCTCGTCCTACAACCGTAACTTCACCGGCCGCAACGATGGCAACCCCGCCACACACTCCTTCGTCACCTCTCCGGATCTCACTGTCGCCATGTCCATCGCCGGCACGCTCTCCTTCAACCCTCTGACCGACAAGCTCAAGGACAAGGACGGCAATGAGTTTATGCTGGCCCCGCCAACTGGTGATGGTCTTCCCGAGAGAGGATACGACCCCGGCCAGGACACTTACCAGGCGCCACCCAAGGACCGCTCCACCGTCAACGTTCAGGTGTCTCCCTCGTCCGACCGTCTCCAGGTGCTCCAGCCATTCAACCCTTGGGATGGCAAGGATGCTCTCGACCTCCCCATCCTCATCAAGACCCAGGGCAAGACTACTACTGATCACATCTCTATGGCTGGCCCGTGGTTGAAGTACCGTGGACACTTGGACAACATCTCGAACAACATGCTTATCGGTGCCATCAACGCGGCCAACGGCGAGGCTAACAAGATCAAGAACTTCACTACTGGCGAGTTTGATGCTGTCCCGGCTGTTGCCCGTGACTACAAGAAGAAGGGCATCAGGTGGGTTGTCGTCGGCGACTGGAACTACGGCGAGGGTTCATCCCGAGAGCACGCTGCCCTCGAGCCTCGCCACCTTGGTGGCCTCGCCATCATCACCCGGTCCTTCGCCCGTATCCACGAGACCAACTTGAAGAAGCAGGGCATGCTTCCTCTCACCTTCTCCGACCCTGCTGACTATGACAAGATCAACCCCGACGATAAGGTAAGCAGCTGTTGCTTCAGCCAAACCCATTCCCCTTTCCCCAACCTTTTGGCTAAATCTTCCGTGTGACAGGTTGACTTGCTCTGCACCGAACTCGAAGTCGGCAAGCCCTTCACAATGGTCGTCCACCCCAAGGACGGCAAGTCTTACGAGGTTAAGCTCTCGCATACCTACAACTCTGCCCAGATCGAGTGGTTCAAGAACGGCAGCGCTCTCAACACCATGGCCAAGAACAACAAATAAGGTGGGGGAGAATGGATCGGGACTAGAAGCAGTGCATGGGACATGAAAATACTATTAGGGGATGTGTGTTTGTGTGTGTGTGTGTGCGTGTGTGGGGGATGATGACATGGGCAAGGCGTAAACCCGCAATTTCATAATTTGTTATGTACAACGGAAATGCATTTTGGTCGTTCGATTTAACTTGTTCTCTTGAGTATATGATACGATTGGAATCGGGTGTGCAAAATCATATAGATCAACTACCACTACCTACCCTACATCGGTAGTGCCTTAAGAGTTGAGAGAGATGGATGCATCGTGACACTCACTCATTTGTATGTACGTACAGTATATATTCAGCAAAGCGTGTGCTGATATGCGTCTAGTCAGGACTCCACATGCGACAAGCTTGGGCCAGGCTGTTCAACCTCACTCTCACTTTTTTAGTCCAAACTTTCGTGTCCTCTTCAGTGTGGACCGAAGCAGCTGCCAGGGGCGCCTTACGAAACCAGAAATACGCCCCAGCAATGCTGGCTCCGATGAGCGACAAGACCAACCCGCGATCCTAGACCAAGCCACAGCTCCCCCGCCCAAGAACAAACGCATCCCGACGCCACCGGAGCCGGGACCCATCCCGCCCAGTTCGAGAATATGCCGGGCCCGAGCGTGCCGTCGTTCAGCTCCCTGCGCGCCAGGTCCTACCTCTCCCGCCTGCCGCTGTTCACGCGCGCCGTCATCGTCGCCATCGTGGTCTTCTGGCTTGTCGACCTGCAGCCGGTTTGGAATGTGCGGGAATGGGGCGCGTTGATACCGGACAAGTTTGGCATTACGACAAGTTGGTCCGCCCCTGCTGTTTTGCTTGTTATTTCACCCCTCTTCTGCGCGCTGGGCCTGTTTCTAGGGCCTGGACAGCTAAGGGGAACGTTCTTCGCTATGGGGGGGTTAGGGAAGAGGGTGATGGCGTGTGAAGGAAGAGTTGAACCACGACTGGGGCTAACTTGTGCTGGCGACCACCAGTGTACCGCTTGAATACCTTCCCCTTCATCCACCTCAACTTCTTCCACGCGATCCTAAACATCCTCGCCTTGACCCCGCTATTGGAGCGCTTCGAGCACGAACATGGGACCTTGACGTCGGTGGCACTGTTCTTCGGGCGTGAGTCTTTTCCACCCCCAGTCGGGACCGCGTGACCCAGGCTAGAAGCCGCCCCAGAACTTGGACCAAGCTGATGCCCCCGGCAGCTTTGACTACACTGCCGGCGTTTCTTTACTTGTTGTTTGAGGCTCTGCTACGGATGAACACGGCTGTAATGGGAGCCAGGTAGGCCACCGCTTAAATACCAGGGGATGGAGGGATGTAGGCTAATTCGAGACTGCGTAACAGCATCTGGATCTTCCTGTTGTTAGGAGTCGAGGCGATACGGACGTACAGGACTAACCCTTACCTAACCATCGCCACCCATAACATCCCTACCTGGACGACTCCCCTTATCATGGCCCTCTGTGTTGCCGCTTTGATACCCAGCTCTAGCCTCCTGGGACACTTGTGCGCGCTGGCCGTGGGTTACATATGTGAGTTCTGCACCTCTATAGAGAGGTCCTGCCAGAGTACACCGGAGCGGTAGACTGACAACTTCCTAACATAGTTGGCCTGGGGTATCTGAAGTTCCTTGCTCCCCCGGAGAAGGCCCTGCGGTGGGTAGAGGGCAAACTGAACCTTCTTGGGAGGTTACCACACTATGTTAGCGTGGACCAGAAGACTTACGGCCGGTTTGGCGTTCTCCCGAGTTCGAATTCAGGGGGATCTAGTGTGCCAATGGGGATAGTGGGTGGTGGCCAGAGGCTAGGCCCGTAGCGATGGACAATGGCTGGGTAAGGAGGAGGTGTTTCTGCATCCGTTACAGTATCAGTATTGTATCAATTATAATAGGATATGCCGCGTCGCTGCTGGAGCTACACGGCGTCATTGTTAGGCGGTCTCGATAGGAGACGTTATCCCGATAAGTGCATGGCTCCTTTTTCGTTTAATGACTTATGCAATAGCTGTTTAATTGATGGATCCCACTTGCGAAATCATGCCCAGCTGCAACCTATCTTCAAGCTCGAGGGCGGCTCCAGACTGCAGACAGTTAGCAGTATCTTGCGGCTCGAGTTCAAAATGCCGCGTCTTCTTTGTAAGTATTCGCGCCCCCGATCATCACCGCTGGTTCAATCCTCCAGCAACGGCTTCTCCCCAAACTAACGACGCGCTTTTGTTTTAGCTGGGGCGTTCAACTTACGGCGGGATCCGCGTATCCTGAAGCTCCCCCCTTACCTGTCACTGCTCTGCGTTGTCGTCGGCGTCACATGGCTCCTCTTATTACCTCTCGATAGCTACTCGCGGAGGACATACATTTCAGAGAATGCATTATTGCCCGGCCAGGTTCACACCTACTTTGGTGGCAGCGACCAGAATGTCTTTCGGGCATATAAGCACGAAGTGAACTCGTTGGTGGACAAGAGCAATGTCGAGTAAGGCACCCCCTTCCTCCCCGGACGAACTCCACATACAGGACAAACCCCCCCCAAATGGTCAAACTCTACAGAATACACTTGTCTAACATGTCGCCCTCCCTGCTAGAATCAACGACAAGCTCGAATCCATCTTCTCGGGCGTCGGCCTCAAGGTCGGCCGGCAGAACTTCACCTACCACTCGGCCGGGGCGGAGTATAGCGGCGAAAACATATACGCCATCCTACAGGCGCCGCGGGGCGATGCGACCGAGGCGATCGTGCTGGTCGGTGCGTGGCGCAATGCGCGGGGCGAGCTCAACCGCAACGGCGTGGCGCTGGTGCTGACGCTGGCGCGCTACTTCCGGCGCTGGAGCCTGTGGTCCAAGGACATCGTCTTCCTGGTCACGCCCGACAGCGCCGCGGGCCCGCAGGCCTGGGTCGACGCCTACCACGACGCCCACGACGCCGCGGGCGGCGTGGCCAGCCTGCCCATCAAGTCGGGCGCCCTGCAGGGGGCCATTGCCGTCGACTACGCCCAGGAGGGCCGCTTCCAGAGCGTCCACGTCGTGTATGACGGCGTCAACGGCCAGCTGCCAAACCTGGACCTCATCAACAGCGTCGTCAGCATCGCGGGGGGGCAGATGGGCATGGGCGTTGCCCTGCAGGAGATGTGGGACCACAACGACCAGTATCCTGACCGGCTGAGGACGATGCTCAGGGGCATGCTGAAGCAGGGGCTCGGGCTGGCGAGCGGGGCGCATAGCAGCTTCATCCCGTACCACGTCGACGCTATCACCTTGCAGCCGTTTGGCGACGGCTGGCAGGATGAGATGGCTATGGGTAGGGTGGTGGAGGGGACGTTCAGGAGCCTGAACAACCTGCTAGAGCATCTGCACCAGAGTTTCTTCTTCTACCTCCTCATGCAGAGGGAGCGGTTCGTCAGCATCGGGACATACCTGCCGAGCGCCATGCTGGTGGCTGCAAACTTCACCATCATGGCTATCGCGCTGTGGGTCAAGAGCGGGCAGCCGGAAGGGGAGGATGCAAAGAAACAGGAAAATGGGGACAAGACCAAGGCCAACGAGAAGTCCAGCCTCACCCGAGAGAGACACCTCTTCCTGCCCTTGGGCGTCGTCACCCTCTGCCAGGCCCTGGGTGTCCTTCCGCTCTATTTATTCAACCACATCCCCGCCAGCGTAAGTCACTGACCAAGTCGTCCAACATACCCTCACATCCCTACACATCACCCATATATGTACTAACCAACCCTCCCCTCACTAAAGATGCTCACCCCCGCCTTCGCCATCTTCGCCGTCGCCAACGCCCTCCTCCCGCACATCCTCTCCAGCCTCCTAACGACCTACCACCACCCCACGATCCAGCAATACCAGATCACAAAGTCCTTCTCCCTCCTCCTCCTCGGCATGTTCCTCTCCTCCCTGGCGACCCTCAACTTCTCCCTCGCCCTCCTCGTCGGCCTCCTCGCCAGCCCCCTCTCCCTCATGCGCCCCTGGCCCGCCCGCCCCGCAGCCCGCCGCGCCTGCACCGCCCTCCTCAACGCCGTCGCCCCGACCGCCGTCATCGCCCTCTCCGGCGCCGCCCTCGGTAGCAGCGGCGCCGGCGGCGTCGCCGAACTGCTCCGCGAGGCCGCCTTTGGGTGGGATGTCGCCGGCGTGTACACTCCTGTCGTCGTCTGGTGCGTCTGGTGGCCCGCGTGGCTTTGCGGGAGCGTCGTCGTGCTGGGAAGGCCGGAGCCGGCGGCGGAGGGGAAGGCGAAGACGGCTTGATTGTTAGAGAAACGGTGGGGAGGTTAGTGTACAACAGGGCAAGGAAGAGGTGCGATAAGGATGGGCTCCATGGGACCTAGTGTCTCATTTTCTTTTCGGGCATTTATTTTATTTTCATCTAGATACCAGGACTTCATAGGCTGGATGGAGGACATGGCTCCAAGACAGAAAACGGCAGTGTTTCCAGTATTAGGAAGTATTCTGAAGACAGGGAAAGAGAAGAATGGGGTGTGAGTAAATATGTCATTTTGATGACCTTCGCGAAAAGTCATCTACTCAAAGCCTTTCCTTCCCCTCTGATCCTCCCCGTCTCCCTTCCAAACTCTTTGGTCTATTATGTCTTCTATTGGTACATGCCACGGCGGTCGGGGCGTCCAGACCAGACACCTTTCTCAGAGGATCCCGTAAACGTTCCCATTTCATCGTCCCAATGCGGCGACAACCCGCCCCCACCTCACGACGCCCAGACATCCTGGCCCTTAGACTCGATCCAGTTCCCGAGCTGGTTGACGCTCGAGTCCCAGTCTGTCAACCGCTGCCTCATGTCCCCGATCTGGCCCATGTCGAGCACCTTTGGCTGGACCCAGTTGATGTTTGCGACCTCGTCGACCTGGTCGATGGTGCCGCGCAGGAGGCCGAGGCTCAGGGCCTTCATGATGAGGTGCTCGATCTCGTCGGGGCGCACCTTTGTCTCGGCCGCGATGGTGGCGAACGTCATGGCGCGGTCGTGGGGCGGGCGGCGGAAGACGGCCTCGGTCAGCGCCGCGAGGTAGATCTTCTGCCGCAGCTGGGCCGCGTGCCGCGCCAGCAGCTCGTTGTCCGAGATGTGGCCCGACAGTACGTCGTACGCCGCCAGGTCGCCGCGGTTAAAGGCGTAGAGAAGGTCGCGCAGCCAGACATCCTCCTTCCCGGCCAGGGCATCCAGGATCGGGTGCAGCAGCAGCTCGCCGAAGTTGTAGATGCTCGTGCTTACCAGCGCGGCGATGCTGAGGTCGTAGGCCCGGCTGCGCCGCTCGGCGGGCTGGAGGGAGTTGAGGTCGATGCAGGCGAGGTAGAGCAGTGCATTCTTATAGTACGACCCAAAGTCCATCTTGGCCTGATAGTAGTCGGCATTGGCCCCGTAGAAGGCCGCATGTACGATGGTCTCGACCGAGTCGAAGCTGTCGAGGATCCGCTCCGCCGTGTCGAGCGCTTTCCGCGCGCCGTCGACGTCACCCAGATCGAGCTTCACTCGCGCAACTGCTACGGTTGCGAAGACGAAGGCGTCTTGGGAATCCTCGTTGTCGACCTTCTTGGCGACTGCCGCCATGAAGGCAAGCCGCTCTTCGTTGTCTGGAAAATGAACCCATCAGATGGAGCTACTCAGAGCCGACGGCCAGCCAAACCGGTCCCTTACCTGTGCATTGTGTCGCAGCTTTGAGAGCAAGGTCAACAAGCCTCAGTGGGTTGATCTTATCAGCGAATGTGAGGATGAAGACTTTATAGAACTCGAGTCGCTGCGGAGCGCTCCTAGGGTCGTTGAAAAATTCGATGAGGACGTCGGTAAGCTGATGCCATAGCTTCCGCTCCCAGAATTCCTCCAATGTAAAGATGAGCGGCCGAAGCTCCTGAGGAGCTAGGTCTCCCTGCTCCCGGATGAAAGCTGGGATGATATCCGCGTTCATGGCCGAGCTTTTGGTGGCGGTGAAGTGATGAGGTTCGGAGTTAGAGGATACGTAAGTGATTCGAAGAGGAGGTCGAGAGGTTGTAATTGTAATTCCGCCTTGAGATATGTGTTCTGGATGCAATCAGCGAAGACAACAAGGACGTTTACTTCGTCTGGTTGACGCGGCTGCAGTACAGCCTGCTCCAGCTGGTCAAGCTTCGCTTACTTAATCCAAGCCAGGTACAGTCCCTTAGGTAATCAGTTCCGCCGGAAATATTCATTTTCCAGCCCTGACAACTAGTTGCACGTGATTGGCCATTGGAATGTGGGCAACTTGCGTTGCCATTGAAGCTTGGGATCAAGCTTGCCTCCAGGAAACCCGACGTCAATTGAACGGGCAACAGCTCTTCTTGCAACCTGCGATTAGCAAGAATGGCTTCCCTGCCGGCCGCTGTGCGGTCGACACAGAAGATTACAAGGACCGCCCTCCAACGACGACCGATATCCGACGTCGCGATCACCCGGACCGGCAAGCCCATTTACCGAGTTCAGGGCGGCAGGTAGGCCTCCCAATCCATACGTGGAAGCATGATGTCCTAATCAGTACTCGTTATAGGTCGTCTCTTGGAGGTATGGCACTGTTTTGAGAGGGAACCGGAGTCTCCTATCTGACAATCGCTAGGCCATACCGCGACAGTATTTGGCGCAACTGGTGCCCTCGGCCGATACATCGTCAACAGGCTAGGTTCGCTTGATTATTCCCATTGCTTGTGTTTATCTACTGACAGAGTCTTTTCCAGCACGCCAAGGATGTCAGGTCGTCATTCCGTACCGGGAGGAGATGGCCAAGCGTCATCTCAAGGTGACCGGTGATTTGGGTCGGGTCGTTTTCATGGTACGGGATTATTGCCGCAGCCGGATGACAGCATAAACTGAATGGAATGCAGGAATACGACCTGCGGAACATAGACTCGATCGAGGAGAGTGTCAGGCATTCGGATGTTGTGTACAACTTGGTTGGCAGAAACTACCCCACTAAGTACGGTCGAGGTCGGGTGATAAGTACTCGGACATGGGTTGACTGATTTCCCAGGAACTTCTCTCTCGAGGACGTCCATGTTGAGGGTTCTGCAAGGATTGCGGAAGCCGCTGCGAAGTACGATGTGGACCGATTTATTCACGTCTCCTCGTACAACGCTGACCCGGCGTCCACCTCGGAGTTCTTCGCCACCAAGGTGAGCCCCTTTCGCAGAGGGACGAACGAGGACTTCGTATCTAACATATATACAGGGTCGTGGCGAGCAGGTAGTTCGCAGCATCTTCCCGGAAACCACTATCGTCCGACCGGCGCCCATGTTCGGCTTTGAGGACAACCTTCTCCTGAAATTGGCAAGTGTCATGAACCTGTTCACGGCAAACAACATGCAGGAGCGATACTGGCCCGTTCACGTATGATGCCCCGCCTAAGCTTCAGATGGGCCCTCCTACTCACCAGATTGACAGGTCATCGAGGTCGGCGAGGCTCTTGAATTGATGCTCTACGACGATAGCACAGCGTCACAGACATTCGAGCTCTACGGGCCCAAGAACTACTCGACTGCTGAGATTGCGGAGATGGTGGACCGAGAAATCTACAAGAAGCGGAGACATATGAACGTCCCGAAGGCAATCCTCAAGCCCGTGGCTGGACTCCTGAACCGTCTTATCTGGTGGCCTATGATGTCTGCCGATGAGGTCGAGAGGGAATTCCACGACCAAAAGATCGACGAGTTGGCGAAGACGTTCAAGGACCTGAATATTGAACCTGCCGACATCAGCAAGTTCACCTACCACTACTTGGTAAGCACTCTAGACAATGCCTCGGAACGCAAAAGCGTCAGCTAACCCCCTCATAGCAAGGATTCCGCAGCTCCGCCTTCTACGATTTACCACCGGCGACGGAAAAGGAGAAGAGGGAGGAGAAGAAGTACCTGCACGTTTTGGATGACCAGTGAAAATTGGAGGTGGTGGCAAGGCTCACGTCGCATTGCTTTAGACATGCAGAAAGAGAGCCTTGGTAAAGTGTACATACGCTATGTATTCAAATTATCTTACTAACATCCAACCAACGGCGAGTCCGGGATTCGTAGGTTTGTACGGATGTACTATGGTAGAGTGGTCTGGGATAACTTACTCGTGGGACAAGCACGCCGAGAGCGACTAACAGGCTTGGCCCCCCACCGTGCACATAAACAACGGCATGGCAACCACATAAATAATTTGAGGCCTGCCACCTCACCGACAAAAATCAAGCATGCAAAAACCGGAAATTTCAAACGAAAATTTAGAGAGAAAATGGGATTTAACTTCGCTGACGATGAGCTGTGAGTTTTCCCCGACTTTCCTGCGTGGTCATGGCTAAAGGGGGTATTATCTGCAGGATGCTCTCCTCGTCCACCATGGACGCACTGAAGTCGTTCTATGCGGAACGAGACACGCACGCCCAGCAGTTCGCGAAGCTGCTAGCGGACACAAAACGCCCGTTTACCGAGGAGCAGCCGCTGACCATGGATGCCTTCACCGAAGACTGGAACGAGTCCCAGTTCTGGGTAAGTAGTCCCCCCTTTCCCACCATCCCCGCCCGCTGGTGCCCCCGTTGTCTCGTCCACATTGCCGCTAGCAGCCCTGTAGTATTCCGACGAGACGGCTACCCTCCTTGCGGGGCAGCTGTTGGACGGCGTCACGGAAGACTCGACGATCGCCGTCGTCTCGGCGCCGAGCGTGTTTGTCGCGCTGAAGAACCTGCTTGTGAGTGTCGCCTTCCTCTCCAGCCTTCTCTCTGAAAGCGACCCACTGACACTGGCTATGCCCACCACACTCAGGCCTCCGAGTCAAGGCGCGGCCAACCTAGACCGAAGCTGGTCCTGCTTGAGCATGATGAGAGGTTCGCCATCTTCCCCGAGTTTGTCTTCTACGACTTTATGCATCCCGTGAGGCTGCCTGGTAAGTTTTCTCTCCGTATCTCCCCTTTTGCTCCCGCGCTGACGTCTCGTACAGCCCATCTCAAGGGCACGGTCGATCGTGTAATCTGCGATCCACCCTTCCTCAATGAGGATTGCCAGACAAAAGGTTAGTCACTTTCTCTCTTCTTCTTCTTCATCGACAACCTCCCCTTCCCTTTCTCACCTCTAACACCCATACCCACCGACACCCCCTTACCCTTACCCTTACCCTTACCCACCCACCTACCCACCCACCTACCCACACACCCACACCCAATCCCCCCTCCTCACTGACACGAAATCACCAGTCGCTCTCACAATCCGCTGGCTCTCCCGGCCCCCCACCACCACCACCACCGCCGCCGCCGCCCCCTCGGCGGCGGAGCCGGTGGACTTCCGCATCATCTCCTGCACGGGCGAGCGCATGGAGGCCCTGGTGACGCGCCTGTACCGCGCCTTCGGCTTGCGGACGACCGACTACGAGCCCGTGCACGCCCGCTGCCTCAACAACGAGTTCTACTGCTACGCAAACTTTGAGTGCGACAGGTGGCGCTGGGTCGCCGCCGCCGCGCCGCCGCCCGAGTGAAGTGACTGACTGACTGACTGGCTGAACGTCCGGCGACGGCGTGGCCAGGAAGGGTGGGGCGTGACAAAAAAAAAAAAAAAAAAAAAGGGCTTTTCTTTTTTGGGGTGGGTCCTGCCCATGGCTTGGCGTGGATGAAGGGGAGAGGGTGGCTTTTGAAGTGGCGAAAGAGGAAAGAAAGAAGATAGATTCAGTTGGGAAGACTTAGACAGACAGATTACGTATGTACATAATATGATAGACGAGCTAATGATTTTTAACTGTCATGGGAGGGTAAAGAAATATATGATGCAGTTTTTATTCTGATGCGCCTTGGCCACGATGTTTATGCGATGCTAGCTATGAGTGCCCGTCTCATACCCCAACTTAGTTCCCGGTTTTCCTAACAGATATATACATGTATGGGGTAGACAACCAGTAACCGATACGCCTGGATTATATCCTGTCCCTGAACGAGCCTGAGAGCGAAAATGTGCATCGCCTTCAGCAACTATCTGGCCAAGGTCTGAGCCCAGATGGGCTCTCTCTGCCTTTGGCCATGAACTGTGCCATCTCATGACAGATACCTAACGATGTAGAATAGCAGATACGCCCGTGCACTCAACACTTCCGACTTGCTGGCAAGCTCGACTCGATGGTCGTTGAAAGCAAACCACTGGTGTCCGAGATTAGCGTGCGACGGATGGTAGGGAGCGGGCCCGGAAAAGGGGGGCGCGGAAAAGAAAGGGGGGACCGGGGAAAACGGGGGCGCGGGAGGGCTTACCTGGTCACCGACCCTGCAGTACGCAACGTAATGGCCGGTATCGATCTCTCCGACATGTACCACCACGCTAAAGAGGTCGTAGGTGCAGGTCCGCGCGAGCTCGTAGTTCTCTTTGGCGTCCTGGCTCCGCGCACGATTGGTGTACGGGAGCATATTCAGCTCCAAGGGGAATGACACCGGAGTATCAATCTTTGCCGCGCGCTCATTTCGGCCTTGCTTGAACTCGAATCTCTGCATCATATCTATTAGCAGTGCTATGCAGCCACCGAGGGTCTTCCGGTCCGAGACTGTGAGATGTTACCTTAAACTGGATGGACAGAACATTGGGTAAAAGTTTGATGCTCGTCTGTCTCCGGGCCTGCTGTGTTGAGCTGCAGCTATGGCACCGATACTCGCACTTGTCTGACTTGATGTACTCCTCATCCAGACATTCCTGCAACGAGAGCGGCGGCGCTTTAGCCACGCCCTTCTTGCCTTTCTTCTGCGCAAGGTTATCGAGGGGGAGGCTGAGATCCAGGAAGCTCTGAACCTGGTTCGTAACGCCGCTACAGTGCTGACATGTGGTGGTGCTCTGCAGTTTTCCGTAGAAGATTTGGTGGACGATGCAGTTGCAGCTGTGCTCGCTGCCGATCTCGGGTTTCTTGCCGTCACCGTTGCGCTCGTGCAGCTCCTCGGCGAGGAACTGGAAGAACTCGTGCGCGTCTTGCTCCTTGGTCGTCACAAGGTTCTCGAACGCCTTTTTCTCGCTGATCCAGAATCCGGAGAGGATGTTGGCGGCCGTGTAACCGTTGGTATTCTCGGCTGCGTAGAAGTCTTGGAACATGTCGTCCATGGCGCAGCTCAGGCAGTATTGCTGGTCGCAGCTCCCGCTCTGGTGGCCGTCGCTAAGGTAGAAGTTGCGCAGTATAGGGTTGTGGAGGAAGCTCTGCAATACAACGTTTTGGTAGCAGGTGGCGCCAGCATTGTAGATACCCCGGAGACCGCTGGCTCGGCAAGAAGCCATTGTGGTGTTGGACGAAATGTATCGCGGGTCCTCCTTGACGGGGTCTGAGAAGATCTCCTCGTGTTTCCTTTTCCGATCTGAGGTGTCTGGTCAGAATCATGGCTTACTGAGGGCGCAGCGGAAGAAGCAGAACATAAGCGGACTTACTCCAAAAAGAACTGTTGCCCATCTTCCTCACCCTCAAATCTTCTAATGTTGGATCCCACACAAGGTCATCGCACATTTGGCAATACAGAGAACCACTCCTAGAGTCAACATCTGCATGAAGACGGTGTCAGCGGGTGGCCATTCAGTTCCAGCATCCGGGGCACATACAGAAGCGATGGGATTTCTTGTTTCCATGTTTGAGGCGCTCCTCCTCTGCGAGTATCGCGGGGCATTGTAAGCAAAGGTAATTCGAGGTCAAGGACGTGACGGCTTGTCCGGTTGGAGACTTCGAGGTTTGGGGTACTAGGGCGGTGTTGTCGTATATGACACGCAGAATCATCCTGTAATGGGCAATGGATGTGTTGGTGACCTCTTGGGCCTGGCTAAAGAGCCGTTGGACATGTTCTTAGGGACGCATCAGCATAGGACAGATGCAGGGAAGCTCGGGCAGAAGGTAGGGGGCGAACTCACCACAGCCGTACATCGGAGTCCCCGGCGCCGGAGTCTTGATCTTGGCATTCTTTGGAGATGCCGGAGTTGTGGGCCGCGTAGCCATCTCTCAATATCTTCAATTATGCTCCTCCTCGAATTGTTTCTGGTGTTTCTATGGGTAGGAAATAGGGGGCGTAATGCTCTCGTATGGGATGGTCGAACGACGAGGGTCGGGGGCTTAAAACAGTTGCCGACTTGGTGCGAATGTTTGGGTATTGACTCTCAATTGAGCAGACTCAGGCGGCGAGACGACGATGACCCAGAATGGAAAGGAACCTAGCCATCAAAGGGAACGTTATATAGAGATCGGGGTTGCTGTTCCCTTCTACGGCGAGGCGGAGGACGTGGCGTAATCTTTAGAGGTTCACCAATAATGTAAAGTTAGCATGGGTCACTTCATTGCAGAGAAAGAGAAGCTGCTCCAGGACCAGGGAATGTTCACTACCTTGCTGGCGTGGTTTTGACTTCCCAACGGGAGTGTGATTGGTTTCAACCTTGTCCGTTTGCCTTTCGTTGGTGAGGCCCGGCTGCATCGCATCATGGGCAACTGCATCTACCCGTGCGTGCTCGAATAGGACGGGAAGCCGAAATTCCTTATCGGATTGCTGGCTGAGCCTTATCGTTTCAGCCCGACAGCAGCTGGCAGCTTCCTGGTCGCCCTAAATTTAGTGGATGACAAACCCGCTCCATCAGCCTCGGCAAAGAATAGGCAACACGGGTAGAGTGGGTGGGTCATGAGCCTGATGATGTGATGCCATCGCCAGTGGAAGAAGAGACATTTCTTCTTACAGCTCTTTGTCCGGCCAACTGCAGTATCAAGTTCGGGATTGCGATTGGCTGGATCACGATGCGAACCTGATTCACCGCCCGTCCTCTTCCTGCAGCTCAACTGAACGTCTGAAACTGCAACCTGAGCTCGCCTTTGTCTATGAACGCCATCCGATTAGGTGGACAATCACTGAGAATGGCTGTCCAATTGGCAGAGCTACCCGAAGTTGAGCGTCTCAGCCCGAGATGCATCCGCATCCTGGGGGGCAACCCCGGCAAGTTCACCCTTCAGGGCACCAATACCTATTTGTTAGGTACCGGTTCAAGCCGTCTCCTAATTGACACGGGTGAGGGCAAACCTTCGTGGATCGAGGCCATCAAGAGGACGCTGGAAGAGGAGAAGGCATCCGTTGCAAGTGCACTCATTACCCACTGGCATCCGGACCACCAAGGAGGAATTAGCCACCTCCTCGAGGTTTCCCCGAACACCAAGGTCTACAAGAACCAGCCGGGGGAGGGACAGCTGGACATCAAGGACGGCCAGAAATTCGAAACCGACGGAGCAACATTGACGGCCGTCCATTCCCCAGGCCACACAGACGACCACATGGTATTCCTTCTCCAGGAGGAAGATGCCATGTTCACCGGGGACAACGTCCTAGGCCACGGGACCGCCGTATTTGAAGACCTCGGTGCATACCTAGGCAGCCTACAGAAGATGGGGAGTCTGTTCAAAGGTCGAGCGTATCCTGGGCATGGCCCAGCTCTGGCAGACGGGCCTGGGAAGATTGCCGAGTACATTAGCCACAGGCGACAACGTGAGGATCAGGTCCTCCAAAACCTGCGATCGAAACGGGCCGGGGTCGGGACAAGTGACAGCGATTCGTGGGCGCCGATGGACCTGGTCAAGGTCATCTACAGCGACGTGCCCGAGAGTTTGCATCCAGCCGCAGCGGGTGGGGTAGTTCAGATTCTGCAGAAGCTTCAGAGGGAAGGCAAAGTGTCGCTCGCAGGCGAAAGATGGAGGCTCAATGATCGTTCTCCTTTGTAAAGAAAGCAGCTCCTCTCCTGGGTTTTACTACCTGCTCAGGGACGATCAAATTTCTTGACGCTCAGCCTCGCCAGCCTCATCATGCGCGTTTAACCTACTATGACGGAGGAGATTTCCTCAAGAAGCTGTGCTGTGACGTCAAATGTGGCGCCTCGATTCAGAGCCTCATCAGGTTAGCTTGATGCGAATCAGTCCTCAGCCGGCAAAAGTCGCGGATATATATGTAAGTCGCCGTTACGTTGGAGCTTGAAGTCTGTATTGAAGGGAAAGTTTGGGTTCGATGGGGTTTGCCCTGTACTGCGTAGTAATTCGAATCTCCAGTGGGTTCTTGATGTGTCTGCGAATGAAACCATGCCGCTACCGAAGATGTACGGAGTACTCTCTCCTCACCGCTGAGTGCCGAGGACCCGGCTATCACTTGGCGGCCCGGGCCCGCACCGCACCCCGCAGGCGAGCTTGCATGGAAATCGACTAAACTTCCGACGAACAGGGCATTTTGAAGTGTGGCCCGGAATCTGGAGGACCGCACGACTTGGTAAGCTAATGAGAGCTGATGAGTCGGCAAGCCGGCAGGTCTAAATAAGACCACCTCCAAAGGCGGTGCGCACCAGTAATAGGCGAGTCGAAGGGAAGGTGGGCGGTGTTTGAGCTCGAATCATCGACAGATACCACAGTGTGTTCCCAAAGAGTTTCGCACGTTCTGCTACCGGATACTTCCTACCCTGGAAAAAGTGCCCGGAACAAACCCCCTCATGACCTGACGATCTTGGCCATTGGCCAAGTCCAGTTCGACTTACACCGCGTAGTATATCGCTGGCGAAGAGCTCGGCACACTGAAAGCGCGAAAGAGCGAAAGAGCGAAGTTCGGACCCAACTCTTCCTCTTCCAGTAAACTAGTTGCAGCCATGTGGACCATAGAGCCGTGTTTTTCAGACAACATTGGAGGGGTGTCCACCCTCCTACATCTACAGATAACGAGCCGGGGTCTGCCGGGATCTAGCCGGGAACAAGTCGGATGATGAACATCCTGCTTACCGGGCTCATCGGAGTCGCGATGTTCATTAATTCCGATAACACAACGATGTGCTTGGTGGTGGGGCACCTCGCGAAAATCCCAAGACAAGGGTCCTACTACCTATTCAAGGCTTAGCGTTCCTGCGGAATGCATCTGGTGGTTGACTCACTCATATCGGGTCGCCCTTCTGCCCACCCTCCATTAAGTATTGTCTAGAGGATGAATCCATATGCATAAATAGACAGAATACAGCTATGTAACTTGTCGTCCCCGGGCCAGAGCGCCATCGAACTACCAGAGGATAAGCCGATCGATTGGGTTTTCCACACTAGGTACATGAGTATTCGGGCATTGGGCTACGCCAGACGGCAGGGAAACTTCGTGACAGAAAGACCGGGGCTGCGAAACCTTAGTTATCCACTTGACGGGATTGACAGCGGACCGGGCGGCTCACTTTGTATAAAATGCGTGGAGGTGGGGTTCTTGCTGCCGCGATGATGAATTACGTAGTGTTTTCACCGGATTCGGGAAGGCCTCATCGGGGTATTAATCATGCACCGTTCGTTCAACGGAGGTTCCGGAGCGGGCAGGGCGAGTACGGACAGAGTCTTTACCCCAGATCTACAAAATGTACGCAGTAAGTAAGTTGCCAAGCCACTGACTGGCCTTGGGAGTTGCGAGGCATATTGGGGAGGGGTATTCGTAATCCGTACACCGAGCGGTGTTGGGCAAGTAGGAGCTGCCGCGCATTCGTCGTTTTGTTTCCCGATATGGGAATCCCTTGTGGAATCCAATGGCCACGTACAATTGTGGTCATCATGAATCCAGAATCCCATGTACACCTCCTCCTGGGTTTCAAATGTTAGCGCAAGTACCTGGTAAGACTATAGTGTCACTGCTTTCCAAGTTGTGTTTTACCTCTGTCATGCTAACATTTGAAACCCCGATGGAGGTGTACACATAGCACGTACACGTATGCATGCCGTATGCTGGTGACCGGACCCACAGTGCCGTGGCGACACATACACAGTACTAGCTGGGTCAGGCGGTCTGAAGCTATCCCCTCTGGCCGCTGTCCCCTCGGAAGCCTCGGATCTTGGCAACTCCATAATCTTCGATGGAAGGTGCAGTTGACATTGAGGCAATCACGACCGGATGTACACGGGTCGTGGTCTGACCTTTCGACTCTCTGACGGTGTTGCCTTGGCCGCACATTACCAATCACGTTCCCGACCAGCCCTTCGACTTTCCCTCGACGGGTCCCTTATTATGTCCAAGATGCCTCCCCTCCCTGTCTTTGTTCGCAATGTGCTCGCATTTTTATCTAGCTCAACTCTACTGCGACAAGAACTCTGTAACCGCCTGTCTCATACTGACGGTTTCTCCTAACCAACCTACAAAAGCATAAATCAATATCAAGTATTCAAGGCACCTAGACGCCCCGAGGGAAGCTTTCCTCGATCACCCCAACACCCTGTTCGGCATTGCTTGGTAGAGGGGAGGGCTCGAGACGTTGTCCTCCATGACACCTATTACAACCTCCGCTATCTCGTTCCTTGCAGGTGTCGCGGTGCTGGGACTTGTTCCAGTCGCCCTTGGTCATGGCAACGACATGGAGATGGACATGGAGATGGGCATGGGTACGGGCATGAACATGAGCATGGGCACGGGCATGAACACGACCGCAGATTCATACCCCCCAACCTACTTCGCTCTTGAAGACCATAGAGCGGCCATATTCGGCCACATATCTCTGATGGTGCTCGCTTGGGTGTTTATGTTGCCAGCCGGTAAGATGGAGCTTCCCCGCCTCTTACTCCCGCTGGCTCTCAGCTAATGTGGGCTCTTCGCAGCTGTAATGCTTTCCCTTGCCCGGTCACGATACACACTGGCCCTTCAATTCGTCTTCGTTGTGACAAACGCGTCGGGTGTCCTAGTTGGGACGATATATAATGCGAACACTCCCGACCTATATCCGAACAATGCGCACCACAAGCTAGGCTGGCTCGTCACCTGGGTGGTCCTTGTGCAAATTGGCATTGGTCTACTAGGGCGTATCGCTGGAACGTTGAAGAACAATGCCGGGCAATTACAACATGGCGGCGAGCGGCAGTCATTCATCCCAGTTTCGACTGCGGCACTCGAGGAACACGAGCGCAACGACGAGTCGCGTTTCCCAAAGTTCTTCCGTCTCTCAAACGACAGCGGCCAGGGTACAGAGCCGAATACAGAGTCTCTGAGAAGCCACTCCCTATCCTCGGGCCCGCCGTCCCCGCATCCGGATGCCGGGAAGGAGTATGAGGACGACCAGGAGGATGATGACCTCGAGGCTCGTCTTCCAGCCTCAGCCCGTCGCCGTGGATTGTACGCGCTCGCGGGCAAGATTGCATGCAAGCTTTCGACGCGAACATGGAAGGTCATGCTCTTCACCTACAACTTCATCGACCGCACAATCCTGATCCTCGGCTTTATTGCGCTGTCGACAGGTGTTGTTACATTCGGCCGATTCTTCGTAAGTTTGTGGCGATTTGGGTATAATTAGGACACAGACTGACCTGGCTATTTTAGGAGGGCCGAGAAATCTTCAATGGCCTTGCGCATTGGATCAAGGGCGGTGTTTTCTTCTGGCTCGGAATCCTCACCCTCGGCCGCTGGGCTGGCTGTTTCGGCGAGCTGGGATGGGTATGTTTTCGCACCTCGCGTCAATTCTGCGCCTGCAATCCCGGCTTGGGACTCAACATTTCGGGGTGCTGACCAAAATTAGGCATGGAACATTCGCCCAAGGACAGTTGGACAGAAGTGGAGGCCATCCTCCGAGTTCGTTGAGAGCGCGCTCATATTCATCTATGGCTCGACGAATATCTTCCTCGAACATATCAGCAATTGGGGTAGCGAATGGTCTGCACATGACCTAGAGCACATATCGATCACCGTGTTGTTTATCGGTGGTGGTCTTGTAAGTGGCGTCTTGAGGCTGAGCTCAGGTACCTGCATTTCGGCAGATGGCTAACTAATAGCGTCATGCAGTGTGGCATGCTGATCGAGTCTACCCGCATCCGAGACCTCCTCAACACCACGGTCACCGAGGCCACTCATTCTTATCCCGAGCATGCATATTCCGACGAGGAGCGCGACGAGCTGCTTCCTCCGAGGCAGTATTCTTTTTCCATGAACCCCATCCCAGCTTTGGTGATCCTATTGCTGGGCATCATGATGGGCTCCCATACCCAGGGGAGCATGATCTCCTCCATGGTTCACAAGCAATGGGGTGACCTCTTCGCGGGCGCTTCGCTCGCTCGAGGACTCACCTACGTGATCATGTATCTCAAGCCGCCACAATCCATCCTGCCTTCGCGCCCACCGACAGAGCTTCTCACCGCATTCGGTCTGATTACGGGCGGCATCATTTTCATGGCAAGCGTACGTGCATAGGCTTTTACTAGGCCAATATTCTAATACCAGGCAAATCACTAACTACCTCTGCTTCTAGAGCGCCGACACCATCAGGGGAATGATCCACTACCGTCTGGACGCCATGTTCATGTATACCGTCACCATGGGTCTTGTCGGGCTCTTGATGGCCTGGGTCATCGTCTGCATTGCGCTCAAGGGCTGGGCTCTTCGCAAGGAAGCAGGTCGCCCTACTAGCTTGTACCGATCGGCATAGACAACATCAGGGGGTGTAGACGACACTTGAGACGCAGAATGACTTCAGTCCAATGGAGGACAGGGGAAGTGACTGTTTTGGCCGGCACGCGTGGCGGTGGACGGCGATATTCCCCGCTTGATTATTCTCGCTTCTTTCCTCCTAAAGATACCCCTTTCTTGGACCTTTAAACCTCGCAGCGGATGAGACAGTAATAGGCGGGTGGACAATAAGGACGAGTAATGACCACGAGTGTAGACGACATCGAGTAGAGGTAGTAATTATTCGAACTTTATTGTATGCCTAGCTACCTAACCCAAGGGAGTATATCCATTAGTATTTGGGGTTCTGTACAGTTCGAGGGTTTCAAAAACAATACGGAGTTACGCAGTACGGATAGTTGGCTTGCTAACTCCGATGATACGGAGCGGCCTGGATGTGTGGCCTTGCAGGGGTGGGATTTTCCGGGCGCAGGTGCATGGGTCAGGTCCTGTCGCTAGCCAAATTCCGACTAGCGGTCTGGCAAAATGACGGCATTAAGAGCCCAAGTTCTCTCTGAATATGACAGCCTCCTCCGTACACAAACATCCTTGCTTGGCCTAGAACCCCTCCTCCAACACCAACCTCGCCTCTGTCCTCAGAAAAGCTCAACAGGTTGCATTTGGACAGGGAAATAAGGCAATCAGAAGACCCGACCGAGAGAATTGCAATGTCGAAGCGAAGAAACAGCGTACCGGTCAACCGGGCAGCCTCCAAGGAAAATAATGATGGACCAGGTAGGGCCCCTTCTGCTCTCCGCCAGTTGCTCGCCTGGTGTGTGTTGGTAGAATCCAAGGGATATGAGCTAACTTTTGAATTTTGCCTTTATTAGCCCAAGACAAGCAGAGGGTAATCCTCTCCTCGGACACCGGACACTTCTCTCTCATCCGGGCATTACACCTTGCAGATCTGATCACAGAGCTGAATGGTATGGACCCCAGGCTCCTTCGTTGCCTTCTTCCTCGGGGCGATGCCACTACGGGCTGCCAGCTAACATAGCTCACGACGACAGGTCTCTGCGGCATTATGTCCATTTTCTCGTCGATGCGCTACCTCTTGGACGGCGATTCCTCGCTTGGAAACCTCTACGCAGCACTTGGGTTGCTTCCTCTCGGGCTCTTTTTTGACTTCATGGACGGCAAGGTCGCGCGCTGGCGTAAGAAGAGCAGCATGATGGGACAAGAGCTGGACTCGCTGGCAGATCTGGTAAGTCTCAACTTTAACCCCCTTAAGCTCCTTATCCATCCCCCCATCCCTGAGCTGCATATAATTTCTGCTTGGACATAAAAGGGCTCACACTTCGGGCATCTTCCCACGCCCTCCGTCACAGATCTCATTCGGCGTCTCCCCCGCCGTGGTAGCGTTCGCCATCGGACTACGGACGCCGGTCGACCACCTGTGCCTCGCATTCTTCGTGCTGTGCGGGCTGACGCGGCTGGCCCGATTCAACGTGACGGTTGCCTCGATACCCAAGGATGGCACGGGCAAGTCCCAATACTTTGAGGGCACCCCAATCCCGACGACGCTGGCGCTCGACATGCTGATGGGGTGGTGGGCCTGGTCCGGACAGATTCACGACGCCATACCCGGAGGGGTCGTGTTTGCTGGCTCGGCGTTCGAGCTACACCCCGTCGTGCTGCTGTTTGTGCTTCATGGATGTGCGATGACGAGCAGGACGATTCACATCCCGAAGCCCTGACACTTGAGGGTATGAGGTGGATCACACACAGGTGGGGTGGCCAAGCCAAAGAACCATATTCCGGGTGGATTGGTGTTTCGGAGAGAGGGATTATGGATTCGAACAGCATGGTGTTCTAAAAGCTTTGGGTGTGAGAAGGTAGACGACGGTTTCGTTCGGTTTGGCGAGTTATGATGGAAGGCAGTCAAGACAACAAAGAAGATGGAGAAGCGATGCACATACTTCAAACCTCGGGAGACCTGGACACGGCCTTGTATTTGCATGCTCTATGGGTACCATACACCGCTACCAAACAGCAGGTTGGAAGCAATAGAGGCTTGGGAATCAGCGCATGGGAATCATGATACCCCAATCATCAGCCATCCTACTGTCTGCCCAATGTCTTGCTTGTGAAGCCTCATATGCCCCTCTGCCTTGGCCTTGGGGGGTTACATTCGGTATATTGACCTATCTTTCTGTCTCTATCTCTTCTATTTGGTTCCCCCTCCCCAACCACCGGCTTATATCGGCTGTTCGCCCTTGGGAGGTTTTTGTGCACCCTTGGCGCAGTGGCTGCCAACATCATCCTGTACCTCCAATAACGGAAGCAGCCACTTGCCGAGGAATGTTCACCAAGAGACGGATGGTCTGGAATATCTACCCGTATTCTGATGAAATCTCCATTCTCAATTCAAGACATCCACCCATCCATCCACATGGCTTGGCCAGAGGGAAGCTGCCCCGCATTGGTGGCCCAAGCGCGGCTTTGGAGTAAGCTTGGAGGTACCTCTCGATTGATTGGATCACATATTGGATGACGATCTCGAGGCCGCAGAGGTGCAGCATCGCTACGACTTCTTCTGACCGCTTCCATTGGCTTGACTCGGACCTCAGTCAGTCCAGGCTCGAGAGTCGACACCTTCTAATACTAAATACTCGACTTGCCATTCCAAGATTCCCCCAAACCCTTAGCAACACCCCCTCACCGCGTACCCTACCTCAACTGCAAATATCAGCCCCCGCCCAGTAGCCGCTCTTGCGATGCCTTCGCTCGACGATGTCCCAGACGAGATAATCCGGCAGATCCTGGATTTCGTATCGCCGGACGACAACCTTGCGTGCGTTCAGTTGCTGTCGAAGCGGTTTAACCACCTCGCGAACGAGCCGCTCCTGTGGAGGTACCATTGCCGCACATCCTTCCATTACTGGCACAGCGATCACAGGTTCCGCGAGAAGCTCGAGCAGAAGGCCCCCGAGGTAGACTGGAAAGCCCTGTGGACCACGCGCAAGAGGGCGAACGTCCGCATCGCCAATCTCCTCGATGGCATCCTCTCGACCAAGGTCGGCCGCTTGAAGAAGCTCGAGCAGATATGCCTGTTGGGATACGACGCGAAGGACTTCCTTTTGGAGCAGTGTCACGTCGACGATTCTGCGGAAGATGTCTTGGCAAGGAGGTAGAACATCACTCATCCCCTTCTTTTGCGCGCTCAGCCGCCCTCCCCCCATCACCACTCCGACACCCCTCCGGCCCCGTATGGGACACGATCAAGCGGTCTGTCTCCTAGCCCTGCGATCTTCTTTCTGTTCCTGGCCATCTCCGAGACGAGAGCCCAAGAGAGCAATCTATTCCCACAAGGTGGTGATCCCACAAGCCGGCCGTCCCCCAGAGTATTCGTCCCACAAATTCAAGGGTAACGGATTGTGAACAGATTCGCCGGAGATGGGCAAATCTGCCGAGTGGTTCTGCTATACCTTGCGCATCGTCGAGTAACTGAAACGCCCTTGCCAGGTACTATGGAAATACGGCCCTGGACAGCATCCACAGAGGCGTTGCGATAGACGTATGGTCCAAGTACCAAGACGCACCGCTCAGCAATCGTGGCCTCGAAACAGCGCTGGGAGCCTTCGACATGTTCGTCCTCCATGACCAGCCACAGGACCTGGACTACGTATGCCGTGGCTTATCTCATCATCCTGCCTTGTCTCCTCTCGTCTGACTGTTTCTAGATCAGCACCGCCTTTGACGGCCTCGCGGAGCAATTTCGAAGCGAGCACCCGAGTCTCGAAGAGATGTCCACCCGGCAGAAAGCCCTGAGCCTCGTGCGATGGTTGCGCGTCAACAACTTGACAGGGATGGAGAACCCCGAGGTGAACTACCGCAATCTCCGAAATTGCTTCATAGGCCACGCGCTCTCTGATCCTGAGCACCCCTCCCTGCCCATCATATCCAGCGCCATTTTCTGTGCCGTGGCAGAAAGGTTAGGCATGACGACTTCCTGCTGCGCGTTCCCAAGTCACGTCCATGCCTCGGTATTTGCTCCGCCGGGCCAGTCCCTCGACGGCGCTATAGAGGAGCCCGGTCTCGAAATGGAGAGTATGTATTTGGATCCCTACGGATCGGACGACGAGATCACCGTCCAAGATTTGCGTCTCAGGCTCGTCGAATTCGGCTGGGCTTCTAGTTCCGACGTCTTCCTGAGCGCGTCGCCAGTGCCCGTCATTGTACAGCGCACTGCGCAGAATATCAAGACCAGTTATCTCAAAGTCCGCGAGCTCCCGGACGACGATCCGGCAGGTCTCGAACTCAGGAGACTTCGATCGGGGAACCCGAGCCTGAACGTCGACGTCGCGTTCTATAGCTCGATGTGGGCGCAGCTATTAACGACGCAGGCCAGTAGTATCCACTGGGACGGCAACCTCGACTGGTTTCTCAATCGGTTTGCGTTGACGTGGAGCGAGGACTGGTGGATAGTGCAAAAGTATCTGGCCCCGCTTTACGATACCTTCATCGAGTCGCTGGCAGAACCCCGGCACCGGGTCGGTTGGGAGAACGTGCGCGAGATCCTGGGCATGTTGCAGAACCTCGACCAGAGGCAGCCCACCATCAACAGGCGATACACCCAGGACATCCACGAGAGGGTCCGTTACAAGATTGGGCAGGTCTTCCGCCACAGCCGATACCGGTACATCGCCGTCATCAACGGCTGGGCCGCGACGGGGACGGCGGCGCTGCCAACGCCGCACCACACGTCCATGGACGAGACGGAGGACAACGGGGAGGAAGCCCCGCCGCCGCAGGAGCCGCGGCAGAGGCAGGGCAAGACCTACTACACGTGCTTGTGAGCATCCACCTCACCTATCCCATGGTTGCATACCAGTCAAAGGTGCTAATGTGATTTCTCAGGAGACCCACGGTGGACCGCCTGCGTGTCGCGCAAGAGAACATCGAGATCGTCACCGACCCGGACCTCATCCCGGAAAGCCTCTTCTTCTTGGCCGGGAAGTTCTTCAAGAGATTCGACAGGGAGAGTTGCACGTTCGTGTCGAACATCAAGGAGTTCTACCCAGATGATTAGCACCGGGGCTGAAACGAACCAACCTCCACTCTCTCTTCCTAAATACGGAAGATAATAAACGGTGGGGGATCAACCCTTCGGGCTTGACCTCCTTTGCTTGTGGACTTGCTCTGCCGTGCGAAGGACAAATGGTTGGACGACAGCTGGTCTGGTGATTGGGTATCTCCGGAGAAGCCCAAGCCACAGACCTACCTACCTAGATAGTTTGACAAGCTGCTGCAGATGCATAGTGGAACAGCATTGTCCTGAGAGCCTGATAGACCATGTATGTATGGTAGCCAGTAGCCAGACTATGAATTCATTAATGTACTCCACGAGAGTATCCAGCATCCGAAGTAATCTTTGATGATCAAGTTCGCAACGCGGGTGCAGTAACTCAGTACTTATTCTATCAGAATAAAAGGGCTATCCCATTGACGACTAGAGCTATACCGATATCCTTGTCGGTCCCAACCCAAGATGTATCCGGGCGCTTAACTTCCATCAGCCGAAGACGGCCTCGTCTGTTCCTGGGGAGCAATAATTTCCGCAGCAACCCCCCCCCCCCAAAAAAAAAAAAAGAAAACAAACCCAGCAAGCAAGGATAGCCAGCCAGCTTCCACGCTTCTACCACCACCAACCACCCCACCGCAAAAACCGCATCATCCCATTCAGGGGGGGCCACCAGCCAGGCGAACGGCTAACAAGCCGGCCCCTAGCCCCGGGTCCCCTCGTGCAGCTCCGCCAGCACGCCCTTGCTGGCGAGCATGTCGACCCACGTGTGTATCGCGAGCGTGTAGTCCTCCCTCCGCGCCGCGACCCGCTGCGCGTCCTCACCCATTACCGCCAGCTCGCCCACGTACTCGGCCCGCAGCCGCGCCTGCTCCGCCGCCAGCTGCCGGAGCCGCGCCTCCTCCTCTTCGCCGTCCGGGACGCCCGGTTCCCTCTCTGCCTCTTGTGCGGCGGCGAGAGCGGATGGTAGTGGGGCGGTGGTGGTCACGTCCGCCTCGCGCAGGCCGAACTCGCGTAGGCGGGCGGCGTCGGATGGGTCGATGGGCGAGGAGCCGGGGGCGCCGGTCGGGTTAGTGTTGGCCCGGTCGTGATCGTGGTCGTGGTTGTTGTTAGCAAGGCGGTGGGACTCGAGCCTAGCGAGGGAGCGCATGTTGGCGGCGAGGGCGCGGCGGAGGGCGCTGAGCGGGGATTGGCAGAGCGCGAGGAGGTTGAAGGACAGCTGCTCCGACTCGTACTGTAGCATGCGGGTCTCGATGAAGGGGCGGGCTACAGCGGTCCAGTCATCGGTGTATTCGCCTATAGTCTTGTGGTTAGGGGGTGGCCGGGCTGGGAGGGGGGGAGGGGAGGCTTACCGATTGGGAGGGGCTTGCTCTCAAGGCCATCGAGCTGGTACACCTGGCCGTCCACCGGGACGTAGGCAATGAAGTGGTAGGCGGCGTCGTCGTTTAGTCTGTGCTTCCTGCCACGTTTCGAAGCCAGAGCCTTGCTCTTCTTCTTGGCCACGTCGACAGCATTCTCGAGACTGAGGTCGGCGTTGAGAAGGTCAAATCGCCTGGGTCAAATGTCAGCGGCCAGGCATATGGTTTGAGGCGTTGGGGAATGAGAACAGATGCCAAAGGCTTACCTTGCCAACGAGTTGTGAATCGTTCTAATCCACTTGTTATTGCAGAGGAGCCATCCTCGTAAGGGAGGAGCCAGGTTGGCTGTTAGGGTCTTGAATTCCCCGAGTTTGTCTCCGAGCTCGATATTTTGGGTATTCATGATAATATTGAGCAGAGCAACAGTGGCGCAGGCATTGGATGTTGTCTTGGAGATCATGTCAGCCATCCCGGCCCAGGGCATAGGAAACGGCCATTGAACATACCTGGTTTGCAAACCAGACCCCATCGGCGGTTTCACTGGTGACCTGGCTCTCCTCTTCGACATACTGGTAGAGGAAAATCAAGCCATGAACTGGTTTTCTGAGGTGACAATGTGGTCAGTACCAAACCAACTGCCTCTCTGCACGGGATGGAATAGTTCAGCTTACGGGAGAATGGCAAGAGAATCCTCATCAACTGAGAAAAGCTCTTGTATTTTCACATCTTTCACTCCCAGATCTCGGATGATGACATTGAAGAAGGAAGGATCAGATTCGAGCTCACTCCAGCCCTCCCATTCCTTCAGTTCCTCGGGAGACACGGGAGCAAGGGCTGCCTCGAGCAGATCATCAGGAATGTCGAATATTTCTGGAGCAGCCTTTCGTTTAGGATTTCGCCGAGGCTGTTCTTTCAGATCTGGAGACTTTTGGGCTGCCGGAGATGAGGTAAGCTCGTCCTCAGAACCAGCATCCCCCATGAGAAGGTCTTGACCCCGTATCTTGCGGTTGCGCCCTGACCGGCGTACGGCAGGGGTACTGGTGGTGGCTGGCACATCTTCGTGCTGCTGCTTGGGGGTGGCATAATGATCAGCCTCAAGGCTGCCGGGGCTGCCGCCGGGGCTGCCGAGGCGAACCTGCCTGTCCTCCATCACGTTGGTGTGTGGTTGAAATAAGGGTCTGTACAGGTTAGCTTCGATTGTTGGACAGTGAAGCTGACTTGGCAGCACGAGGTTGTGATTGTGAAGATAATTGGCAGGGGATGGGAATCTGAAAATTTGGGCAATGTATGTGCTGTACCTATCAGAGTCTATTGTCTTTGCTGAAATATCTGGGCTCTGTTGTTCCTCACTTCATAGCCTTGCTCTGACCGATATATGTCAGACTGCTTGGGCCACAATGTTGGTGGTTTCAAAGGAGGGTCTCATGAAGGTGACAAGTCATGCTTTGCCAGTCATGCACCTCCATCATTAAGGCGTTACAAGATATGATAGCACAGAACACATGTCTTGTCACTTTAGGTCTAATCGATGCCTTTATGCCAGTTGCTTATGGTTGTTTGGCAAAGCTGTACAATGGACCAGTTGCGCTTCAACGTGCCACGGGAATGAGGCGGCTGAATGCAGCAGAGTTGGGAAGTTGCAACCCACTGGGCCACCACTTAGGTGCTCTAGCACTCAAGGCAGCTGCATCTGCAGCATATGATGAAATCTAGCATGGATGGCCGACAACCAAGAGGAGGAGAGACAGTCTGTGTTGAGAAGGCATGGAAGTATAACCTACCAGGTATGGGGTAGGTACCTACCTAGCTCCTATCAAGACAGGCTAGGTGTACCCATGTCCAAGGTTATTGTACATACAGTACAATAAATTGTATTCCAAGCGAAAGGCAGTTGTGCTACTTGGCAGGTCTGACAAACTTGCTCATAAACAACAGTAATAGATGCCTTCACAAGTTTACACCCTGGAACTCTCATTACAAGCCAGTACTGGAGATAGCAGAGCTAATTGTGGGATAAATTTGATAAACATGCTGATGACCTATAGAGGTACACTTGCGTTTTAATTTTCTGTACATACAGCCCCGCCGGTGAAAGGTTTAAGCGGGCCAGCAAATCATATCCATGGATTCCAGGTTCCTTGCACTTAACAGGGGTTTGAGCACGGTAGCCCAGGCGGCCCAGGCACTCTTTGTCAACAACCGCGTCTTGACGTGACCAGATCCTAGCTTCTCACGGAAATTTCAGAAGCTCCCATGAAGATCTCACTTGATGGTTCAGGACCATTCAAGATTTCCTGAGAACGTACGACTACACTTGAACCCCACCTTCTCCCCTTTCCCCCAGCTAACCAACTCATGGTAGGTTCTTAGATTTTCCACCCCTCCGCCCTCATACATGACCACAGTCAAACGAGGCATGCCATGAGCTCAACTCCACGACTGCGGTCGGGCGCCTTCCCGCAGACCCCCGGAACGGTCGCCAGAGGCGCACCTCCGACTCCGTCACCTACCCCGTCCCCAGCAGCGACCCCTTCTACACGATCCCCTCTGCCGCTGGCGCCGCAAAATTCTCCCTCCAGAGCTGCAAACACCGCGCCGTTAATACCTCTGAGGATCCTCGATGCACCAACTCAGCGTTTCTACGCCCTCGCCGTGTACGCTGCCTTGCTAGCATGGAGGCTCTACGACTGGGTTCAGTTGGTTGAGGACAATGCAGAGTCGTTCTGGCTGCTCTTGAAATGGATCGCCATCGACTTCATCTTCCTCTTTGGATTGCCGGAATTAAGGATACCATGGCTCGAGCTGTCCCAACCCTTCGTGGTCATGGCCTTTTTCGTCCATGTTGCCCTCAACTTCATGCTCATGTTTAACATCGGGGTAGGAGCTTGATTCATGGGAACCACCTAGAGCTTGCGTGAGCGCTAACCAGTTTCTCTTAGCTACCATGGCAGTCGTGGCTGCTCGGCATGCTCAAGGTGTTCTACGATCGAGAGCTCGCCATCTCCGAGCACAATGTCAAGCTGTCTAACATTTTGCACAATTCTTCCTTGATCATGGGCCGTCAGATCATCAACATTCTCCCCGAAGGGTATGGACCCAAATAAAGGCCGTGCTGTGTATTGTCACAAACTAACTTGGATCTAGCTCCGCCGTCCTCAATTCCGAAGGTGCTCCGTTTTGTCTGGGAGGCGACCGTAAGGTGGTGCTACTCCCTATTAACTTCAACTCGACGACCCCAGTTGAAGTCGAGCTGATTCGCGTCGACCTGGAAACAAATCGAGAGGAAGTTCTGAGGCTGAGCAGATCACAACTCCGCGAGATTGAGCGGCAAACGAAGAGGCAGGCTACAGATGGAGCTCCAACCGTCGTGCAGTTCGACTATCCGGCGAAAAAACCCGGCGCATACCGCCTCGGGAAAGTCCTCGATGAATATAAGCTGGAGGTCCAACGAAGAACACCGTACACCTTTGTCGTACCTTGTCCCGAGGCGGGTTTTGGATCAACTCCATCCTCGGGGCGATGCCTTGGAGACTTGTCTGATCTATCACTCCAAGTTGACGGGACTCCACCACTCAAGATCGTGTACAGTCGAACTATCAACGGCAAAGACCACAGCTTCCACTTCCAAAGCTTGCAGCCCGATGGATTTACATCGCCGCTGCTCGGCTCTCTCCACTCGACAAACCTAATCCCGATAGACGACGAAGATATATCATGGGCGCGGTCTCAGCAGGTCAAGGTTGGGCTCAACGAATCCATGCACACCGGGGGGCAGTGGGAATATTCAGTCGACGAGGTCCATGATGCGTTTGGCAACATGGTCAAGTACCTGTCGCCGGCTGAGGATCCAGATATGAAACCTCGGCCAAGACATCTTTCCCAGCACTTCTCCGTCAAGGAACGGCCTCGTGCAAGGCTCGAGGGGTGCGATCTACGAAACCCGCTGAAGGTCGCAAAGGGCGATTCGAAGGAACTACCTGTCGCATTCCAAATATCCGGCCGAACCCGCGATGATACCACGCATACCGTGGCCTGGCAATTCTCGCCAATCGATACCTTGACCAAGAATGGCGAGCATGGCGACGTCGTGTCAATCGGATCGTACAGCGCAAAGAATGCTCGCGATCGCCCCAAGATTTCCGCTCCAGGACTGTATACCCTGAAGTCAGTTGCATCTGGAGCCTGCGAGGGAGAGATTGAGGAACCCTCGGCATGTTTGTTGCTAAATCCCCTGGAACCCCAACTCACTCTCCGCGCCGACGACATCACGGATGCGTGTGCAGGCAATTCGATTGGCCTGCGAGTCGATTTGGACCTCATCGGGACGCCGCCCTTTATTGTCCGATACGATGTTATCTCTAACGGCGAGGTCCGGTCAGAAAGGACTCAGGTTCTTGGGATGAGATCTCAGCTAGAGCTCATCCCAAGGGTTGCGGGCAGTCACAAGTATATCTTCAAGCAGATCGACGATGACATATACAAGGGCCAGCCGCTCATCGGATCAGAATACGTGCTTGAGCAGGATGTGAAGCCCGCGGCCTCTGCCATTATCCAGCACAGCACTGGGAAGTTGAGTGCCTGCTTGGAAGAGGCAATCGAAGTCGACATCTTGCTCCTTGGAGAACCTCCGTTCACCTTGGAATGGGAACTCGTGCACGACGGTAAGAGAAAGCAACACCGAGCGACCTCGATCGAAGAGAACACATTCACAATCAAGACGGCGCCTCTTACTCAGGGAGGAGAATACACTCTTGCGCTCACCAGCGTGCAAGACAAGAGGGCCTGCCGCAATTTCCTGCATCAGGAAGTCAAGTTGTCTGTCCGGCGCCAGAGGCCGCGGGCTGCCTTCGGATTGCTCGAAAATAAACGAAAGGTCAAGGCCATCGAGGACGCGAAGATCAATATTCCTCTCCGCCTTACTGGCGTGGGGCCATGGAAGATTTCTTATCGGAACCTGAACGATAAGTCGAGGATTCTTGAGAAGTCGCTCTCGAGCGATAACGATATACTCGCCGTCAGCGATCAAGGCATCTTCGAGATCATGGACATCTACGATAAACAGTGCCACGGGACAGTGGATCCGAAAGCTTCGACCTTTGAGGTGAATTGGTTCCCTCGTCCCGAGCTTTCACTGGTGCCCAAAGAGAGCATCTCGGAGCATCGTGGCCAGTATGTCAAGAAGGACGTCTGTGAAGGTGATATCGATGTGTTTGAGATTGGCCTCAAAGGTACCGCCGTGATTCCTATGCCGTTGCCCCTTCCCTGGGGATTCTTAGCTAACTGTTCGTAGGATCTCCTCCATACCACGTAGAGTATGAGGTACGACACAAGCCGAGCCAAGGCACCGGCTCGCTCAGCCGGAGAAGCTTCGATGCTGCGTTCGGAAAGGCATCGATCCAGATGGACACAGCGAAGTCAGGCTTGTATACGTACAAGTTTTCCTCGCTCGCGGATAATCTCTATAACAGTGATAAGAGGTTTCAACCGCTCGTGCTGGAGCAGAAGGTCAACGCCAAACCATCAGCTTCTTTCGTCAAGCCCGGCCAGTCCTTCAAGTATTGTCTCTCCGATTCGGAGAACTCGGACAATATTCCCATCACACTCACTGGTGTTGCGCCGTTCTACGTCGAGATTGAGGTTAAACACCAGACCGGTTCCGTCCCAGAGACGTATCGCATCCCTTCCATCGAATCCAACTCGTATGGTATCCAGATCCCGAGGCAGTATCTCAAACTCGGTTCGCAGCAAGTCCGCATCCGGAAAGTGAGGGATGCTCGGGGCTGCCAGGAGGAGATAGAAGTTGGGGGACCCTCAGTCCAGGTTCAACTGTACGACGCACCGGCAATCTATCCCCTGGAAACACGCGCCGATTATTGCGTGGGCGAGCGCATCACGTACTCGCTGTCTGGCACGCCGCCGTTCGAGGTGTGGTACACCTTCGACGGGATGCAGCGGAAGGCCAAGTCGCCGACGACCAACTTCCGCCGGATCGCGGAGACGCCGGGCGAGTTCACCATCACGAGCGTGTCGGACAAGGCCAGCGAGTGCCGGGCGTCGGTCGACATCGTCAAGACGATCCACCCGATGCCGGCGGTCAAGATCAGCAAGGGCCGCAACGTCAAGGTGGACATCCACGAGGGCAGCGAGGTGGACATTCTCTTTGAGTTTTGGGGTACGCCGCCCTTCGAGTTCACGTACACGCGTAGCACCAACGAGCGGAAAGGCCAGAAGAGCCAGGTTCTGGAGACGAGGCACGACACCAGCTACGAGCACAGCAAGGTTGTCCGGGCGAGCCAGGAGGGCACGTACGAGGTCGTGGCCATCAAGGATAAGTACTGCGCCTTCTCGACCCAGATGGTCGAGAATAAGGACAAGAGCCAGAAGCTGTTGACCTTCTGAGCTAGGAACAGCAAGGGGGAGGAGGGTAGATAGCCTGGGGGGAGGAAATCAAATTTGGGGTTTGTCGTTTCTCTCTGTGGGAGGGGGGAATATCATAGCATGGCGTTTGCGGTTTGTTATCTTTGTGGAATAGACACCCCCTTAAGGATAGGTCGGCAGATTTTCCGGACAGAAAAGCTTGAGCCCGAGATGAGCCGTTTGTTTGTTTTTAGTAATGGAAAAGTGCTAGCAGTGTATGACTTCTTGAAAGGAGTCGTGACTTGTGAGTACTCATCAACACATCCGGCTACCCCTGCCCCCAGCCACACACTTGTGACTGGGAGGGGCTTAGAGTCACCGCGGCGCTGCTCAATCGCGCAGCAAGCAGGGTCCAGGAAGCAGCCCAGTCAAAGTCCTCGTTACACGACAGGCAATTTACTCTATTATTATGCCGAAAGCGAGAACACCATTCCCGTATATCTCAGTATATCCCCAGCTAGTCTATCATCCCCTCTTGGGGCAGCCTCGAGCTCGGAAGCAATGAACAAAGAAAAAGACGGGAGGGTGGTGAGGAAGAACGAAAGGGAGAGAAATATGCAAACGAAAGGGTATCTATCCTCCGAGTTGGGAAATTTTTTTTAAAAAAAAATCACAATTCTAATGTTAATCTGTGCCAAAGAAACCCAAAACCACCCGCTTCAACCCCCCACACTACCCGCAGAACCCTCACGCAGACTCGGGGTCATTTCGATTCGCCGGGCCAGCGACGGGCTTCGCGGCGTCGGCCTCGTGCGTCTCCCAGAACCGCCTCTCCTTGTCGCGGCCCTTGACGAGGCCGTAGATGTCAAAGGGGTCGAGGACGGTGACGAGGAAGGGCCGGCCGTCCTTGAGGCCGGGCCCTGTGATCTCAGCGACGCCGTCGCGGGCGAGGTACGTCTTGGCGCTCTTGGGCAGGTACCTGCGCGGGTGGCGGGCGTTGAGCAGGACCTGGTTGGACAGCATCAGGGACGCCTCGAAGACGTAGAAGAACCACTCGTACCGGACGACGGGGCTCATGGTCGCGGGGTCGAAGCCGGGGCCGAAGTGCAGCGCCGCGAGGCTCCAGTACTCGACGATCCGGTAGATGGTCCGCACCGTCAGAAGGGCCGTGCTGGCGTAGAGGGTGTGCAGCGCGCTGCGGAGGTCGGCGTTGTTGATACCCGCCTTGAGGCACCGCCGGTGGAAAGTCCCCGTCAGCGCGAGGAAGCACCCGATCACGACGACTTGCAGCAGGAGCGCGGCTTTCAGGAGGGCGCGCCCCATGTCCTGCTTGCTCTGCGGGAGGGACTGGTTGGCTGTGTAGGCGGCGCCGTTTCCGTTGAGGGCCTCGATGACCATGGAGATGATGCCGAATGTGGTGATGACTCGGCCGGGGTGGACGGGGGAGTGGTACGGGACATAGTAGAGGATGCGCCCGAGGATGTTGTAGTTGCAAAGCTCATACAGGGGACTGTGTCTCGCGTCAGTAAGTCTCCAGTGTTGGTCCAATCCTCCTCCCTTATGTCTGGGTCAGATTTCAACTCACGGCGCTGCGTAGGTCAGACAGATGCTGATAATGTACTTGACGAGGTCTCCATAGTCAAATGCTCCCATCTCACGAGTTATGAAGCCGCCAGTGAAGAAGATGGCACAGAGAACATAAAGCCCGGTGAGCCTCCAGCTGTTGTAGTGGCTAGTTCGGAGTCGTCAGTATCTGTCCGCGACATCGAACGTCAACTTAGATGCGCCACTCACACGCATTGCCAGATATGAAAGATCCCCGACGAGGCAAAAGCCACCGCGAAGAACACTGGTGCAACTTTATTCGGGGCGAAAAACCAGATGCTGCCATCGACTTTTGCAGGCGTGTTGTTAGCCCTCCGCTTTCTATAACCCCTCTGGATTGTTGATCGTGAAAAGGGGCAAGTACCATATTTTCCGTTTTCCATTGCGAAAAGAGTTGGCTTCCGCCAGATGCGTGCAATAAGAGACACTAAGTGGTCGAGGCTGGTCTTGTGCAGGAGTCTCAAGGGACGATGGAGGTAATAGTTAGATGGTATAAGTGATGGATGTGACTACGGTTGAAGTCGCGGTCTCAAAGTTCAATGGTTCTTGACACTCACCAAAAACCGAATGCTCTCTGCGGCGGCCATCTCTGAAATATATATTCGGTCAGAACCCCGGAGATCTCTTGGATCTACTACACTTTCGTCCCGACAACCTCTTAAGTCAGTCTCGGTTTGGCAGCCGCAATAACTCAGGCGACCAATCGCGTTGTGCGGTTCAATACGACGGTTCAGGGTCGTGGTGCTATGCTGCTATGCCACGACTGACTGGCCTATCACAGGACATGCCACCGCTTGCGCCCCACTGTCGACGGCGGTGTTATCCGTACGGTTCGCACCCAACGTATTCCGTATTGTGACTTTTTTACAATCCGTACGCAGTATTCGACACCACGGCAGTGGGTCAACAGCCTCATTCGTCGCCGATCTATCCCAGCCGAGTGTCAGAAGTTTATTTCAACTAGAAGGTGGCTTATAGCGCGGAATCTGGTACTGTAAATTGATCTTGCACCTTGCATCAGACTTTCGTGTCAATGATTGTGCCTTGTGCCCATCGTATCTCGCATTAATATATCCTAGGCCCACTTCCAAAACCACATCGCTAGACTGCCAGAGCAACTGAGTGTATTTTATAATCGCATCGTACCAAGTGTTACTTTTGCTCATTTGCTTATTTTCTCATTTTGCATGCTAGTCAGGGTGCCTTGCAATTAGCCTTGCTCCGAATCTCTCTTGAAGCTGCTAACCCAGCCTTGCTGCGCCAAACCCTGCACCGACACCCAACGACGAGAGCTGCGCAATGTCAGTTTCCTACGTGCATGTCATGAAGCAAGCCGAACAAACACATTCGCCTCGGTGTCGGCGAACAGCGCCAGACTCAACCGTGGTGTCCCTCACCATCCACTTATCCTTGCTGCCCCCTTTCACGATCTGGATCACTTCGTCGACGGATGCGACGGCACTTTAGCTGGCCAAATGCACATGCTGCTTCACCGCTGCCGCCCACTCCTCCTCCGAAGATGCGTTCTTTGGGTCGCCCCTGAACTCGAACAGCGGAGGAGTCCGGGGGCGAGGCCCGACTTCGTCCGGGGCGGACGAATCGGCCCGCCGACGAAATGCCATCCGAACATCGAGAGAAGGTTTGCCGCGGTTCGGGATTGGCCGCGATATGTTGGGCGAGGCTTGGGATATTATGGCCAAAAGGTTGCCGGCCGAAGGGAGTGAAAGAGATGGTGCCAACAAAAGTCAGGTGTGGGGCTGCACGGCGTGGGTTACGTGTGGCAATGGAAAGGAGGTGCAACAACATCCGGCGGACGGGAGAGACTATCCACGGAACCGGTAACGCTTCTCACGCCCTGGAAACTCCTTCCTCAAGCCCAACAGTCCTTCTTGGTGCCGTTCAGTCCCCAATAAAATGGCTCGTCCAGGACAGCAACTCACTCGAGAGCTCACTAATAAGTGACTGGAATAAGAAGCGGTCCTCCTAACAGAGAGGCTGACGTGCAGTTTATGTCTGGTGCGGCCACGTTTAGCCTGCTTTCCGAAAGGAAGTGTCCTACTCCGACTCCTTACGGTACCCTTGCCCGGAGAATTCGGACCCCAAACCAGTCTTATTGTCACCCGAGTCTTGCAGTCAGGATCAAAGGGGCGGGCCATATACAGGCAGCTGCTTCGCCGCGCCGGCGATCTTTAAATAGTCGCGGCCCATCAACGGTTGTCCGATCCCTTCTCTCGAATTGACTGCTTTGATATCCCGGGCGGTAGAGCGTAGGCCAACTCTCGTGGAAGACGTACAGACGGAGAACGTGGGAAACAAAGCTAGTTGGGGGCGTCCACTGGCCCTTGCATAGAGAGGTCACTGTGGCTGTGGTTCTCTTGCGGGTATCACTTCGTTCCTGACCGCAGTGCTCTGTGTCCTGAGGGGCTGGGGTTTGGCTCCTACTGGAGAAGGAAGGGCTGATTCGTCCATCACCATGCGGTATGCTCTGAGGTGAACTGGTAAACTTTGGCTCTGCGTTGTGTCAATTTGGGGAATTGAGATTTGGAACAATGGTAATTATCACGAGACGCGTTTAAAGGTGGTGTCGTCTGAACTCTGAACCCTGAACCCTGGTGTGGTCCCATTCCAAGGAAGTGAAGTCACAAACCGTGGCGTTAAACCCTGCACTGCGTGGCTTTCATTATTGGGATTGGGAGGAACGCCAAAAGTTTCCCCTCATTTACTCCTTGACGCACGGGGGGGGCCTAAACAATCTGATTTAATTATGGGGTTCCAGTGAGCGAGCCACTTGGACACAGCCTCTGGGATCGTCATCCTCCTTCAATCCAAGTCTAATAAGTCATTTAGTCATGTTGGATTGCTGGTCGGAGGCGGAGTAAACCTAAGTAGGATTCTGGTGAGCTTATCAAGGCGGCAGCAAGTGTGTTTGTCCTTCCATTGATTGCCAGGCGGCCATCCCAAATTCCATATCCCGCGGCCAGCAGAACAATCACTTCCGGTTCCTGGGCAGTCGAAACATACTCTTCACGAAACGTGGTTGCGTCTGTGGTTGGGCAATTGTTGGCGTCAAACGCGCCGGTCCCGGAGATCAACGTGTGAATTAAGGGCCCCGGAGCATAACGAACAAACAGGCTGCAGCTTTTTTCGAGCCATCCAAAATACCTGGCACCACCCCCAAGCGGTGACCTCGTCCTCTGCGTCTCCACATCACCATAACTTCCTACATAACATGCTTAATCTGAATTATCCTGCTTATTCGACCATCCCAGGACCTTGGTAAGGTGGAGACACATTCAGCTGGCATCTCTTTGGCTGAGCAGCCCGACCCCGACCAGTCTAGCTCTTTAAGGATTTGGGTCCAGTGATAAGTAACGCCACCTGGGTTCTATTATCGGTCGGCCTCCCTCGGCAGGCCTCGCGCACGCAGCGTATATCTTTCCGCTATTGCCCCTCCGCAGTGGCAACGCATCGGAGGACAGAACCCATCATGGACGACCAATCTCGTTGCCCGAGGCCACGTCCGCAGATCTATCTTCGCGTGGAGTTTGGAGTCTCGTGGTCTCCGAATCATGCGCCCAACAACCACGAGATCACTTACAAGTCCCGCCGTGTCCGCGAACGGCTGCCGTACTTCCCCAGGCGGGTGCCCGCGCCGACCACAAACTTCCTCTCCATGGCCCCCGCGCCTAGGCAGCAGTGGGATCAGGCACACCCTCGCTATTATGAGCCGCAACAGCAATTACAGCAGCCCTGGGATGGCGTGTGGCGGGAAGAGCCACAGCCGGAGGAGAGGCGGCGGTCACGCGCAGAGTCTGTCTCGTCGCACGAGCGCCGCCGCTCAGCGCCGCCGCCGATAGGGACGAACCCTTGGGACGTGAATGTATGGCATCCAATAGACGCGGGATTGCCGTCCACATCAACAGCAGCAGCAGCGACTACGGCCCTACCGCCACCGGAGCTCTCCAAGGCCCTACCTGAGGTCCCCTCGCGCTTCCGCCTCGGCGAAGACGGCATGCCCTGGACGCCGTGGGTCTACCCGATGGGCCACGAGCCTGTCGCCTACCCGCAGGAGGACGATGCCGGGTCCACGCATTCCCGCGCCGCCGACGCCGCCGCCGACGCACCAACCGAGGCTGCGCACACCCCAAGCCAGCCGCACACCGCCACGGTCTCCCCGCTCTCCCCGGGCGACGACCCCGAGAGGGTCCGCCAGCTGGGTGCCCTATCCGCGGCGATGATGACGGTGGACAACGGCTTCGAGAACCAGTGGTGGAACCAGGGGCCGCGGGAATCGACATCCCCCACCGCCGACCTCGCGACCGAACCCCCGCCTCCGCCTCCGCCTCCGCCTCCGCCCCCGCCCCCGCCAGAGCCACAGAGCCGCCTCTCGCTCGGCTGGGCGGTCGCCTCGAGCACCCCCGGGTCGCGGGACGACCGGCTCACCTTCGCCATGGCAGACACGGTGTCGCCGCTGTCCGCCTCGGACTGCTCCACCCCCGGCGGCGTGCCGCCATTCCAGTCGCTGACGAGGACGCTCTCGACTAGGTCGGCGGAGCTGTTTCTTCACTGATGGGAGGCTACCTACTGTGCATTTACGTGGGAGGGAGATGGGTGGCTACTGGGGCCGTGGGTGCCATGGCATTACGGAGTCAAGCATCACATCGGAAGCAAAAGTGTGCATGAGGCATTGGAGGAGTTTTGGAGTTTTTTTTCTTGATCTCTATATTGAGCATAGCAACTAGAAGGGGACCGGGGCGAGATCGTAACGATCGTTACAGGGAAGGAGCATGTATCGCTACGTGGCTCCAGCATTATCACAGGGTTCGGCCAGGCCGGCGGCAGGAGCTGATGCGACAGTGGCGAAAAAGAAATTGCGGCGCGTAAAAAGGCCTGCGTGGAAGGTATCAAGGAACAATGGAACTCGACAGTCACCTGGGGTTCTTACGTCGTTCATTCGTCCTTTGCCCTTTGACTTGTTCCTTGGTGGTTTCGTCTCACCGAATCTAGCCTCGATACCGGCTCCCGATTCCATGAAAACCTGCGATTTGATGCTTCCACAGCGAGGAAGGGTGTAGCGGGGATTATCATGTATGTGCATTGCGACATGCATACAGCGGCACTCAACCAGTTGGGAGGCTTGTGGCGTAAGATTAGCATCCAACGACAGACTGACAGAGTCTCAATTCACTGCAGCTAGGGTTCTAGTCCCCCAAGACCTTGAAACAGGTGGTTTCTAATTGGAGACGGTGAAGGCCGTTGGGTTGATATGCATCACCTTCTGATCCTGCCGTCCAAGACTCTCTTTTACATTATTATGAACTACACCCAGCAAGAAGCGGTCGGAGTAAGCTTGCATAGTGCAAAATCGCAAGACCAACTCGCCCGAGTATGGTGTCTGATGGAGAGGGTTATTTAACATCCAGGGTACAGATTAATCCCCGTCTTGGTAGGTTGACAGGGGTCAAAAAGACGCGTCCCCGGTGCGAAACATGTTTCTAATATTAAGCGAACCCCGCAATTCAGGAATTATAATGACGGAGATGGCTGTGCAGCTCTTCCCTTGTTTGAATCAGTGCGTTTTCCACGTTTCATTCCCGGTCGTGGGATATGTTTGATGTCAAGATGCACGTGCCTCACCCAGGGCCCTTGTTTCTATTTTTAACAGGCGGCGATCACCCACTGTGATCGGCGTTAGGGTTTGGATTATCATCACCAATTTTGTTTTTGTTTTTGCCCCTGTACTGTCACCGGTTGACGATCAGAAAATAGAACACATCCCTTAGCAAAGACTCGAAGTCTCTGTCGGGGCTTTAAAATACCCTCCCCATGCTGTTTCGGGACGATGATCTGTGCCACTTACCCGGGGATACACTGGCATAACCCCCAACTAACACACGGAGCAATCAACGGCGTAAGCATCTACGAATAACACGCCCGCCCGGCCGTCTAATGTCATCTAGACCCCCTCTGCGAGTACATAACGCCGCACACTGCGTCTCCTCATGTGGCCAACGGCCTGCAGCCACCAAGCATCTTGAGATCCAAGCATATCGCTCCCGTCTTGGTCGGCCCCCTAAATCCGGATCATGGTGCTGCTCGACTAGAGCCTCCGCCACCACCAAAATCGCGGCGGGGAGCTGTTAGCGACACTAGTGACGAAGTGTGTGTGTGCCAGGGTCGCCGGTTTTCCGACTGGCTTATTATTGGATTCATGGTGGTGGCGGGCATCACATCTACTCGTGGCCCCCACCACTTGCGGCCCGTTCCCTGATACGGGAGAGAGTCGAGAGAAATGCCCGGCGGTTGATTGTTTATCTCGAGTCAGACGAGCAGCTTGGGCACGGACTGACTGACTGACTGACTGGGGCCTGCCGCCTACGAGCTCGTCACCCCCTTGCAAGGTCGGCCGTAAGCCGCCCATCCCTACGGCATCCCCTGTTCCTCCGACTACGCATCGATAAAAAGGCGTCACTCCAGGGTGCTTTCCCTCTCACATGGGGTTTGCATGGATGGACCAACCCTTTTGACATGGCGGAACGTTGGCTAGAGATGATGTTAATAAGCTAATCTCTCCGATGACTTTTGGGCTGTAACAAGGCATGGACTTAAGCGGGAGGGCAGCCGACTCATCAGAACAAATAACAATGTTCTTGGTCATGGTCGTTTGTGGGATCGATAGTGACTAAAATCACCCCATGCTAGCCCGCTTCTGGAACGATTGCATGTTGCCCTTTGCTAGACGTAATTTAGCTAACTATATTGACGTAGCAAGACTGGAAGGTAGAAAATCATTCTATTCGAGCAGTGCCAAAAAGGACTGTGCAGACGTAACCGAACATAAACTATCATCGCTCAGCCGAACGTCTCCTGTATAAACCCCCTCGATGTTGCCGTTTTCGCCCCCGTGACCAAACCATAATCGGGCGGAATGCCCAACAAACCCAACGATAATGACAGTAGAGAACCTCGAGTCTACCTGCGTATGTGCGTCCGGGCCAAGATATTAATGAAATAAAGGGGCAGAAATATGGACAGGAAAAGTGCCATGGAATTCCCGCGGCACTGCCGAGCAAGAGATGTCATTCTGATCAGGCAACAGAAAGGGAAACGTGGTATCTCGTTAATCGAATCCGATAGAGGAAGAAGAAGAAGAAAAAATAAAAATAAAAAAAAGGGGGGGAGAGGCTTGCTCCTTGCTCCTGGTAGGGGAGAGGGGTTCCTAGGAACCAGTCTCCTGCTCCTCACGGATGGCCGTCATCTCCATGCTAATCCCGCCCAAGCCGCTCCCCCCCTCGAGGAGGGGCCTGCTCTGCGGCGGATTCGCAGGCTCACGCGTCAGCGGAGACGAGTGGATCGATGACCCCGACTGCTCGCTCTGGCCGTTATCGGTGCCGCCGCGGGACGAGTTGCGCGGGGAAACCCGGCCAGTCTGTCAGAGGGGAGGAAGGAGAAACATTAGCAAGCAAATATTGGCTCCGCTCTCTCAACCAGGGGAGGGCGACGGCGGTGTTAGGGAAGAGCAAAACTCACCTGCTTCGCCCATCTCAGGCCGCAGCTATTGCACAGATCCCGGTTCCCGCTCGGCCCCCTCCTCCACTCGGGCGTGTTGCGCGTGTGGCAGTTTGCGCAGTCGCGCACCATGTTGCCCGAGACCTTCCTCCTCTTGCGCTTCTTCTTGTTGGACAGCAGCTGCGCCAGCTCCTCGGCCAGGAGGCGGTTGACCTTCTCCATCTGACGCAGCTCGTACTGCCAGCTGGTGCATCTCGTCGTCTTCAGCTCGTCGAAGATGTTATCGTCCGACGCTAAGACGGCGTCCTGCGACCCGGGCGATAGGAGTCCACCGGTTGCTGCCGACGTGACGCCATTAGCGGCCGATCTATTGAGGGTGTTGTTGCCGCCGGATCCCGTATCCATTGGCCCGGAAGGATATGCCAATTCCTCCGAGGGGCCGCTTGTTGCCGGTACGCCCGATTTGCCACTGCCTGATGCCGCGGGTGCAATCGCCCTTGACGGCGCTTTGAGTAGTTTAGTCTGTGCGAGAAGGAATGTGGCGTTCGAGCCCTCAACGGCGTCGCCCGGGTAGAGTATGGTCTGCGCCTGCAAGACCTGGCCTCGCTTATTCTGGACCTCGTGCTTGCAAGAGACGATCTTGCCCTTCCTCGCCTTCTCTATCGAGCGGCCGAATTCGGGCCGCGACTCCTTGCGCATGAGGTCCTGAATGCTGGTGCCTTCCAAGTTCTCCGGGAGGAGGTCGAGCAATGACCGGACATTGGAAGAGACGAAGAGGAAGATACCCGAGGTCGACAACTTCGTCCAGATTTCGCTGTCTCCTATCCCACCGTTTGCGTCCAAATCTCTCATGTGTAGTGCGAATACAGGCCGCTTCCTGCCGACTAAGATGATGCACTTCCGTCCCTTGCCCTGCTCAACGAAGAGTGACCCCCGGGACTCGAACCAGGTGTAACCGCTCTGCTTCCTGCAAATGCGGAAAACGATGTTGACTGGACTTCCCGCGGCCGTGTCCTTGAGCTCTCTCGTAACCGGAACGATGTCCGAGGGATGGCAGATCGAGGACAGCGAATTCCCGATCAGATCCGCGCTGTCGTACTCAAGGACCTTCTTGCTGGAGGGGGATAGGTAGAGGAACAGGCCCTTGAGCGATAGGACATGGACCACGTCATCCATGTTTTCGAGCAGCATGTTATCCCAGGACTGCTTATGCCAATCAGACACAGAGCCGCTTGTGTGGTACTGCTGTAGCAACGTCGAGACGTCGTCGACGCCTAGGGTTTGCCCATTGTCGGGTTCCCACTGGCTCGAAGCCGGCGGCGTCCAGATGTATTGCCCAATATCGCTATGCATGTAATTAACCTTCACCCCGCCCGTGCCCTGGCCGGAGATGGCGTCGGGACACTCGACAAGATCGATCTGAAAGCCAATGAAATATCTGATCTCATCCGTGTCCCAGGGAATGGGGATCATGGTAATGAGATTCAAGAATGGCTTCCCCCCCTTCCGGTAGTTGATCAAGCCCTGTTGCACTTCCTTGCCCTCGGCAACCTTCTTCTTGATATTGAAGACGGCGCTGTTCTCGACGAACTCCCTCTTCGTGCCCGCCTCGACCTTGCCATCGGGGGCCTGCAGGAACCGGCAATTCTTGCCTATGATCTCATGCCGGCTGTACCCTGTCAAGTTTTGGAAATTGTCCGAGGCGTAGATGATGGGGCAGTCGTTCAGAGTCACGTCGCAGACGACAAATGAGCAGGACATGTCCACAGCGCCAAGCTGCACCTCGGGGTTCTTGCGCGTGGCAACGTACCACAGGGCCCTAAGCATGTCGAAGCCGCTCTTCGAGTAGATGTTCTTGTGTTTACCATCACGAAGGCTTGGGCCACTGGTCGCCGGAATAACGGCAGCTGGTGATGTCTGGGCAGTAGTAGCAGTCGGCTGGACCCGGAGGCTTTGTGCAACGGCCTGCGGTGGTGGCGACGGGAAGCCCGGAGCGCCTGGTATCCTCCCCGATAGAGAGGACGCTCCTGTCTGGAACGAACCAAGACCTTGATCACTCCTCGGATCCTGCTGGCTTTGAGGGGTGCGGGATTCATCGGCAGTGCTATACTGTTGCTCGACACCCATCATATCATTATTCCCTTCTAGGTCAAGGCTAGTCGCAGGATTTGTGCTCAGCGCACTGAGTGGGCCATCCTCCCCGGTCATATCCATAGCGAAATCCGTATCCACGGGGGCCAGTGAGTTGTTTCGAAATTGGGTTGGGAGATTAGAGGGGTTGAAGAGGCCCATAGAGGTTGGGTTTGGTGGTACTTGTCCCACATTAAGGTTCGAAAAAGCCATCATGTTGTTCATCAAATCTAAGGGATGGTTAGAAAAGCTCGGATCTGACATGGCCATCATGCCCGACTGAGGAAAGCCTGCAGGCTGGTCTTCCAGTCCGATGCCGTCTCCGATGCTCCCGAAGGTTCCTGGCAGCGAATCATCTCCGGCAGGGTTTAGGTTGCCGAATTGGAAGTCCTGGAGAGGGTCATTGGACACGCCAAACTCCATGAGCGACATTCTCCTGTCGCCGGCATCTTGAGGGATCTGGCCGGGAAATGCCAGCGGCACGCTTCGTCTCCTTAGAAGCTCATGAGAATTATCGCGGATAATGTCATCGAGCGACTCCCCTCCAATCATCAGTGTGTCCGACGCTGCAGACAAGGGGTCGTCGGGCTGGCTGGCATGCTGGGCGGCCTGGTCCGCCAGCTGTTGCTGGAGGTCTTCTTGCGAGACCGGAGGTCCGAAGAAGTTACTCATGGTGGAAACATGGGAGTTCCTCGGTTATCAGAGATGTAGACGAACTTAAGATCGATCGCCGGGATATTCGGGATGCGCAGTGTAAGATACAGGAAAGGTTGAGCTGAAAAGTGTGTTTGGCCGGCCCTGCATCAACACATACTTCGAGCCAGGCTTGCTCGAATGCGCAGTCGCAATGGGATCGGATGAACAGGTTGTTGGAAATCCGCTCGCCTAACCATCTGATACTGCGGCCTTGAGGGCTGACCCGATGGCATCAACGTGGTGAGGCCGAACACTCGACGGTGCACTTTGTGGCCACCCGCTATGCCGACGCTGCAATGGCACGCGATACGATAACGTCGTTGTACACTCACGGTGTCGGTTAAGGTTCTAATAGTTGAGGGCGACTTCCACACGGGCAGTTAACTGTATGTTGCGGCAACAAAATCTGTGACCCTTCACAAGTCCCAGGGTGTGCTCCGGCAATGTTGCCCCGCCCAAAGCTGCTGTGCAATCCCGTCCTGCGGAACCTTTGCTCCTGCATAACACCTAAGTGGGTGGGTACCTATGGTTATTAAGGTTCGCTAGTGCGGATAGAAGGATGTCTGCCCTTGAACTTTGCATACGGAAATGTCTATGGAGGTACTTATCACCGGTCCCTGAATAGCGACGTGAAGGAGCTTTCTTGCGATAAATGTATCTAGTTAGGTCTCTCGTGTTTCCTCCCGCGCGGAACTCCAAGCAGCTTTTCCTAGGTAGGTAGTGTGAATTTCTAGAGCATGAGAGCGGATGCACTTCGGCAGCTTAAACTTGGTTAGCGGGGCGAACGGTCATGAGGATGGATGGTGATACCCGTACGACGTACCTAGGTACAGTACAATACCTGCACAACATGGAACATGCCTATAAACCAATTGTGGGAAAAGATACTGTGGTGTGTGCACAGGCGCGGGGCCACCCAATTATCACCTCCCTACTACCATCCTCGCAGAGCCTCATCCACTGGGCCGTTTTCACAGCTGTACTTACTCGCATCCGTCTCATTCCACTTCTAGATACCCCGGGGGTTATCCCTCTCTTTGTTTTCGAAACAGATATGGGCCACACGTGGAGTGCGATGACTATCAAATTTCGAATAAGTCCTCATTTTCCCTTGTTTGCCTCGCGTAGGTAGTATGTGTTAATCCAGAACGTTGTGCACGTAAAACATAGTAATACCATGGTATCATCCATCAACATCTCTCCCTCGCTACTCATGGATCCTCTATATCCAGAGGCATCCGCCAGACCCTCCATGTCCCATCTGTCTGGCCTTGCCTTCCTCCTCCGAGTTTGAACTGTGAATAGCTTCCTTTGCCCTGGTTACATCGCCGCCTATCTCGATCTTCTGCGGTAGTCTTCGGTGCTGTTCCGACATCTGAAAAGAACGTGCCCGAAGAAAGCGATTCCCCCGAGCCATCCAGCGTATCGGCTGCATGCCTCCTAACCAAAGTGTCCTCTGATAACTTGCTGGGCCTCGGGGGAGAACTGCTGTAATAGTTGAATGGGATCCGTGTTCGAAGCTGTCAGCAGCAGCTTTGTAGCAGCAACAACCCGGTTGGCAGTCTGGTCAGAGAGGGACTCGGCCTCGAGAGCCTGAGCAACGAAGAAGAAGACCTTCTGGGCTTGGCTCATCACAGCCGGATGTTGCCTGGCAATGGCGTTAGCGGTCGGAAACTACCTAGTACGCGGGGTCAGGAGCGGATACTTACTTGTCAATCAGTTCGGCTAGATAGGCATAGGCATATGGCGCCGCCTCTTCATCGTTGGTTACGGGCAGAGTGTCAACCCACTGCGCCATGACTTCCAGAGGCTGTTGAACGGCCGACGAGTTGTAGTGGAGAATCTTTGCGATTGCAGCACAGGCATTCTCCGTGGCGTAGATGTTATCTTCGTTTCGCGCGTCGGGGAGCTGAGTAGCCTGGAAGAGGAATGGAATCGTCCCACCAAGGAACTGGGCCCACGCCGCCCCTCCCCGGTGGGCTGCGACGCCAATCCCGTATGCAGCCGCCTGCCGGATCGCGGGCGTCGGATCCTGGCAGCCATTTATGAGCGGTTGGGTGATGTAGTTCGCGTAATGGCTGCTCTCTGGCCCGCAGTATTCAAGGACGTCATCCATGATGCATAAGCCCCATTGTCGCTGTGTAGGATCCTGGGATGCGAGGAAGCCTTCGTACGTTTTCATGAGACGCTCAAAGGCGGGAAGAAAGGCGGCCCCGTGACTCTTGAAAATGCAGTGGAATGCCTTGTTCATGTCTGAGAGGAGCGTCTGATCATCTTCGATCGCGATCAGTATGTCTTCAGCCTCGTCCTCGACATCGTCGGCGGTCGCTCCCTCCTTCTCTTCGGCCCGCAGAGCCACACGGTCCTTGTAATCCTCGAGAGTAGAATTGACCGAATCAATGAAACGTTGCATATGAGTCTCGCTCAGGCAGCCTTTGCCCAGGACCTCGACAGACTCGTAGAAGCATTGGTACATCTCTGCCAAGGTGTCGATGGCAGGCTCGGCAGTGAGGACTTCCAAGAGCTTGTCCACTGTCCCGTTCCATAGGCCGTTCAGCTCGTTTGATGGGTTGCCATAGGCCTTCTTGTACGAGCTCAGGAGCTGCGGCACCAGCTTGGCAGATACAAACCGGACCGGATCATGGAAGAAGAAGGCCAGGCCAGGCAGGGCGATATTCTCCATTATTTCGGCGACATACGGCGCAAAGGAGCCCTCGAGGACCTGGGCATAGACAACCAGAAGCTCGATGGCCATGTTCTTGTCATCCATGGTGCTCGTCCGGATGCCGATGGTCTTTCCTCGCAAAGGAACCAGCTCCCACCCTTCTTCCTGCTGCATCTGTTCGATCTGGTCGTCGTCGTCCAAGAGCTGAATGTCGGCCTTGGCACTTGCGAGATCCAGCAGCGGGGGCATGACGCTGGGCAGGAATGGCAAGAATTCGGTACCCATGACACGGCACATTCGGCCCCAGCAGTGCATGAGGTATTGGGACTGTGGGTCGTCGGCGTCGGTAATGCTCCGCTGGATATTTGCAAGGAGTTGGACGAGGGTCAAGGCGTCGCCACCCAGCCTCTCCTTCCCTACCGCCAGAGCAATCAAGGTGGCGCACTCCATAGCCTTTGCACGGAGGAGGCGGAATTCCTTCTCGTTCTCGCGCTGGAGGACGCTCACCAGCAGGGGCATCAAGGTATCGTAGTATCTGCCAAAGGCTTGCTCTGCAGCATCGGCGATGGTGGCAATTGTCGACAGAGCCTGCTCCTGCACGTAACGCTTCTCGTTCTGCAGAAGCTGGAAGAGGTGGGACAACAACTCGTCCAGGTATGGCTCAAGGATGCTCTTCTCTGCCTCCTCGCAGAAGTTGACCAGGGCGGCGGCGGCGTGGGACTTGACCCGAGCCTCGGGAGACTCTAGGACCGGGATGATGGCCTTGAGGACGCTATCATAATAGTCCTTTTGTATCGTAGGTGCGAAGTCTGTGCTCATCTGGCCCAACGCATTGCATCCGGCCCACCGCACTCGGGGATGCGGATCCTTCAATGCCGGGATGACAAGGTCGAGGACCTGGTGCAGTTCACCAATCATCTGCTCCCGGCAGCCCTCCGAGATGGCAGATATGGCCATCAGAGCGGCGTGTCTATCTCTCCAGGCCATTGACTGCATCATGCGGGGCAGCCAGCCAAAGGTAGGGCCGAGAATCACGACGCCTCCCAGCTTGTTCGCAAGCCGGTCCATACATTGCTCGCCTGCAACGTGATTTAGGTCGCTCTCCTCCTGGTCCAACTGAGACTGTGGTTAGCGGGGCGGGCATCCATTAAGGGGGTCCCACAAAAGTTGCGTACATCGTCGGACGCCAACCATTCAGCAGCGTCGTCATCATCTTCTCCTAAATCCGTCATGAGACTCAGGCACTGGGTAATCATGTCGGTGGTGTAGGAACTGTCCTTCTTGCAGATTGAAGGGGCATAATCAGCAAAAGTAGCCATGAGTTCGAGCGCGTTCTGCCGGCAGAGATCATTAAGCTCCTTGTCCTGGATAACTGAGACGCTGAATACGACCAAGTTATGGAACAGCGGCTTGAACATCTTTGGGGCCGTCTCGGCGAGGTCGATCAGCGCAACGAGTGACTTGCTGAGATCGGCCGAGTCTTGAGACTCTTTGATGGGAGGCAAAATATTCAAGACCTCGGGGAGAAGGCCGTAGTATTTCACCTGACCCTTCTTGGACAGGCTGCGGAAGAAGGCCGCAAAGGCTTCCATGGCAGCGAGGCGGACCTGGAAAGTTATCAGTTGGGCTTGTATCGCAAGGAAAAGGGCAAAGGCCGCATACGGAAACCGAGTCATCCTTGAACCCGCGAGTGAACGCCTGGGCCACGGCGTCCTCGTGTTGCTTTTCGATAATCCCAGGGGTGGTGGTGAAGACACGGAACGCCGTCTCTCGCTTCCCAGCGTCAGGCGCAATACTAAGCTGGAAGAGCGCGGCCAGCAGATCTGGCCAAGAATCGTCTGTAGCCCGTGTTAGCATTGCGCAGTAGGATCACGAGCTGCAGTGAGAGACGGACTGTTCTCGGAGTATTGCCTCGCGATTTCGGCGACCGCATCGCTGATCTTATTGCGAACTGCTCGGTCAGACTCTGATGCGAGTGTTTCCAGCAGCTTTTGACGGATCACAGCAGCCTGATCATTGCTTAACGAGATGAACGTGTCGACGCTATCCGAGGTCGGCATCTTTCTTGTTTTAGAAGCGATTCGGCGGAATATGACAGCTGCGAACGAGCGCATCTGGGAAAAGAAGTTGGTCAGATTTCCTATGAGTGTGGCCGGTCAAGAAGACCAAGAGAGGGGTTCGTTGGGTGTTGCGGCATACTGAAGCATCCGTGGAGGCGGAAATCTGTTCAGCGAGTCCCATCAAGAGCACCTCGGGTCTCGCATTGCTCCAGTTGCTCTGGAGATGCTCTTCCGCCTGAGACCGGACATTGTTGTCGGCGGACTGGAGAGCCTGCAAGAGCTGTGCCAGCTCAGCATTGACTTCGGGAGGAAGCATAGACATGATGGGAGGCGTCAGAGGAAGAGGATGTCGTGAAGCTAGGTCGAGAAGCGGGCTAGAGAAGCGGACTGGTGAAGCGGAATGGGGCGCCTCGGCGCAAAACGCGTGGGCACAAATGCGGACGAGTTCAGAAGCTCGGAGCAACCAGGTTTCTTGCGGCCCTGAGATTCAAGATGACCATGCACGCGTGAAGACGGGCCGTTGCGACACAGTTTAAACTTGAAGACGGATTTGGACACAGAAGCTAAGGCAGAAAGGGAGGGTTTGCAGGAAATTAGGTTGTCAATATTTTGTGAGTTGAGTTGCGGCGTGGAGGGGTTGACTTTTTTATTAGTGGCATGAGAAACATAGTTACTAGCGGAGCCCAGCTGGCGGGGCCGAGACCCAATCCATTTTAGGTATTTCATTGAACCTTCTCACTTGCGTTCCCAAACGTTGCTACCTTACGACGGAATATCAGTTGGACCTTCTTTGTCTATCCAATATTCCCTTCCTTCAGTTTCCCACCGTATCGAATTCCAAATGATAAGGTACCTACATCTGCGACTAATACCATACCTACGGTAAGTAGGGAAGGTAGGAAGGATGGAAGTAAGGTGCAGGCAACAACCTACCGAACCTACCTACCTACCTACCTCACCTAACAGACTCCCCCGCAACCTGCACGAGGATAGTAAGATTTTGAACCAGTAATGTACTTCAAGACTTCAAGAAGTCATCGTGGAATCCGATCTGTGCAGAAAGCCAAAACTCCGCTTCCAGCGTCGGTGCCACAATAGGGTCGACATGGACAACGTAGGAGGAGCACGGGAAATTCCCGTTCGCTGGGCAATGCTGCCGCATCAGGCAATTAACTCGAGGCACCCAGGTAAGATGATGGAATGCAGTAAGCACAGGGAAAGCGCAGAAGGAGAGGGGGTCCTTGTCCAAATATGCCTTTACACGTGTACTTGCCAGTTGCCACTACTCTCTATATGAGTTAGATCAGTTATACGGATAACTCCGATAACTCCCATGTCTTTTTCCCCTCCTTGCGTCAACAGGGGCTGGTCACCAGACCCCGCTTCGCCTTCCTGGAGCTGGATGGAGGGGTTTCTAAGCACGGGATCCTTGGCAGCTCGTAAGTCGTAAGTTGTAGCCCACCTCCGCCGTCACAAATACCAACCTGGAGACCAAGACGGTGTTGGCTTGATGGTCTGCAGCTCAGCTCTCTCTCTCCCTTAATAGTCAGAATATTGGATTTCCCCATCTGCCACTCGATCAAGTCATCTTCGCCGTTCGAGATCCATCCATTCCGCGGTCCTACATCATGCCATTCAACCACATTACAAGCTCATCATCATATTGCTGATCCATACGCCGATCCACCTTCAAGCTCTGCCCGCGGCTTATCCAACTCAGCTCGCCCAATTGCCCTCCTGTGCGTACCGAGAGAACAAAACTCTTCGCCGCTTCACAGGTCTCGCCATCGTCCTGAACAACAGTCCGTTCAAGCGGCCATCACCCACCAATTCCTCCTGCAATGGACCAAACAGACCCGTCCTCCAAGGGCAGAGCTCCGAGCAATGGCTCTGGCTCGGTTCCTACTCCAACGCATGCTGGTCCGGTTGAGCGATCTAACTCTCAATCGAGCCTCCACAAGGCAGGCCATATTGCCTCACATCGACAGAGCTTTGCCGAGAACCAGAGGCATCCGCCACCCTCCCCACGGTCTCAGAGGCACCCCTCCTTCACCCAACAGGCTATCCAGGACCTCTTGAACCACCCGCCCACTAATAGACTGCCGAACCCCCGTTTCGCAGGCCGAGACTGGAGAGACATCATGCTCGGTGAGCTGGCCTCCCAAGATGACGTCAAGTGGGTAGACATGGACACCAGCGTCGAGGAGGCCACCATGGTCCGTATGCCTATTTGCGACAATCCCGGCTTTGACTGACCGAGATGCTGTATTCTAGACCTTGCTCCGGAACAACCCAAACAACGTCGTGCTGATACGCGAGACCCCCTCGGACAAGAGTGCCGTCTCCACCTTTGACCACAGTGACCTTAATGCCTATCTACTTGTCGTCGTGGGGCTCGCAAAACCTGATGAAGAACACGCGCCCAGCTATAGCGATATCGCGGAGAAGGCCCAGGCCCAGGCGCCGATTCCCTTGCGGGAGATACAAGTGCTGTCTCGAAAGGAGGAACTAGTCACACTGTCCACCGAGTCTACTCTCGACAAGGCGGTGGAGATCTTTGGGAGCGGGATCCACCGTATTCTGGTTGTCAACCAAGCGTCAGAAGTCGTCGGCATCATTAACCAGTTGAGATTGGTCGAGTTCTTTTGGAACGAGAGCATCAACTTCCCAGCCATAGATAGGCTGTACGGTGCTCTCCTTCGTGACCTGCAAATCGGGTCACAGGAAATCATCGCCATCAAGTAAGTCGGGCCCGGCATTTCCTCCCTCGCCTTTGTCGCGATACGTGACATGCCATCTAATCACTTGAACAGCGCCGATGCCCCGCTCGCTGATGCCCTGACTCTCATGCACGACGAGGGTCTTAGTTCGGTCGCCGTCGTCGACAATGGACTCAACGTGGTCGGTAACATCTCGACCGCAGATGTCAGGCACCTTACCAGCGCGGCGAGCCTGCCCCTTCTCAAGAACAGCTCCATGCACTTCATCTCCATCATCCTCTCCGAGCGCGGCGTTGAGAAGGGTCGCGACTCTTTCCCGGTCTTCTACGTCAACCCTTACTCAACGCTTGCACACACGGTAGCCAAGCTCGTTGCGACCCAGAGTCATCGTATGTGGGTTGTAGAGTCGGCATCGCCCTCCCCAAGCGCGCCGGCCACGCCGCTCCTCACACCGAGCCTGCCACATTCGAACACCAGTCTCGGATCGACTCCAGTGACTGGTTTGACCCCAGGGTCTGAAATCTCCCCTAGAACCTCCACCATCCTCATCCCGTCGGCCGGGACAGGCTCGGGGCCACAGGCGTCACCGCTGCCGGGCCAGAGCTTCTCGTCGGTGCCGGCGGCATCTTTTCCAGGTGCCCACGTGTCTGGCCGACTGACAGGCGTGGTATCTCTATCCGATATCCTCAACCTGTTCGCTCGGTCAACCGGGTTGCATCCCTCGGACCCTGGCGAGCAGCGCGCGCGAAGGAGGCGGAGTTCGAGCAGTTCGGTGCGGCCAAGCTTGGACAGCGCAAGGGCTAGTGTTGATTATAGGAGGTGAAAAGGGGGTGTCGAGGGACGAGGGTCGGAAGCGAACAAAATTGGGGTTATGGATGGCACGTGGAGCTTTCAAGATGGTTATTGCTCTCTTTCATCACCCGTCCTCTCATTACCTGCTCATCGGAGTTCAAGGAGCGGAGGCGCGTACCTGGGTTTTTGCATGCCATAAGATCAAGAGTTCAGAGTTAGCAGAGTTGGCAGCGTTGATTCTCGAGGCTATAGAAGTTTGCTTTCTAGGAGCCTAGTAACAGCGGGTTTCGCCAACTCTCTCCCCTTTTGTCAAGTCGTTGGAGGGTGGACCGGGTTGCGGTTGGATTTGCGGAGCTGTTAAATTTGTTTAGCACTTCATCTAATAGCAGATCCTTGATGAATCCACAGGTTGCTCTTGCTCGTGACAAAATCCAGGGTCGTTTCATTGGTATTACACCTAGCCGGTCCCACGACAAAGAAAACCCGTTCGCATCGATCAGCTGAGGCTAAGCAGGCCACCAGCAAAACACATTCCGGACTTCGTGCAGGGCTGAGGAATTTGCCAATTCCTTTCTTTGAAGGCCGATTGTTTTAAACCAACGTAGTTGGGTACTCGACAATCCAGTCGAATAGAGGGTAGGCATATCACGCCTCCCCTTCCCCCTTCCCCCTTGCCATCCTACCAAATCCGCGGCTCCTACAGAGTACAAAGCCGTCCCCATCCACAGATTGCCCGATACACGAATATCCCGGGGATTCGTTGAGAGAGAAGATACGGCCCTCGATAGCCCCGTAAACTCGCAACCCCCCCCCCCCCCCCCCCTTCCGCCATTCCATTTCCTGAAAAACAAAAGGGTACGCGACAATAACCGTCCGAAACCAGCCAGCCAGCCACTACCCGAAAACGCCCTGCTTTGCCATTCGTGGGAGATAGGTATTATACAGTTATTAATGGTACAACAAAAAAGTAAACATCTGCCACAGAGTGCAGTGCAGCGGCCACTCAAACGTGGTGCCAGCTCATGTCCTCGTCAAAACCCATGAGAAGACACAGTTGCAACGTGCTGGATACTCCAGAACCGTACACCGCCGAGAGCGGAGCGGCGTGTTCTTCGTGTAGCCGTGGGTCCTCCTAGTCGACCTCCGAGCTCCGGCCCCAGTCTGTGTCGTTGTTGTTTGGTCCCTCCCCTTGCTTCCATTGAACATTCTCATTTCCGGTCCCAGTTCCGGTCACGTCCCCATTGCGCGACTCCTGCCCCGCGACGTATCCCTCCGCCCCGTCCTCGTCGTCGTCGTCGTCGCTCGGGCTCTCAGGGAAGCTCCCCGCCATCTTCAAGTGCTCTCCGGTAGCGCGCCGCCGCACCCTTCTCTGCCCCCGGTCGGCGGCAGCGCAGGGCATGTCCAGGCCCAGGCCAAGGTCCTCGTCGGCGGCCCAGCCGCCGAGCTCGCCGTGGCCGTCGTCGTCCTCGTCCGACCAGTCCCACCGGACAGGGATCGTCTCCCCTCCCTCGCCCGTGCCGAACACGTACCCGCGCCACTCGCCCGCCGCGATCCGCGCCGCCACCCTGAGCATCAGGTTGATCAGGTGCGCCGGCGGGGAGAGCAGGATCTCGACCGTCTTGTGGACGACCGCCATGGGCAGGCGCCGGACGAGCGCGAGCCGGCTGCTGGCGCTGCGGCTGGTCGTCGTCTTGGACCGGAAGGGCTGGCGGGGGCTGAAGAGGTTGGCGGCGGGCGGGAGGGGGGAGAGGGCGCGGCGGCTGGGGGAGATGCTGCTGCTGGTGGTCGGGCGGTGGCGGGTAAAGGGGCGGCGCGTAAGAGCTGCGGATGTTGAGGTGCTGAGGTGGTCGGTTTCTGGGACTGAGGAGGGAGATTGTGCTGTTTCGTCTGCTGTTTCGGCGCTGCAGGTCGCGAATTCTTCGTCTTGTACGGAGGGAGGCGCTGAAGAGGGTTCGTCTCGGCTGCCATCCGTCGCTGCGATGGTCTGGGCACCCCACGTCTGTCGGGGTGTTTTAAGGGATACTGTTAAATCTGGCGTATCTTCTTGACATGTCGTTGTCTTCTCCACTTGAAGATCATCCTGTCCGCATGGGAACACCGTCGGCGAACCACCAAGTGACAGTGGTGGTGAAAGGGGAAGAGGAGTGATCGGTGATGCCCAAGACTCGATACTGTGAAACGAGTCTTGCGACTCGGTGGGCGAATTGGATTCGGGAATCTCCACCTGCGGCTCGGGCTCTTCCGTCTGCATCACTTTGGACGGCGGCGTGGTCAGCAAGGTTAAGCGTGGCGGAGTAGTGAGAGCACGGCTTGCTTGGAAGCCATTGCGTTTGTTCGGGTTCGGAATCGAGTCGGCAGCTTCTTCCTGTGTCGTGGATAGTGTATTTTCACTATCACTAGCGTCTCTCTCTGTGTTGCTCAGTCCGACCACATCATCTTCCTGGGGAGCCCGGTCCGGCGTGTCCAGCTCCCCCCCAGTCTCCGGTGTCTCTTCTATAGAAATTTCTAAGTCAAGCTTGGAAGATGATGTTGTATCGTCCACAACCTTATCCTGACACTCGGTGACATTCTCGTCTGTAGAAACGCGCACGTCGTCCGCTGCTGGTGCCTTTGATAGAGGCGCTATGTAAACGGGGGTGACAGGAGTCGGCGGCAATGACACGAACGATTTTCCAACCGGTGTCCATGGGCGCATCCTCACGGGGGTTTGAGGCGGGTCCGGTAGGTCGACGGAAAATGACCTGTTAAACGGGCATTCTGTCTTCTCGAACCTAAGCACTTTTTCAAGGACTTCTCGTAATAGCAGAGCGAGGCGAATGTCTCCATCGTCGGCGACCGGTACCTCGATTCTCCAGTATTGCGGGCGTCGTATTTGAAGGACGTATTTGCTCGAGGCTTCGTCAACGCACCAGCATTGGCTTTTCGGTAGGATGGGTTGTAGCGCGGATCCACAGCTCAGGAAGGCAACTGATCCAGGTGCTCGGTAGATGCGAAAAGGACCTGTTCGGGGTGTGAGAGTCAGTAACAGGACATTGGGAGCTGGTCGACGAAGCATTGCGTACCGCTTGCGATGGTCCTCTCTAGCTGGGATGACCAGGACAGAGAGCCTGGTTCAACCTCAACCGAAGAGGTCGCTGCCTTTCCCGGGCTAAAGATGGGACGAGGTCCAGCTTCAAAGGAAACAACTTTGGCGGAGGGGTGATTATAGAGGGTTTCGACGTAACCGGCACCGGCTTGGGATGAAGAGCTCGGCTGTTGCGGGGCAGTCGACAATGTCGGGGCTGTGAAGACTCGGCGAGGGGTTGGAAAGGCCGAGCCGGGAGGCCTTGAATATGCCATAATGGCCAGATGCAGTCGCGAATCTCAACTAGTCCGGACTACGTTGCAGTCAAATGGGAGAGGTGTGATCATGGCCGCGGCGTCTAAGTCTGGCCTCTCATGCCACCCAAAGGTCAGGTCAATGGGTCGGTTCGTCTCGATTCCATTCACTTTAGGGATGTTTTCATCGGCGAATGACCGGCCGAGGGCATGGAGAAGTAAATATTTGAAGGGGTAGCGTCGGATTGAGTCAACCCAATGGCTTGAAAGAAAGCTGCTGAGTCTCAAGGGGGTGGTCGCAAGGACGAATTTGATGGAGGAGCTTGGACTGGCGCGCGCACCGCACCCGGTTTTCAACGCGGCTGGCAGCACCCACCCGCCCGCCGGCACGCTATCTCCGCGTAGCGAGAACTGTCGGGATAACCGTTTCTGGGCTGAGTTACGTGTTCTCGGATTGAATCACATCCCAACGCCATTTCCCACAACATACCATCTCTCCACTAAGTTCAGAGCATTGCCTTGGGGAAGCTCCTTCAACTGAACGTTAAAAGCGAACCATTTATACGTCAACTCCGGCTGCTAGGATTTAGCCAGGACGGAAACGCGCTAAGGTGGGTACCTACAGATACATATGGACATACAAGTGGCACAGTACCTGTGGCCGGTGGGCACGTGCGGGATGAGTAATCCTGACATCATTGCCTCCAGCGAACGGCTTCTCAACCAACATCGGCAACAGTGCTGATCAGCAGTGACCTGCAATCTGCACGCTAGTTTCCCCGGCTGTGAAGATGTCGTCAAGCCAGAAGCCGCATATCGATAAAGAACGGCTCAAGGAGAAGTTCGATATCTCCAACTTCGATATCAATGCCGTGTTGCGAGGTTTCCAGCTTACTATAGTTGGGGGTGAGTGACTGACCCTGTATCTCTAAATATGCCACCCACCCGCCCCGGTGAGCCGCCATGCCACTAACTATCTCTTGCAGCCCACAGAGCTCTACAGAACCCTACCATCTTTACCTCGAAGCACTACAGGCAAGCTGCTAGTGCTGTGGCGGCTGGCATTGCCATCCGGCTTGCCATTGCTATTCCGGTTCATTTCCAACCCACCCCACTTGCCTCGTGCTGTGCTCGTCTCTGACAGGGTTCCAGATTATTGGCATCAGGGTCTTCCTATGGATGCTCTCCTTCGTAGTCGACCTTGAGGCTGTCACTTGGGATGACACGCTAGTGGACGGACTTGCCTTTGTTGGCGAATATGTCCTGCAGGTTCCGCTTTTCCTCATGAGCCTGATGCGCTATGTTACGCCAACTCTGGACAACTTGTACGTTGGTCGGATGCTGCGAGTCAGAATTGTTACTGAAACCATGCAGATTCATGGACTCATTGCAGTGGGTCGATATGACATATGTCCAGAAGCACAAGGACGAGGATCCAGACAAGCTCAGGGACATGTACTACCCGAATCTCCGGCAGTACTCGGTCAAGGACGGCAGCACGCACACATCAAGCACAGCCCAGGCAGTTTCCTTGTTCCTGTACCGCTTCTTGCGCAAGGGCCTGATCTCACTCGCGGTATTCGGTGCTTCATACCTGCCCTACGTTGGCCGCTTCGTCCTTCCAGCCGCATCTTTTTATACCTTCAACAGAGCGGTGGGGCTTGGGCCAGCTTCGCTCATCTTTGGCGTTGGTGTCTGCCTACCACGGAGGTATCTAGTCATCTTCCTGCAGTCATACTTCGCCTCTCGGAGCCTTATGAGGGAGTTGCTCGAGCCATACTTTGCGCGAATCCACTTCACCAAGCAGGAAAAGCGAAAATGGTTCCACGACCGAGAGGGCATTTTATTCGGTTTTGGCATAGGCTTTTATATCCTGCTCCGCGTTCCGCTGCTTGGCGTCTTGATATACGGCATTGCTGAGGCTTCGGCTGCCTATTTGATCACCAAGATTACCGACCCGCCGCCACCGCCTTCCCGAAGTGCGGGTTTTGCTACACGGCAGCAGGTGTGGACAAACAAACATGAGTTCTTGAACCTGTCGCTTGCAGATCTGGATGCTCTCCTGGATAAGCCCCCTCCGTACGAAGCTGCTGATCCGAGCCAGTCTTCACCTGCCAAAGCCGTACATGGCAAACTCTGGGAATGATTCCGTCCGACGCTGCGTTTTACAGGAGCGTTTCCGACCGGAGTCTATTGGCCCCCGAGTGGAACATTGGGGAATAGATTCGTTGGACCACATATCAGTCGCAGCGCATCATCGGGTGAAGATGTGAAGATGCACCCAATAAGAACCTCTCAGACCCATGAGTCACTGATCCCAAGTGCACCTTGGAGGAACCTGGAGAAGGGGCCTGGAAAATAGACCTTAGATCTCTGTCTTGCGACTGTATCGATACAGATACCGTACTTATTTAGGTACTGAAGAGTCCAACATCCATGGGCGTTCACAGCATATATAATAACCCGCGGTGCTGGTGTAGAGATACGTTCTCGGTGCGTATTGAATTGGATTAGAGGAGCAGATGTAGGTTTAACAAGAGAGCAGTCATGAGAGAGATCCACCGATTCCTCCCTGTGTATCCTATCTCACGACAGACAGTGATAACACAACTGCCGCAATCAATGCCTATATTCCTTGGCTTGTCAATCACCACGACCTCCCCCAATGACCGACATGCAACCACCACCATGTGAACAACCCCATTCGCAGAGGGGCACTGATCCAAACGCCCAAGCGGAGGTGATATGACGAATTCCTTACGTACAGGGGTTTTTGGCGTTACGTCGATCTGGGCTTGGTGGTGCTTGGCTTATCACTCTTATCGACGCCATTTGTCCAAGGTGAAGGCCAAGTGCGGGGGACCGTTGATGACCTGCTATTCTCGGGTTCGTATTGATAATTGTTCTCCTGATAGACTGATAGACCTCTGTATGCATCGTTCTAAAGTCGTCGGGCCGTCATCATGCGGGGTAGACTTCGTAGGGAAAGGAGATATATAAGTATGTGACTGCGTCGTTCGCACTGGAGAAAAGGATTCTAGTGATGTGAGATAGGTATACAACCAACCCTTCATTGACTTTCCACCTCCCCCTTTTAAGCAAGTTGCAGCTTCTCCTCGTAAACTCTTAACAGAAATGGGCAAGACGGGGATCCGCACGGCAGCAAAGGTATCCTTCGACAAACCAGCTGCAGACCAGCCGATCCTTCATGTAGGGCACCCATGACCTCCTGATCTTATCCCGACTGACGCCCGATCACAGAACAGGTGGCATCCTGACAGTATGCCAGACCTCACCGACTCTCTAACTGTTGGCGACTTCATGTGCTCATCAGATTCGCAGTTCCTTTCGCTGGCACCATCAAGGATGGCGAGACCGTGAAGATCGAGTGTCTTGACTGGTACGAAGACCCCCTACCCCTTGATTTTAAAGTGTTCCAGCCCCTGACGACATGCCAGGACCGGTGGCCAGATTGGCAACAATGACTCGGCCGACGATATGCGGAACATCGACCTGACCAAGGTCCACTACCTAACCGGCCCCTTCGAGATCGAGGGGGCTCAACCGGGAGATCTGCTGCTCGCCGAGATCATGGACGTCCAACCTTTCCAGGACCGACCATGGGGTTTCACCGGCATCTTCGACCGGAGCAATGGCGGAGGTTTCCTGGATGAGATCTACCCATCCGCGTAAGTCCTCAACCGCACGCACCATCTAGCCATCTTGACCCCCAACTGACCCATCCCCCTTTTCCTCCACCTAGAGCCAAGGCCATCTGGGATTTTGAGGGCATCTTCTGCACCTCTCGGCACATCCCGAACGTCAAGTTCGCGGGGCTCATCCACCCGGGCATCATCGGCTGCGCCCCGTCGGCCGAGGTCCTGGCCACCTGGAACAGGCGCGAGGGAGAGCTGATCGACGCCAACAGGCTGGCCGACCGCGAGGTCGCCCTCCCGCCACAGCCGATCAACGTCCACGCCGGAAGCGCCGAGAAGGGGGTCGCCGAGAAGGTCGGCAGGGAGGGCGCGAGGACCATCCCCGGCCGGCCTGAGCATGGCGGGAATTGCGAGTGAGTGTTTTTTTTTTTTTTTTTGGGCCAAAAGACGACCCGGGAAGGGGGGCCACTTCTTTGATGATGGCTCGGGAACCTTCGGAGGAGAGACTGGATGTGCGTGTCTCGAGCAGGACTGACGTAGGCCTCAACAGTATCAAAAATCTCAGCAGAGGTAGCAAGGTCTACCTCCCCGTGCATGTTCCCGGAGCAAAGTTCAGTGTTGGAGACTTTCATTTCTCGCGTAAGCTGGCAATCCCCCCCTTCCTGTTGTGGTCTCAGTTGGCCCGCATTAACCGCAATGGACACCAAACAGAGGGCGACGGCGAGATTTCCTTCTGCGGCGCCATCGAGATGGCCGGCGTCATCACCATCAACTTCAAGGTTATCAAGAACGGGATGGCGGACCTAGGGCTGAAGTCCCCGATCTACATACCGGGCCCCGTCGAGCCGCAGTTCGGCCCCGGCCGCCACATCTACTTCGAGGGCTTCAGCGTCGACGAGCACGGCAAACAGCACTACATGGATGTCACCGTCGCATATCGGCAGACCAGTCTTCGTAAGTTCCCCTCCCCTCCCCATCGGTCCCGATGGGTGCCGGAAGTCTGACAAACGTGCTCCATGCCAGGATGCATCGAATATCTCCGCAGGTTCGGCTACAGCGACTACCAGTCCTACCTCCTCATGTCGTGTGCGCCCATCCAGGGCCACGTAGCCGGTATCGTCGACATCCCGAATGCCTGCACCACCATCGGTAAGTGAAGGCTGTCGGTCTGACTGGCTGGCTGGGCATGGATCAGCCTGCCTTCTTTGCGGGTCCGGATTTTTCAATGTGGGCTACGCTAATCCCGGGTCAGGCCTGCCGATGGACATATTCGACTTCGATATCTCGCCGTCGGCGATCCCGGCGAAGAAGGCGGATAGGGGAACTTGTGCGTTCGAGACCGGGGTCAAGGAGGGCAAGGTCACGGCGGGTGGTAAGAATAGCGAGCACAGCTTTGGAGGAGGCATGACGTACAAGGAAGGCGTTGGGAAGTAGGTCAAGGACGTTATCATGGGAAAGTGCTGAAGGTCCAGCCAGGTCTTTTTCAGACGGCCGATTTGGAATATTTCTAGTACCAGGTAGCCAACACGATTGTTCTTCCCGAGTCCTGACTTGTACGCCTGTGTCGACGGATATTAATTGCCAACACGCACCGCCCTCTCCTCGATGTAACAGAAAAGGGGATAAGGGGTCCCGGAACCCAAAGGAGGTGAACGAGAGCCGATGGTTAGAGGCAGACAGCCAGAAGCTTGAGAACTGAATTCAGGCGCCGACCGAAATGGCCTCCTCTATTACCGTCTTGACCAGCCCCTGCCCCAAGACCCTTCAGCTGTGCTGTTCCTCACTGTCGAGGCCTCGCACCATTTGCTAATCTAACCTCATCAACATCCATTGCCCCATCGTCATAGCATCGGCGTATGAAAGGGGGCACTTACTGGCCGAGGTGAGGTTCTCTGATTGATCTCAACAATCGACAGGCAGACAGGCCCTTATCTTGGGAGCGCGCGGCAATTGCAAGGATAACTCGACCCATTCCATCACCCAGGACAAATCCGAACAAAAGCCAGAAGCCCCATACATCTCCTCGACGGTGAGGAGAACCGGCTCACTGGAGCCATATCCCAGTTGCGCCTTTCCCGGTCTTTCCCACCCGCCCTCGCGCAAAACGAAATCCAAATGGCGAGAGTCCGTCCATCTAAACAGCCTTGGTCAAACTCATGGGACCAATCGCAACTCCCAAATCGTACATCCCCGAGTCTTCAGGGAGACTTCTTTCCCCCGGCCGATGCTGCTTCCGCCGGCCCCGTGGCAAAGATCCTCTTCTGGTCCTCTTCCGAGAACATGGTCGTCCCTTGCTGCAACGCGTGGATGAGCATGGCAATTGCATCATTGTTGAAGTCCTTGGCGTTCCGGACTTGGTCAAGGTCCTCTGAGAATTCCTTGGTTGCTCTCTGGAGGTAGTAGGACCTGAACTCTGAGGATACATCTGCTTGGGCGGTGTTGCCCGGGGTGGATTGGTCGGCGGCCATGGTGAGAAAGGGAGCTTGGTTTTATGGAACCAGCGCGGAACCGCAGACGGTATGAGTATGATGTGCTGGAAGCCGAGGGAAGTATGGCGTTTGGAGTATTAAGGTTGATTTAATTCTGTCGATGTCGGTAAGATTTCCTGACTTTTTTTCATGTTCATTTTTTTTACTGCCTGCCAAGCTAAGACGAGACATGTGAAGAAGTAACCAGACCCGGATATTGCCACCCGGTTCCAGCTGGCATTACATCACCCCGATTCCATTCTCATCACCTCGAAGCTTCACGTGTCTCTGCTCAACTTCAGCAATTGGCCAGTCCAAACTCGATAACAACGCCTCCTATACGGTCAAATCGCCGACTATGGCCGGGAATTATTGCCACGAGGCCATTTGGAAACCATGAGTGCTGCATCTCGGAAATCAGAATTATCCAGGCACATCACTCACACCAAAGATACAATTAGAGGACATCATACTGTGATCTGCCCTGAATCACGTTTGCCCCCAGATTCAAGATCTACATCAGCCTCGTCGCGGTCACGTCGTGTCTGCTATCATGACGTCAGCCCTGGTAATGATCTCTCTCGCACCCAAAGGAAGGCTACGTCCGGACATCCACTGTCTGGCCATATCCCCTTAATAGCTTGCCCAAATTTGATGTAAACCATTCCATTCCTCAGCCATCAGAGGACCCAAAAAAGAGAGCAAATATGCCCAGCAACATCAAGGACAAAAACTCGGAGCCCATCAACGAGGGCGACCATGTCTGGACCAAGATCCGCGGGGGAAGACACGAAGGGGATGTGCAGAAGATTGTGACGACGGAGGCAGAAGCGAAGAAGGAAGGCGTCAAACACCCGCCCAAGGTGAGCGAGGGCCGCGCCCGAGACAAGAGCATCGCCGGGGCTGTAATGCTAAACTGCTTTTCTGTGACAGGTTCTCTTCACGGATCAGCACGGTCATAACGTCGCGCATAATCCGGGCACGCTCCAGCATAAGGACAAGGAGTGAGGCAGTAGAGTTGGTCCTGGGCTGGGAAAGACGGTTCGATGTGAAGCTCGTGGGAACTTCGTGTTTGTAATCATGAGGGTAACGAATAGTGCACCGGTGTGCTCTGTCCTACACCCTTGGAAGATGGGTCATGAAAGGAGAGAGGAGGTTTAGCTACAACTACGAGCAATGCTGCTACTTCTACTTCTCCGAGATGAAGACGGGACTAACGATCACGCCGCAATACTTATGAGAAGGATAATGAGCAATTGCGAAATGTGTCACCCCAAGCCTATCTACCTGCTTGTGCTGGAGGCTACCTACCTCTCCATTTGGCGGATACTGTGTCAAACCTTTCAACCCAATCCATTCATTCGCAGGCCGTCAGCTTGTGGCGGCTTGGTTTACCTGGTCAATTCGGTAGGCAACTGCCGCGCCTGTCCGCGTGCCAACGCGGTTGTTCCAGAGCCCCGGTCAGTCCCGTCCAACAGGAGCTACTACCACAGTATGCAGTAGAGTTGCATCTCGGTTGAATAGCCGTGATAGACAGACATGACGCCAGATAAGTTACGGAGCTAGAATCAACAGGCTAGCCGTGGTTGGAAGTTCTCGCGAGGTGCTTGTGGGTATTGGCATCGACTTGTCCGCGGATATGAAATGAAGCATGGAGGCAAGTATAAAAAGGATTCTTCGATTCCCCTCGTACTACCTCCAATACCAAGCTTCCAACTGAGATGTCTCAAGTTCGAGCCGGAGAGACAGGCTGTCGAAGCTCCTCGCCAGCAGAGTGGAGAAGCAAAAGGGCGTTTGTGTCCCGGAGGGTCCGCTTCCGGGCCAGCACCCGGTCTCGTCATCGGGACCCTTTATTCGGGACTTCCAGAGGACCAGACGCGCAGTTTCTTCACGTGGCAGGTGCATGTGTACGGGGGTAAGAAGTTGAGAGTGCGAGGGTACTGCCGCCGGCCATTTACCCCTGATGCCGACTAAGCTCTGCAGAAGAGTACAAGGCGTACTGGAGAGCGAGTGGTCAAGAAAGGGATCATGCGTAGATAAACCGACACATTCCCTCTTGGAGATCAAAACTTGGTAAGGAAGCAGCGTCCGAACCCGCTTGGTGTCTTTGTCGGCGTTATGGGAAAGCAATACATGTCAGCTTGGCGTGCTTCTCCTTGCATTTGGAAGGGAGACATTAGGGGCATCCTGCATTGGAGGCATGCAGACTTGAAGCTAAAGTAGTCAGACATGTGAATAGGAGGAGGCATGCGCAGCCGAGACCTGGTCTACTGGTAGAACCGTCTTAAATCTAAGGTTGAGGCGTAGAGCCGGACGGTGTCTAGACCCAGGAACGAGCGTTGGAGACAGCCGAACATAAGCCTAGCACGTGGCCTACCTAACTACCTTAGGTAGGTAGACATGCGTGGCATGGGAGCCTTTGTGCCGCTACTCGTTGGATATTCTCCTGAGCGTATCAGCGGAGGGACTTTCATACTGCCCAATGTATGTAGGTATCTACTTATACCTATCTAAGGTATGTATGGAGTCGCGGATCCGCTCGCCAGCAACCGAACCCTATCCCGGAGGTCGGTGCGGCCCGGGATCGACGATCGGGCAGCTTTTGCAGCGGTTCCCATCTCTGCTTCTTCTCTCTCCTGTCCCTTCCACTTCTCTCCTTGAACCAATCTCCGTCCAAATTTTTGTTGCACAGCAGATGACTTGGCAGTTGGCATACATACCCCACCGCTCCTTGGCAAATCACACACAAAATCAATATTGGGGAAGACGATGATGTTAGTCATATAAAAAAGCAAATGTCTCTCCCTTTCCTATCACTTCTGAAGGAACCTGGAGAATGGTGTGCAGTGAGATAAGATGCGTCTTACGTCCGTACATATTTTGGCGTGATTCGGTAGGGCCGACGCTCGGAACGGCAACCCGGCGAAGATCCGTGAGAGAGGCGAGGATGATGAAAATTTTCAATTCCAAGCATGCTCCAAGAGTTCGCAAAAACTGCCGATCATGAACTAATTATGTGCTTGGAACAAATTTAGACGAGCACGAGAAGACACTTGGCACGTCTTGTTGTTGTACGGCGTGATAATAGGTAGCAAGACTGGAAGCTCTGCACGTGGAGGTACTTGGGATATCGTACTGTGCTGTGCTTCTGCCGGAACTCGGCACGCTCTGCCCTGGCTGATTTCAACAATACCATAAAATTCTCCAGGTGCGTCCGCCGTATTGGTACGTAGTGTTTTCTGCAGGAGAGGCTTTGTTGACCGTCTCGTCAACACCAAAGTATATGCTGCACAGAATCGGGGTGATATTACCCCCCAGATGGTGCGAGACAAGCGAGGATAGGCAAACTTTGATTTCCAGGGTATCCGCCTCCCTCAGCCGGAGGCTGAGGGAGGCTGAACTTGCGGAGGCCTGAAGAGGTAAGAGCTGAAGCCATGCTGCAAGAGGAAGCTTTGACCCCATGCTATCGCGGCATTGGGACGCGGTCTCGACCCCTTTGGACTCTCGATAAAAATGTAAGCTGTAGGGGTCCCAAAACAATGTCGTTCACGCCGAGTCCCGCAATGAGGACTAAGCCTTCTCGAACTTCTCGTTACCGACTGGTCGGGATTGAAGCTGCAACCGCATCGCCACCCGTCTCGACACCCCGTCTCGATTCTCCAGCCTCTGGTGAAGCCACATGATTCCATGGCAATTGAAATGTGAACCCCTTCCCGGACGTGCCTGCGACTTCGGGTTAGCCAATCCCGTACTTTCCAATAGTCCAGCTGCGTATCTTCCCCTGCTCTCAACCAATACTTCTCGATTTCCCCGTCGAGGCAAAGAACGAGGTCCCATCTCGACCTCATTCCTCATCGAGGGGTAGCATCACAGCAGAGGCATCCCGATTAGTGACGGCTGTAACACACTGAGTCCGTACAGTACCTGTTGGTACGGAAACACAACCCCGCAGATGGCAGACAGACACGGTGTGGAGATGTCGCGATTCTTGAAATACACAGGCTCGTCCTAAAGAAATTGGCCACTTCTTCTCGTCGCATCGATGATGCGTGAACATGACGGCACAGTGCGGAGTTACATGCAAACCGGGAACCGGCAACCCCCCCCTTGTAAGTTGTCGAGGGTCAACCATTGTTCCCCATCAAGGCATCTGGGTGGGACCTTGTGGTAGTTCCTCTCCACCTCAAAGCGCTGGACGCGGCCAGTGAAAGCTCTTCCCAATCCGTATTCTCACACATGAGCGATTCCACTGGACCAGCTTTCTCTCGCTGGCCCGGGTTCAGCCTTCAGGAGGAATATTCACACCCTACATTTAATCTAACCATACCTTTAGTTATACGCTAGAAGGCGCCAACTCGCTCCCCGCCTTTGCGTGCTTCTCCCGGCCACTGAACAGCTCCATCAAAGTGCAATCCGTCCCTGACCGCCCTTCACAGTCAACAAAAACTCAATTCGTGGGTTTCAAAAAGGAGATTCGTGATCAGTCGAGGGGCGTCTTATCGCGCAGGAACATTCCCGCAGATGCAGTGACCGCCGACGCTTCTGCCGCGGAATCCTCACCTTGTTAATTACCGCCGTCGCCACCCACCTCGCTTTTTATTACTTGCTCGCGCTCCCGCCTGGCCCAGGAAGACTCTCACCCCAAGAGGGAGAAGGGACAGCCTTGCCGAGTCAGGGTCGGAAGACCTCGAGCAGAGCGACATCAATCCAGCCCCTGACTGCCATTGAAATACCCAACAATTCTTTTGTTTCTTTGAACGCGATCCTTATGGTTCTGGTTTACCGACCGATACCCACCCAACAACCTCAGACACACAGAATCGCCGAAACAATGCCGCCAGAAGCAGAATTGGCCGCGGCGCCAGCTGGAGGTAGCACCTCCAGTGACTTTGTAAGTTGGATATTGCGCGATTCGTTGGAGTCTCAATGGACTCGGGCATTACGCTAACAGGTAGACAGGTGCGCAAACTCTACAAGTGAGAGCCCCTCGTTCGATACGCGACTGCCTGCCTACCTACCTACCCAACCCATCGACTTACTGACCGAAAATTCGAATAGAATGCTCGAAGATCCTGCATACAGCTCGGTGGTGCGGTGGAGCAATGAAGGAGACAGCTTTGTGGTTCTCGAAGTACGTTACAGGGTCCCCCCCGTCCTCCTCATAAACAGTCGCCAGTCGCTGGCGGGCAAGATGATTCGAGTCCAACCTGACTGGTTCCAGAACGAGAAGTTTACCAAGAGCATCCTACCAAAACACTTCAAACACAGCAACTTCGCTAGCTTCGTGCGACAATTGAACAAGTATGACTTCCACAAAGTGAGGCATAATGACGACAACGGCGAGGCGCCATACGGCAAAGATGTACGCTACCTTGGAACATGCACCGCAAGAGCTGGGCAGGATGGCTAATCGCGCAATTCAGGCCTGGGAATTTCGACACCCCGAGTTTCGGGCTGATAGGAAGGACAACCTAGACAACATCCGGAGGAAAGCGCCAGCTCCGCGAAAGCCACAGCAAGCCGAAGAACCATTCCCAGCCACGCAGCAAATAGCTCTCCTCAATGACCAACTCGTGGCGACCCAGCATCAGGTCCAGGCGTTGCAGGAGCAGTACTACGAATTGACCAGCACCAACAAGGTGTTGGTAGGCGAGGTTGTAGGCTTGCAGAAGATGGTCAAGGCGCAGAGTCAAGTTGCCAACGAGCTAATTAACCACCTCAGCAATGTTGACGACAGGAGACGTAGCAGTCGGCACTCGGCGCATTCGAGCCACTCGAGCCACTCTGGCCCCGGGTTTCACTCCAACAACATGGGCGTGTTACCCGACGGTGCTGATGAACCTGCCGCCGAGTTGCGACGAGCGCGCGAGATCCTAAACGGCGTTTCACCCGACTCGCAGGCGGACAGGAAGCTAGAAAGGCTAACTGTGGGCCACCACCAGACCGGATCGCCGCCCGACTCGGCATCGTCCTCCGCAATGTTCAGCCAAGCTACTGCAGCGCCTCAGATGCCGTTGATGCAAGATCCCCTCAACGACATGAGGCACATGGTGTATCCCGTGGGCCAGACAGCCGGTATCGACCCATTCCACTCAGACCACATCCAGAACATCCCGTACAGTCGTCCTCTCAGTAATCCGAATGCTCTTGCCGAGGCCCCACCACAGATCACCCCGCCGCCAAAAGATCCCGGGGGATCATTATGGGGCTCGAGAAAGCCGAGGATCCTGCTGGTCGAGGACGACAAAACCTGCGCGAGGATCGGTTCCAAATTCTTGTCGCACGTCGACTGCAACGTCGAGGTCGCTGTGAGTACGCCTGTATATTGCAAACATGCGCGGAATGAGAACGTCGAGCTGACACCTGCCAAAGCGGGATGGTTCGGAGGCTGTGAACAAGGTTAATGCTGAACCCGATCGTTACGACCTCATCTTCATGGACATCATCATGCCCATGTTTGACGGTGTCTCGGCAACGGCGTGTATCCGGCTGGTAGCGCCTCGTGTGCCAATCGTGGCCATGACGTCGAATATTCGACAAGAAGACATCGCGACCTACTTCCACTGGGGTAAGTCATCACCGGTCACCCGAGCAACCGTCTATTGATATCTAACCGCATCCAGGCATGAACGATGTTCTGGCAAAGCCATTCACCAAGGACGGGATGGTTCGCATTTTGAGAAAACACCTACCCTACCTCCTCAAGAACCCCCCACCCCCAGGCTCAACAGCGGACGACATGCCTCCGGGTGTGGGGCAACAAGGGTCAGGTCCTCCTCCATACCCGAACTCGGCCGGCGGGATGTCCATGACACAATTGGCAGGTCCAGCGGCCATGTCAAGCGCGGGTGGACAAATAAAATTTGAAGGCACGCCTATCCAATCGCCGGCAACGACCTCCTCTTGGCACTCTCCTAGCCAGATGGCGCACGCGTCGCCCACCCTCGAGAATGGCGGGTATATGAACGCGGTAGGGAGTGGTTCGGGGATGATGATCACGCCGGGGGGGACGCAGAGACCTCAATATGCAACCCAGGTGATGGCGCAAGTCGGGACACCGACCTTGGGCCGCATGCCCGAGGGCCTCGCGGGAATGGCCGACGACAGACCGGAGAAGCGGCAGCGGCTATACGGCCCACCTCAGGGAGGATACCCGCAATGATCATCTTGGGAGCGGAAACAGGCTCTCTAGCTCCGAATCGCGCCGCCGGGGTTGGCATGTCATTTCGCTGGCCTTTTTCTGAGGATTGCGCTTTTCCGATGCTCCGCTTCTGTATATTCACATCTTAGGGCTGGCCGGAACCCATTTGTCCTGCCTTGCACCTTGTCCATACCATTTGGCGGAAACAGGCGAGGGGGACGGTATTTGGCTGGCTATGGTTATTTGGCGTTGGTCCCCTCATCAAAGGACATGTTATGAACGGCGGTCGTGGTCGTCCACCCTTCAGGACCGGTATATACCGTGGGAGATCTCGAACGGCACACTGAAATTATGGAAAACAGGAGGAGGTGGGGGTAATGGAATCTTTCAAGAGGGGCGCTCGCCTTGATATATGAACAGAGCTATTAAACGACTTTGAACCATACCATTTAGACTCGGGGGATGAAAGCCAATGGTTTGTCAGCCTTAGGACAGTATTTTTTGCCCAGCCCGGCGATGCACCGTGGCCAAACCATATAATAAAAGTTAATGGGATATCGACCGAGACTTGCATTAGGTGACGTGAAAAGGGGACCCATGGACCGTGGGTGGTTAACAATTCCAGGGGTAAGCGGATACAGTTTGTCCTTGTGGCCGGCCACCACTGGCATTAAGCAATTCGGCCAGGCAGCCCTCGAGGCCTTCAAACAGAGAAATGGTTCCGAGAACGGTAGAAAGGGAGTCAGGATAAGCGGTTGGAGGTAGACAAAGGACCATGGAAGTTGCGAACGTGAGAAAGAAAAGGACGGACAGAATATCGATCTGATCCGAAATAGCAAAAATTGGGGGGGGGGGGGGGGGAAGCAAAAGCGAAACTCGGCGGAGCGGTCACGACAGTTCTTATTTAATGCAACGGCTCTGCACCCCAAGACCCAGACCGGCCCGAAGGGCGCTCCACAACCAATCCCGCCCTCGTACACGCCCGCGATCCTGCAGGCCTGGAAGGGCTGGTCCGCTCTAGGCCCCCGGAAGCTTCGGGGGAAGAAGGGGGGTCCCTGGCCCTGGGGGCGTGGGGGATTTTCTGGGGGACGAGAGCCATTGGGGCAGGGGAGCCACGAGTCCGCTTTCGCTGGGGGAAGGAAAGGAGCGGGGGGGGGGACTTGCAGGCCCCGAAGGAACGGGACGGGAAGGTTACACCGCCTGTGGTCAAGACAAGGCTTGTCTTGGAGTCAAGTGGTCAGCCGTCGAGAGCTCAGCTGTGATTCCTGAGGCGGACCTGCTGTACGCAATGGGCGACCTGGACGAGGCGAACCGGTTGCACTGGGGATTCTTACACTACCCAGGCTGCAGGCGGGCAGGTGAGGTCCATATGGACAGGCAGGTTGCCAAGCGAAAGGTATGGAAGGTAGGTACCTAGGTAGGCTGTGACGCCGTCCAGGTACCTTCCCGTACTCGGCCGATCGTTGGTCGGGGTTGAATCCACCTGCCCTGGACGGTGAAGCCTGGAACGGGGGCTATTGCGTTCTGGACCCTTGTGGCTGGTCCCGGGGTCCCCAAGTGGCGTGTTGCCGAGGCTTTGTGGGTACGCCCATGTACGCCCACCTTTATGTGTACCCAAGTACCTACCTAGTGAGCTTCGTGCCTGGCCCTAGGCCGCTGGAGCTGATTGATCATTTTTGGCGGGTAGGCAGGCATGGTGACGAACTGGCGGGCTCTCGAATAGCGATGAATTCTGTGCAAAACAGGGCAGTTCCAGAGGCTCAACAACCTCCACCAGATGAGTGAGTGACTTACTAGTGGGCGGGCGGTGCAGTTGCGTCTCCCAACAGTATCCGTAAACAGCCTCCATATAAAAAGGCTACAGCAATTTATACTCTAGGAGAGACGAAGAAATGACAGCTTAAGGTTCAATTGCTGAGGAGACCTTGGGGAGGTACCTACACATATAATTCTCATGAGAGATCAGATCAGGGGAGAGCATGCATGTGAGGTTCTACCGATGTTCTAGGCCCTGTCCATCCCGCGATCGACCAGCTTGGCGACAGGCCTCCATGTCCCACTTTTCTTAACAATTCTTGACCGCAGCCTCAGCAACCATCGAAGACCAATTAAATAGCAAGCGAAAGGGGTAAAATAGGGGCAATCCAAATATAATGCGTATGCAACCAACAACGTCTTAGAAAAGCCCCTCTAACAGTCGAATATCTAGCATTATAGAGAATAAAATAGTTAAGCAAATACTGGCATGGAAATATTTAGGAGGTCGAAAAGGAGAGATAAAAAAAAAGAATTTAAAGATAGAAAAAGGATAAAAAAAAATGGAGTGGTGGTCAGGATCGAATGCCTGCCTTCAGACGAGACCCAGAGGTGGCTGTCGTAGGTGCGGCGGTCAGCATCACATCCGATATCATTACACCAACTCCCCTGTTGTTATTGTATATGTCACTTAATTTTCTTTATCAACCCTTGTCCAAGGCCAACTGACGAGGAGCGTTCGTTCCCCGTGACCCGATCTCAGGTGAATATTCCTCCGTTCTGATGGTGACTCACTGTTTACCACCAGATGGACGTGGGAGAAAGCCAAGCAACATAACAGCAAAGTGAACAAATCGTGAGATTCTCAGCGTCATAGATCCCCGGTAGCTCCCACATTTGGCAAACCTGGGTTTGTCTCCACGGGACACAGTCATCAAAATGAGAGCCGAGCACCTAGGTTGGCCTAGGTGTTGAACACGAGTAAATTCAGGTGGACGGCCACGTATATGCCATTTCCCCCTATATTCACACCCATTTGATATTCAGCACAGCTGCACTAACATAGAAGTTCCGAATCAGCCGCGTCATAAAACGGAAGGTTTTGGGTAAGTACCTGCAAAACCAACAAGGCCCATCCGTCAGTCATAGAAGATTCCCCTCCTCCTCCTCCTCCCCGACGCGACGACTGCCCTCTCCGGAGCCAAGTACCCCTCAAAGGTGTGCGTTCTATCCCCGACAACGACCGGGCGGCGGGGACGGCGCCCAGAACCCTCATCCCCAACGAGACCGGAACGACGGCAGCTCGGGGATAGCAGGAGGCCGCCGGCGTCCAGCGGGGCGCTGCCGCCCGATGCCATCCTCGTCCCCGCGGCGGCGGAGCCCGAGCCAGGCCAGGACGTTCCGCAGCTCGCCCATCCACCACAGGCCGAAAACGATGACGACAACGGTGACGGGCACGGCGGTGGCCCAGTAGACCCACTGGTTGAGGTCCGTGTCCCGGATGTCGGCCGTGTTCATGCCGAAGATGCCCGCCACCGCCGACACGGGGAGGAAGACGATGGTCACGATGGTGAAGGCGTAGATGGCCATCTCCTGCCGGTCCTTGGTCACGTCGGCCTTGTTCCTGTTCTGCGCGCGTTTGTTCCCGTCAGCTCCAAGGCGTCGGTGCTCCCTCCCGCCTGGGAAAACATGGGGCTGTCCATGGTGGGTATTACTTACATCCCGCTCAAGACCCCTGGCGTAATATTCAAACTCGCCAAACTCGTCGGCTCGCCGCTGGAGGAGCTTTATGCATTCCGTGGCGAGCATGTCGCGGAACCCGCCCCAGTACGTCGGGCTCAGTTTGTAGAACTCCTGCGGGTTCAGCACCGAGTCGTTGAGCGTCCAATTGTCGTCGTAGTGGCGATCATTGGGGGCAGTAGTGCGGTACGTGGCGTCTTCGACATGATAAACCCTGCTTCTATCGCTAGGCCGTCTGTAATATTCTATTTGCTCGGGCCTGTGGACAACGCTCTTGGGGGCGCCTTTGTCCATGGCACTGTATCCCGGGCTCGGGTCGTAATAGCTCTGTGGCCGGCTCGGTTCGCGCGACTTGTGCCCTTGATACGAGCGGCTTGTGCCTCGATCCACTACCTGCGTGCCGAAAATGTCTGCCTGAGTGCTAGAGGATGTAGGCTTGGGTGGGGTCGGGTAGAGAACACTACAGATGTCGACCTGGTAGTCCAAAATCTTCCTAATCACGGAGATCTCTTCCTTGAGAAGATTGATACGTTGCTGTGTATACCGGTCTGATGGTTTTGTCGTGATATTGGAGTTCTGGAAAGCACGTTAAATAAATGATCCATGGTGGAGCGGCAGGTTGCGTGTGCTTACAAGAGCCTTCAAATATTCGGAATATGTCTCACATATATCGGGAAGCTTGCCGGTCATGTCTTTGAACAAATTGAGGCATGCCATCGAGACAATATCCATGGGTAGCAGTGCAGCTTGGTCGAGGAGTGAGTAGCTGGGTAGCCTCTCGACGACCTGCCTCATGCCAGTCTTGATGAGGTTTTCCGCGTTGTCAGTATGGATAATCCAGACATCGATCTCCAGCGTGCTGTAGATCAGACCCATGAGAAGATGCAGCCATGCTTTGATGAACTCGTCTGGAATCTTGACACTGGCCCTATCCTCGGCTCGTGCGTGTGCGAACAGCTTCTCGAAGGACTGTATCGGCTGCGTCAATTTCCTCAAGCACCTCCTAATCCCGGGAGCATTGTGCAGTATCGCGTCCGATTTCCTCAGCCTGGACGATTCACGGCGACCAAAGCCACGTTCAGGTTTGGCCGAAGACATCTGCGCGAGGGTCAGTGGCTCTGCCCTGTTTCGCTGGCCGATTTCCACTCACTTCAAGCAGGTCCCGGATAGCGCCCCAATACTTCCCAACTGTCGGTCCCTCGTACACGGTAGGTAGAAAGAAGCGAAAGACTATATTTGCAGCGTTAAAGATATCTATCCGCTCCTCGTAGTCTTGTTGCTTCTGAGGTCGATTCTTAGCATTCCCTACTAGACTTGCCTGTTGCTCTAGATACTCGAAGCTCGAGAGCCTGGTCACTTCACCACAGTCCCGATAGGCCTTCTTATCAGAGAAGCTTGTCTTGTGCTTCAGGTAGTCGTCTACCTCTTGTATATGGCTGGTGAGGGCATCCCGATCAATGGTTGAGCTGAAATTTCCAGAGAAGAGTTGAACATCCTGAAGCCAAGTGAAGACGTGAAATGTATCGTTGGACGAGCCGGGGAGAGTTCCGGACTCTGGGTGCAGAACTGTTTTGGGGACTTCCTTCCCCGTATTAGGCAGCTTGAGGCCACCCGTCGGCTCTTCTCCATCTTCGCTCGGGCGATCAGCGTCCTTTTCGCCGGATTTGAGTATCCCCCGTGGCGGGGGCTTAGGAGGGTCGCTATTCCTTCGTTAGTAGGATTATCTCCATTCTGTCTGGACCATCTCCATACGTAATCTTGAGTGACAGCGTGATTTTGGCGTGTCTCGCGAGGTTGAACTTTGTTGGCCATTCCTTCTCCGTGACAGGTCGATCATGGTGGAAGAATTGCAGAGTCTGAGGCCAGAAGTCATGAAAATGGCCGAGAAAGTCCTTCGCTATTGTATTAGCAACAGTGATTTGCTGTTCCATGGTTGGATACGTAGCATGACGTACAAACCAAGTCTGACACTCGCTGAGCGGGAAAGACCACAGCACGGCCTCGCTGAATGATACGAATATCCTTCCAGAGCCACCGGGTCCTGCCGAGTCCGACAACTGGTCTGGCAATATCTTGATCAGGTCTCCTCGGAGAGCGGCCTCATCCATGTTTCCGCATGTGAAGAGGAGGGCTGTTGGAGGAAAGAATGTGTCAGTGAATCTGTTTTTGGCCATTTATTCACAATCACTCACAGTCATCAAGGACAATGCACCACAGTTGAGAAATATGGAAGCAAAATTTAGGCGGTACGGTTCCCATCTGACAGACAACCTGCCTCAATGTCTTGCTTTTGAGAATTGCCAGAAAACTGGGCTTGCCAGAGTGTCTGGTTGGGATACGTCGCCGGATTGTTCGTGGACTGGAGCCCAGAGTATTCCTCGAGGGAGAAGTAAGGAATGCAGAGCCAAGTGATGAACCGGTTCCTTAGAGTCTGCGACTGTTGGTTATTGTCAGGCGGAAGAGGCGACTGCACAGGTTTCGGTTGCATATATTTGACATGCGATCCATCAGCAGTCTGCTTGGTTTTGGAGCCTCTCTTCACTTCAGAAAGGAGCTTCGCAATGACATTACGCTCCGTATCGTGGAGATCAGGATGGCGAGCCACTTCATCCTATCGACAATTTAGCTCATCGAAGATTCAGCCGGGGGGAGACCCACCTCGACTCACCGAAAGCTAGTCAAAGTCCAGGATAGTCTGCTTCAAATGCCTGCCAAGGATTTGGGTATTAGCTTGGATGGCGATGTGATTGAGGGAGAGAGAGAGTCTGTGATCTGTGACACGTACATCCACCGAAAAAGCGGCTGCCGTTCTTTCTTTGGGTCATGAACGATAGTCAGCTTAGCAGAGTGAGATCCGTCCAGGAATGCATCTCCCGTGTACTGAGACTGGTATATCTGAAAGGTCTGGGTCGCCCTCGGAACCTGCGAAGTCTCGTTCTTTGGCGGTAATTCTTTCGATCCCATTGGCGGTGCTTCGCTATCAGACCCATTTTCCGACTTGGAACCAGCATGAGACGATGATCTCGACGGCGTAAATTCGTAGACTTTGTGAGCAATGAAATCCTCGTATTCGCCCACCTCGACGCTAGAGAGACTTGGACTTCGGATCCTTGACCTGCTGCGTGATGAGCGCCCAAGGTGTATGTCGATCGGGCTGTAAGAGTCGGAAGAGTAGCAAGAGTCACCCGCCGGTTTCCATGTGGAGTCATTTGTGACAGCCGGATCTATACGCGGTTCTCGGCTTCGGTCCTGGGACCTCTGAAGATAATGTCTCATTTCCAAGTCGATTGAGTCTTCTCTCGCCGTGGGCTGGAAGCGGGATCTACCAGGCGATCTGGATTGTGAACGGGAACGGGACCGGGAACGGGACCGAGAACGGGACCGAGACGGTCGCCTTGGGGGCTCGAATACCCCCCCAATCCTTCGGCCAACATGCTTTGAAGGTCTGTCCTCATCTTGGTTACCTTCAACCGCAGAGTCACGTACAGGTGCACCGGCACCAGAGCCGGCACCGGCAGCGGGAGGAGACGGAGACGGAGACGGAGACCTCTCCGACATCTGCTCAGGCGAGGAGGTGGTCGGAAAGTGTGGCGGAGGCCTCGGGGTTTCACGGTAGAGGTAGCTCGGCGGCCTGTCACGGGCCTCCCCATCCCAATAGTCCACGGGTCCGCTTCCTGACTCGCGGGTGCTCCGTCGCCGCGGCCTAAGACGTGGATTGTCGTATACATAAGGGCCGAATCTATAAGGGTCGTGGTATGCTGGTCGAGGGGCCGTACGGCCGTCGGGAGTGACGTAGTAACCACTGACACCAACAGGAGAAGGCTGGTAAACGTACTCATAGTGAGAGGGAGGATTACTCCTCGGATGAATGTAGATTGGGTCCCCTTCAGCAAATCTCGCCCGCGGAGGAGGGAAGGGAGGGTCAATGGAGCCGTGGCGAAGGATACCACGTCTCCGCTGCCGTCTTATGTTAGGGTTGTTGACCGTGTGGTGCGAATTAAGACTGACCGGAGCTTCAGGGTTGCCAAGTACTCTTTCGACCCGGCCGACTCTCTCGATAGTCGGGACTCTCGTGCGGATATGCCTCAGTCCTTCAGGAATTGGCTGGTCCTGATTGTCCCCGGATCTTGACCTTGGCCCAGCGCGCCGAGCCGGGGGGTAGAGAGGTTCGTCATCGTCATCGGAATACTGGCCGGTCATGTTTCTTGCGCTCCTACCTACGGGTAATTACCTCGGATATCTCACGAAATTCTACAATCTGGTCGCCGAGTCGAGATTCCATCCCGCGAGTATAGCTTTGGGAAAACAACTCATTTCGCGTCCCGGCGGATTTGCTTACTTTGTACAGCCAATAATCACAAGCAGATGCACATCACCATGGGTAATCTGCACGTACCCATGCTACTGCGCATTTCGCTGGCTCCCCAATGGAGCCATTACATACCTAGTAGACACACCATATCGACGGTGTCACCAGGGGTTGTGCTTCGGTACATTGTCTACGTTGTCGCCAAACTGCCTAGAAGAGGCAATATAGAGATGAATAACCAGCTCCGCTTCGAGTTGAAGACGGCAAGATGACTTTCGGCGTAAAAGGTGGGATTTCTTGGCGTACAAAATTGGGCAATAATAAGGCTGCACCAACATCCATGGCTTGGAAGCCGTGACAAACGCCACACCCGTCTGTTCCGTGCGAAACCGACCCCGCCTTACAGTCTCCCCAAGGTTCTATGTCAACCCCGCAACCGGATGTCCCGTATTCTTGCTGTTTCCAACCTTAAACCCTAAACCAACCAAGAAGTAAGTAAGGCAAGGAGGTCGTCGGGCTCGATCGTCTTCTCCCGAACGCCAATCCTCCTCGCTGCCGCCTCACTTCTTGGGTTTTGCTCTATTCCCTTTCCATCGATCTCTCCCCGATTATCCCCGCTGCACACTTGCAATGGCTACCGTTGAGCATTGTCTCTACTGCTTCGAGGCTCTAGCCTCGCACCTTGAGGACCGCAAATCCATGACCCTAACCGAAGTCCAAGAGTCTTGGGCGGAGTACCTCAAGGACACGGGTGACAAAGCCAAGAAGCTCGCCAAGCGCCTACCCGCCCTCCAACGCCTCGCTACCGATGACTCCTCTTCTTCCTCCTCCTCCTCCTCCGCCGCCTCGAGCGGTACCTGCTCGCCCTCCACCTCCAGCACTCTTTCGCTCGCACAGTCCGGCTCTGGCGCCGACACCCCGGCAACCTCGATCTCGTCGCTGTCGGTGTCGCCGGCGGCCCTCTCGGAGCACCCGCTCTTCGTCACCTGGAACACGGTCTCCTCGCGGCACGGGAACTCGCTCCGGGGCTGTATCGGCACCTTTGAGCCGCAGGAGCTGGAGGAGGGCCTGTCGTCGTACGCGCTGACGTCGGCGCTGCACGACATGCGCTTCAACCCCGTGTCGGCGCGCGAGCTGCCCTCGCTCGAGGTCGCCGTCACGCTCCTGACCGACTTTGAGGACGCGGCCGACGCCATGGACTGGGAGCTCGGCACGCACGGCCTGCGGCTGAGCTTCCACTACCACGGCAAGAGGTACGGGTCGACATACCTGCCGGACGTGGCGAGCGAGCAGGGCTGGACCAAGGAGGAGACACTGGTGAGCCTGATGAGGAAGGCTGGGTGGATGGGGAAGCGGGACAGCTGGAAAGACGTTGACCTGAAGGTGGTCAGGTATCAGGGGAAGAAGGAGAATGTCGAGTACGCCGAGTACAAGGCGTGGAGGGACTGGGTGAAGAAGCAAGGGGTGGAATAATAGAGACGGGGAAGTGGGAATCGAATAGACGGATGGGAACCCGGCGTATCGAGTAGCAGGGAGGGCAGGAATCCTTTTGGCGGCGTCCATGGTTGGGGAACCTCGTCTGACAGCGACAACCTGCTGTGCTAGGTCTTGATTTTAGGCCAGGGAATCATTTTTGAAATCTACAGAGCTGGACACCTTAATGGAGTCCAATACTTGAAATCAGTGAAAGCGCACTGTGACCTTTTATTACTCGCATTTACAAGCAGCAAGCAACGGCTGTTGACACACAGTATAAAGTAGGTGGGCACCTCACCGGTTGCACTGCTTCCACTTACACCACCAAATACAAGGATAATCCATGGCATTGTCGGCTTAGACCGTCGAGAATGGGAGCTTCTTCAACCGACCAGGTTGCACGACATAGAGGAGGTTGGAAGCCCAGCGAGGACCTAATTACCGAATATGTACAGCCAGAAGCCCGATAAATAAAGCTCTGATCTTCAAAAATGAACCCATTCCATCCCAGACGCCCAGATATCCCCGGATATAATTTTGACCTTGAGGTGGTTCCTCTCACACGCTGCAAAACAAACATCGAACATGCCTCCTTCAGCCGGGATAAGTAGGGATGGCCGATCGAGCCTCGCCCCGTCCCGGCATGACTTCCCTCACTCAGAGTAAACAACCGAGTCTCTCGTCCCCCGTCGACACACGGTTCATATCGGACCCGCCCATGAACCAACCACGCGTTCCTCCAAAAGATCGACCAGTATCTAACCCATAATAAGCTCAGCTCGCCTCATGACCACCAGACCCTCTCATACCCCCACGAACCCAAATCTGACCATCCCAAGCCCCCAATCACCAACACCGCAGCCTCTTCCAGAACTCTGCCGGGCCCACCTTCGCACCCCCGATACTCGGCCCCCTCATCCTGTGGTGCCCACCGGATCCCTTCTCACCACCACCAGCAGCGGCAGCACCAGCAGCGGCCTTGCCGCCGTCAGCAGGCAGCGGGGTGAGCGGCTTGGTGATGCCGTGCCTGTCGTCCCCCGCGGCGGCGCCGGGCTCGAGGACGCCCAGCTCGGCGAGGCGGCGGGCCTCGACGACGCGGCGCACGATGAGGGCAAAGGTCTCCTCGATGTTGACCTCGAGGCGGGCGCTCGTCTCCATGAAGCCGCAACCGTGGCGGCGGGCCCACTCGAGCCCGACCGACGCGGCCACCTGCCTGCTCTCCTGTAGGTCGCACTTGTTCCCCGCGACGATCTTGACGGGCGAGACGGTCTTGGCGCCGGCGGACCCGGGCACGCCGGCGCGGCGGGCGCGGGCGGCGTTGTCGAGGCGCGTCTCGGCCTCCATATCGATGAGGTCACCAAAGTGCTGCAGGGCGTCGAGGCTGTCGCGCGAGGTGATGTCGTAGACGAGCAGGAAGGCGTCGGCGCCGAGGTTGGACGACGCCCACATGCCGCGGTACTCCTCCTGGCCGGCCGTGTCGGTCAGGGAGAGGTGGTAGGTGGCCCCGTCGATGCGCCGCGTGATGCTGTAGCTGTCCTCGATGGTCGGGTCGTACTCGGACGTCCACTGGCTGCGCACGAGCCGGAGCGTGATCGACGACTTGCCGCACCCGCCGTCGCCGCAGATGGTGATGCTGATCGGGATCGGCGGCTGGTGCTGCTGCTGCTGGTGTTGCTGCTGTTGCAGCTGCTGCGACGACGACGTCGAGTGCGACGGCGTGTGGGGTGTCGTCGGCATGCGCGGTGTGGCCGGTATGCTTGGCATTTTTGGTTTTGTTGCCGAGCGCACAAGACCTGGGGATCGGATGCGTTTGTTTGTTTGTTTGGCGGTCGTCGTATCTTGACTCTTAACGGTGCCTCTAGAAATGAGGTTGGCGGGGAGAGAGGATCGCGTACGCGTCGCGTCTTGGATTCCCTCTGCTGTTCTTGTGTGGATTGCGTTGGTTTCAGAGCCAAAAACACCACAAAAAAAAGATAGCACCCCGAGGGTGATATTTCACTTTCTGGCGGGGGCCTCGCGACACGTGGAACTGGAGTTTTCAGAGGAATGCGAGGGCCGCCCAGTTGGCCAATGGAGCAGCAAAGATGTCGCCCTTATCCAAGAGGGAATGGTGAGACAGGAGGCCGTCTGTGAGGGTGGTGAGGGGTTGCAATGCCGGTCAATGATGGTGGGAATGAAGTTTCTCGTGGTCGTGTTCTGGGCGGATGGATCACCCGCGTTGACTGTCAATGCGACGCGGGGTTGGGGCCCGGGACCTTGGGGTCGTGGCCTCACGCGCTTGAGGGAAGTTAAAAAAAAGAAAAGGGGTTTCCCAAGATTTCCGAAGCCTCGAAAAAGTCAGCAGTGGCAGGTAGGTCAAGGTTTGGGAATAACAACACAATCAGAGTCGATGGCTTTGTATGTGTACGACATCGGCGCGGTATTATCAAGGCCAGATCCATCACAGGAGCGCCATCGGCCATTCCGGGCCCCCTGGATATCTGCCCCTATTCCTTCTTAATATATTCGGTTTTTTCCCCCCATCCCCTGCCCTTTCCTTTCTCCTACCACGTATACATAGTACCTGCCGTTTCCAGGGTCCCTTTTCCCTCGCGTGCAGCTTGCAGCATCATCCATGGCCCGTCCATAACACATCCTCAACAGGGCAGGATCCCCGCCCAGAGCCATGGGGGATCTTCGCGGAGGGACTTTTTTTTCTTTCCAAAACCCAGTTCTGATGAAAACACGGTACAATCGAAGAAGCCCATGCCGGAGAACATTCTTCGTGGGATGCTGTCAAGCCCCAGCTCGGTGTGTCCTCCTGTCATTTGCTAGCGTCCTGCAATCTATCGTCCCTGAGAGGCTAGGACTACCTAACCAATCAATCCCTGCCGTCGTCGCGTGGGAGGTGCTCCCCCAGGTACCTACCTAGAACATTACCAAATCGGGCTAACTAATGACCGGCCCGCAACACCCCCACCATGGAACTTTTGAGTCGACTTGTGAGTCAACTGCCCCGCGTTGATTATTTTGCGTTCCAAAGACGAAAAGAGCCGCACTTGTCTAGGTTGTCGGCCACGGTACAATTGTAGCCAATCCAGCCCTTTAAATTGCGGCAGTTGGAAGCGCCATGGCGAACATGGAAGCGCCCGAGAGGCTTGCTCTCATCCGTGAGAATCTCATCGAGATCCTGAATCCAGAGATCATCGAGAAGATCGTCGCCGAGGGGGGGCACCCCAAGATCTACTGGGGTGAGCAACTTGAACCTCGATCCTGTCGCTAGCAGTGTTCCTTACAAAAGATATACTGACCCTTGCATGATCAGGTACCGCTACTACAGGTCGCCCTCACTGTGGTTACTTTGTCCCCGCCATCAAGATCGCCCAACTGTTGGCTGCCGGCTGCGATATGACCATCCTCCTTGCCGACATCCACGGTTTTCTCGACAACCTAAAAGCGCCCTTGGAGCTTGTTGCACACCGCGTCAGCTTCTATCGACTAGTTATACTCGCGATTCTTCAGGCCGTGGGGGTGCCGACTGAGAAACTCCGGTTTGTGCAGGGAAGCTCGTACCAGAAGAGCCCAGAGTATGTCATGGACGTTTACAAACTGTCGTCTTTGATATCGGAACATGATGCCAAGAGAGCTGGGGCCGAAATAGTTAAGCAGACAGACAATGCACCTTTGTCTGGCCTGCTTTACCCTATCCTCCAGGTGAGTCTAGTTAAGCTGCCCAGCCAGATGATCGCATAGCCTCAGGACTCCATATTGATTACTTGGACAGGTCCTTGACGAACAGTACCTAGATGTGGACGCCCAATTTGGAGGTGATATTATTATGACAACGAATTTGTCGAAGTTTGACCTAACCAACGTACTCTAGGTCTTGATCAGCGCAAGCTGTTTGTTGCTGCGAAGGAGTGGCTACCCAAGATTGGATACAGAGAGGTAAGTTTATTTTTACCATGTGCACTTCCGGTCAATCTGGACTGACGTATTGTAGCGCGCCCACCTAATGAACCCGCTAGTTCCTGGGTTAAAAGGTTCGAAAATGAGCTCTAGTGACGAAGGTAAGAAGATATCTCACAGTTATTCCCAAGAATCTTTCTAAGAGCAAACAGACAGCAAAATCGACCTCCTAGATTCTCCAGAGGCTGTAGCAAAGAAGATCCGCAAAGCCGTTGCTGCTCCTAAAGTTGTCGAGGGAAACGGTCTCTTGGCCTTCGTTGAATACGTCCTTCTTCCTGCGTCAGCTTTGCGTGGAAATCAAGGATTCCATGTTGACCGCGAACGAGATGGACTGGAACCACTGGTCTATACTACGATTGCCCAAGTCCACGAAGACTACAAGAATGACGTGGTAGGTGCTATCTGTTCCAAAGTTTGTGTGCTATTACCCTAACCGACTCTCTAGCTGTCACCTCAATTGTTAAAGGGTGCAGTAACAAAGGCCTTGAATGACCTGCTGGCGCCTATTCAGGCAGCATACCAGGCTTCAAGCGAATGGCAGGAAATAGCACTGAAAGCATACCCGCCGCCGCCGAAAAAGGAGAAGAAGGTCAAGAACAAGGGCACTCGCCACCCGGGAGCTAAGGAGGAATAGGTGGCCTACTATTCCAACGGACTTTGGGGAGGTTGATTGACTTGGGAGGATGCCGTGAGTCGTCATCATTCTGCGAGGCCAGGCAGGCCAGGGCCAGGAATGTACTGCTCCCAAACACCCTTCATGAAATAAGTGATCAATCAGGTTCGGGTACCCATGCACATGGCGATAGCTTCACATATCCTTTTTTGGTAGTCCTCGTAAGCGAAAGTTTCTGTCTTGAAAGCCACCATTATTTGCAGGCATCGGATAATATTGACTTGGAAGTCCAGGGTTCAACGGGCCTGACGCAGACGAGGAGCAATCCGTAATTCCGTTTAGCATCTAACAAAATCAGGGACCTCCCCTGTTTTCAACACTCTAACCCCTTGCAGGGTACCTATCAAGGTACCCTACAGCTTAGGTACCCATCCGGAAACGCGGGAAAGCGGAACCCAGAGTTCCGGTTGTGGCGCCAATCCACATGTATGATTTCCTCTGCCGTGCGATCACATGCGTCGCGTTGATCAACATCAGGGAAGTCGCCTCAACTTGCTCGCTCAGGATTTCCCTGATGTCAATTTCTGGCCAGAAGTGAACAGCGAACAATGTAGCAAGTGCTATTCAAGCTCCTAAAACGCTGCTAACCGGATCCGAGAACGCCAACCGAGTAGATGGATCAAGTCAATTGGGCCAAGATGAGGTCATCTGGAGAGTTCCGGAGCCGGAGCTGATTGGAAATCTCTGAGCCGCCTTTGAGCTCGGTATTGCGCCCTATTCCCACGGCTCTCATATAGCGCCTTTTTATTTTATTTTTAATTCCTCTCTTCCCGGGAATTACCATGGTATATTCTTCATATACCAGAGCCCTGTCATTACCAACTTCTCTTGGCTTTCCCCCTCTGAGTTCTAAACCCGCCCCTCTCTCCCTTTAGTTTGTGTTTGTCCGGCATCATGAATGGTAACGGTGTCAAGAACGGGGTTCATAAGCAACCCGAAACTCTCAACAGAGCTGACGAGGTCGAGGATGTAAGTTACCCGGAGAGGGGTTGGTTTTGTGAACGCTCCACTTGTCCAAAGAGCTATCGTAGTGACCGAAACTGATGCAGAGCCTCGCCAAAGCTTATTGATGCAGTCAAATCCATAATAATACCTTTTATTCGTGCGGCGGACGAAGAGGCGCCCTATAAAGCGACGGGCCAGCCCTCACTCAACGCTCAGGGCCTCTCAAACAACGTCCTAGTTGATGCGTACCAGCCGGAGAAGTTGGTGAAGCAACTAGCTCTCTCCCTGCCAGAGAAGGATGGCCGCGGAAGAGACGGTTTGCTCGAGACGATCCAACAGGTGCTGAAGTATAGCGTCAACACATGGGATCAGGGGTTCCTAGACAAGCTCTATGCTAGCACCAATGCTGTAAGCAACCGCGCGGGGGACGATGTTGTCATCCCATGCCCGGAAAACTGATAGCTAATTTAATCAGGTTGGAGTCGTATCGGAGTTGCTCCTTTCGGTACTCAATACAAACGTAGGTTCAGCCCTACAAGCCCCACCTCGGGAGACCAGACTAGAAAGCTGACATGGAATCCCCCTCCTTAGCTGCATGTCTACCAGGTATCGCCAGCCCTCACAGTCATCGAGAAGCACACGGCCCGCGCCTTCGCCAACCTGTTCGGCTTCACTGGCCCGCGGGCGGGCGGCTTCACGGCGCAGGGCGGCAGCGGGTCCAACCTGACTTCCATCGTCGTAGCGCGCAGCGCGCTGTACCCCGAGACCAAGACGGGCGGCAACGGGGGCCATGACTTTGTCCTCTTCACCAGCGCGCACGGGCACTACTCTGTCGAGAAGGCCGCCGTGACCTGCGGCCTCGGCTCCGCGGCAGTGTGGACGGTGCCCGTCGACTCCGCCGGCCGCCTCCTGCCGGCGTCGCTGCGCGAGCTGGTGGTGCGCGCGCGGGCCCAGGGCAAGACGCCCTTCTACGTCAACGCCACGGCGGGCACCACGGTGCTGGGATCGTACGACCCGTTCGAGGAGGTCTCGGCCGTGTGCCGCGAGTTCGGCCTGTGGATGCACATCGACGCCAGCTGGGGCGGGCCAGCCGTCTTCTCGGCCCGACACGCCCACCGCATGAGGGGCTCCCACCTCGCGGACTCGCTGACCGTCAACCCGCACAAGATGCTCAACTGCCCCGTCACGTGCTCCTTCCTCCTGGGCCCCGACGTCGACGTCTTCCACCGCGCAAACACCCTGCCTGCCGGCTACCTGTTCCACGCCCCCGAAGAAGCCGACCAAGCCACCGCCGCCGCCGAGCCCGAGGTCTGGGACATGGCCGACCTGACGCTCCAGTGCGGCCGCCGCGGCGACAGCCTCAAGCTCGCGCTCAGCTGGATCTACCACGGGGCCGCGGGCCTCGGGCGGCAGGTGGACGACGCCTTCGAGCGGGCCGCGCAGCTCGCCTCGGAGCTGGCCTCGCGCCCGGACTTTGTGCTCGTGTCGTCGTCGCCGCCGCCTTGCCTGCAGGTGTGCTTCTACCACGCGCCGGGCGGCCGGCTCTCCGCCGACGGGGAGGCGAACACGCGGCGCACGAGGCTGATGGTCGGGATGTTGGTGCGGAGGGGGTTCATGGTTGATTATGCGCCGGGGGGGGAGAGGGGGTCGTTCTTTAGGGTTGTGGTTAATTGCCAGACGCTGGCGGGGACGGTTGATGGGCTGGTTAGGGCGCTGGTGGAGGTCGGGAGGGAGGTGGTTGTTGAGTGAGGGGTTGGGTACGTTACCCCCTTGTTGGATAGGGGTTGGATCGTTGGGTATATAGTAGCGGAAGCGGTTGAATATACTCCCCTTTTTCATGTCTTTGGGCAGTAGCTGTTTCCCTGTTTCTTTTTCGAGTCACGGCGGTGTATTCCGGTCTGTCGCAATGGTAGGAATAAACCAGAGCCGCCACATATCAGGAGGTAAATGTCTTGTACGAATTTTATCAAGGGTGCATACACTAATAAGGCGGGAGCATAGGCGACTTCTTAGTCCCGTGCGACGTTCTTTTTATTCCATTCTTGTACGGCGACTTGGGAAGGTCATAAATGACTACATAAACGAGCGACAGAAGTTGAGATGTTGATAGTGAGAGCATGAGAGAGGATAGTACCCGACATGATATATATCCATCGTTCCTCGCAGCATCCTTAGTTACCGTTCTGCGACTTCCTGAGCTCAAAGACCTTGAGAGCCTCCTCGGCAGCCTTGACGCCGCTGAGAGCCATGGCGCCGAAAGTCGGTCCTTTGATCCCGAGTTAGCCTCTTTCGTGTTTCTTCCATTACCTCCCATTACGTTGTTTTGTGGGGGGGCGAAGGGGGGCGTGCTCTTTCTTACCCATGCGGTTGGCTCCGTCGATCTCCGACAGCTCCATGCCGCCGACGATTAGGCCGGGGACGATCTCGCGCGTGTTCTTGACGATGGCATCCTCGGCCGTCTGCATGTCGAGGCCGCGCATGCCGCCAAGCTGCTCGAGCTGCTTCATGCTGACGAGGCGCTTGACCGAGAAGGCGCCGAACGGACCTGGTTTGATGTCAACCCCGGGGCTCGTGGAGGCAAAGGAGAGAGGAGGGGGGGAAGCTTACCGTCGTGGCCGGTGGTGGAGATGACCAGCGGGGCATTGATGGTGTTGGGGTCCATGCAAGACTGGTCGTCGTGGTGCATCGTGACCAGGGTCCAGTTGGTGACGACGCCGGCAATGCGGACGTCGGCGTCGCCCTCGGTGGACTTGCGGGTGATCAGGTCCTCAACGGCGGTGGCGTTGAACAGCTTGATGTTGGGGAACTGCAGCACCTTGGACAGCACGGTCGAGGTGAAGAGGGCGGCGTGCTTGACGACGACAAAGTCGCCCTCGTCCTCGAACGGCACGCCCAGCTCGTTGAGGAACACGTCGGCGGGCTTGCGCATCACCATGGCCGAGAACAGCTGGCCGCCGAGCCAGGCGCCGCCGCCGGGAGAGACGCTGGCCTCGATGACGGCGATCTTCAGGTCGGGGCGCAGCTTGCCCAGCGTGTAGGCCGCGCTGAGCCCGCAGGAGCCCGCGCCAATGATGACAATGTCCGACTCGGCGTACGAGTCCAGGTCCGCAAAGTAGCGGCGAGTCATGGCGCGGGACACCTGGCTCTCACGGATGGGGGCGAAGGTGAAGCTGTCCCAGTTGCCAAGCATGTCGGCAAGTGACTTGCTCAGCCCATCGTTCTTGTTGCTGGGGACACTCTCGGTGCCTTTGATATTCTTGGTCACGAGGGGGACCTCGGAGTGAGGCTGCTCAGAGATGGCGGAAGGGGCCATTGTTGTTGATGATCTGTGTCTGTCAGACGCACTGCCATACTGGCTAGGGAAAGGGGCAAAGCATGATCCTTTCGCTGGTATTATCCAGATCAAGTTCGAGGCCGTATAATCTCAGCCAGCCTCCCCAACATGACAGTTCCCGAATAGCCACAGCCACGACAGCAAGTGGGTAGACGGGGGCGTGTCATGATGGGGAGGACAGGCACCGGCTCATGCATTCAGATAATTACCTGAAGATGATTGATCATCGCGGGATATAACACCACCGAAGGACTCCATGGCTTCGACCGTGGAGGTTATGTACCGGACAAGTTGTCTGTCCCGTACATGTCAGTTAAAAGCTTCGAAATGGGGGGGTTGAAATTAAGATACTTGTGTGGGTGAAAGTGATTGATATTCTGGCTGTCTTGGAAGGCAGTACTCGGATGAAAAGAGTTACGAGAGGAAAGGAGAGACAGAGGATGCCAACGGGGAGGGGGGGGTCGAATTTATAGCTCTCCCCGCTCCAATCTCGTTAGTCTTTCGCTTGTCGACGTACCAGCGCGGGCGGATTGGAAAGCGGTGACGATAGGATGATGCGCTTAGCCCCCTATTGCTGGCTGGACCTCATCCGATGCTGCTTCTTGTGTGTGTTCGGGTCCATCAAATTGATATGCAGCCAAGCTCGCGGTTGGTCAACGGATATGCAACTTGGTGAAACCCCCACACTAGATCCCGGGATCGGAGCGGCTTATATCGGGATATAACGAAAGATCGGAGTCCCCCTTTAATTATGCCGGAGAGCAACTCCTAAAGAAGTCCCTCATCTCCTGGCTCCCAAACATGTCAGCCACTTGCGCCGCCGTGCGCCCGCTCTTGTCGACACAATCCAGCTTCGCTCCCGCCTCGACCAGCAACCTCGCCAGCTGCACGTTCGCCGCCATGGCGACCCGGTGCAGCGGCGATGCGCCGTAGCAATCCACACGGTTGACATCAGCTCCCTTCTCTATCAGCAGCCTCGCAGCATCCACGTTGCCCTCCCGACTAGCCCGGGCCAGCAGGCTCTGACCGCCTGCCGCGGACCCCGCTCTGGCCCCGTCCTCTTCCACCTCCACCTCATCGACGTCCGCTCCGGCCTCTACGAGCGCATCCACCACCTCGCCGAGCCCCCACTTGGCCGCCGCGTACAGGGCGTCCCGGGTTGAGAACTCGACGGGGTTCTGCTTGGCGCGGAACAGGATCAGCGGCCCCAGCACGTTGCGCCGCCGGTGCCAGGCCGCCACGTCGAGGGCCGACAGGCCGTCGGATGCCCGCACCGCGTCCAACCGCGCCCCGTGCGCCAGCAGCAGCCCGACGACGCGCGCGTGCCCGCACTCGCACGCCGCGTGCAGCGCCCGGTCGCCCGCCCGCGTCGTCGCCTCGGTCGCCGCGTACCGGTCCAGGAGGACCTCGGCCGCCCCCGAGTAGCCCCCCCGAGCCGTGTGGTACAGCGCCGTGCACCCGGCCGAGTCCGCTAGGTTGATGAGAGCGCCCGACGAGGCCAGCAGGTCGGCCACGTCGGCAAAGCCGGCCGCCGCCGCGAAGATCAGCGGCGTCTTGCCGTTGGCCGTCGCCGAGTTGAGGGCCGCGCCGTGCGACAGGAGACTGCTGACGATGTCGAGGTGGCCGGAGTGGCTGGCCAGGTGGATGGCCGACTGCTGCTTGCTGTTGACGGCGTGGACGTCGGCGCCTCGAGCAAGGAGAGCTTCCACCACGCCGTGATGTCCGTGCTGGGCAGCCACCATCAGGGGTGTGAGGCCCTTGTCGTTGGCAAAGTTGATGTCGTCCGCTGCTCCGCTCTGGAGGAGCAGATTGACCATGTTTTCATGGCCTCGGGCCGAGGCCCAGAACAAACTTGTATTGTTGCCATATCCCCGCAGCCTCGGGTTCGCGCCCCCCTTGGAGAGGAGTATCCTCGCCGAGCTTTCTCGCCCGGCATACGCAGCGGCTAGTAATGGAGGTAGGTCCTTGCCGATACACTCGTTGACTGCCCAGCCAAAGCCTCTTTGAAGGAAGATGAGGAGGATTTCGTCCCGGCCCAGGTACGCCGCTAGAGAGAGGGAGGTCTTACTGGCGTTTGGTAAAGTACCGTACGGATTCGATGGCAGGCCTAGAGGAATTTGACCGCCATCCAGGAGGCTAGGGACCCTTCCGATATCGTTGTTAGTCACTGCATAGTGTAGTTCGTGATGCACTAGTGTAGGTTCGACCTTGGCACTGGGGGCGTATGGCACGGCAGGAAAGGATGGGGACGGTACTGGGGTTGGAGGTTGGCCATTATGAGGGGGTTTGGCCTTCTGTTCTCCTCCCATGCCCGTGGTATTTGGCGTAGATGGCTTAGAGGCCGACCCCGGCTGGTTGATATCCTCGAAGTCCGGAAACTTGGTGTCCTGCTTCAAGATCTTTTGGAGTTCTGGCGTACATGACTCGGCACTTGGCTTTGGATCCGGTCGAATAATAGGCCGGCTCGAGCCCTTCGCTATCGTCGCAGTTCGACGCAGCGCAGCCAGCCCGGGAGAGGCCCCCTGAAACTGTCGATGGATCTCATGAATCTTAGCTCTGGGGCGGCGTGTTAGGATTAGCCCTTGCTGACAACCCATAGGTGAAATACGTGAGGACCAGATAGAAACCTACGTTTGCACTACCTGCATGAGGAAACTGAGTGACGATCTCTGATCCCGCACTTGAACCATGAGGCCGTTCAGGTCCGATTCAACCCACATGAACCGCAATCGCCAAGCGACTGATTGTGATTCGGCAGGATCGTCCTTGTTCAACTTTGCTATTTCTGTGTCGAGGACAGAGAACGACTTTGCCATGCTAACTGTGGTCGCTTCCACACACTGAAGAAGGTTCCGTCTGGCTTGGTCGTTGCTGGAAGCGCTCGTGAGGGCATCTTGCCTTGAGTAAAGTAAGCTCTGAAGCTCACCGAGCCCGATGGAGGTTAATTGCAGTTCATTACAGAGCCCCGATACGGTCTCGGGCACCTTCTGGAACCTGGATCGCAGGACGATTAAGCCGTGTGAGAGTTTGAGAGAAGCCGCCAGCAGCGATGCGGTCCCGGTGGCTATAGATAGGGGATCACACATGGTTGATATCCCCTACTTTCTGTTATTCGCTTCGACCAGAAACTCAAAGTCGGGGACTGTCTGGCGGAAGAGAAAACTAGAACTGTTCCGGTGCAAACGCACAAGTCACAGCCTTGCTGCAATCGAAAACGGAATAGCTTCAGGAAGGGGGCGGAGTGGGGTTGAAACTGAAGCTGAAAGAGCTGAACATTTTTGGCGTGCATGGCCATCCTGTCTGGTTGATTAATGATAACACGTGCTAACACGGCACAAAAATGTATAGAGCAATCTAGCTATGGTTCCTAGGAGAGAGAAGATGGAGTTCTTGGTGTAATAGAGGCAGGATGGATGGTCGTGACTTGTGCTATTCGAGGTCGCACACCAGGGCTATGGGAGTATCTAATCTTCAGCACTTTTAGGCACTCTCCAAAGCCCTCTTCAGGGGACGGATCATAGCAGAATAGAGGCTCCGTGCCGCTCGCAGAGGAACCAAAACCTGGCGATTAGTACGTCGCGGCTTTCTCATCGACTCGACATTATCTGACAGTTCAAGTGGACCGAGCTGGTTGAAGCCACAACATTAGTAACCACCTCGAAGTAAATATTACCACAGTTAGGGGATGTGGCCAGAGCTTGTGGTGGCAATGCACTTACACTCCCTGCCGGTGTTCCGTGATCTGTAATCCGTACCTGCATCTCGTATTCGCCGGCTGTTAATCATATCGCAACCTTGCAACGCCTGCGAACGGCCCCAGGAATTGGGGAACACACTCCAGTATCTCCACCAGCTACGATATAAGGGGTTACGGTTGTAGATTGTGATGTTATCTGGTCCTGACAGAGCTCAACGTCGCCATCTCTCCACATGGAGGCGCCCTGGGGCGAGATGGTGATGATGATGAGGCAGCGAGAAGGTTGATAGCTCTGCGCCTACCGCCCCCACACCGAACATATTTCACAGCCATGCTCACCATATCAGCTTTCTCGTGTCCATCTTGAAGTCATCACAAACCGGTTATCAAGGCGAAGAGAGGAGGGCTACGAGGCCGGATCGTGCATGACGCAAGCTTCCCTACCCGATTCGGCCCCGGGCCTCACCCAATAGGCCTCATCATGACTGTCTCTATTCGTCAACGTCGCATATTGCTTGTATGGGGCTTTATGGTGAGACCTCGCGCTTTTGATACGGCGGCTGCCCTCAGTTGAAGACCCCCCAAAATGGAAGGATCGAGCCTGAACCACATCACATCTGTCAACCCAAGAACCACAGCCTCCACACATCGTCAGACCTGACAGCAAAGGACACGAGACGAAAGAAAGATTATGGACGATCCAAGGGGAGACTTAGAAACATATAAGCTTTGAGCTTCTTAGCTGTTGCTTTACGGCGCCACGGATAAGAGAAGATAACCTCTCTGCGTCGCTTTTCACCTGGAAACAGTCTCAGAAATGCTTCTTCCAGACCCTAGAGCCACAATGCACCAAGAAGGCCTCCGGACCGTGTTTGACCGTCTCATATCGAAGACACACGTCGAACATGCGCTGATCCAGCCTGGGGGACACCATAATGACATTCCAACTGTACGTATATTGACACCGCGCTTCGCGTGGCTCTCCTGACCCTGGCATTCACAGTCCCTAGCTACGGTTTTCCTTCTGGGTGGAACGCCTGCGCAGCTTCAGGCGGTCTACGACCAGAAGAGGCGCTGTCTCCAGAGCTGGCATCTCTCTCCCGAGAGGATTTTGAGCTCGGATGAGAAGACCAAATATCTGGGCGACTATCAGTACGGCAGTCCTATCCTCTTGCTGTTCATTCACTAACCTCTGTCCCTAATAAGATTCCAACGAGCCTATATGGACTACTTCAGCATGGAGAACGGCAAGCTGGGTGGGAACTCTACAGTCCTGGGCCTGTCACACCTTATTTATGCTCCGAAACCCCTGGTTTATGGACTGTTTGGCGGATATGGCCGGCCGCTCCTCTTCCTGAGCGATGGAATCGAGGTGCAAAGCGCAGTGCTCGTGGTCGAGTCACTTGTGCTTGCAGCGGTGGATTGGAGCACGCCCATTGAGGAACTCCTGAGCCATGCGCAATGGCAGACGCTACCCGATGAATTACTTCCTCCAGAGACCATCCTCACGCGCATTGCCTACGACGGGCGGTTCAGCGGAATTATGAAGGGAGGCCCCGGATTTGGAGGGGTGTCACAAGTTCTCTCGAACCAAGGCGCCCGATCAGCTGTTGTCGATTACGTCCACCAGCTTGACCTTCGAGACACGACCAAACTGCTGCGGCAGCTCTCCCGCCTGTCCATCCTACTCGTGTGCGCAACCCACAAGAAAGATAAACCCGCATTTGACTACTTCCTCAGCTCTCTCCCGACATTTGTCAACTGTCTTCGAGTGTTGCTCTACAGTTTCCAGGGCAGCCAAAAAAGCATCATCCTCGTGCGAGGTGTGTGGACGCTCATGGTCCTAGCTTATATCACACAGTTGAGACCGGTCATAGACCGTTCTCTCATATTGCTCGAGGTTCCCGACAAAGGCCTGACCTGGGACGGCATCTTGTCACACTTTAGACAAGGGGCAGATCCCGAGGATGAAAAGCTCATGGACTGCCAACTTTTGCGAACGCTGAGGAGCCTGCGCGAGCTTGGAGAGTCATGCGGCGGAGAGGAGCAGCTGTATATGCAAGCGGCATGGAAGTTGCGATGCCAATGGCAGAAATGGGCTGGACTCGGATGTGGCAGGGAAGAGGTACTGAATATCAGACTGTGAGACCAGCCTTGACCGTACCCAGTCCGGGAGGTTATCGATAGAAGCAGACTATACCGTTAGATCACCCCCTATAATCAATTATCTTCATCCCTTTCAAGCTAGCAAGGGGGCACATGTTGTTCGCAAGCGAGACGTAGGACCAGGAGTCAACTTCGACTGCTCAACTCGCTCGCCACCCCCTTAATCGAGCATCACGAACTTACCCAAACCACGGCGCCATCTTGTTTCCCATCCATCTTTTACCAGACAAGCCTCATATTTGTAAAACCTGACGTATCACCGCCAATCATCAGTCCTAGCCTGGTTTTCGCCGAGCCAAGCCCAGAGTTCATTATGCAAGCGGGTGCTGACTGGAGACTCGCAGATGTGGGTGACCAAGCCACAGTCAGTATAACCACACCAAAGAATCCACGACTATTTCTGACCGGGAGTTATTACACATGTGGCCGTAAATGCTTGGTTATGGCAGAAAGCTCACATGTCAAAATCCACGGCACTGGGAAGGTAGTTTCACCGTCAGATGCACCCGAAGCATATCAGCACCAAACTGTCTCAAACACTTACAGATAAAGCCCTGCAGTCTGATATACGTAGGACGTGGAAATCGCTCCTCTCCTCATGTTGGACGTAGATTAAAAGCGACAGAGGTCTTTGAGAGGGATTGCACTCGATGGAGCCAAATGGTTGATCCAGGTTCCAACTGTTATACATTCGTCTGATGGCAAATTTTCGTACCTGGTCATCACCCCCTAGTCTAGACATTTTCCTCCTATTGTACACTTTTCATTAATAGAGTCGAGTGGGAAGAAAATACAACTAAGAAGATCGGGGAATCCCCATGGACGAGCCCTGGCCTTGCTGCCTCGCGCATCGCCGCCGCCAACAACACCAATGGAAAGCACCATGTTTCCTCGCTCCACACGCTCTCCTTTTTCTTTTTCTTTACGCATCAATAAACGACTTGACGTTGTTCAGCCAGGCCATGTACTCCTTCTGCTCCTTCATGTCCATGTAGTCGGGCACGAAGACGGCCAGGGCCTGGGCGACGCCGCGCTCCTCGAGGAACCTCTCGACCAGGATCTGCAGGTCCTCGTCGAGGCTGCCGAACGGCGGGCCGGGGTACACGTCCTGCGCCCTGTGGGCGGCGTCGGCCGACTCGACGTGCGCGAGCGCCGGGTCCGCGTAGTGGTACAGGTTCTCGACGATGATGCCGCCGTCCGACGCCATCGCCTCAATGTTCAGCGCGCCCTTGCCGGGCTTCTCGATGATCACCCGCAGCCTGCACGGCACCCCCGCGTCCGGTCCCGCGCCCTCGTCCTCGTCAGCCAGCTCCGCCGCTTCGTTGGCGTCCTGGGAGTTACGGCCGCCCTCGGTGAGGTCTTCGTCAGTGAGGGCCGAGTCCTCCTCATGGAGGTCGGGGTCGTAGTTTTGAAGGTCGGCAATGGAGAAGCTGACAGTGATCCTGGGGATGGGAGGTTAGCATGGTGGAACGAAGGAGAAATGCCACGTGCATTGGATCCAGGAGGCAATGGAATGGACGTCAAACGGAACTCACTTCTCATTTCCAAACGTCCGGGTCAGAAGGACCTCTTCCTTTCCGGGACTGTCTTGGATCTCGAACGGCCCGTTCTCCAAGAAATCCTTGATGCTGGCTGGCACGGGCTCGTTTTCCTTGACGTCCTGCTCGAACTCAATCTCGCTCGCCAACTTGGCCGAGAGCTCCTCGTCCGTCTCGCCGGCCGCGGCCCTGCGGAAGACTGATGTTGAGAATGCGGAGGCGTGTTGCGGCCGCAGGAATGCTGACTGTGACTTCAGCATGCTAGGTGCCCTCGTTCCAGCGGGACATCTTCTGAATGCTGTGGAGGAAGCGCGGGACAGGACGCGGGGCGCTGAGCGCGCCGCTGCACGGAGAGACATCATTTTGATGGGGGATATGTGGGAGAGAGATGTTTCGGAGAATTGTGCTGATTGATGAAGAGGATAGAATGCAATTGCGTGAGAGATCAGAGAATGTACGGATACGATATGGAAGCTTATCTGCAAAAAAATTCGGACCCTGGAGCTTTGACCAATCATAGATACCCCTGACGGGACTAAAACCCCCTTTACAACATAGCCCCTGTACTGATGAGCTCTTACAGTGAGGGAGCGAAAAGAATCGAAAGGAGCACTGACAGCGTGCCCTACCGCTTTGGAATTGTAGCCAAAAGAGTAAGATGCATTGGGTGGTATTAAAGCAATTGCAGCAGATACGTAGTGACCCTTCAATACACTGCTGATACCCTCCCTTCGCCCTTCAGCCCTCTCTAGTCCCCTATACGCATATAACCTAATCTGATATATACATATAGGATGAGAATGTGACATATTCACGTCTCAGCTGCTCCCTTCGTGGGGGGATCTTACGTCGACCGAGGCGCATTGCCGTCTTTTGTCTTTCATGCCTTCCGAAGAATCTGGCCTTGTTGCAGGCCTCTGGTTCAAGTGTTCCAAACCGCAGTGGTGTAGCAGCAGACTTTAAGGCTCACTGGCCCTAACAAGCGTACCCATCTCTCACCATAGAGCCATGCTCCCATAGGCAGCGGACACATGTGGAACATCCGAACCCTCGCCATTGGCTGAGGAAAAACCGAAGTAGATAGAGCGGTGGCGAGACCAGCTGGGTATAATCGTGACTGTGCCAGAGAAAACATCCTTCCCAGCTCAAGAAAAAGGAGTAAAGAAAGAGGAAGGAATGAAGGTTCAATTTCTCGGAGGGAAGCTTGACGGTTGCACGTTTCCGGAGGTGTTGACTCTAACCCAGGTAACATTTGTGAGATAAGACCAAGTCCCTTCCCAACGATCAAGAAGCGGAACATTTTCTACTGTTGTGAGGTCGGGTAGGACTAAACGAGTAGTTAGCCTCGGCAACGGCAGGCTGGAGAGTGCTGTTGCTTACAGAAACCATTCTGATACTCCTTTTCAAGGGAGGAGATCTTGGCTTTAAGGAGGTCTTCTCTTGCACTGGCTCCTCTGCCAGCGCGACGGGCCTTCGTAATTGTCTCGTATTCTTCATCGTATTGGTGTATAAACCTGAGAGCAACGGGGTTAGTTCCAGGCGTCTGCTGAAGCTCTCATTGACACATGGATTGTCCCATGTGGGAGAACAACGTAGAGTGGGGTACAGACTCTTGAATCTTGGACTGGACAGCCTCTATTTGAAGCGGCCGACCGTCATTCTCACGGATAGCCCGTTGGAAGAAGGACGCTCGCTCTACTGTATTAGGAGTCAGTCATGAGCACAATATAGCTGAAGTAAGGGCACAGACAGAGGGGTTTATTATTCTTTTTCCTGGATCCAGCCATTTTCTCAAGGCGTTCGTCTCTGAGCAGCGCTCGACGGAGTCGCCTGGAATCCCGGCTGAACTCATGAAGTGAATCAACGACTCCATTCCTCTTCTTCGAGATCTGCTTCCGCGTCTTCTCTAAAGTCTTGGCCATTTTCAACGACACTAACGGCACTGGGCGAGGTTCGATTTTACTTGGACAGCGTCGAAGTTCTGGATTAGGCGGTGGGGTTTTTCTTTCACCGGTTTTTTTATATTTTTATCTTAGAACCCCGATAGTGGTTGGGTCGAACGGATTGTGGCGGGGTTGAGGCTGAACTAAGCTCATTGGTTAGCTCCAAGGTTGCCCTGGAAATGGCCCCGCATTAGTGCCGGTCGCGGTTGCAGGGGTTGAGACGCGCCTCAAGGACCCAGTTTCCGCACAGCGCGTTGGATCACCCGCTTAGCAGGCCATGGCTTAGGTGTCTTTGTTGCTCCACTACCAAATCACTACAAGTAACTCTTGCCCTCGTCTCACTTGGTGAGTAGACTTCTGCCATTACTGGTGTCCAGTCCCAACAGCAGACTCGAAGCCGGCTCCCTATATACATACATAGACGCGATATCCAGCATCAACATCGCCCAGCGGTCTATCGGCTACCGCGTCACCCGGACGGCTACTCTTGCTCCCTAACATATTCAAGCCGACGTTCCATGGTGGTTTCGACATAATAAGGCGTCTATGGCTCGGCATTGTATTTGAAACTGTATTCCCTGGCTTTTCCGAGCTGTTGCTGCTGCCACAATGGGCATTCAAGGTACTCAAGCTGCTGGCAAACACTATCTGCTCGTTCTGACGACGTGGTTTACGTAGGCCTGCTCCCACTGCTCAAGTCAATCCACAGGCCTGCCGAACTGAAGAAGTATGCTGGAGAGACGTTTGGCGTCGACGCATATGGATGGCTCCATCGAGGCGCCATTGGCTGTGCCATTGAGCTTGCCCAGGGCAAACCGACCCGCAAGTACGTCCGCCTTCCTCCAGGCTTGCAAGTTTCCCAGAGCGACTAACTCTAGAAGGTATGTCGACTTCTCCATGCATCGTGTCAGGATGATGAAGTATTTCGGCGTGACCCCATACCTTGTGTTCGATGGCGACTTTCTGCCCAGCAAAGCGAGTGAGGAGGCATCCCGAGCCAAACGACGTGAGGAAAGTAAGAGGGCAGGCATGGAGCTCCTCAAGGCCGGTAAAACGTCTCAGGCATACCTCGATCTGCAAAAAGCCATCGATGTCACCCCCGAGATGGCCCGACACTTGATCGAGGAGTTGAAGACGGCCGGCGTCTCGTACGTCGTTGCACCCTACGAAGCAGATGCCCAGCTAGTCTACCTCGAGCGCCAAGGCATCATCAACGGCATCATCTCCGAGGATTCTGACCTCCTGGTGTTCGGTGCCAAGCGATTGTTGACTAAGCTTGATCAGCACGGCCAATGTGTCGAAATCAATCGGAGAGACTTCTGCGCAGTCCGGGAGGTCTCTCTCACGGGTTGGACCGACGCCGAGTTCCGTCAGATGGCGATTATGAGTGGTTGTGACTACCTGGGGGGAGTTAATAACATGGGACTGAAGACGGCGTACCGCATGATCCGAAAATACAAGACGCCAGAAAGGGTCGTCCGAATGCTCCAGTTCGAGGGGAAATACCGATTTCCCGATAATTATCTGGCAGCGTTCAAACAAGCCGAGTTGACATTTCTCCACCAACGAGTCTTCTGCCCGAAGCAGCAGCAGCTGGTCTTTCTAACCGAACCGGACTCGTCGCACGACATCGAAAAGATGCCGTTCATCGGTGCCGCGGTCGAGACAGATCTGGCCAGAGCAATTGCTGTTGGAGATGTCAATCCTATCACAAAAGAAAAGATCATTCTGTCGAGATTGCCAGAGAAGAGACGGAATAGCCAAGCTGCGCCTCCCGCAGCCGCACAAAGTCGACCACCGGGCAAACCGATAACCTCGTACTTCGAAGGCCATCGCCGAATTCCGTTGGGCGAGATGGACCCCAATTGTTTCGTTGTTGAGCCTGGCCAGGTCAGAAACTTGGCTGAGAACAGTCTCCCCCGAGTATTTCCACTTCCTCGGCCTTACGTAGACGGTGCGCAGGAACCGTCACGGCCACCAAGACCCTACGCTGCACCTCGACTGCGCCGGCGGACCGAGCCGGTTTCAAGGGTACTCATCGGCCTCGCAGACCCCCATGCGCAGTCGCAATCTCGTCGCAGAACAGAGGGGCCGACGGTCCGAAGCATCGACGGCGCTGGCTACCAGAAGAATGGCCACCCAACCCGCCCATCAAAGAAGGCGCGGCTGTGTGAAGAGGCGACATTGCAGGCTGAACCAAACCGGGAGCCTGAAAGGAGCAAGTTCTTCCCAGTGAAAAAGATGCAAAAAACCACAAAGCCGGAATTGCATCTCCTTTCGGACGACTCGATAGAGGACGCTTTACTTGACCTCCCGGATATCGACGGATGGCAACCAGCTCGACCGCCCAAGGGTGTTGCGAGGCTCGACATCTTTGAGGAAAAGGCGGCCCTGGAGTTGGGATGCATAACTGCTGAGGCCAAGGATGACGAAGTTATTCCCAACAGCGATATTGAAGTACCAGTATCGTCCCCAGTGGGTCGAGTTTTCCAGAGCGAGGCGCACGAGGCGTCCCCATGCGACACACCGGCAAGGGGATCCCTCGGCCAGTTCACCTACACACCCCTGGTGGCTAAACCCGCATCGCCGCTGGCAACCCGAATTGCCCATGGGTTACCAACGCCAGCATCTAGCATGCAGAAGCCCACGGCCTCTCAAGGCCGCGTTCGCGAGTTCCACAACACATCAATGCCCACACCACTTCAGCGGATTGGTGCCCAGGCCTTCCAGCGGGGCAAAGGGTCTTTTACTCCGCCGCTCAGCCCACGGAGCTCAGGCGCCAAGAACGAACATCGCCGACGGAGCTATGCGTCGTTGCCAGTCAATCCATCCTTCGTTCCTCTACCGAAGGTGGATATGGCCGAGGTGGAGGCTCTCAACACCACTTTCGGTAGCGAAGACCAGATCATCCCAGATAGCGACGGGGAGAATGATCTAGAGGCTGACATCGCCGACACAACTGAAGAACAGGAGCTTGCCCATGGCTCAAAATCTGGGAGTCGATTGAACCTCTCAAGATTCCTTCATGCTTGATTAGTCGATACCCATACTTTACCTATAAGGGTGTGACGTGTGGAAAAGGGGTATTTTTAGAGCACGTTGGCATGGTGTTTGGAGGTGTTTGGAGGATAACTGTTAGTGAATGGCGCCAGGTTGTTTGTTGGCGTTGTTGGAAGCACGGTCATGGCACATTGTATTACAGAGGGTATTCGAAGTTTGCAGTCACAATCAAGACGAAAGAATCTTTGTTTGATCAAGCTGAGCTGTAGTCACCTAATACAAGTGAGCTTGGGCATAATGTCACCAAAACTCACAAACCCCGCGAGTTACCCCACCTTGTCTCGTGCACAGATGGGTAGGTTGGCTGGTTGGTTATGTAGTTGCTCACCGCCCCAGGCAGAAAAACGCCAAGATTTCGCTCCACATTGGAAATTTTCCCACACTCCGAGAGAAAATTGCCTGCGTAGGTGTGTTACCAACCTCCACGGCCAGGCCAATTCGTTTAATCCACCCAACTCAACGCCTTTGGTTGAGCAGCGGTCGAGTCAACTAATTGTCGCCTGAACCTGCGACACCCTCCCTGCCTCAACTAGAAAGAGGGATACTGCCCACAATGTCTGAATTTTCTCTTCAGGTATGCAGACTGCCGATGTGCTGCCCCGCCTGGACAGGCTCGTCCCGGCCCGGGGTGAAGAAGGCATAATTGAGGAATTGATCGATTAACCCAACGCAGGATCGCCTCCGCGACCATGCAAAGGCCTTCGATGGCCTGCTGTCCCTGATTCCGGCCAAGATGTACTATGGGGAGGACACGAGCGTACGTTGAGATCTTCACCCTCCCGCAGCTCTGCCTCACCGCAGTCTGGTTTTGGGGGCTCTGGTTGCCGCAGAGGTGTCGGGCGCAGATCATCGGAATGCTGACATCGCCGCCAATCTTCAGGATCAATGGAAGAAGAAGAAGCAAACCAAGGCGGAGGCGAAGGCGGCAAAGAGGGGAAAGCTTGACCCGGATAGCGAGCTGAACCGCAACGCCAAGGAGGTCATGGACGAGAGGGCGCGGAATAAGCGAAAACTGGGCGTGATGCAAGAAGATGCGAGTACCGACGAGGACGCCGAGGACGCCGAGGACGAGGACGAGGACGATTCGTTCATCACCCCCGTTGAGAAGGAGAAGCCTGGAGAAGGCCTCAAGAAGAAGTCCCTTGAAGACGAGACGGCAAGTAAAAAACAAAAGGTTTATGAGGATATCGAATCGAATCAGCGGCAACCAAGCGACAAGGAAAAGGAAAAGGAAGAAAAGAAACTATTAAAGAAGCAAAAGAAGGAGGAAAAGAAGAAGCTGAAGGCCGAAAAAGCCGACCTCAAGGACGCTGCACCCAAGACTAGCGGACCGGGCCCAAAGCAGGCTCAAAAGCAACCGGAGAAAGTCCAGAATGAACAGGAAGAGGCCATACCGGAAAACAATAATCGCATCGAGCCGTCGACCGAGGAAGAAGAGGCCGACGAAGGCGGCGAGCTTGACCAGGTGGATATCTCGGACCTTGCAGATCCAGAAGATGACGGTGCTGCCGCCTCGACGCCGACCTCTGGGCCGAATTCACCCGTCTTCGACTCCAACGACGCGGGCAAAAATTCGGCTGAGCCGGCTAGCACCACGACATCCATATCCTCCGCCATAGCCCCGTCAGAAAAGCCGAAGCACATCAAAATGCCAACCGACACCACCGCGCTCCGCGCTCGCCTGGCAGCCAAGATCGAATCGTTGCGGGCGGCGCGCAAGGCAGACGTGGACGGCAAACCGATCCGCACGCGCCAGGAGCTCATCGAGGCCCGGCGCGAGAAGCAGGCGCAGAGGAAGGCCCACAAGAAGGAGCTCCGGCGCCTGGCCAAGGAGGAGGAGGATCGCAAGCGCGAGGAAGCCCTCGCCAGCGCACGCAACTCGCCGGGCAGCATGCTCAGCCCCCTGGTCGGCGGCGCCGGCGCCGGCGACGAGGACGACGGCAGCGCGAACCACTACGCGTTCGGGCGGGTGGCGTTCGCCGACGGCACGCAGATGTCGCACGACCTCAGCTACGCCCGGGAGGGCGCGGCGGACGGCAAGAAGCGCAAGGGCCCGTCGGACCCCAAGACGGCGCTGGCCAAGCTGGAGGCGCAGAAGCGGCGCATCGCGGGGCTGGACGAGGACAAGCGCAAGGAGGTGCTCGAGAAGGAGACGTGGCTGGCGGCGCGGCGGCGGGCCGAGGGCGACCGGGTCCGCGACGACGAGGGCCTGCTCAAGAAGGCCGTCAAGCGCAAGGAGAAGGCCAAGAAGAAGAGCGAGCGCGAGTGGGGGGAGCGCAAGCGCGGCGTCGAGACCGCCGTCTACGAGAGGCAGCGCAAGCGCGAGGAGAACCTCCGCAAGCGCAGGGACGAGAAGGGCGGCAAGGGGAAGAGGAAGGGCGGCCCCACCAAGAAGAAGAATAGGCCCGGCTTCGAGGGGAGCCTCGGCGGCATTGGCGGCGGCGGGAAGAGGAAGTGACGAGGGTAATCATAGGAAGGAATACGGGCGGGCATGGCTGTCCGTGGGCCGCGCAGCTGCCACATCTCGTTCCATACTCTATTTTCATCCCGGCGTTCGGTGTAAATACCTTCTACGGAGTTGGCGGTCGTCATAGCACCGTGTATTTGACGAGGAATTTCAAATTGGATTCTACTGTCATATCCTTCACTCCCTTTCCGAGAGGAAGTTTCGATTTTCTGCCCGTGGCTTGCTCGTGCGAAAACAAAAACTCCCGTGAATCCTCGCTGGGCTTTTTTTTTTTGGCCAGACGAACATGAATGAAAATAAAGGGGAAAACATTCAAACGCACAAAACCCAGAGATCTGAAATGCTGCTAATCTAACACATTGGGTGGAAGAAATCGGTGCTCTGCCCAAAACACCCCGAGAGAGCTTTCCATTCATTACCCAGCCAGATTTAAGGGGGCGCTCCCGCCCAACGACCGTGATGTAAGAGAGCGTGTTGCGTCTCACATTTTCTATCCCTCAAAACGAGTTGCCGGGTACACATCACCCCAACTCACTTTTATAGCTTGTGCGAGGCATACCGGTGTCCTAGATCTGCCGCGCCTGCTCCTGCCCGGCTTCGCATCATGCATGCAAGGGCACTTGCCCTATGCGTGCTCACCATGGTACTCATCATCCTTCTAGCGGAGGAGGTATCTTAACGAGAAACCCAGTCCGCCCGCCCAACCAGAGTCGCCCTCACTACTTCCCCGCTGTCCTCGAGGGCCATTGGTGTAGGGGGAGGTTTGTCCGGGAATCCAGGAAGAATAAGTTGACAAACGAGGAAGTTTTGTGAAGAAGGCCGCTAAAGCAGGGAGTCGAGGCGTGTGAAAACGCTGAGGCAGGCCGCAACAACTTCCAGCTGGAGCTCCTTATCCTTCGCATTGTTGACCTCCTGCATTGGGGATATCCTAGGTCAGCCTGAGACTAACCACAATAGTACTGCACTGGAAGCAAGACATATCGACGCGGGACAGCTACTCACCTCGCTGATAACCTGTGGCAAGTTTGCTCCGACGCCGTTTCCGGTGGCCCTCTTGCCGAATGGCCACTGGCTGTACTCGGCCAGCAGCTCATCTGTCTGAGTGAATGCCCTCTCGCGTGCCTCGTGGCCGAGCGTCGACAGCGCGTTCTCGAGAACGTTGGCCGCGTATGCGGCGCAGACCAAGGCAATGGTTCGGACGTATCTGAACTCGAGGTGCTCGGGGAGGAACTGGGTGCCGTTCAGCACGACTGTGCGTTGTGTGAGCACGTTCCGCACACGGCGTCGGATCTCCTCCTTGGCACCGCTGTCGGCGACCGGATGCGTGGCCATATCGAAGAGGAGGAAGTTGCGCTTCTCGGTGCGCAGAATGCCCTTGTCCACAAGGCCCTTGGCAAGACGCTCCCGTACTTGCTTGAGTTGGTAGCCAATCTTCATGAGATTCCACGTCTCGCCTGCTCGTTGTATTGGACATCAGCTCAATTCTGGTCTACTCGGACTCCTTGGGCAGCGACGGTGTGGGATGTTAAGGGGCAGGAGGGGAGAAGCTAAACCCACCGCTCAATAGGTCAATCCACGAGCTAACGCTCATCTTCTCGCTCGATTTCATCATTTTCAATGTCTCATCGAGTAGCACTTCGCCGGTGAGTGTGTCGTCGATAACCTCGATAACACGGTCTGCCAAGGGGAATCGGCGCCGCGCCGGGTCCTTGTGCATGCTGATCCGGCCTCTGAAAGCGAGCTCGAGGACAATGCAGCCACGGAGAGCATAGGATATGTTGTCGTTCCAGAAGGATAGATAGCCCTGGTTGTGGAGGAGCGGTCAGTTCACATTCTATTCTAATGGGTGGGCGCAGTCGAAGCTCTTTTCTGCCTCGAAGTGGGATGAGCCCGACGAACCTGTTTGTCCTTTAATCCCAGAAGCAAGACCTCCTCCATCAGAGTCAGCTTGGGTTGCTTGTTCCTCTCTGCGGTCTCGCTGATGTCTCTGGGGTCGAATGCGATCTTATGGCCATTGTCGCCACTCTCATAGCTCGTCTCGGGGGTCGCGTCCTTGAAGTTGCTCGAGGAGTTGGCGCGGCTGGCTTCACCACCTTCGCCATTGGCGGAACCACCACCTCCACCACCTCGACGTCGTGTCAAGCCGGAAGTCGTAGTTGAAGACATCCTGCACTGAGAACCGGAGTTGGTTTGGCCAAGCCCTGGTGAGAGATTGTGGGCTGCAGTTGGTTAGATCCTGGAGAGGTTAGGTTGGGAAAGACTAGGGGTCGATGGAAGGGGGCTGTGAAATCGGCTGGTGCTCGTATTTCGTGGTCGAAGCAAATTCGACGGCAGTCGTGCTGGGGGCCAGATATCGGAGCTGAGTCTCTCTCCCTTTTTTCTGGCGCACAGGCAGACGCGTACGGTGTCGGGGAAGGATTTTGATGACCGATAGACTGTCGCCTCGTAACTGTTTGGTCGTTCGACGTTGGTATTAATGAGAGGCGATTCAAGCAGATGGGAGCACGCTGGGTGGCAGGTGTGAGGTGCCAAATTGAGGTGCTGAATCCCCGATGGGTGCTCTGCCTTGTTGGTCCCTTTGCCTGCTCTGGCTTGTCCAGTTCAAACTAAAAAAGAGGTTCCGCCCAACGGGTGTGTGTTGAGCCACATTCCACTCAATTTGAGTAACTCCAAGTACCTTGCAGTGTGGCTAAACCTACTACCCGACAGCGGAACTTATCTCGACCCGCGATATTTTTACGACCCGCTTGATGATAGATAGGTACTCCGTGCAGATTATTGTTTGGACAAAACATTGGCTTATTAGTGAATGGGAAACGCCTTGGACAGTACGGATTGGCCATATACAGCAAGCAAATACGATAGTTCACGGGGGCTGCGACATTGACCAGGTGAACGGAAAGCCTCTACCTTGCTGACCAACTGAGTTTGGTGTTCGGATTCCTTTCTACCTGCAGTGACACCTTCCATGAAACTTTCCTCTCCTCCAGCTAGACCCACACTTTCGTTACAGCGTACGCATACCTAGATAGTTTCGTGCACTGTGGCAACCCTAGAAACAAGCTTTGGTAAGTGCGGCTTACGTACGCGATAATCGCCACTTCTCTTTGTCAGCTATTCGTCCTCGAAGTTCCAAACTCCAGAAACAAAAGGAAACGGCCAACCCTCTCCCAAAGCTCTGGGACATCCAACTTCCTGCACATAATCACAATGGCGGAGACAACTGGAGATGTGGCAGCCCCGATTGTCACTTTCAAGAAAAGAGGCGCTAAGGCGAAGGGAAACATCAGGAAAAGACCAGCGACGACGGCCTCGTCAAGCGACTCCGACTACTCTTCCTCCGAAAACGAGTCTGGTCAGAGGGTCAAACGGAGGAAAAGGAATACTGGCGCGGTGACCGCATCGTCCGCTAGCAACAAGACTACGGGGAATGATCTTTCCGCGACGGTCTTCGCCGCCGACCGCAGCGTCCCCATCACGAGCACGAACGACGCAACCAAGCACAGCAACTGGTTCGACGAGGGCTCGAACGATGCCCTATCGTCGAAGAGCCTGCTAGGCACTACTCGAGCCATACCGAACGAGCCGCAGATGCCCGACGGTACCTACAAGGGGCTTGCGAACCAGGCGTCGTACATTCAGAAGAACCCGGATGCGCCGACAAGATCGGTCGGCCCTATCAAGGCACCGACGAATGTGCGTACCGTCACGCAAATAGATTACGCACCGGACGTCTGTAAAGATTATAAGACGACAGGATTTTGTGGGTTTGGGCTGAACTGCAAGTATCTCCATGATCGAAGCGACCACAAGCAGGGATGGCAACTCGATCGGGAATGGGAGACGGTCACGAAAGGCAAGAAGATCAAGGGCACGGTCGTCGCAAGCGCCAATAGAGACAAGGCGGACGGAAATAACGACGACGACGAGGACGATGCCATGCTGGAGGATATACCCTTCGTCTGCATCATCTGCAAGGGGCCGTACAGGGAGCCCGTCGTCACGAGATGCGGCCATTACTTCTGCGAGCCGTGCGCCCTCACAAGGTACAGGCGAGATCCGGGCTGCGCGGCATGCGGGGCAGGGACGAACGGCATGTTCAACTCGGCAAAACGGCTGAAGAAGCTCTTGGAGAGGAAGAGGGAACGGGCGGCCAAGAGGAGACAGGAGGCTATTGACGCTGGTGAGGAGGTCAGCGACGAAGAAGAGGAAGAGGAATAACCGCTTCCCCACAGTCAACTGCTCCCCACCCCGACTTGTTGGCTACTTCCCGAGACTGAGTGTTTTCGGCAAACAAGCAAGGCAGTGAAGCGGAACTTTCATGGTTCCATAACTTCGAAAGTTCCGCCACCCATATGTATCCAGTCGCGGGGTTCTCGGTCCGCGTGTGAAGATATATGGACCGGCTCCGAAGTTATTCAGGCCCGAAGTGCGCTCGCTCCATCCATCGCTAAGTGAGGTCCCCTGCCTGGCCCTCTATACGCCTGAATTCCTCCCCGTTCACTCGACGGCAATCAGTGTCAACCGTCGTTGCCGTCCATGCCGTTTCCTTTCCCCGGGCTTTAAGTCATGAGGGCTCTCCGTCTCTGACAAATACAGATAATCAATGTTTCGAGACCCTCCCCGGATCTAGGCCGACGTCTCTCGTACACATCCTACCGAACTAGGCGTTGCACGAACTCACAGCCGCAACCTAGTGGCGGAGTTCTTCCATGTGACGAGCAGATAATAGACATGTTCCTTAAAATTCCTTCATCCTCGGATCAACGTATCGTGTTCTAGTTATCAGAAATTATAGATAAATCCCACCGCTCCCCTAGTTTTATCATCCCGTCCGAACCGGATTTTTTTGGTACTTCACATAGGAATGTCCAACAGACCACCCCCTTATTTGATCTCGGTGGCCGTCGTCTGCCCCTGGGAGGTCTGAGCCTCCAGCTGCAGCGTCTTATCACTCACAGGCTCGATGCCGACCTTGGTCGCGCGATGGGTGTCCATGACCTCCCGGTTGAAGACGTTGACGTAGAGGGGATAGCTAGCGCAGGGTGGGTTAGCCCGCAGCTCGGTACCAAGACGGAACGCAAAGGATAGAAAGATTTGAGGACTCCCAACTCACACCCAGGCAAGGATATAGCCCATCATGGGGATGGCCATGGCGGTGTGGGCGCCCTTGGAGTCGACGACGGCGCCGGTCATGGGCGGGAAGACCATGCCGCCGGAGATGGCGGCGACGAGCAGGGAGCCGCCGATCTTTGTGTGGCGGCCCAGGCCGCGGAGGCCGAGGGTGAAGATGGTGGCGAAGCAGGCCGACTCGAAGCACAGGACGAGCATGAGCATGACGATGGACGCCGTACCCGTCGTCGTCATGGCCGCGACCGAGAAGACGAAGCAGAGCCCCAGGTACAGCGCCAGCATGTAGCGCGGCTTCACCGCGGGGATGGTGAGTAGGCCACCGGCGACGAAGCGGTTGAAGGCGTAGAGGCCCTGGCCGACGGCGAGGAGGTCGGACGAGGTGGCCTTGTCGCGCCCGGATTCCATGCAGAAGTTGATGAAGTAGTTCTGTACACAGGCATTTCAAGGTTAGGCCTGGCTCGGATGTACTTACAATAAACATGAAAGGAGAAGGAAGGAGGGAAGGGAGCAAGGAAGAGGACTTACAGCAACGGCGACCTGCGCGCCAACGTAACAGAACTGGGACCAGATGGCTAGGAACAGGTTATACTGCTTGCGGAACGGGCCCGGGTCGAAGTCACCGATCTGGCCCTCCTGGACGTGCATGTCGGCATCGGTGATCTCGGGCATGGGCGCGAGGAAGAACAGGATGACCAGCAGGCCGACAAAGCCGGCGACGCCGAGGTAGACCCACTGGACGTTCCTGAGGCCCTGGTCGGTGTCGAGGGTCTTCGCGAAGAAGACGCGCGACGCGAGCAGGGGCGCGACGAAGGAGCCCACGCCCTGGACGGCCTGCGCCAGGTTCAGCCGGATCTCCGAGTAGCGCGGCGGGCCGCATATGGACAGGAACGGGTCGGCGGCCGTCTCGAGGGTGGAGAGGCCCGCGCCGACGACGAACATGCTGCCGCAGAAGCCGCCGAATGACTTCTTGATGCCCGAGGGCCAGAACAGCAGGCAGCCGACGGCCAGGACCAAGAGGCCCGTCATGAAGGTGACGCGGAAGCCGTAGCGGCGTAGGATCCAGCCGGAGATGGTGGGTGGGCAGACGAAGTAGGCGCCGAAGTAGGCCGCGGAGAGGCCGGCTGCCATGCTGGAGCTGATGCTCAGCGCGGACTGGAAGTGGGAGTTGAGGACTGCAACTGCGAGTCAGCGCCATGATACCCCCGAAGTATACAGGGGTAGAGTTTGTTTGTAGTAGTATGCTGTGGATGTGCTAGATGGCTTACCATCGAGAAGTCCGTAGGCGAAGCCCCAGAGGAAGAACAAGATGGTGACTATAGCGCACGATTAGCAATGCTTTCGGTGCGAGTGCGGGTGTGAGAAGTTGACGTACCCAGCAAGTTAGGAACCAGCGACTGCCTCGCCGTCAACTGGACGGCACTGGTGACAGTGTCGTCGCTGACGACAATCTTCCTCTTGTACCAGACCATTGCTGCCGCTGCTGGGTCAATTTCTGTCTCTTTCTCTTGAATCTCCCCGTGGTGTAAGTTGTTGTCGTCGGCTGCAGTATATCAGTGCAACACACACCGGAGAAAGGGGAGCGGAAGACGTGAATCAACTGGCGGGAAGGATCTCGAGAGTGTGCAACATTAAACCATATATAGGTAGTTCTACGTACGTATATATTGCAATCACCGACCACTTGCCGTGACATTGGCCCAAAAGGAAGGGGAGAAGATTTACCGAAGGTCCCCTCGCGTGGCAGAACCTTCTCTGAGCTCGGGCGAGTCACCTCTCTCGGCCCCTCTCGGCCATGAGGTGCCTTCGTGCCATCTTTCTTCCTTCCCGACTGAAGGTTTCGTTCCTTCGGGCAATCACTAACCGACACCGGCCATGTAAGCCACCAATGCAGCCAATCGAGTGGTTCCTGAACGGCCGCCCCCCACAGCGTTGAGTGGGGCCCCGCAGAATTTGGCGGGGATACCCGCCTAATGCGGGGAGCTCGTCGCTGTATGGACTCGCGAAGATCTTCACCCCTGGCCAGTATGTTTTTGATACGAACCCAGTCACGAGGCAAACACGGGGACGAGTCTATCCTTCATGGATACCTACATGCGTACACTATTGAATATTCTTATTCGACAGGACGGCTGGTTAGGAATTCACAGGGTTGGCAACTCGCTTGAAAATCCGGTTTTATCACCATCCATACTTGATCCTGGTTCTATCAGCTGTATATCCCCATGCATACCCCAGAACACTGCCCTAGCCGCATTCCGTTTCGAACATCTATCCCCGATGTTATGAGCAAGACCGGGCAAGGCTAATAGTACCCAATAGACCCGAACCAGGGTTTGAACAAGGAAGGGATCCGGCGTCATTCTCGCCATCTAACGTTTTAGCTCCAGCGCCACGTACATATCAAATCGCCTGTCTTTCTCTAGCCTCGCATGTTCCGGTGAGTAGAGAACCGATGCTCCCCTTGCCCTGTCGGGCATCAAATCACCGACGTCGACCCGAGGAACAGATGTAGCACCTTGAGCCTTGCGAAGGTCCCAGGAAAGAAACCGCGAAATGCATCCCCATTGTCTCGTCTCCACACTACTCCTTTTCTAGGATATCAAGCTCCTTGATGACGGCACTCTTCGTCCCGATCTTCTTCATCTGGGTGTCTTCCAGTTTCTCTCCGCCGGCAAGTCGCATTTCCAGATCTTCAATTGCACGGATCTTCTTCTGCAAGCTGCGTACCTTCTTGGCGTTGGGGTTCTGGCTCGCTGATGACGCTGCTTCTGCTGCCGCCTCAGCAGCTGCCTGGGCCTGAGCCTCGGCCACCTGGTTGCCGGCGGCAGGGCCAGTGGGTACAGCGCCTTGCTGGTGGTTCATGCGCCCCTGGCCCGGGCGACTAGGGTCGCGAGCACGTTGAGTGTTGCTGCGGCTGCGACCTTGCACATTGTTGCGCGACTGGCTGCGGGAGTGCTGGTGATAGCCTCGTCGCTCGGGGCTGCGTCCATCGTTGGGAGGCCCGTTACGAAACTCCCTCCCAGGAGGAGCGAGACCGCCGATTTCACCACCGGCTCTAGGTTCTCCCTCCTTGCCCTTCTTGTTGCCGCGCTTCTTTTTGTTCTTCAGCGCAGTCTTGGACAAGTTTTCATTGCCGTTGGCGTCTGCATCGGCAGGAGCGGCTCCAGGTATTGAGGAAGCGTCGGTGAACTCGGCTCCGGGAACATGGCGGCGAGCGCGACCACCGAATCCGTTAGGTCCTACCAACGCAGTCCCGTTGCTGACCACATGAGCCGCCCCACCCTCGTCTTCACGCTTGAAGTGCAAGGGTGTCATCGTGCCCCGAGCCCCAGGGGGACGGTAAGCCCCCGCAGGTTTCGAGGGGGTCTTGACTGTCCCCAGATACGCGAGTGCCGACGAATGCGGGGTCGGCACAGGATGCAGCGGGTCGACACCTCCAGGAGTACCATCCAGCGGAGCGGGCCGCCAAATGACGTTGTACAGCTCGTCCATATCCTCGTTGTACATGATCCCACCGCCCACATGCCAGAGCTTCACGCCGTTTTCCACGCGGAGACGCGGAGAGGTTGTTGCCGTCAGGATGTATCGACTATCCGGGCTCCACTCGCAAACGCTGGGATTGCCACTCTCGATGGTACAAACCTTGCGGTAATCCTTCTCGAGATCGTAAATATCAATCTGGCCTGCCAGGTTTCCAAAGCCGGCGACCAGAGCGAACCTTCCTTGGGGCGAGAACTTGAAGGTGTTGCGAGGGCCGAGTGGGAAAGAATGGGTGGCAATGGCACGGTGGTTGAAGATGGTCGTCTTGGCAGGCATATATCCATAGATCACACCAAACTCTCTCGAGTTGGGAGACCAGGCGACGTCGTGGATAGGGCCGTCCTTGTCCAATGTGATGCGTGCATCAAAGGAGCCATTAGCACTCAGCAAGTGCAGGGCAGTCTCGCCATAATAGCTCTTGTTCGACTTGTCCACTTCGGTTTGTGCCAGCACAATCAAGCTTGTGCCCAGCCCGTTCCACTTCAGCTGGACCTTGTCGCCTTTGAAGAAGGTCTTCTGCGACATCGGGCTGGTAAACTGCGGCACGTTGAAAACTTTGACAGCGGCGGGTTGACCCTGGAGCAAATCATATTAGCATACTGCACTCAGTACCAACTAGGGTCGAAAGGGGGAATTATCAAACCTTTCGTTCGGGGATGAAAACAGCCACGTTGTGGTTTTGGCCGGGTGCAATCGCGAAGTCCGACACTCCTTCAGCCCTAAGCCTGTTCCAGGGGGCGGTGAGGTTGTTGCTTTCGTAGAATTGGACCTCGTTGGTGACAAGGCGGGCGCAGAACTGTTCGTCGGTGGTGTACTGGAGGTTCCAGCCTGACTGCGACTTCTGCACCCAGGACCCGAGTGGCTTCTTCTCAGCTCCCTCGTCAAGGTCCTCGACAGTGCGCCAGATTTTCAAGTTCTTGGTGGCATCGCCCGCCTCGTCTTTAGCAGGCCGCTCCCAAGTGCTCAAGAACGAACCCCGTGGAGAGAAGGCCAGCTCAAGAACGTTTGGGATTGGCACGGAGGCCAGCACATGGCCGACGGAGGCATCGACAATGTTGACACCTTCGTTAGAGGCGTATGCAAAATAGCGGCCACAGGGAGAGTAGTCACAACACCGGGTGTTCCCTTCGGGTTTAACGAATCCAGGAAGAGGCTCGTAGACAGGCGCAGCATCGAACACGCTGATGGCCTTCTGGGTTCGGTAGGCAAACTGAATCGGACTGGCCATGACTAGTCAAAGTCACAGATATCGCGACGGGAGGTTTGGTTGGGGCTTAATGAGTTCTTCTTTTCGTGGATTTGATGTTCTTCTGGTCGCAGAAGACTGATCAGGTCGCTCTTCTTGTCGTGGCGGTGGGAGGCAGAGAGTGCCTGGCGAAGCCGAGTGTTTGTAGGCCAAAGGGAGTAAGCAATGATTGCTCTTCCCTGGATGCAGCAGACGGCAATGACTTGATCAGCGTGCTGATCAGTTGGTAGCGGTAAGTGAATAGACTTTTGCTCCGAGAAAAACGGGCTTTGTGATGCCGTGGCTGATGACCGAAGAACGGGGCGAGCTACGACTCAAAGAGGCGACAAAAGAGTCCACAGAAGCTGAGGGAACCAAGACCGGAGAGCAGTATGAAAGAAGAGAAGGCGGTGTTTGCACGCACCCTTGGGGGGGTTGAATTGGCGAGGCGGTGCGTGAGGTGACCGAGATGGGCTGGAGGAGAGAGGAAGGGAGTGGCCCAAACGTGGTCGTGCTCGTCACTATTTTATTTCCTGCACTCTTATTTTTTTGATTTTTTTTCTCCCAAACACTGAATCAGGCGCGGAGTGGCGGACAGGCTCCTTGCGCCTGTCGGGTCTAGCCCACGCTCTAGCGTGGTCTAGCGTCTCTCGGTTAACTCCCGAGATCTCTCCGGCACACAGTGACAATTGGGAAAGAACACAGGAAATTTGTATGCCGTTTACCGCAGAATCACAGTGTATCTGGTGCTACAATACACTCAAATCTGGAACCACTTCCCAAACAAAGCATATCTGATGCCTGAACCCTGGGTAATACCTAACAAGTATACCAAGGCAGAACAGATGCTCCTGACTGGGACACAATCCAGCCTGCAGTTTGTTCTTGTCTAGGTACCTAGAGTCTATATGTCCAGCATCTCGACATTTTCAGAAAACAGTGTCGAGGATGACCTGATGTCATTATCCTGCTAGTCAATCATGGAATATGAATTTGCCAGAGGCGGGAAATTCATATGATGTCTAGGTATCCCGACGCTAAGGAACCAGGTAGGTAACCTCGCCGTCCCACAACCGTATTGATGACATCTTAGGCGCTTGCGTCGCTGCTATTCCCAGTGCCCTGCCTAGAGATTACCTTCGAATCAGTTCCAGGCCAGCGCAATGCCATCCAGGATCCCTAATAAGTTTGTAGTGAGGAGGACAAAGACATGGCACGCCGGCAAGTCAAACCGATTATATGAACATGGCTCAAACCAGTTCCGGCCACCGAATCAACAGCTGATACGGCGGCCGGTTTAGCCAAACAAATACTGGACAAATTCCCTGTTTCGTATGGACTGGCCGATCCGCCAGGCAGGCTCAGTTCTGAGCGATGAGTTGCGAGTCGCTGGGACAACAGTTCGTTGCCATATCTTGCGCGTTCAAACTCCCCAGCAAGATCGTTGTTATCCACGCCCTTGTTTGAATCAACCACTTCCTACCTCAAATCCTGCCTCCGAAGCCCAGGCCTTGGAAGCCATGAACTTATTCAAATAGGTCTCGGCCTAGTGGTGCAGCGGTATGCACCTGGAATGACCATGCATGTGCGAGTCCGGCCCGGTTGCCACGACGTTACTCGGTGCCTGCACATGGAAGCGGAGAATTGCGGAGGGTTTGATTACGGAGTTCGGGTACTTCACGTTTATTGGGTGGATCGTTGCACCGTTCTCGGGACATCTTGGAGGCGCCAATCATGTATGTGCTAGGGTTCCTTTAGCTCCCGCTTCTTCAGCCTCACAAACGACGTACATATTTTCATATTTCAAGAACAATGGATACTTTCAATAGGTAGGTAGATCTTGTTACTAACCTTAGGCCACGAGCCGCCGTCCCTTTGTGCGCTGATTGTGGGGCAACTTGAGGCATAGTGAACGTTTATGCCGTTAACATATTTGCCTTCCATCTGCGTCCTTTCCGGAGCCCCATCCTCATCCACATCCTTCCTAGATATTCATAAAAAGCATTTGCCATTGTGGCAGCTTTTGATACAGAAACCGCAAGGAAAGAAGAGGCCTAATCCCCGACGGTATGAGCTTGTCTATTCCAAATGAGGCTCTTACGCACTCGAGAACTTCCTATCAATTAGAGATCCAGTGATATTTGAGGGGAAAACTCCGATTCCTTCGTGGACAAATGTGTCACAGTAATCATGGTCTTCGTATTCCGAGGATAATTTGGCCCCTGCGCCTGCCATGGCCATCATGGGCCGTGACGGTAGTGGGTGCCTCCCTATATGCCTGTTGACGTCTCCCAGGGCCATAAGAACAGCAGCTGTTCCTTGATTTTGGTGGTTTTCGACAGCGAAATCCTTCTTAAGTGGCCCCCTCTTTTATCGGCTCGCAGCCACCGTTCTTGCAAACCCTACGGGGAGGTTTTAGGGAGCTTGCTGTTGATTTTTGGGGGGTGGGGGAGAGGGCAGTTGCGGTGGTACTGATACTGAAATATGGCCTCCTTTAGCAGGTACCTGGCTTCTAAGGTTTGATGCGTTGCTGAGGTGAAAGTGAAAGAGGCCAATATGTACACACCGGCCCATAAATATCTGACCTCGGGGTGCTGGCCGACTTGTCTTCTTTCCAACCTACAAATTTCCTCTCTCTTGCTCGGGCCCTTATCCGATCTCCTCGACTGCAGGTGAAGTCCATCCGATACCACTTTCTACGCACCGCCGACGTCTATCGGGTGCCTTGCCTGCACCTCCCTGACATCACCGCAAATTCTTTGCCGCGGATTTTCATCTTTGCAAACAAGGCCAACAAAAGTAAGTGTGCCCATTGCATGCTATTGCAAGAATAGTCTCACTCCCGAGATAAAATATAGTACAGCCACAGATAGTGCCGCCTCCTAAAGAGCTATGTACAGTCAGGACACAGGAGAAGCTAATACATGGGCAGAACATGAACCGAGACAACAATAACCTGCCAGACTGGCAGCTCCATGTGGCGCAGATTCTGGCCATGCATGGCTATGGCAGCAGCCAGGTCCGCAATGACAACGGTAATGGTGCTTCGGCTGGAGCAGATACTTCGACTTCGGCCCTTATCGCCCTCTTGGCCAGCAGGCCTCCCGCCAGAGAGTCTCGAGATGCCCAGCGAGACACTCGTGCTAGCACTGGTACGTAAACAACACGCAGGGGAAACACGCAAGGAAACCTCAAAATCCTGTGCCGAACTTTTGAGATCCCTTCTCCTCAGCTTCATCCCCTACAAAACCAAATCCCACCTGCCCTCTTCCATCACAGGAAGAAAAGCAGGCTCTTCGCTCATCAGATATCGATACTTATTCGTCCTCAGGTGGGGTCACCGATTATCGAGAGGCTGTCAACGAAGCTGGTAAGCCACGTACCACCAAACCTCAGACCCCAAAGGGCCAAGTGGAAGGAGCAACCCAACTGATGACCCCTCTCCAGTATCTTCCTCCTCGGCCGCCGGACTTCCAGAGACTCCTTCCAGCCCCGTGTCATCTGATTCCGCGTCCTCTTCCTCTTCCGAGTACGAGGACGACTCGATTTTCACCGGACTTCCTCTAGACATGGATACCAACGTCAAGCTGACCGCCGGTCACTTCGACGAGATGAGCAAGATCCTGATGGCGAAGGCGGGGGATATCAAAACCTATGAGCAGACGAATAACTACTCCATTCAGCACCTCGACGTAAGTAATCTTCCAAACGAAACAAGAGATGCCCGAGGCCCGAGGCCAGAGGCCGCCTCAGGTGTACTGCTTGGTCACCCGTGGCCACTCGTGGTCATGTCACCTCAACGCACGCTGAAAGATGTGGCTGCTAACTTTGTGGAAACTTGAAAGTGGCCTGCCGGCAATCCTGCTGATCCTGCCCTGGTCAGTACTATTGGACCTGGCGCTACTTCTGCGTCCGACGGTGGCAAACCTGTCGTCGACGATGAAGACCGGGCCAACCAAGAGAAGATCGCCCGTATGGTTGCCCGCATCACCTTCGGCGTCGAAGAAAAGATCGACCCCAAGCATCAATTCAGCAAGAGTCTCTTCTTTGGCGACTGGCTCGCCCCCCCAAGCGGCGAGAAGGAGTACTTCATCGAGATCCAAGTCAAGCGCGTCAAGGGCTACGACGCCGCCCTGCTCGAGGAATGCGGAGTTAACCCCGAACTAGCGTTCCTCTCCATGAGAGACGTCGTTGTTGGCGAGGGAGGCGCGGTCACCATCGTCGACCCTAAGAAGGGAATCGCAGCTGTGGATCGACAGATCACCGAGGTCGCTCGGGCCGTGAGGAAGCACAGCAAGGCTGACGGTAAACGCAACGTGTCCGATTGTAGCTCGACTTCCGCGGATACCAGCTCCACTGGCGACGCCGGGTCTGCCCAGCCGGCTACCACTGTCTCAGCCATTGTGACCCCGCCCGGCTTCCCCAGCCGGAGCACCACCCGCGCTGACGTTTCCACTGGTGACGGCGAGCCTCTCGAGCCCCCCGAGGCCATCGAAGGCATGGTGGACGGCTTCCCTATCCGACCCACCCCATTCATCCCCCTGCAGCGCGTCCCCGCCAAGCTCGACGCGGCCGCCACCCGCGCCAACTTCCGCAAGGAGCTGATGAAGCACTTCGAGCACCTCGAGGCCAAGGTCCCCGCCCCACGGAACTGGACCATGCGCGTGGCCAACTCGTTCATCTACATGGTCAAGGTCATCGGCATCCCGCGCCCCGCCGGCGCCGTCAACACCTTCACAGGCCCTGTCGTGGCCGACCGCAACTCGACCCTCCTGGCCATGGGCGGCTGGGTCGTGCCCCCCCTCGAGGAGCGCGCCGCGTACCGCGCCGCCAACCCGCACCTCAGCCCCAAGCCCGCCAAGCGGCCCCACGGCGTCAAGACCAAGCCGTCCGTCCAGCGGGCCATGCCCACCAAGCCCGACATTAGCGAGGTCGGCCAGGCCAACGCCATGGGCGAGTTCCCGCCCCTGTGGATGGAGGTGGGCGACCCGACGCTCGAGGACGTCTACTGGATGGTGTGGGAGCTCTACGGCGGCCGCCAGTTCGTCGGCTTCCGCTGCGGCACCGCCTTTGGCGTCTCCCGCAAGGCCGCAAGCGCCACCGACGCCCTGGCCCAGAACCCCTTCCGCTCGCCCTCGCGCGAGGCCGTCTCCCACTCCGCCACCCTGGAGCGCGCCTCGGGATAAAAGGGGGAAAGCGGGGCCGCCGTGCTCGGGCTTCCGGCCCTGCTGCCTCTCTCCGTCCGCCCCTGTTCAACGGGGTTCCTGCCCCCCCTAGATGGGATTGGGAGTAGTCACTGACGGCGGGTCTCGGCCTGGGTTATGTTTTTGCTTTGCCATCGTATTTTACGAATGAACAATGCTGGCTCGCTCGGAAGAGACGAGCAGCCCCTACGCGCCCACCGTCCCAGCCTGAATATGGTGAATTGCAAAGTGCTGCCAGAGTAAATAAATCCGCCCGTGTATTAATGTCCCGCGATTCCCCTACCGGAGGTTTCCAAAGTATAAGTTGGCCCCCGTTCCCTGATTTTGGCTCATCCCTTTCGGGCATCGTGCATGGAAGCTGTGTTATCAATGACGTAGGGGGCCTGAGGTCTGAGCGGAATGCCGTCCACTGACTGTTTACTCGAGTGTTGCTGAACACTTGGGGTCGGAAAGGGGTAGAAAACTCTTCGTCTCTGATGCCCGGTCTTCGTTGAATGAAGTGCGCGCGTTCTTTTAGTTGGTGGTCAGCAGGTGCTGGTGAGATTGGTGGGCGCAATGAGAAATTGTCACGATGGTATTCAGGGGTTAAATACCTCCCGCCGAGTTGGAGGAAAAACCGGTTTGGAGACAAAACCCACTGGCTATTTAATCTGCAATCGGCCTCAGACTAGAATCTGGGCCTGAGACATCCTTAAACTCCCATCTCATGTGTAGAAGTTAGTTCAGAGGCTGTTCAATTGCGAATGCCTCATTCCATTCGACTCCATCCACCATTTTCCACCTCTCCCATCCCGCATATCTGAAGGAAATGCCCTTCTTCCCAATCTGCCAATATAAGCCATCCCATCACTCTCCTCGGAAAGAGACAGCCTAGCCCAATTCAAGAACCCCCCACCGTCGATCTCTTTCCATCAACGGACACAAGCGATCGAGCCAATGCGGGCTGCCCTAAGTCCCGCGGCCATAAAAAGAAGTGCCTGCTGCCGATCGCAGTGGCGTAAAAAAAAGAATGAGCTCCCCAACGCCTCATGCAAGCATCATAGATCCGCTACATCGTGGCTTTCGCCCGCGTCTCCTCCCCCATCTACCACAGTAGGGGTTAGATGGCCCCGCGGATGATGAGTCCGCCGTAAAGATATCATGAGCCCTCGCCCCCGCCGACGTCCTCTGGCCAAGCTTATGAGCACTGGCGGGGGTGTAGGAAGCCACTTGGCCCTCATCTCATCACTGACGGCAGAAGTAGACAGCCCGAGACTCGTCGATCGTGAGTCTTGCGCCACAACTGCCCCTGTCGACCTCGACTTGCCGATGTCATTGGCTCACCGTGACCAGACGAGGGTTCTCGCCGCTGTGGCTGTACGGGCATTAGTATATAGTAGTGTGCACAAGCAGGGGGGTATCGTACCGGCTTGTGGCAAATGATCTGCCCACCGAAAGACTCGCCGGCTCAGTGAGAGCTGGCCCAGTGCCATGGCCCCGGTGGGAACGCCCCGGCCTCTTATCACTTCTCCGAAGTCATTGGGGCTGTGGTTACTCCCGGTGGCGATCGACCCCTTTTTCTCCACACAACCAGCTCGTAGAGGACCCCTACTACCCACCCGTGCCACCCTGTACTTCGTGAACCCCCCTAGCAGAGAGGAAGGACAACTACGCGTACCCCTCGAACTGTGGCTCACCAGGTACCCGAGATGATCAGCGGTCTCCACGTGTATCACAGTGTGGCGACAACAACGTTTTGCTGCATCCACCTCCCCCCATTTTCCCTTCTCTCACCCTTTGAGAGGAAGCGTAGCCATTGGTTCGGCCCGAGCACTACCATGTGCCCAATTACTCGTGCTTCTTTTCCGTCCCTTGCTGAGCTGAAGCCTGCGTGGCCGGTGGCGATGAGGGCTCCAAGGGTTATCAACATGGAATGGATGGGAAGTACTTCGGCCCCACGAGCTCACGGATCGGTCGAATTACCATCTCCGTTCCCAACGAAGCGACTGGATGCGATTTCCGACCGTCTCTCCGCCCGCGGCTATGGTTTAATAGCCCCGTAGGCTCCAGATCAGCCAAGTAACCATTTGTCGCCACCGGTGTGGCGTACGTATGTATACTACCCCCCATCAATCCCAAAATAACCGCCATATCGTGGCGGGTGAGCAGACCAGGTACTGGTACATGGAGGCCAGCTAAGCGGCCTTCTGCATCAAGCATCGGCACGTCGTGCTTGCATGACGCGCTGCGCTGCGCTGCACGCCGTCGGGAACCCCATTTCTAGGCGCTATTTGTAGAGAGATCACTATCGACGAGAGATCCAGGGTCCAGGCTTGGGTGTGTGATTTTCCAGGGACCTAGATGGAATTGACGTCTCCCGCCATGATTGTTCCGCTTTGCCAATAGTCCCGAACGCGCTTCGTTATCCCCACCTCGCAAATTCGCGAGGATTTACTAGCTCATGGGGCTGGGCCTCGTTGTTAGGGCAATATGTCGCTCTCCTTGCATATGCAGGCGATTGCTGTTTAAGTGGCTGGAAGTTGGTCCGCCTCTTTCTTCGATCCCGTTCCGTTCCACAGCGCAATAGGGCTTGATTCAGGCAAGATTGGTAGTTTGCCCATCGAGGCGTTAATTAGACTTCTTTGGGAAATACCAATCGGAATGTTGGTATTATACTTCTTTTGATTGAAGAAAGTGATGTATCCTAGAAGATCAGTCATATAACCCGAGATGGGGACTGTTTTCTGGTCGCTCGCCCACCTGGATCTTGCAGCTAGTCGGATATCGTTCCCCCCCCCTAGATATTTCTTTTTCTTCCCATTGCGGCGTCGTACTTCCTATTCCGCAGTAAGACACGGTCCGGCAGATTGGAGAGGCTCCGTGAAGGACGGCAGCTGCGCCTTCCGTCTGTGGCATTAGCCTTGGCATTCCCGCCTTGCACTTCCTGCCAGAGCGATTGGGCGGCGAGGAGTAAAGGCGGCGGAAAAGCACTGCACGAGGCCCAATAGACCCAGGACACGCCGCGAGCTAGTACGGGTATCGCGTAGCCGAGCAAACAGGTAGCGACGTTGGTGAATAGGGAACTGCCTGATCTCGAGGGTGAAACCCCCCGGTTGCACAAGCTCGGTGGCGGTACACGCCCGCAGGTGCCAGCTGACGCGGAGCATGATGGTACATACGAAGAGCCGTTAGTGGTTATGAATGCCAACGTGGGACGGTGTTTCCGGGGGAGATGTCCGGTGAGGAGAGATGCACACAAATCAAGAGGGGGATCTTTTTGAACCAGACTACCTTGGAAAACCGTCCTCTCGCTTGAGTGGTAATACGGGTGATCAGCTGGGAGAAGAGGGGATCGCCCCTCAGCGTGACTGCTGACCGTTGAGGCATGTATGTACAATACCTCCCTCGCGACTGCGCCCGAGGAGAAAGTTCGCCACGCCAGCCCCATAGCGTGGGGAAAAGGAAGCGACTTGCCACAGCTCGAAATCGGCGAGGTGCACACGGTGCAATACCTACCTACCTAATTGTCACTAGCTGGACTTAGCATTTCGCGGGTCTGGATTCACAGTGGCTCTTCAGGATGGGCCTGGCGCTTCTCTTAGGCTGGTCGGGATGGAAGCCAATCGGCGTCCTTCATGAGGGAGACCCGGAGAGACCAGCGCAAGCGCCGTCAGAAACGCCGGCCCAAGGAGGAGATGCTTGGGAGACAACCAACCAGCACGCGCGGTCAAAGAGCCGGATAAGCGGCTTCGAATGGACTTTTCGTTTCCTCCTAACTTGACATCATAAACATTTCCTAAGTGGAGATGGCACTCTCAGTAGGGTCCTCTCTTGACATATGAACCGAATCTCTCATTAATTATCCTGCAGTTCAGGAGTGTCTCCTGAGTCTCAAGTTAAGCGTTTTGAACGCCTTGGCAGGGGTTCCCTGCTCCCGCTCCAGCCCCTTGGCCTGGGCCTCCTCCACCCCCAATATAAAAGGAAGTCGTCGAGATGATGATGGCCAAACCAAAGTTAAATACTATGATAGAATTTGGTTCCAGAGAAAAAAATGGAAGAGAAGCGAATCGATATGTGACAAACACCCCAACAGGCCTTCCTTCCCCTAACAACAATAACAGAAGAAGGTTTAAAAAGGGGGAAAAGGAAAGGGAAAACCGAAAACCGAAAATAAGCAAAAAAAGGGATATTCGTGTGCCTTTGCCCATGGCTTCATTTCTAAACCGCCGCAATCGTGAATTCCTCAAAGCAATAACCCCAACCCCCCCCCCCCCCCCTCCTTCCCCCCCCAAATGGACCAGAAAATATTTCCACAAGTAGCCGCCCCTCTAAGACTTGGTATTTATGTCCACAAAAACGTGGAAGAAACGCGACAAAAACTGGCCGGATCGAGGGCCCTTGGTATCTCAGAACAAATAGTTTCGAAAGAACATAACATCCCAACCGAATGTGTTTTTTCGTGCGCGCGCGTCCGTTTGTCGGCCTTGCGACATACAGAGTTATAGAAAGTGTCCATGGCCCCCAGTCTAGATGCCCAGTCTAGATGATGTCAACGGGAGATCTTGCCCTCATGTGTTCGTTCGTCCGAATATCGTGAGAAGGAAAAATCCAAGTGGAAAACTAGAACGTGAGTCGGAGTTTATAGCCAGGTTGCTTCGTTTCACCTCCGCCGGGTGAATCAACGGCCATCTCCCACTCTCCCTTGGCTGGGGGCGCTTGGCCATTGACTTCTGTAATGTCGAGAATCATGTCCTGGCCTTCCTCGAGCTCTCGAATTACGTCGTCGTCCATCTCGACCTCGAGACCGCGTGGCAACACACGGACTGTTCGGACAACTTTTGCTGGGTCAAGATTCCATTTTGCCACAAGCCGCCCTGCGAACTCCTTGGCCGTTCGCTGCATCAAGTAGACGGCCCGGTGGCACTCGCTCGCGCCTTCTGGTCCCGATGAATTCCGCTGGGCAATGTAGAAACAAGCGACCGGCTTCATCGTTCGTTCAGAAGGCGGCTTGTAAGAGGGGTCGACCCCTAATGCCTCGATCCAGTTGATCAAGTTGCCAGAGTCATCACGAGACTGCTTGACCTTGATCGGCTGATCTGAGCCATGTCTGGAGTCGGCGGAACCGACCCCGTTGAAGTCTTTCCAGTGCGCATTCGCCCCGCCGACTGAGATCTGTGAATGTAGCGAGAGGGAACTTGGTGACGGCGATACCAGAGATGAGCCAGCAACCGAGCTTGATTCACTTCGCCAAGGCACGGGGTCTCTCGGCTCGACCTTGGTCAAATCGGCGGGTTCTCCGGGTAGCGAAACTGGGTTGAGGTCGGGATCGTCGAGTTCATCGCCACGCAGATACAGGACGCTCACTGGCCGGGTGCTCGTGAACATATCCTGCAGCGTTTGGAGCTTGTAGTGTAGGTCCTCCTCGAGCGGGAGCCTGCCGCCGCAGCCAGCCGAGCTAGCTGAAGACATGGACCAAGTCCGCTTGTGCTTCTGCACCTTCCCTGGCCGATGGGAGTCCTGGGCCTTCGCTTGGGGTGCGCCAGATCTCTTGCGTTTTCCAAAATCCTTCATCCCGCTTTCGGCTTGTGCAATCTGTTGCTTCAGCTTGTCGATCGACTTCTTGACATGCGCCACATCATTTGATAGCTTTCGCTCGGCACCGTGATCGCGGAATAGCTTGACCTTGCAATAACAATTTTCTGTTGCTGATTCGGGCGGTACCTGCGCCGGGTCCGACGGGAGCGGGTTAGTTTTGGCACAGAGCCTGACGGGAATTCCCTTGACGCCTTTTGAATGGCTGAAATCGGTGGATAGGAAGTTGAAGCGGACCGCGATATTGCACTCGGCTGCGCCGTTGGCTCCTGGCGTCCATATGACGGAGAATCCGTTGAAGGTGGCCGTCTCCAATTCGACCCGGGTCCTTTTATCGTCCCCGTCGGCTGGTTGGCCGGCCTCGACATACTCGACTGCCTGCAATTTCCCGCCTCGCTGGTGAGCCTCGTTTGTGCCACGTCCTTCCTTCCATAGAGTCCAGCATACTCCGGGCTTCAGTCGCTGCTGCTCATCTTCAAAGGAGATTCGTACGTATGTCCGGAACCGAGTCCCTGGAGCATGGGGGATCGTTGCCATCGTATCAACAATAGAAAGCGTGTAGGGTTGCCCTTTATTAAGGTAGGTGACGGGGATTTCGTCCGCATGCTTGATCATCGCCGTTGGGGCATTCAAGGTCGCGTGGAAGCGAAACTTCTCGGCGGATGGCGGGAGGGTTATTACAGTGGCAGCCATGGACATGCCGAATCGCCCCTGCTGAAGCCCCATCATATGTGCTTGGCCGTGTATGCCGTTGTCGATGGACACCATGCGCTCCTCTGCGGAGCCGGAATCCATTGGTGATGCGTCCTGGTCCATTGTCTCATAACCTGTATCCTGGTGGACGAAGGTGGCCGGCGCGTACGAGGGCTGCTGTGGCGGAGGCTGAATGAATGGATTGAAGTTATGGAAGTGTGGAGGAGCATGAAGCGTCTGCTGAAAACTTGCGAGGTTCATCATCCCGGCGCCAGAGTGCATCGTGCCCTCTGTGGTGGGCATCGATAAGGGGGTCCCGAGACCCATGCCCAGACCTAATGTTGGCGTGTGCAGATCTCCAGCTTGCGGATGATACAGGGTATTGTTGCCCCCGGGGGTGGGAGTGTAGTAGCCCGGAGGCATATTGGAGAAGGCATTGAAGGAGAAGGAGTTGGGGTCTAGTAGCGAGGGCGTGAACCTCCATGGCTCATTCGACGCCCGTGGGGTAGGATCCTGGTCTCGGAAGGCCTCATGGCCTACAGCTTGGGATCTACGACAACCGCCAAGTCAGTATAGAGCGTCTTGTAGCTCGCAGTATCGCGACACGGGCAGACAGCATCGCGATGGGAAGGCGGGCGCAACCTCGCGCCAACTCGCCGCTTCTTTGCAGGAGAGGGTTTGAACCTCACAGACGAGGCGAATGCTGTACGAGCCGAGTCGCAACACGCGAAAGGGGGGGAACAGGGGCAAGGCAAGTTGAGAAATTCACATACCTCTCTTGGGAGCCAACAGGAATATCCGTCCCGGCAGCGGCGACGGCTGTTCTCGCCGGGCCGGCACTCGATGACGAAGATGTTGCTGCAGACACCTCGGGGAACTGCTGCCTGAAGTTGGCGAGCAGTTCGTCGCCAGGCTTTTGCGAGCTTGTCCTAAACGGCGCGGACCTAAGTTAGCTACTAGCACACTAGCATAACCGCATTGCGCACGCCGAGGGAGGTGCGGCGCAGGAGATGGCTGTGCCGAGGACCGTCGCGTTTCTCCTTCCGATTAGGTGAACAGAGGGCGACTGCGTACCTTTGCCGGAACATGGCGTGAAATCAACTAGCTGTCCAGACAGCAAGCCTGACGAGTTCAAAAGTAACGAGCGTTGGCCTAAGCCTTTTTCCTTCTCCCCGTTCAGTTAACGACCCCTAGGCCAAGCTTGTACTGATTTGCGCCAAACGTTGAGTTTCTGGCTGTGGTTGGTGGGTGAAAGACTTCTCGATGCTTGGGTCGATTCTCAGGGTTCTAGCCTCGAAACCATGTATGGTTTTTGCTGACGACAAAAGAACGACTGGCTGTGGCGCGTATTCACTGTCGCGTGTCGGAAACGTGGAGTCCGAGGAGAGGGAGCAGGAAGCAAGAGCCAGATTTTTGGAAACTGTGTCACAGAGTCCCGAAACGAGAGGCGGTAAGAGGGGGAGAAAGGGAGAATTGTAATGGGTGTCGCTTGTATATACCTAAGCAGCTAAGGCAATCCTGACTTTAATGGTGCTGTGGGTTCGGAAGGTACGTACAATACTAGAGTTAAGGTATACCTAGTACATGTAGCGGGCCCGACAGAGATCGTGTCCTCGAGTTCTCGCGTGGGAGTCTGAGAAGGCGGATGGACAATGAAGAGAGAGCATGGGGGAGGTGTGGAATTTTGGATAATAGGGCCTGGTCCTTAACCCCATCTGCATAGGTACCATTTCGATGCGACGGATGACGGGCGGGGGGCGTGGGTGTGTGCCCATAGGCGGCAGCCGGTGGGGTCACCTTCCGGCTGGAAAGTCACGAGACAGGAGGAGGGAAATATGAACTAGTCCCTTGTACTGTACCTTCTCGCCCTGGATTCAATACGGACGCACCCGCTGTGCGCCTAGTAGGATGGGCTCCACAGCCACCTATGCGTGCCAAGCAAAGGTACCTAGGTACCTTCTTCCTAAAAGCCCGTCCCTATAGCACGAAATTCCGCGTAGCCGGTTGCACGTCGGACGAGCTCCGAAATAGCGAGTCGTAGGTGAACATACACCAAGTCACCCCTTGTAGGCCTTGCGATGGAGGCTAGGCACTTACCTAGACTCTCGAAGTTCGTTCTGTCCACCTGCTCTGTTGCCACATCTGGGTGAATACCTCGATGCTCTTAAGACGAAGTCTCTGTGCCGGTACAAAATAGAGTATTCCCCCCTAGGATGGATGGATGGATGGTACAAATTAGGTAGCGTACCTACCTAACCTACTAGGTACCTGTGTATGTACTTATAGTATAAGGTACACATGCCGAACAACCTAAGGTGGTATACACCATTCGAGCCGACAAAGCGCAATCCTGCACAATCCCATCTACAGAGTGACAGCTTTCCGATAGGCAACCTCAACTCGGGCCGGGGTGTGGGCTCTTTCCGCCTCGTTACGTATCCTCCAAAAAATCCGCGCCGGATCAGCAAGGACACTCCCTCTTCCAGGTGCGCTAGCACACTAGGTGGTGCGGCTAGGGCATGTCTCTGATCGAATACATACTGTGCTACTACTCTAGTACATAACATCCCTACTATACTAAGTATATAAATCTGTATCTGCAGCTTAACCCCACCGTTCACGACAGATTGTAAGCGCGGCTTCCGGTCGTGGTAGCTCGTCGGCATCGCGATAGATGGCCCATGGTGCTCGCGAAACCCATTCAGCATGTAACTGCGACCTTCCCCCTTCGTAATTTTGCGTACTCAGTCGGGCTCAGGCCGCCCACGTTTTTCCCTGAGTACTTGGATGCAAAGCCCTACACGACCATGGACGTCCCGTCTCCCCACCATTGCGACTGGCTCGAAAATTGTCCGACAAGGATCCCGCTGTATGGAAATTCGGTCGAATTCCAAAAGTACGCAGTATTCCGATGTGCTAGGGCCCTCCAGGGCTCTGAGTGGGGGAGCGGTCTGGAGCTTTTACTCCTACCCCAGTCACTCTAAACGACACCTGGATCAAACATGACGTCATTGTGGCTTGCCCCTACCCCGCTTGCCATCACCCCCAAAATGGGCTCCCAACAGCGACAGTTGGTTGTTTACATTGAGGTCGATAGACCTGCCTAATTTCGTACCTCCCAAGTGTAGACGAAGGTCATGGGTAATGGATAAGAAGGAGAATCCCGAGGCTGACGCCACGACGTCCCAAATCCTTTGTCTATGTATAACTTTGGTACAGAGCCTCGGCTATTCTTGCCAATGGCTCCACGGTGCTAAGAAACGGTCTTGAAACATCTCATCTAGAGGTACCTATATCAACGCAGAATCAGCCCCGCTCGCTCTGAGCAGTGCACCCCGAGCGATGAGTTCGGTCTCTCTCGACCGAACACAACTATGCACATGCCAAATGCATTACAATAGTACGGAATACTAGCGAGAGGAAACAGTACGGCTTCCTCGACTGCAGGGACCACCTGGCTAATACAATACCGTACTTGCCCAGATTATTCCAGCACCGCCTGTAAGGACCCTCACTACCTTACCTACCTCTAGGTACCTATACTGGGTACGCAGTACACAGTAGGTAGGTACCTAGGTAGTGAGAAGATCCGAACCTACCTAGTTACCAATCCGACGGTCCTTACATAATATCCTATCGACCCCTAGTATGATCAAGGTTCCACCTTATCATAGGTACGAATGGCCAAAGTGGCATAATCGGTAGTTGTAGAGAGAAAGCCGTTGAGAAAGGAGGATCCTGACTCACGAGTCCTCTTTCGTCCTAAAGCGAGACCCGTCAGCCTCAAAATAACATTTGGATCAAGAAAGGGCACGTGAGTGACAGAGTAACTGAGTGACTGTCTTCAAAAGGAAAAACTGGATGTCGGGTAACGATCTGAGGTGTGGCAGAATACCATGCGACCAACTAATCCTCCTAGAACAACTATCAAGATGAACTTGATAACTCATTTGTTTGATCTCCAAATCATATCTCCCTCAGAATGAAGCCGCCCGAGTCGCTAAAGAGCAGTTTGATTATTTACAGAAGGTGAATGGGTATTCTCTCTGGTCTTGATCATTTCACAACTGAGCGAATTTAGGGACAGTTAAGAGGCTTCGGAGAGTCAGAAATATTTACATAGTCCACCTTTGGAGCAACTAGAACGAAACACACAACTCCACTCCCGATCGAGTACCGCCATAAGTCAGAGAGACCCTTATTTCAAGAATCTATATTCATTCGTCTTTGACTGAGTCAATAACTCTCGCCCTCATTTTTTTTTTCGCTAGCAGAAACTTCCAGGAACAGCCACATGGAAGAGTTCCAATTTGGCGACCTAGAAGGGAGAGTACATATACTTCCTGTCGTTGGCAATTGATCGAGTTTGGCGAGGTACAGTACTTTCTCTTGGGATTCATGTAATACAAGGGTTATCCTAGCATTACATCTGATTCGCCGAGCTGCAATAATTTATGGAGCCCATCATACGATGGCTCGAAAATGACGTCAAGATTCGGTAGTCGCCTAATTGACAAGGGTCTTCGGCTTAAGGGGGCATCCAATAAAATTCTTCTGTTTTGGCCCCGGACTTGATTAGCCTGTGGAAACAAGTGTGGGAACGGCACCCTCCGGAGACATGGCGGAACAGCTTACACGCGCGAGATGAAACAGTCGCGTTCAATCAATTCCATCCCTTCCAATAAAATTCTGGGATGAAACCATATCTCCTGCCCTATCCGTTCTCAAAATCTCTTCTATAGAGTATGTGCAATTTATGCCGAGGAGAGTCAACGACGTCATCCCGACAAACGGCGCGACGGACCCGGCCTCCCGCCTATCTGATAAACTACCTATTCGTGAAGCCCTCACCCTGAGAATCGGGTCGGATCCACGGCAAGGCATCCCTGATCGACCCTCTTCACCGAAGGGGACCCTTTGGCCAACCCGAGGCGAGGTGCCGATGATGTCATCGCGGCTTGCACACAGGGTGCGATGCCCGAACAAATCCCGGAATGCGCCGGGGGTGCGCCACATGCCCTACTCGCTAACGGGTGGGTAGGTGCCACACCTGGCTGGCAAGAAGGACCTCCTCTGTCAAGTTCTTTTCGACGGCGCACGTTCCTGACTCACGTCTAACAGACCGAATCGCACCTTCATAGGCATGCGTAAACACTACACTCTCAAAAACCGCAGCCCACTGGGGCTACTTAGTTACATATCCCAATAGTAGCGCATACCCGGGTGCCTAAGAATGCTTCCAGTATTTCCGGTGATATCTGCGTTCTAGGTGTGGGTAATTGTTGACCAAGCATTAGAAATTGGAAAATCCACCGAAGACTTGGTTTACTTGCAGTCAGACTGAGGCATGGAAGAAGAAGCATGTATCAACTGGCCATCCAATAGCGACGATCTTGTTTGTGAATTGTCTCACCCAAGCTCTTGTGCGTCGGAGCGTAGTCATCTTTCCGGCCCCGTGCGGACTCCGTAGGTCCGGTGTCGTGCTGGCCAGCCTCCGATCACCATAAAAATTTCCCATATTCAAAATTTGTATCCCATCGGCAATCGTCGGTCCTTAGACCGGAGCCCGGTCAAGGGCCAAAATTACCTAGTGCGACTTTTGCAAGATGAAGGTATAAGTACTGTACCCTCTGACGAGGTCTGGTTTGTAGAGTACAACCTGGAGGTGGTTGTGGGATTCAGGCACGACCGGCCAGCGTCCGGGGTAGCCTGACCAGCTGATGATATCATGTCGTCATTGCCAAGGACAACCCCCCAAAAAGGAAGGGGGAAAAAGGACAAGACTCACACCAACAGGATCCTCATCTGCGCCAGGCACAAAAGGACCCTACATGATTCCCGAGTTCGAAGTTCGGTCTCTTTCATCATTCTTGCTCATTCCGTTTGTCTGACTCCGGGCACAATCCCGACCGTCATTACATTTACGGGCATGTTCGTAATTTGCGATGATCACTTCGGGGACAATTCGAAAATCCCTGGGAATATCATTTTTATTTTTGGAGGATCAGCGCCCTGAAGACGCCACCCCCCAAACCAACTCCTCACCAACCGTTGCCTTCTGACATAGGTACCTGATAGGTAGTAATACAGTACATACGGGGGTTGATTGGACGCGACACCGTTCCAGAGCGCGCTATGGTAAGAGGCGAGCCGTATCTTGGCTGCATAACGCCCCGTTGCTACAGTGGCATCCGTTCTATTTGGACCTCCTTCTCCCTCCGTTCCTGCGTATCTGCCGTATCAATGCGACACTGGTATTAATTACGGGCCACTCCCCTTTCTAGGACGCGTGGTTCTCTTTTGTCTAAATGGGTGCTATCGATTCTTCTGGGGGTGGCATCTAGCTGTATCCTCCCAGGCGTTAACGTGCAGGGCCTGGTTGTAGTTACCGAGTAACCGAGTAGTTGGGTGCCGAGGATGCACCCCATGGCAGATTGGAACAACGGCACAGTCTCATTAAATGATAGACTCAACTACATATAGAGAGCTTCTATGCTGTCGTAATTGGCAGGGTGGTATCCGCCAGCTATGCGCTTGGGTGATTTTACCGCTAGATCAAGGCATGTTCGTCCAGAACCAGGCGACCGGGAGGAAAAGGGGGGGAAAGGGGGAAAAGGGGAAAAGGGGGAGAACCGAAAGGCAAGTTAGTTACCATACCTGCCTTCAGGTGACCGGTCGGCTTCGCAGTCAAAGTCAACAAGCCGATTAGCCTTCAAGTCGTATGTGTTGGGGCTATATATATATATATATACGGTTCACGTGTTGTAGCTCATCGAGGTTGCAAAGTCGGAGCTCGTGGCGAAATGATTGGCCCTGTGGCAAAGGTGAGAAAAGTGGGAGGAGAAGACTCCCCGATCGCGCAAGCCGACAAAGTCGAAACTCCGTTGGGATGAAGAACTCGACTAGTTCTCAATAAAATTTGATGAGGAGAGAACTTCTTAAGCCTCTCTTCCAAGAGAACGGTGCTAGTCATGGCCAGGCACTCTGAAACGCTAACTTTTGAGGGGTTCAAAGCTTGGTTTAGCTACCGACAAAATACAGTTTCAACCATCCCTTATCTAAAGCTTATCTAACCTGGCAACCACGTCTTTCATCTCTTCACCTACTCGCTTTCTTGCTCCTCTCTTTTCGAACCCCGCTGGCACAAGGCCTCGTTTTGGAGGAGACATATATAGTTTTGCCGTTGTCGGCGGAAGAATACCTTAGCTCCTGCGCAAGTCGCACCTTCAGGCTCTTTCTCGAAGTCTACTTGTTCTGAAGAGGCAAGGGACAATGCCTTCGACGTCGTCCTCCTCCCCGCCGGCGACGTCGACTCCCGCCAGCACCGTTTCAGATTCGTCGGCGCACAATCCACAGGAAGAGCCACCGTCAGATGGCTCCAAGCTGAAGACCTTTGTCTCCATTCTGAGAAAGTAAGTTATCACTCCTTCCTCTCGTTGTCCGTTGCCGGACCTCCTCCTGTGGGCCAACCCCGCATCGCCAGCACGCATCCGACATGGTTGACCGCATGGGAGGCCGAGGATGGCTTCAAATCGCTACCCTGTCTGTCCCAAGGGGTTGAACTGTGTCGCATGGGTGGATTTTATATATTGGGCCAAACACGAAATTCTTTGTTGCGCTCTTGCTCACACTCACCGCCTTGGCAGGTTCATCGGTGTCGCCGATCTCGCTTCAGTCCGCTTCTCCTTGCCCTCGCAACTCCTCGAGCCGACTCCGAACCTCGAATATTGGAACTACCTCGATTCCCCCAATGCCTTTGTTGCTATCGGGACAGCGGATGAGCCTGTGGACCGCATGCTGGAAGTTTTGCGCTTCTGGTTTACGAAGGATCTGAAATACGCCAAGGGGAAGCCGTGCAAGCCATACAATTCATGCCTGGGAGAGTTCTTTAGGGTATATCCCCACTTGCGACAGCTTAAACCATGTCGTCAAGAGGTCTCAAGACGAGTTGGGTAGCTGACCCGAGCTGCAGTGTAACTTCGAAACCGACAATGATGCCCCCAAGATCAACACACGGGCGCTCCAAACTTCGTCGGGGAGCGGGAGCAGCGCCTCGAGTACAAAGTCTGGCCGTGGTTCAGTCCCGAGGGGCCTTGGATCGAACGACTCGAATGCCGCCTCGACCGTCTCCGTGCCGCAAACCGTCTCGAACCCCTCTAAACCGGTCCGCGTCTCGTATCTTACCGAGCAAACATCTCACCACCCGCCGGTCAGCGCATTTTACATCAGCTGCCCCGAAAGGGGGCTCCATGCGAGGGGCTTTGACCAGATCACGGCTAAGTTCACGGGAACATCGATCAAGGTGATGCCTGGGGAGCACAACCTGGGAATCTTCATCACTGTTGAGAAACGGGACCACGAGACGTACCAGCTCACGCACCCGGCGGCCCATGTTGGCGGCATATTCCGCGGCGCCCTGAGCGTTACCGTCGGAGACATGGCTTACATCACCTGCCCCCAGACGAAACTCAAGGCGATCCTGCACTACTATGACGAGGGTTGGCTGGGCCGGTCTACGAACAAGGTCGAGGGCATCATCTTCCGGTACGATCCCGAGAACGACGACAAGCAGCGCATCAGGGACGTCCCCGAGGAGGATATAGTTGTGCGGCTTGGCGGTGCGTGGAGGGACAAGATCTTGTTTACGTTGGGTCCTAAGCCAGTGGTATGTCTCCTCCCCCCCCCGACCTCTCCTCCCACCCCAGGAATCCTCTCTCCTGTAGATATGTATGCTTACACCTCACTCGCAGGATTCCCACCCTCCCGAGAAGCAAACCACAATAATCGACGTTGGGCCCCTCTCGGTGGCGCCGAAGGTGATCCCTCCCGAGGAGCAGCAGCTGGAGAACGAGTCCCTCCGCCTCTGGGGCGGCGTGACCAAGGCGATCCACGCGAAACAGTTCTCCAAGGCCACGACGCTCAAGCAGGAGCTCGAGGAGGCCCAGCGGGAGAAGGCGCGCAACCGGGAGCGGGCCGGCGAGGCCTGGAAGCCCACCTTCTTCGCAAAGGTCACCGACGAAGGCGGCAAGCCCGAGCTGACGGAGAAGGGCCGCGAGGTGCTCGGGCGGGCGCAGAAGGGCGACTGGGATCTCGCCGGGGTGTTGCCTGGACATGTGGGGGAAGTGGGCCCTGCGACGGATGGAGAGGTGACAAGAGAAATATGATGAAGCCGACCCGTTTGCTCCTAGATCTACCTTGTGCCGTACTTTCAGCGGAGTTGACTTTCCTTCCGGGGAATTGCATTGTCTGAGTGGGCGTGTCGTTGCGGAGTGAGGGGTGGACTTGGATGGATGGATAGATTTTCGTTGTTCTTTAGATTATATTTGCTTATTTTCCCCCTTTTCTTTTTGCATACCTAGCACTCCGAAGCCTCGGGGTTTGTCTAATATCGGTTGGGTGGAGTTTGGACGCATCGCCGTGATCAGATCACGGTATCATTATCATTCTCTCAGTTTTGGATGTCTTCGCGCGCCAGGCTGGGACTGGGGAAGTCTACCGTCCGCACGTCATACATGGGCACACAGGGCGCAAGAGAGGCCGAATCATATATCAAGATGTTGACGGCGGAGTTAAATGGAATGATGGGTTGGATAAGCTACGGCCTCCCTAGTAAAGACGTCGGATCGACGTTGAAGTCGCTGATACCTGCAGTTACTGTTGCTGTATGCACAGAGTATATATCTTTTTCCCTTGCATTAATCCTTAACCCTCGGACCCCCTGGGTGACCTGATTGATGATGTTAACTGGGTTGAGCGGCCTTCGAAGGCTTGCTTATATTACTGCCAGAAGGCAGACTTCATTCTGAACAGCCCCCTACCGTGCATAGGAAAGTCTATAACCGCGGGTAGATAGCTGCATGAACTGGCATATTCGCATACATATACCAACCCCTACTATGACCATCTTTCAAAACAAACGCCCCTGCTTTTGAGCCCCTCTACAAGTGCACTGTAACGTCAACCGCCCCATCTCCAGCCTCCTACCCTACAAGGTGATTCCACCCCAGCGAGAACATAAACGCCACTACCCTTGCTGGATTCCCAACCCCAAACCATGACCGTCCTCCCCTAGCCCCCAAGCATCGTCCTCACCCTCTCCCCGTCCCCGTCCCCGTCCCCGTCCCCGTCCCCGTTCCCTCCCCCTCCCGCCCAACCAAACAGCCCTCTTAACAAGCCTCTGCCTCCCCACCGGCGCCGGAGCCGGCACAACGACATCCCCAAACCCGACGACCCTCCCATCCGGCAGCACAAAGCCCCCCGACCCAGACCCCGGGCCGGGCTCCGACCTCGCAAACATCGTCTCCGCCGCCGTGCCGACAGCCCCGGAGACGACACTCGCCGGCCGCTGCTGGATCCACCGCCCCGGACCCGCCGCGCGGCCCCGCGTCCAGCCCCACCCCAGCCCCATCCCCCGCGACGGCGACGGCGTCGGTGAAAGGGACTGCGACAGGGACAGGGGCAGGGATCGCCCCTTCCCCGCGGCGCCGGCGACTGGAGGTGACGGAGGAGGAGATGGGCCGTCAGACTCGGTGTCGGACGCGTGGCTACGGGTGCGGGTGCGAGTGCGGCGGCTGCGGCGGCTGCGGGGCCCAAAGAGGAGGCCTAGTCGAGTGCCGGGTGTCGGCGGGGTGTCGGCCAGGGGGGAGTGGGTTCGCGGGCTGGCGGAGCTGGGGCGGCGGTTGGGCGGGGATGAGGATTTGTGGGAGGGGTCCCGGGTTGCGGGTCGGGAGGTGTAGCCGCCCGGGATGTGGATCCAGGGTTGTTGGGTGGTGGTGGTGGTCGGCGGTGGGTGGAGGGCAATGGCGGTGGGGAGGTCGCGCTGCGGGAAGGGGAGGGGGAAGGAGAGGGACATGGGGTCGCCCGGGTAGCTCGAGCTGGACGAGGCGAGCCGCTCGAGACCCGGGTGGTATGCGTGTGTCTCCCAGTGGCGGACCGTGGCGGGCATGCTATGGCGAGCGGCAGTGGCGCTACTAACGTCGATGGGGAGCGGCTTAGGGAACGGTGGGGAACGGCTACCCGGGCTCGAGTTCGACGAGCGGGAACCGCGGAATAGTGATCGGGGTGAGAGGTGGGGTTTATCACCGGGTCCTAATTCCCCAGCTTCGTGGCTATTGCTACTGGTGGCTGCCACTGCCGAGGCTTGATCGTCCGAGACGCTCCGCGGCGACTTCAGATTTTCCTTCAATCGTTTCATGGTCGCCGCAGTCCAGGTTGACGGCGCCGCGGCGATCTTGGCTAGACTGGTGGAAAACTCGGCTGGCGATATCGAATACTCGTTCTCGGGCGTCTTGGTCGCAAACGGATCAGCGTAGCAGTTGGCTCCCATGATCAACCGCGGTCTGGGACGAGACCCAGGATTCGGGTTTCCCGCATTCTCGAAGTAGCCTCCTCCACCGATACCCAGAGGCGAGGGCGGCGATGCAGTCCTGATCTTGTGGAGATGGAGCTCTGCTTCACTCTCTGCAGTCACCCTGCTCCGGCCACTTGGAGATTTGGAGCCGCCCCTGATGCCGGAGATTGAGCCCTTTGCAATCTCCCGGCTGATGCTGACTCGAGGGTCGCTGACCGTGCTGTCTCTCCAAGCACCCGCACGCTCATGGTATCGGCAATCCTCAACTCCTCTTGCAAGCCTGCGATGGACTGCTGCAAGCCCCCAATCCGAGTAGGCCTGAGGGGGCTCTAGATACCCCGTATCGAGCCCAAGAGGCTCGAAGCTTGGCCTGTTCGTGGGCGTAGAAACCCCTCCGTACCTACCCCGAGATCCAACAATAGTCCGGGCATCGTCATCATCGTCGTCCGGTTCCGGCGTGGGAGGCATTGTCGGCCTGTGAGGGTAAGGGACATGCCAGTGGTAAGGGTTATGCACGTAGCCTGAGTCGTAGGGCAGAGGCGAAAGAAGCTGCTGCTCATCATCCAGCAAGGGCCCGAGCTCGTCGGTGCCACTATGACTCGGCGGCGTCATAGAATCGCTTTCCGAAGAACTGTTGGTCCGTTCAAACACGGATGCCGGAGGCACCTCTCCTGATCCGTCTATGATGTGAGTCTGTATGGTGTGAGACAGCTGGTCGATCTCCTTGTCTATCTTCTTCAGGCGCCGCTCGATCTGATCTCTAGTCCGACCCAGAAACTCTGGGGATTTCTTTTCAAACCTGCTCAAATGCTCTACAAGCCTTCGTCCGTGAATAGCGTATCGTCGGTAATCGTCGGGAAGTCCCACCTTTGAATCCTCCCTGATCTTCTGATCCGCCCGGTCGAATGAGTGGCACCAAACAGCTCCCGCGCGCTCCAGCCAGAAGTGGACCTCCTTCCCTTCGGTGAGGGTATCGATGAAGAAGGCTTGAACTACACTATGGATCCGCAGCAGGTCGAAATAGTCGGCGTTCTTGTCGAAGCTTTTCCTAGAGCTGCGAGAGCTATTTGGCGAGATATCATCGCTCTCACTCCGCTCGACCAGAGCGAAGGCGATCAAGACTGCAAGTGTGTTGTTTAGGTTGGCCTTTCGATGAAACGGGTCGCACGTCTTGACGGGCGTCCGATTATCCAGGGCGGGCAGACCTGTCGAACCAGATTAGTTGGAGTAACTTGACGTCTGTCAGGGGTGACGAGCATACCTAATGTAAGCATCTCCACCGGCACATGCTGGTCAAAGAAGACGACCACCGACATCAAATTCAAGGCCGCAGTCGCGCCACGGTGCTGCAGCTGGTCTCGAACCGCCTTGTAAGCCGGGAGACTGCCCGCTTTCGGCCGATTCTTGTAGGATCGCAAGTACTTGGACAGGGGCTCCCTTGTCGCCTTCAGCTGCTGCGCAACGACGTGGATCATCAGGGGTAGGCGCCCCATCAGCTGCACCAGCTCGAGGGTTCGAGCCCGGTCGTCCTGAGTCCAGGGTTTCTTCTTGTCCATCTCGAGAAGCAGGAGCTCGTGGGCTTCCTGTGCCGGGAGCAGGCCCAGCTCCATGACTTGCGGGTTATCGAACTGGTAGTCGCCAGTGACGGCCCGCTCCGTCGACGTGAATATCAGGCTCGTGTTCTTGGCGTCCGGTATGAACTCGTGTAGACCCGGCGTATCGAAGTGGATGCCGTCCAGCACTAGCAGCCAGTTCTCGAGGCCGTTGAGCCATTTGCGCACGATGGCGACAATCTTCCTCGGGTTCCGGAGTTCTTGCACGTCTTCTTGGGCGACCAGCCCCTTTAGAGCCTCGTTCTTGGCAATTCGCCAGTACCAATATTCCATCTCCTGCTGCGACTTTGCCCGCACCCAATACACACCTCCCGGATAGTGGTCTCTATACTGGAACACGTATTGCCGGGCGAGGTGCGTCTTTCCCCCTCCGGGAAGGCATTGGATCAACACAGCCGATGTGCCTTCCGACCTCCGCTTCCGGTCCATGAGCATCTTGTGCAGGCTTTTAAGTTCTTGCTCTCGACCAATAAAGTACGAATTTGGCCGGAACGACTCTGGGCGGATGAAGAGTGGCTCGTCCTTGCGGCTCGACTCGAATTCCTCAGACTGGCTCGGTTCATATAGGGGTGGTGGTATAGGCTCTGGCTCAGGGAGTTCTGGAGTTTCCTTGGGTGGCACGGTTGTCTCATTATTATGTTGAACTACAAATAGCACAGTGAATCAGCCTATGTTCGTCAATGGTCAATTTGCCTTGCGGCCCTCTCTCTCTCTCTCTCTCTTCAACCTTCTCAATCTCGTACACTCGCTCAACAGGCACCTCGACGAGTTGACAAGACAGAGCGTCCATTATGGTGTCGTGAGAGGAACCTACCAATTTCTTGAGTTTGTGCTGCAGTCGGGGACCCCTATTTTCGAGCGTGAGCCCAGGTGCGGATATGTGGGAAAATAGCCGAAACGTACAAGGTGCCTAATCCTCCGCTCACTAACTTCTAGCCTTGCCCGCGCGTCACGATCGTCGAGCTCAACCAGCCATCTAACCTGAATGACGGGGGGAGCTTCTAGCACCCACTCCCTGATAGCAGTGGCCACAATACGGTAACCGGGAGCGTTGACGCTGTCAAATTTGCACATGCCCGAGTGCGTCGCCTCGATCCCATAGTAAGTAACCCCGGGTAGTTGGGGGCTTGCGGAGTTGGAATCAACAACGACGAATCTACTTGTTGATTAGTGACCAGGGGGAACGTTCCAAGAACAGAAGAAAGTGTCGATCACGTACTTGGCCCCCCTGACATCAGTCTTGTGGTTCTCGTGAGCCATGTGGATCATAAAGCGCTGGTAAATGTCGAGAAAGTGGTTGTTAATGTTTTGCAAAGTCTCGTTATCCTTCTTGAGCGTCCTCAGAAGTACAGGCTCGGACTCGAAGAACTTCTTCGGTATGACGGCGTCCGACATGGACTGCAGCACATGACCCCACGTTGCGATGTCCGTTCCCGTGTGCGGCGTGCCGAGGAAGATGATGGCGTAGGTCGATACAAATATCGAGCGGTAGTCTTGGTGGTGGTCATCTCGAAGGTCGTTCGAGTACAGAAGAGCACACTTTGTCAGGACCCCCCCGAGACTGTGGGCAACCCATATTATAGGGTTCTGCATCGAGTCTTCACTCTTTCTGTAATGGGTGAGAGACGTGACCAGAGTTTGGGCATGATGATGGATAAAATTGTTACTGGCACTCCTGTCGTTTCGGCTGGAGTAGACGTCGGCGTTGTAGCCGTACACCAGCACGTTCGCGTGCGCCGTCCTGAGCGACGCTGGAAGCAGGTCAGTGGGCCAGAACAAGCCGTTCTTGGCCGTCCACGACCTTTGCGGGTCGCCATTCAGGCCGTGGATGAGGACGACGTCGACCTTGGCATCGGGATGTGTATAAACAGCTGTGAAGTCGTAACGTGAGATCTGCTTATTGATGGAGCCCTGTATTGGTCGAAAAGGTAAGCAGGCTATGCCGGCAACGGTCCGCACTTGCAGAGGCGGATGCTCGCTAAGAGGTGCATTATTGTTGGGAGCAAACTAACCATGCTTGGTTGTATACATGGGCCAAACCAGCGATCAGCACGCTGTACCAACCAACAGGACAAAAGGATATCGTACAGCGGAATGTCTGCAGGGAAGCTATCATTGGAAGGTAGTAGGAGGAGCTGCCCATGCCCTATATAGGTGCTGGCCCCTGCAGGGGCCGACGGGGATGGCAGTCGGACATCTCATATGGGTTGCCTGGTCTTATGATGGACTGATCGACTGCAAAGAATTCGCCTTGGAGAAGGAGTGGTAATACGAGCATCTATTGGTCACATCTCAGCAAGAAAGGGCCAAAGTTTGGCCCTGGGAGCTCTTCGTCACGAGGCCAAGCTGTCTGGCTGTAAAGGATGTCTGAGATTCGCATGTGGCCAGCTGAGCCATTCTGGGTTGCCCAGTGGTGCCGCCCAGTGCCCAGTGCCCACCCCACGCCGCGTAAGGCCCCCCCGAAGCGGTAATTCTGGCAGGCTTGCGGCTTTGGTTCTGTTCGCACTTGCTTCATTCGTATTTCGCACTGCGTACAACACTGGAGGCTGCAAGGGGAATTTGTAGATCTCCAACACGTGGGGAATACCGGTTACATATGTCCTATTGCCCCGCTAAAGTCGGTCTTACAGCAGAACAGCTGGTCTCGACATCTCTCGCATCATAAAAAGGTCGAGTTCACCGAATACGCTCTTGTGTATGTCTATATCACTCTTTAACTACTTCCAAACCGAGTCTACCCTACAACCGCCACCGCGATCTCGCCCCTTCTCGCTCCTAGCATTCCCTCATAACCCTGTAGACCGGCTAGACGAGGACATTCTCGGAGAATGGCAAACCCCTAAGCTGTCACTAGAGATACCCGAGTAGTAGCCGGCCGATACTCATTCCCAGGTGACCAACAAAGACTGGCGTAGCACCCTATTCTCGATCGTCTTGGGATTGCGGATAGGGACTTCTATTGACATCTTTAAAAAAGTGAGATTCCAGTAGTTCTACAGCCTTCTCGATGACTCTCTGCGAAGGACGCACGCACCCACACGGAATACGATTCATCTCGGCGCAAGCATGAGCACGTACTCTCTCGTGCTCAGGCCGAACTGTACCATGTCCTTGTCCATCAGCTCCAGGTACCTGCTGTCGGGGACCTTCTCCTTGTTCAGCATGGTGCCATTCGCGCTCTCGAGGTCGATCAGATACGGCTTGACCCTCCCAATCTTGTCGCCGAACTCGTTCCTCTTCTCAATGTACCTGAACTGTATCACGGCGTGCTGCTTGCTGATGCTCGGGTGCTCGGCCGGCAGGTCGACCACCGCCACCTCCCTGCCGACCAGCCAGCAGCTCCGGTTGCTCAGCTCGATCGTGTCGACGATGTCTGGGCCCTTGAACACGAACAGCTTCCACTGGTCCCTCGCGGGGGGCTTTCGCGCCTCGGGCGGCTCGTGATATTTCAGCGTGATGGTGCTGCCGTCTTCCTGCGCAACCTGGTTCGACACCGCCGCCAGGAGGCCCGAGTTGCCAAAGTTGGGCTGCTCCTTGGGCTTCTCCGGCTCCTCGCCCATGCTGACCGCGAAGGTGTTATCCTGCGACGGAAGCGGCCCCGCACGCTTGATCAGGCTGCGTTTCTGGTCCCTCTTCTCGTCGTCTGAGCCGCCGCCATCGTCCAATTTCCTCGCCCGTGACGCGCGATGATCCCTGCCTTGCCTTTCTCCCTTGTAATCAGACCTCCTGCTTTTGTCTTTGCGATCGTCGTCTCCCTCGTCATCTCCATGTCTGCGGCGCCGAGACGGGCGATCATCTGGGGAGCGTGATCGTCTTCTGCGGCGATCTCGGTCAACATCCTTATCCCTGCTCTTGTTCCTCTCCCCATCCCTATCCGTATGCCGCGCCCTCTTCGTGCTCGAGTCTGGCGTCCTTGACCGGTTCTGCCGCTCTCGCCGCCTCGACCTCGACCTCTCGCGATGTCTGTGCTGGTCGGATTCTCCGTCGCGATGGCGTCGCTTTCGTTCGCTGTCGCCGCCTCCGCCGTCGTCCTCGCGTTTCCGCCGCCTTATTCGTTGATCGCCGCTCGAGTGTTCCGAATCCATGATCGAGTATGGAGACGGGACTGTATGGATGCCTACTGAGTGAACAAGGCACGTAGGGTGGAAAAAGTTGTGAGGAACGAACAAGGTAGCTGACGGGCCGGCGGTTTCTTGCGGGCCGAAAGATCTGCCTCTTTAACTAGGTAAATTTAGACACCATAATTTATGTAGCTATCGGATTATTTCTTATTTCGGGGGCAGTGAGTTTGTAAGTCAATATTGATGCGTGAAGAATCATGGGCTCCTCGAGTGAACACACCTATTCCCTGATATCTACTGGAAAGACTTATGCATGAATGTATCCTCAAATAGAGCCATATGGGTCCTTCCGAACCACAGGCGTATGTCATGCTAGACCAAACTCTGGAATCTCGCCCATCTCGTTCTTCACCTCACCCTCAATCCGGTAAGACACTCTCCACCGCAGCTTGATTAATTCGACCTTCTTGTTCTTGTCTCCCGCGTGCCATACTTCCACCGTCTGAACAACGCCGGAAGCTTCATTGGGGCCCAGACTCCTCCCCGACTGAGGGCTTAGCTGCAGCTCGAAACCCTGGCGCAGAGTTAATAAGATCAATTCGAATCGATTCCTTGGGCCGGAATTGCGCTTACCTTGGTGACAGCAAGCTGAAAGTGTAAGTCAGAAACAGGCTGCGCCGTGTTATTTGAAAAGGAGAATTTCATCATTATGGAATTTACACTGGGGCCTATGACCCCCCGCAGGGCAAACATGTCTACTTTAATGCTCGTATTGGCGACGACCGCCGAATGCTTAGTCGGTCGAGACGGTGTTTCTGCTGGTAGAGCCGACGAGAAAGACCATTCGTCGTCGTCGCCTGCTAATGCGGACTGCGCTGCCGGAACGGGGGTTGACTGAGCTGCCGGAACAGGGGTCGCGGGCTTGGAGGAGAAAGAGGAGGATGTGAGTGCTGCAAACGGGTCTGCCGACGGGGCCTTGGGAGGGGGGGCAAACGCGGACTGCATGGAGGAGGGAGGCTGGGGAGTGCTCGACTGAGAGGCTGACGGGGCGGAGCTGAAGGCCGAGAAAGCTGAGAAGCCGGGCGGCGGAGGGGTTGGCGTTGATATCGTCCCCTTGGCGCTGTTGTTCTGTGTTATCGAGGACAGCAGGGCGGGACCAGGAATGCCTATCGAGTTCAGTACTGGCAAGATGGGGCGCTGGGGAGTCGTTAAATACTCACTTGTATTGGCACCAAATCCTAGCGCAATGCCTCCGCCCTGCCCAAAACCGTTGCTATCACCAATCGACAGACCCAACAAGTCGTTCTCGATGGAGCCCCCCTGCGAGGATGCCTGTGCCTGTGCCTGTGCTCCGGTAGCCGTGCCGTTAGCATCTGCGTCTCCGTCGAAGTCGATCAGGGACAGCTCGGCGGCGGCGCTCTTTCCGGCGCTGCTCGAGGGGACGGGCTCTCCTCTGGCTATCTTGTTCGCCGCGTCCACATCCCCCTTCTTCATCAACTTGTAGCGCTCGACTGTCCGGTGTATGCTGTCGTTGATCTCCAGGAGCTTGGCAACGGCCTCATGGTCGTCCGACTCTTCCTCGCACATCTTTTGGATCTTCGGCTGAGCGCTCTGCAGCGCTGCCGCGAGCTCTGAAAAGACATCTCCGTCCCTCATCGTGTCGCCTGGCTTGAAACCTTCCAGCCTCTCTTCTAGAAGCCTTGCCTTCTGCTGGATCTTCCCAACGTCTTCCGCAGCCTTGGCCCGATAGTCAACCTTGCTTCTCGTGTCGTAGCCTGCCATTATCTTCATCAGCCTGTTTGCCTCCTGCAGGTCTTCAGGGCTGCCTCGCCGGATGAGCTCCTGCAGCTTGGCCGACTGCGCCTCGCGCTCCTCCTCCTCCATCTCCTCTGCGGACTTCAGGTTATCGCTGGGGTTCAACACGGCCGCATCCTCCCTCCGGACCTCGGGGAAGGTGTACCCCTTGTAGCTCAGCAGCCTGTGCATGTCGCGGATGAACCCCAGATCCTCCTTGTACCTGCTCGTCTCGCATATCGTCCCGCGCCACTCTTCGATGGCCTCGAGAATCTTCATCTGGACCCGCGTGGCTCGGATCGGGGGCCGCTCGGGAAACCGGCGGACGAGCTCATTGAGAAATTCCTTGGTGCTGATCTGGAGGTGGAAAGGGTAGCCGCAGTTCTTGACGCAGATGTCCAGCAAATTGAGAGCGAGGAGGGCCACGTTGGGGTTGCGATGGTTGACGTAACCGACAATGGCGACAGCGGCCTCGCGCGGGGCGGATCCCTTCTTGGAGTTGATCAGGTCGGATATCTCGAGGTTCATTGCCAGGTTTGGCTCGTAGTTGTCGGGGCTGCAGGCAGCTTGGATAAAGCGCAGAAGCTGGGAGGGGGGTGAATGACCCGGCTCCCCCCAGTTGTTCCTCGCGGCGTACCGCGCAGATGCCGCCTCCATCTTTGCTTCAGTTCACTCCGAACCGCGGCCACGGATGATTGTGTGCGCAAGCCGGCTGTGAGTTTGCAGCGGCGGTCTGCAAAGTTGGGTCGCAATGAAGGAAAACAGGACGGAAACTTTACAGGGGTAAGCTCCGTGGCCACATAAGCAACCCTGAGTGGTGGTTCTGGCCACAACAAGCAGTCATCCCACTTGCACTGGATATTTGAATGAGGCCAGCAGTGGCTGGGTGCCTGCAACCGATTGCATCTCCCTGAGGGGCCGGAGGTCAAGAACGTGTGGGAATTACTTACACACTGTGGGCCCTAACTGTGCCCTGCCATCAAAAAAGTTACCCCACGCCTTAAATATCCCGTCATCAATTAGCACCACTCATATATTCTTCGGAGCACGAACACATAAATAACAAGCCCTCGATCTCACCAACGATGGTTCGGCACAAGAAAGACAACTTTGCCCGGGGAAAGAAGTCCTACCGTGGCCCGCCCCGCGGTCGGGGCCCCTCCAACAACAAGGATGGCAACGAGGACACTGATCCCGCCTTTCCAGGCTCCTCCTCACGACCATCCTTCAAGGCCGCCTGCTGGGACCTCGGGCACTGCGACCCGAAGCGGTGTTCAGGCAAGAAGCTGATGCGGTTCGGGCTGATGCGCGAGCTGCAGGTGGGACAGCGGCACTCGGGCGTCATCATCACGCCCAACGGCAAGCAGGTCGTCTCGCCGGCCGACCGGGAGATACTGGACCAGCACGGCGCCGCCGTGGTCGAGTGCTCGTGGGCGCGCGTCAAGGAGGTGCAGTGGTCCCGCGTCGGCGGGAAGTGCGAGCGCCTCCTGCCCTACCTGGTCGCCGCCAACACGGTCAACTACGGCAAGCCGTGGCGCCTGAACTGCGTCGAGGCCCTGGCCGCCGCGTACTACATCTGCGGGCACCCGGAGTGGGCCGAGGAGATACTGGCGCCGTTCTCGTACGGCGCTTCGTTCCTGGAGATCAACGCGAGCTTGCTCAAGAGGTATGCCGCGTGTACGGATCACAAGAGCGTGAAGGAGGCTGAGGAGGCGTGGATGGAGCGTCTGGAGAAGGAGTATGCGGACAACCGCGAGGACGGCGATAGCGCAGACTTGTGGAAGGGCGGCAACGTCAATCACAGGGCGGCCGTCGACTCTGAAGAGGATGACGACGAGGAGGGAGAAGACGGCGAGGATGGTGATAACGAGAGCGGGGACGACGAGCAGAGTGTCGACGGCATATATCTTGGCAAGAAGCCAAAGGCGATACATGAGACGGAGGCAGGTGAGGATGTGGATCCGTACGCCCTCTCTGATGACGAAAGCGACGATGCCGAGATGGAGGAGATCAGGAGGAAGATCTTGGCTTCCAAGCCGTTCGCAGCCTCGGCGAGCACCGAGCAGAAAAAGGCTCCTGAGAGCATCCCTCGGCCGCAGCAAGTGAACCCAGACTCGGATGTTGAGCCTGACTCGGACAACGGCGAGGATGACGAAGAATTCGACAACATCATGGACGCCACGCCCGTCACTGACAGGATAGGTCTCTCAAAGCTGGAGAAGGAGAGGTCCAGGGCCACGGTAACAAGTAGAACTTTCGGCTCGGCCACTATATCGGCCCCGAAGCGATGGTAGGATAGTCACAACCAGACCTGGGCACACCTGGGCACACCACGGTTCGATCCAAGTGAGATGTGTATCAATATAGTACATAAGGTAGGTCTATAGTGCCCCTCTAGTCTACAATGCGGCCATATGTACTCGTACATAACATGACATGACGTCCCCAGCCAACCACCCCGATATATGACCAACCGATGCTCTTGTCTGCTGTAAGTCTTACTTGCCACTTATTACAGGTGCCTCTTATTGGTGATCTCCTCGAACGCCTGGATCTGGTCACCCACACGGAACTCCTCCCAGTCCACAAAGGAGATGCCACACTCAGCTCCTTTACGCATCTCCGCTACCTCCTTCTTGCCGTGCTTGAGGGCGTCAACGTCTCCTGTGTCGTGATGTTAGCGATATTCCAAACCCGGATCTCACGGCTGCGACACACAAACGTACCTTCAAAGACCTTCTCCCCGCGGCGCAGGACGCGATACTTTGCGTTCCTGCTCACCTGCCCGTTCCTCACCCTGCACCCGGCAATATTCTTGAAGACACGACCCCTGAGGTTGATGGGGAATACCTGCAGCACCTCGGCTTCGCCGAGAACCCTCGTCGAGATGTCGGGAGCCAGGTGCTCGGACAAGGTGTCCCTGATGTCATCTGCGAGGTGGTAGATGATGTTGTGGTCCAGTATCTTTACGCCGGCCTCGTTTGCCAGCCGTTTGATATGACCTGGGATGGTGTTGTTGAAGTTTATGATGAGGCTGCCCGACGTGGCAGCATGCTCGACATCGGACTCAGTAATCTGACCGGTGGCAGAACGTAGAATCCTTGGCCGGACCTCGTTGCTGCCGATTTCCACGACTGAAGCGCAAACGGCCTCGACCGAGCCATGCACATCGCCTTTGACGACGAAATTGATGATCTTGGTTTTGGGGCTCTCGGGATCCGTCTCGCCCGACTCCTCGGCACCATCATCAGTGGCAGCGACAGCCAGTTCACGCTCGCGTCTCTCTTGGTCCTGCCGGGCGATATCGGCCACGGCCTTTTCCCTCTGGTCGAGCTCATCACGGTAGTGAGCTGCATCCTTGGCCTTGCCCTCGTCGGGAGCCTGGAGAACTTGGTCGCCGGCATCGGGAGGTTCCTTCCAGCCAAGGATCTCAACCGGGGTTCCGGGCGGAGCCTCTTCGACTTCGACCCCAGCTTCGTTCCTGAGGACCTTGATCTTGGCCCACGCCTTCCCGGCAACGATGCAGTCGCCTTTCCGGAGAGTGCCTCGCTTCACCAACACCGTTGCAACGCGGCCGATCGGCTTCACGCTCGACTCCAACACCCACCCCTCCGCCATGCCATCCGGCTCTGCCCGCATGTCAAGGATTTCCGAGAGCGTGACGATGTTTTCCTCCAGATCGTCCATTCCCTGCCCCGTCTTCCCGCTGACGCAGACGACCTGCACATCGCCGCCGTAGTCCTCAATCTCAACCCCGTTCTTGGCCAGGTCAGACTTGACGAGGTCAATTCGAGCTTCATCCTTGTCGACTTTGTTAATAGCCACAATGATTGGGACCTTGGCCGCCCTGGCGTGCTTCAGGGCCTCGATGGTCTGAGGCTTCACGCTATCGTCGGCCGCAACAACCAGAATGACTATGTCAGTTACAAGGGCACCCCGCTGGCGCATCGTCAGGAAAGCTGCGTGCCCAGGGGTGTCAAGGAACGTGATTCGTTTCCCAGTCGACATCTGAACAGAGAACGCTCCAATATGCTGGGTGATGCCGCCATGCTCCTGTGCTGCAACAGACGATTTCCGAAGGTAGTCGAGTAACGTGGTCTTGCCGTGATCAACATGGCCCATGATGGTCACTACCGGCGGCCGCGGCGGCAAGGTTGATGGGTCTTCCGGCGGGGGTCGCGGCTTGAGATCCACTCCCTCTCCTGTGTCTACCGAGGGCTCGAACCCATATTCTTGTGCCACCAGGGCTGCAGTCTCGCCAGTCATGATGTTGTCATGGCCAATGTTCTCAAAGCCCAGTTCTTCGAGCTGTCGAAGGAATATATCCTGCTTTATACCGAGGGCAACAGCGAGATTTGCAACGCTGATGAACTCGGGGAGAAGAATTGGCGTCGGCCCGGCTTGCTCGGCGGCCAGCTGTTTCCTCTCCCTCTGGGCCTTCTTCTCCGCTTTGCGGCGTCGCCGTTCCTTTACGTGCTCCTCGTCAAAATCCTCGTCCTCGTCCTGGTCATTTCGCTGCCGGTAGACCTTTGGCTTCTTCGGTCGCTCAGGGCGGTTCCTCCTATCGAACCCCCGATCCGCATCGGGCCGGGCGAACTGATCTCGCCTCCATGGCCCCGCTCCACCCGCTCCTTCTTGAGGCGTTATATTCGGCTCTTGCTCCCTAATTTCCCAGGCACTGGATTCTCTCCGAGCCCCTGAATCCGCGTCCAACCGACCACGGACCTTTTTGTTTTCAAAGTTGTCGACCCAGTCCCAGTTGCGAGAATCGACCGGTTTCTCCCTGCTCTCCTGGCTAGCAGCCTGGTTTTCAAGTTGACTTTGGACCCTGGCCCAGGGGTCACCAGAACTCTCGCTCTGGGTTTCGGAGGGGGTGGCAAGTTTGCGGCCACTTTTGCCGAGTACAGAGCTCGGGCGACCTACAAAGGAGTCGAGGCTCTTCGGCCGCTCGGTAGAGGTATGTGGTAAATGTCGCCTGCGAAGATGTGCCCATTCTGGTCGATTCCCTTCCCCGCCGCCAGAAACCGAATCCATACTTATCCTCCCCATAGTCTCTCGGGACGTTTGCCGCGGCAGTTCTGCATCACCACGAAGGTCGAATGAAGCATTGATTTCTGCTTTTAGAGAAGCAAACGGAGACGGCCTTAAACGGTGCGGTCTGTGCCCATCGACATGAGATTCTGTTTGTTCCAGAGGGAGTCGTCTCGGGCCTGACGGAGGACGGGAGAGTGATTGACGGGGATCGAGGCCTACAGGTGGGCGTGGTGGGGCCCGGCGGTCTCGATCGGGAGCTGCTGGCCTGATGCGTGCGGGAACTATACGGGGAAAATGAGGCGCGGTGTTGCCGGACAACCTCTGCGATGATGGAGGACTCGAGGCATTGGACCCCTGTGCCCGAGCCTCAGCTGTGGACTGCGCCCCCGAGCCCGAGACTTCAGTAGCTGCTGGAGCTGCCGCCTTTCGCCGGGCTGCCTCAGCTCGAGCTGTTTGTTCATGAGGCAGAAGTCCATTGTCAATCTCCGCATCGGCTCCTGCAGGGCGTGCCGTGATACTCGAAGGTCCCCAGCTACTTCCCCAGCTTTTGCTACCAGCGGAAAGTCTAGCTGCATTCGCGGATGGCGGTGCCGCCGATGTTCGCCATGGCAAGGCCTTATCTCCTTCGCGACTGGAATGTGACGGGTTTGACGACGAACTTGTGCTTGAGGGATCGGATTGTTGCCAATTCGCGCGAACTTGGCCAACTTGAAAGCCGAGAGCTCGATTAAAACGGCTCCGATTCTAGTCGTGATATTAGTGGCGACGAGTGCCAGGGAGGGAGAAAAATAGTTACCCGCCATATCCCACCTCTCAACATGCTCGCTGAAGAGGTCTTGGCTTGAAATGCTCTGATTCACACCATTGAATCCTGGTGCGATGCTAGACACGAAATTTCGCACTTTCCCTATGATGCTCGGCCCAAAGGTTTGCCGACCACCGACATCAGTGACAGGCCGGGATGCGCCGCATGCATCTAACAGAGTATTGATCAAATATTTTCCGGCCTAACCCCGTTAAGGTGTCCTTACCGGGCATCCGGTATTACAAGGTACCACCTTCCATCACCACGGGCAGGTTTTATGTTGAGCTCATGAAAGTTTGGATACGATACCTCATCTTTAACAATCCATCATCTCTTTTCATCCAATAATACCTGCCAGTTTCAGGATTGCCCTGATGTGGCAGGGTGACCTTACTTTCTAAGACCGGGTGTCGAAAATTTCAGTTCCAGACAGGCAATTTCACTTCACCCAATCTTTTAGAGAGAGGGAGCTCAGTCGTCCCCATGGCGCCGTCCAAGATTTCCGGCAACACAAAGCCACGAGGCGGAGGGAAAGCCACCGGCTCACTTTCCAAGCCATTCAAGCTTGCGCCTGAAACCCTGCAGCCTTTCACTCTTTTTCTCTCCAAGAAACATGTCTATATCACCCACATCGACTCCAAACCGCGCCCCTTCAAACGGAAGATCTTCGCCGTGCCGGTGCTCCTAAACGTCGTGGTGGCACTGCTCTTCCTCTGTCGCATGTATTATATCGGCCCGTACTATCTCGACCTGCTCGCCTCCGCCCTGGGCTACTCTAATTCCACGAGCGTCGACACCGCCGGCTCAACCTGGGGCCAGCTGGCCCTGGTCGTACTGCGGCGCAGCTTCACCTTCCTGCTGGACTTCTGCCTCGTCATCTTCGTGTGGCCGTGGCCCGCCGAGTTTGCCCTCGGCCGGACCCACGGCAACCCGGTGAGGTGGCGGTGGAACGTCGGGTTCCGCGACCAGGAGATCTACGTCCGGCGCAGCCGCTCGTGGGGCCAGCACGTCGGCGACGTGCTGGCCAACGCCGAGGGCAGGAACGCGCTCATGACCTACGTGCGGCTCGCCACGTCTCCGATGCTGCTGCAGGAGAAGACGGGCTACCTCACCATGAACGGCGAGTGGGACCTGGACTGGGCGGCCATGGTCAAGGCGCACGCGCTCGTGGATGACAAGGCCATTGCGCTCGACGCCTTTCGGACCCTCGTGCTGATCCATCATCGCGAGTTCGGGTGGCTGTGCATTGATATGAATTTGGGAGGGAATCCGAAGGAGGAAGATAGGAGAAGGCAAGTCTTTGCTTTCAGGGACGCCCTCGCCGCCGTTGGCAAGGAAGATTTGTTCTTCCGATGGATTGAGATTGTTCAGTTCGAGGCTTCGCAGCCCGGCGGCTTTGGGGAAGAGAAGCAGGTTGAGGTGGCCCAGAGGATCAGGGACCTGTTCCAGGCTAATGGGCTAGACTTTGATGAGTTTTGGCGGGAAAGCGTGGGATCAGAGGCGTCCGCGGGCCTGAGCTGATCTCAGTTGCACTTGCATGAATGGATATCTGTCTTGTATCATTATGTATCTATAAGGCTCTGTATTAACCTGACTCTCTCGCGGCCCTTTGGCTGCAAGATTCCCTCCTGATACTCACTCTGTTCGATGAATGGCATCTTCTGTTGTGTCAAGCCGCTGAGTTCTCCATACAATGCGGCACTTGACCTGATATAATACTGCGAAGTCTGGCGTAAGGGTTCTCAACCTTTTGGACCCTACCACCAGGAAGACAAGGGAGACCTTTTGCGGTTGAGATGTTGGAATCTGACTAGTACAAGCCTACTCACAAAATAGATGAAAATGATGGGGCGCATAGCCTCATTCTCCTTCCTGCCTCTTAGCTTATACATTACCAATTATACTTGCGACAATGTCTGGATTCCCACGCTTTTCAAACAACATGGCAATTCAGACTTGATCTAATTCGCGCTTTGGCGTATAAAAAAAACCTCCTTCTACAAATTCATAGTATGCGTATAATATTTGACAAGCCTTTGTACCCATGTTGCTTTTTTCTTTTTTTTTCTTCTTTTTTGTAAAAGGGGTTTGAAACCAACCTACCTACCTAACCTTGGTATCCAAGTAAGAAATCTGTGACATAGCAGACGTAGAGCAAAATAGGTTTCAAGATGTTCCTTTCTAGAGTCATATGATGACTTGGTGGATAATGCTAGGTTGTCTATGGCTGGAAGCTATGTGGCTATGATGATGCTTTCAGCAACTCAGACGATCAACTCGCGAGCATCACACAGGTCGGTTCCCCTGCAGCTTTTGTTTGCCTAGGACCTTAACTAAAGAGGCCAAGGACATTGAATCTGTCATATTCGCCAAGCAACTGCTAATCGAGACCCAAATCCTTGAAACAGGCATCTGATCTCGGCTTCATCCCAAGGAATTGCATCAGAGTCACCGTCATGTCCTGTTGTAAATTCCGGTGTCATAACCCATAACCCGAAAAGAAATGTCCATATGTGGCGTACCAATGTCTGCACCAATGTCAGTCTTGACATCTCAACATGCCAATTTCTTGGAACGAGAACCACTCACCGATCCCCGGGACTCTTAGCCCCCGTTAGATCAACGTAGTCGTTATATATCTTCGTCACGCCCACCTCACCGTCGGGCTGTGCAAGGCCATGCCGAAAAAGCACATGCGTAGCTGTCTGAGCAGGGGGGGTGTTGTCTTTCGTCGGCTTGGTGAAGTTTGTTAGGAGGGATGTTGAGGGTAGTGGCGTGTTCCGTCTGGACGAGAGAATCCCAGCTGTAGAAGGTAGCATTGTGCGTGCTAGTCGTCATGTGCTATCTCCACCCCCCCCATATCCTTCTTCAGAGACCGGGTCAACCAAGCGTATCTTCTTTCCCCGCCGAACCAGACACAAATGATATCTCCTTCTGTGCGTTTTTGGGGTCAAGGTAGGGATGATAGATATTTTCTGTGGCATAACTGCCATAGTACCAGCGATATGCCGTCAAGCTCGTTCTCCAAAGGAGTGCGATCGCCGCGGCTCTTTCCGCGGCTAGAACCCCAGCGATTCCGGAGGAGGTTGTAGACTACCAGGCGTGGACCGTTATTGACTACGAAGCTCTGGATGAAATGCCCTCGTACTGTAAGCTTCCCGCAGCGATTGAACCCAGATCTCAGTGATCCCACTGATCCCGCTGAAGCTGTAAGGTTAAGCTATATATATATTAAAATTTAAAGTGTTATTTTTTAAGAAATCTAACTGTAGAAGACAAGACCTAGGTTTAAGTTCTTTTTGTCATGCGGAACCCTAACCCTGGACCGAAATACAGGGCAGGGGGGTCGGAATGGGGATGGAGGCGCTCGTAAATAAATACCTACACAGTACACGTATATAAACCTGGAAACTTGGTGTAACTTTAGTGCGATTTAGGTAGGTACCGTCATACCTATTTATAGGTAGGTATTTTCCCTATTGCATAGATTGATTGTGTTCGTTATCTGGACCCCGCCATCTAAACAACTCCAAGATAATTATTTTTTTCATTCCTCGCAATCTTATATCCCGCATTGTTGCAGCCTTCGACTCCTTTCTTCTCATCGCCGGGATACTAGCCAATACATAGACACCTTGATCGACAGACAAGATGGCCCCCGACCATAATGTTTGCCTAAGTATGTCCAAGCCCTCCCCGCAAGGCAAAACATCCCAACGACGTCCTCGCACCGCTCCCGATTCTTTCCTTGTCGTTTGCTACGTCCTCGTATACCTCGAGCTCGGATGGCTAATTCTCATCCTCTTACGGATGTATAGTCGTGATTGACGGCTGGGGCATCCCCACCGAGGCCTCTCCCAAGAATGGCGACGCCATTGCCGCGGGCAAGACCCCTGTCATGGACGAGCTATCCGCGAGCTCGACCGGTTTCACTGAACTCGAAGCCTCCTCTCTCGCCGTTGGTCTCCCCGAGGGTCTCATGGGCAACTCGGAGGTCGGCCATTTGAACATTGGCGCTGGCCGGGTTGTGTGGCAGGATGTCGTCCGCATCGACCAGACCATCCGGAAGAACGAGTTCGCCAACAATGACGTTATCAAGAAGACCCTCGAGGCCGCCAAGAACGGGAATGGTAGGCTGCATCTCTGCGGTCTGGTTTCCCACGGTGGTGTGGTAAGTACCTTTCCCTCGAGCTATCGTCGGAGTACGTATTCACAAAATGCCACAGCACTCCAAGCAGGAGCACCTCTATGCCATCCTCAAGGCCGCCAAGGCGTGTGGCGTCCCCAAGGTCTTCATCCACTTCTTCGGGGATGGGCGTGATACCGATCCCAAGTCTGGCGCCGGCTACATGCAAGAGCTTCTCGACAACATCAAGGATATTGGCGTCGGGCAGATCGCGACCGTTGTCGGACGTTACTACGCCATGGACCGGGATAAGAGATGGGAGAGGACCGAGCTTGCAATGAAGGGCATGATTCTGGGCGAAGGCGAGGAGAGTGATGACCCTGTGAAGACCTTCAAGGAACGGTATGAGAAGGGCGAGAACGACGAATTCCTCAAGCCCATTATTGTCGGAGGCAAGGAGGGCCGTATCCAAGGTAGGAGTCGTCTCCCTTTCCCAGCTTGAACAGCCAGTCGTGACTTACATTCAACAGACGATGACACTGTCTTCTTCTTCAACTACCGGTCCGACCGTGTTCGTCAAATCACCCAACTTCTCGGTGCTGTTGATCGGTCGCCGAGGCCAGACTTCCCGTATCCCAAGATCACTATCATCACCATGACACAATACAAGCTGGACTTCCCCTTCGAGATTGCCTTCAAGCCGCAGCACATGGGCAACGTCCTTGCAGAATGGCTAGGGAAGCAGAACGTGGAGCAAGTGCATATCGCCGAGACAGAGAAGTACGCCCACGTTACCTTCTTCTTCAACGGCGGTGTCGAGAAGGCCTTCCCCCTGGAGACACGCGATGAGAAGCAAGATTTGGTTCCCTCCAACAAGAGCGTCGCCACCTATGACAAGGCTCCCGAGATGAGCGCCGCTGGTGTGGCGGACCAAGTTGTAAAGCGTATGGGAGAGCAGAAGTTCCCCTTCGTCATGAACAACTTCGCGCCGCCAGACATGGTCGGCCACACCGGCGTGTACGAGGCCGCCATAATTGGCTGCGAGGCCACAGACCAGGCCATCGGCAAGATCTTGGAGGGCTGCAAGAAGGAGAACTACGTGCTGTTCATCACCTCCGACCACGGCAACGCCGAGGAGATGAAGTTCCCCGACGGCAAGCCGAAGACGTCGCATACCACGAACAAGGTCCCCTTCATCATGGCGAATGCCCCCCAGGGCTGGAGTTTGAAGAAGGAGGGCGGTGTCCTCGGAGACGTGGCTCCGACCGTTCTTGCTGCCATGGGACTTCCCCAGCCCGAGGAAATGACGGGTGAGAATCTTTTGACCAAGGCGTAGCGGAATGATTGAGGGGGGTTGGGTCGGCGTTAGAAGGAGTAACGTGAGAGGCAAGAAGCCGATACAGGATAGACGATAAAAAATAGGTAGTGATCGAGGTACATGACGAAGACTCTGGGCATCCATGAAATATATTGTGGCACTGGTGTGCTTATCCCTGGCCAACCTTGCAGCTATCGCAGTATATATCAACATCGTGAGAAGTCCAAGCATGCACCTAACTTCCCCTCCTCCAAATGCCAGGAGACATTGGCCAGGCATAGCGCAGCCAAAATCCACTTCAAGACATGCCAATCGAGCTGAAATCATGAGCAGCTACGCGAGGACGGGATGTCGTTGATGGATGTGGCATCCCTGTGGCATCCCTGTCGTTTCTACTACCGGAAGTCCTGATATGCGAGGCTGGCCGAATCGCCCACCCCTCTCCTCCGTCCTTATACGCCCACCGCAGACCCTCGAGCTAGAACGATATGGCTGAACGAACAGCAAAAGCAATGTACGACGGTCAAGAAGAGCTAGACAATCTTGTTTGGGATAAGAACGATGAAGATTGGGATGAGTCGCTGAAACAGATGCGACTCAAAACCACTTGTCGCCAAGTGGAGCATCTCGCAGAGCTGAAGTATGGGAAAACGGCAACCCTAATATCACCTTTGATCATTGGCGGGTTCAACACCATATATAGGATACACCTCGAGGGAGTCTCCCCAGGTGTCTTGGTCCGACTACCTGGTCCCAGCCTGGTGCAGTTCTCGGATGAAAAAACTGCCCAAGAGGCTGCTACGGCAAACTACGTTGCGAAGAACACCTAGGCCCCCATTCCTCGACACTTCTTTTACGGTAGGGACCCCACACTTGGATCCTTCATTATCCTACAACACGTTGAGAATCGCGGGAGCATGTCAGCCAGATTAACAACACCCAACGACGATCCCAGTGTGACACACGTTCTGAATCCTGACGTTGCGGAAACCACACTTCAAAACCTCTGGACTAAGGCAGCACGCTGCCTTCTACAGCTCTCCCAACTTAGTTATCCCCGAATCGGAGCTCTGGTCGAGGTTGACAGCGGCTCCTACGAGATAGCGGGGCGGCCTATCACCCACAACATGACTGATATGGTCCGGCTCGCCAACATTCCCTGCGCAGTCCTTCCTCAAGAAGGCGAGACGTATGGGACTGCGGATGAATGGTATGTCGCGTTAGCTGAGATGCACCTCGCGCAGCTCGTCTTCCAACACAACGATCTGGTGTCATCGGAGGACGACTGCCGAAACAAGTACGTGGCGCGCCAAATCTTCTGCAGGCTGGCCAAGCAGGGCAACTTTCCACTTTTGGGTTTGCGGAGGACGACTGGTCTGCCCAATCGTCTAAAATCGTGCCTTCCACCCTCTCCCCTGCCCCGGCTGGGTCCGACTCTATTAGACTCTGGGGTGACGATTTTCGGGCGGGCAATATCCTTCTGGACGAATCCGATGACATAGCCGCTGTTATCGACTGGGAGTTTGCATATGCCGGGCCTGCACAGTTCATACTCGACCCGCCTTGGTGGCTGCTCCTTGACTTGGCTGAGACGTGGTCTTCCGGCATTGATAACTGGACAGAGACATACGATGTACGCCTGAAGACCTGGCTATCTGCAATGAAGCGGGCCGAGGGAAGCATGGGGGAGCCCGGTCCTCTGCCGGTTGCCTTGTCTACTTATATGCGAGAAAGCCGGGAAACCGGGCGGTTCTGGCTTAACTACAGCGCAAGAAAGAGCTGGGCATTTGATGCTATGTACTGGAAGTACTTGGATGAGGGGTTCTTTGGCGATCGAGGAGACGATATCTCCGATCATGATCTGTGGAAGACTAGAATACACTTGTTGAGTGAGGAAGAGAGGGAGGCAATGGAGCCATTTGTGGAGCGAAAGATGAACGAGTCAAAGGAAAGGAGAATTGTTGACTGGGATCTAACAGAAGCGAAACAGCGCTTTTCCGAGGTATTGTTTGACTAAGAATAGGACTAACGAGTCCGATACATGTTGCCGTTTGCAATTGATATCGTTGTTTGTTGTTTGGTGCCAATGTTGTTGCCACTGGTTGCTCTCTGTTGCTGTTATTGGCAGTTGCCGGCGCACTGGTATACCAGGTGGCAGAGTTTCTGTAGGTCTGCCAACACCTGGTATGCACAGACCCCCGACCCCTGTTTGCATACCAACGAGAGGTAGGTACACATATCCTGTATATCCAGCGAGGTCCCCTGAACCATTCCAGACCTCCAGCCGTTTGCCATTATTTCATTTCCTCAATGGTTTCGCCCAGCAAACCATGTTACGGCCCTTCCCTCGAAGGCGAACCGCCTCTCGCCTCCTCCTTGTCGCAGCATTGATTGCCATTGTTGTCTTTTTGCGCCGCCCTTTGCTGCTTGGATACCCGGCCTCTCTTCCTCCCCGAGCTCCAACCCGGTTCAAGAAGTCGACGTTCGACTGGTCGACCGTCGAAGAGCACAATCCTGCCGGGTCGCTCGTCCCACTGCCCAGGGGCAAGCCAAAGGAGGCACGGCGCATACAACACGACTTCGATTCCAGAGCCAGGAATGATCCGGTCAGCAATGCCCGGCGCGTAGCTGTGCGGAATGCTTTTATACGGTCCTGGAATAGCTACAAGGAGCATGCGTGGCTGCGGGATGAGCTGTTGCCCGTCACGGGCGCGGCAAAGGACACCTTTGGCGGGTGGGCGGCCACCCTCGTCGACAGCCTGGACACGCTGTGGATCATGGATCTGAAGCCCGACTTCTACGAGGCCGCCAGCGCGGCCGGCGAGATCGACTGGAACAACACTACGGATACGGGCGTCAACGTCTTCGAGACAACCATTAGGCACCTTGGCGGGCTGCTTAGCGCCTACGACCTGAGCGGCGAGATGGCGCTCCTGGTCAAGGCGAAGGAGCTCGGCGACATGCTGTACACGGCCTTCGACACCCCCAACCGGATGCCGCCCTTCTGGCTGACGTTCGACCACGCCAAAGACGGGACGCAGAAGGCGGGGACCCACGACCCGAGCGCCTCGCCGGCGTCCTTGTCCCTGGAGTTCACTCGCCTGGCTCAGCTCACCGGCGAGGACAAATACTACGACGCCATTGATCGGATACGGGCCTTCCTGGTGCGCACACAGGGGCAGTCCCAGTTGCCTGGCATGTGGCCGACCATGATAAACTTCCGGGACGAAGAGGTCTCCGATAAGCACTTTTGCCTCGGGGCCCTGGCCGATTCCCTGTACGAGTACCTGCCCAAGATGCACCTTCTTCTAGGTGGGCTGGATGAGTCGTACGAGGTGATGTATAGAGCGGCAATGGATGTGGTTGTCGAACATGTGCTCTTCCGTCCCATGCTTCCGAATAACGAAGACCTTCTATTCCCAGGCACGGCAACTGTTCAAAACGACGGAGTTCATATCGCCCCCGACGGCCAGCATCTGGCCTGTTTTGTTGGAGGCATGTTCGCCCTCGGTGGAAGGATGTTTGGCATTGACGACCACGTCGAGATCGGGGAACGCGTCGCCCGCGGCTGCGCCTGGGCTTATCAGGCTTTCCCAACGGGTCTCATGCCCGAGCTCTTCAGCATGATCCGATGCCCTTCAGCAGCCGGTTGCGAGTGGGACGAGAAGAAGTGGATCAGCGAAGGGGACCCTTCCCTGCCGAAGGGCTTCCGTAATGCACGTGACCCGCGATACATCTTGCGTCCCGAGGCTATCGAAAGTGTGTTCATTCTCTACAGGATCACGGGGAAGAAAGAGCTCCAGGATATTGCCTGGACCATGTTCCAACACATCATGACGGCCACGGAGACGCCGTACGCCAATTCGGCGATAAAGGATGTAAGGGTTACTGGCGAGACGGAAAAGGAAGACTCTATGGAGGTTTGTTCACCCCTTCTTCTGGTACGGCATTTTAGACACGTCCTGCTGACATTTGCCCTCCCAGAGCTTTTGGCTGAGCGAAACCCTCAAGTATTTCTACTTGATATTTTCTCCTCCGGATGTCATTAGTTTGGATGAATATGTGCTGAACACCGAGGCGCATCCGTTCCGACGTCCTAAATGAGCCTATCGCCTGCAAAGACGATCCAGCGGTGTACTCGACCTGTGTCGATCTTCGGTTGGTGCCAGCACGACTTGTGGATCTTGCAGATTCGCTTGGCAGGGCAAATCAACGCGGCAGCCGCGGACCAGCCATTGGATACGCCGACCGGTTGGTTTGGTGCGTCTGACTACGTGTAAAGCATCTGGGTCGACAGGAACCTCTCCTCATTTCTTCTGAGCGAGACATGTTTGCTCTTTCTTGGTGGCGGACATCCCATGTTAAAGCAGACCAATTTCAGGTCCTTTATTTACTCTTGCCTGTTCCAACCGCCCAACAGCCCGACGCAGCAAAACGGGGCCGAGTATGGGTGGACTCATGACCCCGTTGGCGGCTGAGTCGAAGGCCAACAATGACTCATTCGCTAGGGCCCAACTGGAATAAGTGGTTTTCCTTGGATTTTCGGACAAACCAAGGAGGCAAGCACCGCTGGAGGCCATGGTGTAAAGAAGAGAAGACTACATCCTTCCTGGTTACATGGAAGCCATGTTTGGACCGGAACTTGCACCTCTACCAGCTGAAATAGCTGCTCGGCATCAGATTAGGAGCTTCAGAGATAGGCTCAAGCATGTTGATCAGACGGCGTGAGCTGCGGTTGCACCCGTTTCGGGCATCTTAGCCAAGAGTCAGACAGTAGAGTCACCTTGGATGGTCACAGAAAGGGAAGGACAGGCAGAGCACAGAGCACCGTTCTCCACCACGAGGAACGGACAATTGAAATGGGCCAACGGCAGGAAGAAGTGCCAAATGAATACTGTGAGGAGATGCTATGCCTATGTCGACCGTATATGCAGGATCTATCCAGAACGGAGAAGCTCATTTCTTGGTCTTCTTGCCCTTAGGACCCATGGCAGCCTCGCGCTTCTTGGCCTCCTTTGCCTCTAGTTCCGTCTTTCTCGCCTGCTCCTGGGCTTCTCGGGCTTCTTTCTCGGCCTGGAGTGAAGGAACAGATTAGCTTCTGTTGGAGCAGTGTACGAAGGACTGGGTAGATAAGAGCACGTACCTGTTTCCGAGCATTCTCGGCCTCTCGCTTCTCTCGAATGACCTTCAACCGGGCCAGGTCGGCCTTGGCCTCGTCCGTCTTGCCCTGCTCGTGCAGCATGCGGTATCTCTCCTTGGCCTGCTGGGCTTCGAGAGACTCACGCTCACGCCTGCTGGGCGTGCCGGAGGTGACGGCAAGGCCCTTGACAGCCTCGGTGACCTCCTCCAGAGGTTGCCTAGCCTGGTTACGCGCCGCCTTGGAGTGGTTCGGGTTGGCGGGCATGTCATCGTCACTGTCCTCCTCGGAATCACTGGGCGGGAGATCGCCGACCTGGACGGTCTGGGCCTTGGCCCTGGCGATGGCGGCCTCCTTGCGTGCCTTCTTCTCGCGCTTGCGCTCCTCACGGCTCAGCTCGGCAGCCGCGCCCGAGGCTCCCCCGTCATCAGACTCTTCCTCCGACTCATCTTCGTCCTCGTCTTCTTCCGAGTCAGAGCCGTCCTTCTTCTTCTGAGCATCTTCGCTCCACATGCTGACCTCGTTACCATCGGCGTCGAGGGGGCGGAGGTCACGGGAGAAGTGTTTGCCACCTGGGGTAACAGTTAGTTCAGCATCTGCCAGGTTGATGTATGGGGCGAGGGAAACTGATGGCTGCTTACCTCCTCGAGTAAACTTCTTAAACTTGCCGCCGCGACCGCGAGAGTTCGCTCCAGGGGCACGACCAGTCATGGTGGGAAAGTGTCTTGGGTTGAGGTGGGGTTGAAGGAGGGGTCGTTTTTGACTCTGACACGCAAGATATTTCAAGCGAAGCGCGGCAAGGGTGGATGATGATGTTGGAAAATGGGAACCTAGGTAGGCAAGAGAAGTCTGAAGGTGAAGGATACGAAAGAACCACGCCTTATAGAAGAGAAGAAGAAAGCTCTCCTTCAGTCGTAATAAATAGGTAGGCAGGTGAGGGGCAGCTGGGAAGGGTTCAAAAGCACACGACAAGTCATGATAGTGAATGGAGGGGCCCCTCTATTGGCCCTGGTTGATGCCTGACCACACTTGCCCCGCCTTCCACGAATTACCCCTCGAAAGTCAGTCATGACCCAAAATTACCTCATCAGGCTATGGCTGTGCGAAAGGATCCCAGGTACCCAGGTACTTACAAGGGCATGAATCCCGGGAGGCGAAGCTCAAAGAGGTTAGTTCCAGAGGGGAGCTAGATGGCGGAATATCCTTGGGGCCGGCACCCGATATAATCAGAATTATTTTTTGGTCCCCTTCTTTTTCCCTCTTGCTTCCTCATCATAAAACATAAAACACAATCCTTCATATTCACTCTGGTACAAGTCTTTCAACCATGACATTCTAGAGGGGAAAGTGGAGGAGAGATTAACCTGTCAAGCTCTTACCCTCTACTTCTATGGCAGATTTGCCGTGTTGGATAGCGGAGAAATTTTTGCATTGATACATTCTACAATCCTAGCCGCGTAGTTGCGCCTACCAAGGTGGGCTGCCAGACGTGGCCATGGGACAATGACCACAACGAAAGGCCCCTCACCATTTAAAGGGATTCACGCGTTGATCGTGCCGTCAGGTTTGTTAGTCTGCTGTTTCTGGTCTTGGAGTTGACCTCGAATCCCAAGACCGGGCCCCCCAGGAATACCTGACCAAAGAAAGAAAATATTGAAATATCAAAACATCTCAAGGCACAATTTCTTTGCATGATCCTTGGAAGCATTTGAACCATTCTCTGTGTTGAAGTTGTGAGATAACTAGGAAGGTAGGCTTGATGTCAAGCAACCTACTTTCAAGCGACCTGCTTTCAAGATGATCATATTTCATTCGTAGAGCGATGGCCTGACAAGGTGTCGCCTCCAGAAAAGCATTCAAGAAGCCGTGGTAGTGTCATGGCATGAATCTCACCAGTCTGCATGTCAGTCTGCAGGAACAATATGCAGACGCCTTTTTCCTTGATAGAAACCGGGGCATGGAAAAGGGGGGGAGGGGTGGGGGGGGGGGGTAAGCATGCTTTTCTGTAAACATGTTCTTCGTCACTTCTCTCTCACTTCCCTCTCAGAAGTTCCACCAACCTTGCTTTAACCCTGACCAAACAGCACCGGAGGCGATATCGATATCATTTCCCTCCCCCCTTTTGACCCCTTCTTTCACTTCTTTCACCCCTTTCACCCCCGCTTTCCCACCGTCTTCGTATTATCTCGCAGGCTCGTGGCAGCCTTGTCGCTACCCTGACTTGAAAACAACAAAGTCACCTCGTCCTGGCAATAGAAGCCGAGCAGAGCTGCCAGAGATGGCTCAGCCATATGATCTGCTGCAACACTCTCTCGAGTCCGAAGGACTGCATGATCTGGTTTATGATGATCTTCTAGACTTTGATACAGATCTAGGGCTAGGGGAGCTATCTGAGTATGAGGAGATGCTGCTTATGGCCTTGAGACGTGGTAGAGCTACACCTGTTGCTCGGGACGATACAAACTGGTTCAACGAGCCACCTCACCCTCCTCCGCCTCCTCCAAGCCCTGATTACACTCAATCCCGTCAAACTCCCGCACCTGAGGCCCCTGCGAAGACGGGCCCTAAATCCAGTGGATTGGGTCCAAGACCCCTTCTCGACATGGCTATGACAAAGCTCCTCGAGAATATCATGGAAGTGCCAGATAGTGGCCTGGATCGAGTCCCTGTCCACATTCTGCTGCGAGTCTGGAAGCAGGTACAAGAAAGGTCCAATCGTCTACAAGCCCCTGTGCCTCTTACCTTGAACCGATCCTAACCAGTACCATAGGGGTGTCTCTCTGAGTGACTGGAAAGCCTTTGTCGGGACCCTTGTGGAGAGAGACTCTGCTGCACCAGTGACTCTCTACCAGTTTTTCGAGCATATTCCCAACCCCACGGCCAAGCTCTCTGTATACACGACACCACTCAATTCCTCAAGCTGCATGTTCATAACCTACCTCAGCATTCACAGCAACTTCCACTTCAAAACCGAAGAATTCCTGGGACTTGCTGGCATGACAAACCTCGGCGTCTTGGAGATCACCGACATGTCGACCGATCGGTACCCCAAGACGTACCAATATCAGGTTAATGATATGCTCCTCAAGGGTTGGAGCGAACAGCCCGGAGCATTCCCAGCACTGCGCATCCTCAGAATCCAGGCCGCCGGCAACCTCGTCTCGAAACTTTGTCTCCATTATGTTTCCGGATTTCCGTCATTAGCTGTATTCCAGGTCAAACTATGCGACTTCCAAGTGCGGGCAGATCGGCGATATGCAAGGGACCTGGGCTGGCAGGTATCTGGGGGCCCGGTCCGCCGGGATATCGTGGGCATCCTCAGGGGCCTGAAGTCCATCCCAAGACGGGGGCGCACGTGGCAGTATCCTCGCTACGAAGCCGACTTCGAGCTGGAGAGTATCTTGGCCACCATCTTTACTCAAAAAAGGGCACGGATTCACATTCATTCTCCCTCCGTTTTCGGCCGGCTCGACTGGAAGACCTTTTTCGACAGGTACCGCGGAGAGAAAGCCCCCCAGGACTCGGGCGAACCCGATTTCGGCACCTGGGCATTCTGGCTGTACGCCGCCGTCGGCCACAAGATTTCAAACAGCGATCTCCCGGAGCGGGTGCGGAGGACCCTCAAACGCCCAGTTCACCTCGAGGGCCTCGAAGTCTCCCCCGTGCCCATTGCGTGTCTCCAGTTGGGCGAGCAACCTCCCTACCGCCTCAGTGAAGATGAGATTACACAATTGGGCCAAGGCCTTCTACGCGAAGGCCGCAAAAAGGGCCGCAACAAAGTCTCTAAACGAGGTCGCAAACGAAGGGTCGGACGCCTTCTCCCTGACGACCCCAGACGAGGTCGTGCCTTTATCTTTGTACGATCACCCACGGGACGGCCATCGCCCCCTGAAGATACGGTCCATGCCGGGACGGAGGACCAAGGCCACGGTGGCTTATCCACACAGCACGGGGCCTGAGAGGACGATTTGGGAAGCATCAGGATGTGACAGAAGTTGTGTACGACTTCCATTTTCCCTCGATTAGCTTGATTGGGCTCGATCGATCTGTAAGAGTGTAACAAGAAGTCCGGCTATGGTACAGTCACCAGAGGAGAGTGAACAAGTTTTGTATGACTAAGGACATCCATCATTACGCGCCAGAGCTATGATAGAGATAGATACAGAGACGGAGACAGGGACAGAGACAGATATATACGTGTCTACACCGTGTAATACCAAACATAATACAACATTCGTCAAGCCCCCCAATGCAAACTCGGCACGCCTACAGCATGGGCTTCAGGTCCTCGGCTACGTGGAACGGCGCATCCGTCTTGCTCTTGACCTCCTCCACCGTAACGCCGTCGGCAATCTCGATGAGGGTCAGGCCCTTGGCGAAGTCGACATCGAACACGCCCTGTTGACCCAGTGTTAATATGTAAGACTCGCTTTGTTTTTGTGCTTTTGGCGGGGGCAAGGGGAAGTGGCAGAAGAAGACTTACCAGCTCGGTGATGATCCTGGAGACGCACGACTTGCCGGTGAGTGGGAAGGCGCACTGCTTGACGATCTTGGGGTTGCCCTTCTTGTCTGTGTGCTCCATGGTGACGACGACCTTGGTGGCGGTGGGGTTGCTGACCAGGTCCATGGCGCCGCCGAAGCCCTTGACCTTGCCGGGCAGCATCCAGTTGGCCAGGTCACCGTTGGCGCTGACCTGCATGGCGCCCAGAATGGTGAGGTTGATGCGGCCGCTGCGGATCATGCCGAAGCTCTCGTCGCTGCCGAACACGGACGCGCCCGGTTTGAGCGTGACCGTCTCCTTGCCGGCGTTGATGAGGTCGGCGTCCTCCTCGCCCTTCCGTGGGTACGGGCCGAGGCCCAGGATGCCGTTCTCGCTCTGCAGCTGTACCTCGACCTCGGGGCCGACGAAGCTGGGCGCCAGCATCGGCATGCCGATGCCGAGGTTGGCGTACATGCCGTTCTTGAACTCCTTGGCCGCCCTCCTCACGATGCGCTCCCTCTTGTTGGCCGTCTCGCCGGAGCCCAGCGCCGCCTTCGCGTCGGTGCCCTCGTTCTCGTCCTTCCTGAACGTGTACTTCTCGATGGCCTTGGCGCTCGTGCTCTGGATCACCCGCTTGACGTAGATCCCGGGCAGGTGCACTGCCTCGGCGGCGATCTCGCCCGGCTCGACGATGTGCTCGGCCTCGACGATGGTCATCTTGGCGTTGCGGCCCATCGGGCCGTTGAAGTTGTTGGCCGACAGGCGGAACTGGCAGTTGCCGAGCTTGTCGGCGCGGTAGGCCTTGACGAACGCGTAGTCGGCCTGGATGCTCTCCTCCAGCAGGTAGCTCTTGCCGTTGAACACCTTGACGTCCTTCGGGTAGGAGAACTGTGCGGGCGTCCCGTCCGGGTTGTTGCGCAGGGGCAGTTCGCCGGTTTGCACCACGGTGCCGGTGGCGGCGGGGGTGTAGAAGGCCGGGATGCCCTTCCCACCAGCGGCGCATCGCTCGGCGAGGGTTCCCTGTGGCGTGAGTTCCAGCTCAACCTGACCAGTCAGATACATCTGCTCGAGCGTCTTGTTTTCGCCAATGTACGAGGCAATCATCTTTTTGATCTGCCCCGACTTGAGCAGCTTGCCGAGGCCGCTGGTGTCGGTGCCGGCATTGTTCGATACTGCCGTGAGGCCTTGGATATCCTTCTTCGTCAAGACCTCGTCAATGAGGGTGTTGGCAACACCGCAGAGACCAAATCCACCACACATGACTATAGTGTTGGGCTTCATGTCTTCTAATGCCTTTGCCGCCGAGGGGTAGACTTTGTTGATCGCCGACCTCCGCGAGGTGGCGGAGAAGGAGCGGGCGAACAGGGCGGCATGCTAAAGGATTGGGAAGCCGGGATTAGCCTGGGAGCAACGGATAGGAGGGAAAGAGAGAGGAAAGGCTCACATTCGAGCCATGCTTGGAGTACGCCCTCAGGGTCCTCACGCACAGCGCTGCAGACGGCATCTCGGCAGTCGAGGTAGGTATATTCTTATGCCAAGAAGGGAAGAATTACAGAACGCCTTGAGAAACAAGGATGGGTATCAATCGAATAGTCTTTAACAATGAGGGGAGACGGGTCAGGCAGTGAACTCCAATGGGCTCCAGAAGGGACACAGGCAGAGCGGAGGAAGCAGGACACTGGAGGGGGAGCACCGGTCTTCTTATCTAAATGCCGACAATGGCCGCCGGCCGACATTCCGCCCTGCGGTTCGGGAAAGTTAGGGAAAATAATAGATCCAGGGATCGCATTCGGGAGTTCGTCGGGAAGGGGATTTACTAGGGGTTCCTAAGAGGGGGTTTGGGGTTAAGCGGGGCTTGGCCCCCGGAGTCGGCGCACACTAGGAACGGAACTGGATCCTCAACCCGGCAGTGAGGAATGCATGAGTAGGAATAATCGGAGACTAATAAGACTGCAGAGGTAAGAGCCCCTGGTCACTCGCCACTGTTCTTTCGGATGGGTCCGATTATCTGGGTAGCTTTCGTGGAGAAATGTCATCCGGATCCTTGCGCCGAATCGCATGCTTTCCCGCCTCCGGGAAGGTACCTACCTAGAACTGTAATAAGAACAACGAACGGAGAGTCTAACCTTGCAGGACGGGTAAGGCCGGAGGTTCGTCGTTACATCAAAGGCTCAACTGGTTAGGCCACTGCCTTGACGTTCAAAGTGCTGTATCCCGGTCTCCACGGGAAATGGAAGCCTGCCCTGCCTGTGGTGATACCTACCTAAAATACCGCGAGGTACGTACATACATACATCATACGCATAGTACACAGTGTACACCGGGGTTGGGGCGGAGCTGAGCGCTGCCAACTTCGCCTGATTTGCAGCTGCCTAGTACCAACGACAAGGCGTGTCATCAGTCAGCAGGACCAGCTCACCACCACCAGTGACAAGTGGCTGGTACCTAAATGGAGTCCCACCGTCAAACGTGACTGGTGACTGGATTGAATCAAGATCAGGTTGCAGCTCCAACTCAACTCCGTCATCCCATCCTCGGGCATTTACTAGCCTTTTGCACTTTACCTTGCCCTTTCAGACTCACCATCTCGTGTTTGTTATACAACGCGTACACACCTCGCCGGCTGTCGAACATTTCCTCCATCTCCGAACTTCCCTCCCCAGCGAGTCCTATCCACCCACCCCGCCCCGCCCCTAAATCCGCCGCTTACCAGCTAAAGTGTCACCGGCGGCCAAACCCCTCCGCCCTGCATCGTCTCGCCTCTTTCGAGGACGAACCACGATCGAGCCCTCCAGCATACCGACTTATTTCTCTTTAAGCCGGCATCATTCCTCCCCTAACTCGAAAGCGGAAAGCCGCTGAGGCGACGATATCCCTACCAAACAAGAGGATCCTCGCCTCAGCCGGCCCAGAAGTTGCTCCCCCAACTCCCGTAACCACCGCCTCGAACGGTATGGATTCCGAGGATGATTTCCTGTCCGCTGTCTCCAGTGAGGATGATATCCTTCCGGATGACAGCGACAACGATGATATCTCTGGTGCTGATGGTTAGTCCACCCTTCCACCCTTCCCCCCTTCCCCCTTCCCCCTTCCCCCTTCCCCCCCTCTTGACATGATGCTCTGCTCTGCTTCTCAAGGAGGAATACAGCTAACAATGCCCTGATCTCCCAGACTTCGATTTCGACGATGAACCGGAACCAGACCTGGATTTCCACAAGGATTTCGGCCAACGAAAGAAGGTTGCATACGACGTCAGCTTCAAGATCTACGAGCCTTCGGATATCCAGAAGCAGCAAGATGACTTGATCGACGAAGTCAACATGATTCTCGATATCGAGAAAGAGGAGGCTGCTATTCTATTACGCCACTTCAGATGGAACAAAGAGCGTCTGATCGAGGATTACATGGACAAGCCCCGCCAGGTACTCGAAGCTGCCGGCCTCGCACATAACATGTCGGGAGCCCCCAAGCTGCAGACCATTCCCGGCTTTGTTTGTGATATCTGCTACGAGGATGGCAAAGGTCTCCAATCCTTCGCAATCAAGTGTGGCCATCGCTATTGCGTTGACTGCTACCGACATTACCTCTCGCAAAAGATCCGCGAGGAGGGAGAGGCAGCCCGGATCCAGTGTCCCAGCGACGGCTGCAACCTCATCATCGACGCGCGGTCGCTCGACATCCTGGTGACACATGACCTCGCCGTGAGGTATCACGCGCTTCTCAACCGGAGCTACGTCGAGGACAGGGACAAATTGAAGTGGTGTCCGGCCCCGGACTGCCAGAATGCCGTAGAGTGTGGCGTGAAGAAGAAGGACCTTGATAAAGTCGTTCCGACCGTCGCTTGTCTCTGTGGCCACCGCTTCTGCTTCGGGTGCATTCTCAATGACCATCAGCCGGCTCCGTGCGAGCTGGTTAAGAAATGGCTCAAGAAATGTGCGGACGACTCGGAAACGGCAAACTGGATCTCGGCGAACACCAAGGAATGCCCCAAGTGCAACTCCACGATCGAGAAGAACGGTGGTTGCAACCACATGACTTGCCGCAAGTGCAAGCATGAGTTCTGCTGGATGTGTATGGGACTTTGGTCGGAGCATGGAACCAGCTGGTATAACTGCAACAGGTTCGAGGAGAAGAGCGGGACAGATGCCCGTGATGCGCAGGCGAAATCTAGGGTATCGCTGGAACGATATCTCCACTACTACAACCGTTACGCCAACCACGAGCAGTCGGCCCGCCTGGACAAGGACATCTATCATAAGACGGAAAAGAAGATGGTCCAGCTCCAGAAGGAGTCGGGCATGTCATGGATTGAGGTCCAGTATCTCAACTCGGCCTCCCAGGCACTTCAGACCTGCCGACAGACCCTGAAGTGGACTTATGCGTTCGCCTTCTACCTGGCGCGCAACAACCTGACTGAAATCTTCGAGGACAACCAAAAGGACCTCGAGATGGCGGTTGAGGCTCTTTCTGAGATGTTTGAGAAGCCCGTTGGGGAGCTCTCAGACTCGAAGCTGAAGGTTGATATGATGGACAAGACCGCATACTGTAACAAGCGGCGTATCATACTGTTGGAGGATACTGCAAACAACTTGGCAAATGGTCAGGACAAGGACTTGTGTGTTTGAGCTCTCGAGATTGGTGTGCTAACATATCAACAGGAGCCTGGACTTTTAATGTGGATCTCGGTTCTCTCAGTGCCGCAGGAGGGTCTAACAATCGTCGTTAGAGGGAGGCACCGGTCGACGTTCTTCGAAGTCGACAAATGGTCGAGTACCCGGACCAGGGGTCGCCTCCCGCTCTTTCTTGCTTCTATGCGTAAGCTCACGCTGTCAGACCCACGCGCCCCTAGCAAACAACAGCTCGGATTCGAGCGAAATCACCACCACGACCTCGCGCCTCACGACAGGCTCGTCTCATAGTTTTATTTTTATCTGGCTTAGGGATGGACCCTCTCAGGTAAGAGGGTACCTGGCCCTATATTCAGAAGCATTGTCGGAGTTACAGAGCGCCGCCCAGGCATATGGATCGTGGCTAGATGGTATTCATGGTCAAGGGATGGAGGATGGGATTACTGAGTTTACCTCCTACGTTTTGCTTTTTGTGTCGTAAATAGAATGTTTCCGGGGAGGGCATATCAAGAGGCATCTCTCGTCACAGTCAGGAAGGGAAGCCGGTGACATGATTATTCGTGGTTGCGCGAAGATGGTGGGTCTGGCAACGTCCCAGTCTCTCTGCTTTGGCTTCTGGGATCGGCGTCGGTCCGAGCCGATGCATGAAACGAATTCCTGTGGTGATTATGTAACTCTTTATTCTCCAATCAATAGTTATGCAAGAGACGAGTTTTCGGATTGCGTGCTCCGCGGGCCGGCCGAGCATCTCTTTCAGTTGCGTGGAATGTCAATGGTAATTGCCATTCCGATTGGGAGCATTATTTTCCTGCAGAACGGTAACTTATAAACAAACCTAATAGCTCGCGTTACCAACTCGCGGGGTTTTTGTGGTCGGCAGCACCAGCCAATCTTGCGCCAGTCGAGAAACCCTAACCAGCCAGTGCCCATCCCAAGCCGGGTCGGGGCCCAGGTCGACGCCATGGCTGATTCTGCCGCCGATGTCGAGGCCCATGCCGGGGGCGGAGCGGCCCAGACGGCCAAGGACCTGTTCGCTGGAGCGTCCGGCGGCATTGCTCAAGTATTACTTGGTGAGCGAGCACATTTTACGAGTCCGGTTGGGGAATGGATGCAGGTTCAGACTTTGCCGGACAAGTGTCCCTGCAAGACGGGGAGGACCAAGTGGCGGTGGAAAGCTTTCCAGTGAAGGGATGCAAGTACCCGCCCCGGCCTATGCTGCGAAGATGAACGGACCCGGCGTCCTGAACCCTCCACCCAACCCTGGCTGCCCTCCCGCCACATCCTTCTAACACACACTCCCCCCGCTCCACAGGTCAACCCTTCGACATCGTCAAGGTCAGGCTGCAGACCACAACAGCCTACCCGTCCGCCCTGAGCGCCGCGACGTCGATCTGGAAGAACGAGGGCACGACGGCCTTCTACAAGGGCACGCTGACGCCGCTCCTCGGCATCGGCGCCTGCGTGTCCATCCAGTTCGGCGCCTTCCACTCGGCGCGGCGCTGGCTGGAGCGGCGCAACGCCGCCTCGGGCACCACCGGCGGCCTCGGCTACGGGCAGTACTACGCGGCGGGCGCGTTCGCCGGCGTCGCCAACAGCGTCATCTCGGGGCCCATCGAGCACGTGCGCATCCGCCTCCAGACGCAGCCCCACGGCGCGGCGGCGCGCCTGTACTCGGGCCCGCTGGACTGCGTGCGCAAGCTCGTCGCGAGCGGCGGGCTGACCCACGGCCTGTACCGCGGCGAGGCGGTGACGGTCCTGCGAGAGGCGCAGGCGTACGGGGTGTGGTTCCTGGCCTTCGAGTGGCTGATGAACGCGGACGCGGCGCGCAACGGCGTCGCCCGCAAGGAGATCCCCGCCTGGAAGATCGCGCTGTACGGCGGCCTGGCCGGCGAGGCCCTGTGGCTGGCCAGCTACCCCTTCGACGTGGTCAAGAGCAAGATGCAGACGGACGGGTTCGGCGCCGACCAGCGGTACCGGTCCATGAGGGACTGCTTCGCCCAGACGTGGCGCCGAGAGGGCATGAGGGGCTTCTGGAAGGGTCTCGCGCCGACCTTGCTGAGGGCCATGCCTGTTAGCGCTGGCACTTTTGCCGTGGCTGAGATGACCATGAGGGCTCTCAACTAAGCCCTGTGACCCGCTTCGCATTTGTGGGTGGCTGGCTGTCTCTTTTTGGGGTAGGCTTGGCATTCACGGTGCAAGTGGTTTGGAGCATGTTCGAATGGGAGAGCATGAGATCTGGATCAGATTGACTTGTACCTATATATCCATGACCAGCCAGATAATATTATGTACTGTACATACGACGCTCACAATGTGCGTCACTCGCTGTTCTCCACCCTGCGGTACAGGATCTGTCTCGCGTTGGCAGGCGTGAGCGAATCAAGTTCCAGTTCCTCCAAGAGCTTCTTCGCCTGCGTGTTGTCCGTGAAGACCCTGTCGGTGGCTTGCTTCAGCGAGGTGACACCTTCCTGGGGCTCGATGGGGAGATTCAGTAGCCTAACGGCGTCTTCTAGGCTGCGTAGAGAGCCCGAGCCGTCGGGGATGTACCGCTCCAACGTTGAAAACATGGCATGCAGATCGCGCGCAAACTGAGCTGCGCCGTAAGTCGTAAAACTTTGGCTCATCAAGACTTCGCTCCAGAGCAGCATGTTGAGCCTGTCCAGCGCTGATCTCCAGATACGGCGGAATACTGCGGTCCCGAGAGCACGCGACAGGAATTCGAGGTTGCGTTTGAGGATCTGGGCTAGTCAGCTGGGTACTCATCGAACACATTGTGATGTGTGGCCTACCCTGAGAGGCTCGGCAAGTTCTGCGGTGATGCCAAGTTGGTAAGGGTCGGCTGATATCCCGGTTAGCTGAGTTCACGCAGAGCAGGTGGTTTCCTAACTCACCAGCAGAGATATCCTCATTGATAGTCGTCCATTGCGGCCGTTGAAGATAGGCTCGGAAAGCTTTATGGTGAGATTCCACAAGGGCCTCAATTAGGAAATCGGCTGCCCTTTCTCTCCGCTGTGTGTAGGCGACGATGGTCTCGTCAAACAGGACGCCGCCATCGTCCTCAGTTCCGACGGTTGAGGAAGTACGGTCCTTAACATGATCATAACTCATCCCGCCGGCTAGGTTGGTCTGGTCTTCGGAGGCCTTTGCCCGGGCTTGGAGTTGCTCCCAGAGTGTGACGAAGAACTGGCGGGATTAGCAGGCGGTTGGCACTCGTATGCAGACACCCGAGACTCACCTCTTCGTTACTCCAATCCTTCAGCGTATTGACAATATGATCCGAGCTCCCAAACACCTTACACAAGGTCTCTAGAGCACCAGTGCCTTCTAATGCTGCCAGTTCTTCCTTTGTAACCCCATGAAGAGTCCGCCCCACAGTGGACGTCAGGCTCTGGTAGGCCTCCAAGGAGCCTCGGAGGCGACTGTGATATTCATCCAGAATGGCAAGCTGGATGTCAATGAGGAAACGCAGTTTGTGAGAGAACCTCCTCACTCTCTCATACTGGCTAGTCACTGATCGCAACAGGTCCGTAACTCGCACCGCCCCGTACGTCGGTTTGGTCTTGCCTGCGCCAGCAAACTCGTAGTCGATGTTTCTTGCGTCCTGGGAACCCATGATCCCCTGAAACCGTTCCAATGCAAAGTCTTTCTCCGCACGAAGCCACTTAGCGAAATCCTTGTCGAGTACCTCGGCCGTGAGCCCACCCCAGCCGTTCTCGACGTCCCCACCGTCATAGTTGAATCTAGACCGGAGGGCCTCGTCGAAGGACAAGAGTTGCGCGATGAGGCTACTCAGGAAAGTGGGGCTGTTGACCGCCTCCACCATGGCTGAGTTGACCTTTTCTCTCATCACTGGCAACATAGAGCTGATGAAAGCACAAACGGGGTCCATGTAGACCATCTTTCCCGAGGCCGCCGAGTTATGGAGTTTTGACGCGACGATGTACGTGAAGTTGTCTCGAAGGAAGTCCTCCCATCTCTCGACAAGGGCTAGGAACCACGGGAAGCAGTGGGTTCCAATGGCCTGCGGGCTGCTTGTCGTCTTATCGCTCATGAAGTGGAAACGGAACTCTTTGACGAAAATCTGGGCCATGACGTCGATGGGCAGGAGGGTGACCACGTCTTTCGAATAGATGAGCTCGGGGACTTGTAGATCCAAGAGCTTCTCGAAACATTCACGCCATTCATCGTCAATTTCCAGCTGAGGGTCGATCTTAGGCCAGCCTCTCTTCGTCAAGACCGCCTCCAGTTCGTTCCACATGGTCTGTTTCATCTCGTCCCAGAGGTTGCTGCTGATATTGGCAACATGTGTAACCAAATGCGCAGCGGCCTCATCCGCCGCCGGCTGAAGCTCCTTCAAGCGCATGGACAGCTGCTTCAGCCTCGAGTACGGCTCCAGCGCAGCCTTCGGGCTCTGGGGCAGATGCGACCTGGCCGCACTCCGTAGCTCTTCCACATCCTGTAGTAGTAATAGATACTTGTGCGCAAGATCCACCTTGTGGAGCTGCTTCATAGGCTGCTCGAGCCTGCGGATCGCTTCGTCGGGCGCATCCGAGGCGGCCAAGATCTGGAGTCGCACGTCGATGCTCTTTTGCAGGGTCTGGAACTCTTGGATCTGGCTCGACAGTGCCGCCTGCCGGTCAGCGGAAGACTTTCGGCTTTCCTCAAGTTCTTTCGTTGCATCGTCGAGTTGCGACTGTAGTTGGCTTCGTTGGTATTCCACGCTGGCCAGCAATGTGTCGAGATTCTCCAGGTCAGTGGTCGACTGTAACTTGTCGTCGAGGTAGTCTTCAAGTCGAATATCTGGCTCGATTGATTGGGAATATGGACCCATAAAGGTGGCCATATTGTCTTCTAGGTTGCCTCGCAACTCCCTGTCGGGGTTTTGAGAGCTTAGGTCCCTGAGTTTCGGCTCCGTGTTGGTGTTGTCCAAGGACAAATGGCAAATGGTGGCCTGTCCAATGCTCGAAGCTTGGGCCCTCTGAATTTGCTTGGGTCTCCACTATGGATGCTTTATACGTACAGGGGTAGTGGGTGGTGGGGTCAGCTTTGCTTAACGCGTATTTGCATGAACATCGCGTTAACGCGTCTGCCACCACTAGTAGTACACTACACCACATGAAGCCGTCAATCTTCAGTTTTTTTAGTTTTTTTCAAGGTTCGTCTGCACACTTTTGTTGCTATGATGTCCATGGACGAGCAAGAACGAATTCAGTATGAAGCCCAATCACAGGCATTGCGTGTAGAGTTGAAGCAATGGGAAAACAACTGGGCAAAGGAACACGCAGGCAAGAAGCCTGCCCGCAATGATATCAAGCAGAACCCCGAGATTGGTAGGTCTCTTTTGCCCCTGACTGCTCGCACCTTTGTTCCCTTTGCACTAACACCTCGCCCAAAGCCCAAAAATACAAGTCCTACAACAAGATCCGGGACATCATCTCGGGCAAGATCCTACCCCCTTCGAAACAGCATCCCACGCCGCGGAAGCGCAAATCCACAGATGGCCCAGCCCCCGCCCAGACACCCAGCAAGCGCCCTCGACCTGCGGAAACCCCCACCAGGGCCCAGTCGCACGTCGACGGCTACGGCCACGGCTCCCAAGGCCACCCCGCCGGCGACGACGCGGTGACGCCCTCGCTGAGCCGGCGGCTCTTCAGCCCCGCGGTCCCGACGTCGATCGGCCCCACGCCGCAGCGCGACGGCCGCGTCCTCGGCCTGTTCGACCTCTTCGCCGGCAGCGACGCCGACAACACGCCCTCGCGACCGCGCTCCACCGCCACAGATGCAGCAGCCGCCGCCGTCCAAGCGACACCGCGCAAGCAGACGGGTGCGGTGGACCACCACCACCACGCGCCCGCGTCCGGCGGTCGGGAGGACGCCTTCGCGACGACGCCGCTGAGGGGGCTGGACGGCAACGCGCGCAGCAGCGGGTTCGCGGCGCGGGTGGGGCTCGAGGGCCGGACGACGACGACGACAGCGACGGCGACGACGCCGCGGGGCCCGAGGTCGGCGTCGGCGTCGGCGCTGCAGTTTGCCACGCCGGCATTCCTCAAGCGGGGCTGCGCGCCGCTGCCGCCGAGCGTGGACGAGAACGGCGAGTACGTCGAGTCGCCGCGACCGCTGCGCCTGCCGAGGAAGCCGCTCGTCCGGGGCCTGAGCAGCGTCGTCGCGGGGCTGAGGAGGCTGGAGGAGGAGGCGCTTGATGAGGACCTGGAGGCGTTGAGGGAGGTGGAGATGGAGATGGAGGGGGCTGTGCAGGGCGGCGGGGCTGGGGCCGGGGTCGGGCTGAAAGCACCACCCGCTGGGGGAGATCGGGCGGTCGAGCTCGAGGACGTCTTTCCCGCTGCTCCTGCTCGTGGGGATTCTGGCCCGTCGGGCGCAGGCAGAGTTCCCGTCGAGGTGGAGGATAGCCAGGCGCAGCCGCCGACCTTGCTGGGTGGTTTCGACGACGAGGCCCTGTACGACAGTCCCGTCGAGGAGGCGATGGACCGTGGGCGGCCGCTACGTGTGTTCAAGAAGAAGGGGCAGAAGCGCACTACGAGGCGGGTCAATATGAAGCCGACGCGCATAAGGAGGCCTGTGGAGGAGGAGGACGCAGAGGGTGATGGGGATGAGACCGATGGAGAGGTGGTGCCCGAGACGCAGCTTGGTACCACAAAGGCTATGGCGGATAGGGATCTGCTTGATGCAGCTTCTGGCTCCGAGTTCGACGGCTCGGATTCCGAGCAAGATGGAAAAGAAGCGGCCAAGAAGAAGGAGGAGGCCGCGGCAAAGGCAAAGGCAAAGAAAGGGAAGGCCGAGGCAAAAGAGAAAGAGGATGGGCCCGTCAAACGAGTGGTCAGGAAGGTCAAGGCTACGGCGCATGCGAATTTCAAGCGGCTGAAGCTAAGGAATAATGGAGCAAAGGGCGGTGCCGGGTACAACAGCAGGTTTAGGAGGAAACGATAAGCCCTGAAGTGTAATCACGGAGAGAGATCATTCTGACTTCCCGTTGTAGCAGGCTTTGCTTTTCAATCATCATCAATTGCCAAATAGCATTCATGAGGGTCACCTCATTTTGAATCGTTCCTTCCGAGACGTTATTAAAGTGGTATCCTAAGCTTGTTCTCTATCTTTAGTTCTCAACTACCTAATCAAAAAAGAAGAAAACCTTCGCTGTAGGGTAAGTGTAAAGTTTCTTCACCTTGAACACCAGGTTCACCGAGACTCCGGTAATAGCCAAGAGAGAGAGAGAGAGAGAGAAGTTACGCATATCCAAGCCGACAACTCCAGCCTGTACATATTCGCACCACCCTCGCCCACGCCGTCATTCCCAGGGCCATCAACAGCAAGGTGGCTTGTTTAAACACCTCGCGCCGGAACCGTGAATCTGGCTGTCGCCCTCACCGTCACCGTGGTGGTGGTCGGGGGCTTGGTGGGGACGACCGCGTTGGAAGCGAATGACTTGGTGATGAAGGTCGAATTGGTGGACTCGGTCTCTGGCGCGCTCGAAGTCGTAGGGGCGGGTTTCGACAAGACATTCGGAACCTCTGATGTCGGCGAAGGGGGTGAAGAGGCCCCCTCGGTGTCAGTTGCCCCTCCGATAGTCGAGGTGACATCTGATGCCGGCCCCCGCGCCGGTGGCGTTGACGTTGGTTGTTCAGAAGTCGAGGTTTCAGTCACAGTCACGGTCAAGGTGATGTCCGAGCCATCTCGTGTCACCGTTGTCGTACTGCTGTAGCTCTCTGCTGTACACGTGCTGTCTGTAGCGGCGCCCCCCGTGGCTTGACCAGAAGAAGTCGGGGCTCCTCCGCCTGTTGGTGGAGCAGCCGGGAGAGTACCCAAGATACTCTTAGCCGTCTTTCGGTCGACACAGTCAAGGGTGACGGCAACGGCGTTTTCCATGGGCAAGGCGAAGCAGCTAGTGCCAGCGGGGCAGAATATGATGTCGTATGAGCCGTCAGGGCGACATCTGCCAACGTTGCCATTGATGCATGCCGCTTGGTTCCCGGCACAGGCAGAATTTTCGGTGAGGTTAGCGTAAAGGGTGTTGAGCTCCCTCGCCCGATCAACGTTCTTTGCGAAGTCTGCGGCGGACACCGTTGTCGTTGCAGACGGAATAGAGGTGAGAGCAGTAGGCACATTAGCGTTGACTGCTCCAGTAGCACGATAGTGCGTAGCCGAATATTGAACGGCCGCTGAAGAGCTGGAAGTGTTTGTCGACGATGAAGACAAAGCGGAGGAGGCGGACGAAGTTGAGGTTGGGTCACCCGAGGCCAGAGGAGCGTCCGTAGAGGTAGCTGCCTCAGCGGTTTGCTCTGTTTGAGTCGCGCTGCTCGGTGACAAGGACGCAGGTTCACTATCAGTACTGCTGGGGACAGTCGGCGAAGGAACGGTGCGAGTTGTGCTGGTCGGTGACGAGGACACAGGTGCACTGTCAGTACTGCTTGGGGAAGTCGAGGGAGGGGTCGAGGCGATGCTATTCGGTGACGAGAACGCAGGTGCACTATCAGTACTGCTAGGAGAGGTCGAAGGAGAGCTCGGGGGGGTGCTGCTCGATGATGAGAAGTCAGGTGCACCATCGGTACCGCTAGTGGAAGCCGAAGGAGAGGTCGCAGGGGCGATGTCGCTTGGTGACGAGAACGCGGGTATGCTGTCAGTACTGCTGGGCGAGGTCGAAGGAGAGCTCGGGACGTTGCTGCTCAGTGACGAGGACGCACGAGATGCGACCTCTTCGGATATGCTAGCAGTACCGCTAGAAGACAGCTCGGGGATAGAGAAAGACGGGGCGCTGCTTGTAGCCTCTGTCAATGAACCAGGTATGGATCGTGGCGCTGTAGATGTCGGAAATGCCGCGCCCGGCACAAATGTCACGGTTATCAGGCTAGCATGTTGCGAGGGCTCGGACTGTCCAGATAGGGAGGCGCTGGAAGAGTCAAGCGACGGTGCCGACGCCGATGTGGAAGAGTCATTTTCCGTTTGGGCATCCGAACTCGAGGTTGGAGCGCTCAGGGATGGCGATCGTGACAGGCCCAAGCCATCATCAGCATTGGTAGAAGAGGGTCCAGCCGTAGAGGTAGCTGCCTCAGCGGTTTGCTCTGTTGGCAACGCGGATGGCGAACTGGAGTCTTCCGCGCTGCTATAGGAGGAGCTCGTGCCTCCATCACTGGTGCTCGGGGATTCGGTATCCAATGAGCCAGCCGATGCGCTTGAGATAGTCGCGCTTGTGGTGGTAATCGTGGCCGAGGTGCTGTTAAAGGCGGTGTCAAACTGCCTTGCCCACTTTCCTCTCCCATGCTGTGCTAATGCCGACCTTGGGGAGTCGACAACACCATGTCGCCTGTTGAAGTAGGTTAGGGATGACCTGCAGAGGGGGTTAAGGATTTACAGGGCTGACATACGAGTCCACCTTTCTGCTCAGAGGACCAGCCTCTGAAGTCGATATCAATAGGAGGGGTAGAAGTATCAGGTTGAAAATCTGCATGTCTAAATCCGGCAAGGGTATGGTCTTGGGTTTTAAGAGGAAGTTCGTGCTCGCGGTCGAGAAAAGCGATCACTATTAAGCCTCAAGCGTCTGGATGTGAGTAAAAAGAATGACCTTGTGTCCTCACGTAGTCACAGACTCGTAGAAGAGGCAATAAGAGACAAAACCCAGTCAGATGATGAAGGAAAGGAAAAATGCATTCATTATCCAAGAAAGATATTGAGCACAGTGAACGAGTGTTTGGCAGAAAATGGGAGGACAAAGAGAGGCCACTCAGTCTGTGTCATCATGACAGGCAGGATAACAATCGTCTTTGTACGATTGGGGAGACAGTGGAATGATGGGAAGGCCATGATTGTCTGGCTGCCAACCCTGGCACTTGCCGGCGAAGATGGCGTCCATTCGAGCGAGCTCTCCCAGCAAATATCCGCCCCCAATGGGCGCTTGGGTATGAAGCACGAAGATGGAACGATGGGTCGGCATTTAAGATGAGACCAGGGGAAGCGGCCAGCATAGAGTTAATCACGGAGATCCAATGCTGCAAGAGACGCGAGGTTGTGACCTGATTAAGCGCCTATAAGTCTGTCTTTGTCGTTGACAAAGAAAACTTGACCGTTTCTGAGTGTTGTTGCGGCAGACTTGGGGCGGCTTGTCATTGGCTGCCGACAGAACCCCAGTCACCTTCCTGAGCAACGCAGGCCAATCACTGCAACATGAGAGCCGCAGCAGGAGACTTGAGCCTCACCACTCACTACTCGTCTAAGTCAAGACCCAGAATTGATTGCCTTATTTGGCTGGCTTGACTTCAAAACACCCCTTGGAACTTCCAGACTCGTCTCTCTTTTTAATTCGGAACTTTCAGCGCAATCTGAGGTTTCAGATGATGCAGGTTCTTCAATGATAAAGGCGTTGTAGAAGCTGGTCGGCCGCCACTGAACTTGGCCCTATCCAACACTCCTCTAGAGTTGTCATTGCTCATGGTTCCCATGTGTACAAGGTATTATCCCATCCTGGCCCACTCAAGCGGGAAACAGCATGGTCTCCTGGCCACAGCTGGTTGAGGCTGGTCCCAATTTGCATGCGACCACTCGGACCCGTTGACTGTCTCGACCACGAATTGCCGCCAGGTGTAACACTTCCTAGGTGGTATTATCCTGGATGATATTACACTGCGAAAACGATGCTGTCGCTTCCTTATGCAAAAAAATCGCGACACGACGCCATGCAAGACCCATCTGGGAGCTGCCGAGCGGCGTCACAATCGCAACATACCCCCACACAGACGGAATTCCAATATGTCATCGCGATACAATGCGACCCACGGATTCTTAGTATGTACAATACATCCCGGGACACCTCGCAATGCTGTATATAAACCAAGCCCACCAATTAAATGCTGATTGAGACGCGGCCTATACGCGGTCTTTTCTAAATCTGAAAAGAGAGTTCGTCGACAAAATCATCGTAATCCAATCCAGGCACGGCCTCCGCCACTGTTGCAGCCGCCGCAGCCCTCGAGTCGCCATCTACATTCCCATCAAGACCGAGTCCAAACTTGCTGGCCGCACGCTCGGCCGCGGCAGAGTCCGGCAGCCCCAGACAACCGTCGGGGGGTTGCGCGGCTCCAAAACGCTGCATCTTCTTCGACGAGTGCAGCTCTACCGCTAGCGCCAGCGACAACGACCGTTTCCTCGGGCCGCCGGCCGGGTCGATAGGCCTCGCCTCGGTGGACTCCGAGGCGCTTGTGGGAGGCGTCGATGCTGGCCCACGACTGAGGCGGGGTTCGTCGATAGGATTGGAGGATTCCCGGGTGGTCGAGACCGAGTCGGCCATGGCCCAGTCCCCAGGCCTGGTGGTCTCTTCAGCCAGCGTTTCCGGCCCGACAAGCACAGCGGTGTTCAGGGGAGCTTGGCATGCCTGGGCGGCTGGCACTGAAATGGCGTGGTCTTCGTACAGGGAGCCCAGCCAGGCCTCGCGGAACTGCAGTCCCAGTGCCAGGGCCATCTGCCGGGCGACGCTGTTGCCGACCAGTTTCCACTGTTCAGGCGGCGTGCCCAGTAGTACCTCATGATCCAGGAAACCCTGCGCTCGGCGAGCCTCCATGATGGTGATGGGTCGGTGCTCCCACCAGTGAAGGAGGCGCCCTGTTCGCGAATCACTCGGCCCGCAGCGGGTCGTGACTGTGGGGAAGACATCGACGGGCCTTATGCGGCCCCATCCTTTCGAATTCGACGCAGTGCGTGTACAGCCCGATCGCGGGAACAGCTCCCGCTCGCTTAGTGTCATCACGCCTCTCCCTTCCTCCCAGGCCCTGGCGAAGTTCATCCCGTAGGGATGTGTCGGGATCAAGTTGAACTGAAACCGCAGGCATGGCGTGACGCCCAGCTGGATTCGATGGTCCGGGAATCCGACACAGCAGTCTGGCTTCCCGTCATCGATTTGGGGAAGATCGGCGGTTGCCTCGGCGGCGCTAACGAACTTGAATGCCGTAGGCTTAAATGAGCGGCGTACGTAGGGCTCGCCGTTTGACATGACACCCAGGGCGCGGCTATTCGAACCTGCATGGTGGGAGTGTGACGGCAAAGGGGCTTCCGGGAGGCGGTAGGTTGGGGCTGCAAAATACAAAAAGACTCGGCTACGATTCTGCGGTGCGCCGTAAGACCACGCATCGCCCATGATGATCTGGGCTTGGTAACCCATCCCCACGATTGCGCAGATCAGTTGCGAGAAAACGTCTTCCTCGCGGTTCTTGTGACCCTGAACAATGGCCGGGACATTCTCCAGGATCCCGTACTTCGGCCGATACACGTCCACAAACGAGGCGAACGAGGCCACAAGAGACTGGTTCTTGACCTGGCGGTCACACTTCTTGTCATCTGTCAGGAGCGAAAACCCCTGACAGGGACTGCCGCCGGAAATGAAGTCCACCTCCCCCGGGCGAGGTACCGAGTTCGAGTACCTCCCCTCAATGGCGTGCTGGAGGAGATCGTCCACTGAGCCGAGGAATGGGTGCGTACCGACCGGGGCGTTCGCCATATACGTGTGGACGGCCTTATCCCAGATGTCGTTTACCCAGTGCATGTCCACCACCCCTCCCTCCTCTAGGCCTCGACCAAAGTTGCCACTGCCGCAGAACAAATCGAGGCCCCTCATCTTCCGAAAATCGCGGCGTTTAGGGTTGAATCCCTGGCGCATCGATGGCGGGTACTCGTCCTCAAACTGAACGCAGACTTCCTTTCCGTCCCGAAGCTGCAGTTTGTGCGTTATGAAGAACACATTAGCTGTGCCATCCCTGTTGTAGGGGTTTGGCAGAGGTTCGCCGGGGCGAAAGAATCTGACCAAACATCTCCCCACAATATTCTCGGTATCCGCAACCACCACATCGTCGGTGTAAACAAGCTCGTTGGGCCGGATATTTTTCGCCCGATGCTCGATCGCACTCCGCCGCCGTAGCGTCCGTAGCCGAGCAAGTTGAGAACGTCCTTGTTCGAAGACCTCGACAACCTCGTACGGCTCGGCGATCTCCGCCTCCTCAGATACCGATGCAAGGACCGTGTCGCCCGGGTGATAGAAAGGCCCCTCCGGTCTGTCGTGTTGACACCTCATGTGCTTTGGCTCGAGCGAGACCCAGCGCCTGTCCTCAATCATATAGGTTTGTCGCACGAAAAACTCGGCCGTCGTAGTCTCCGGGCTGCCGAACCAATCCACGTTGTGTTTTTCGAGTACCTCGTCCTCGTCCCATCTCGCGTCGGCGCCGTCGTCGCATGTACAATGGTTGGAGAGGAAGAGCTCCTTACCCCACGCATACATCATTTTGCAACAGGGGGTATCTATCGGCTGATATAGCCATGTAACGTCGAAGGACCGGGCGCCAGTCCTTGGTGAAACATGGACTTTCTGGACCAACCCGAACCAGCGCCTATCATCAACGAAGCCCTTGGCAGCCTCCGTCTTCCACTTCGTGCCCGTTGCTTGGCTATCCGGGGGAGTGGAGATTGTATCGCCCGGCTTGATGCTTGCGATCATCTCTCTGTGGTCTCGGTCTGCTGATGATGATCTGCGCTTGGATCGATTTCTAGCCTGGTGGTGGTCCTCCAGTGGAAGAATCCCCAAGGTGTCCTCCTGTTGCAGGGGATCTTCAGACTCACGTCCCTCCATGAAAGCTTCGGAAGCCTTCTCGTCCGCGGGTTCTTTTTGACCGACGACCTTTAAAAGCCTTCCAAACTTCATGTGGCCAAAACACCCAAATACGTATGGCGTTACGACTGTAGGAGTAACATCCACGCCGTCTGACAGCGCTGCCGCAGGCTCGTACCGAGTAAAGAACTTGATCTCCTTGAAGATGTGCATCGAGGCAGCTTTCTTTGGTTCTAAACCATAGAGCTCTTTCCAGATGAAGTCCACGTTCGCCACGACAGCTGAGCGGTAGTCGTTGCTGCCGTGTTTCGAATGCCATCTTTCAACGCTTGGTGCGTTTCTATGAGTGTCCAGGAGCCACCCAATGAACTTCTCTTTAAAATGCCTCAGCTCGACTGAGAGCTTCCTCTTTGCCCTCCAGACACAGAAATCCACGGTGTGTTTAGCAAGATCGGCAAGCCACAGGAACGGTGCATGGAATCGGGCATATTCGGCCGAGGGACGCTTTAATTGATAGTAAACCTCTCTCGACTCGTTCATCTTCGAGTGGATCCACATCTGGTCTCCCACACTTGCATTGGATATGCCGTAATTTCCAAGAGGCAACTTCCTGAAGTGCACACCCTCGACATAGTGCTCAATGTCGCCAATTCTGAGCACGCCGTCGAAATAGAAGTCGTCATGTCGCGCCTTGGTTGCCAGCTGCTGGAGTGGCCGTAGCTCGTTGCGATAAGTATTGTTCCTGATGTAAATGGAGAAGTTGTCCAGTTCGAACTCGACAAAATCCTCATCTGTCAGGTCACCTTGTGACTCGACAAATGTCATCAAGGCCGCAAGAGCAACACTCTCGTGGACTGGGGGAAGCGGTGGAAGCCATCCATCAACCATGGACCTGGGGTAAGTCAGGGTCGACTTTGGGATGCACACGGCGAGGTGATTGTTCCGCCTTGCCAGAGGAGTGTGTTCAGTCGACAGCTCCAGTTCACCCGAGTCATCATGCCCAGGCAATCCAGGCAATCCAGGTGTTGTTGATATGACTGAGGCACGGACGGAGGTAATGGATTCATCATCCAAGTCTTGGTCCTGAGTCTCAGCGGCAAAGCCAGGCTGACCTAGGGAGTCGGAGGGAGTCAAAGATAGCCCTGGGTTGCATTCAACTTCAGAGTCATCTCCAAGTTTGGTCCACCGTCTAGGCGTCGTTTCCGGGTCTTCCTTTACGAATGGCAGCGCAAAGTCCTCTGGAGTAGGTTCAGCTGCCCTGGCTAAACCATCCATCGCGAGGCTTGGGATATCAGTTGGTTGAAGTTGCTGGCATAGTATACGGATGTCTTAGGGTCCGAAGGTCGGTTGATGAGACAGTTCTGATGTGTTACGGCAGTGGTTGACTATTGACTAGACCGACGAGCTGAAGTTATCCACTTTCGCGCAAAACGCTGCACTCCTGATCGCCAAGAACCATCGAAACCGAGTTGACAAGCGCCGGCTATCTGCAAGAAATAATGCCATGTAAAAAATGTAACAAAGCGGGCAAATGAACGTGGCGTAAAGAACAAAGAGCATTCTTCGCTACAACCTGGATTGTTTGGTCGCGCGTCCGTGTCCCCGTCGCGTCCTGGAGGGACGCGAAGCAAGGTATGTGGAGCTGTGTTGGTTGGAATTGGCCAATCAACGCCGTCCCAGCCCTACCCCTGCTCCCCTAACTTTAAGTCGTGTTCATGCGGCTGAACTTAAACATCAACGTCCTTCTTCCTGTTGGTTGTGTTGGTGACCTGGAGATGGCGAAATGAAAATGGGGGTTGTGTCGAGCTGTCAGCAAGTGTGAATTACAAGCCCAGCCTTTGAGCACATGTCTATTATCTACAGTACTTGTACCTCTATCTCATATATTACAACGGATTTGTCTATGAACTCCATGCAGGGCTTAAAGAAACGGCAGCATTAGCATATGAAGACGTCCGTTATCTTGCTTGGAAGGCTGGTCTAGAAAACGTACTGCAAAACCAGAGACCACCGTTCTGCGACGTTTTCCACCTGGGATATATCCTCTCTATCACCCACTGCCTGCGGCCACAGCCACGGAATGTCCTTCTCCTCGGACAACTCCAGTATGCTCTCTTCAAACCCTCGCAGCTCTTTCTTACTGAGACGGCCTTCCGCAAGCGCTCGGAAGCAAGCGAGCATGTCCATCATGTGGGCGTGATCCCTAGTGCCGAGTGTTGTGGCGCTTCCCCGAAACCGCCCATCGTAGCAAGCGCGGACTATCCACCTCAGCACCCTGGCCATCTCCGGAATATCGTCGTAGAGGCCCAAGACTCGCATATACCTATAAATCTGCACCACCCTGGGTGGTCCGGGTGTTGTCGTATCTGGATCCCCGGGACTCCCCCCTTGGTCAGGGGAGACAAGCTCGTTAAAACCCGCGACGAGTATCGAATGGGCTTCTTGGAGGAGTTCCTTCGCATATAGAGGGAAGGCAGCTGCAGTGTCGGGAGTCCATTTCGATCCCACCGAGGACACTCGATATGTCCTGTCGGGACGCCTCTCGAAATCCGGATACTTTTTGTCGGTGAATATCGCAAACATTGTCCTCGACACTGCGAAAGTGAGTTGTTCGAAGAGCACGGCATCCATTCCCGTTTGGTCTTTTGCTTTCTCGTAGAGCTCCAAGACCGTCGATAGTGTCTCCAAATGGTTGTTTTCGAGCTCACGACTGATAAAGAGAGTCCTGGTCGTGGCTAGAGTGCGCATAATGTTGTGCCACGGCGGCTTATATGTTCTCCCCTCCTGGGAATTCGGCGCCAGGCGGGTAGATGTAAGCATTATCGCTCGGTGAATGTGGGAATCGGGATTTACAAAACTCTGCGAGGCGGCTGACAAATATTGTGACGAGTGCAACTTGCACAGTAACGAGATATAGGCATTGAAGGTGCCGAGGGGCATTTCCAGAAGTGCCTCGGACGATGCGGCGTCCAATGTTGATTCGCGCAAGACCGAGGCGACGGATCCATGGGGACTGTCCTGCAGGTACTGCATCGCCATGTCCTCTGAATGGGAGTTTGCAACAAGTAGCGCAAGGACCCTGCCGTCCGGTCGATCTCCCGATTGCAGCATTCGGTCATATAGCTCCGCCACACTGGGGGGCTGCAGCCTCGCTTTCTCGACGGCAGTGAGGTTGGCCTCGTAGGGTGGGAATACCTCTTTCGCATTACCAGGCACTGCTGACGAAGGATCGGCCACCGGACGAGACAGAAGCTTCTCGAACATCTCCTCATAGACTTGAAAATTCGGCTTGAGCCCTTCCTCCGGCGGGACCTCGAAGATCCTCCAGGCCTCATGGGCATTCCTCGTGGCCTTCACCCGAGCAGCCCACGCCGTATAAATATTGAAACCGGCAAGCTTGCCCTTCCACAGCCTCGGCTTCATGGATCTGGTCTGTACCGTCGGGGATTCTCCGAGAATAGCACCGCCCAACGCATCCAGGGCCCGATCATAATCCGTCTCGGGGTAACCTGCCTCGCGGGCGAGAATGCCGGCTTTGACGCTTCTGCTAAGGTCGTCTTCCGGTCGTCTCCGCTCGTCCAACCCATCCCACTCTTCCCTGTAAGGCGGCCATGTCTTCTTTGATCGCACGGCAACCTTTTCCTCGGCCTGTGACTTCTCGAGGCCCATGATGATTGACCGAATTGCCCAGTAACTCGACTGGACGAGTACGAGCTGGCGCTCCAGGCCAGTTGAAAATGCCAACATAAGCTTCTGCGCCTCCCAATTGTACTTCGCATTTGCCAATGGATTCAAAGGCGCGGTCATAGCAAGAAGGTGTATCGCGGCGTTGAAGACCTCACAACGCGCACCATATCCAACTTGGGGAGTAGCAGGCCGTTTCCTCCAACTTGTTGTAAATCGGTTATCAGTCGGGATGGTCATGATGTAAGCTGTGACGAGGCGGGCTATCGGTTCTAGAAGGTCCGGCCACAACCTCAAGCTGTGTTGCACAAGCCGTTTCAATACCATTAGGAATCGGTGCGTTGTCATGTTAAGTCGAGGGTCCGTCGCCATTCCTATCGCCCGCGGTTGCGTGTTTGGAGGTCCCTCGCGGGGAGTGCAGTAGAACTTTGAAATGTACTCTAGAAGTGCCACAAAGTCGCCGCGCCGCTTGAATGTTTCTTCTGGTCGCAGCAGAGCGAGGAGAAGGAAGATGGGTTTGTGCTGGTCCGTTGACAGAAATCTCTCGAGCCTAGAGTCTGAAGTCTCTCCTGACAGAATCCATGCCCAATGGACTATCTGTTCCTTCGTAATACCTTTGTACTCCAGGTGTTTCACGCGTGTGTCCCAGTTGTTGGTCAACAGGGCCTCCGAAAGGCTCGTCGGATTTCGGGCCTCCTCCTGCATCATCAACATCTGGGTAGTCAAGACTGGAAGTCGAAGACTCCGGCTGAGGGCTATAGCTTCAAAATCCTTCGCCTTTTTTGCGATATTACGAGACTTCTCGTCGCCTAGATGCATTGCAAGTATAAGGGCGGGCGATACTGTGAGGTATCCTTCTCGTTGCCGTCGCGCTCGTTTGCCATGGCCTAGCCGTTTGGGATCCGATTGGACCACCGATTCGTTTTGGGAATCGCCCGGCTGGTAAAATTGGGGGACTGGCCCGGCCTGATCTTGACAAGAGCCATGTTGCTGTTCCCCATGGGCGGCGATAGTCGATTGCCCTCGGCGAGCAACGTGGGGAGATTGTGGCTGCTTCGAGCTCTCCGTTAGTTTCTATGTTGACCTTCGAATGAAAGGTGCAGCTCACCCGTATTATCGACCAACCGCCCCTCGCAACGCCTTTCAAGGAGATATCTCTTGCAATAAACATGGATGGTGACACTCAACCATCCTGACGCCAATCACCTCGACCCGCTGTCCTGTCAAATGGTTCTGCTTGGAGGTTTGATATGTGCAGCTGTTGGCAAGTGCAAAGGGATTGTCGGTTTCCACGTGACTTCGCTATCTTAGCAAAAAGGATGGTGGTTACGTAATATGTCAAGATAACCTCAGCGCGCGCATGGGTCAGGACCCTGATGACAATGGGTTCAGTTAGCAGAAACAAACTTCTGATTCAATCGTCTTATTCTTCAGTTGTGACTGCGCTCCTCCTCTGTCTTATCTTCCATACTGGCATCTTTAATCAAGCAAAGCAAGGACAGTGCTCTATGTGAAGTGAAGAGGCCTAACTTAGTTGCACTCCGCCTCCCTGCTACCCCTCAGAAGAAGTCGATTCATCATGTCAACATAATATTAAGACCACGTCCTGTCCGTTACCGGCTGAGCCTCAGCCGACCTAATACCTACACACCCTTCCACACACAGTCATAACTTATGGCTCCTCTCAAGCGAAAGCGCCCTCACGATGCGATTCCCGACCCTCCAGCTCCGGAGCCGATAACGCGTCGTGCAACGCGCCAGACCTCAATCGCCCCACTTCCTGTACAATCGGATCCAGAGCCAAGACGACGCCGAAAGCGTGGGGGGAACAAGGAAGAGTTGGACAAGATGCAAAAAAATGGGAAACTGGGCCTTACCAAACCTCTGGATGCCCTTCCGGTTTCCCAGCCTTGCGGCAAGAAGGAAAACATCCCTCTGCCGCCCGTCCACTCGGGACCTCTGAAGCCAAACCGAGCCACAAGAAATGGGAAGACGAAGACTGGAATAGCAAGTCAACCTTCAATGCCCGGATCGTCCGATATCGAGAATGTCAGCCCCGGCTCAACATCGGGCCCGAGTCCATTGACCTCTGTGGCTCGACCTACAATGCGACCGACAGAACCCGCCAGTCGTCGCGCACGACCGATCGAACCGCATCAGCAATCCGCCGTCCAACGTGCAGACATGGCCGCGCCGGCGGCTTCCATCCCCGCGCACCAGCCGCCTCGACAGCAGAAGCCAGCGGGAAGCACAGCCGACAAGTCCCTGAACGGCCGCCCGGACCGCAACATCGACAAGGTCGTGCTGGGGGAGATATGCTTCCGCGCCTGGTATCCGTCATACTACGGGAAGGAGGTCTTGGGCGACATATCGGGCAACAGCGCCAAGGCCGCCATGATATCGGCTGCCAATGGCGTAAACGGGGAGGACGGCGGCGGGAAGGGCCAAGGACGACGAGACAGGGACAACGTGCCGATCCTGGATCGGTTGTATGTGTGTCCTTGTTGCTTCAAGTATTCCAAGGAGCTTGTCGCCTGGTGGGAGCATGTCCGCGTTTGCGAGACGAGGTGCTTCGTTCCCGGAAAGAAAATCTATGCTCACCCGAAAGGCCGGCGGAAAGTTCTCATTCCCGCAACAACCGGACCAAAGTTTGCGAGGGGAAGGCGGGGAAATGGAGCGGGAAAGATGGTTGAAGGAGTGGTCCAGGATGAAGGAGAATGGAGCATATGGGTGGTCGATGGCGAAAAGGATGTGGTAAGCTCGACTCCCAGCCCTTGCCTCTCCTGTTCTACCAGCTAATGGTAATCAATCAGCTCTTTTGCCAAAACCTCTCATTGTTTGCGAAGCTCTTTCTCGACAACAAATCGGTGTTCTTCGACGTCACGGGCTTCAACTACTTTTTACTGGTGTACTCGCCTCCCTCACCACCGACACCTAATCCGAATGCCGATGTGTCCGACGTCATCCAGCCGCGGAAGCAGATCGTCGGTTTCTTCTCCAAAGAGAAGCTGTCGTGGGACAACAACAACCTAGCCTGTATCCTCATTTTCCCACCGTGGCAGCGCAAGGGATTGGGATCTCTCCTTATGGGCATCTCCTACGAAATATCAAGACGAGAGGGTCTCCTTGGCGGGCCGGAGAAACCCATTTCGGACCTCGGCAAGAAAGGCTACAAGAGGTTCTGGGCCGGTGAGATCTCGAGGTGGCTTCTCAGCCTGGACACAACAGGCGACGGGGCGGAGGCCGTCGTTGATACAGATGAGTGCAGCAGGGCGACGTGGATCGCGCCGGAAGACTGTTTACTTGTGTTGAGAGAAATGGGTCTCGTCGAGGACGCTGGGGAAGTGCCAGTACCCGGCCAAGATGCCCAGGACGAGGCGGAGGCGGAGGCCGGGGAGGTCGAGAAGCAATATATCCGGCGAGTGAGAATCTCAAAGGAGGCTGTTCGGCGCTGGGTCGTTGCGAACGGCATCGGTTTGGAAAGGACCTGTGATCCGGAAGGCTTCATCGATGGTTATGCTCTCAAGCCGGTGGAAACTGAGGAGGAGAGTTGAGACCGGGAATATGAATTGTTCCCAACCTATCCGGAATTGATTGATGCCGGGTACTGTAATGATAAGTACGGCGTAGGATGTTTGAGTTGTTGACCTTGGCACACTGTTGTTGACATTGCCTTGGCACACCAGAGACGATCCACCTTGCTCTCACGCCGCTTGTAATGGAATTGATGATCCACTGGAATGGTTTCCAGCGTTATTTGTTATTCTTCGACTCTTCCTCTAGCCGGTACTCGGACAGCTCCGAATAGTTACCATGCACACTGCCTTGAGCTCATTTCAATAGGAATGAAGCTTGGGCCAACCGGCCATGCCGGCCATGCCAACTTGGAGCTTCCCTGGTCGCAGCTGCGGAACTCTCTGCCAAAGAACAGGGGTTTCTGCAAGGGTCTCAATTGGTGGCGCAGGAGGCCGAAATTCTGGTTACAGGGATTTGTACTCAGGTACCCTCGAATCATCCGCCAAGGTGCCCCACTAACAAAAGAATTTTCAACACTCAAACAGCTGACTCGGGTCTGGTCCCCATTCTAGATGAGATGAAATCCTTCAAAGTAGAGTAAAATGCAATGTGTAGCATTCCGAGAGAAAAATTGAAGAAAAAGAAAGGTCGACATTAAGTGTACCTAGTTCTGAACTCAACCCTTCTGTTCGTAAAGTTCCCGGAACAAGTTGACGGGAGCTAGGCCGACGTCATGTTGAGAACGACCGGGGGGCCTGAGGCTGAAATTCTGCAGGTCCCTGAGAATTTTTTTCTTCCTCCTGGTCCACTTCATTTCCTCCCTCCTTTCGGCGGCGTCGAAATCTTCCATTCTATAGCCGTCCATCCCCTGTGATCATCTCGGCTCCTTTACTCCTAGCTCGACTCAAACACCTCGGCAGTGAGCACTGTCGAGGGTGGATTCCCATTGGCCGACCTCGGGAGAGTATCAATTAGCTCATCCCGGAACAGTACGTACACATGACGCCGGTTCAGAAACCGACAAGCCCCTAGCCAGGTATCCGGCGCCTGGGCATGTGGACGGCTTTGAACGACTCGTGAAAGTTGTGACGATCTCATGATGCCAGTCCTGAGGCTCAATTGAACCGGTGCCCCTTCTTTACGGCCCCTCAGCAGTCCAAAACGGCCCCAGCAAGGCCAATTTAGACCATTGGACACTTTCCATGCATTTCAAGGGGGATTCAGCAGCTCGATGTCGTGGTAATCGAAGGCTGACAGGTTTTGCGGCTGGTAGCCAATCTCTGATCATCTCTTCCACTTCGCCGCTAAGTGGGCCCAAGTGGGGGTCCATCGCGCCTCTCGGAGTTCTGGGTCTTGGAGCCTCATGGCGTCAGGCTAGAATAATGATATCAGATAAGGAAGGGGAAAAAATCAGACGGAGGTACCCTAGGATGTCGACAGCCAACATACTTTGTCCAAAATAATGACAAGAATTGGATGGAGCATTGGGTACTTCCACCATCCATCAAGATGAGATCGTAGTCGTTCATTGAGTTCTGAGGAAGCCCTAACGCTCATACCTATTTTTGGGTTTGGTTAGTTCAGCGTTTGTTCAGTGAAGTGTGCCATCGAAGGAACAGGGAGGACCTTGAACAATCCCGACATCACCCGAATACCAAGCGTCACTTGGAGCCCCCAGTCTCACTCACATAGTGTGAATTTTTCCCTCTTCCCCCCCTTCCTGATCCTGGGATCACGGCCCACAGTCCCACACGGATTCGAAAATGCCTCTGGTCCGGAATCAGTTGGGTCATTGGCGAGTAAGAAGCGCGCTCCGAACGGATATTGGAGCCCGCTAGTGAACGGGCCACCGAAGTACCTTCCCTGCCAGGCTGTTTGTTCATTCTTCTCTTCATCCTCTCTCCATCCTTCTCTCCCTCTCCCTCTTCCTCTCTCTCGTCCAACGCTGTCCATCCTGAAAAGTTTTTCTGTCTCCGCCATTCTCCCCTACACTCTCGAGCAGTCTTCCTCTCGTCACTAGGCTCTCCCCTCCATCAGACACAATGGCCTCCACTCGTGTGCTCGCCTCCAGACTGGCCTCCCAGATGGCCGCGTCGACCACCAAGGTCGCTCGCCCTGCCCTCCGGGTCCAGCTGTCCAACAGCTCCAAGCGGACAATGAGTGGTAAGTTCTCGTAGATGGGCGACGGGCATCGCTTATCGGATCGGATTGGGCTCACACACTGCTCCCGCCATAGCTGCCACCAAGGCCACTCCCCTCCAGGCCCTCAAGCGCCAGCAGATGTCTTCCATCGTCAATGCCACCACCCGCCAGGCATTCAACCTCCAGAGCCGCCGCGCCTACTCGTCCGAGATCGCCCAGGCCATGGTTGAGGTGTCCCGTAACATTGGTATGGGCACTGCCGCCATCGGTCTGACTGGTGCCGGTATTGGTATCGGCCTCGTCTTCGCCGCCCTCCTCAACAGCGTTGCCCGCAACCCTGCTCTCCGCGGCCAGCTCTTCTCGTACGCTATTCTGGGTTTCGCCTTCGTCGAGGCTATTGGTCTTTTCGACCTCATGGTTGCCCTCATGGCCAAGTTTGTGAGTTTCGCCAGGCACGCAATACCACTCTCTCTGTGGCCGAGTACTGACCAGCTCCTCTCCAGACCTAAACGTCTCATCCGCTTGCGGACGGGAGTTGAGGCGACACCTTCACTGGCGGCTCGCCTGTGTGTCTGGGTGGATGATGTTGGGGGTAGTGCCCTGTCGAACAGTCTATCAACCCAAACTAGTCTGATAGGACGGGCGAGAGAGGTGCATTGGATAGAGTGTGTTGGGTATAGAATCGCTGCATAGGGCCACGGCATAGAACGATAGACCTTAGACCGGGGGGATTCCAAAAAGCGTCGGAACTACCGACATGTACCATAGGATCGGCGATTCTGTCTCATCCCTAAGGAAGACCATCCAAGAAATATTTCATTTCATTCTGTCCTTCACAGGTCACACCACACCTCCACTTCTCCATCTCCATGTGCTGATATGTCCGGGATTGTGGGAAGCATAGATGCCTTTCGGCCAAAGAGATTGACGGCAGCACTGCATTTAACACTTGCTAAGTGCGAGCCGACCCTCGATAAAGCTGCAATTGCAGAACCCAGCCACAATTGAATCGACGAGAGCTTCGAACATTACTCAGGGCGCAGCCACAGCAGGCTCACGCCTATCGCCTCGGACCCACTCGCGTCCATTTCCAGGGATCCACTATCGAGGCGGGCTCACGAGGAGCAATTCTGATAGAGGAGTTGCGTGGAAGGAGGTTGATAGAGGTAATTTGGTCTGAAGAGATGAAGAGATGAAGTCAAAATTACCTTCGATGCAAAGTCATCAACTTCCAAGGCTTGTTGACTTTACCCCGACCTTCCCCTCACGGTCACGTCATGTGATGCTCCCTTGGGACGGCAACACTTACCCCAACCAAGCAAGCACACAGACATACAACCTCAATTCCCCAATCCCACACCTACCCCGCCGAATAGGTGTGTCTAAGGTGAGTTTGAATGATACCCCCGGCTGGTCTGGAAGTGACCCCCATCCTCGGCGGGTTCCGGGGACTGAGGTCTTGGCTGAACACGACACACCAACCGTGTCAATCCACATGCGGGCGATAACATCGCCAATATCATGCATGGTCAACGCCCAACGCCCTAGGACGACTCTATCCTAGTCCAGGGGAATAAGAAATGTCTCTCGCGGGTATTGACAAACCTTGATCCGGCAGTGCTGCTGGTCCTCTAGCATCAACTCAAGACTTACATCTCCGGCGTTGAAAGTGGGGCATTCAAGTGGTAAACACGTTGAAGGCTCCCTCATAGGGCGTCACTCAAACGTCCAGATATTGTTCTTGGCCTTGAAAAGTGCCCCCAGCACAGCAAGGCCCCAAATCCTCGGTTCGGTTTCTTGAGATAAAGCCAGGGAACATTGACGACGACGACAAGCCAACAAATCCGACTCTCATGTTAACCTCGTCACTTGCTATCTCGTCAAATTGCTGGGGTGGCTTCTCTGCGTTGGTGGGGGAAGTTAAATGCTGCATATCCAATATTGGCACTCATCAGCCAGACGCGGAATGCAAGCTGTTCTGGTGATGGAGAAACTGAATGTTGACTCTGGGCACTTTACGATCATGTGTATAATTACATGGACCCAACTCGGAGGAACAGAATGTCTGTAGGACAGAACTTGTTCGTAGTCAGGGCAAATGATGCGTACCTGTAAACGAGTATAGATGTATGGAGTACCAATGCCTGAACCCTCGGCTCACCTCAAACGTAGAGCGCTGTTTTATCATGGCTTGTTACAATAACAGGATGCCTGCTTTGTGTGTCGAGTTGCAAAAGTAGACTCTGTCAATCATGCGGGAAAGTCACATCAGGGGCGAATGCAAGAATGGCCAAAATAGTCGTATAATGCTGACATCCAACAATCCCATCCGTATCCGGAAGGGCGAGCTCCAAGCAATGATATTCTCTCCAGGTATCTAAGAACTGGCTAAACTGTGGGCATCTTCCTCATAGCAGAGGGGTAGCCGGCATCAGCCTTGAAACGGCAGGCCCATAAACCAGAGACTCTGCGGATGGAACCTACGAGGACCATATGCCCCTCATTTCTTGAAAGTGGCTGTCTTCCCAGGCTTCTGGTAGTTCATGTTCCTAGCACCCTTCAGACCACCATCACCACCAGTCTTTGCCACATACGGATCAAACACTCTCGATGATGTTGCGCGGCCGCCGTTAGCACGCTGCGCATGGAGCACCGATTGCGCCTTGCTGTAGTCGAACGGCTGGTCTTCCGCCTCTCCAGAAGGCTCAGATGCTTCTGGTTCGCTGCCTGCCGCCTTTGCCGCCTTGCGAGCCGCTTTCCTAGCTGCCTTCTGGGCCTTGAGCTCCGCCTTCTCTGTGGCTTTTGCCTCCTTTGACGCCTTCCTGCGCTCTTTCCTGGCCTCCTTCCTCTGGGCCTTGGCCTGAGCCTCCTCGTCGGATACTGAGTCGTCTACACCGCCTTGCTTGGACTCACTCTCACTCTCCGCTGCTTCGGCACTCGGCTCTGATTCGGAATAGGAGTCAGAGTTTACTTCTTCGATATTGCGCTTCCGCCCAGATTTGAGGGTGAATCCATCATCCTCCACTGCAGCCGCCTCATTCGCACTGTTGGCGGAGAGGACGGCTTCTTCAGGTTGCCTGGCTTCAACCTGGTCGTTTGCATCGGCCGCTGTATTACCAGCAGAGATCTTGTCCTGGACATATATCGTCCAGGGCAACGAGATCTCTGACGCGTCCGCAGGGCTCGGGGATGGCTTTGAGCCATCCCAGACCGAACTTAAAGGCACGGTGCCCCATAGCTGGGAACGCTCGCTCCGCAACTCCTTTGCGTCTGGGATTGCTTGATCTCCCTTGTCCTTCTGCCCGCGCAGATCCCCAAAAACGTTCTTCGCCACAGCCCCCATGGAGTCACCCCGGAGGAAATCCATCATGGATGGACCATTGACGCCTCGGTCCTTGGCCTCCTTAACCACAGCGAACAACTCGTCGAGGCGGGACTTGATGACCTGGCTATCCTTGTGCAGGAGACTCCACAATGCCTTTGGATCGGAGGGCATCATCCTCGCGACGTCGGCAAGATTGCGCTGAGACATGATGTAGGCCGGACTCTCGTCATGGAGGCGAGCCATATCGTCCCGCCACTTGTGGACAGCCCTGTAAACGGAGAACTGTTCGCGGCTGAGGAGTGATGGTGACTTCGCCAGCATGTTGAACCACCCTCTGGAGCCTTGTCCGGTCTCGACGTCGCAGATGGGAGTCTCGTACCGCTGCAACGAAACCTCCTTGGACTTTTGTACGACCCATTCGACGTCCTTCTCGGAATCGCCGCTGGCTGACCGCTCAATAAGCTCGTTTCGAACCATATCGTAGATATAAAGGAGGTAGTGCGTGTCCGAGCGAGCGTAGTAAAGCATCTCCTCTGGGAGAGGCCTCTAGGATGTTAGAAGAGAAGGGACGATAAGGACCGTTGACATACCGTATCCGCCAGTCCGCCATTTGGTACTTCTTGTCTGCATCGAAATCCACAAATCGCTGGAGTAGATATGCGAGACTCCTCCCGGGATATCCGAGAGCGGTGCTGGCGTAGTGGGTGTCGAAAAGCCCGACGACATACAGACCGAGATCTCTTTGAAGCCATATGACATCCATAAATGCGCCATGGAATACCTGGCGGCGTTAGAAGAGAGCACCAGAATGCGGAATAAATGCTCGAGTTACCTTGATGATGTTTGGATCAGCAAAGACCTCGTTGAGAATCTCAAGCTTGTGTCGCCATGGTTGAAGGGTATCCACAATCCAGTCTCTTTCTCGGGTGCTGATCTGCATGAGAGATAGGAGGCCGGGGTATGACCTGAAGTCATGATGCTCAAGATCCACGGCGATTTCTTTGGCCTTTTTCAGTTCCTCCAGCATCTCCAGAACTTGATCATACGTGTCAACCCACGTAGCAGAAGTGGTTTCGACAGGAAGGTAGTTGATAGGATCGGCCTTCTCGTAGACCCGTGCCGGGTATTTCGCCTCCTGTATCTCAGTCTCATAGGGATGCTTGTATCTGAATGTACCATCAGCATGCCATAGGGACCCTTTGCGGAGGTGGAGTGCGCTCTGGGTGGAGAGAATCAAGGAAACTGGGCAGGCATACTGTGTTTGGTGCTCTTCGTCGACGAGAGTTTCAAGACTCTGCTTGAGAGGAACAGTCGCGTGTGGCTTCGTGGTCAAGAGCGGCCTCCAGGGGCCGGTATCATAGTTATCCACCTTCCGCTCAAACCCGTTCTGCGGCTTGATGATGTTGGCTCGTTTCATTGACCACTCTAGCCTGTCGTTCGTTTTGGGCCTCTTCGGCGCAGGGCCCTAGCAGTTGTTAGAACCGTGTTCCGACCCAGAATACGGGTGTTGTTACTGGTAAGGCTCACAGATTCGGCAGCTGGGACATCCTTCCTCTTGACCAGACCGGTGTACTCGTCCAGGCAGGTATCCGTCTTCTCGAGGAGGGAGTCGACCACGTCTAGGATGCCCTTCCAACTGATATCTACATCGTCTGCATCTTCAATCGACGGCACCGTTTGCCCGGTGAATTTCCCCGCCGATTTGAGCACGTCGCTGGCTAGCCGTAGCAGTCGCTCGCTGGTCGCATCGAGTCGGGCGCTAGTCGAGGGATTGACCGTACGCTGGAAGGAGAGATCCTCGTTTGCGAGGCCGTTGACCGTCCTCGTCGTAGCTACCAGGGAGGATTGGATCTTCTCCTGCAAGGACTTGAAATCCTGCGAGGCATCCATCGTGACGGCGTCGAAAGTACTATTCTGAGTTGCGCCCGACCAGTGGTGCTGTGACCTTAGCACACTTGGTGATGGGAAAAAATAAACTATGGAGCAGGGGTGTTCGGAACTTTCCAGCGCGCCACAAGGTGCCTGGCAGAAGATAAGATAAGGAAATTGCATGCTTGGCCGGATCCAAATGGAAAGCAGCTTGACATCATTGGTTATTGGTGGACTTTTCCATCTCACTTATGAACATTGAACGTATACAGAGAGAGAAAGAAAACATTTACGTGGAGAGGACAGCCGGCTTGAACTCCTCTTGTTTAGTACCTTCCTACTCTATGACCTATCGGTTTCAATAAATGCCCTACCATCACGACAAGTCGGCAACACCAGATTCTGATCGATCAAACAGAGTCTTGTCCCTCCACTGAAGAGTCAGCATGTCTGCTTCACTTGGTTCGGAATGCAACCAAGTTAAAGAGTAGGTATAGGTCTTTAGCCATTAAACTTCTACTAATGGCTCATCCTGCTAGGCGCTATGATACCTGCTTTCTCAAATGGTATAGCGAAAGTAAGTTGCTGCACAGTTGCCAAGGCTGGAGAGTGTGTGCTTATGGCGAGGCTAGAATATCTCCGGGGCGTAGACTCATCTGATAATAATGAGTGCGCCGAATTTTTCAAGGATTACCAGAAATGCCTGACGGTATGGAGCAGACACAAGTGTTAGGCCTACCTCTAGAAGAACTGACGGCTCTGTAGGTCGCGCTCAAGAAGCGAGGTATTGATAAGCTCCTAGAGGACGCGCGGGAAGACAACAAAGAAAATGATGCGGTATACATGGGCCGGAAATGTAAGCCTTACGATACATGCCATCACATACCTATCACGAATATCTAAGAGCTAACCCGGAACACTCAGGATGATTCAAGTTGGCGCTTGGATGGCTCTTCTCAGAAATCACAACAATGTAGGAAGCATGAGTAACTGGATTGCTCTGGCATTCGGCAGCATCTCTTCTCCTTGCATAGAATATTGTTGTATCTGTTTATTATAGTGTATAAATATTGGACTTGAGTGTTCCACCTTTCTGTCATGTTTGAGGATCCATGGCTGGATCCCATCATATGTCCGGCTTTCCAGGGGCGGTACTCAAACTTGGAAGTTCTAGAAGCCTGGCCCTAGCTCCCCCACGTGATTGAGCCTCTTCAGCGGAGCCGGCGCGGGTGTTTGGAGACCTGGGGTTTTCTCCTTAGCGCCAATTCCAACCGCGCCAGATGCTGATGGAGTACACGCATTTGTTCTCTGGTCGATGTATGAATGAAGCTTGCGCCGAGCCGAACCCTATCCTCACCACACACGTCACACGACTTTCTCCTCTACCACGCGATTGACCTCGAGAAACACGTCGCCTTGTAAACCTCGTTTAGGTCCTCCCACCACCGTCTCCTCCAGCTTCCTCGAAATTCGTCCCGTTTCGCTTCGTCCGAATGCGAACACCGTAGTTGGCCCAGTGATTCTATGCACCCCTTTTCCGTCCTCACCCTCGGAATCTTCATCGCCGGCTACATCACTGCTCGATGGGATCTCGTCACTCGTCTTTACGAGCTCGCTATATTCGCCTGGGACTACGGAGTCGTCGTAAGGATCTATAACCCCGGTAATCTTTGTTGCTTGTATAGCATCCTGACGGGGCGACCCATAATACTTCACAGACACGGGCCGCTAAAGGATTCGGTGTCCTCACTTTGATATTCTTTTTGCTATTTGTGCCTGTGGAACGTCTGGCGTCGAGGGAAGCAAGCTTGGTATGCGCCCGCCCCCTCCTCCCCCACAAGTAAACCATCTCGAATCCCCGCTGATGATGGCCGCCCAGCATCCCCGGACGCCTGGATCGGGTGTCTCTGCCAGGGAGCAACTGAGGAGGAGAGGATCGTTCTGATATTTTCCTCCGCCTCGTGCTATCTGTCATGCCAGAGCATGATGAGTTGATGCGCATATTTTGGCCAACGGACATTCCAAGATCAGACCTCAGAGGCGTGGTTGTGGGCTGGAGGAATTCTGGCTTGGATGTCTTTGTTGTGGCCATCCTTGAAGAAGTTGAGGTATGCTGTCTCGAGGGAGCTCATAGTCCCCGACCCGACCCTGTCTAACAGTATATAGACGCGCAACGTCGAAAACGCCCTGAAGGTCGGGACTCTTCTCCGAAATGCGCCCCATCCGGTTCATCGAATCTACGAGCTATGCGGCCAGTCATCCATGCACGTCCTCGGCGTCTCTAATACCCCCGATTCCGTCGAAATCGATCCCTCATGGGTCCGCGTGACCTCTGGCCAGAGCTTGCGAGTTCCCAAAGTCACATGTGCTCGAGCAACGAACATCCAAATTATTCTCTACGAGAGGCCTTTACCGGGGCGGATGCAGTACATATCCCTCAACCCGATCGCGCTGGCTCTAGGCGACAAGCATGACGGCTCCAGACAGGAACCCTCTGACAGTGGAGAGGATGAGGACGAGAAGGAGGAACGGGCGAAGAAGGACGAAAGGCAGAAACTGGTCGAGAAACTGAAACTCCATTCGGTTATAAAGCGTGTACCCTCGGCCAAGGAGAAGGCTCTTGCGAAGATCGTGAACCAGATCAACTGGGCATGGGAGCTCGACAGGTTGCTTCAAAAGAACGTCTCGCGCATTGGGACGAGGCCAAAGAGGAGTTTGAGCGTCTCTGAGCGAGTTGTGGAATCTGCGACGACCGCGAGGGACATGGCGGTCGTGTGGTTGTGGGAAATGGCCACGATCTACATCTGGCCCATCATCAAAAGAGCATTTGTGCTGGTGTTGATGTCCCACCGGATTGCAGCCGAGATGCTGCTGCTCATTCTGGAGTGGAGGGCCCGGCCCAGATACGCGGCACTGAAGGATATCTCAGCCACCGCCCAGCAGGTTGAAATCCGGCTTCAGCAGTTCTGCTATTGGCCAATGCAGTATGTCACTTTGAGGCAACGCAAAAACGACTGGGAGAGCGTTACCACGAGTCACCCGGACTACATACGCTTTTACAACAGCCTCTGGCTGGTGGCCAACGATGTGATTATTGGTATCGCCCTGGGCTCTTACATCATCGACAACGCTGGTTGGGTTGCCGACCAAATCAGTGGGCTCCTCAGGACATACACCGTCGAGGCGCTGCAGAGCAGCATATCTTGGCTCATGGGCTGGCCCGCAGGGTTGAAGCTCAATACCGAGCTTGCAGCATTTCTGGGTGACCTGTTCCTGTGGGTCATCGACTACTGGTCGAGTAAGTCTAGCTTGTCTGATCCTCATTGTGTGCAGTACAGCTGACAGAGGGACAAAAAAGGCTGCATTGAAACGCTTCAACCAGCCATGCCTCACATAATCCAGTTCATCGGCTTCTCGAGCTTCGGCGGCGCGAGTATGCCCATCGCCCTGTTTTCGGACCTTCTCTCCATCCTGACGGTCCACATCTACTCCTTCTACCTCGCATCTGCCCGGATATTCCACTGGCAGCTCAATATTCTAGTCTCCCTCTTCCACCTTTTCCGCGGCAAGAAACACAATGTTCTCCGGAACCGTATTGATTCGTGCGACTACGACCTCGACCAGCTCCTCGTCGGCACCATTTTCTTCACCCTCTTGTTCTTTCTCCTGCCGACCGTCGTGGTGTTCTACCTCAACTTTGCCATTGCCCGCATGGCTATAATTTCGCTGAAAGCAGTTTTTGATACTCTGCTTTCTTGCTTGAACCACTTCCCCCTGTTCGCCCTCATGTTGAGGGTCAAGGACCCCAGGAGGTTACCAGGTAAGGTACTCCTGATCCTGAACCTGGGAATATTACAGCTAACGGTTTTCAGGGGGAATTCGTTTTGAACTTCGAGATACCCAAGATAATAATAGACTTGCTGCTGTTTCTTCTCCCGATCATCCTACCACCTCCGTAATCCATCTCAAAGTACAACCCCCACCCTCACCACTCCCTACTGCTCGTGCTACAGGGCAACTGACTCTTCGAATAGCCAATCCCTCTATCGTTTCGGGCCATGTTTCACCAATACTTCCAGATGGCGCAGCGGATTCGAAAGCATTACCTGTCTCCGCGGGTTCTACTTTGCCTTTTGACCGGAAAATTCGTCCCGCCGATCAACAGGAAGAACTTGTACAGTCTCCAGTATAGCATGCTCCCGGCCCGCCGAGCTGGCATCATGGAGATGTGGGAGGCCGTCAACTCACTCCCACCTCCCAAGAGGAGGGCGGCGCAGATTCATGTGCCGATATTGGCGAATGGGAATCGGTTTCCGAGCAACTATGGTGGAGGGAGGCTACGTAGCTACGGCTAAGGTGGTAGGAAGTGAGGGATAGGGGCGCATGGCCGACCGGCTGGAGAGCTGTTTTATATAGGTACACATGATAGTACCTAGACAAGCGCGGCTCGCAATGCCACCACCAAGAACTTGGTTGAACTACAAGCTGCATCTTCTCGATTGTGCATGTCGGAATGTAAATCTCACTACGTTCCATGGTTTGCGCAATACGGAGTTCCACCAACCTTCTGTTGATCGACCAAGGGGCACCCGTGGCCTGTTCTCCCTGGGGGAGATCACTAGCCCGTTGCTGTCATACTCAAAACTAGTTCCTCCCCTGAGACGCAACGTGTGGCGAGAAGCGCCGTGGACCGACGTGCCTTACACATTATGGGCTAGACTTCCATATTCAGAATCAGGGGCTTGAGCACGGCCGTGAAGATGACGATAGTCTGGACATCATCTGGAAATAGAAAACTTGTATACCTAGGTATCTGCCTACCTACGCCAGAGGTCTTGCTTGAAGCAGGACCTCCGATGCTACCTATCAGGTACCTAGATACCTACCGAGACGTATCGATGATGCACCGCGGATACCCATCTGTAGTAGAGGCACTCGCTCTTGCAGAAGCTGGGCCCACAGGCTGGTCCCCCACGCGGCAGCAGCTCTGCAGTGGACCCTTCCCAGCTTCTAGGGCATCCACTGCCCGGGTGGGTACCGGTAGTTCTCCTGGGGTTAAGAGAGGGAGGCGACCGGACGCCTCAATAACTCAATCAGGTCCATGATTTGAGGAAACAATGATGGGAGGAGGTGCCGGGACTGCGGCACCAACGTGACCGAATGGCTCGATTGGGCGTCTTCCCACCTCGGAAATACCAGCAACTTGCAACTCGTGGCATATGGGAAGCACGACGACGTCAGACCTGATGATCTCTAGGCGGGTGGGTGTACTGTGTGGGATTGGGAAGGTATCAAGTGGCCCGGGCCACAATCACTTGGGGGGGGAAGCCCCACTACCCCACCTCGACCAACCTGCTCCTACCCTCCTTGATGTTAACCTACCTTGTTGAAGAGTCTACACAGTACACCCAACCATACCTACCTACCTGGCCCTGTTTGCTACACAGTTCTTGGGAGTAATTCGTGTTGTCGACCTGCTGCTATCTTGATATCGCAAGTCAAGGCCTCGCCACCGCACTGTCTACCTAGGCAGTTAGGGGTACTTTACATTCGGGGAAGCACCCTTGTCTCTTGATCGCTTGTAAGTCCCCCCATTGTTCCAGTCGTCCCCCAAGATCGACCTTGCGCGTATAAGAAGCCGGGTCCTAAGATGGTGTCACTTGTGCTTGCCCTCCTCCCTCTCTGTCGTACGGTACTTCCGTCATACCTCATTTGAACTTCCAGCTATAAACACAAGCTGCTGGAGACCAGAGCCAACCTCTTTTTCAAAATGGAAGCTCAAACTATTTCGCCCTGGGCTCATAAATTAGCTTTTCCCAGGCAGAACTCCACGATGGATCCCAAGGAACGCTTCTATCGCCAGTTTCAGGGCTCCGCGTCTGGTGAGTCGGTGCCTAACTTTCGCCCAGATCCCCCCTCTTACTTACACCAATTAGCGCTCCAGGATCAGATCAAACAGCTCTCATCCTTCTCTGTTGTCGGCGGAGAACGGCAAGATGCTATAGAACACGTTTTGGCAGGCATCTCAAGGCTCTCTAATGAAGTTGCCGACGCCTCGGAATATATTCCCGCCTATGATCAGAGAACATACTCGCAGGTCAGTCCTCTCCAGCTGTGTCCCCTGTGACCAAGTTTCCCGCCTAACCCACCAACAGGCCATCAAAGCCCTGACAGAGCAGCTGAACACTGTAACCTCCGAGCTTGCTCCCAAGTCGCGATTTCAATTCAAACCCCGCGTAACCGCTGTGTCGGTAGACCCTAGGAATGATCCCCGCCATATCCTAACCGCCCCGAATGCTGGCGCCTCCACCTCAGCATCAGCCCCGGCTGCAGAGCAGCGGGATTCGGTCGGCGACCTCCCCTCGTTTACCAAGAACTACAACGAGGAGATGGCGCGGCCAGGGAGTTCGGCCATCCGCAAGCCCAGCTTCTCCTCAGCGAGGGACATCGCCATCTCGGACCAGACCGGCCTGCACATTATCCTTCCTTCCACAGCAGCTCGGGCAGCATCGGCAGGGAGCTTGACGGGCCTGAGGAGATGCATTGTCGACATGTCTTTTCCCACCGCCGGCAGTGCACCGTTTGCAAGCCTCGCGCTGAAGAACATCGAGAAAAGCCTCATTGTTGCCGGGCGCGTTGACGGCCCAGCACATATAACCGGTGTTAAGGACGGCATCATCGTCGTGGCAGCCCGACAGGTCCGGATCCACGAGTGCAAGAACGTGGATATCTACCTGCTTTGCACCAGTCATCCCATCATCGAGGACAGCAGTGGTTTGAGGTTCGCGCCCATTCCTGCGGCATATGTAAGTTCTCTCGCCCGGCCGATGCCATTTTTGAATGATGAATGTTGACCAAACACCCCAGACGACCGTGCAAGACGACCTCAGTAAGAACCAATGGGACAAGGTGAACGATTTCAACTGGCCCACAGCCGGTCAGTCTCCGAATTGGAGTACTCTGCCAGAGGAGGAGCGTCTTCCGGACGACATCTGGAGGACCACAGTCCCCGGGAGTCCAGGAGAGAGTTTCGAAGACATCTTGAAGAAGGTCGGCATAGCGGGGTGAAAGACAAGTCCTCCAGAGGAGGTGTTTTCCGGGTATCGGGAGTTCGGTATGACAAAATAGCAACGTAGTTCGATAATATCCCTAATGCATTGCTCTCTTTTTGGTCGTATTGGTTAATCCGTCCCTGACTTAAACGCCTGTGAATGACCCCAAAGCCATAAACGCCAGCCACGCCATGCTCACTGCCTCGGCCAAGCAATGCTCCTCCACGCTTCTTCATGTTGCCGGCCCCTCGCCTCCCTTGGCTTCTTGATCTCCCGCCCCCAGGGGCCAAGCCAAGAGCAAGAGGCAAGCAACCCAAGGATATCAACCGCCCCTTCTTCACCTCTTCACCTCACATCCCGCCATCGCCACGTCCCCCGCCTCACCGCCGGCGGCGGCGACGGTGGTGCTGGTGGTGGTGGTGGCGGTCGGCCCCTCCTCGCCGCTGGCGAACCTCATGCCGACCTCCCTCAGGGCGGCGAGCACCTCCCTCTGGGCGGCGATGCGGGCCTCCAGCGCGGCGGCCTCGGCCTCCTGCTGCGCGACGGTGCGGCCCATGTCGGGCAGCTCGCGGATCCGCGCCCGCGCGCGCTGCAGCTTGTGCTTGAGGCCGTCGGTCGCCGTCGGGACGTCCTTGAGGGCGAGGCCGCCGGCTGCTGCTGCTGTTGTTGCTGTTGTTGTGCTGGATGATGACGGGGCGCCGGCGCCTGTCGGGGCTGGTGCTGATGCTGATCCTGCGAGTTGGGATTGGGGCTGGGGGAGGGGCGTTGTCCCCGTCACGGGGCCCGGGTGCGGCGCTGGCGTGGCGAACGATGCGCCGCCGTTGGCGCCGTTGCTGCTCGGTAGGCCTGGGAGGTTGTCGAGGGCCGGGGTGGAGAGGTCGGTCGTGCCGGGCGAGGGGCGGAGGCGGGCGAGGATGGAGCCGAGCTCGGTGAGGGTGTCGATCGAGTCTGGGGAGAGGGTTTCGGCGAGGTCGGACGCCATGTTTTTTGGGGGGGTTCTTCGTGGTTTCCAGCAAAGGAGGTTGGCTTGATGTGATTGTGGTTGCCTTCGGTGATTGGGTGGGTGTTTGAATGACGGCAATCCTGGCTGAGGCGTGAAGTGGCCGGCGACAGACTGTCAAATATAGAGCCTGTAGTGGCCAAGCAAAGGTCTAGCTCCGGTTGACATTTGGGGTAAAAAGGGTCCATGCACGGACCCCAAATGGGTTGGATTATGCGACCCCAAAATCTTCACGGAGTCTCGTTCGGAAGCTTAACGTTGGGTATGATGAATCAAGTCTGCCAGCAAGGGTACGCTCAAGGTCGGATTCAAAGTAAATAAATTAAATAAATAAAACCCGCCAGACACAACACGCTCACCACTCGCATAGGTTACGGTGTTTAACGCAAATTGCATAAGCGCTTGAGGGTCGTAGATATGTTGAAGTTCCTCGTTTGAAGAGTCTATTGTCTGTTCTAAGATAGTTCCTGACAAGTATTTAAAAGAACTTGAAGATTTTCAGTCAAAATAAGTTCTAGGCTAGGAATAATTTACGCAAATTCCTTTAGATCTTGATAAAGGTGCCGATTAAAAAAAAGTATACGAAGAGAGGTTATTAACTAGCATGAGAGGACCAGAAGTTGTAAGGGAATATTGTTATAGAGATTATACATGAAATTCAAGTAGGAGCACAATAGCCCCGTGCCCTTCCTCTAAGGCCCAGGTTACTGGCGTCTTGCCTACCTCATCCCTTATGTTGACCTCGACCTTGCTTGTTTCAAGCAAGAGCTGTACAGGAGCCCAATGCCCCTCGCCGAGGTATGTAGGAGGGGTGTCCAGCCTGTCTTATCCCTCGAGTTAACCTTGACCTTGACCGTGGTAGGTAAGAGCTCTATAATAGACTTGTGTCTTTTCCTGAGGCACATGTCACATTCGGGCACAATTCCTTGGGGATGATGATCAGTTATGATGCTTTGGAGGAGGGCCTTGCAGAGCCGAAGGAAAAGAGGGAAGGCTGGATTACATCTATCGTTCGCACTTGGCGGCTAGCTAGCCATTGATGGGATCCTTCCTCTCTGAGCTACAGACGGAGGGAGGGTGGCTCCGCGAATAGGGTCATGGCTCGGGCGCCTCAAAACGAGACTTTGGCACTGAGCGATGACGATCAACATGTGTCTTTACTTCAATTGTCGATCTGACATTCTTTGGCTTACACACTAATACTTTGACCAGCGGGCCTTGGATGAGCTGCAGAAACGCTACAATAAGCAGCCTGGCCAAATCAAGAGAGTGCTTGGCGAGCAGACAGAATGGGATCATCTTAGCAGTTCAAATCCTCCTCGACACTTACTATAAACAAACCTCTTAGTCAGGGAAGAATATTTACTGGGCCGTTTCCTGTGCGGCCCTGAAATGCGGACTGCATTTTGAGTCTCTGGCGTGGAGAATGGACTTTGGGTAAGGGTGTTTGGGGGTGAAGACGGGACAGCGGTGCCATGCGATGCGCGGCGGGGGCAGTGACGATCCCGGAAGTTTATATCGCCGAAAGGAAGCCGTTATTCCGATAGGTCTATGCGTGATGAGAAGCTGAACGGCAGATAGCGGCAGGTTGCAGCGCCCCTGACCATCTGGATGGCGGTCAGTCCCAATGGTACTGGTAGCCCCCTGTCATGAGACCCTCAGTCAGAGCCTGCAGTCATGCGCCTGCAAATGCTACAATCGGCATTCTCTGTCCGCTGCCGTTCTCACATCTCCCAATGCCTTGGGAATTGGGAATGGTTATTCCTATGTACAGCGCATACTGCAACCCAAAGGAAAGGTTCTGGGAATAGCCGCCTCGACTTTGTGCTGCGCAACCGGTGTGCGAAAGTGCGAAACTACCCTCTGTTGTCGCATCTCGATCGATCTTCAGGGTCCTTTTCGCCAGTGGGTCCCTGCGCCCGACTACGGCGCAGCTGCGTGAACCGCCCCACTAGTGTATTTGGGCCGTGCTGACCACCTCCCGCTAAGCGGCTAGCGTCTACCGGGTGGATAAGGATTTGGAATCGATCGCCGATGCACTCTTGTTCGAAATTTATTCTGTATATGTACAAATAAATCGCAGGCCCGCGCTGGCTCTGTCATTGACAGATATACGACTATGGATATCCTCTACAACGTAGAAACAGAAAGGCTGCAGCTCTCGCCCTCGTCTCGAATCCACTACCTCCTCTGATGGGAGAACAAATGGGCTTTTCAGGTTCCTGCAAGGGAGGGAAATCCAACACGCCAAAAATCATAGACGTTGGAGCACTCAAAGTTGTCCAAACAAACAATGCCGATGCACCCCTGCGCAATTATATTCGACATGCGTCGCCAAGTTGTAATATCTGTTGGGGACAGGGGTTTGTTGGTGTAGATTACCCCTGGAGTTCATCTCATGGGTACGGATCTGTACTGGGTGTGCGCTTTCTCGATGACAGCCCAAAAGTCAGATCCGGAGGTCGGTGAAGGTGGCCGGTGCTGCGGCGATGGGGCAACAACGTGGTCTTACGGGACCCCTAGGTCCCGCCTTGCATTCCTGTGAATTCCTGCGTTGAGTGATACGTTCGGCCTGCGAATTACCCATCCCCCTATCAGTAGGTCGAAGCGTCCCATACACCGGGCCGTGCCTGGTCATGGTGAGCCTATCTAGCTGACTTGAGGTGAGGTGGAGGTACTGTACATGTCCGTGTATGTCCCTTTCTGTGCGTGCTACAGTTTTTGTGGGGGCTAGTGACAGGGATAGCTCGCGCTTGGGGACCCCACCCCCAGGACCCTTGCAAGCCTAGGAGGTAGGTTGTTACCACCCCGCCTCCCCGATCGAAAAAAGTGCTGTGACAATCGGTGCAATCAGAGAGGAGGTACCTGACGAAGAAGACGAAAACCTTAGTGGAACTGACCTCAGCCGCCAACACATCATGCGCTCTCATTTCGAACCTCAATCACCTCTTTTTGTGGGCGGACCTTCCTCATTCGAGTGTCTGGCTTCACAGAATGATAACCTCTTCGAAACTGAGCTTAGGTTGTCTGTAAACCCTGTCGAGCATTGCAACATAGTTTCGAGGCAAATGAAGCAAGCCCCTCCGTCACGAAGCCGCCTGCTATTCCTCCCCACATGAATGAACGAGGTAAGAGATTGTCTTCATTCTGCCTGGATACGGGATCTCTATACGGACCTACTTCGCCTTTGGAATCGCGGATCCGGTCACTAGCCCATGCCCTTGCCACACGGTCGCTTCGCACTTGCTCTTTCACATACGCATACATCCACTGTCACCTCCTTTTGCCATCTTGTCGATCTCCCCTCTTTTCGAATCCATCATGTCCCATCACCAGCCAATGATGTTGGCTACTGGCCCGTCCCTGGGAAACGTCCGACCTATAACCTCCCCCTCTCGATCCTCCACTAGAGTCGCCGCGCTGCAAATATGGAATGTATAAAGGTCTAACAGCACGCGAAGTAGGCATATCAACCGATTCATCCCGCCGCATGCGTATGTACCTATCGATGACCTCGCCTGGTGATTGACTTACACGCCTTCTCGAACTACAATGCCAGGTCTCACGACTCAACCCCGTGTTTTGACCTAGAAACCGCGGCCAATGCCTCCCCCGCAGGATAGGCAGGTTGGCACGATGGCGAGCACGGGGGATAAATTACAAGGCACCCAAGTGCCACCGGTCGGTAATGGACACCCAATGCTACGACGAACTTTCCTTGAGAAGTCGGCTGCTCTTTATCACCACCAGCTTGCCCAAGCCACTTCCATGAAGAGCTCACCCGCTTGTCACTCGTCAGGAGCGAGCCGCGAAACCGGCCAGAGCGACCCCACGAAATGGTTCGACCGATCGAACCGGAAACCTCCGGCAGCATTCTACGCAAGAAACGTGGATATTGACCCACCCTTCTTCCAAAAGGATACTGCTTCGTCAAATGAAGAAACCCCAGGGCTTGACGGCGCCCGGACCAGGCACACAACATACCCCTTCATGCCAGCCGGCCTCCAGGTTCCCCCCCTCCGACCGGGCGTCACACATAGTAGTAGCGCGGACGATTACCGGAGCGTCATTGACGACTTGACCATCGAGAACAAGCGACTGAAGGAGGAATTGAAGAGATATAAGCAGGCTGGGCCCGAGACGTTGAGGAGAGAAAAGCTGTTCGAGGTCAAGGTGCATGGCCTTTCAAATCAAAATAAAAGGGAATTGGAGGCCTTGCTTCACAACTTCACTTCCAGTCTTGATGCCTCTATCGAGGCGCAGTCTCAGTCGCAAAAGCCTGGTAGGGGCGAGGAAACCACGGACTCCTCGGGAGAGGCTCGATCCAAGGGTGCTTTGTCGTCTTCGGCACATTCCCGGCCCGTCGACTCAGCTTATGCCTCCGCGTCGACAGCGCCGAGCTCCGCCCCGAAAAACCTGTCGGGCACTCCCCTCGTGCGATTATCAGGGACTCCGAAAGCCAGGTCGCCGTCGGATCAGGAAATGGAGAGCTATCTTGAAGATACACCCGGCGGCCTGCTCCCACGACATATGACAATGACCGACAAGGAAAAGAAGAAACTTGTCGTACGGCGCCTTGAGCAACTGTTTACCGGGAAGATCGGTGGCCGGAACGCCCACCGCACGCAGCCGATGCCATCGTTTGAGGCACCGGCTCAGACGGACACAACGGCGATGGCTCCACCGCAGAATCCCAAAGCAACCAGGGAGGCTCGTATTCAGCTACATCACCTATCGCAGAAGAAGAGTGGTTATTCGTGGGGAAATACTTCTGGATCTAATTCGGACGATCCAACCGAGTCAGGGAGGAATGGAAGGGGTGACAAGGGCGGAAGCGGGAACGGCAACGGGAATGGGAACGGGAACGGGAACAGGAACAGGAGTGGGGGCACATCTTCGGCATCGGTGCCGCCTCCGGAGCAGCGCCCGACGAGACCTCGCGATCTCGATCCGGACCGTGTGCAGATTCCTTCAGAGAACATGAATTACATCCGACACCTGGGCCTGGATCCAAATGAACCCCTTTCTGGAAAGAGAACCCGTTATCAGGACGTCTCACCCGATGCCGACGGCTGGGTTTATCTAAACCTCCTTTGTAACCTGGCTCAGTTGCACATGATAAACGTCGCCCCAAGCTTCATTCGATCCGCCGTGAGCGAGAAGAGTACGAAGTTTCAGCTTTCGCCCGACGGTCAGAAGATACGGTGGCGAGGAGGTACAGATGGCACGAGATTCAGCAGCGACAGCAGCGGCGCAAACTCGCAGAAAAGCCCTTCGACTGATGACACGGATGATTCGAACCACGCGGGCCAAAGGAAGAAACTAAAGCTGGGCACGTCAGGAGATGGATTGACTTCGGCATCGTCCAGCGAGGAAGCGACCTTTGGACGCCAAGCAGCCTCTGGACCAACCGATTACTTTCACTACAAGCCAATCTTCGTGCGCCAGTCGTCTTCTCTCGAGACCTCACTCGACGGGAGCGGGTCGCAGACATCATTCGGCGGTATTGAGGACAGCAGAACCAGAAACGACTCTCGTTGGGATTTTAGCGCGACGGGCTCGTCTCAAGCAAGAAAGCGCCGTCGTGACGGTGCCATCATCTACTATAAGGGATTGCCGTTCTGCACAGACCTATCAGGAGACCCTGTAGACGGGCTTCCGGAAACCCGCATGGCGCCGACCAGTCAAGAGCAAATCCCTGACCAGCCGGTCCTGCCAAGGTCAGCGTCGGGCCTCTCGATTCCGATCCGGTCATTGAGTGATGACCAGGCTATCTTCGAAGAAGCCATGGACGAGGAATCGGCAGCGAGTGCTCGGGACTTGGCTATTGAAAAGTGGGACTCGGGGAGCGACGGTGAATTCGACTTTCCATGGTGCGACGAACCGCAGACGGTTCATCTACGCCCTATCGAGTCCGCCCCCCTGGAACCATGTGGTCTTGGTGGTGTTATGCCCGAAGACCACTTTGTGGTTGCCGTCACGACGCGCAGGCCGATTTGTTGTGGAGCTAAGGGGAGTCAGCGTCGTCGGATATCTCATTGCAGATCCCCCGTTGCCGCCAAGTCGATTGCTGGCTGGCTTGCAAGGATGACGACAGCTTCACCGGCCCTGGCAACCCGGGGCTCCCGCGGTACAACCGTCAAGATTGACTATTTGTCGGCAAGGGCCCGCAGACTCAAACCAGTGCCACTACCTCTGCCGACAATGTACTTCCCGCCGTCGACGTCCGATTCCGATTCCGACACGGATGACGGCAATGACCGGCTCGACTCTGAAGACGAGGATTCCGGCCTGGACATGTCGTCCAATGTACTTACATCGCAGCGTGCCAATACTTACCGATCGGAGAACACATATCCAGATGGCCAGGAGCTATCGTCAAATGATGAGGAAGATGAGGAGGATGAGGAGGATGCGGAAGATGAGGACGGGGAGGTCGAATCAGACAGCGAAGATGACTCGAGCGTTGAAAGATGAGGACATGTGGCAGAAGTCTCTACTTTCCCACTATTGCATTATAGGAGTTTCGGAAGGATTGGAAATATCTTTAAAATATTGATACCAGGCATCTTACGAGCTTGTTTCTATGTCAGAAAAGAAAAGGCATCGGGGCCACGGGTTATGGACTTACGACTCGAAAAGCATTGGACAACCCTGGCGTTAGGGGTGCTTTCATTGACCCAACCTGGTTATAGTGAATTGAAGTTTTATGATTTTCAGAGAGAATAATCGTGAGCTATGAATCGCTACGTATCGTCCAGTTCGAGCTTGAAGTGCAATGGGACGTGTGCTTATATGTCCTCTCTGTCTTTGCTCTTCGGAGGAGGGCGAATTCCTTCAATTTGGATATTGAACCCTCAGGCTCAAGACATAGGGGGCATGCCAGACTTCCCGACTATAGACTTGATTCTGCTACTTGCTGTACACCTTGTTTTGGGCACATCTTTTAACTGACATTGCCAACAGCCACGCAGCCAAGGTCAGAGCTGTACACCTCGGTGAGCGCCCCACCCCACCACCCACCTATCTGCTGCTATCCAACAACCAAAACTAAATCTGGACATCAACCGACACCACGCAAAAAAGCGAGCGCATCGACGACTCGCAAAAGTTCCCCGCCTTATCCCGCGACCGGGAATGTGACGCTCGCAATGGCGACTAAGGGCAAAGAACCAGCAGCCGGGTAAGCCGTCAAACCATCGGGGGAAAAGGGGGGAAAGAAAAGAAAAACGAGGGAATGAAAGATTTCTGACAAATGCCAAACGGGGATGGATGTAGGAAAGATGCGACCCCGACCAACCCCCGAGGCATCCCATACGCGCCTTTCGTCGACAAGGTCGAGGACTATGTCACGTCGCGCGAAGACGTCGAGCCAACGTTGCGCAGGTTCCAGGAGATGATTGCGTGAGTTCGTTTGCCGACTCCCTAGGGCAGCACCTACCTTGCCTTGGAAGCTTGGCTCGCGAGGATAGGCCTGGCTAATTGGGGCCCTCTCGGATTAGAAAATACCAGTTCATGGAGACGAACCTGCAGAGGCGGGTCGCCGGCTTGAAGGACAAGCTCCCGGACATACAAAAGACGCTGGACACGGTGCGGTTTTTGAAGTTGAGACAGGTACGAACTGTCCCGTGCTGGCGGTATTCTCCCTGCGGTTGCTTCCTCGCATACGGGCTACGTGGAAGGCCGAGGACAGTGGTTGAGCAGCGCTGACGGTGTCTGAAGGACGAGTCGGATCCCATCGAAACAACATTCGAACTAAACGAGACACTCTATGCCAAAGCAGAAGTGCCGCCGACCGATGAGGTTTATCTATGGCTAGGGGTACGCCCATGTCCCACCTCCCAACAACTGCGACCCTTGACTGAGTTAGGACTAGGCGAACGTTATGTTGGCGTATCCGATCGATGAGGCCGAGACATTACTGGACTCGAAATACAAAGCGGCGAAGCAGAGCTTGGGGAACTGCGAGGAGGATCTTGACTTCCTCCGAGAACAGGTCACGGTATGCTATTAGAAACGCGGTTGTTTGATTCCAAATTCTCCGACGGAAAGGCTGACATCTGGTGCAGACTATGGAAGTCGCGATAGCACGGGTCTACAATTGGGATGTCATGCAGAAGAGGAAGGAGAAGGAGGAGGAAGAGAAGACCAAGGGAGAAAGCAAAGATTCGGATGGGCCACCAAATGGCTGAGAACAGGGAGAATATATCTCTGTCCGTCAGCCTCTGGAGCGCCAACCGCCCAACCAGGCCGGGGGCCATTTCGAACGACATCTTCCCGTTAAGACGATGGGAGAGCAATCTTTAACTAAAAAGGAGGTCGTTGTAGGCATGATAGAGTCAACGAGAGGCGGCGAAGTCCCTTTCTGGTATAACAGAGCCGATGCCCAAGGGTATCCGCCAGTCGGGGCGTCATATGAACGACGTCATTGGACAACACCGTTGAAGTTCCCACATTTATTTGCAAGAAGACGAAGTACAGTACTGTACATGTGGTTTTGGGCGACGGCAGACTCTGGTTTAAGCCCCGGCCAGCTCACGCCGACCGTCATCCTAAAGGGTGGCCGTCTGTACGTAGGTACCTAGAGTGAAGCCTCTTCATTGAGTGTCTTGGATCAGGAAAATCAAGTTCTCACGTAGTCTAACGACATTGGCATTGGATACTTTATGCCAACTTAACATAACCGGGCTCTCCCGCCAGCCGCGATAGGGGGATTTGAGGGGTGCGGGGCTGCTTGCATAGCGAATTTTCGAAGCGACGGGGGAGGCCTGAGAGACCCCCCCCATCCCAATTTTAAGCACCTTCTCCCCAAGCTCACAAAGTATTTCCTTCCAGTCCGTACACCTAACGCTGGGCATCTCATTTTCAACCTACTCAAGCTAATAGCATACTTAGCAAATCCCACCGCCACATTTCCCAACCATCAACCTCCATCCCAGGCTTACCTACAGCAGCGGGGCAAACATGGCCGAAGCGAACCTCACAATGGAGCTCGATCCCAAGTACGACGACTATGACTTCCCTACGACCTCCACCGTTACAATCCCTGGTCACCCAGGCCATTTGACTCCCGAGCACCAGGCCCAAGTACACCAGCTGCGGTTGATGTTGGAATCCGAGGGCTATACCCAACGCCTGGATACCTTGACATTGGTACGATATCCCGCCACGGGCGGCCCCCTTTTTCTCGGATCCCAGGGGCATTGGGACTGACCACGGAACACAGCTGCGGTTCTTGCGAGCCCGCAAGTTCGATGTCAATCTCACAAAGAAGATGTGAGGCCCACCAGACTTTCCCTCAGCGGCCGCTTCTCCGCCTCGCCCCTCGCCCGACATGCTGACCCTCCTGCCAGGTTTGTCGAGTGCGAGAACTGGCGGAAAGAGACCAACCTGGATGAGGTTGTTCCCACCTGGGAGTACCCAGAGAAGGAGGAGGTCTTCAAGTACTATCCCCAGTACTACCACAAAACCGACAAGGTATTTCTTTGCTCTCCTGCTCTCCTGCTCTCCTGCTCTCCCTGCTCGGGGACCCGAGGGCATTTATTGTTTTGGTGAAGTGATAGCTAAGCTCGGACGTCCAGGATGGCCGACCACTCTACATCGAACAGCTCGGCAGCATCGACTTGACCGCCATGTACAGCATCACAACGGCCGAGCGCATGCTGACGAACCTCGCCGTCGAGTACGAGCGCGTGGCCGACCCCCGGCTCCCGGCCTGCAGCCGCAAGGCCGGCGTCCTCCTCGAGACGTGCTGCACCATCATGGACCTGAAGGGGGTGGGCATCAGCAAGGCGGGCCAGGTGTACAGCTACGTCAGGCAGGCTAGCGCCCTCAGCCAGAACTACTACCCGGAGCGGCTCGGCCACCTCTACGTCATCAACGCCCCCTGGGGCTTCAGCGGCGTCTGGGGCATCATCAAGGGGTGGCTGGACCCCGTCACCGTCCAGAAGATCCACATCCTCGGGAGCGGCTACCAGAAGGAGCTGCTAGCCCAGGTGCCGGCCGAGAACCTGCCCAAGCAGTTCGGCGGCACCTGCGAGTGCGAGGGCGGTTGCCAGCTCAGCGACATGGGGCCCTGGCGCGAGGCGGAGTGGGCCCGCCCCGCGAAGTGGGAGAAGAAGGGCGGCGCGGATAAGGCCGAGGCCGAGGCTGCTACCATCGAGAACACCCCCGGTGAGATTCAGGAGGCTGAGGGCGCCACCGGCGCGGCCCCGGAAACGACGACGCAGCCCGCCGATGCGGCCGATGCCGCTCCTGCTCCTGCACCTGCCGCGGCCTAACTTCTCTCTTCTTTGCGAGGGCCTCCTTCTTTCCAGTCCTGGAGTCTGCGTGGGTTTGCCAGAGCAGATTGCGCAGCTGGTGCAGCTACCTGGCCTTTTTTAGATAGGATTTAGAGTTGCGAGTTTGGTTGTGGGGAGTCGAGAGTCAAAATATACTACAAGTGTCATACTGAGCGAGGACTGGGTCCTTTGGTATCTGGGTGGATTAGGGGCAGTGTTCCCATGATCGTTTAATTTCACCAGTGGCTGGGTTTCCCGACTTGTCGTCCCTGAAAGGGGATTGATTGTCTTGCCATCTTAGCACTCGCCAGATAGACAGTTATAGACGGGATACCATGCGTCACTCCGTAAAGGATTGGGCAGCGGAATCGCGATATAATAACAGCACCCAGGACTCGAAAGTCGTCAACCATCCCTTGACCCCTTGAACACCGAAACGCCCCTCAAAAAAAAAGCCAGCCACACCCAAACCAGCCGAGACTGAGGGATATTGCTCCCATCTTTCACCTCTCGGTGATAACATACTCCCCAGCAACCCTCGCCCTCTCCATCTTGGCCACCGTCGCCGGCAACTCCCTCTTCAGCCTCCCCAACGCCGCCACGGCACCCGCGAACCCGCCCTCCACCCCATCCTGCCTCTCCAGCAGACCGAGCTCCAACAAGGCGTCCGCGCGGGCGGCGGATCCGCCCTCCTCCACCTCCTCACCCCCCCGCCCGTCTTCCTCCTTGCCCAGCCGCCGCCCCCACCGGCTCCCCGCCTCAGCCCTCGCCCTCGCGCACTCGAGCGCGTCCTCGTCGGCGAGCAGGCCGGCGCGGAAGCGCTCGGCGCGGTCGCGCGCGGCGGCGACCGGGACGCGCCTCTTGAGCGCGGCGATCTCGCGCAGCAGGTCCTCCTCCTCGCGGGCGAGGTCCTCGACGCGCGCGCGCCGCCGCCCGTCGAAGGGCTCGTGGCGCTCCTCCGGGCCCCCTCCCGCGGCCGAGAGCGCGGCGGTCCCCGCGGGGGGGAGGAGGAGGAAGGGGGAAGGGTCGTCGACGGGGAGGCCGTTGATTGTTAGGTTTGGGGCTGCGAGGGTGAATGTTCGGGTTATGTACTGCGGGTTGTGGTGTTGGTATCAGTAATATTTTTTTCTTTCCATCCTAGCTTTTGAATGTTGTTCCGTTGTTTTGAGGTTTATTATGGAGGCGTGATATTCTCAGTCTTGCAACAGGCAGATACATACCTCGTTGACCAGATTCTCAATTTGCGTACGAAGTTCGTCGCCGTGGCCATCGGCGCCGTCGACGGGCGGGAACGCCGCGTTGATGCTATCGGCGGCGGCGCGTCGCACATTGTTGATCAGGTAGGTGAAGTCTTCTGCAGACTGCAGCTCGATCTTACGGTGAGCTGTTGACGACTCCATCGTGATTGAGCAGGGCCAACTGGCATCTCCGTCGGTTCAATGGGAGTCGATCTGGCGCATTTGGATGGATACTTGTAGGTTGGATTATTTACATTATTTACACCAAGACAAACTGGCGCACTTATGAAGTTGACCCCTGCCATCGTTGGTGGGGCATTTACTACAGAATATGGAGCCACAGAATTGGTGGAGTGGGGCTCCGTTATCAGTGCGTCATGTTGGATAACCCCAGCACCAGCCAATGCACTGCACTGCGGACAGTGCAGATCCCTCCTATCCAATACCTACCTATCTGAACAACTCTATTCCGTTTGGACTGCCTAGGAGGCCATAGGACCCTTGTTATGCCTTCCTAAACCCAAACTGGTGGGGACCCATGCGAGAACAAACGCCAGTCCTAGGAGCCCTAGGAATGCGTCCAAGGCTCCGGTCTCGTATGCTCAAGCCAAGGCTCTAGAGTCCCAAGGCTCGAGACCAATATCACCTATCTTGCCTCGGCCGATCATGTTCTAATGCGGATGGGGATTTGTATCAATATATCAACAGACGAATAAAAGATAGGGGTTTGCACTAATAAACACAACAACAACAAGATCGAAAGGATAGAGGCGGAGAAGAGTGCTGTCAATTTCGTGATCATACCCGACAAACAACGCCCGAATCCAACGCCCACCCAAATAACACCGGTAATAACCTCGGCTCCATAACCCTCAAGCTCCGTCACTTGTAGAACCAGCATATGCAATAGCCACTATGGCTCCATCCCGTGGCTGCCCCGACTTCCGCAGCAATGAGGAAGAGTCTGCGCAATACAGAACAGGAACCACACTCCCCATCATCGGCTGTAGTCCATGGCATCCCCTGGATAGAGTCCATAGCAAGCTGCCTGCTAAAAACGATCAAAAACGCAAAACGCAATTCCGAACGCCGGAGTGTGAAGGATGTTCTCGTGAGAAAGGCAGATCTAGGATCGCTCGTGTGTGCTGGATGGACAATGGGTGGCTTTCGACAGTTTATTTGGGCAGCATCTTCTGGATTTCCTCATCGCTGAGCAAGATCTCGTGCACCGGCTCTCGGCGGTTCTCGAGGGGGACATAGTCGCAGTCCATGTAAGATGGCAAAAATATCTCGGGGTTCCATATGAATCCTTGGCTAGAGGAGAGGTAGGAGATCTGGTCCGGTCAGCCCTGGTTAAACGGTTGAGAGAGGGACAAAGAAGGGAGACCGAGGAGAATGAAATAGACGGAAACGGAAACTCACCAGCCTCGGTTGGCCATCATCCCCAACATTGATAGTTGTGCACTCTTGCTTGGAAATCGCCGGGCCTGTACGCTAGTAAGTAAGAGAACACTTCAAGGCTGGAACATCCGCTTCTGGGATTAGCCGAAAACAAGGGGCGGTGAGCTCCTAAACTCGACAGTATTACTTACTTAAAAGACTTGGCCGTCGGTGGTGTGTCATTCCCTGCCTCTTTGCCGAGTTGGGACTGACCTTTGCCGTCGGCTCAGGGGTGCTTGGAGAACTCGAGTAGGACGACGACGAGCTGGCAGCCGGCTTCGGAGCCTGTCGTGGGTGAAGGCGGTCGTACTCCATGGTACTGGCAGGGCCGGTTGGGATGGCCATTGACGAAGACATTGCGAGTGAGGAGGTCTGGACCGAAGGCGATTGGTGACGGTTTGCACGGTGGTGAGAGTCGGAGGTCAAGAATGGAATGCTGATGATGATGATGCTGCTGCTACTACTTCCACCCGAAGACAGTGCAGAGAACAGGCTGAAGAGAGAATCATTAATCCCAACAGAGAGACGAGAGAGGAAAAGGGGTGGAAAGGAGAGACGGTGCCGTCGGGCCTTTTGGCAACAATCGGTGAGGCTTCAGTGTGATGTTGGGGAAGGGGACTGAGGCCTGGTTGGGATGGAACTGGAAGGCTGGCTAAGGCAGACACAGATGGAGATGGCCACTGCGAGATCGCTGTTAGTGCATGAGTCACTGAGGCAGACCTGGCCACCGTTTGGGTGGTGAATAGGCGCGAGCTTGGGCAGGGATTAGAGGGGTAGCTGCCTAACAGTTATGAGTTGCACCAAGGGTGTGAATCACACGCCTTTGCATCATCATCAGAGTGCTCCTGCATTAACGCAACATGGGTGGCAACGAGCCACACACCTTAAATATACGGATACACTTCGGGATCAGGTGGAGGCCCCATCATAGCCAGTCTGTGAACCTACCTAGTATCTTATTAATTACCGTATATGATGGAACGTGTACCCAGAGCTCCCACTGTGGTGGTGCGCAGCAACAATCAACCTTTATGGAGGTACCCGGCATGCTCTCATACCTTACGTGGGTCCTCTGAGCTTCTGCATGTGGGGAACAGAAGGTACAGAGTAACTAGGTACCTAACTACCGGCTTCCATGTTCACTTGATCTGCGGCGGAAATCGAGCTACGCTACCTACCCAACCATGTGCCGTAGTTATTTCGCAATCCAAAGCCAACGTTGGTATGTAGGTATGTCTCTATCTGAATATCTCGATTCTGTAGGTACGCCATCTTGAAACAAAATGGGGTCAAGTGGTGGACTATGTAACGCCTTGTGGAAAACGGAGAACCTTTGGTTGAGGCTGGGATATCCTTGTAACCTAGGTACCTATACGGATAAATATGCCTCAGGCCGTTCTCCAAGTGGAGGGTTGCCTCAATTGGTTCGCGCGTTCACGTGATATGACACGTGGCTACGAGTTAAGGCTGTGATGAACGGAAGGCCACCACCAATGGTACGTACTGCCGCACGCCTCACGCAACCTACCTAGAATCCATCGACACCTGTCGTCTACGAAAAGAATTATCGCAACTTCGTAACCTTCTCTCTCAATCTGACGCTGCCAGCTGCGCTTATCACGGCACTGACTCTCATATCACTTGCCTATTCAGTCGTCGCTAAAGCACTAGCACCAGGCAACGTCGCCGAAACTGGTCAAAATGGGAGACATTCTTGTTGAGAATCCCGTTAACCACATCCAACCTCAGAAGAAGACAGTCCTGTCAACCATCCCTAGTATCGAGAACTTTGAGGGCGTTTCAACAGAGATTGGGGATGACTATGCTGCGCTGAAGAAGCTACAACGACAGCTTGAGTATATCCAGCTTCAAGAGGAATACATCAAGGATGAGCAAAGGTATGTCTCGGAGGGCCCAAGTCTTGGTAAACATGATTTGAAACGAAGCTCACCCACCATTGACAGGAGTCTCAAACGGGAGCTCGTAAGAGCCCAGGAAGAAATCAAGCGCATCCAGAGCGTACCGTTGGTCATCGGTCAGTTCATGGAGGCGATTGACCAGAAGTAAGCTCCCCAGAAATCGACTTCCTCTCTTCTTCGTCTGACCTTTCACCCCTAGCACCGGAATCGTCCAATCTAGCACAGGCAGCAACTATGTCGTCCGTATCCTCAGCACGCTCGACCGCGAGAAGCTCAAACCCTCTTCCTCTGTCGCTCTACACCGTCACTCCAACGCCCTGGTCGACATCCTCCCTCCCGAAGCCGATTCCTCCATCGCCATGCTAGGCGCCGACGAGAAGCCGGACGTCACCTACGCCGACGTTGGAGGGCTCGACATGCAGAAGCAGGAGATCCGCGAAGCCGTCGAGCTGCCTCTTACCCACTTCGACCTGTACAAGCAGATCGGCATCGATCCCCCACGGGGCGTCCTACTCTACGGCCCGCCAGGCACCGGCAAGACCATGCTCGTCAAGGCCGTGGCGAACAGCACGACGGCCAACTTCATCCGCGTGGTGGGATCCGAGTTCGTGCAGAAGTACCTCGGCGAGGGCCCGCGAATGGTCCGCGACGTGTTCCGCATGGCGCGCGAGAACTCGCCGGCCATCATCTTCATCGACGAGATCGACGCCATCGCCACGAAGCGGTTCGACGCCCAGACCGGCGCCGACCGCGAGGTGCAGCGCATCCTCCTCGAGCTGCTCAACCAGATGGACGGCTTCGACCAGACCGCCAACGTCAAGGTCATCATGGCCACCAACCGCGCCGACACCCTCGACCCGGCCCTGCTGCGCCCGGGCCGCCTGGACCGCAAGATCGAGTTCCCCAGCCTGAGGGATAGGCGGGAGCGCCGCCTGATCTTCACCACCATCGCCAGCAAGATGAGCCTGGCGCCAGAGGTCGACCTCGACAGCTTGATTGTCCGCAACGACCCCCTGAGCGGAGCCGTCATTGCCGCCATCATGCAGGAGGCCGGGCTGAGGGCTGTGCGGAAGAACAGGTACAACATCATCCAGACCGACCTGGAAGATGCCTACTCGAGCCAGGTCAAGGGGTCCAGTGACGAGAACAAGTTCGACTTCTACAAATAAGGGGTCGGCCTGTGCTCAGAACGCCTGGGAAAGTGTTCTCTGGGTGGGGGTCGGTGCCGGCTGGGTTCGATCGTGGGTGGGAGGAGGCGTTGGGTTACTACTACATTGGAGTAACCGGTAGGAACCTCGAGTTAATAATCCCGTGGGAGGTTGGAATCTAGCTGGAAGCTGGAAGCGCAAACAAACCCATCAAGACTGGAAAAGAGCTACCGGTGTATCTTAACCAGCGGCCCGGGTGTATAACATCTTAGAGTCCGGAGCTTCACGAGGGGACAAAATGTTAAAAACCTGTACTTCTAATTTCTCTATCCCTAGTCCATTGCCATGGATGCCATTGCGGCGTGTCTATCCGTTCCGTTTCCTGTTTCCCGCCCTCATGTGTACAATGCAGGTTACAGCCATCATGAGCAAGTTGCCCTGCTCCATAATCATCCATCGAAATCCCAGAAAAGAAAACCTCGCCTTCAGCTGGAGACACGCTGCATACACTTCCAAAAAAGCACCCTCAACTCCTCGCTCGAAAGAAACGAAGAGGTAAAGGGAGAGAAAAAGAAAAGAAAAGAAAAAAAAGAAACCCAAGACGCGCCGAGAAAAAGCACGAGTACAAACATGGTACTGTACATGAGAACAACCAGTCCAAGTGTGTGCCCTTTGGAAGACACAGCCTCGACCTTGCCCTCTCTAAACCCTCTCTCCATACCTGCCGCCTGTATATTGGGTATATCCTCCGTCCTCGAGTCCCATAGACACCCTACCGTCCCTTTCCGCCACAGGGGCTTCTCGCGAGAGATACCCACGGTCACTGTGGTACAGATCGATCGCCATCTCCGGCGCCATCATTAGCATTACCCATTTCCCATTACTCATTATCGTCCTCTTCTTCTTCTGCATCGTCTTCGCCGGCTCTCTTCGTCGGCCCCGTCGCTCGAATGGGTAGGTGGGTATGTGGGTACTGCAGTACCCGGTGTAAACATAAAAGGGGAAAGAGAAAGAGCGAAAAGAGGCTGGGTTACCTCGCCAAGTACACAACGGAAGACGAGCCTATTCGTTATGATGGTAGTAGGACTCGGTCATTGTCCATGGCTCACTCTCCCTGCTTGAAATCGCAAGTGACGGTACTCAAGAGCTCAGTGCAACTCCCAGCTCCAGCAGCAGCCTGACGAATCTCGAATGAAGCTCGATGAAGAAGTCGGGCAGGCCGACGAGTTCGGCAAGACCGCGCTGCTTGAGGGAGACACCGGAGCCGCCAAGGCCGCCACCCATGCGCCTGGACAAGCCGCCCATGCCCCCCGTCAGGAAGCTGCCGCCCCCACCGGCCCCTGTCTGGACGCCGCCGAGATCGGGCTGGGAGCCGAAGCCGCCGTAGCCTGGGTTGGGGACGATGGGGCTCTCCGATCCCGCGCGTTCGGCCTCGGACTCGGCCAGGGTCTGGATCCAGGCCGCCATATCGCGGAACGCGGCGGCGATGAAGCTAAAGGTTTTCATGGCGAGATGCTCGCGGTGCGTGCTCAGTGCCAGGAAGGCATATACCCGCTTGTGTCCGCGAGCATGGACGTCCGGGATGCGGAAGATATAGGCGGTAGTATAGCCAGTCGTGGGGTCGCCGAAGAAGATGGGCCCTCCGGACGCGGCCGAACCGGGGCTGTGCGTCGTGACGAAGGCGGGCGTTACTGGGGAGGCGGTCGGCGTAGATGATGCGCTCGACGAGCTTAGCATGCCGGTTGCAGGTGGCCGAGGGAGTGTCTCGAACGAGAGTGTTCTTAGGCAAGAGGCGCGGACGATGGAGAAGGTGGAAGGAGTGACTGGTTCGTGAGTCGAGGTGTAATCGAGATAGTGAGTGTGGCCGTTTGATTGCGACATGGTGCTCGTGGTGGACCGCGAAGCCATTGATACCGTGGTACCGGTGCGACGGTGGGCCGGTCGCCGTGGCGGCTGAGCCTCATCTTCGGAAGGCGATGAAGAGGATGCGTTGGAGCTAAGCGTTGACGAGCCCTCTGCGCCGCTGCCATATACCCTAGCGCAAGGCGCACGAGTCCGGAGAGTAGGCCCTCGGTCCGGGCGAGAGTCGATGGCGGCACCCTTGGAGCCGTTTGGGGACTCTTGGCGACGGGGAAGAGTCAGGGCACAGTTCTCGCAAGGGCCTGCCCGTCTAGTAACGTAGTCATCGTAAGTTCTCCGGAAACCGGAGTCATGTCGTGGTTTCTGTTGTTGGGATTGCTGCTCAGAGAAGTGGCGAGGGCTTTGGGGAGTCTCGATAGCAGAACCATATCCAGCCACTTGGGCCGACCTTAGCAGGGCTGCCCGATGAATTTGAGCTTCCTGTTCAGATGCCGGCATAGACGAGCTACGTTGGGCTCCAGCAAGCCTCACGCGACGGAGAGATTCGGTCATAGGGGCGGTTGTATGGGCTGAGGCAGTGGCAGGACTGCTGGTCCGGGGCCGGTCGCCTGCGCCTGCACTGCCGGTGACAGAATAAATGGGCAGGTCATCATCGTAGCAGACGCTACATGGGACTGGAAGACCTTCAGTGACCATCAGGGGAGTTGGGCCGTGGACATCGCAATAGTGAGCCAGGCAAAGCTGTAAGTCGGAAATTAGCATGTTTGCAGCTGATCTCCTGTGATGATAACATCAAAAATATCTCGGGCGGTGTCGGGTGGGCGGTGAGATGGAGTGAAGATGTCAAGCCAGCTCTTTGAACAACAAAGCTGGAGGGGTAGGGCCGGGACGTGGGGGCCTAGAATAAGTATGGGAGGATGGAGTGACAGGGTGGGTGGTTGTGCGGCAGCACCAAGCATGGGGCGGCAAGGGATGCGGACTGCAGAGTAAGCCAGCCAGTTGGCTGACGTCTTTATGGCTTTGTGTGACATTAAAAGCTCTTTCAACGAAAAAGCAGTGACAGAGCCAACCACTATTAGTGGCCATGTTCCATGTTGCTGGTTTTGGCAAGCATGGGGGGCGGGGGAGGGGGGTGAACGTGGAGATGCATATTGGGAAGGTGAGGCTTGTAAGGCGGCGAGGCGGTGAGGTGGTGGTATGAGGTGGGTGAGGCGAATGGAGTGATGCTTAGGGTGGGGTGAACCAGAGGAGTGGGATTTTTTGCGAGTGACTTTCACGTGCTTGACCCATTGACCTATCCAAGGTTTTGGTGGTGCAAGGAATGGCAAGTGCTCATAATGAGACAATAAAAGGCTCCCAATTGAGGAGGAGGCATCTTGGGAAGAGTGTTCAGAGGGAGGATTACTTACGATCGACGTCATGATTGCTATCTTATCCGTTGGCCTGTCTAGGACCTCGAGGCAGGGAGGGGAAACCGGGAGGGGAACCGGGAGGTGAACCAGGGAGGGGAAGTGGCTGGAGGTTGAATCTGGGCTCCTAGGGACAGCAAAAGAAGGTGATAGCGAAGCGAAGTGTGAAGAGGCGCGTCGGCGACGGCGACGGCGACAGTGACGGAAGACGGGGCCAGAGGCTGAAGGTGAAGTCCGGAAGTAGAAGTAGAAATTGTGCGGCCGCTGCAGCAGCACAAGTGTCCCGCCGCACCTCTTGGAAGCTTTAGCTTTTAGTCAGGGCGCTGCGCCAGCAGAGAAGGTGGTGGCCAAGGAAGGATTGCGGGAGCCCACGATTAGTTCAGAGAATCGTGGGCTGGGCGCGAATTCCGTGTTGCTGGTAGCCGGGTGAATTTGGAAGCCAGGGTGGGGGTCATAACGTCGGGTCGAGGTCCAGTGGGAGGAGCAGTGAGAGGAAGCTAGGTAAGTGACGGGATATGAAGAGTGGTGGTTTTCAGTCCAATATGCCCATGCCCATCTCAAGTCCATGCAATAATTCTCTGGTCGCACCGCAGCCTCTCTGTCATCCGACCTAAGGTAGACGAGGCCCCTAGGGGGCAGGCAGATGATACAGGGAAGGAGGGGTGTCGTGAGGGCCTGCGAGTAAGGGCTAAGTAACCGAGATCGAGATTGGTAGCCGGTCGCCGGGGGTGTAGGAGAGTCAAGACTCGAGGTCGTCGAGGTCGTCGAGGTCGAGGTCGAGGTTAAGATTGAGGTTGAAGGCCACCGTCCAGGAACCGGGAATATGGGCCTCTGATCGAACCACCCTTTTATTATTAGTCCCTTCCCAGCTCTCGCCCAAGTCCAAACCCGGAGGGAGGGGCAGACGAATGTCGGCTTTAAAGAATTGTTCCAGAAGGATTCCTGGTTGGAATAAAAGGGGGGCGATTTGATCCGGCACTGCGGATCCAATGCCTTATCCAGTAAGCAGCCAGGGACCCATGGAGGGGTGAGCTGGCGGGGGGGCAATTCGAATAATCTGCCTTCCTATTGGACGACGAGAGCAGATGGGTTGGAAAAGCACATTGCTCAGGAAGGCAGGTATACGACCTACCTTGGATATTATACTTCGATCGGATCCGTACGGGATGATGCACCCAGCTTTGATTATCTCCCGATGTCTCTAATCCCAAAGGCAAGATCTCTTCGGGTCCTTCTCGGGCTATTTCCGCAACACCATCGAGCCATCGTAGCTTGAGCAGGGAATGAGAGGACCTGTTGGTCTGAGGGTTCGGCATGCGATCCCCTGTCGTTCTCCTTGGGAGGAGTTTCATTCCGGAAAGGCCTACCGCCTAACATTCAGCTTGTCGCATCGCATCCCATCTCCCACCATCTCACAATGCTCCCGCTCTTTTGTCATTTGCCATGACGCGATTAATACCTAGCATGGTGGGTCGGATGCTTTTCGGACCCACTCTACTGATTATCGTCACAGTGAGACCGCGCCTGAGCTAAATGTCAAACCCACAGCGCTGGGGGGGCATACGACGCCGAGTGCCCTGGCATTCCCGCCGTCTGTCTGAATCTGCCGGATACCGCGACTCTGGATCTTCGGTTACCTTTCATCAAATCTTAAAATATACTACTACGTAGTATGTAGAGCTATATCCGTATAGATGTAAAGAACAGAAAATAAGAGAGAGAACCTACCTGGGAGAGTGGGCAAAGTTAATGCGCCGTGAAGCAAACCAACCCACCAACGAACAATTCATGCCACTACACATGTAGATAGAGAAAAACGGCGGAGGCAGCGCTTCCACGGGTTAACTTTTACGGGTTAAGATTACCCGTCCAGATAACCCTGGTCTTGTCTGCCGCTGCGTCTGTTCGTTCTGTGACGCTTCGCTCAGGTGAGGGCGCTGTGACGGTGATGTGACCGGCTTCCGAGTCCTGTTATTTTAGAGGAAAAGGAAAAAAGGCCTCAACCAGAGAGTCCCCGACCGCAACACGTCTCACTGAAATCAAAAAAGGTTACCTAACTGGCGCGGGAAGCCCCCCACCATCATTGCCCATTCTGCATTAGCAAGCGCAAAGTCCGTGGGTCAACCGGTCAGACACCGTGGGCAGGCTAGCACATGGCAAACCCGCCAAATGTGACGGGACCCCATGTCACCCCCTCGTGCCGTCCGAACTGCTGGTTCGCATCCGTGCATCTGCAGCAAAGCACTGCAGCAAGCAAGGAAGGGGGGAGAGACGGGACGAAGGAAAAGTAGAAAAAAACCTAACAATAGCGATTGCAAAAAAAGGGCTTCCCAATGCGACCACGTTCGGAAAGTGGGCCGTCGTTCAACGGCTGAACCAGGCACTAAGGCAAGGCACGCCGGCTCTTTTTGGCTTCTTCCTTGAGACCCCCTGGACGAGTCCATGTCCAAATCTGGAATCTCCTAAACCCCCGCCCGTCCCTTCCCCCTTCCGCCCCTCCCCCAAATCTCCGCAACGCCGTCCCGGAAATTTCTGGACCCTCGCACAATGCGCCTGGGCAGGCACTTCAACCGCCCAGGTTACACCAAGCTTGTCTACTGTCGTCCCTTTTGGGGGCCCTATTAGCCGCCATCGAAAAGCGGTCCGACTTCCTTCCTCCCGTGTCGCCCGGTTCGCCGCTGAGGGTGCAGCGGTGGGGCGGGAAGGGGAGGAAACTTTGGACGAGGCGACCCGTGCCGTCCCCGCAAAACCCTGACTGCCTAAGTACAATACCACGTAACCTACCTAACTCTTGGAAAGGTTCTTTCACATGTGGAAACTCCATACCCTGTGGTGGATAATCATACACACGTGTCTTAAACCACCAAAAATTCATCACGGGCGTATGATAGCCGAGTCTTCTAGAAGCCTAGTGTCTATGGGTTCTTCTTCTCCCGAGGAAATTGGCTCTGATCCCCAGCACACCTTCTTATCTCTGGGGGATAAAATGGACGGACGGACAAAACAGGAGCATGATGACGCGCGGAAGGGAGTCTGTAAGAAGCTGACGATGATGCTTAGGTTCCACCCTAAGCGTGCCATGCACGAGCCCGCGGTACAACGACGGGATAAACTGCCTGCCCGTCCCTTAACCGCTGCCACCATCGAGTGGAAGGTGAAAGATAGGGGGGATACCATGTAGAATAACTGCACAAACCGTTCCCCTCCCCTGACCATGGTGTGCAACAAGATACCCGACGCCGTATTGCGGAAAAGTGTATGTCTAAAACCCGTACCCTGCCGTTTCAACCTTCGTCCCCCCCCCCCCCCCCCCACCTGGCAATGCCGTTCTATTGTGAATGTCTGATTAGGTCTTGGATGATACTAGGCCAAAGTTGGTGCCTGCCCTGTGCGGCTGTGCCGTAGTCGATTCATGCGCAGTCGTAGTTATCGTACACACAAAATCCCAAGATTTCAAGGCTGACGGCTGCTTTCAACAAACGGATCAACCTCCAGTCTCTTAGCTGCGGGTTCCCCGTCATTGTACTTGTCTTGCCAGAGCTTTCGCATGACCTGGTAGATGAACAGGTACTGTGACTCGGCCTGCACCATGGTGCGCCGCTGTTCGCGGAGCTGGTTGACCGTGTTGAAGATGGGGTCGTCAGCCTCCTCTCCCTTGTCTGGGCCATCATCGCCCTCGAAATCCGACCCTGACCTTGGGGGCATTGGCGCCGCGTGTAGGTCGTCACAGTGCTCGAGGGCGCCGGCATTCAACTCCCGAATTAGGTGCTCCAGTGCGATGAACGTTCCGCTCCGGCCCACACCTGCGCTGCAGTGGACGATGCGCGGGTTGCTGGGGCTGCTGTTCTTCTCGCGGGACAGCCGCATTAGCGTGAAGAAGTTGTCGAGATTCGCCAGGTTAGGGACGCCAAAGTCGGGCCACTCCTTGAAGAGGAAATGCCAGATGATCCGTTCTTCTGCTTCGCCACCATTCCTCCGTTGAGCCTCATCGGGTTCGCGAGAGTCTTCGTACCGGGAACCCAGTCCCGCCGCTCCTTCGGGGGGGACGTCTACCGTGGGGGACTTCATCTTCACGTCAAGGTCTTGGTCGCGAGCCATCGGCTCAGGGGTGGCTGTGGTCGCCGTGCCATTTCCGGTGGCCGTACCGTTGGTGCTTCCCCCAGTAGTTGGCCTATTGCCACGGGACACCACTTGGACGACAAGCTTCCGTAATTCGATCGCATCGCCGGCTGGTGTTTCCTCAATCTCTTCGCACCGTACCGTTGCCATGAAGCCGTCGCCAAACTCATCGCGGCTGTTGATTTCCATGGGCGGGTCCTCCTTCCGCCGGGGGAAATACTGGAAGCATTTCTCAACGTTCGACTCGTGCGTCTCGGTCAACATGACGATAACCCCAGGGCTCTCCATCTGTTCAACGACCATGCGCCATACGTGATCTGCCGACGCCTGTTTCGGGCCCTGCATGGCAATGTACCTGTCAAGCTGCGCGCTCGCATCCTCAGTCGTGCTGCTTCGGGCAGCCGTCGGGGTCAGGACGATGGGCGACGCGTTAATGTAGTCGACGTGGCCGTGAGGGACCTGGAGCTTCACTCGGTTGTTATTCCACGGTTGTATGTTCATGTAGCGATCTAGCGGCTTCAGGTGAGGGCCGGTCACGCGCGCCCAGCGGAAGTCGGGTGACTGGTTCTGCACCGATTGAAGCAGGCGATTACGCTCCAGCCAGAGCAGCTCCTGGAACTTGGACTCGATCTCTGTAGAAGTTTCGGTATGAGTTAACGGAAAGCTCGCAACAACTGCACCACCGGGCCGAATACCCACCCTGCTCGCTCAACTCTAGAAACGCCGGCATCTTCGGCGGCCCCGAGGATCCGGAGGTTGTGGCTGTCTCGCCCGTGTTTTCCATGGCGGGCGCATAAGGCGGCGCCGGTCGTGCTGTGGCAGCGTCATGATCGGCCCCGGCAATAGTAGCTGGTGGGTGAGGCAGCGATGCCGGAGGGGAGTCGCGTGCGCGCTTGTGTGACGAGCGCAGGTGGAAGCCGCGAAACGGGCTCAGCTTCTGGCTGGGTCGTGATGGCGCGCTGGGCTGGAGGCCCCCCGGAGGCGGTGTTTTCTTGCCCGACGTGTCAGCCTTGTGCGACGCTTGAACAGGGGTCGCGGCATCCTTTTTGTTGCGGCGCAAGCGTGGAAAGTGGTCCATGGTGGCGGTCTGGTTGATGAGAGTTGATGGGAGATGGGGGCAGCAAACGAGTCGTGTGCGGATGACAAAGTACGGAGACTCCAGGGTGGGCAGGTGAGAAGCTTAACAAGTGTCTCAGATGCCGAGCCGTCGCGCGCTTCGGTCGCAGAATGCAAGGGATGGCTGGACAAGAGAATGGGAGAAGACAAGGCAGCCGTTTTTTTAAAAATAGCCGAATCCACTACACCACCTAGGCAGACGTAGTTCCCTTCCCTAATTCAGCCCGATGCCGGTCCAGACAATCAATCGCTCGGAGGGTTCGATATTCGGTATTCAGGACGAGGATGGCCGAGGCGGGAGGAAGCTTATCATGGTTGACGTCGGAGCGCAGCTTGGAGGATCGCTTTTCAGGTCACTCATCCCGTACGGTTTGGGAGAGGAGGTAGGTGGTTTCGAAGGGGGTTCCGGGGAAACTTAGACCAGGAGGTAATGTAATGAATGGCAATGGTGGTGGCGTTGGTGATGGAAAAGGCCCCCCATGACGATGTTTTTAGGCAATAGAGCACTGACCATTAGCACTCCATAATTAGCACTCCGTAATTAGCACAGGGCATGTTGCTGTGTGACCTAGGTTGGCCCGGACCACCCGAGTACATTATTACCACAAGGAGGAAATAAATCTAGCTAAGCCAGTAAAAGACACCAACTATTTTGGGTCACCTATGAGCAAAGACGCAAAGTGCGGAATGAGGGTCTTGCCAGGTTTTACAGCCTTGTTAAGAGTTGGTAATTAATTATAGCTGTAGCAAAATTCTCTTCTTAATACTCAGCATCCAGGAAGACTGCATACGTTTTCATACTGTTCCAGATTCTCAAGGTAAGTTGGCAACTTTGTGTTCGTTCTGATACAAGCCTTTTTTCATGGCGTAACTTTGCTCACTCTCACATCTTATTTTCGTTCGATGGCAGAAATGGATGTTAATTATATCAGCGTCATTGGCTATGCGGACAATGAGGAAACTCCGCCTGGAATGGGAACAACTATCGAACCAAGAGCTAACTTAGTTTGGGCGAGAACGCTGGGAAGACTGACTCATTGAGGTTGAATATTGGGTGTAATTATTATATGGTTTATTTCATTAAGAAGCATCATTATGGAGGAGGAGTTCAGAATAGGATTTGACTACTCATGTTATTCTTAGAACCCTCGACCACAATTAACAAATTCGAGATTTCTTCAAACCGCGCTCAGAACGCTCCCATCTCCTCTCAAATCGTACCGTGCAACCTCATTGTAATGGGATCAAACGGTTCTCCAGGATGCCAAGAAACTGACTACACATATTGGACTCTTCTCAGAGTACAAGGGCTAGAGAAAGCGCTTGACAAACTCTGCACGGTGGACTGGATAATAATACTTGATAGAACGGGGGATATCTCCCATTGAGGACAATGCTAGCCTCACTCACTCCGGGTAGCCGTTTCCCACAGAGCCTCCGCCACCGCTTCTCCCAGGAAGATGTCCGGCCAAACGACCCTCGCTAGCGCGCCTCGGGCTTCCACCCATTGAGTCACGTTGGCAGCCTCGCTCCAAGACCGGATACAGTCGTCGAACCGGGTCTCCAGCAACCGAAAGGTAATGTCGTAGGCCCCTCTCTGGGCCTTGGCCAGACTGAGGGCCCCCGTAAAGACCTTCCAGAACCACAAGTCTCGACTGGTCCCTCCCTGGTCCCTCATTCCCTGCTCGGCCCGGTCGATGTCTCGCTTCAGGATTAGGAGCACGCGACGGTGAAGCCGGCTTTCCATCGTCTGGCCGGCGTTCCAAAGGTCCAAGACGCAATTCAGATATAATCCGGCGGTGGTGGCGACACCAGACCAGGCAGACATGAATCTCTGCCGTGGTTTGCCTCCCGGCACCGTTTCCTCACCGCGACGAGAGAGGGAGAGCACATGAGTATTAACAAAAGCAAGGAGAAGCCTGGTTGGACCACCATCGTTCCACACATGGCTCGAAGGGGGCGTACGGCCATCGGCAGGTGGACTGAGCTGTCTGTGATCGATCATTCTTGTAATGCTCTCAAGGCAGCTGATGATGGGGTACGCGTCAATGTCCCGGGGCTGCCTCCCCGGCGGCGGCAGGCCAAAGAAATGGGGAAACATACGCATCGCCTTGAGCCTGTTGTTGAGTCCCCCGGTTTCCTCCTTATGCCACGTCTTCATTGCAGACGCTACCTCGTCAGGAGCGGACTCGCGAATAGGGCCCGTGGGATCGTAGAAGGAGGGAACTTCGTTGAAGCGACTCTTGAGACCGTGGACGAAGTTGTATGCCCTACACATTGAGAGCATCCAGCGTCAGGAAAGCAGGCCGTAACTGTGTTTATCAGCATTACTCACAAAATAAGGTATCGATCCGCAAGCTCCTCATCCACGTTTTTGATATCATGGATACTACCCTCTTGCGGCTCCCTGATCTCCATGAATGCCATGAGGCCATCAAGATGCGTTTCAGCTGTGGTCAGGTTGCCGAGACAGCACTGGGAAACAGAGCATTTGTTTAGCACTTTGCAATAATCCAGTCTGGAGAGGGATGGTCGCGTGTCCTACCTCGGCGAAGCAGAGAGTGGCAATCTGTCTTACACAGAGCGCGGTCGCCCTCGCATGCGAATCCGCGAGCCATCCATTGACCATACGCATGCTCTCAACCTTGTGGAAGAGAAAAGTGGACTCGTAATCCTGCAGCTTGCCGGCGTTCCAGGCATAGTGCACGCCCGCAATGAGGAGCGTGTTGCGGAGTGCGCATGGGTCGTGAGCAACCAATGCGACGCTACGGAGCCTCCGGTTAGAAACTTTAAGAGGTGGAAGGAATGCAAGCTCACAGACTAAACCTACCAATCCTCCATTCGATCTCTCGGCATGACGCCGAAGGCTTCGCCTACTTGATAAACTAATATCATGCGAGTTAAGCCCATGTCTCCCAGGATTTCAACGGATCGACACAGGAGAATCACTCACAGTAATGGAAGAGCTCCCTCGACTTGAACGGCATCTTGATTGGGAGGGTATCGAAAGGATCCATAGCTACGCCTGGGACTAGTTGCCAAGACGTGGTGGGCGAGGAAGAGGAGGATGAGGAGCTTGAGGATGACCCTAAGACTCCTCCCTGGGCAACCCAAGGAGCCTGCTCCCATGGCGGCAATGGCTTACCTTGAGCTCTGCGCTCACGGAGTGGGAGCTTAATGGGGCCATAGTCGCAGGGCTTCTTCGCAACTAGACAGTTGTTACTGTTGCCGAGCCATGAGGGGTTAGCTCAGAGCTGAGGTAGGTAGGTAGTAGGTACCTAGGTAGCTTGCACCCAAGGCGGTGACAGGAGGCGACAGGAGGCAACAAGGGGGCAGGGAGGTTCTATGCGACTACGAGCTGCTGCGTCTATTCGACCGAAAAGGGTAAGAGGGTAGGGGTCAGAGGAGGAGTTAATTACCAAAACGGGCGCCGCTCGTCACACCGAATATGTCGCTGCTTGCAAATGACACATCCAGTGCGGCTTCGAGAATGGGATTGCCGTGTCTTCTTCCCCTTGGCGTCAGTATTGTTTACTTCCGTTTCCATTATGCGCAAAGGCGGCCCAGATCTTCCGATGGGGCTCACCAATCTCCGCAAGCGAAGCAGAGGAAGGTGGTCTCGAGAAGTGCTGCACGGATGACGTTATTACATAATGAGAAGGATTGTTTTATGCATGCAGCATTGGACAGTTGAGTGCTTGGAGCTACACCATACTGGGCAACATCAACGCTGGGAGATGATAGGCTTGCTGACTAACCTTGCTGACTAACCTTGCTACTAAGACGCCAAGTCGACTGCATTCTTGCCGCATCACCATGTCTCTCGCAAGCTTAAATGCACGAGGTACAGCTAAAGCCGTGTTGGTCGTGTCAGTCTGCCTTGCCACCGTCGGCTACGGCATCGAGATCTACATTCCCGTCTGTGCTTACTCGTGCGGATCCCTATTCAGCAGCAATCTGATCGGCCGAACATGGATATTTGGCATTTGTCAACGGCTACTCAAAGTGCAGGGTCTCGAGTAACTCAGCAGTAGTACCAGCTACTGCCTCGAGAGCCTCGCCATCCATGACTCCGTCGACGTAGCATTCCCCAACAACAATGTACGTTCCACGACCCGTTGGTCGTATGACAAATGGCACCTCCGCGCCAACTAGGACGCATATAGAATCCCCGGACTGTGAGTTGAACGGCACTTGTGCAAAGCGGCCATTTTCGGTGACACAAAAATTTAGCTTCGACATCGTCAATGCCATACAGTTTCGTCAACCGTGGTTGAAAAACTCGGTTTGGTGACTGGATGTTGCTGTCCCATATCGGCATCCCTGTCTGCCGCCGCGCAGTCGATCGCCCATTGTATGTAGCGTGGAAACTCGCATATTAGCTCCGGAGAGAGGCGGTTGCGCATGGAGTCTATACCGCACACCATTGTACGCGAGAAGGCCATGGTGAACTCCGGACTAACGCTGCGGGAAACTGGCGCTCCGGACCCAAGGCCATGGCCAAATGCAAGGCGATAGCAACCCTCAACCCACTGGAGGAGACGATTATGACTCCGCTCCAGAATGGGATCTGAGAGGATATGCCATTGCAGGTCACCTGGCGCTGGTCCTGCGCATTGCCCCAGCAGTACGAGATGGACTCGAAATCCAGGGGGGGCATCAAGGGCGGTGGTCACAAGACGTAGATGGACGGGATCGGTTCCGCTGCCAGGATGGACGGCCATCAGGCGGATAGTCCGTGGGGCCGTGATGGCTGTGTATTCGTATGTCGTGTTCGAACCCATGGTTGACGTTGACGACGGCTGGAACGACTTGAAGATGGAGTCTTAGGGGCACCAACTGAAACGATGACTGGGCTGCCGTGATTTAAGGATTAGGGTTATCAACCGTTTCGCGAGAAAAGAATGGAGTGGCTTGCTCAAGTAATAAGTGAAAACAGAGCAGAAGAGCTACTTATCATTACAAGTAATTATAAACCTGGGTGATGTTGGGGGAAAATATGGCAAACGCTGGCGCCTAGTAATTAATTTAAGACGTGTATCATCTGCACTTTTCTTTTATCCACGCCGCCTTTTTCTTTTTCTTCCATTTCTTATATATGTATATATATACAAAAGCGTGTCTTGGCAGGCATCTCTCTCTAGGATCTCAAGTTGTCCAGTCCCACCATCACTCTAATAGATGCATGCCAAAAATATGAAGACTACTCCGCTCTTGCCATTCTCCAGCAAGGAAAATAGCTTTCCCAGTCCACTCATACACACCTCTTTTTGTCATTCCAGTCTTGTCCATCACTCGCAGGCTCGCCGGGTTACCTTCATTCACAATTGCTCTGACGTAAAGCTTCGAGAAAGGTGTCCAAAAAGATGGCGCCCTCTTGCAGGACTCAAACACTGCCTCGATCGACTCGGTCGCGTATCCTTTACCCCATGCGGTGGGTAAGAACAAATATCCGAGTTCAACGGTCAGTGTCGTAGTCGCAGCCGCAACCGGTAACTCGAGATCCTCCGGCAACGCAAGGCTGCCAGCATCCAACGATTTCAGAGACACAAGGCCGACGAATTCTGTTGCTTTTTTGCCTTGATCTGCAGGTTGCGGTTCGCCTTCGACAAAACCGCCTGTCGGCTCAAGGACCCTGTGCACAGCATAGGCGACTCTGTATGTGTTTTCTGTTCCTTCATTGGTTGGCAGAAATCCTTTTATGACCTCCTCTGTGTCCTCGATGGACTTTGCCTGGCCATGGATACTTCACAACGTCAATTGTGAAACCAACTCGACGAAACGAATCTCGACATGAGAAAAACGGAGTAACGAAGAGCACGCCTTACCTCCACCATACAGCCTTTTCATTGCTGCGCAGCTCATGAAGCCACTCGAGCTCTGGACTCCCTCTTTCTGCTTTCGTGATGAGAGTTAATTTTAGCCGTGGTGTGAAGATAATCGGCTCCATCGGGTCGTTCCGCTGCAACGCTTCCTCACTTCAGAGGCGATTGGCAGTGTCGACTGGTCCAGTGCGTGTTTTGTTCCCCTCACATCCGAGTCTCGGGTGAACTTCTCATCCGAGGTTCGCTTAAAAAGCACGCAATACGGAGGGTCTCTGGGCCACACCTAGGTTGGGATAAGGTGCGGCTTGAATTAGTCCTCCAAGTGCTGGAAAAGTCGCCAACTGCTGAAAGATTAGGATACTCACTCAATACCTCAAGTCTTAACTGAATTTAATTTTACTATAGTCATGCACTTAATAGTGTTTTCAATTTGCCGTTAACTTGGCCTCTTAGGGAACCTTACTTTGAACACTACCTAGCCTTACTTGACTACCTGCCACAACATTAAAAACCGGAGAACACACTCTTGGATACACCAATATAATCTCACCCGATAGACCCCCTTCCTTCACATTATTCTGTCTTTAGGACTACCGTCCCGTGCCCCTTGCCTTTACCCTCGAAGGTAATTACTGCCTCGCCCATTGGCCATTTCCCATCAACGTCCACCATGGGTCTGACTAGTTGAGCGAGAGACTAGTCTCACTCTCACTTCTGGTCTCGCTCTCACTTCTGGATAACCATGGCAGCTACGAAGGTGGCACCTGTGGTATGGATCAATGGCTTCCCCGGTTCTGAAAAACTCTCCGTGGCCACGTCACTCCAATGTTGGATAAAGAGGCAGTTCTTTTAGACAACCATCGGTCCTGCCGCTTGATCAGTTGACATGTGAGTAGTACAGCCCTGAGTAATGATCTGGGGAGACTGGGCTTGCTTAGGAGGTTTGTTGATATTTACATTATACCCTTATTTTTGGCTGTTAATAGCTACATTTACTCCCTTTTTGAAGGGGGATAATATATATTCTTCTTCGAAGCGGGGGATATTGTGTTTCCTTTTACTAGGTTGCTGCTTTGATGTTACTTTCCAATTAAGACAACCGAATTCAATTTTACTACAGTTGCGTACTTAATTGTAGCCAATTACCTTAACGTTTTAGCTTTACCTTTCTAGCCTTTTCTCTACCTAATTATTATTTACTGTAACGGGTAGGACCCGAGAAGCACGACGATGATCAGTCTGACTAACTTATACAAGGTGGCTATTCGGCAGGGGTTTCGAGTAAGAGTGCCGCAAAGACAGAATCACTAGTAAATTAGGTACGGAATTGTCTCAAGGACTCTTGCAGCCAAAACTTAGATTAAGCCTGCCTTCGCAAACCTTCAGGCAGACCACCACGCCCCTTAACTCATGGCTTGGACTAGTCCCGGGCTCTGAGCCAGGGCGCGGATGCCCGGTATTCAATTGATCCAGGCCGCGGTCCATAACACTGGACCTGGTGACCAGATTGGGGTCATGTTCTGGCTGTTATAATTACAAGTGATTCTTTAATTCCCCAATCCAACAGATCATCGATTATTAGATCCTAACTGTCGGGGGTATTGAAATCTTCCCGCGCCCCGCTTGCAAGAGAGTCATCTGTAAGAACCCTCAACGCCAGCATCGCCATCCCCTTTGCGCAGTTCATTGCTGCTACATGTGCTTCATCGGTAGCAGCAGCAGTAGCAAACTTTGGGTTGTGGGCAGCCGCATCTGGCGCGGTCGGAATGGTGAAAGCTCCGTGGAAGCTAGGCACCAAGTATGATACATTGCCCATGTCAGTGGATGCATTGAATGGTACTGTTTGATCCAGCATAACCTTCTCGCCGATCTTAGCCATGTCCTCAACGTATGTCTTGCACAGAGACTTGTTTGCCCTCAAATCCATGTAGGTAGGCGCGCTAATGCAGCGAAAAGAAAACATGGCGTCAGTAAGTTGATCGTTTTTCACAATAGAAGGACGAAGAAGCGGGACGCACAAGATGTAGTTAACCGTGCACCCGGATGCAAGAGCGCCGGCCTCTAGGCAAGCCTTGACACGGGCCAGGAGCTTATCGGCGCGCGCGACGGTGGCACTTCGCACGTTCCAGTTCATCCGGGTGTAACCGGGGATGACGTTTGCCACGGTACCCCCAACCTCGATGACGCCGTGGATCCTCTCGTCCGGGCGTATCTGCTGCCGAAGCATGCCAACACTGGCATACGCCGCCACTGCGGCATCTAGGGCGTTGGTCCCCTTCCACGGCTCGCCGCCCGCGTGCGCCGTCGCGCCGTGAAACTCGACCTGGAACTTGTGGCTGCAGATCAGCTTGAGGCCGGCCAGGCCGGAGAAGTTGTCTTCCGCGGCGCCAATCTGGTGCGAGGCCGTCGGGTGGGCCATGATGGCCGCGGCGACGTCGTCGGGCGGGTTGAAGGCGCCGGCGTCGATGAGCCGAGCCTTGCCGCCTCCGCCCTCCTCGGCCGGCGTGCCTAGTATCCTCAGGCGGCCTGGGATGTGGAGGGTGGACATGGCATGGGCTGCGCTGAGGAAGGTCGCGAGGGACGACGTCGCGATCAAGTTGTGGCCGCAGGCATGGCCAATGTCCGGTAGGGCGTCGTATTCAGCGCAGACGACGACCTGACGGCCGCCGGAGCCCAGTGTGGCTTCAAAACTGGTATCTAGGCCATATGTTTTCCGCTTAACCTGGAAACCTCTCTTTTCCAGGAATGAAGTGAGGGTATCGTGGGCGAAGAATTCGTTGAAGCCGGTCTCTGGATTATCATGAAGAGCTTTGTTGATCACGCGGAGCTCGGGGCTCAGTTCGTCAAGGTGGTTATTAACCAGTGCGCGAGCTTGTTCGATATCCATGACTTAGGATTAAAAAAAAATACCAGCTTATTAAAAAACACGGGGAAACAAGGGGAAGGGCTGGGAGGGGGGAAGGGGGCACGAAAGTTTGAGTTGGGAAGCAGGAGAACGTTGGAGCTGAACCATGCTAAGAAATTGTGCATGACGTGGATGTTGTTGTATAAGAACACACTTACACACATACTTTTCCCAATCAAGTCCACTTGATATCGAAGATAGTACCCCATAATCTGTGTAGAATCGGGGTTCCCGATGTTGCACTCAACCCCTCAGCCGCTAGCGTGGGGGGTTTCTGCGCTACGGCATAGTACCCGGTAGTGTAGCTTCTAGCTCAGTGGGGATAGCCGATCATCGGCAAAACCATCAGCTCCGGCGCCTAGAATGACGTATCATTTGCCCTTTTCCCCTTTTCCCCAACCCCTGATTATGTCCGGCCACGCAAATCCAACACATTCTCTCTCTCTCTCCATTCATTCGGGTCGGTCCCCCACAACCATCCCAGCCTTTTAATCACATTATCTTCCAAGCACCAGAGATGGAATACGTATAGGTGATTAAAAGGCCCCACACAAGATGGAACAAGACCAATCAACAACGGTGGCGGGGAGTCTTGTTTGTGGAGAGGGCCGAAGCGGACCCCGTTCGAGGAGCGGATGCTGGACCTGCCGGACTAAGAAGGTCAAATGCGATGAGCAGCGACCCCATTGCCGGCGTTGCACACGACTGAAGCTGCTGTGCGATTATGCACCCCGCACGGGAGGCACAGGAAATCTGAGATTGAGGCTGGCCAAGTCCAGGGCGTGGGTGGTGATGGGACCTAGCCGACCATCGGCTCCCGGTTCGCCGACAACCTGGGCTCAGCAGGCAGCATCGACGAGGGCGCTCGTGTTGCCGGTGCAACTGCCAGAGCTGCCGACCTGCGCGTCATCGCTGGAACTGAGCTCGGCCGACCATGAGGCGATACGCTACTACCGGACGACGTTTGCCCGGATCCACCACACCAAGAACCCGGACTACTCGCTCTTCTCCATCATATTCAACATTGCAGAGCGCGAGCCGATTGTCATGCGCGTGCTGCTGGCCCTGGGGGGGAGGGAAACCGAGTTCCGGCGCAAGAGCTCCCCCGCGGCCGAAGCATCCCCGGCCCGCTGGACGCCGCTGCAGCACTATTCTGCGGCGCTCCGGCTGATGGCCGACGCCATTGGCAGTGGAGACAACGGTGGGCCGCTCGACACCGACGTCATCTGCGCCGCCCTGTACCTGATGGTCTTGTACGAGGAGAAATACGGCGACGCCAAGTGCTCGGGCCTGTCCAACCACCTGGCCGGCGCAGCCATGATATTGAAGCACCGGCTCCAGGATTTGCCTCGCCTAATTACGCCAGCATCTGCTGGTAGGAAGACGAAGATGGTAGCCCTGGCTCGAAAGTGCCCGTCCGGAACCGGTGGGGGTGGCCGGATGCTCTCGCTTGTCACGGCTCGTCTCCTAGTGTGGATCGCACAGAAAGACTCGGCCGCGTCTACGTTTGGCGTCGGAGGGCAGCTCAATGCTACATTCCACCATCTCATGGCCGGCATGTCCCCTATGGAGGCCCTCGAGAGCGTCCACCGCTTTTCCAACCCGTTATATCGTACAATGTGGGCCGATGCCTACCCCCAGTCCGAGCTCGTCGACGATGTTGAGAACCGTACTGTGTTCGAGATGCTCGGCGAATGCTGCCAGTTGCGCTTCATGAATGCCCAGCTCGGGTCGCTCAACCTCGACGAGGCCCGGCAACGCGCCCCGGCAGTGGAAGCTGCTCTGCGGCAGGTAGGCCAACGCTATTTCGATCTCCTTGAGGTGGCGACAGAGTTGTCCACCGACACGGATAACTCGCACAGACTAGTTGCCAACATTCGTGCCATTGTGCCCCATTACCACGCAGCCGTGGTCGAATACCTCAGCATGGGGTTGGGCGGCACTAACGCTAACGTCGGGGAGAAGGAGAAGGAGATGGACATGGAGATGGACATGGAGATCGGGGATTTGACCCGCTCGACCCCTCACATCCGCGCTATTATCAATCTGGCCTTCCAGGCGTTCAAGCACCAAGGTGACGAGGCCATGGTCCGCATCGCCTGGCCGCTGTTGATAGTGGGCCTCGAAACCGATGACATGCTGCACCGGGATTGGATCGTTGCCCGCTTCCGGGGCATGTGCCACCTTGGCCAGAACCTGGCCCGCGCGCATAAGTTCCTGGTCGAGACCTTGCAGATGCAGGCCCAATTGGGGCACAGGGTCAGCGTGCGAGAACGGTTCCAATCTGGGGAGGTAGAGCTCTTTGTGATTTAGTCTACTGAGGTACGCTTACAGTCCCCCGGTCTCGCCTCTGCGTAGGTTTAAAAACGGATATCCCACTTCCCCCAGTTCCTCCCAATTGTCCGGCCATTGGCTGGGCACTACCTAGCTGGTGGCGCGTCGGCTACTGTTAGGTGGACCCGGCAGTATCAGTCGGCTAATGATTGACATTTGCAGCTACTGCGTACGCTAGTGCACACTACTCAGTACACTAGCAGTGACTAGTTTGTCGGCTTCTCATGCTTGATTCATGTGGATCATCTCCGCATTTGCTCACTTGCCTTGGCAACAGCCGGGGCCCCAGACGGGGTTCGTGAGCTGATAACTAAGAGCCATTCGTTCCCCTGGAATAATTAAGGGGAGAGAAGTTCACCTCCTTCGAGCCCTGTTTCCTGTCTGACTGGACTCGTTGGACCATCCCACACCTCTTTTATTCACACCACGTCGTACCGTACTTCCTCATCTCCTACCAGCCATATCCATGGCTAAAGACGAGGTCGAAACAATGCACCTCGAAGATGGCGACCTACAGAAGGATGTCGCAGAAGGCGTCATCTCAGGCGAGGAGCGTCTCAGTCCAGAGGAAGACAAGAGAATCCTCCGCAAAGTTGACATGTGGTAATTATGTCCTACCTCTGTACCTCTATTCGTGTCTTCCCAAGGTTGATCTGACACTGAGATTTAATCAGCTTGTTACCTGTCATGGCAATGTCCTACCTCTTTCAGTTCCTTGATAAGTCGGCCCTCGGCTACACAGCTATCATGGGTATCAGGGAAGACCTTGGCCTCACGGGCCAGGACTACTCCTGGTCAAGCAGCATCTATTATTTTGGATACCTCATCGCTTCCTACCCAGCTGGTGTCATTATGGTCCGCTGGCGGGTTGGGAAACTCATTGCTGCTTCGGTGTAAGTGCCTGGCAACTGGCAACCCCCCGATCTCCAAGACTGTGTGCTAATTCCACGTCACAACAGATTGATCTGGGGCGCGATTCTCATGCTCACCCCTCTCTGTTTCAATTCTACGGGCCTACTTACGAACCGTTTCTTCCTCGGGGTGGCTGAGGCTGCCATCGCCCCCGGCTTAAGTATCGTTGTTGCGATGTGGTATAAACGATCGGAGCAGCCGTTGCGCCACGGCGCCTGGTACCTCGGTAATACGTGCGCTGGGTTCTTCGGTGGCGTCTCTGCGTATGGGATCGGCCACATCCAGACCATCGCATCATGGAAGGTACGCCCTGACCCCTCCCCCTTTTCCCCTGGTTCTGGTAGTCCGGGGCTAGAGAAAGTAAAACTGCGGCGAAGCTTACTTACCGCAACTCGCAGGCGGTCTATCTCATATTCGGTGCGCTCACTGTCGCTTGGTCGTTCGCAATCTTCTTCCTCCTTCCCGACGTCCCAGGGAAAGCACGGTTCCTCAGCAAGAGCGATCGGGCCAAGGCCGTCCAGCGAGTGGAAGAGAACATGACGGGCATTAAAAGCAGCAAGTTCAAGTGGCACCAATGCATCGAAGCCATCCTCGACATTAAGACATGGCTGTTGCTCTTGATCCAGGTCTCCAGTAACATAGGCAACGGTGGCGTGCTCACGGTACGAGTACCTCCCATATTGTGCGACATTTGGCTCGTGTATTAGCTGACAAACTTGCCGGTCATTTAGTTTGGATCCATCGTCGTCCAAGGCCTGGGATTCTCCATGTTTAACACCCTGCTGGTGCAGATGATAAGCATTGCCTTCCAACTCGTCTTTGTCGTCACGGCCTCCGCCGGGAGCACCTTCTTCCGCAATACCCGAACCTACTGGATGGCTTGTAACCTCGCCTTCTCCATCATTGGCTCGGCTATGATTCGCGAGATCCCAGACACGCACAAATGGGCACGCTTTATGGGCTTCTGCTTGACCCTTGGCTACACTGGCAACCTCCCTGTACTCCTCTCTGTCGCTTCCGCGAACTTTGGCGGCTTCACCAAGAAGACCACTGTAAATTCATTGGTACGTCCAAATCACATCCCTTCTTCTTTCCCCTGAAAATCCTGAAATGTCCAATACCTTGCTAATGCCAAACTTTGTGGATCATTAGATCTTCATTGCCTACTGCGCAGGCAACATCGTGGGCCCACAGCTTTTCTTTGCCAAGGAAGCTCCATCATATACCTCTGGCTTTTTAGCCATAACTGTTTGCTTTGCCATTGGTTTTGTGGCATGTTTCGTCCTTCGGTTTTACCTCATCTGGGAGAACAAACGGCGAGACCGCGTCGGCGGTGTGCTCGAGGCAGAAGAGTCTAATCACACAACTCTCAACATGATGGATAAGACGGATAAGGAGATCCCTCAGTTTAGATACATGTATTAACATAGTATCAACTATCTAAAACTTCGCCAGTCGCGAGTACACAAGTCCCGTCCCTAATCTTGGTTTGGAGAGGCCGTTGCCAGTTCAAGAAAGTGCGGCCAATTTCCCTCCGGCTGCGACGGCTGTTGGCCCAACTGGGGAAAGGAATGGTAACTGAATTGCCTTCCTCATCCTTGTATGTGTAGCCCTGAGAAGGTGGCCCCTCCGGAGCTGGCCAGTCGATGTACTCAAGAGCCTCTGTGTAGCTGGTTATCTGCCCCCCCTCGCGTCTCTGCTTGACCCAGTGGTTCAGAACCGACCGATACTCAGCAACAGGATGGTCAAGGCTCACGCCTGGATGCTTGACCCACTCGTCCAGCGCTTCAATCTCCTCCGTGCTCTGCTCCTCGTGCGGGATGTCCCGGAAATGCTCGTCGCCGGTGATGATTTCGTACAATGTGAATATGACACCCTTAACGTCATCACGGGTTTTCGAGTATTCCACTCCACCAATGCGAGCCGAGTAGTTGAAATCAAACAGCAAAATGGCGTCTGTCTTAGGATCGACGAGTAAGTTTCGCGCAGCGATATCTTGGTGCATAATGCCGTGTTTGAGGTTCATATCGTCCACAACAGCCGTTAGCTGCTTCAGCCACTCCAGCTTAAACACTCGTGACTTGTTCTCCGCTATTGTGCCGCCAGGGATGTAGAGGCTTGTAAAGCCAACCACAACAAGATCGTTGTCGAGTTTGTCGACCACGAGTCGATCAAATTGGACAATGTTGGGGTGTGGGCAAAGGCGCATCCACAGGTTCATCTCGTCCCACCTCCTCTCGAAGAATTGGACAAGGAAGTAGTATTTTTTAAATACTACCTTCCTTGGCTCTGCGCCCTCGAATGGGACATATGACATAAGATCCACGTTTGGAGATAGACGTTCTTGCTCCCGCAACTCCGAACGAGACACTGTCTGTACCCAGCCTGGCCTCTGGACCTCCTCCAGAGAAGGATGGTGCACGGAGAATGTTTCGTCATCCTCTGGATTGGTGGAGACCGAGATTAGGTTGCCGTTGGGTGAGAGATGAATAGCGTAAACGTCTGGCCCAAGAGCATCGATATGCTCTTGTGATGCTCAATTGCAACATCCTCACTGTCCTGAACTTCGTCCATAGTAGGCAATGATGCGTCGCTGGTCCCAGTCTAGGATATGCCAGGTACTCGGCCCTCCAGGCATCAGAGCTCCGCCGGGCGCGAAATACCTCCACGCATCTTCAATCATCGTTCCCTTCGGTCCACGGATTACTGGGAATGCGGCGAGTCGAATCCAGAATACGCAAAATGGAAGCCAAAACAGGAAGCAAGAGGGTGGACAAAACAAAGGACGCAAGGATGCGGGTAATTATAGAGGGAAAGAAGGACTGAGGAGAAATGGGAGGTGCTAAAATGTGGCCTGCGCCACCACACCTCCTGCATGTTAGCTATGTATCCTTGCCAGTTACTAGCCATAGAGCGTGGATTTGTCAGTGGAAAGACCAAGAAGCTAGGTATGGTATATAAATGGTCTGTGAGGCCCTTCTTGTTCGAGGTTTGATAAACTTAACCGACTCTCTCATGCAAGTACATTCTTGAACTCTGATATTTGTGAGCTTATAGTCTATGACGAAGAACAGTTGCTGCCTCAGCGTTGCGACATTACTTTGCTCCGCGGCCCTGTTTTCCTTATTTTCGTCTCACCCTTCCCGCAGAGTTCCTTGTCGCTAGATGAGAAAATTCCTGTTCGATAACCAGTATTGTCTATATCTAACATGTAATTATCCACAGCTAGCTTGGGTGTCTGGTTGAATTAGATGTTGCCATAATTATTAGGCAATGTTGAGGGCAAACCCCGATAGTAAAGTAATGGCTAAAAATGAGGGATGCAATTCTGATGTCTCGCCCAGAGGTGACGTATTTGATCCTACGACTCGAAATATTTCGGGTCCGTGATGTTTACCCAAGAGCACCCCATTTTCCACCAGCTTCCGCTTCAATCGCACACGCTGACTTAGGTGTGGCAGCATGGCCTTCTTCGGGAGGATTCTGCTCCCATCTGGTAGGTTTTGCCAACCTTCCGAGGCGTCTAAATGAAGGGCAAGAAGCTCAGCAGAGCCGAGAGGCCAGAAATGCCCCTGGCGGCGCTACTCTTCTCACTAGTTGCCGTCTGTGATGGGAATAATCTCCTGTTTGACGTGGTGCTCGCGGTTCCAGATACATCACCAGTGGGTTGTGGCGTCTCGCTTCTTGTACACGACATCACATCTGAAGAGCCCACAACCTGGACAGCTTCGGCATGGATAGTGGTCGAGTTGAAGCAGTTGTCCGCGCTGACAGGTGGTAGCTTCGACGGGTCGTCCGTGAAGACGATGTCCGCGCACTAGTTGATGCTTGCGTTAGCTGTCCGTGTCCCAGGGTGCGGCGTAGGAGTGGGAGCATTGAGCGACGCGACGCGACGCGACGGGACGCCCTAATCGAGGGTTTCTCGCTAGGCACTCACAGAATAGAGCGAAGCCCCGGACTTCAAGGTCTGCACCACCTGGATCGTCGCGAGGTCGCCATTCTTGGGCACCACCCCTTGCGGGGGGGATACTTGGGGAAGGCAGACGGTGCCGGGATACGGATTGTCGCTTGGGCCGGTGAGCCGGAACATGGGCACCATGGGCGAGTAGGTGTCGGGCTCCGAGCCGAGGCCGAGGTTGATGTACATGAGGGCCGTGGCGTGCCCTGCAAACCAGCCCGGCTGCATCGCGAGCGCGCCATTGGTGATTGGCCACGCGGTGCGGTTTTGTGTGGCGGATAGGCCACCACCTAGAGGTTTGGTCCTTTAGCATATGCCAACAACATGCGTCAATTGTCTCGGAAGCCGCCTTGGACATACACGGATATGAACGCTGCATCCCGTAGGGGAATTCATCGTTGACGATGAGGTTGTTGCCTCTCCAGCCGGGATAGGTTATGACGACGTGTCCATGCGCAATGCCAACTAAGAGACACGCGATGGTGATGGAAACAGTCCCAATGCCGGCCATCTCGAACGCTAATTTTGTTTACGCTGAGCTGAGCTGGGTGGCTTGACAAAAGACAAAAGTGCGATGAAAAGCCCAGATAGTTATTTGGGGGGGGCGGCTAGGGGGGCGGCTAGGGAATCCTGAAGGATTCCCGGATCGCGGCACAGCAACTTCAAGAACTAGGTCGTTTTTGGAGGAACCCCCCCCCCCCCCCCCCCCTTCTGACCAGGGTCGTGCTTACGCGGGGCGCCGGCAAGGAGGCCACGTCGCCGCGTTGTCTGCCGGTCATAACCAGAATTTCGCCGCCCGGAAGGACACGGGAAAACACAAGTATAGGTAATGACGAGCCTTTTGGAGCCCCACTCCGACCACCAGGTCGGCGTAGCTGCGCCGGGACGGGTAATTCCCCGCCGTGTAACCCCGGCTGGTGTGGGGCGTTCCGGGTCCGTCATCGGAAAACACTTATACTCCACCACGGCAGTCGGGGTCCGCTCATTCGCCTGGGAGCCCTTGATGACTTCATCACCAGTGATGGATCCCTGCAGGACTGGTGCAAGTGCAAGGGCACACTACCCCTTTCGGAAACCCATACAGAGAGTAAGGGGCATGTCGATCTAGTTGATCTAGATAGCAGATGCATAGAGCCCAGGCAAGCATACAAACCTAAAGTTGAGTTGGGAGTTTAGCATAAATGAGGGATCCCCTACGTGGACATTTAGCCACGAATCTGTATCATATAAAAGTATTGATTTCCGAGATCTTGGATCGAAAGTAGTTCAGCCTATCTGAATATAGAGATTTGGGGATTCGGAGGAATGGGATTTCCTGGTTGGGTGGATCTCCAAACAGATCCTTCTCACCCTCAAGCTTAGCCTTTCGCCCGAATCGGTGCAGATAGTTACAGGTGCGATGTGTGTACGCAGTAGTCCTCCATAGCCCGTACCCTGGTGCTCGGTCGTATATCTAGAGCTAGACTCCCGACTCCCGACTCCAGTTCTCCCTCTACTACCCAGGACTACTATCACCTTGAGCATCATTCCTACCCACCAAGCCACCACAGGTAACCGCACATTTCCACCATGAAGGCCTCAGCGGTGATTCCCCTCCTCGCCAGCCTCGCCAGCTCCAGTCCCGTGGAGCTTGGGGAGCGCCAGTCCTGCCCGGGAGTCCACGTCTTTGGGGCACGGGAGACGACGGCCCCGGCGGGCTACGGCACTTCCCAGGGCCTCGTCAACATGGTGACCCAGGCCTACCCCGGCGCCACGGCCGAGGCCATCACATACCCGGCGTGCGGAGGCCAGGGCCAGTGCGGCGGAGTCAGCTACGACGACTCGGCGAACCAGGGCACAGCCGCCGTGGTCAAGGCCGTGACAGACTTCCACACCAAATGCCCCGACACCAAGATCGTGCTCATCGGGTATTCACAGGTAAGTCCAGTCACACATACGCGCCCCACGCTCTCCTTTTCGAGGCGAGGTTCGAGGATTAGTACGGGTACTGACACGCATTCGAACCTCAGGGCGGCCAGATCATGGACAATGCCCTCTGCGGCGGTGCGGGTACAACCCTCACCGGTAACGCCCTCGCCGCAGTCAAGGCCGGCATCTTCATGGGCGACCCGCACAACATCGCCGGCCTTCCCTACAACGTTGGCACTTGCACTGCCGGAGGAGTGAGTTCCCCCTCTCCCTCCCCTGTCTCTGTGCCCCCTTTCCAAAACTGACAAGGAAAACAGTTTGCGGCCCGCCAAGGAGGCTTCAAGTGCACTCCTGCCGACCCGACCATCCTCCAGTCGTACTGCGACTCTACGGACCGGTACTGCTGCAATGGAAACGATGCGAACTCGCACCAACAGTATGTCAACAAATACGGCCAGCAGGCGTTGGCGTTCATCAAGAAGCTGTTGGATGCCTAGACTTGGCAAGTGTGTATGGAGACAGGAAGATTGGGACGGTACCAAACCAAATGCAGTCGATCAAGACGGATGGATATCTGCTTGACTTGTCTTGAAAATCCTGTACAGTACGAAAAGAAAAACGCCTTGCGCCGTGAAGATGGCCCGGGCAACTTTGCCAATCTTCTTGGCTGTTCCTCTTCGTTTGGATGAAAGTGTGCAACTACTGTAGTCGCGATGGCACATGCTAGTATAACCCATGTTGGTTAACATGGTTATCTTCGCAACGAGATCATGTTGATGCAGCTTCTTGAGTGGAGGGTATCTGATGTGCCTACATACCTATGGTACATACAATACACGGACAGGACATGTATATGTCATCTTTGCCTGTCCAATAGATCCTTACCCGTTTTCCCGGGAAACGCCCACCTCGTCAAACTTCCCATCAGACGAATATCAAAACAAGGACTCCTGTGTAGACTGCAACCAACCACTAGTGGCATCACAAAGGAGCAGTTATCGCCTGACCTAACCGTAGCCGAATAGGCAGAACGAGCCACCCTCTTAGGTTGCCGAGTATACGGCCGTGACATACCTGCCACATTCCACCCTCTGCTCGACGCTAGCCTTCCTGCCCTTTCCACCCTCGCCCAGACGCACAGTTGTCCTGGGGGCAATCTGGAAGCGATTCACATCGCCCTTGATCGACCTCTTCGCATCGCCTTCCTCGCCGTCCAGCGGGCCGATGTAAGTCGGCGTGCTGAGGTTGTTCCTCTTGCCCGTGCCGAGCTGGTAGAACTCGTTGCCCCCCCACCACACGACGTCGAGGCCCCAATTGGTGGCGTTGTCCGACCGCTGTCGCGACGCGGCCGTGTTGGTCTCGTTGCCCAGAACGGCGCACGCGTGCGTGCTACCTACCGAGAGGCTGGATAGCTTGATGGGGACGAGCTGGTTGCGCTTCTCGTCAAACTCGGAGAGGTTCGAGAGCGCCTTGACCTTGGTCGGCTCGCTAGAGATGTGCGTCCACTTGCCGGTGCCGAGGCCGCCGTGGAGCCCCTCTCCGCAAGCCCATGTATCGGCAACAATATTGGCGGGCCCAGAGCGCGGTGGTGAGTCGGCCGTGTTGCCCCGGTTCGTGGTCTTGGCAGCGTCCACGGTGAAGTAGGAGTTGAGGCCACCGGCGGCAATCGACGTCACACGAGGAATCATAGCTGTTCCGCTGTAGAGATCTTTGAACGACAGTGGCGACGGCACATTGATGTGGGGAGACTCTGGCTGGGGCTCGAAGCCGAGCTGACCGGCTGAGTTGTCTCCAAATGAGAAGACACTGCCTAGCTTGTCGAGAACCAGAGAATGGAAGTCGCCGGCAGCTATCTGCGCCACATCAACGCCGCGGAGGGTGGTAATCTCGTGGGGCTGGTCATAAGGAACCTCCTGTGGTCTTGTCGCCCAGCTAAGTCCGGGGATTCCCAGCTGCCCCCTGGATGGGAAGTCCTCAGAGCTTGAGGCGGCCGAGAATACGCGCCCTTTTGATGTAAGCAGCAGGCAATGCTCTAGCCCACTGCTAATGTCGGTGACCTTCTCGCTCCATCCGAGATTCTCTGGCTTCAGAGTTCTATAGCTGATGGCGGAAGGGGTGGACCAGAATGGAATCCAAGAGCTACTCGGCGGTTTTTCTCCACTCTCCTGGTCTGCAGCGGCAATGGGAACCGAGTAGACCGAGCCGCTCGACGATAGAGCAATAATACGGTCTTTTGACAGGGAAAGCTTGACAAGGTCCTTGCCCTTCAGTGTGACGATGGGGGATGCAATGGTCTTCGAGAAGCCAGCTCCCCATTGAACCAGGTCTCCATTTTCTGTTACCGCCGCGCCAAATTTCTGGTCCAGTTTCAGATCTCGAAGTAGCTGTCCGTCAAAGTACGATATCCGCCGCGGGTTCTTGATAACGGGTTCGTTGGAATCGGGCGCAGCGACTTTCCCGGCGTTGGATCCCCAAGCGTAGACCCCCGGATGCTCCCAGCTCTTCTTGACCTGGAGATGCTGCGGGCTGATTAGGTCTCGGTTGTCCTCCTTCGATGTGGGCTGTTTCCTCGGCGTCTCGAACTCGACATCCACATGTCGCGGCGCCACAGGTTCTTCCTTAAAGATGCGCGGATACGCATAGACGGCCGTTCCAGAGGCAATTCCGACTGCCAGCAGTCCGAGCCAGCGGCCGGCTGATTTATTGGGTGGCTTTGTCGAACTCGCATACCTCACATGCTGCCTGGTCAAAGGATGACGGGATCCCCTGGCTGCCGAAGAGAGAAATCTCGGTCGGAGGGCACTGCTCCCTGCAGCCAAGCTCGACATCGTAGGTGGGAGAAGGGGGTTTAATAGGAGACAGATTGGTATGCGTGTAGATTGGCTTGTCGAGGGAGGATTCGGGCATCCTTTGGGTATCAATTCGGGATCTATTCCTCTGCCTTACACCTGGGGAAGTGAGGTCATGGACAACGCAATTCGTAATCATGAATTCTTCCTCTCCCATTGGCATCCCGGTGTCCAGCACCTGAGGTCTGTGCACTAGCTGCCGGTAGGTTCCCCACATGTGGAAAGTTGACCAACCATTGAGGGGCGGCTTCTTCCCACCCACCCGCCAGCTAACTAGGTAGCTACACCACGTTCAAGGTTCGAGGCTGCGAGTTCGCACCATCGTTTCCAAAGCGCAGGGCACTAACATCTCGGCCGGTCGAGTTACGCCAAAAGATGTATGAAGACTCCTGGTACAGCTACGTACCAGATGTACAGCCTAAACGAGGCCCCTCGCAAAATACCAGCCACAGACGCAAGGAATCTCTCTTACAACAACCAAACGTAAGGACAAGACCGGAATCTCAAAATCCGCAGAACAGAACTGACCAAGTCGCGCCACAGGGTACTGCCGAAGTCTCCAACAATGCGGAACCATTGGACGACTTATATGAAGTCGAATCGGACTCCAACTCCCCTCCTGATCCCACAATAGCTCGGCGCGCAAAGTCATACTCGAGCTTCTACGACATTGTGCAAGCACAATTATCCGAGGACGGGTCGAAGAATGGGCGGAAGAAGAGGAGGAAAGACTACGGGTGGGATGCACTGGACGTCGTCCAGCCCGAAGCCTCTAGCCGCCTTGACGACGAATCTCTCCTTGGCCCATTGAACGACGAGCTGCTGGAGGCGAGGCAGCAGGAATACCTGTACGTGTTCGGCGACATTGTACTGATGCGCCCCTGCTGATCGAAAATAAGGCTCTACCACGACCAGCTAGCCATGACAGAGAGGCACCTCGAAACCCTCATCGAGGACACAAACAGTGCCTTGACGGTCCTGGCGTCCCTGTCCGAGTCCTTCCGTTCAGTCGAGGACCAGACCACCTCGTTCCAATCGCAGTGCGACGACTTGCTATCGGAGCAGAAGCGACTGCAGGCACTTGCAGACGAAGTCGGCACCGATTTACACTACTATACCTACCTTGATAACGTTTCCAGGCGACTCAATGCCCCTGGAGCAAGCCGTCTGGTAGATGGCGATCCGTTTGGCGAGATTTTGGATGACTTGGACTCATGCATAGTATTCATGATGAAAAACGTAAGACCTTCCGGCCTTCAGACCATGGATATGGCCATTACTACTCTCTTGTATCTTGTGCCTGGCTTTTGTCGCACCCCTTCCGACTAACGCATTGCAGCCCACGTATAGAGATGCCGAGTCGTACCTGGCGCGCTATCAGTCCTTGATGACAAAGGCCCTCCATCTCCTCGAAGTCGGATTTGCAGCGCGGCTAGAGAAGGCATCGAGCGAGATATCGGCAAAGATTGCCGCGTCCCAATCAGAGTCGGCCCGGCATGCCCTCGCATATGGCCGCTTTGAGGAGTTGATAACCGCGTCTTATTCTCTGATACCAAACATTCAGAAGGTGGTTCTGAGTGCTTACGACCAGTTCGGCAACGCGAAAGAAGGGCCCGTCTTCGATATCTACTCAAATACCGTGAAGAGTCTCTTCCAGGCCTATCTGGCCGTCCGAGATCGGGATCTGCGGCCACTCATCCAACAAGAGTTGGATGCGTTCAGGACTGAAGTCAAAAGCACCTCTGCCGAAACAGCATCTAGGAACTTTGTCAAGCAATGCTTTGAACGCTCATATAGTGAAGCTTCTCTCTTCACAAGGATCTTCGCCATCGACCCACAGTACAGCACGGATCCAAATTCGCTTTACACGGTGCTGAAGTCCTACCATAGATCGCTTGTCAACGCCATCAACGTCGTTCCTCTAGCAACCAACCTCCAGGCGGTTCTACAACCCAGTGACCTGCAGACAATATGCAGCGTGGTGGGATGGGCGATGAACGAATATCTCCTCCTCGAATATGACGAGGAGCAGACAGGATTCGCAGCGCATTGTCGAGAACTGACCGCCAGGCTCCTCACTGAGCATCTGTGGGTGTTCACCGACGCTGCATTCGAAGCCGAGATAGCAAAGTCCATCTCGCGGCCTCCTGTCAACCCTGATACCCTTACAATCGGCCCTGTGACGAGTGGCGTCGCATCTTCCAATGCGTACCCGCCGGTCAAGCGGGCGCTTGAGCTCCTAGTTCTTTTCGACCAATCCATGCCAAAAGAGCGATGCGTAAGTACATCTAGCTGGCACTATCTCCGGGGGGACTAAACTCGGGCCAGCTAACAGTATGCCTCTGTGTGTAACAGCAACGCAGCAGCCCGGTCGTCTTCAAGATCGTCACCGAGTCGGTTGCAGCTCTACGTCGGGCCGAGGCACGTATCAAGGCGAGCAAGAATGGTACCGATCCAGACTTGTTCATGATCAAGAACTTGCTCATCCTGAAGAACGAGCTCGTGTCGCTCGAGATTGGTGATGTGCGCAACCAGGCTCCCGGAATGCAGCACTTTGGCCAGATCTGGGAGACTCTCAGCCCGCAGAACCTGATGGGGATTTTGTCCAGCTTCAGCAGTTATATTCCCGGTTCTTCTCTCTGGTCCCGTGCTACATCTACGTCCCCCGCGCGCATCCCTTCGACCAACGCCAGGGGAAACAGCAACCTTGAGCAGCAAGATGCGAGCGAGCAACTGGATGAGTTGCTACGGCAGTCCATCTACTCCTTCACACAACGGTGGGGGACCTTTGTCAACGATGCTCAGACAGGGAGACTGGGTGCGAAGAGCCTGGCCAAGGTTGAGAAGGAACTGGATGATATCCTTCAAAGAGCATTCAGTAACCAGCCCGAGGTTATGATGAAGCTGAAGGAGGCCATCCAGCTCAATGCGCAGGCACAAAATGATGCCAAGCTAGATAAAAAGGGTAGCAAGATTACTCGAGTTTAGGAATCATCAGAGTCAATGCGCTATTTGGCGTCAAATCGTTGGGAAAGTAACATCTCTCCCTCTGCTTTTACTACTGTTGCCCTGTCGCTTTTCATGGAGTGATGCTCTTTTGCAACCCGCCTTAGAATCAATCATACATAGCACACACTTTAAGCAACCCGCACGGTAAATATCCTATCAAACGGTATCCAGATACCGTATAAACAAGGATGCAAACATATAGATGTACCAAGCTCCTCTCTCTCCTCCACACCTAGTAAAGGAAGCTCTCGCAGCCTCTCCAGTCCCTGCCCTCAGGCATTCCAGTCAGCCTTCTTGGCGGCACCGAGGACCTGGTCCGCCATGGAGACGCTAGTCCCCGTATTGTCGGGCTCGACCGCGATGGACTCGATCTTGCCGTCCCTGAGGACGATGGCGTACCGCTTCGACCTGTCGCCGCCGAAGATGGCGGCCCCATCAAAGGCCAGGTCGAGGGCCTTGGTGAACGCGCCGCTCGGGTCGGCGAGGAACCGGATCTGTAGAGCTTCGGTGAGCCACGATCCAGATCGGGGAGCATATCCAACGTCGGGGTCAGGGACACGGCATCATCCTTCCTTATTTCTCGATAGGAAGTCAAAAACTTACGCCTGTCTCGCTGGCTGGGTCCAGAGTCTCGCCCCATGCTTTCATACTGTTCGTGAGGTGTCAGCTATCACATCACTGGAAATTCTCCCAGCAAGGTCTAGGCCGACCCAACCAGGCCGAACCACCGCTGTCCAACCGGTAGTCCGGCCGCCCGCAGCAGGCAGCCGAACCGCCACTGTAACCCAGGGTTTGTGTGCCGTGGAGAGGAAACTCACACAAACACGTCGTTAACCGAGACGACGGCAACGAGGCCAAAGTCCTTGAGGGCGGGGTGGCGGATGTACGAGGGGATGTGCTTGGCGGAGCAGACGCCCGAGAACGCGGCGGGCACGCCGATGATGACGGCGTCGCTGGTGCGCCCGGCCTCCTCCGCCAGGTTCACCCTGTTGCCGGGCGTGGCCTCCATCAGCACGTCCAGGTCCGGCAGCCGGTCGCCCACGCGGATGGGCACCGCCGCCGTCGTGCGGAAGCCCCGCGCCGCCGCTGCGTGGTGGGGGGTCCGCACAGCGGAGCGGAAGGCGGCGCTCAGTGGCCGGAGGGGAGCGCGGGTTGCCATTGGGATGTTTGCGGGTGGTTCGTTGGAGAATTGGGTGTGTTGGAACGGGGGCGGAGAGCTGTCAGTGGTGCCTAATGAGAATGTTCGGTTGGGCTTGAGGTTGAAACGGAGCGGACGATGATGCGATGTGGTGGGTGGATTGACGCGGTGACATCATTTTCGTGTGGGGTCTCGCTTGCGTCGCATAGCAACCGCGTCTCCTTTATGCAGCGTCTCAAAGCAGAAATATCACCATCAAGCTGTGTTTTACCTCTTCTTCATTCTTTTCATAAGAATGACCTGCGATATAGTCGTAATAGTGGGAATTGAAGGCATAACTCCTATCCTAGCTGTGCTTGGCGGTTAGGATGGACATGAGAGACGCTGCACGGCCCAGATCCATCCAGACTTCCTTAGAAGCCATCGTCTTCATGATACCTCCCTGAAATCCACTCATATCAAGTATATCTGTACAAAGATCTCTTCATGGATCCACCTACTCTCACAAACGACCAGTTCGAGGCTCTTCTAGCCCAGATCGCGGATTACCAGCTCGCACACGGTTCACTCCTTAGCCTCCCCTTATTGAGAGAAAGGCTCGACTCCCCCGTGCCCATTGCCCGCCCCGTCGGTGTGAGCGTCTTTCCGACGCCATTTCCAAGCGCACTCTTTCACGACGCCTTGAGTCTCCAGCAGCCCATGAACAGGCTGTATGTCCAGGTAGCGGGGGACCCCGAGTGGCTCGGGGAAGTGTTGGCCGAGCTGCGTCAGCACGACGAGTTTGTCGCAAAGTTATGGAGCATCTGGGAGCGGGTGCGGGACGAGGGCGAGGTGCAGAGCCTTGAATGCGGTGTTTGGAGGAGTGACTATATGCTCCATGCCTGCACGGCTGGCCTGGCCAAGGAGGACCGGAGCGCAGTAGGCTCCGGAACCAACCCCTCCAAGGAAAGGACTCCGCGAGAAGGAGAGCCGCGAGAAGGAGAGAAAGACGCCTTCTTGAATTCGCAGCTAAAACAAGTCGAGTTCAACACCTACTCCTGCGCCGGGGGTGGACATGGAAACATCGCCGCAGATATGCATTCGTATCTCGCGGCTAGGGGACCCCATGGATCCACCCCTCCGGCCCGCACAGGCGTAATCCCCCAAATAATACCATCCGCGACGTTGTGCAAGCGATAGAGGCTGCGCACAAGGCTTACGGGCCTCCCATCCAGGGGGCCCTCACCGCAGTGCTCATGACAGTGCAGCCCCGGAACTCGAATACCTGCGACGAGCGACCGATTGAGTATGGCCTGTCGGGGTGCGACCCGCCCGTACCCTTATTCAGGGTCGAGTTCAACGGCGAGGTCCTGCGGCACTGCCACCTCGGACCTGGGAGGGAGCTGCTGTACCGAGCCCCCTGGGCCAGTGAGGCCGTGGAGATCTCGGTAGTCTACCAGCGAGCAGGCTATGACGCTTGCGAATATGACGAACAGGGAGTGAACGCGCGGTTGCTGCTGGAGCGGTCGAGAGCCGTCAAATGCCCCTCGATCCTAGGCCATCTGGCTGGCCTGAAGAAGGTCCAGCAGGCGCTCACTCGGCCCGGCGCCTTAGAACGGTTTGTGGAGCCAGACATGGCTGAGCAAATCCGCGAGGTTTCCATGCCCCTCCGTGCAATGGACGCCACGGAGGATGGGTTGGCTGGGAGGAGGCTAGCCATCCGAGAGGAAACCGCAAAGGGTTACGTCTTGAAGCCGTCGCTCGAGGGCGGGGGTCATAACGTCTATGGTACCGACATAACCTCGTTTCTGCGCGGCATCCCGCAGGAGAAATGGGCGAATTACATCCTAATGGGGAAGATCAATCCCCCTGTTATAAACAACGTGCTTGTGTCATACCAGGAAGTGTATTACGGCCAGGTTGTCTCTGAGCTTGGCGTCTTTGGAGCATGTCTTTGGCGGCGGCGTCGAGTAAACCAAGAGCCAGTTATACTGAATAACACCCTGGCCGGGTGGAGCTTCAAGACCAAACCCGCCGGCGTCAACGAGATGAGCGTGGTCAAAGGATATGGGTGCTTCGATTGCCCTCGACTCATCCCCTAGGGTCGGACAGTCGGTGCTGTAAAAAGTCGTGCCACGCCTGGCTTATAGCAAGGAACTGAGATTATGGCATCCCCGTACGTCGGCGGAACCGACGTGGGTTGAGTGAGGTTAGCTATCCTTGGAAGCCTTGTCGAGCAGGGCCACGATTCGTGACATGAACTCATCCTCCTGGCTATCTTTCAATAATGACCCCCCAAGTGAGAGAACCTTGTCTCTTGACTTGAGCCCTTGAGTGATTTGAAGATCTGATTTGGGAACATTAAGGGCCTTGCAGGCGGCGTCAGTAGACATTCGGTGGTTGAGTTTCGGATGGTTCATACATCGCTGAGAACCTTGACGACAGCCTTATTAGCCTCTCCTTCTCGTGCCTGGGCCGCTACACAGATCTCGATTGCATCATCTGTCAGCGCGGTGACCCCCTCGCGCGATTTGCTAGCGCCCGGTTTGACATGGCATTGAAGGTAGACCGCTCCGAAGGGGTTTTTCTTGGACGCGGCAACATAGCGGATGGCACCGGCAGATGCCATCTTTCTGAGAGCAACAACACTCAGACGCTTGGAGCTTCGAGATGTACTAGCTCAGAAAAGTAAACAACACGTTGTGATCCTTTCGGTTGTCACAAGCCGACCGTCGGAGCGGTAAGTACCTAGCTAGGGTGCAAGTCGGGAGCGGGTCTGCGGGGAGCTTGCTGACGTGACCCGCATTTCCGCGCGGCCCCACTTGCGGGGGGCAAAAGTAACCATATCGGGCTTTCCACCTTCTTCCACAACTCCAACGTTCCCCTTGTCGCACCGTTGCACTACCCTCACGCGCCCATGGAGTCCGAGGCCGAGAAAGGCGACATCCAGACCCAAGTTCTCCGAACCACACTCGCCGAAATCTCCACTTCGCGACCAAATCAGGGCGTTGACTGCTGTGTCATTTGCCTGGACGAGATCTCCGATCCGAGCACCGCCCACCCTTGTGGCCACGCCAACTTTGACTTCCTTTGCCTTGTGAACTGGGCCCAGCTCCATCCGACATGCCCGCTGTGCAAGGCAGCCATCCGAGAAGTACAATACGGAGCTTCCGCTTCCGAAGGCGGCACCGAGACGGACTTCAAGGTCTACAAGGTTCCCCAGCAAGACGAGCAAAAAGCAACCGCCAGGTCAAATGTTGAGGCCCCGCAGAGCACCGCGTCATCACAAAGAACCTTTGAGCACTACTTCCTTGGCCGACACCGTTCACACCGCCATCGAGGCCAAGGAGGTGGCTCGCGCAGGGAGCCAGTCCCCGCCCCGCTCCCGATACCGACCCTCGACGAAGCTATTCTCCGCCGGCGGCACATCTACCGCAACCAACTATACTCCCTCCACGTCGGCTCAAACCGACTATCCCAATACCGCGACCTAACACCCGAGCTCTTCGCCTCCGACCCGCACCTCGTCTCGCGCGCCCGGCAATGGCTCCGGCGCGAGCTACAAGTCTTCGAGTTCCTCTCCTCCGGCAGCGGCAGCAGCGGCAACAACAACAACCCCTCGACCACACAAAACAGCAGCAACAACAGCAACAGCAACAGTGGCGCCGAGGAGGCGGACGAGCGGACCCGCCAGCGGCAGCGGCGGCGACGCGCCAACAACGCCGAGTTCCTGCTCGAGTACACGGTCGCGATCCTCAAGACGGTCGACGTGCAGGGCAGCGCGGGCCAGGCCGAGGCCATGCTGTCCGACTTCCTGGGCCGCGACTGCGCGCGCCTGCTCCTGCACGAGCTGCGCGCCTGGCTGCGCAGCCCGCACGGCTCACTGGCGGCGTGGGACCGCGCCGTGCAGTACCCGGAGCCGAATCCGAACCCCAAGCCCGGGTCGAGGTCGGGGTCGGCCAAGAAGAGGCGGGCCGATGATGACGAGGGTGCGGTTGATGAAGGGGCGGACGACGACTGCGCGAGAGGAGGTCGCGGGTCGGAGACGGGTGCCGGGATGGAGGTGCGGCCCCGGGGGGATTACTGGCGTCCTAGGAAGAGGAGGTCTGAGTGGGGTGCGACGACCGACCGGCGTGGGGAGGGGACGGCGTATGTGCGACGGGGAGATGTGGGGAGACATGTCCCGGATTGAAAGGCTCTTGGGATAAGAGTGTTGATATTGGGAACAGAAATGATATGCCGGGAACATGACTGGTATGCTGCTCGGAACGGGAGACCACCGTTCAAGCAGTAGGCGCAGCAGATTGTGTGACCAATCTAGACGCCGTGACAGGGCGTGGGCACCCCCGTTAAGAGTCGTGAATCTGGAGCTTGAAGTGGTACCATGGTAAGCCAGTCGGTGGCAATCCCTGCAGGGGGTTGACTTGTTGGGGCACGATTCCATCCACGGGGTGACCCTTCCGTCTCGACGGACTTGGTGTGGCACAAGATTGGAGGATACCATGATATATGTCCTTAGGTCGAGCTCTGACTGGGCTACTCAATAGAAAGGATATGGATACTAAGCGTTGGGTGTGGATTGAATAGATGCTGTCGTTTAGAGGGAGAACTGGGAGAATAAGATAGAAAACCAAGAGACACCTCTTTACGTTTTGTCCCGGTCAGCATGTATTAATCGCATCTGCATGTTCGCTTCATGAGTTGTCAAATGGTGCTTACAGCTGGATTACTTGCCATGTCGAACTGACGGAGAATGGGCAAACGGTATATACTGTGTAGACCCAACGCCATGCTGAAGCAGCCCACTGATGGCCACCCAACATCTCCAAGGCTTCTCTACCTGCAACATCACAGAAAGAGGTCTCTTTACCTGACTGAAACCACCTCTTGAGGTCCAGTTTACCCCATTCACGAACTACATTCAAGACCGAGCAAAAAAAAAGCATATTTGGTGTCGTTTGATGCATGTGACAAAAACAATATCTAATACACGGCATTCTTCGATTTCTTCCACTCCTTCGAGGCCCCACGCTGCTGGGGTTGCCGCCAGCTTGCTCATCTCGGCCCTTGATTCCTCTCCCCATTATCCTAGAGTGGTCGTCCCCAGCCACACGCAAAGAGAGAGAGAGAGCGGTCCTCGCCTTCCAGACCGGCGATGATAGACCACGCCACCCAATCTAGGGAAAAAAGACACGACCACGCAAGAATTACTAGGTTGGGCAGAGACGGGAAAAGGGGCAGAGATGATGAAATAATAATAAAAAGAGGCTCCCCCTTTATCTTCCCGATTGTCTTGCAAAGTTTACACGGAAGGGCGAAGAAAAACCAAAACGCGGGAAAAGATATTACATGCCCTCGAACTCGCCGCCGAGGTCGTCCTCATCCAGGTCGCCCTCCTGTATCTCCTTGGCCATTTCACGCTCGCGTTCTCTTGCTTCCTGGGCATTCTTCAGCTCGAGGCGGTGTTGGTTCATGGGGAAGCGCATGGCCTAATTAGAAGAACAACCCGTTAGCATAAACATGTTTTTGCTTCCCAAGGAGACGAAAGTGAAAAGGAACGAGCAAAGAGGGGGCTTGGCATACCTTCACGCTCTCATCGTGCAACGCCAAGCAGGCTCGAATACGGTCGTGGAAGGCCTCGCCAGGCTCCCTTGTGGCGTAGACGTCACCGATCTCCTTGCTCTTCATAAACCCGCGCTCGCGATCGAGAGTGGCCTCGATGACGCCGTCCCGAATAGCCTTGGCCACAATGTACTCTGCGCTCTCCTCGGATCCCAGGTGCAGGCGGATGCAGATGTCGCGCAGCGAGATGCGGCTGTAGCTGAGCGACATCATGCGGATGCCCGTCTTGATGACATTCTGGCGCAGGCGGAGGATGAGCGTGTAGGTACCGTCGCGGCGGAACGTGTCCGCGTGGTCCGCAATAGTGGTCTCAAAGTCCTCCAGGTTGCCGACTCGGACGGCCTGCACGAGGAGGAAGTACGGGTGCAAGGGCTGCTCCATTGTGGTCTCCCGGAACGTTGCACGGTCGGGAATGTCGCCCATCAACAGCTCCACCACGAGCAGAAGCTTGGTGGCGGTCTGGCTGAAGCCAAGGGCGCAGGCACTGCTGGGCGCCTTGCGGGTTGCCGCTGTCAGGTGCTCGTGTGCCTCGGTGTAGCGCAGCTGAATGGCCCGGATCCGACCGAGGTAGTACAGGAAGCGCGCGACCTGATTGTTGGCCGCATTCTCGGGGAACTGCGTATGTGAGACGAGGAGATCGGCTTGGGCGATATGGGACGTGAACAGGTAGTTCCGGAGCAGAAGAACGATGACTGCGGCTTGGGTGTCGATGTCCTTGCGCAAGACGGCGGTGCGGAGGGCGGCGAGAAGGGTTGGCCGGATAGCGACGATCGGGGACTGGGGCGACGGGGGCAGCGGAGCCATGTGCTCACAGAATAGAGAGTAGTAGAAGTACACCTTGGCAGAAAGAGAATCTAGCGTTCGGCGGTTGAGAGAGTGGATTCGATCGGACAGCTCCTGCGAGAACTCGGCGCCTTGTTGGTACTGTTTTGAGTCAAAGAGATGGACCTGGATCAAGATGCCTAGGAAGACGTCGATCTCCGGGATGATCTCCTTGCTCTCCTTCTTGATTCCGTTCTTCGCAGGGCTCTTAGCCTCGCTGTCCACCTCCATCTCCGAACCGGGTTGACGCCCAAGGGGGACGTTTTCCCTCCCGATCGCAGCCAAGAGCTGATTCGCCACCTGTGCTCCGGCCGAGGTATATGTTTCCGAGATGACTTGCGCAATGATGTCCGGTGTCAGTCGTTTACGAAGGGAAGAGATGGACCGAAGCGCCCGGAGAGAGAACCTTGCGTCGAACAGGGCGACGGCACGATCTAACAAGGCAAAGTTGGTTTTGATGTCTGCAGCGCGAGGCGAGTGTTAGTATCCGGGAAGTGCATATTGAAGATGTAGGCGGACACGTACCATTGATTGCCTGGATGACGGGGTCGATCTTGACCTCTGCCTCAGCCTTCTCCGAGTCTTCCATGGCGACATCCCCGTCGGCATCGTTGGGCGGAGGAGCAGACGATTGCTTTGAACTCTTCGACGGCGGTACAACTACGGTCATCTCGTCCTCGCCCTCCTTGGCCGGCTTCTTTCCCTTGTGCTTGAGCGATGACGCCTCATCCTTCTCCTTCATCTCGATATCTTTGCCACCTCGGTAGCCACCGTTATCAACGGGTTCCTTATCCGGCGTCTTTCCGGGCATCGCGGCGGCTGCGTGAGATGTGATGGGCCAGAGGGTGCCTGCCCGACGGACGGGTTATGGTGATGAGGGTGATAAAGACGAGAATATGAGCCGAACTCGCGAAGCGCGCTCCTTGCTGGGCCAAAATGAACGGACCAGGTGACGCCTATGAGCTGGATAGACTCGGAGTCGACTAAACCGAAACCGTATCGAAATCGAAATGAAATAAATGCTCGTGCTTGCACTGGCAGGGAAATTGTTATCACCGGTAGAAATGGCAGGGTTTTCCTCTTGAGGTTTGTTTGCTTGACGTGATGCAAGAAGAAGCTCAGAGATTGATGAATCGGCCAGGGCGTTTGTTACCTAGCAGGTGTCGGACACGGACCCACCGCTGTATTGGGGCGTCAGGAGGGATAGAGTGTACCTGGATTGACGTGGAAAAGCCCTGCGGGTGGGAGGTACCACACTAAGCTAGGATACGTAGACACAGTGCCACGTTCCCCCAAAGCCCATAAATATAGATCTTCCACACAGTAGACTTCCCGCCTAGCTGGTGCTGTTGACGTTCGCTTGTGACGTTGTCCATGTGCTGCCTTGGGAAGCTGGACTTTCGAGTAATTGGGCATTACTCAGCCGCAATTGCTTGCCTGGTGATGGAATTTCGCCCAGATAATCGCATTTGCGACGCTCTCGACAGCACCCCTGCCATTTCATGTGCCGTTAAGCCACAGGTGCATGTCCACATGTTTTTTCCCAACTGCATCTCGTGATAGTCCTGGCCACTAAGAATGCTTTCCTAGAACTTCCCTCCAATCTCCCTTGCTGCCCTACCTAGTGTGGTGCCCATACTTGGATAATGAGGATTACCTGGGAGGTTAGAATAGACTTAGTCGATACGCAAATTCATTTGCACAAAGATGCCAGCATGACGGGGCAGGCTAGCTGCAAGGCACTCCGTTTCTATTAAATCCCTGTAAAGACTATCGTCTGCCGACTGTCTGCGGGGGGAAAAGGGAAATCATAACTAATGCCGTCCTTGGTTGCTCATACCTGGGCCAAACTCCAGCCAACCATGGGGAAAAAATACTGAGCAATTGTCAGAATAACTTCACTCTGAGGCGATCCTTAATTCCAGTCCCGAGCCTAAACGCCATTCTAATTCCCAAATGCTGCTGGGCGCGCCAGCAACAGGGAGACCCTCTATGGGTCCCCTTTGCCTGGCATGACCTTTGCCGCCTGGACAGCGCTCATCTTGGTGATCCAGGCTGCCGAAGGTTGGACCTTGCGTACGGTGCGCAGCTCGTCGCTCGAGTAACCTGGAATGCGGATGTTGTAGGTCCGCTCGAGGACAAGTTGGATGTCACGAATCTCGAGAACCTTCGAGCCACGCTCTTTGGAGTTGCGGCAGGCAGTCTGTAGAACGTTGTCGACGAAAGAATCGGCCAAGTTGAGGACAGACTGAACGTTAATATTAGTACGATATACGAATTTTCGGGGGAACGGCGGGCAGAGGGCAGCAACTCACTTCCTCAACTTCGGGTGCCAACAAGTTACCCTCCTGTCCTTCGGCGGTGCCACCGCAGACTTGTCTCACCAACTCGTCAAGCTTCTTCTTGTTCAGGACGCGCTCACCCTCCCCTTCGAGCTGGTAGCCGGGCGTCTTTGGCAGGGCGGGTTGGCCCATGACGCCTCCGGCAAGGCCGCTTCCGCCGCTGTAGGTGGGTCGACCGTATCCAGGTCCGGATCCAGTCATGGAGACTGGGTTGGGAATCTGCGTGGCTTTCTCGGGGAGTATTTTGGGGATGGGCAGCTTAGATTGCAGGGTCTGACCAGTGGGCTGAGGCGGATGGGCGTGGGGGTGGCCCTGCTGCGATGGGTTCATGACTCCGGCTCCAGAGGCTTGGCCACTTCCAACACTTGGGGCTTGCCCTGGCTGTCCAGGCATAGATACTGAACCAGTGCGCTGGTTTGCGAGAGTAAGGGCGGCCGTATGAGAGAGGGCTCGTGGTGCGCCGTTGGTTGGGGTGGACGATTGAGGAGTCTGCACGCGCGCAGAACCTTGAGTGGGGGTGTTTGCGGAAGGGACACTAGATGCGGCGGACGCCATTGAGGTGTTTAAGGTAGGAATTGGATTTGACGCGGGCTGCGTTCCTGGCTCGGTTTTTATAACCCGAGGCTGCTGCTGAGTCGTAGGCTGCCTAGTCGTAGTTTGTTGCCCTTGTGGGCCTGGGGCTTGAGTGGTAGAAGACATCGACCCTTGAGAGACTGGGGGTGATTGTGCCTGAGAATTGGGAGGTTGTACCGGCGCCGGTTGTCCTTGTCCTTGCTGTCCTTGCTGAGGACCTGGCATTCGTCCGGCTGCAGCAAGTTGTTGATTCTTTGCAGCCTCGATCGCGGCATTCACCGTGGCCGTTGAACTCTGCATCGGGTTGCTTGGATTCACTCCAGGCCCTGTCTGGGCCCCTTGGGCCCCTTGGGTCGTGGCTGCCCCATTTGATTGTTGCTTCTGCTGTGCTGCAGCCAGCTGCTTCCGGATGCTATCCACAAACTTGAGGGCGTCGGAATAGGCTTTCTGCAACTGGGCCTTTTTCTCTACAACACTCTTTTGCTCCTCTGGGGAGAGTGGATTCCCCTTATCAGTCCGCTCCTTGATGCTCTGATCCAACTTCGCCATATTCTGCCGGGTCGACTCCATCGTCAATAGACCCCGTGTATATTTCGTTCTCATCTCCACAGCCCACTTGGCTTTGTCGGTGGCCTGTGCCGGGGCCAGGATATGGAAGTTCATCTGGCTCAGGTGGTTGACAATATGGTCGGGGACCTTTGTTTGCTGAGGTGCTTGGCTGGCTCCAACGCCGGCATTGGTGCTCACTGTCGGCCCTGCCACTGTTGCCGCTGTTGCCGCAGGGGTTGCTTGGGGTGCGTTCCCTCCACTCGCAGCGACGCCTGTTCCAGGACTTTGCATTGTTTGTTGACCTGTGGCTCCCGCCGGTGCTGTTGGGTTGCCCTGGGGCTGCCCAGCAGCCTGCCTCTGCTGTTGGGCCGCTTGCTGCTGCTGTTGCATTTGGAATTGCCGTCGTTGTTGTATCTTTGATGTGAGCATCTTGCCAAAGTCCAAGATCTTCTTCTTTGCTTCGTTGTTCTTGGGCGATCCGGCGGGGTATCCATCATGCATCTGCCACAGCTGAGCCAGGCCCCGCTCGTACTTCAGTTTTTCTTCGTCCGTCAGGTAGGTAATGCTGCGCATCTGGTCAGGCTTGTAGAGGGTCACTTGTGCCACCCGTTGGGAAGCAGCCAGCTGCGCTGCTTGAGAGTTATTTTGGGCCTGTTGCCCCTGCGGACTGGCTTGGTTCATCGCGGCAAAGTGAGGGTGGTCAGGTAAAGGTAAGGTGGCAAATTAGGGACAAACTGGATATAGCTTTGGAAATGAGGAACAGGCAGTACATGCGCTCCAAGCTGAATGAAACGTTGAGAAATATGGAAGTTGGTAGGTTGACAATAGTTGGACTTCACAATCACATCACATCACTGGGTTCTTAGTGTTTAAAGGTTGACGTCTAGGTCTCTCTATGTAATTGGCTGGATCGGGTAATCAAATAGCCGAAGGCCAGAGCGGGCATGACCATCTAGACCCACCCCTCCCCATACAATATGTGTATAAGAGGATCAAGGGATGGAGAGCAACTGTTTTCCTCAACTCCAGATGCCATAGCCAACACATTCTAGGAGTAACACCGCCCCTTCATTGTAGGCTGAGCCCTACCTATCTACTTCATATGGCTAAGCTAGGAACATAATGAAATCCTGTCTATCTAAATACCCAAGTTCTATGTGCAGCAACAAGTATTGGTAAGCCCTAATACACCCGTTCCAGCGCAATGAGATGGCCTAGCCCATTTGATGAACCCTCACCCAAGTCTATCCAGTATGACAAAGGAATTGGTACAGCGCCGTGCTCAAATTAGCGTGAGGACCGTTGCCTGTCGCCTGTCGCCTGTCACCTGCCCACTCCCTGATGTCACCTATCGTCTCTTATCATCTGCCGCACTCCAACGCCATGGTTGAAGCAGATCTTGCAACAACAATAGGCACTCCAAAAGCTGTTGATAGGCACAGGCCAAGACAATGTTGTTGAAGTCCCTTGTCCCCATCCCTTACCCCCTGCTATGCTTCCATTGTCGAAATACAGCTAGGACTGGAAGAAATAAGAAATAAAATGGTGGTGAAAGGAATCAAGGTTTGGATAAAAGATGCCACCTGCACCAGCAAGATGCTGCACCGCCGTCATGTCATCCTTTTTTTTATGTGTCGTAATCGTCGTTACAGGCTCCGGTTTCGTGGGGGCCAAGTCGTGGTATGGTTGCTATGGAGAATCAATCTCCATGGTGATATAGTCGAGGGTGTAGTAAGGGAGTTCCTTGAGGGCGTCATCATCCAGAAAGTCGTCATCGCTCGTGGGGGGCTCGTCCATTTGGTCGATCCTCGGCAGTGGGGGATCTGTGAATTGCAAACTCCGGCGGTCACCAACTTTCCTCCGCAGTCGACGGGCACTTGACCCAACCTGGTCGGCCATTACGAATACTCTCAGGTCCTCCCTGTCGGTGTCGCTCCCAATGCTCTCGGCGATGGTCCGCTTTCCAATGCTTCCCGAACTCATGCGCTTCTGCCGTCTCTCAGCGCGGCGTTTAAAGAGGAACTCTTGGTATTCGTCCTCGTCAATATCTGTTTCATCCGAGTCGGAGTCGTCGCAACCCAAGTTTTGGAACTTGTACATGACGGTTCGGTCAATTTCCGGAGGATTCCGGGATCGTGACCGACTCCGTTCCGAGTCGGCATCTTCGATTGTGTGGGGCCGAACAACGCCAAGCCTATCATCGTCGCTATCGTCAAAGTCGCTCAGCTCCTCCACGGTGAAGGTCGCCTGAGTGACAGTGCGGCTAGGAGCAACACGGGGCGGTGGCGGCGGCGGAGGTGGTGGCTCTGGCTGTTCCGAACTCACACTCCCACTCTCAGACGAGCTAGAGTCGGAGGGGGCGGAAGACGAGCTGGACGACAGGGGTGAGAGCTCATCGGGATGGGTTGGCCGGGTGAAGCTGAAGTGTGGCCCGTTCCCCAGCGGCCGGATGTTGGACCGTTGAGACATGAAGTGAGAGTTGGGCTGGGGTTGGGGTGCAAGTCCCCTGACTTTCGGGGTGTTCTTGCGATTGGAGACCGGCGAAGCGGTGATTGGGGTCTGGGGCGGTGACGTTGGGTCCACGCTCTGATAGATTTTCAAATCCGGTGTCGTAGGCCGCATAGTCGCTGGCAATGCGACCAAAAAGCTTCCCGGCCGACGACCTTTTGTCGATCGATCTCAATGATTCGAGGTCGATTGGTGGTGGGGGAAGCAAAATAGTGGGGAGAGGGGCGGGAGGGGCTCAAGGCGTCAGCACCCACAAGATGAACCTCCAGCGAGGAGAAGATAAAGGGCTTCGGTTGGTTGTCATGATAATTTCGCGCGAGGGGGGGAATGCGATATATCGTGCAGCACAGGACATTCCCAACGCTACAGGGAGGGCTCTGGGAAGGAACTGGGCGGCGACTAAGAGCAACCGAGGGAAACAGGGAAGGAGGTGGAGGTGGTGGAGGAGTTGCAGGAAAAGAAACGAGGGAAGAATGGGAAGGGGAAAAAAGTCTGGCAGGCTGTAGGTAGAGCGCCGGTACTGGAGGAAGTTGGGGAAGAAAACCCTGTGCGGGTTTTGTTGCAGCGAGGGAACGGCACCAGATAATGTGCTGGCAAGTCGGGGGTGTGCGCCGGCATAGGGATTAGGGGTGAGGAGATGACTCCAAGTTATATTGAGACGCACAACCTGCTTGGTCTTTCGACCTCATTGGAAGATATTGGAGAGAAACAAGCCCTGATCCCCAGCCAGCGGGAAGGAATCTGTTTTGATACAATTTCAATGAGTCAATTAGTCGGTCAGTCGGTCGGACAGCGCAAGCTTTCTTCTCTTCATCTCCATTGCTTTCTGGCTGTTTTAAAGCTTGTGAGATTGGAAGCGGGTGTCAAGGCCGCAGAATCCAGGTTGGGCACTGGACAGACCCATCTGACAGTATATTCGCTCATGCTAAGTCGACCGCAGCGCGGCGGCTCGGCGGGAAGAGGGCGACTCAACAAGAGTAATTGAGAGGCACTTCTCCCATCAGCCTATGTCGGAGTGCGTAGCGGCAGCTTTGGGCAGCAATGCTCCAAGGAATCCCTGGCTCCCCCAGATGATGTCTTTCCGTCAGCGGGAGCAGCCAGATCCAATACGGCTGGCTCTGGTCGACTTGAAACGTATTGTCCGCGACTCAAAGGAAGGTACTTAATGCTGTGAAACTCGGCACGAAATCTCTACCTGGACTTACAGCGTGAGTTGTCAAGTTGGTCGAGTCTTCAGCTGCAAGGCTGTATGTATGTACATGTACCCTGCGTCTCCATGATGCAGCCAGAAGGAAAATCAGTGGCCAATGTGTGGGACAAGGGAGTGTGGGAGGGCATCAAGATCCAGTGAGCTAGGCAGCTGAGGTAGCACTGGAAGTATGCCCAACGAGCCAGGCAAAATCCACCAAACCTGCAGTTAAATGAAGAAAAATGTGGGGAGCCTACGAGAAGAACGAGGAGCGGAAATGAATAAAAAATAAGAAATGCAACCACCGTACGAGCAAAGTTGTGGAACGGATATTTCAGAACAGCTTTCATTCTGGGCATTTCACCAATGCTATGCGTATATTCGAAATAACCGTATTGATGTTATGTTCCCTAGTGAGTCAACAAACAGGTATATGAGTGAGAGGTGGCTATGCATATATGCGAATATGCAGATTTCCAGGAAGACGGGTGGGATGGCCAGCCACGCGCGCAACGATAAGATAAGACACGCCCCTCCTCACTGTTTTGGCCTTCCATCATGTAGCGCCATCCCGACGATACCAGCTACCAAGTACTGTTGTTTGAGAGAGTTGCTCTTGGGTGCACTCCTTGGTGGTTAAAATCCCATTAGCCAAGGATCTCTCTCGACTTCAAACAACAGGACGCCCCATCAATCTTTGGAAGCCCAGGCGCGGTGCATTTCCTCCATAAGAGGACACCAAAACACCATGTCGCTACTCTCAGCACACCTTGAGCAGATATCATTCTCCTGCCAAGGCATTGACAGCCTCCCGTAAGCCGGCATCTCGCACCCTTGCCCCCATCCCGAGCGTGGGGCCTCTGAGCATGAAGGCAGAAGGGAGACGCGTGTCTAACCATCGTAACAGCTTCCCACCTCCCAAAATCTTCACCAACGCCCTCCTCTCCAACCACGACATCACCTCACTGATCCGCGACACGGAGGCGCACGAGCGCGCCCTCTTTTCCGTCCCGCCCCCGCCGCCCCCGGCCACGAGCCACAACCCGGACCCGCCGAAGCCCTCCAACCGGCGGCAGACCGTCTTCAACGTCGCCGGCGGCGAGGTGACGACGGGCCCGCCGACGGACCGCTCCACCCGCGGCTCCGCCGGCGGGCCGCGACGGCACACCGCCGTCGCGGCAGTCCTAGGCGGCGACCTGCACGCGCAGATCGTGCGGCGGCAGGGCGCCGGCGAGGGGGGTGCGGCGGGCAAGGGTGACGTCGACATCGAGGTCCTCCTGCACGGTGCGGAGAAGTTGTGCAATGTCTATCCTCTGCCCGGCGCGGCGGAGAGGATACCGGCGCAGCGGCAGAAATACGCGCATCAGAGCAATACGCTGGCTTACTATGAGGCGAAAGTCGCCGAGCAGCAGGAGGCCCTAGGGAGGATGAACAGGGATCATTTCGCGGAGGAAGACGAGGAGGACGACGGCAAGTTCGCTGGGGATGCTAGCGATTTCGTGACCGAGGATGATCTGAAGAGGGAGGAGGAGGAAGTGCGGGAGCTTGACAAGAAAAAGAAGGAACTCCAAGAGAGGTTGCGAGCCATGGAGAAGGATCTAGGAGGGTTGTTGAACCTGTGATCGGAATGTTATTCGATGTATACCTTTGTAAGTCACAAGTGGCTGCCCTACTGCTGGCTTCCGTTCAGATACCCATCGCAGTCTGAATACAGTTCTGTTTCAGCTCTAAGCTGCCATCTTCTATAATAGTGCCCGCCGTGTTGACGATTAAATATGAATAATGTCTGCCTTCTCTGCAAACAAGAACATGTGGTTCTCGTCGAACATTTGGGTAGCTCCCGTTGTAAAATTAGGAATTGTTAGCTCTCTCATTCATATCAAGGCAAGACAAACAAAACAACAGCTCGCTGCTTTGTGCTGTCGGCACTCATTCCGTAGCTCTGTCAATTCCCGCCTGATGTCTCCTCTGAAAATCGTTTCGGAGATTGGACCCATCCGCATGTTCCCTACAATCAAGTACTATGTTAGCTATAGACCAGGGTCTTATTTATGGGTGGTTGCCATAAACAACAAACGATCTGTACGGATGTATGGGGTGGATTCTCGGGGTGTTGCTTCAGAATGTCTTCGTGGGACGCCATTTTGAAATATGAAACTCTCTGACAGTAGCACTTCCACCTTAAGCAACACTTTTCTCGTGATATTTTGTTGAAAAAGAGAATTCCCAATGCACTTCCCCTGAAATGACGTCTTCCTCAGTGCAGTTCTGCAGGTCCAGAACGGGGGGCTAGAAAAGTGGGCCTCATTAGCGCCGAGCAGCCCCTGGGCAATTGGGCTGAGCGATGATGTGGCAGTGGCTGGCTGCCGGGCCAACCAAGCTGGTTGCCTAAGTAAATATTCGGTCAGTGGGATTGAGCCCTTGGTACTTCCTATGGTCAGTCCACCTGCACTTGCACCAAGCTACATGCTCATTTTGACTTCCCATGATCATCATTCTGCATACCAACCACCTGAATCCAGTCTAGAACATCGCAGTTTTGTAAGGCTCAAGCTCGTGTCCTACCGTCCACATCCGCATTCCATTCCATTCAATTCATGCTGACATATTCCCCCCTAAGGCACGACCGACTCTTGCAAAGCAATTCCACCATCAATCCCCGTACCCAATCTCACTATCTTGAAGTCTCCTAGCCTGCAGCACCCAGCCTGCCTAGGAAAGTCACTGTGTGCGTGTGTACTTCAGCAAAGCACAAGAGAGCTTTAACCATACACCATCCGTCTAGAGTCGACCTCGTCCATTCTTCTTCCCCCATCGTATCCCTGACAGCCGACCCGATCCCCCCAAGACGGCGATCCGAAGGGAACATCCGCATTCCATACCAGCGAAGGCGAGAGGTCCGTCTCCCGATTTCTCCAGCCGCAACCGACCCACCACGTCTCGGATTTCAGGGCGCATCCGCTTGCATTCCAGCGCTGCAGGCGCATTCCGATCCCCAACCGTCACTCCGGCACGAGCGGAGGGCGGGGCTGGGCGTGATTCTCGACGGCATACCCATAGTCAAGTCGCCGAGAAGAAGAGCCAACGGCACGGATGGCGGGGGAAAGATTCAGAGTCGGGTGGTACCGTATGTTTGCACCTCCACGCTTTCCCACCCCAGAAGCAGCAATGCCAACTTGGGGTGGGAGAAATCTCGAGGCCGAGACCAATTACTAACATGATTCCTTTTGCTAGGATGGGTACCGTTCCTGGGATACCACCATGTGTTGATGATTCTGATAGCAGTGTCTATCATACTATTATGTACGAGCAGGACCCCCCTCCCAATTCCCGCTCAGGCCATGGTTGTTGGCAGCTAACATTCAATGTTCCGGCAAACAGCGCTCCTGCTAGCAGGATGCTCCTCCTCCTCCCCGTTAATCCCCGACATCTTCCTCCTCTCACTCTACTACAAGCACTACACGGCGGTGCCCGACACAGCGCAGGTGGATTATAACGTAAACACCGCCATGTCCAACATTGTCGGCGGCGCCCACCTGCAGGCCCGCGTGGGCTATTTTGGCATCTGCGTGAACCCGGACGGCGGGTCGTGGCTGTGCAGCAACAACGCCACGGCGCTGGCAAAGGAGGTGTCGGTCGACCAGGACCCGCTCAACCTCATCTGGCTGGCGAGCCAGTTCAAGGACATGATTGTGTTCCCCTACTTGATGTGCGTGATAAAAGCCCCTTCCTCTCTTACCCTCCATCTAGCTAACACCAGCCCCCCCCCCAGCATCATCGCCATCATCTTCGCCTTCATCTGCTTCCTCCTCCTCGCCACCTTCCCCGGCTGGCACGAGGAGGAGGACTCGGAGGGCTCGGAGCGCGAGGTGAAGCCCTTCCCCAGCCGGCCCGTCAGCCAGGTGTCGCTGGCCATCATCTTCATCGCGTCCATCTTCGTGCTGGTGTCGGTCCTCTGGCAGCACACGGCCTCGGTGGCCGCCAGCGTCATCGCCCAGGACTTTGCCAACGGCAGCGTGCGCAGCGGCGTGGGCACCAGCGCCATGGTCATGGGCTGGTTCAGCTTCACCCTGCTCATCGTCGTCACCATCGGCCTGCTCGTCATGATCCTCAGCATCAGGGTGCTGGCGCAGATCATGGACTGAGCGGGGGCAAGCATGTCCTATTGTCTCCTGGCCCCTGTTGAGCAAGCCGGAAAGGAGCACGGGGAACATCCATGGACGAGGAAAGCAGGGTCGGGCTGTATGTGTGTGTGTGTGTTTGTTTTGGTTCTTCCCCTTTTCCCACCACAGGGAACACGTTCGCGACGGACTATACGGGACTGGGGCATCTGGGGCGGTCTTTTCCTTTTTTTTTTGCTCCTGGGTCAAACCTTCCAACGAGAGAGAGACTGCCGGAGCCGACGACACGAGAACACGAAAACAACGGGTACGAGGCCGCGGCTTCGCATTAATGATTCCATAGAGATGGGGCGGCGGCGTGGCGCGAGGGACGCCAGGGAAGGACCGAGGACCGAGGACCCTATACACGACTATCAGGCCAGGGGATTCTGCAGTGGGAAGGAAGGGTTTCGTCTAGAGTGCGGCCATTGTATGTTGGGGAGCCCCATGTTTTTCTGTTCCATGGAAATCTTTTGTTTTTGTTGTGTGTGCGTGTCGGAGGGTTGGGTAAGGAGGGGAAGATGCGCGAACCTTTTTCGTCCGAGACCTGCGACGACGATACTTTGGAACGCCACGTCATCGAGCAACAGCATAAGGGTTACGGAGTTTCTATGAGATTTGGCTTTTTTCCCCTCGTCGAGGTCTGCGGAAACCGGTGAATTTGAACTGCTCGTTTTCTCACGTCCCACCGTTCCGAGCTGATTCCAGCTCCTCGCAGAGTCCGATTGTGTGTGATGGAGATTACCTTGAATCTGTCGACAGGTTGTTTTCCCGCGTGATAGAATAGGGGGATGTATATATACATAGATAGATAGAGCAAATCTCAAGTGGATCGGAACACAAGCAAGCATGCACCAGGAACAAACAATATACCTAGGTAGTATGTGCTGTACTTGGATACCCCCAATGCCTGGAGAAATAAAACGCAGGACCCAGGGTTTCTGGGCTGCTTTCGTATACAAATTAGCAACATGATTATGTACGGGCCTATTCAAGTTTACGCCAAACGCCGGCACAATGAGTTCTCCCGTCCAATGAAGAGGGCGCGACGTCGCCCATGGTCGTGATGGTTCAAGCCATGCATGCGAATGAGCTCCTTGTCTTGGCCCCGCCTCTCGTTCATTTCCCCAGAGAACGGCCATTAAGAAGTTTCATTCATTCCTTTTATAGGATCGAGACAGTCCCATAGGTATTCTCAATTCCGGCCAGGGTTCAAGTCGGGCGCCTAAACGGATGGGCCTCCGTGTTGAGGACCCAGTCATCTAGGGAGATAACATCCGGCGTGGTAAACAGGAGATAGAAGTACTTGAGCGTCTCGGCGAGCCAGAAGCTCTCCATGTTGTCTACGAGCATTGGTGCCTCGCTAGCCGGGTCAATCGTGATGTCGTCGACGGCGCTGTGCCCGATTGGGGTCTGCGTCGCAGCGATGACGGACTCGAACATCCTCCAGCCCCTCTCCTGCCACAAAGGATCACCGGTGATGCGGTACATGTACCAGACCGATTCGATCGCCTCGGGTCTGTAAAGGAATGAATGCGTTAGTTTAAACCCTGCACAGTCTGCCAATCAATTGCGGTTGATCGTTATTCAAACATACCGAAGGATATACCGCCGATCGTTTAGCGTGGTGAACCCTGGCGGAAGATGTTCATTGGCAATACGGTTCTTGACGAACTCGGCGTGCGAGACTGGTTTCGCGGGCTCCTCGGGCCGTTGAGGCTCAGCAGCGTGGGCCTGGCCCGCGCCGGTGTGGCTCTGATGAGCAGTGACGCTGTTCAGGTCCAGCTCGGCCTCAAGCGTCCTGACCTTCTCCTCGATCTGGGTCTCCCTATCCGCCCTCTCGGCCGCCTCAGCACTCACGGCAACCTGTCTCTTCTGGATCGAAGGAACGGTGCCGTTCCCTCCCGGGCCAGCGGCTGCCAGATCCGAGACAGAGCCGGCCTCTCGCTTGTCGTTGTCCACCTGTTGGCTCTGTTTCCTCAGCGCCTCTTGTCGCTTCGCCTCCTCCTCTGCCTTGGCTCTCAGGGCAGCCTCTTTCTCGAACAGCGCGAGTTCTTGCTCATATTCCCTCTTCCTCTCAAAATAATCCCGCATCTGGTCATCCCGCCACTTGGGGTTGGGATCCAGTCGGTCCCACCACAGGGTCTCGTTCCAGTGGCAGTCGCTTGGATCCTCGCATGGCGTGATGGTTGACATCTCTGGCATGATGCCCATCGGGAAGGTTTCGTATGCCCAGGCGCAACCAGCTGCGAGCCTCTTGCCCACCTCGACATCCTCGGGACTCTCGAAGATCTTGCCTCCCAAGCCGAACATGCCTCCCAAAAAGCAGGTGAGGTGCGTGATTTCATAGTTGCGAATGAGGTCCTCGTCAGAGTTGTCCCTGGTGTTCGCTTTTGCCGAGAACAAGATGTCCCGATCATCCTTGGTCAAGGGCTTGAAGAGCAGGTACTTCTTGACTGCTTTGACAACCTTCTCATGTATGGTGCGGTACTTCGGTTCCAGGCCCCCGAGCAGCAGGTACTGCTTCGGAAAGTATTCGTACGTCGAGTCTTGGCTGCCTCCCATGCTGTACGACTCCATGGAGCCTCCGCTTGTCAGGCCCTGGGGAACACATTCCCAGGTTGCGGCCGATCCAGCAGCCGTGAACGGCTGGTACACGAAAGCGGGACTCGTATCTCGCTTCTCGTTTGTGCTGTCTACATCGCGCTTCCCAATGTTGTGGATCTCACCGATCCCCGGATCACCAGGGTTGACTCCAGGGGTGACATGAAATTCAACCTTGTTTTTGTTGTCCCCCTGCTTTTTCGGTGCCTTATCCCCGGGGAGTGCGTCGGGGGTGTATCCTTCGGGGTCGGAAATGTCCTCGGCAGCCTCTGCCTGAGCTCGGGCACCCTTGCTGCTGGCCGCAAGGCTGTTCAGTTGGGCGGCAGTTCGGTTGCAGCCAGAAGCGTCTATCCTCTCCGGGAAGATACCGGGGAGGGCAGTACCCCGGTTCTGATAATCTTCGAGGGCGTCCGTAATGCGAGCAACGGCGTCATAATACTTGTTCTTGCCTGTTAGTTGGGCCAGGTGCGTGAATTCCATGGACAAGGACCCAAGCTCTGCCACACTGGCGCTTGAAGAGGCTCTCTGTGGCTGGGACGCGTACTCCGGTTTCCAGCTGTAATAAAGAACGGGCATGCGGTTCGGAGTATCGAAGGCGCCCATCAGGATTTCTGCAAGCTCTAACGCCTTGTCTAGAAGAATCCTGTAATTGCCCGAGTGGCCACCGGAGACGTCGTAGGCGGCGAGCAGACCTCCCAGATAACGGATCACAGTCTCAAAGACGGGGATATCATTTCTGTAGGGCGTGGTTGTGAAGTCAATGTCCTTGACAGCTTGCACGGCTTGGTCGAACTCGTCCTCCATCCCCATGATCCAGAGAGTATCCAGGGAATCCACAAGCGTCGCTGCCCAGCCGCAAAACGGATCCCGGAAGTCCTGGGAGACGGGCTTCAACTCGTCGTGAGTCCACGCAAATTTCTTATAGCCCCGCCAGGCGCGCAGGGCTTCGTTCTTGACCTTGGCCAGCCGCGACTCCCGCTTCACCTTTGCCGTTTCCGACTCGTCTCCGAAGCGGTATTGTACGGTAGGGATGGGCTTGGGCTTGCCTGTCGGCAACATGATCAACGACTCCTCCGGGACTGGGAACTGCTCAGGAACCTTGCGCCAATGGACCGCGGTGCTCGCCGGCTTCGCTGGGCCCTCCAAAGCCCCTGGAGGCTTCTGAACAATGGCGCTTTCGTCTTCGGCTTGAGATAAGTCCTCGACAAGGCCGGGTTTTAGGATCGGGATATCCAGGACGACAGCGCCCGTCGCGTGAGCGGCGCCCTTGACTGGGCTAGGTTTATCGGCACCAGAAGCCCTCGTCTCCGCCGGCGTCGGCGTCTCGGTAGGCGTGGGCAAGCCATATTCTCCCTTGAGCTCGTTGCTAGTCTTGAGCTGGGGGATTTTGATTGGAGCTGGTTCCTTGGGTTGTGGTTCGGCCGGTGCCTCACCATTGCCCTCCGCTAGCCTCACCTCCTCGGGTCCTCCATACGACGGCTTGCGATCTGAACCCGAGTTCCACTGTGGAGAGTCATACGGAGACGGCCCAGCGGGGTCCCAGCGGGAGTTCTTGGACACCTGGTATAATAGGGCGATTATAATGAGGGAGAATATTAGGAAGACGCGGTATCTGCGAAAGCGAATCATCGTGGCGGCGGCGGCGGCTTAAAAGGATCGAAACGGCCGTTTCTGGCCAGGCGACGACAGGGAGAGGCGACGGGTTCACTCCCTAACGCTTGCGCGAGGTGAATGTAGGTCGATAAAGGAGGTAAGGCTATATCGGACAACTATGGGCATTTCCGCATAGGCGCAAGCAAGCACACGTGTGTGTAGCTGTAGCTTCTTCGAGATAATCCAAGGAGATCGAGCTTGTCCCTTGGGCACACGAGTCAAAGGTAAGGGAGGGTGGTGTGGCAAGGTATGTACTGTACTTTGCAGTAAGGAGCGGCGGCGGTAGCCACGAGCAACTGGGACGATAAGCGATGGCGGCCAGACTTGGATGAGGGAAGGCAGGAATGAATCTCTAGACAATAAAGTTCACGCAACGCCACAGGCATACTTGGCCGCGAGAAGGTCCATGGCGGCGAGGGAAATGGGGGCGGGAGACCACCTCCATTACAGGCAGGCGAATTCATCCGGGCTAGGGAAGGAACGCGCCCCGGTGTTACGCTGGGGGCAAGTCTTGGCATGTCTCACGCCCGAGTCTGGGCCCAAGTATTTGAGAATTGACTATTGAGAGCGATGGAGAGGGCTTGGAGAAAGTGTCGGCAAACTTGAACAATATGTTCCGGCCCCTCTCGTTGGTCAACAACATATATCAAGTGACTAGACCAATAATGGCATTTTTGCGGAGGCCAGATCTCTCGAGGCTGCATTCTTCCCAAAGGAGGGAAGCGGAGATTTTTCTCCTGCCCCGCGCCGCGGTGGCGGGCCGAATGAATGTTCGCTGGGAAACCCCCTGCCTTGCAGCTGTCAGTTCTGAGTTTATAGTTTATCTAGAGTGATCAACTGCTACCGGGTACCTAGATTCCCAGGTACTGTGGGTGGTAGTCAGGTACTAGTCAGGGGCGCAACATTGAATTTTCAACTGGCACTCACAATTTCAATTGATGTGGCTTTTCTTGTGGCACCATCGTGCAAACTCTACATGTAGGCTCCTGCCTGAATCATCCTGCGTTTTGCCCTGTCTCCATGACAAACTAGCCGACCTTAGCCTTACAAAGATGAATACGATGGTTCTGAACAATCCCTGCCGTAACTCAGGGTCTTTCTGCAGGTAGGTGGAAACCCAGGTGATCCGCCGTTCGCGTACACTATAATGCTACCCCGAACCTAATAACGTTAAACACCATGTTCCGCCCGCCCTACGCAGTAGGCCCGTGATGCTTGTTACATCGCCGATGGGCCACCCCTCTCTCGCTGTTGATCGAGGGTTGCGCTCAGGCTCATCCTAACACGGCAATGCGCTCGCTCCCTCCGCTCGAGATCCGGGCTTTGAACCCCGTTCCGTCCGTGCTGGCGAGGCCCCTCGCTCGTGGTATTTGTGCTCCCGTGAAGCCGCGGCTTCAAAAGGATCCGAGCTCTTGGTAGCTCTTAGTAGCCAATGTAACCTTTCCCAGTGCCGTGCCGATCCGCTGAAGGCAGATGATCATTTCCAGGTTGGTCTTATTCCCGACTTTTTGCTAATTTTTCCTTACATATTAGGTATGGTACTTCTCATGTCTACCTACGCAGAGATATCATCACGCCTATATCGCCCCGTATATCAAATCCCCCTTAGCTAGAAAGCGTACATGACCGCCCACATCCCATCCCATTCCACTCTAGTCCGGTGCCTCTTGATCCAAGGCCTCAATGCACCGTTCGAACACAATCGACTATTAGCAACAATCAACCACAGCAAAACGACCTGCATCTGATTCCCAGCCTCAGTACGTGCCCCTGATCTTCGCATACAGCTCCGTATCAAAGAAGTTATAGCCCGGGTCCAGGTAGCAGAAGGGGTGCTGGGAGAGGAGCATGTCGGCAGTTGGTCGCTCAGACGGGTTTCTATAGAAAGGGTCTCGTAATCAGCATTTCCACATCCAAATGTACCGAGAGAGTGTCACGACACGACGACTTACACTGTGAAGCAATCCAGCATAAAGGCGATGGCCAGCGGCGAGATCTTCGCCGTGACCTCATCCGGGATGGGCGGGATCTCTCCATTGGCGATCTTGTAGATGGCCCCCACTGCCTCCTCCTTGCTCCAGGGTCGCCGCCCCGCAAACATCTCCAGGACCACGCAGCCGAGGGACCAGATGTCCACCTTGGCGCTGTAGCCCTCGCCCTGTGACCGGATGACCTCGGGCGCCATCCAGAAGACGGAGCCCTGCATGCTGTTGGTCTTGTCATTCCCGTAGATGTTGTCCGTCTTCTTGCTGATGCCAAAGTCCGAGATCTTGCAGGTGCCGTCCAGGTCCAGCAGGATGTTGTCCGCCTTGAGATCGCGGTGGAGGATGCCCTCCCTGTGGAGGTACGCGAGGCCGCTCAGCGTCTGCTGCGTGAGGGAGGAGACGACGCTCTCCTCGAACTTGCCGTGTTTCCGCAGGCACGATCCGATGGAGCCACCCGAGATGTACTCCAAGAAGATGGAGATGCTCGTCTCCTTGCGCTCGCAGCCCAGATACTGCACGATATTGACGTGGTCGAGGTGCTGCATCGTGTCGATCTCCTGGTCGAGCGCCGCCACCATCTCCCGCATCTTGTTCTTGTCCCCCTGGGCAGCCTTCGGGTTTACCTCGACCTCCTTCACGGCCAGGAACTCGCCCGTCGTGGCGTTCATGCCGAGGTACACCCGCCCGTACGTGCCCTTGCCGATGAGCTGGCCCTTGAACCAGCGGAACGTCGTCTGACGCTTGGGCAGCGCGTTCTGGTTGGGCAGGCTGTCCTGCGGGATGGTCGTCAAGCCCATGGCAGAGTTGATGGACCCCCGCTCCGGGCGGATCTGCACAATGTTGGCGTTGAACATCTTGGTGCTCTTGCGCCGCAACAGGTTGGAGTCGCGACTGGCTGACGGGCCCGCGGCGTGCGACGATGTCCGGGTGAACCGCTTGTTGGCTTCGTGGGCCCCGCGCGCCACCTCCCTGATAGACTTCATGCGGCCCAACCCGCCCGAGCGACGGATGCTGCGCCGTGCGATCGATTGCATGGAGACGGGCCGTGACTCTCCTGCCTTGAGAGTCGACTCGTCGGAGCCAAGAGTGTCGCTCTCGTTGTAGATCGACGATGCTCTATTGCTGCTTAATCCCGGCGTCGCAGCGGCCGCTTGCGCTGTTGCTTGATTGCTCCTGCCCAACGTGTGTTCATCCGCCTCGGAAATTGGCGACGGAGGCACGTCCTGCTCGGCATTTTCCTCCAGCACAGGCTGGTCGACATCTAAGTTGGGGAAGTAGTCTTCGAGATTGTTGATGAGCGCATCGGTTGGCGGACGATTAGCCCAGACATCCTTCTCCACGAAGGATTTGCGTCTGCTAAGCTTGCTGTCCTCGGCCGGCTCCTCCCATCCATCAGACGCAGGCGTCCCGGGTGTCCGGCGTTGGAAGCTCCTGGAGCTCCTGACGCTGTTGATTCCGTCGTCGTCATCGACGTCGGGTGTCTTAATGCCGATGCTGGACTGCGGCGACGTGAAGGCCACAGAGAGGTTCTTCTTCGCTCGGTTCGTGTTGACCTTCAGGCTTGGCCGCTTCCCACTGCCGTCTGACTCTCCGCCCTCGCCGTTACCCTGCTGCTTTGGCGCCAAAGCCTTGCCCCTTGCGCCACCACTGCGAGCACAAATGGGGACCGCGAAGAGCCCATCGTCAGAATTGTCGCCCGAGTCTTCGTCGTCCTCCGGCCGCTTCCATGTCGGCGGGGCTGGTCCGCGAGAGAAGTCGACTTCTGTCTCTTGGAAGTCAACGTCAGGCCCGTGTGACTTCCGCCTGTTAGGTTGGTGACCGCCGCTGACGCGTCTGCGTGTGCCGGGACTGACGTCCCCTAACGACACAGCGTTTTGCACTACGTGATTCATTTTAGCTTCTGTCTCATCGTAGGGCGTGTTCGAGACAGGTGTGCTGGGAATGTCTACAGGGTTACCTCGGTGCAGCGGTATTCCCACGGGCGGCGAGTAGTCTGGCACGATGAAGGGCAGATTGCCACGGCTCCATGTCAAGGAACCGGGCGATCCAGATGCCCCAGGCCGTGAATTGTTCCCGCCTGACCGGGAATTACCGCACTCGCCGAAGTTGACCAGAGACATGGCTCCCTTGCCTCGATGGCTAGACTCACCGTTTGTGGTAGACGGCGACGACGCGGCCCGGTTAGTCGATAGGGCCCGCGAGCCGGTAGCAGACGGATGTCCGACTCCTCCGAGCCTTGTACCCATGCCGACCAGCAGTCCCCCGATGCTGCCCGTTGGCTGGGCACTGAGCTTCCGCTTCTGTTTCTCGTACATCTCCTCACGCAAGTCTGTCGATGGGCGCTTCTGGTGGCCATCGACCGCGTCTTCTGGGCTGCGTGCTCCTTGACCAGTCTTCTTGCTCAACGAATTCGCCTTGATCAAAGTCGCAGAAGGATCTTCAGGGGGCGCTGGTGCCTTGCGTTGAGGGAACAAGTTATCGGGCTTTCTGTCCTCGAACGGCGAAAGTCGCGGCAGGTCGAAGTTGACATTCCTGCCCACAATCCCGTAGGCCGAGTCTGAGGTACCTGTGTCTTTCAAGTTTGCCTGGTTCCGCTTCGCGAGGTATTCGTGTTGCCTCCTCAGCTGCTCCTCGTGGTAGGCAATCGATTGCTCGTTCAGAGCGGCCTCGTCCATCTCTCTCCCCTCGTTGGGCATGGTGTTCTGCCTCGACGTCGGCGGCGAAGAGCTGGATCTCTGCCGCTGCCCGTTAAGTCTCGCGTAAGCTTCTTCGTCCATCTTTGCACCAGCCACCAGGTGAGAGTAGGCTTCTGCAGGCCGTACGAAAAGCTTCAGGGTTCCCGCAGAGTCCGCCTTGAGCTTCTTGAGCGCCATGAGCTTGGCATCATCCAGGGGCTCTTCATGATCGCCCTTTCCCAGCTCGGTGAGGAATATCTGGGCACCGTCGAAATTTGATATCCGAAGGTTGACACATACGATCTCCCTAAAATCGGTCGGCGTGTCTATGTCGGTGACATCTATCATGCGGTAGTTCCAATAATCGACCGTCGCAAGGATGTAGACGCGGGGGTTGCCCGCTCTTCGGGAACGCAGAGAAGGTCCGTGGTCCGCCGCCGTGGAGAAGCTTGACCCGGGACGGTCCAAGGAAGTTTCGCTAGCATTGCCCGCCTTGCTTCCAAAGGAATGCGGTTTGAAGCTGATGGCCGGACTAGTGGGAGAATCCATTTCTTCTGGGGACGGGAATGCGCCATCCTCCTTCGGCTTCTTTTTCCTCGACAGGAACGAGAGGAACGACTTCGAGTCCTTCGGGTCCTTGGCGCTCACTGGCGGATCGGTTCCGGCGCTTCTATCGCCGGAATCCGGAGGGGACGGACGGCCACCATCCTGGCCATGGCGCCTAATAACTTCAGAGTTTCGATTCGCATTCATCATCTCCCCAATGCTCATTCCGTTCTTGAGCATCTGGCTGGCCTCTGGTGGCACGCCCGAGCCATAAATGGCCGCATTAGAGGACACTGAATCGGTGCTGTTCCTAGAGCGGTGCCCGAACCTGCCTGTCTGCGGTGATGCCGACGCATTCCCAGTCAAGGAGGAGGGGAATCTAGGACTGCCGGTCGGGCTATCCTTGCTGAAGGACGGCACGCCCCGGAGAGTACCAGCTTCACCCGACTCACTTGCGCTAGGGCTATGACGACGAGTGCTGTCCATGTCAAGGTTCTTCATGATGCTCCTATGGTTCGAATCCGAGCTCATTGTGTTGTTGACCAAGGTTGGCACAGCGGCCCCTCTAGATTGGGAGTACCGTCGTCCTCCAAACCCTGGACCGGGCGCTTTTATCGGGGTCTAGGAGGAATTTGATAAGCTTCGGAGCCGGTGTGGAAATTGGGCGGGGGGGGGGGGGGGGGGGTTTTTATACAACAATTAAATTGGGGGAAAAACGGGTATACTGACCATTGCCCTGCACAGTATAAACGTAGACAATAACCTACCCAAATGTAAAA